CCTGGTTCGCCAAACACCACAAGGGCGAAAGGTTAGCCAGAAGGAAAGGCTCGGTTGGGTCCAGTACTCGCCGTAAAGCGGACCGGCCAACCAAGCCCAAGGTTCAACTACGAGCTTTTTAACTGCAACAACTTTAATATACGCTATTGGAGCTGGAATTACCGCGGCTGCTGGCACCAGACTTGCCCTCCAATTGTTCCTCGTTAAGGTATTTACATTGTACTCATTCCAATTACAAGACCCGAAAGGGCCCTGTATCGTTATTTATTGTCACTACCTCCCCGTGTCGGGATTGGGTAATTTGCGCGCCTGCTGCCTTCCTTGGATGTGGTAGCCGTTTCTCAGGCTCCCTCTCCGGAATCGAACCCTTATTCCCCGTTACCCGTTGAAACCATGGTAGGCCACTATCCTACCATCGAAAGTTGATAGGGCAGAAATTTGAATGAACCATCGCCAGCACAAGGCCATGCGATTCGAAAAGTTATTATGAATCATCAAAGAGCTCGAAAGCATTGATTTTTTATCTAATAAATACATCCCTTCCAGAAGTCGGGATTTTTAGCATGTATTAGCTCTAGAATTACCACGGTTATCCAAGTAGTAAAGGTACTATCAAATAAACGATAACTGATTTAATGAGCCATTCGCAGTTTCACTGTATAAATTGCTTATACTTAGACATGCATGGCTTAATCTTTGAGACAAGCATATGACTACTGGCAGGATCAACCAGATAACTATCTTAAACCCCCGAAGGGTACGTCGTTCAGAAAGACCGAAGTCTTTCGTCCCAACTGAAGTTAATCGTAATTGACAGTTGATAAATCAACCGGTAAATGCTCGCAATTCACTGTTTTACCAGCAATTCGCAAACAATTTACATCCATGTAGCCCTCTTTGAATTCCCCTGGTATGATGTCCGTCAAACACTTCAGTATGAAATACTAAAGGTTTAACATAACCAACCATGGAGGAGGTTACAAACAGAGAATCACAGAACTAAATCTGGCTATTCAATGTTGCAGACCCCCAAGTAAGTTTTTAGTTAACACTTGCCATAGGCTAGTAATCCACTAAATCCTTCAGCGCTTATACACAGAATCGTTAGATATCTGGTATAAGACTGTTCAGGTTCCTCCGTTTTCCCACAAATGTGTTCAAACAAGAGATAACCCATGTTGTTTTAGCGTAAAGAGCAATGGAAAACTTACGTTTCACCATTTAACTCTCCCCACTAAACAACGAGGCCATAAAGACATTAATTGAACTGAAGAGTAGAACTCTTTAATTCTTTTAATTGTCTCATGCTTTCGCATAAAGTACCTCCCGTCCTATTTTCATGTATCCTGCATAGGCTACAACCACATTCGACATTTTTAAATTTAGAATGCGAAAACGAAATTTGTTCTCAAAACGCCAAACCTATATTTTCAATGCGCACATAATCTCCTATAAAACATAACCCGCACTTTAAAAACTTTTGTTTTTCTGAAACATGCAACCACAAGACGTTTTGAAAAACACTATTTAGCATCTCTCTTAGTCGCACTTTTCTTAGTACTGCACTCCTACTTAGATTGCGGACCTATGTTTTACTCCCACTTCGGCTACATGTCTGCATCAACTCCATCAATTATTCCTTGTTGGCGCCTCTTTTCTTTAATAATAAGTATCTGTCATGAACATATAACGTTTCTCTATCTAACGGTACCTTTAAAATATGCTTTATAGGTATCTTTTAATTTAGCTTCCTAGGTCATGTTCTGGCTTTCTCCTTTCTTGGGCAATCCATTTTGGTGAAAACACGACGCCTTGTTCGCCAGCTAAAATATCTTTTTTTTTCTGTTTTTAGCTCTGCATTCACTTCATTGTGTTCAGGATCTTCTTTGATATCATTGGTCTGTTCATCATATATGTTCCTCTCTTCTTTTCATTTCCTTTTATATTTACATATATATATATCTTCCAACTTCAATGACTTTTCTTCAAGAAAATGTATAATTATGTGTAAAATATAAAACAAAGCAGAAAAGTCACACATATAACTGATGTGGCAATATTACAAAAAGTACATCACTTGGTATTTCATGATTTTTTAGAATGTTTAAAGTTAACATATGGCCCTCTTTGAATAAAACATTTTGTATAATTTTGTTAAGAGACGAATATATTGATTATTAATTGTTAGCCAACGATGTATTTATTTACTATATCTGAAACTTCTCCGCCATCTACCTTAGGAACTTCTGGAGGATGTGTTCAGGCTAACGTATATTTGGTCCCATCTCCTGTGGTCCCTTTAAATCGGACTAGTGATACTCCAATACTTCCAAAACTAAAATTTGGGGTTTCTCCTGGAATTCATCCTGATCCTCCAAATGAATGTGGTATTACTCCTAAAGATTCAACTAGTCCTGATTTGGTATTCATGGTTGAGACTTTTATGACTAAGTCTGAACAGGTTTTGAGCCAACTAGCTTTTGCGAAGCCTTCCCCAATCTTTTGAAATCTTCTGTTATCTTGGATTGCTAGCCTTTTAGTTGCAGCTACTAGATACTATATCCCTTTAGCTGCATACATCAAAACCCGGGATGCTAAACAACTTATTCCTGTTAGAATTCGTCAACTTTATGGTTACGAACACAATACTGAGCTCCAAATTCAATTGCACTCTTTGAAACTACCTTGGCCCAGTATATTTTAATTCATTTATCGGAAAAAGTTCTTAAACTTCTTCTCCGTCCTCCAAACTATTATTGGATGGCAACTCCTTTGCTTGATGCACTTCATAAACAATACAGATCTTTTTCGCTTGAAGCAATTGTCCTGTCTTATACAGCCAGTTCTTCAGAATTTTCTGAACTTGATTCCTATTTTGATTCTATGAAAGTCACCAGTTCTCACTTGTCTGAACTCACACCAGAACAACTTTGTGCTGTTGTCAGCATTTCGAGTCTTCCTTCACCAAGACCGAAATCATCAAACACTATGGTTTATTTCCCAATGACCCTCTTACTGTTGCTCACATTCAATTGCTTTCCACCAAAATTGCCGAATCCACCACTTCCAAAAACGTTACTTCTCTCAATAAAGTAACATCTAATGGAACTCGTGTCATTTTTCAACTTTGTAAGAAACCAAATCATACTGCACCTGACTGTTATCGATTTCATTGCGTTCCACGTCCTCTTCCGGAAAAGAGACAGAGAATCAACCAACCCGCATCTCAATCTAATCCTCTGCCACCAGATTCGACTCCACTGACCACTGCAATGACAACCCAGCCACTTCAATTACTTCATGTTGATGTTTGCGGGCCCTTCAAGTACTGATATCACTGGTGCTAAATATTTTCTTGTTATTATTCATGACTTTAGTTATAATTATTTTGGTATTCCCATACTGCTTGAATCTGACGTAGCTCCACATCTTATTCGACTCAACAATTGAAGCCTCTTTATCAGAATATGATTACAAAGTTCAACGTATTCACAGTGACAATGGTGGAAAATTTGTCAATCAACAACTTCTTGAATTTTGCTCATCGAAAGGTATTACTTGTGAACGCACAGTTCCTCATCACCTGCATCAGAATTGTGTTACTGAACGTGGTTTTCGTATTATGACCGAGAAAGCACGTGCTCTCCTTTCTTTTAGCAAAGTTCCTGTTCAATATTGGACCTTCGCATTTCACACAGCTATTTTTCTTCTCAATATACTTCCTAGGCGTTCTCGTACAAATGGTTCTCCTAGCTCTCACTTTCCTCGGTCATACCTGAATCTTACTTCTACTCACCCATTTGGATGCTTTTGCTAACATTCCACTGATGGTCCGTGGTGTTAAACTTAGTCCCACAGGTTTTGAAGGGGTTCTTCTTGGATATGCACCTTCGCAAAAGGCAAGCTATACTAATTCACCCCAGTATGCGAGTCATCTTCTCCTCCTCTGTTCGCGAAAATGTTTTTCCCTTCCGGGACACTCCTTTCCTTTTCAAGAATCTTTCCCTTGATCTGTCCCACATAGGATCTGGTCATTTCTTTCTTTCCTGGTATTCCTGATACTACAGAATTTCACTTTGACAACTTGGATGATACTTCCCTACCCACGTCGTCTCATTCTTCTGATCAATCCTCCTCCCTGACGTCTACTCTTGATACTTCATCTACAACAAGTTTTGATTCCACTGTATCTGTTGATCCTGACTATAATTATGTTCATCCCCACATATTTGGTACTCACCCCCGCGCTTCAGTTTCAGAGGGGATTTTCAACTACACTGATTCGCTGTTTATTTTTCCGATGTCACATTATTCACCATCGTGACCCTCTTTCTTTCTATGTGGACAGTGGTACTTCTTCGCACATTTGCAATAATCGTGTTTCAAAAGTTTACTCCTCTTTGTGATCAATAAGTTCTGCGTTATGATAATTGTAATCGTGTTATTTCAGGTATTGAATCTATTTTTATTCCTGAACTTCACTTATCCTTCAAAATATATAATAATGTCCATTTTCATCGGTAAATCTTACTCAATCTATTTGCACTGATAATATTCAATTTACATATTCTTCTAATAGTGTCTTCATCAATGGTAAAATGGTTGTGAGACTTCGGGATTTATCTCTACTAAAATATCTTCCGGTAGGTTAGACGAAGTTAGATGATCTTGGTAATGCAAAATGCCGCACTTCTTGTGGTCAAGACATCCTTACACCCACAAATAGGACTATACAAGTTCTTTAATGCATATATCAAATATTATTTTTTTTTTTTACCGTGAAAATCCTAGTTGACATGTTACCAAGAGAAGTGAAGTAGAGTGAAATCGACTTGATACAGAAACATTCACTCCCTTTACTCGCTGTCATTTCCCAACCTATGTTAAATATATTTCCCTTACATTCTGATATCCAGCCTTCTCACTCATTGTTAATATGCAACGAAATGGATCTAAGAGTGGGCCTAGAAATCCAGAGAAGGTGACCAACTTAAAGTTTGCTATTTAAAAAAATTAAAATCCATTGCATCCTTTTTGAAGATTTGAAAAGTTAAGTACGTTGGAAATTTGCAACCATTAATTTCTTGGTAGTGCATATACGAATCTTTTAATAAAAGAAAATCTTCTCTTTCAATTTTGAACCTAATATCAGCCCTCATTAATAATATAATATTTGATAGTTTACTGTCCAAATTCTTCACTTTAACCGAAATCATAAAAGAACCTATCTTTTTAAACGACTCAACCATATGAGTCGGTATGTAATGATTCTTCTTCAGTTGTATGGGAGGAAAATATTTTTGTTGTACAAACTTTTCAACCATATTTCTTTTCTTATCCCCTTCTTTCTTCTTCAAGTTATTTTCTATAAACCTATTCAATAATTCGTTAACATTAAGGATTTTTGGTCTATTTTGTGGGGTATACATGTTTGAAATAATCTGAACTTTATACTGGTTAATATTACGGTCGGCGATTACATAATCAAACCTATTGAATTTTAACCATTTCAAAATATAAGTGATATTCTTAAAGAAAGTATTCAATGATATATTTGAATTTCTGTTCAATTGACGTAAAACTGGATTTAAAATTTCTTTGGAGATTTTCAAGTACCGATTTTGAAATCCATTCCTCACCGTTCCTGAGGTGAATGTAGCATTATTTATAATTGAATTTAGTTGCAAAATTGAAATTGGTTTATTATGTCGTTTTTTTGAAATGTCGCGACCGGATTTATTATCAGGAGAATGTCGCGTTTTCGTACTTGAATTTATAGTCTGCGGTTGTATTGGTTTATTGTGAAGTTCCATCAATTCGCCTCTCAACCCCGATAAGGATACCTTTGCGCTATTATTACCGGAATTAACATTTCTAGATTTTTTGAACCTTAATTTATCTACTCCCACCAGCGTAGCAGGCGTTGTCCCAGAGTTTACAGCACTTGCCCCTCGAATTACATTCAATCGTTTTTCTTTAATCATACGTTGGCGATTTGCCTCCCGCTGTATGTGATAAGCTTCAAATGGATCTTGATACTCATTCTTCCTCTTCTTCTTATCTGTCATTAATTGTATCGAGCTTCTAAACTATGGGTGTATTGAATCAAATTTAGGGAGTGGCATGAATGACGCGTTGGCAAAATGTGGGAATTCTAAAATAATTCTTGTCGTTCATCAAAACCTGCATATAGAACGGATGCAGAAAAATGCGTAACACCGTGCATCCGTAAATCTGCAGTAACTAAACCCTAAAAGAGACGAGGCAACGAGTTTTATATAAGAAGTGACCAACGCTCCCTTTTCAACTTGAACAAAAGAAAGAAAATGTTATACAAATTTATCAACGCAAAAGATGACTGAACTTAATGGAATTCTTGATGTTGGAGATAAGGACCCCGTGTACGAGGGCATGGATTCGAATTTTGCTACACAGATTCAAGATTTGGCAAGATCGATTGCAACGGTGGAAGACTGTGACGATTTCATGGAGGCAAAATCAACGGCAAATATTGAGTTAATGCGCGCACTTACGACTATGTCTGATGCCAAAGGTGAAGTTCCTATGTCTGAAGAAAAAATTGATCCCAAACTAGATCCGTATTCTTCTGATTTTGATGCAAAGTATTGGGTTGTGAACATGAGGAGACTTTATGATTCGGACCCTGACTTCTACAGACCTGTTTCTATGGGGGTAGCATACAGGAACTTAAGAGCTGTAGGAATTGCTACAGAATTCGATTATCAAACTACTTTTAGTAATGGATTCTTCAAAGTTGCAAGTAAAGGATTCCGTAAGATATTCGGTTTCAACCAAGGTGAAACCTTCGATATTTTGAAGCCCATGGATGGACTTATCAGACCAGGTGAAGTCACTGTAATTCTTGGAAGACCAGGTGCAGGGTGTTCGACATTTTTAAAGTCAATCGCTAACCAAACTTATGGTTTTAATATTGACAAGGGCTCAATTATTTCTTATGATGGAATGACACGAAAGCAAATAGCTAGACAGTTTCGTGGCGATGTTGTTTATTGTGCCGAAACTGAAACTCATTTTCCTCAATTGACGGTAGAGACTACTTTAGAATTTGTTGCCAAAATGAAAACTCCGCAAAATAGGCCAGTAGGAATAACTAGAGAAGCATACGCCAAGCATATGGCAGCAGTTATGATGGCAACGTATGGATTGAGCCATGCAAGAAACACAAAAGTCGGGAATGATTATATCAGAGGAGTTTCTGGAGGTGAGAGAAAGAGAGTTTCTATCGCTGAGGTATCTTTGGTTCAGGCTGCTTTGCAATGTTGGGATAATTCTACTAGAGGTTTAGACTCCGCCACAGCTTTAGAATTCATAAAAGCTTTGAAAGTTTCCGCAACCATTATGGATGCTACACCGTTGATCGCCATTTATCAATGCTCCCAAGATGCGTTCGATTTGTTCGACAAGGTCATTGTACTCTACGAAGGTTACCAAATTTACTTTGGTAGTAGCAAGAAAGCTAAACAGTACTTTCAGAATATGGGATATATCTGTGCTCAACGTCAAACAACTGCAGATTTCTTAACCTCATTGACAAATCCTGTTGAAAGAATAGTAAAAGAAGGTTACGAAAAGAAAGTGCCAAGAACACCCGAAGAGTTCTATTCTTGTTGGCAAAACTCAATTGAAAAGACAGAGTTAGATAAAGAGATAGATGAGTATCTTTCAACGACTAAGGATGGCAGCAACTTCAATGGCTTTTCTCTTGCACACACAACTAAACAGGCTAATCATCTCCGGGCCAAGTCTCCATGTACTGTATCTTTCCCCATGCAAGTTCGATACATTTTGGGACGGAATTATGAAAGAATCAAGGGCGATCCAACACTTTTTTTATTCGGTATTGTTGGAAACTTACTGATGAGTTTGATTATATCTTCTATTTTCTATGGAATGAAGAATAACACGGCGTCATTTTTCACAAGAACTTCGGCGATGTTTTTTGCAGTGTTGTTCAATGCATTCTCATCACTTCTTGAAATCTTTTCTTTATATGAAGCCCGTCCCATAGTTGAAAAGCATAAGAAGTTTGCTCTCTATCACCCGTCAGCCGATGCTTTGGCGTCTATTGTTACAGAGTTGCCTGCCAAACTTTTTGCTTGTTTGACTTTTAATTTAACTTTGTATTTCATGGCCAATTTTAGACGGGATCCAGGTCATTTCTTTTTCTATATTTTGGTAAACTTTTCAGCAACGTTGGCCATGTCCCACATATTTAGGACTATAGGTGCGTCGTTCAAGACATTGTCACAAGCTATGACCCCTGCAGCAGTATTTTTATTGTCCCTTACTATTTTCACTGGATTCGTTATTCCAACCCCAAAAATGCATGGATGGTGTCGCTGGATTAACTATATTGACCCAGTTGGTTATGCTTTTGAAGCTTTAATTTCAAATGAGTTTAGCGGTCGTCAATTTGAATGTTCAAGTTTTGTTCCTAGTGGACCAACATATCCAACTTCAGGCAACTCAATAATATGTAACGTTGTTGGTGCTGTTCCAGGACAATCTTTTGTACAAGGGTCGACATATATTAGCTTATCATTTGAATATTATGCGAAAAACAAATGGAGAAACTGGGGTATTTTAGTTGGCTTTATATTCTTCTTTCTTGGTATTTACTTAATCCTTTGTGAATTTAATCAAGGAGCAATGCAGAAGGGGGAAATATTGTTGTTCCAAAAAAAATCTATATTTAAAAGACTAAAGAAAGCCGTACCTGGAGATGTGGAATCAGGTACAATTGGAGGCTTGTTTCAAGATGACTCCGAATCAAACGACGACTCGAAGAACTTAATGGAGAATATTCCTGTCCAAACTAATATATTCCACTGGAGAAACTTAACTTATCATGTGAAAATTAAAAAGGAGGATAGAATAATTTTGAATGATATTGATGGCTGGGTACGCCCGGGTCAGGTGACGGCTTTAATGGGAGCATCTGGGGCTGGGAAGACTACGTTATTAAATGCTTTATCCGAGAGATTAACCACTGGTTTAATTACATCGGGAACTCGTATGGTTAATGGGCATACTACAGATAGTTCATTTCAAAGGTCGATAGGCTATGTTCAGCAGCAAGATTTACATCTACAGACTTCTACAGTTAGAGAGGCGTTGAAGTTTGCAGCCTATTTGCGTCAACCAGCATCAGTACTGAAAGCGGAAAAGGATAGGTACGTGGAACATATAATCCAATTACTAGAAATGGAGAAATATGCAAATGCAGTTGTTGGTGTATCGGGTGAAGGATTGAACGTAGAACAAAGAAAGAGATTAACTATTGGGGTAGAGTTGGTAGCCAAACCAAAGTTGTTGGTTTTTTTGGATGAACCGACTTCCGGACTTGATTCTCAGACAGCTTGGTCTATTTGCAAGCTTATTCGAAAATTAGCAGACCATGGACAAGCCATTTTATGTACAATACATCAACCATCATCAATTTTACTTGAAGGTTTTGACCGACTTCTCTTTTTACAAAAAGGTGGTGAAACTGTTTACTTCGGAGAATTAGGAAAGAATTGTCAAACATTGATTGACTATTTCGAGAATGCTGGTGCTGCTCCTTGCCCCCCAGAAGCAAATCCAGCGGAGTGGATGCTTGAGATTATAGGTGCCGCCCCAGGATCGGTAGCGAACCAAGATTATTTTCAAGTTTGGAGATCATCACAAGAATATGAAACCTTGCATAGTGAATTAGATGCCATGGAAAAGGAGCTAATTAATGTTCCAGTAGAAAAGTCAGATGAAGATCTTAAAGAGTTTGCAGCTTCTTTCTGGACTCAATATGTTTATGTTACTCAGCGTGTACTTGAACAATATTGGAGGACACCATCATACACTTATTCTAAAGTTTTAATGTCCATCTTTGCTGCAATTTTTAACGGTTTCGCATTTTATAATGCTGATAAATCTCTCCAAGGTTTGCAGAATCAAATGTTTTCAGTGTTTATGTTCCTTGTTGTATTTCAAACGTTGGTCCAACAATATTTACCTCATTTTGTTTCTCAGAGAGATTTATACGAAGTTAGAGAAAGACCATCGAAGACTTTTTCCTGGTATGCTTTTATTGCGGCACAAATCACTGTTGAAATTCCTTGGCAAGTTGGTGCAGGGACTCTTTCATTCTTTTGTTGGTACTATCCGGTAGGCTTATACAACAATGCTGTCCCCACAAACTCTGTTCTTGAGAGGGGAGTGACTATGTGGATTGTTGTTGTTTTGTTCTTTATCTACACTTCAACAATGGGACAATTGTGTATCTCATTTATCGAACTAGCTGACAATGCTGCCAATTTGTGCTCCTTATTATTTACAATGTGCTTAACTTTCTGTGGGGTTTTGACTTCCTCGGACGCTATGCCTAGATTTTGGATTTTCATGTACAGGTGTAATCCATTCTCTTATATGGTATCTGCAATTTTATCTGTGGCTCTAGCTAATTCCGATGTAAAATGTGCTGCTACTGAGCTTTTGAAATTTGTTCCAACTGCAGGGATGACTTGTGGGGAATACATGCAAGATTATATTGGTGTAGCGGGAGGATACCTAGTTGACCCTCAGGCTGTGGGTCAATGTCAATATTGTACTATTGCAGAGACAAATACATTTTTGCTGGCTGTTGGTTCGGTATACACAAGAAGAGCTCAAGATATTGGTATTTTTTCAGCATTTATCATCATCAATATGATCGGAACTGTATTCTTTTACTGGCTAGCAAGAGTTCCAAGGGGAAGTAAGATGAAAATGAAGTAGTCGATAAGTCTACGTGTACTTCCTACGTTATTCTTTATATTTTATGTTTTACATTTTACATTCAAATACCGTATGTTTTAGTGTAGGTAAACGGCATATTCGAAGCCAAGTGATTTATAGTGCCAAATTTTCCAATACGATGAATTGTATTATGATACGATTAAATCCTTTTTTCTAAAAACATCTAAGCTATTAAGCAAAATGTTGTATGGATTACTTAACAGACAATACCTTGGCACCACACACATACCCACCTGTATATAACATATCGGGCGAAGGATATCTTCTGCTTCCGCTATCCGAGGACGGGATAGGGCTGAAGTTTAGCACTTGTGCATATATAGTTGCTTCGGAAAGTGATCGTCTTTAGTCAAACTCAAGAGACTATAAATAAGGTTACACTTTACGTGCCAAGATGTTAAATATTCTAGGTGGCATTTTTGACAGAAAGAATCGCACCATTTTGATAACGGCATTATTATTATCTATGTAAAATGTGCTTTAACACAAGATTTGGATCATTATCAAATAGAGAAACTTATACGTAAACGTCCTGAACCCATTTTACTTCGTAAGTTGTCAGAAAATAAACAATCTAGTCATGTGAGACTTTGAACGCAATTTCGTGCGCCAATCGGCTTTAGATAGATTGCGCCACGTGACTTCTACATCAAGCCTTCCACTTATCATATCCGCGGAGGTGATCTGAATGTCATACATTTTTCTCATAAACACATACAATGTCATCCTGGGATCAAACTAAGTTTTCGTTAACCTCGCGCTCACGAGGATCCTACCTCATCACCAATGAAGTCCTTAGCAAAGTTCCACAAATCAAGGAGTATGAAATTGGTCAATTACATTTATTCTTGCAACATTCATCGGCCGGAATAACCCTCAATGAGAATTGTGACCCTGATGTGAGAGAAGATATGACTAGTAGTTTGAATAGGATTGTACCAGAAGGGGACTTTTACATTCATGCAGATGAAGGTCCGGATGATATGCCTGGGCATGTCAAATCCACCCTTGTTGGAACTTCTCTCACTATTCCCATTACCAATGGACACTTAGCATTGGGAACTTGGCAAGGCATTTGGCTTTGTGAGTTCAGGGACTACATGCATACTCGTAAAATTGTTGCTACTATCAATGGTTTGAAAAGGAAGTAAGATGCCCCAAAATCCTGTTTCTATATTACAATTCTATATGCGCCACTCCTATTGTTCAAATATATTCACACTGTAGTCTCTCAATATTATTGATCGGTCTTTTTCTAAGTCCTGCAATTCAGAGCTAAATTCGTCAATCTGTCTGGAAACGTCGTCTTGAACCAAGTTCCACCATCCTCCATGTCGAAGACATTTTCGTTTTTCGGCAAGGCATATGTTACCCTGGAACCATATATCGTCCCGTTCCTGATCATTGTAGAAACGTATCACCTCATCCACCTGATCCTTAAAATCTTCATATATATTCTCGGAATTGACAAGTTTTTGGATTTGAGGCTTATTTTGCTCAAAGTATTTCATCCAGGTCTTATGTTCAGTATTAAGGTCTTTATCATATCCACACAAGTCGAATTTCTTTGGTTTTTTACTCTTGGATTTCTTTGTAGTGAGAGTGTCATCTACCTCTTCCAGATGAGTAAGTTTTTCATTAATAACCTTGGTTTTTTCTCTTATTCTTGCTAGATATGCGTCCTTGATATTGTATACGTCAATGAGAGCAAGGACAATTTCAATGGCATTATTAATTTTTTCAAGTTCCTTTTGAACTTTCAAGGGGAACTTAGTTAAGTCCTTGGGGTTTTCTTGAAGCGCAACAACTTCTGGAAGCTCCGGAAATGTGGTACCTAATTGTAGTAACTTCTTATGTGGTTCATCCTGATTTTCAGTACAGTGCGTTAACACAGAAGATACAAGTTCCGGTTTAATATCATATTCCAAGGAACGACTTATAAGATTGATCAGTATGAACTTGATACCACATTCTTCAGAGCAGTACTTTGAGTTGATTTCCGCTCTCACTGGTTGATAGCAACTTGGTAGTCTACACTTGCGCTTCCACCTTGTTCTTCCTGTTTCTTTCCAACGACAAAACTTACAAAAGAATTTGGAAATAAGCAGTGAATATTTCGCATTCAAATTCATACATTTGAAGTGGAACCATTCGTCGCACCCATCACAGCTTATCATGAGTTCTCCACCATGGTCTGGCTTTCGGCATATACAGAATACTTCCTCACTGTTCAAGTTAAATTTGGGGGCACTAGTAAACTTTTTGTATTGTTTATTAATTTCATCATTTTCATCGTTGTTCTCCTCCATATCTTCTCCCTCATCCGAGCGATTCGAGGGTACTGTCGTCCAAATATCATCAAAACGATCATGTGCAGTTTCAGAAGATCCTATGACATGCTCTGACACCAGTTCAAGTTTCAACTTTTTCGGCCCTGCTATATCACTGCCACTGGCCTCCTCAAGAGATCTCTTGTGGTGATGTTCTGGCTCACTATCCGACGATTTATCAGTGCTCACTGCAGACAGAGGCAACTCTGTTTCATCACCAGATCTAACTATGTCTCCTTCCATAGCAATATTTTATTACTATCTATTTTATGTTCTTTATTTATCAGATCTACAATATTTACATCCCTATGCTTATGATTATCTAAGAAAAAAGACTGCAGGTAAAGACGTACTGTATATTCAATTAGAGACTGCAGACAAGCATTTATTCATTTACTCCTCATTTGGCAACACATATGGATGAATGTGACCCAAGAAGGCTGACTTTGTTGATACAGTTTTTATCAGTATGATGTAAAAAAATTGTTATTTTGACTCCTGATCTGGTCATGTGAATCTCACCAATATACCCTTCAGGGATTCAGCTAATTGTCTTACGATGTCACTCTAATAATCTGATTCATGTTATCTATTTTACTATACTTTTACATTTATACGAGTATTTCATTCCTTCATTTCAACATCTGAGCCCGCCTTTTCTTCATCCTCTTCTTCAATTTCAACCTCTTCAAAAATCGTCTTTGCTCTCCAAACCTCAATTAAATTATCATCTCCACAACTTGCCACAAGACCCTTGATCAGTGGATGCAAATCAACATCATTGACTCTGTTGGTATGTCCACCGTGGATGAATCTTAAACACGGATCAGTCACCTTTGTTTGCTTCTTCTTACCAGCATTGGTGACTGTGGCCACTTCATGACCTCCACCATTTTCAGAGATTGTAGGATATGTGAAATCTTCATCGATAGAGCTAATATCCCACAGGATCACTCTTTTATCTAAACCCCAAGAAAGGAACACAGATGGGTCAGTAAGAGCGTCCCACTTTACCCCTATGACACTATCGTTATGACCAAAGAATTTTCTAATTGGTTGTAAAGGATTACGTAAATCGTACAACGATATGATATTATCTTTACCACCAGTGATAAATAAAGTGGGAATTTCTGGGTGGAAGGCCACCGCATTCTGGATGTGACTAGTTGTTATCTTGATAGCAGGGTTGGCTTGATTGGTAGTGGAAGTGGTGGTCACCGGTTTTGATTTCAAATCATGGATTTGAGTGGTATAGTCATCAGATACAGATGCAAATATTCCATTGCCATTACGATTATATGAAATATCATTCACTACAGCTCCATGAGTTCTGAATACTTGGATAGGGGTTGAAGGTTTTGAGACATCCCACAAGGCAATTTGTGAATCATTTGCTCCCGATAAGAACAGAGAGTCATCAATCCATTCCAATGCATACCCTTCTAACTTGTGGTATTTGAAGCTTGTTGGAGCGCTTATAGTGGCACCAGTGTTCTTCAAATCATATAAATGAACGACTCCTTCATTATCAAAAGTGATAGCCTTTTCTCCATTGGGGGACAATTTAATACGATTGATTTCACCCTTGTGTTTCCAAGTGCTCAACACTTTAAAGCTGTAGTTGGCTGGGGTATCCACGTTGGAAAGTGGTACAGGAACTCCTTGAGAATTTGGAGGCAAGATTGACAGAAAATTTGGAGCCAAAGTACTTGGGACATTGAACAGAACAAGCTTTAAATAATCTTGGGATGATTGAGAAGTGTTTGTTCCAATCAACAATTTGACATCTATGGAGTTCTTATTATCGGCAACACCATAGTCTGGGAGCCATTGTAAGGAGAGTGATGGGAAATCCAAGGCATGTGTATGGATTGTATCATAAAGTAAAGGAACGGTTTTCTTCCAAATTTTAAACTCTTCATTATTAATTTTTTCCTTTTGTTGATGTTCTTCAAGGATTTCAAGCTCAGCTTGTGCTAATGGGTTCTCAACTGTCATAATCGAACAAGGAATAAATTGAAAGAATATAAGGGTTTTCGTTTGATATGTAAGGGGCTATGAAAGGACGAAGATATGATTGTAATGATTATGTTTCGCACAAATGTACTATACTGGTATTTACACATGCAGTGTGTAAAAATGAGGGAGGCAACATTCTAAGGAGGATAGAGTTATGATGCATTGAATTCTGTTGGATAATCGATCAATTGAGTTGGAAGACATCCTCTAGCTGTCATACATTTACAATCTATATCTACTCGATAGATTTTTTTAAATATTTATTTCATGATATACATTATTAATTTTATATGGTGGTTAAATCATCTTCTTCTGAGTCTTCTTCAACAAAATACAGAGAAAATGCATAAACGGTACCATAGATAAGCATACCTCCTATGATGGTCAAGATGGTGGCAGTTGTGGTGAGAATACGAGAATGATGGAGAAGAACAGGAAGGTAGAATCCTGTTACCACTAGAAATGCTGATAAAAACAGACCAAATTCCTTTATTGCATTACCCAGTGAAGCTACAGAAGGATCAAAATTGAAGTCATAATCGCCATTCTCAGAAACTGCCTTAGATATAACCACTGGTACATGTGCTACGGCAAATATGATCCCATTGATTATGGGGAACCAATTGCCATATATACCGGCCAACACCACAAGGAGAAACCCCATGGATAAAACGATGGATAACCCAATGATTTTATTTAATGGGTTCCCCTTGAACGAAGCAGTCGAGTTCATATTTTTGGGGTAAGGGGAGAGATATATAAGACCATATAATCGTTATCAATATTTGAATAGATAGAGTTAAATTGTGTAAGATTGGGCGAAAGACTGCAGGTAAGCCAAGATATCAAACATATCAGGGCCGTTAATACTACACACACTCATTCATTTATTTACTACTCAAAAGGGCCAGTTAGAACCCAATTTATTCTGGTAATTCATATAATCCTTTCTATTGATGTCAGAACTTATAAACCCCACAATCGTAAAGACTGCAAAGTCATTGAAACTGCCGCCTGGATATGAACTTTCTACTGATACCTCATCCACTAAGAAGAACTCAACCATAACTGCCACCAAGAAAGACCCGTTACAGATTGCCGAGCTCAAGGTGAAAAAAGCATGGGAGGTTGCATTGGGGCCCGCCAAGTCAATTCCTATGAACTTGATTATGAGTTACATGACGGGAAATTCTCTTCAAATCATCCCAATCATGATGACATTCATGCTCTTGTTGAATCCACTCAAGGCCATATTCTCTGAAACAAACCTGAGTTTCCGTAACTTGACTACACCGGAAAACGGTACCGATATCCTCCTTGCCAAGATAGTGTTTGTTATCTGCCAGTTGGGATGTGCTGGGGTTGGGGTGTGGAAACTCAATAGCATGGGCCTTATTCCCAACAACAGGAGCGACTGGCTCGCGTGGGAAGATGCTGTAAACGTTAAAGAATGGAGTTCTATATTTTGAAGTGTATATATATATATATAATAAAAATTCTATGTACATACTTATCTCGTACTAATTGGGTGGGCAGACATATATCTATTGCCAGCAGTCTCGTTCTACATTGCTAATGACTCCGTATTAGGATCTAGTCTGAATGGATTGTTCTTGAAAAATAAACTTAAAGGTTCTTATTCCTTGGACTCCAGTACCTCTTCCTCCTTTTTCTCTTCTGCTTCTTCATCATTTATTTCCTCTTTATCTTCCTCCTTAACACCACTCTTCTTAACTCTACTTTCACCATCTTCATCTTCACCGAATGTCTTATCGAAAATTTGTTGCAAATTAAACTTCTCCAACTCATCGTAACCATCAACAACACTCATTCCAATATTACTTTTGTACCCTTCAATCATGATCAATTTATCATAGTTCTTCAAATCAACCTTATGACCATGGTCTTGTCCAACACATTCAGCAACTCTCTTGATGATGTCACCCTTGGACAATGCATTAAAGTTACGCTTGGATACCTGGATGGCAAACTTCACTGGCTCTTGTCCCTCTTCCTTATGAAAGTGTGGCTTCAACACTCTTCGGGCCAACTTCATCAACTCTTCAATAGTAGGCAGAGCTGACATCGTGATTGGAGTCAATCTCTGGGTATATCTGGTAGTCTTTTGGGCCAGAGTAGCACACTCTTTACAGATATTCTGCACCAAGGTTTCTGGTTCAATAGGTCTTTTGGTCTTGATGAATACAAGACATTCACATCCAAGATCAATGGGCTTAAGGAATTCTTTCTTGGAGTCCTTTGTTTCCTTAAGTTCGCCAAGTTCCTTTTGGATCTGTTCTTCGATCGAGAGTTCTTTCTTCGTCTCTTCCTCTTCGCCCTCTTCTTCAACCTTACTCAAGTCAAAGTATTGTTCAATCTTCTCACTGAAAAGATTCATCAACTCTTTACGACATTGTTGTTCCTTACCTCTGGTACAAGTAGCGTAGACTCCGCTGGTAGCAGGGTCGATAAACCCTCCAACCTTAAACTTCTTGGCCTTTCCCTTGGACTGTCCGTCACCCTTTCTCTTACCCATGGTAAATAGTTTCTGTGTTGTCTAATATCTTTCAATTTCTGTCATTTTTCTTCTTTCTCTTTTTTTTTTTGTTGATATGCGAAATCTTCTTCTCCACCTTGCAAGAAACTCATTCTACAATTGACGATATATGGGCGCATATTCACACATTGATGAAGATAGAAGAATTGCCGGTAGATGTATGGTGTAGGATCATCGAGATTGGGCACTTGGATCCTCAAGATGTGATCAATTTAAACTGTACAAGCCAGCTGATCCGATCGGTGTTATCCTCATCAAACGGTGTCATTTGGAACACCCTCTGTTATAAGACCTGGGAACACATGTACGATGACTATGAGATGGCTTACTATCCATTGAACCAATATTCTGGGTTTGAAAGATGTAGAGAATATATGAAGAGGAGAATGGAATTTTCTTATCATCTATCACTTTATGACCCTGAACATAAATATAACATTGCCATCTTTCTAGATAGATTCAGAAATCCTGTCTATATCCCCATAATCCTTGAATACATTGATGAATGCCGCATGCAATGGGGGGTTCTTGATGCTGGAATGGACGACTTTGAAAGTACTCCTGACATTAATCTTGATCTTGCAAAGATATCATTAGCACAGAATATCCTACTTGCCCTAAACTTCAATCAAGTAGTATCCTTTTTGCTCGAGTTTTCCACTCGAAAGCTGGATAATTCAGGTACTCCTCCTCCATTAGACCAATATGAAATGTTTTGGTTCAAAATTAGTCTTTATGATCGCTCATGTAACCAGTTATTGCACCGTAGACGAACCATGTTGAATGAAATTGCCACGAACTTACATCAAAAGATTTATGTTAAAGAGTTACTCTATGGAACAGGGAATTGCAAATTGGATCAATCTACAAATACTATACATTTGATTGATACAAAGGCATATGTAAGACTTATCAAGAAAATAATAGCCGCTTCGATGGCTGGTGGGAGATTCCAACTACACATTGAGAATGAGCTGCTGCAGACACTGCCTTATACCACAGAATATCTTCGAGACTACTACTTAGAGGATTACAATGTCCTCCGAATATACGCAGGGGAGGTCATGGGTCATCCGCAACTCATATATTCGATTCTTATCAAGGTGATAACTAAGTTTCTTTCACCGTTCAAAATCTTAATTGACGGTCAACAGGATGACATTTCAAAGAGTATCTACATGACCAAAACCTTCTTACAAATAAAGGATAAATATTTGTTTATACCAGATAAGGCTCAACGGACACAAACGGTGGAATTGCATACCCGCCGAGAATTGGAGACCTATTTAAACAACAATAGTAGTAACAACCACACTCTGGCTGGTTCCGAGTACCTTCAATCTTTTTTCAATCCACTCAGTCTTGAACTCATGGCTGGCGTATACGTACAGCTGAATATGCTGGGTCACGAGACTTCGTTTACCTCTATATTTGGCCGGCATGAGCTTGGCACTTCTGGAGACAATATGACCCTCATGAACATATGGTTCAAACATTCACATCAAGGTATGCTCACTGATGATCATAAGTTCTTTTCTGACGTGTATAAATTAGTCAAACTGGAACGAGAACAAATCCAAGGATATCGACAATTCATGGAAGTTTCTGAATTTGAGGTACATTTCAATCACCTCAACAATTTTATTCATTTCAATGGACTCTACCGATCTTTGTATCACTTGGGCCCTACAGGAACACTTCCTGGTGGTGTATTGGGCCGTTACTTCAAGGTGAAAAATGATCAGGCCCCATTTACTAGTACTTTCGACTTGCATAATGAGGTAAATTCTCGTATTGCATGGGGTAGAATCTTTCAGAATTCGAGGGTTAAAAGAGTAGAAATTGAGCCAGTTCCCACATTACCTGCGAGAGGATCATTTGTATATAATACTCGGTTTCTCGTATATGGGGTCGTGGTTGGCCATGTAGCACCACGAGTATCAGGGGGCGATGCATACGTCAAGGTTTATACTAATGCAAGAACGCTTGAGATCCATAGTGAACGGTCAATAGTTAAAATTGATGGTAGGAACGATCTTATACGAGAATTTATAGAATGTTGTGGGATGGATGTGCTAGGATTACTTTTTGTTAAGGGATACAATGGGAATGAGTTTGAAATGATGGGATATGGAGTATGAGTTCTAAGAGGAAACATACAGAAAATCTATACAGAATGTAAATAGGCAGCAAAAATATAGAAGATTTGCTTCGGGAGATTACAGTAGAATTTACAAGATAGTGGTGAAAGACCGTGTACCATTCGGTAACTAAGTAAGAATAGCCCACAAAGTTGGAGAAAAAAGGACAATATGTAGATAAGAATCTAGTATTTTACTTTGGATACTACGTAGGTGGTCTTGCGAAAGAAAACTGTTGTAATTATCGAGAATAACCAACTTCCAATGGTAAATTGTTCCATTATTTGGGGACCGAAACATCAACCAGAGATTTGAGCTCTATGCAGCAAAGTATGCACTTGAATTTGTTTAATAGAAATGCTCAATGAAGTCGCATCCTAGCTATAACTTTGTGACCAACTCAGTATTTGCCTTCACTAAATTGGCAAAGTAGTGGGAAATAAACGGTTGGCTCACTCGGGAAAGCCGGTGGTTCTGACTATTTTTTTATTCAAAATAAATTTATTTAATTTGTTCTTTTCAAAGGCTTGTAACCAGTAGAGAAAAAGGGGTTACTGTGACATTTAGTCACGTTAATGGACATGAAAGTTGCTATAGGAATATTCAAGCGGATAAACTCGCCAATAGAACATTCAAAATTGATATAGGGTCTGTTATTTTGGTAATTTCCTATTTAACTATAAATATACAGCTATATAGTACTAATTGAGGTGAATAAGGAATAATTTATAAAATATATTATATCAAATGATTCTAGGGCAATTACCCTTTCTATATTACCCCCCTATCCCGTATAATGTGTAAGATCTAGAGGTTTAGAGCCTGATTTGTGTTGGTTGCGAGCCCGGCGTGGCGTGTTCCTGCATCTTGGGATATAGTCATAAAGTAGAACAAAGGGAGAGAGATAGATAGAACTTTCCTTTGATCTCTTTAATACTAATATCATAGTCACAAGAATGCTTAGAACATTGCGTAATGTTTCTGGAAGAGCTCTAAGAATTCCCAAGTTGGTAAGGAACCAACACACGGTGGTTGTGGGAATTGATCTTGGAACGACGAACTCTGCAGTTGCAGTAGTTGAGAATGAAGAGGCCAAAATATTGGAGAATGAAGATGGTTCAAGAACTACACCATCTGTTGTGGCATACACCAAGGACCAAGGAATACTTGTAGGAGCTCCTGCCAAGAGACAAGCCGTGGTGAATCCTCAGAACACATTTTTTGCTACCAAGAGACTCCTTGGTCGGAAGTATGCTGATGAAGAAGTTCAAAGAGATTTGAACAATACACCATACCTGGTGGTCCCACATGACAATGGTGACGCTTGGTTACAAACGGTTGATGGTAAGACATTACCTCCATCACAAATCAGTGGGTTTATCCTTCAAAAAATGAAATCTGTAGCGGAACAACAATTGGGACAAAAGCTTAAACATGCAGTTGTGACCGTTCCTGCTTATTTCAACGATTCACAACGTCAAGCTACGAAGAATGCCGGGAAAATCGTTGGACTTGATGTTGTTCGGGTAATTAATGAGCCCACAGCAGCAGCCTTGGCGTATGGGATTGATAAGAAACAACTGGACGGTGTGGTTGCAGTTTTCGACTTGGGAGGTGGTACGTTTGATATTTCCATCTTGGATATTGAAGATGGAGTATTTGAAGTCAGAGCAACCAATGGGAACACACATTTAGGAGGAGAAGATTTGGATGTCATTTTATTACATAAGATTCTTGACCATTTCAAAGAACAATCAGGAGGGATTGACCTTAGACGTGATAGACTTGCAGTTCAAAGAGTTCGTGAGGCTGCAGAAAGAGCGAAAATCGAACTCTCCACCGTAAAGACTACCGAGATCAATATCCCATTCATATCAGGCGATAAACATATCAAGATGACATTGACAGAAGATCAATTAGACGAAATGGCTGCAGGTCTTATTGCCAAGACCATTGATCCCGTTAAGAAATGTATCCGTGACGCCGAGTTGAAGGTCCGTGACATTGATGAAGTGTTGCTTGTTGGGGGGATGACTAGAATGCCTAAAATCAGAACCACGGTTGAAGAATTGTTTCAAAGGAAGCCAAGTACAGCAGTGAATCCAGATGAGGCTGTTGCCCTTGGAGCTGCCATTCAAGGTGCTGTCATCAGTGGACAAATTAAGAATGTAGTATTATTGGATGTGACTCCCTTATCGCTTGGAATTGAAACTTATGGTGGGATCTTCAGTCCTCTCATTCCCCGTAATAGTGCGGTTCCAGTGAATAAAGAACAAATTTTCTCAACTGCTGTGGATGGTCAAACTGGAGTAGAAATTCGTGTTTATCAAGGTGAACGGTCCTTGGTTAGAGACAACAAAATGATTGGAAATTTCAAATTATCTGGGATTCCAATTGCACTTAAGGGGGTCCCACAGATTGCTGTTTCATTTGCCATTGATGCCGATGGTATTATCAATGTAAGTGCCACAGACAAAACTCCTGGTGATCCTAACTCACCTTCCGATGCTGCTGCTGCAAACACTGTGTCCATACAGGTTTCTGCTGAGACAGGATTGACTGAGGAAGAAGTGCAACAAATGGTACTGGACAGTGCTGCAAACTCTCAAAGAGATGCTGAAACGAGAAAAAAGGTTGAACATGCCACCCGGGCAGACATTCTTTGTCTGGATACTGAAAATGCATTATTCAGATTTGGAGAAGAAATGGAGGATTCAGAAGTTGAACAAATCTCTTCAATGGTAGCCAAACTTCGTGTCAAGATAAACGATGTTCGTGAGGGAATCAGAGATCACCCAGTACAAGAAATCAATGACGAAGTAAATGCGATCCAGAAGGTGTGTCTTGAAGCCATTCAAAAGGTTGCCATTAAGCAACAAAAGGAACAAGAAAAGAAGTGATGACGGCCACAATCGTCGTATGTAAATAGATGTAATATTAGGAATATATATATATATATATATACATATTCATGACCCAGTGAATTTTGGATTTGTAAGGTGGATGTTGAAACGATTCAATCTGCTCCAATGGGGCTTCTACAATTCTCTCTACTTTAATTTTATATTCATCTAAACTATTCGTCGGTTTCCATTCTGTCTTCAGCAGCAGTTTCGGTCGTCTCAGGAGCAGTTGAAGTGGCATCTGTTTGGGCGACTTCAGCAGCGGCGTCTTCGTCATCATCGTCGCCAGAGCTTCTATTTCTGGTGTTTGAAACGGTATCCAACTTGTCCAACCATTGTTGCACGTCTTCGTCATCATATGTAGTGAAATCGATATCCTTTCCTACTATACTGACAGATGTGTTCTTTAAAGTAAGCTCCACGTCCTGCGCCAAGGTATCTCTCAAGGCATTAAGACCATGCACGATCAACTCTTCCACGGAGTCCACTGCGCGAACAGTCTCCAAATTACGTTCCAAGTAGGTTCTAGCAGCTTGGGAACGGGCACCAATGGCAGCACCATAGTATTCCAACACAGAACCAGAAGGTTGGAACTCGTAGAGATGAGCACCGGTCTCGTCGTAACCTGCAACCAACAATCCCACACCGTATGGTCTAGAACCATAAGATTGGGTGTTTTCTTGGGCCTTGTCAGCAATAGAGAACACGGCCTTGGAGGTCAGTAACGGTCTGTTAAAAATCATTTTGGAGGTCATGGCTTGCTTACGAAGGTAGTTTGACAACACACGGGCATCTGGGGCCAATCCAGCCAATGCAATACCCATGTGATCATCTACCTTGATAATTTTCTTTTGGTATGATCCCAATTCTTCAGCATTTCTCTTGAGGGCAACAAGCACTACATGGTTTTTAGAAACAAGACCAACAGCGGCACTGCCCTGTTTGATGGCCTCTAAGGCATACTCCACCTGGAACAATCTTCCTGTGGGGGAGTACGTCACTGAGTCATTGTCGTAATTATTTCTGAACATGATATATTGGCGTTGAATTGAGTATTGATTCTCTTTAAATATATGAATATGTATTGCCCTTTATTGATAAACGCCACCAGAAACAACGATGGGAGTGCAGGAAATCAAAAAGTTGGTCAACGGAAAAATAAAGAGGAAGTTTGCAAATCGCACACTAAGACACTAAAAAAAATATACATGGATATATACTTACATCCCATTAAGATCCACATAAACATGTTTACAACCATTGGAAGATCCATACCAAGAAGACACTATTCGGTCAAGTTCCCGCAAACATCAGCTCCAGCACCAACTGTGGGACAGTTCCGTAATCCACTTTTGCATTGTTTCCTATTAGCGTCATCCACATACATTGTCCTTCATACAGTGTGGCTATCATTGGAGTATGAACATAGAGAAAAAGAACTCAAGAAGAGTACAGAGTTATTGGAAAGTAGAATCCAAACCTATGTTGATGCCCGGTCTACAGCTGACAAGAGTAAGAAATGGTGGAAGTTCTGGTAATACACTCATAGGAATTAAACTTGTTCGTGGGAAACTAAGATCTACATGTTCCTCGGCTACTTGTAAATAAAAGAGGTATCCATTTATTGGGTACTAGATCATAAATCAGTCTTTCTAAACTTACTACTAAATTTAGCAAACTTGGATGCAGCAGATGTTGAAAGGATCAGTTGTGAAGGCAGACCAGCACGTGCTGGAGACGCAGTCTCGCTACGAATAGAATCATCATTAAAGGAATCATCACCTTCTTCAAGTTGCATTTTCGAAATCAACTTGACACCATCTTCAAAACGAACACGGTCGAATCGACGCATTCTTAATGTGGGGTTCTTAATATAATCATCGTAATTGTCTAGTTTCAATATATCAATGCATTGTCTTAATTCAGTAAATGTCGATTGTAAAGCCACTGATCCACCACCTTCTTCATCGGTCAATGGTGTCGTAGCATGTAAGTTACTCATGGATTCTTCTAAATGACGAATATCCAAATCAAAATTTGCTATGGCAATTCGATTATATTGTGGGACATTCTTTAAAATTTCCAAGAAATGTTCTGCAACAAAATCATAACTTCTGAAAAGTCCTAAAGTTCTAAATGTCAGAGGTAAACTGGCAAAGATTGAGGTAAATAAATTTTCAAGGAAAAGTGCAAAATCTTTAATTGAGTAATTGGCCTCAACATTGGCCACTTCTGGCATCCATGTATCGTATTCAACCATATCAAGTAATTCTCTAATTTTCAGATCAACCATTTCAAAAATGGAATCTTCAGCAAATTTTCTCACTCTAGTAAATGATTCCACTGCTCGAAGTGTAAATTTCCCATTTGAATCAATGTTATGAATACCTAACCCGGTATGTATACGAAGTCTTCGATTTAAAAGCTTTCCAACTTCGTAAAGACTGTATAGATAATATTCCAAGTTTGTATAACTTTGAGAAACAATTTCTTTATTATTTGAATTTCTTCCAATAAACTCTTTCAAATCATAACTGATCCCAGTTCCCTTTTCTTCACCCAAAACTTGTTCAAAAATATCATTGACAATGATATTATTGAGTTGATTCAATTCATATCCATAATGACGACTAATGAATTGGATAATATCTTCAAGAAGAGACCTTACCCCAAGACAGTAATGAACGTAATCCTCACTAAAGGGGAAACTTATTGGCATTGATCGAACGTTCTGAGGTGAGAATGATGATCCCGGCTTATACCAACAAATCTTCATGACATTTTCATAATCCTTTTCATCCTGAACAACAAGTGGCATATAATGATCAGATTGAATTGATTCAAGGAATTCAATCCTGAATTGAGCAATTAATTCCGGTGCATAGTATTCCTTAAAGATAACCATCAAAACTTCATACATATCTATCACCTTATATCCATTACTTTCCATCACTTGCAAGAAATTCCCAATTAAATCTTTAAAACTTGTTAAATCATCTATATCAAGTTGATTCACCTTCAAATAGTTTAATAGAACAGGTTTTAATTTAATAGAATATGAATCCCAAAGGTCATTTGAATTGGCTTCAGTTCTTAAACGATATTTAGTGGCTCGATTTATTTGTTTATCCATCACAAAGAACCCACTTATTTTCTTAAGATATTCGTCCAAATTGGCCATGTTTGAGAATGAAACTGTATTAGTGACTGCTGATGTAGTTGATGATGTTATTGGATAAATGATCCGATTATATTTCTTTAACCATTCCTTATAATATAGTTTTGATAAGAGTTCTTCTTCTCCCAATGTTTGATACACCAATATGGCGTCATATAATGTAGTGAGGGAAATCTGAAGTGCTTGATCTTCAAATACATTATAATTTAATGAAGGTTCTCTAATAGATAATTCAATTGGAGAATTCAATTTATGTGGAGCATATACAGCAGATGTGGCCAGAGTTTTCTCCTTCTTAAACTGATCCCAATGTTCTTGTAATGAGTATACATTATCGAAAGCTCCCTCACCAATGGCTAAAAGTTTCCTTTCTAAATTCACTGCTAACCATTTCCCCAAATTATCAAAAGATTCATCTTGAATCATTCGAGTTAAATGAGGTACAGAATCGTATATCTTAACTGCAAAACTGAAACTACTCACCTTGGGTAAATGGATGCTTGTTAACTCGTCTATAAGCTTTAAGGCACTGAAGTATCGGTGTTGTTTGATTAATTCATGGATTTTGTTGGTAATCTCAAGTACTTGTAAACACATATTAAGAACCATATTTGCTTCTCCAATCTTACTGGAGATTTCTTTACATTTAATTAGAGTCTTCTTCTTCCCAATAAGTTCAAATACTGACTTGTTGAGTGAAATACTAATTTGCAGAAGTTCTTTATTTAAGTCTGAAGAATCTTGATGAATGTTATCAATCGAGTCGATACATGTGTTGATATCACGCGTGGAATTCAATGAAAGGGTGTTGAGCTCTTCATCCTTATCCTTGACAATGTCATTGAGTTTATGAATCAATGAAGAAAGTCCATTGGCACGAATTGCATCCTTAATGATTGGCGCAAGACTTTCCAAATACTCTTCCGAATTGAGCGATGATTGGAAGATATCCTCCCGTAGGAGAAGATTCTCCAAGTTGAGGTTTTCAGGACCGTCATTGGTAGATCCTGATGGCACGGTTGAGTCCATCTGTGATTGTGTAATTAATGAAGGGGCCATTCAAAAAATGAAATGTCGATTTCGTCAATAGAAATTAAAAAAAAAAAAGGATAACTATCAATGAGGCTCGTGAAAGATAATAAGGAGTGGATTATTTTGAGCAAAGGCTAGTTGTATAGATGTACTATCTGGGTATATGAATGGTAAGTTTGAGGTCCCTATTGGGGTTATTTCAAAGACCTTTTAATCAAACTCTCCAAAGATTGTTTTGATGTTTTTGGCGTGGAGGTACTCAAGTGCGAAGCGGACTGCAGGTGGGAACTGCCCCGTTTTGATCTAAGAGGTTATTGGAAATATAGTTAATATTGGATATCTTTCTTCTGGTTGGTTCAACATGATTCCTAGTCATGTTCTCATCCTTGGAGCTCCCCTTAGTGGGAAGTTGCGAGTTTGTAACTTATTAACGGATCTTGAAGAAGTTGAAATTCCAGCCGACCTGCACAGTGGTGTGATCATACCGACAACTATATCCACCAAATACTATTCTGTAGAGCTTAAAATATTGGTTGACGAGTACCCTGAGACACGTGGAGAAGAGGTGGAGAACTTGGATAAGTCTCTTGAAAGTCTTCAAACATGGAAGTCCGAGTTTATATCACCGGAAATGGTTGAGTTGAGAGACGCTCTTGATGGGCTAGTGTTCTGTGTTAACACTGATGACGACAATATTTCAGAGAGTTATCTTCAAGGCTGTTTGGACGAACTCGACCAGGTTCGTCAATGTCTTGAAGGAGACGGTGGTGAAGTTTGGTCTGGATTTTTTGCGGTGGTTGGAACCAAACCAAGTTTGGAATTGGAGGATCTTGCAATCTCAAATGGATTCGAATATGTCACTCTTGAAGAACATGGGATCAATGAATTTAAAGAGAAAATCGGTCGGGATCGTATAATAGAGCTTTTTGAGTCTCACGAGTGGCTGCATATGGACATGAAAAATCCACAACAAGAAATTGCCAGCAGCTCCGATTATACGACGCGCCAACACAACAAACTTGGCCAGATGACACAATCATTACTCAATGAGAATGAAGATGACGGAAATAATGAATCACCAGTTGACCTCAGTGTGATACTAGAAAAGCTCCAGATTGCCAAGAGCGAGGTCGAAGGTATGGATGATAAGGAAAAGGAATTACATGCTCAGAAGGTTATAGAAGAAGTGATGAACTATTTATAGATATACTACATGACATATTATGTTTTCTTATTGTTCTAGGGGGATATCTATTAATGCTCTAAATACCTATCCAGAAGGACTATAGCTTGGCAGTAGACAAATCGTAGTTAATCTTATATCCTGGATCAAAATAGCACTCCTGGCAGTCCTCCTCGGCAACCCCATTTTCGTGGATAAACACAGCAAAGTCAATATGAGGCACCTCTTCATCTATAACAACCATGGGGGCATGCCAGATGCCTGCGCCATAAGTGATGGATTGGTTTCCCTTGCATACGAAGGCTGCCACCGATAATGGGTCTGGTAAATTTTGGGGCGAAGTAGAAGCGTCTGTCTTGGCTACAATGACCAAATATGACTTTTTAGCAAGATCTTGACCCATTGGAATGAATGTCTGAGTAGAGAAAGGGTGCCTTTCCAACACTTTGGCAGTATACTTTTTAGATTTAGTATTAGTTTCAATTAAATGCTTAGGGGCAGAACATCTGAAAATATTCCAATTGGCAGTTGCTTCGCTCCCACTAGGACATTTCAGGAAATTATTGACAATGGGTGCAACTTTGTGAATTTTAACAGCAGTCCCATAATTAGCTGCTGAACTTTTGACATGTTTGATCTGGTCATCAGCACTGATAACTCCGCCGTATGGTGCAAACGCTTCAGGTGTAAGTGGCGTGGCCTCGATAGTAAGTACTGAGGATATGTCAAACGTTTTCAAGGGCATGGTGGTTGAAGAATGAACTAACTTAAAAAATTATGTGATGGAACTGTTTATCAGTAACTAACGTCGTCGGGCATATCCGGAGTATTTGCTTGGGTGTGCGGGTGTAATCTAGATAAGAAAATTAGACATTGAGAAGCGGGATACAATCCAATTAAAACAAAAAACAAAAATGGAAATTGGGGAGACAAAATTAAAGGGAAATGTTAATTTTCATTAAGAATAAAGACTGGATGAGCACATGTAGACATGAAAAACTGAATTTGATATGTGAAATTAAGGGGATGGTGTTGATATGGAAACAACATTATCCTGTACAGAAATCATTGTTGGAAATCCTGTCTAATTCATTTACTCCTGTATAGCTTTGGTTGTCGTGGATTCCTGTCTAATACAATTACTCCTGTAGAAAGATATCGAATACAAATACATGTTAGACTACTGGAGGATTTACAACTACCTACGAAACTCTCTCCCTGTTTCACTCAATACTTCTAATTTTAATGGTATAAATGAGGGATCTTTACCTTGATTCATTGCTCTTATTTTGTCTCAATATACAATTTTAACTTCATCAAAGAAAGCAAACCTTTGAACAAGATGTCGGGAATATGAGGAAAACTAATGTTGTTTGGGTGTGTAGGTGTTGTAAATAGTACTGCACGTGTCACGTGGATGTTAAGACCATAAGTTATATATTCTTAGTTCTTAGCCTCATTGTAAATGATTGTTTTACGGCGAAAACTAAACAACTTTGATACTCTCTAAATGTCTCGTACTTACCCTATATTCTACTCTATCTAATTCTTCCCGGGTAATTGGCACTATTCTATTCTAGTTGTGATTGGCGCCAAAATTGCTGCAAAATTTTTACCTTCTTATCTCGTAGTCAGAAATTACCACACAATCTTACCATGCTTAGATCTCAGTAGTATTTGACCATTTCTCGGACGGCTCTCCAATCTCCGGGACCGCTCTTTCTATCCGATTGACTGTATAATTGATCGGGCCAACTAAACAACTACCCAATTACACTCACCGACGTGGCTCTATGGCCCCAATATCATCCACTCCCACCCCCTCTGTCGGAGGCTCTGGTTTATTCATGCAATCCCCCACTCTCATTAAACTATCCACACACCATCCTCCATATAAAACCCCTCTAAAACTACTATATAGGATCCTCCATATAACACCTCTCATAAACCAACAACTGGTATTATGCAGATAAAAATAATTAAGCGTGGGGGAAAATAATGAATTCATAAACGTAGAAGATGAAAAGAATTTATCCATTTTAATTAATAAGTTATTGATATATATATACGTATATAATATGAACTATCCACTATCCTTATTACTCTTCAAATAAAAAACAAAAGGGAAAGAATTTCACCAGAAATATAATATCTCGAATAATTTCTTCATTTATTGCAAATTATTTTTTATTAACATTAAAGCCAAGCCAAAATTAAACTAATTATGAATAAATATGTCCGAAAAAAAAATATTGGTATGTGGATACTTGAGACATTTGTGTTATCCCCACACTATTGTTTGCTTCGTAAATACTAAATTAAGCAGTTTGAATTTTTGGGGGAATATATAAATATAGAGAGCACATTTGGCAAAAAAAAAAAGAACAAATAGTACCAAAAAATCATGACAATTCCAATTGAATCATTGAGATTTCTTAGAGACTCCATTCATATTCTTCATGAACAGAACATTGAGGGTTTCCTTGAGTGGGTGAATGTAGTTGAAACCAATTTTAAGCTTATCGGAGCGAAACCGGATGTTGCGGTGGCCATTTCTCGGTTGAGTGGATCTCTTTTATCATGGGCTCAATCATATCAATTTGAATCATGGGAAAGTTTCCGTTATCAGCTATTCAATCATTTACATCCGTTTAGAGTTACTCTTGCCAACACTATTAGACCTGAAGTGAACACAATAAAACAATTACTTGAAAATCATTCGGTAGATGTTTTCTCTTATGTTGAAAAATTCCATCTTCGAATGGTTCAGATACATACTATTCTTAGTTTTGAAGAAAAGGATATACCATCGTACAGTACTATACCTGAGATTGATTCAATTCAGGATTTAGTTTATGAGTTTAGACACTCCAGAATTGAAAGATTCAAGCTTTTCTTGAAGGATGAAGAAGCCATGACAGAGGAAGAAGAAGACCAATTATTAGAGCTCATGTCAAAGGATGAAGCTGCCGACAAGTTCTGGGATGGTTACAGACACTTCGTAGAGACCTTAACTTATCAAAGTTTGCTACTTGGGCTTTCAACTAAAGGTGAAGTTCCAGAGAAACCTATAACCATTGGGAAGCTTAGCAAAAAGATACTTAAGAACTTGTAGATGGAAACGAACAAAAAAAGAGAAAAGATTAAAACCCCCTTGAATATATAAATATATGAATATATGACTTATGACGAGATAATCTCAATCATGTTGAATGTAGTAGTCGCATTCGTTTACAAGCGAGTAGGAACATTGGTGGTTATTGCAGCCATTAGTGCAGCCATTTGTGTAGCCCTTCCCATTAAATGCATGCCACCTGCACATTATTTCTTTTTAGGAGTATATTTTGATTGCCTTTTTTTTTTTTTTGATCATGTAATCTTTTAGACCCACAACGCCACCTCCACAAGTAGATCAGAATGAGCGAAGAAGAATCCAAGAAGGGACTTAGTAAGGCCCCTACTGTTGACGATGACGCTGCTACAATTGTTGGAGCAAACGATTCAAATCCGGCGAGTCTTGTGTACATACCGGAAGATCACCTGTTTGCTCACGAATCCACAACTTTAATTGACGGGCAAGCTGGATCGTCATCCAAGATGGGAAGTCTTGGAGCACGTCGGTCTGCCATAGAGATGGACTCATCTCTTCAAAAAATCAAATATAACGAAAACAAAGTTTCATTGGATAGAGCCATAAATCAAACAATTGAGCTTTTGTACGAACTTACCGAGGAGAACAAAGAAAGACCAGTTTTTTACCCAGCCAACACTGAGGACGATGGAGATGTGATGCTTAACTCGAAGAAGGCTCACCTTGCGTTAGTTCGTAAGAACGTATCCGTCAAGCAACTTGGCAAGGCCAAGATGTTAGATGACGATGACGAAGGTAAGATTCCAGACTTTAGAGTCCTTCGACTCAATGTGAAAATGGGCCATCAGAAGAACAATAGTGAGAGTTTGATGGCTGCTTTAGATAAGCAAGCCATTGCAAAGTTGTTGGAACAACAATTGCAACTGCAAGTGAAGTATCTCTTGAATCTCAAGGATAGAGTAGATGACACCTCTTCCAAAGTATTTGTCACAGGTGACCTTAACGCAGGAAAATCTACTTTTTGTAATGCCTTGCTTCGTAGAAAGCTTTTACCAGAAGATCAACAACCATGTACCTCAGTTTTTTGTGAAGTAATTGATGCTAAAAGAGAAAACCGTGGTATTGAAGAAGTACATGCAATTCCAATTGGTGTCGAGTACGACATCAGGGATGAATCTTCATACGATATCCACCCAGTGAAAGAATTGGAAGATTTGGTTTATGAATGTGATAGATATAGTATTCTTAAGGTTTATGTATTGGACCAAAGAGCTGCCCACGAAAGTTTATTAAGTAACGGAGTGGTCGATGTCAAATTGATTGACGCACCAGGTCTTAATATGGACCTGTACCAGACAACTCAAGTATTTCTGAGACAAGAGGAAATTGACTTGGTGGTGTTTGTAGTGAATTCAGAAAACCATTTCACATTATCGGCCAAGGAATTTATTGCTGCTGCAGCTGCCGAAAAACGATATGTATTCATTGTGGTGAATAAGTTTGACAATATCAAGGATAAGAACAAGTGTATGGCCAAGATTCTTGACCAAGTGAAAGGATTGTCCCCTGACACTCATAAGAATGCCAAAGAATTTGTTCATTTTGTTAGCTCATCAGGATTTGAGGATCCAGATGGAGGTGACGATGATAATAACAATAATAATGATGATGACCCAGATTTTGATCATTTAGAAGCTTCTTTGAGAAAGTTCCTTCTTGATAAACGGTCGATCTCAAAGCTTCTTCCAGCAAAGAGTTACTTGAAGAATTTATTAAACGATTTGAAGGTTCTTTCTGAATTAAACGAAAAAGTCTATGAACAAGAAAAGCAAGATAACTTAGCGCAATTAAATAATCAAATTGCTCCACAATATGATGAAATTTTGATGAAGAGTGTCAAGATCAATGACTCCATTAACAGCGCCATTGAGAATAAATGCACTGATATCTATAATCGTTCTAAGCAAGAAATTCAAACAACTATCGAGGAATTCGGTGATAAACAAGTTGTTCCATACTTAGGGTTGCAATATCTTTATGAATATGCTGTTCGTACCCAAAGAGCAATGATCGAAACGGTATTATCTTCGGTTCAATATTGTGAAGATAACGCAAAGATTTCAACCAGTGAAATGGTTGAAGAGGTGACCAAGATTGGACAGAAGAATTTGGGTGACGAGTTCTTAAGTAATAAGGTTTTTAAGTCGGACTTGATGTTCACCCGGAAACGTGATACATTTGCCAAGAAGCTTGATGATCTGATTGAAGTTCTGGATTTCTTTGACCCTAACTTTGATTCATTTGTGGTATGGTTGGGCATCCCTTCCGAAATTGTTTCTAATGTTAGCAACCAAGTAAGCTACTTCAATCCTGTTGGATTACTTACAAGTATTCCTACTTCTGCACTTTCATTGAAGAACCAAATTCCATCACAACTCACACTTCACACCGTTTACTCATCCACTAAGTTATTGACTATTGGGGCTGTGGCTCGTAAGTTGTATTCCCTTACCACTTTTGTCAATACAAATACAATCAAGAGGCTCGGTGTTCCTATTATTTTAGGAGCAACAGGTTTGGCTGTATGCTACTTGGTCTACGATATCCCCAATGCATTCCCTCGTAAACAGGCTCGGAAACTCCGTAAACAAATGCTTCAATTGGACTACCCACATTTGAATGCATACAGAATATCACAAGAATGTAGACAAGTTCTTAGCTACCCAGCCAGACAAGTTATGACAAATTTCCAAACTAGTATCGATAAAAGATCAGTTGAAAAGGAGAGAATTGAAAAGAACATTGCAGATGCTGACTTGAGTTACGGTTACTTCCGTGATCTTTTGAAAAAGATTCAACACCAACAAAAGTATGTTGATGATATTGACCTTGAGTCTATTAACTTAGTGGAGTAGAGGAGAATGAGATTATGACGGTAGGTTGTTATGGCAATGGTACCATATGGTCACGAAGGGAAATGGGAGTTAGAAGCTGAAAATACTACAGTCCTTGCTTTTGCCTACACAATGGAAGTACCTACTTTCTTAGATTTAAAATTTTATTAGTTGTTTTTGATTTGTTATGCTACTTCTTCCTCTGTATATAGATTGCAAGCAATGTCAATGCAAAGAGAACAAAACACAAGCCGAAACTGAGTTCGAATGCACCACGGTAGCATTCATTCCCTTTGTAGCAAATTCCGGTTTCCGGATCAGTATTTCTATCGTAAATCATTCCAAAGTATTTATTCAAACAGAATAAGGTGATCAAAGGTCCAGTACAGATCAACCCCCAGGTTGTTGAAAAAGTTCTTGTTCCAAATTTGTCAGCTATAACTGCAGGATATGTACCAAAGACCAACCCGTAACTCCCTCCAATGATAATTGATGTGAGGGATATAAGGCTTGCCAGTTGGATGGTCATGACCAAATATTGACCAATACCTAACGTTACAAGGGTCACTAAGACTATCCAGAGTCTTTGAATGTGATATGTTTTGTAGATGAAGTCAGACACAAGACCTGCAAGAAGACGACCGGAGAAAGATGACAAGGAAATTATTGATACTTGAAGTGCCTGTAAGGCAGCAGCCTTGGAGTCTGCAGGGATTGGGATTCTACCAAAGAGAAGTGGTGCATCCGAAGACTCTCCATAGTGGAATTGGGCAATGACAATGAACCCTACAGAGTAAATGTACATTTGGCCAGTCCCGCTAATAAAGGACACTATCAAATAATGAAGGAGAAAAACCTTATCCTTTATGAGACTAAGTACAACTTCTCCTGATGTTTTAGGTTTACGTTTCTGGACAATCGTGCCATTGTTGGAAAGACTGCTCAAGGATGTTTGTTTGGAAATAGTTGGGGCTCTCATGGAATTTTGGTTTTGTTCACGTAACGAAGCAATGAGAGGGACATTAGCTGAAGAAACGGAACTTACAGAAGATCTTGGAGTTCTGGTACCGATCCCCCAGAAGGAAAATGATCCCCTAAGCAGGGTAGAAGTTTTTGAGGCAACAGGAGGAACAGGAGCCACCGATGCAGATTGATTATTTAAGGTAGAAGATGAGTTTTGTCTAGAAAGAAGACCAACGCTCTCTCCATTTTCAGATGAAGTATCAATTGCTTCTTCTGAGTCGCGTGGTACAACAACTTCATCCTCTTCATCTCCATGATCCAAATAAACATGGACAAACCATGACCCAACAAAGGTAACAGCACCGCAAAAGAAAGATAAGAAGCCAATGAACCCTCCACTATTACCACTGAAAAAGGTTGCAGCAATGATAGAGAAAATGGTTGCAGATAAGCCATAAGCGGAAACAGGGAGAGCTCCAGCACTGCCACGATGATTAGGGAAATTCGACTGAGTTGCCTTGAGAGTAGAGAAAAAACACACGGTTGAACCAAACCCCATAAAGGCCATGAAACAACAAAGAAGTCCTAAATTATTCAGTGCAGCTTCATAGATGCGGTAAGCTCCGTAATAGCCTGAGAAAATACTTATGGAACCAATAACAATAGACACTTGTGGGCCAAAATAGTCTATCATGAGACCCCCAGGGATTCCTGCAAGACCACACCCAATATTGGTAAAGAGTGAAACAGTAGCAGAATCACTGGTGGTAAAACCACAACGCTTAATCAATTGCGGCCCATACACACCATAGAGATATGGGGTTCCTGCGGCCAACGCTACGCACACTGACACACCAAGTGCTACCAACCGAAGAGTGAGATGGTTGTTGTTTCCGATTTCCGGCATTCAAAAGAGCTATACAAAGTACACTGGAGACGGGATATGAATAGAAAAGACTTCTAAATGTTTTGATTTTAGAGCTTGTCATTGATAAGCGTTAATAATTGCAAACCGCGCAAGCGCGCACCCGCGCAATCGAACCCCCACTGTTGTCTATTTTTGTGACCCCCACTCAATATAGCACAAAAGTTGCCAGTATGTGAAATATGATTATCATTTTTTTTATTCGATTTTACAGTCAGATATAAACCTCACCAGCACTACATATTTAAAACACAAACTATGGGTAGATTAAACAACACAGAATTCTTGTCCCAGTTGACGGGAATTCTTGGAGACAATAATGGGAAGTCGTCTGTATACTTAACTCAAAAGAGATTGACACCTGCCTTGGATTTGGACGAAGGATCATCAGCTACAGGAATCAACGACTTACCATCCAATGTGATTAATAACGAAGATAACCATGCCATTAATACAGACAAATACCCAATCCTCGTGAGGGTGTCGACCAGCGGTGCAGGAAAGAAGTCCAGCAACAAGCCAAAGAACAAGATTTCCACCGTGGTGGAGATTGACACCCTCGACCAGTTTTGGACCGATTACTTGAATGTGATCAAAAATGGATTTGTAGGGTTGAAAAAGAAGGAAAAGAAAAAGAGTAAGAAGGGTAAGGTCTCCAAGTAGTGCACATATAGTCTATTAAGAATAATAATAATAATAATAAAATAATAAGAAGAAGAAATTTATTAAGTTGTAAGAACTGGAATTTACTAATTTATTAAGATTCCAACAAGAGTAAACCGTTGGGATATATACAGTCAATATCTCTGATCGTCACGCCAGCGGGGCCATTGAGATATTCATTAAGAACCACCTTTGGTGGCACTGGTGACACGAGTTTAAACTTGAATGTTGGCTGGAAATTGGCAAGTTTCCTTCTAATTTCATCTGCAGATGTAGCACTTGTAGAGACTGTTTCATCTAGTAATCCTGCTTGAGAAATCTCAGTAAAAGCGAATATATCTTCCACCGGGCTGTCTGCAGGGAATTGCATCATTTTCCTGGTACCATCTTGTAATTTGATACCCACTCTTGCAGTATCTCCTCTAGCACCTCCATTTGCATTTCTTTCAATCAAATCTTTAAAATACAGTGTCTTCCATATTATATATTCCTTTCTAAGGGCTTCACGTTGTCGTTCCAACTTCTTAGCCCTATCCAAGGCCAATGAAGTCAGGTAATTCAACTCTTGTTGCTTGAGAAGTGCCTTGCTCATAAATTTATCCCTGAGATCGTTACGCATCAAGGAAAGTTCTGCTTCATATTTGGCCATTTTCCTTTTGAATTTAGTATCAATCAATAAATGAGGATTGATATCAGCTGATAACCCACCTTGTATTTTCAGAATGAGCGAAATTTTCGGCAGAGTCTTGACTGAACCCTGTGGGGTCATAGTGGTAGTCCTAGTAAGACAAAGCAACCCAAGGAATGGGAACTTTGTTACATTCAAACTATTAGCTAGCTGGTAAGCCTCAGGATTCATTAAATCACCACCCCAAATGAGGGTATTACTATTCTCATGAAATAATGAGATGAAATCTGGGTTCAAAATAATCTTATTGAAAATTGATGAAGAATTTTCGTTCTGAGGTGATGTTACATATACAAACAAGAACATGGCACGATTGGTTGCCATATAAAGGGCCAGAGTGTAACTTCTTTTGTAGAATGGAGGGAGTCTTGCTTCCACAGTAGATGCTGAATATTGAGAATACTGAGGCTCTACAGGCAAATTGTCTTCAAGATCACACACGAATTTATTTGCCTTATCTATTGGATTAATGTGAGTACCATTAATAACATGACTAGAATGTGCTTCTCTGAAATATACCACATTGAGAACTATTGCCAAGAGACGGAATATGAATAACATCACAATAATAATCGGCTTAAGGACAAGAAACTGAAACCAGCGCCACGTACTACGCATATATGATTCAAATGCTTTGGAGTTGAACCAATTTCTATTATGTGGTTCAACTGACTCTCCACTCAGACCTACTGCCCCACAATCAGGACCCCCCGGAAAATGTCCAGGCATATTCAGCGAGCTTTCATTGCGATCCACTGAATCATACACGGTCCGCTCTTCAAATAACTGGCGAACCCATTCATTTAGTGTCCTAGGCATGTCCACGTATATATAGGGTTTAAACTTAGATGTTATAATCTATTTGGATGGCAATAAGTGAAATGAAAATGAAATTCCCAATATTGACCCTGCATGTAAATATAGTAGTGCATATATTAGAATTAGAGCAAAAGGCTTTCTTCAGTTGGGGCGATTGATTCGGTAAATATCACAATATTTAGTGTGTAAAGACAATCCAATTAGTACTGGGTATGATTTAAAGTAAAAATATTGAAAATATGAGATGTTTTGAGGAAGTAATTGGTATTTAAAAAAATTGGCCATTTTCTCTTTTATCTGGCTACAAAATTGACCATATTTTACTCACAACAAGAACGCCTGCGTAGCGTAATGGTTAACGCGTTTGACTTCTAATCAAAAGATTGCGAGTTCGACTCTCGCCGTGGGTTCTTAAAATGCGGTTTTAGCTCAGTTGGGAGAGCGTCAGACTGAAGTACAACTTCGGTCCAGTTAATCTGAAGGTCCTGTGTTCGATCCACAGAAATCGCATTCTTTTTTTGCCAGTTGATTAGTGAACAGTTCTTAGTTTATTATCTTCTTTCTTTTTTGCTACTGGCAGAGGGGATACTTTAACTTTTATTGTTACATCGATTATTTTATTTATCGGCTAATTTGAAATATTCTTTACACTTTTCTGCAACACCAAGTGGTAATCCAAAAATTGGATTGATAGCAGAACAATCTCCATCTCTTACTCTCACACTATCTACGAGATATGCATAATCGTCATTATTAGCAGGCTTGGTTTGTGCCATGAACAGGTATTCATGTTCTGCTATACTAAGTCCAAGTGTGGTGTAGTTAGAGTGGTAGAAATCTGGCAGCTTACCTGGCTTATCTCTTAACCCTCCGCGACTGTCCTGACAGCAGTTGAGGATATATGTTCTCAATGCATCTCGATCAAACAACGATCCATTGGTATTTTGCGACATCTCAAGAAGTGGGAATATGCCACCAATCCAGAAACTGTAGCATGCATCCACAAGTTTATTTGTTCTCCCAGAAAACCCACCTTCAAGGTGGTATTGACGCATAGCAGTCCAACGAAGTAAATTGTCCACATCAATTACATTGTTTAATCTCTCTTTGAACAGACCTTCTCCCTTTCCTAACAATACAAAGTAGCTAGCAATTGCACAAAATGTATATCCTCCATGAGCCTCTGTATTTGGAATACCGGAAAATCCTCCTTCATAGGTTTGACAGGTTGCTAACCATGAAGCTGTATCTTTACATAGTTGCTCATCAAGAATATTTAGAAGTGATGCAATCACCAAGATGCAATATGTAGACCTGGTATCACTTTCCCCACCAGGGTGCATTGAAAATGATCCATTATCCTTCTTTAAACTCATCATCCATTTATAGAGGTTGTGTCTTATACGATTCAAGGTGTCGAAATCTTCCACTAAAACGAGTGCAAGCACTGATGCATACATCGATGCAGCATGTCCAATTTGTCCCAGACCTCCTCCAATACCTCCTAGTCCTTCATTGATAGTAACCCTTAAGATTTTGTCTGTCACTAACTTTGAGACAGATTCATCTACAGGACGATTCATAGTTCGCAAAAAATTGACCAACCAATAAAGCATCCAACCATGATTAGCATCATATCCAACGTATTGTGGTGGGAATGGCAGTGTGAGACATTTTTCCGCGTACTTGACATGCACTTTTAGATTGAATGGATCGTTTCTCACCAAGTTCAGCTCGGACATCTCGATTAAATCAGTGTAGATTCCTGTGATGACATCCTCTACTGCACTCTGAGAGTCTGTGGTGGACGATTCATATGAGTCTTCCACCACTGGTGGCTTCGTTAACATTTGACTCAACATTGTATACACTTTCTTATCTGAATCTTTATGGAGTTCGTCTTCTTCACTGGCGATGTCTTCAAAATCTGAATCGGAAAGATCTGGATTGAGTTCACTAACAGACCTTTGTCTACCAAGCAACCCAAGTAGATAAGTGACTTTCTCTGTATTTATCGAATCTTGAGTACCCCCGCTCATTTTGAAACGTTACAGGCCAACCTTCCTATTTGAGCTTTGCAATAGCATTAGATTCAAGTGTATATAATTATGTGAGTGATGGTGTATCGTGCAGGATTTCCACCCAATAATCCGAATCGAGTTATGTCTCACCTAATATGTTTCCACAGTTGGATAAAAAAAAAAAAAAATAAGATAGCATACAATACAATTATACTGGATAACACTCCTAATATATTAGAACTTTAGAAATAAATATTTTTTTTGTCATTATTACGTAAAACTATACTTTTAATTGCTTTACTGCATAGTCCAAGAGAACTTCGTAGCATACAATGAATTGATCCAAATTCTGCACCATAGATATGCGCTGTCTACGTTGAAATTGAACCGTTTTATAGATAAGATCATCTTCACCCCAAGGGTCAATCTTTGAACCATCCTTATTCTTGAAGCAATCGAGAATCATATCTAAAGTAATGAAACATCCAGTACGTCCACATCCAGCAGAACAGTGTACAAGTAATTGTGAGTTCAAATGATGTTCTGATACCAACTTATTTTTAAAATCAATCAAACTTAATATAGAGTCCAATGATTGTGGTACTCCAAAGTCAGGCCAATTTTTAAACTCTAAATGATATACTCTTTCTGCCACTCCAGTTTTAATTCGTATGAGGTTTATTTCACGTAGTATGTAATGTTCATAATCGGTAGTATTCACTCGCTGTACTTGTAATGAACTTTTGGGGAAACTTTGATCATCAAAATATTTTAAGTCTTGGCCAGCCAAATTTGCAGAAAGTTGTTTGTTTAAGCAAACAATTACGTTTATTTTGTTACTCCATATAGTTTTCCAAAAATCTTCATAAGTAGCTTGAAGTGGATTTTGCGTAGCAATATATTTATAGCCAGATACTTCATCATAATTGATGTAATTAGCATTAAAGTAATCATCTTGCTCATCATGAGTACAAAATGGAGATGTTCCCTCACAGATACCACTACCGGTACCTCTTGGGACAGGTGATGGTTGACTGAGTTTAACTCTTGAGTGCTCATATGGCCAAATGTTATTATATCTATTCTTGAAACCATATTCGATCCCCTTGGGAATTTTATAGATAACCTGATCACATCCAGGACAAAGTGCACTTGGAGAACATATATTAGGAGAATGAACTGCCAGATTAGGGTTACTTGAGCTTGTGGCAGAGATTGCCTTCTTCAATCTTGCTTGTTCTGTTTTTTCAATCTTGTTAAATTTAGCATTTAAAACATTTAAAACATCTTTATTTTTATCAGAAGAATCTGAATTGGCAATATCAGCCAAGAATTGAAGCCATTGCGGTAAGTTTGCCTCTGAAAGTCCCGCAGGGAATTTAAATTTATAATCATAATTTCTCATTTCATCTTCTGCCAGTTCTTTGAATCGTTTCCCCGATATACTAGATAAGTCTAATTTGGGTAATGCATTCCTTTTGATTGAGGATAAGAACTTTTGTTGTGCTGGAGCAGATGATGGAAGCAGAAACCCCGAAAGATTCATTGTAGACGAAGGGTTTGATGGTGAAATAGGTGAAATGGATTCAATAGAATTTGGATTATGAGATGAAGTCTTCGAGTCTCCACCAGGAAATTGGGTCTCTATCAAAGAGGATGTAATGACTTCAGAAAAACCTCCGTTCAAGTAATAAACCTTGAATTTTTTATTGGGGTACCGGTAGAATTTGAGACATGTTTGATATAGCGGGAAAGATATATGATCTTGATTACTATCGGAATCGTAAATAAGAACTGAAGTGGTAGTTGATGAGTCAATGATATGTGATCTTTTCCAAGGGTCAATTGATCCCAATACTTGCACTAATGAATACGACTCTCGTTTTAAAAGGGTGGAGGGAACGCAAAGATTGATAGCATTTGCCACACGTGAGCTTGAGAACAGAGTGAATGGACGACTATCAATAATAGTGACGTTACCATTTTCACTGGTAAGGAATTGATCAAGATTATGTGCTTTCACGGGTAATATATCAGCAGGAAGATCTTTGAAATGCATCTTGGACGTGGGCGAAACAGGGCTTTTAGTAAATGCAGAAAATTTTTGTGGAGTCAACGTAGGTAACGAGTGTTGGAACTGTGAGGGCGGCCGTTCTTGAAACAGACTAGCGTTGACAGCTACGGATGGAATGCATTGATAATCTTTTTGGTCTCGCTTATTTTGCGTTTGGTCATCTGTGGGGATAAAAATGGCAGACATTTATGAATATTAAAACAGCGATCTTCTAGAACTGAGAATGCTAGTAATATGCTTTAGAAGGAGTCTGTTGCAATATCTATTGGAGTATGTCTTTGTATGCTTACTCCAATACTCCTGTTTATTTTTTAAAAAAATCGATTTAATCACTGCCCTTCTATGTTATGTGTGTGCGCATACAATTAGTTTTAAATCAATCTGTTTGCTTTTTGCTTTTCTCGTACATCCAAGATCATGGCTGCAAACCTTCCGCCTTTACCCTTTTTTTTTTTTTTTTCTTTGTTTGCCGAGGTCTGACGTAATGTTCTAGAACAAAACATCTATAAATAGTAAGGGCTTGACAGAAATGTCCGCCCTCCCAGTTAAAAACAATTAGCAGTTGAACGTAAACTATCTCTCATAGATATGAGTGTCAATCCCCCTCCTTGTTATAAACCATTACCTTTCTTTTATTTTTGAGTATACTATGACTTTCCATTATGAATTTCAGAAACGTGATATTTCGTTTTTAGATATGAGTGTCAATCCCCCTCCTTGTTATAAACCATTACCTTTCTTTTATTTTTGAGTATACTATGACTTTCCATTATGAATTTCAGAAACGTGATATTTCGTTTTTAATACTTGTAGCGGTATTATTTTTGTATTTCTTCCAGAAAGATACTTTGATCTAATTGTAGGCGCATTCTTGCATATATTGTTTCAGGGAATTCAATGACCTTGCCTAATAAATTCACCTTGAAGTATTTTTACTCGGGTTAATCAGTAGGTTTCTATGCGTCATCGTTTCTTTTAGAAGTTTCTATTACTGTCGGTTTATTTTTAAAGTAGGGGTTATAATCTTTTTTTTTTTTAATGTTCGCCTACGTTTAATTGGATTAAGTCTATGAATATGTATTAGTATAGATGCTGATATTAACATGCCTAATCTCTCGAAATAGCCTTCTGGAGCTTGACAGTGAATAAAACCAATTGAGCAACTACTTTAAATTTTTGTAAAGCATTCATGCCTTGAAATGACGAATTCATTGGTTTGGAATTAATAAGGAAATTGGTGGTTGAGTCCAGCTCAATTCCACCGATAAGATCTGAATCATGCACCACATCACCTCCTTTAATATAACCATTTATTAAATTGGTAGTGGATTCTTCATCATTGCTATCTACATTCTTGTACTCATGTACACCACGTCCATCTAACGAGTTTGTACTTTGTCTATCAAGACTAAGTTTGAGATATCCATTTACAAACTTTAAATCTTCTAATTTTGCCACAACTTTTGAATATTCTCCTTTCAAAAACATCATTTTACGCAGCAAGTCTTGAACTGTTTCCTTCATTAACATTGAATTACCATTGTTTTTCAATTGAGACTCAATATGTTTAATCTGTCTTTCATGTTTCAAATTTAAACCCTTGATTTCTTCCTCATGTTTCCTATCCTGTTGATCATATCTACGTTGCCAATTACGATCTAATTGTTCAATTTCGCGCTCATGAACGCGTTGTAAAGTTAAACTTTCAGCTTCATCATCATAAGATTTCGTGATAAGTTTTTGTTTATCTCTTTTCAATGATAGTATTTGTTTATTTAACTGTTCAATTTCTTTATCCTTATCGTTCAATTTACGTAATAAAAGATTATTAGTCAGTGGTGACGATAATGATTGATATTGGGGAACAGCAGTTGGCCTTGGTTCTTCATGTTGAGTTAAAATTGGCGCTTTCTTATCTGGTAAAATTTCCTCTTTTTCTAACTTAACCCTAGATGGTAGTTCATATCTAGTATTGTTAATTTCTTTAATACTGTCTCTGAGTGTTTTAAATCGATTTTGATCCACATCTTCTTCCTCCACTCGTACTGGTTTCCCCCGTTGAACTTTCTCTTGAATTGGCGTTCCAAATCTTCTTGGTAATGCTTCTGAAGGAGGGACTGGCTTTTTTTCTATATTAGTCCCTCTTCGATCATTCCCAAACACGTCTCTTAATATTTGTACTTCTGTATCATCTTCATTCCCATCCTCAACTAATTTATACAAGTTATTTCTCAACCTATTATTCTTCTCCCGCATCAGAAGAAAGTTATCCTCTGAACTATAATGCGGAGACATCATTAGATACACACAATTCTATAACTACGTTATTTACGCGTAGTAATAAAAAAAGTAAACACTCTCCGTCACACACATTCTAAGAAAATTCTCAATACTTTTTGTTTTTGTTTTTGTTTTTTTTGTTTGTGTATTTTATATTAATCTCCCCCAGAACTACCCTTTTCTATACTCCGTAGTAGCCCCTCCCCATGTTGCTACGATCCCAAAAGCGGCTTATCCGGAAGGACCCTCTTTGGTCGCGAATCCAAGCATACCCGTTCGATCTCTTCTTATGGGCTAACGAATATATAATGTCTACCTCGTGGGATGATAAATCCCTAGGAATGTACCTCACGGGTTACGGACTTTCGGCACTTTACCTTGTGGCGCTTGTAGTGAACAATTCCTTACAATCTTCCAACAAACGCCGAGAGAACCCACTTTTCCAAACTAACCAAATCAACTACGGACGCATCCGAGCCCGGGCAAACGGCGGAGACCCATTCAATGTCTCTAAATCTAGATTCGGGTACGATTCACATTCATCCGTCTTCTTGAACTTGGCCCGTGTTGTACTCTTTCTCTTGCCAATACTTTCCATTGTGAATGTTGTGTATCTTTTCACCTCGTACAAGAACTATACTCTCATGTATGCTGACATATCAACTAAACCCAATACCCCATCAATAAACAAGACCACTGTCACCAATGATGTTTCAGAAAAGTCTATCTGGAGTAAGTTAATCAAAATGCTTTATCGTCAAGCCAGTCGGAGGAGACTGAAGGAGGAAGAAGCCGAGGCCATAGCTGATTATGACGACACTGACGTCACTGAAGAACCTGGTCAATTTTATAATCCTGGGGGACAATCCGACAAAGTTGGCACCAACGATACAGGTACAGAAGTTTTCAGTGACTCAGACCTGGAGTCAGACTACAACGACACAACAATTGACGAAATTAACTTGGTTAAAAGAGATATGTGGGAGCTCACTGTGTGGATTCCTTCCAAATTTAACCTTGCAGCTTTGTCTAGTTGTTCTCCAGTTATTCTTTTATTTTTGTACCTCGTTGTCAATGAACTAACATATTGGAAAATCGTTTTAATTGCAGTGTCAATAAACGTTATCATTAGTTCAGTGGTGTACCGATTCCTCGTTCTATTACAAGATAGACAGTTGTTATACAAGGAAATGTTTGCTGAGTATACCAAAAAGTATGTTAAACCCATGTCATCTGTATTGAAGAGAGAAGTCATGATAGATGCAACCTTGGGGCCACAAGCACCCACTGAGATTACGGTTCAAACAGAATCGCGAGCTCATTTACTCACGGGAAAACTGAAAGTGTTCATTACTCATGACATTCAAGGGAAATCCTATAATGAGATGTCAATTGCCCAAAGACGTAAATTAAGATCCAGAGAATTTAATAATATGGATATGTCATATGGTCCAGATACTGATGAATCGGTAAGATATACCCCTCGGTTAGCATCAAATTACTTGAGCTTGAGCCACCAGCAATATCAGCAACCACTTGAATCTCCATTTAAATCACCAGAAGGAAGAAATGGTAGGGATACACGTAGTGCCCGCGACTCTTCAATCTATACACAATCTACTCCATATAGAAGGGACTCTACGAGAAGATTCCAAGACACTAGTCTTGTCTACGAACCAAACTATCAACAAAGGATCCCATCACCTCAAAGAATCTCATCACCTCAAAGAAGGTCATCTCCACAGAGAATGTCATCTCCACAGAGAATGTCATCTCCACAGAGAATGTCAACCCCACATAGAATGTCATCGCCACAGAGAATGTCATCCCCACAAAGAATACCATCTCCACAAAGGGTGGGAAGGGATTTCCAATCACCACAACCAGGTTATACCCGGCCAACACAAAGAACACCGATACAGAGGACACCTGGTCAAAGAACCATACTTCAAAGAACTCCACTTTCTTCTAGAAGACCCAGCATACCACAAATCCCAAGATCACCCAGCCCTACTAAGCGTAGTATAATGTAAGCCATATATATATATACATAAATAAAAATAAAAATAATACAAACATACAATCAATCTTTACATTATGGTGTTATCTAATTAAATTATTTCTAAATTACAATTCGTTAAATCCAAACAAAAACTTTGAAACTGTTCCAAAGACTCCTAATTTGGCATTTGTGTTGGCAGTGTCCGGTTTGTTTGGGTCGGTCGCATTCTTGGCATGCAAAAAGAGCCCAGAACCATCCTTTATGTCCAAACGAATGGTATATGGAGATTGGTCAGCCACGCTATTTTCAATAGGAGGTTCTAAAGTAGAACCCTGTAATTGTAAATCCAAAAGACCACCGCCAATATCTTCATTAGCGCTCAAAGTTCTCTTCAGCAACTTCTCAACAGCACTCTTAGTATATGGTATGACACCCAACAACACACCATTGAAGACTGCTCCACTCTCACGTAAAGCGGTGACAGCAGATGATGGGTTATCATAGGTCAACTTGACCCACGAGTTTCCTGTAAAAAGAGGAACAATTGTCTTAGCTGACTTCTTCCCATCTTGTTGATATTGATAATATTTGACTGCAGAGTTTTTGGCCCGGGTAGTCTCAAATTCTTCTAGTATATTTCCAAATTCTTGAAAATGTTGGATGACTTGATTAGCCATATTTTCTGGGTATCCGAAAACCAACACAGCAGACTCACCGCTATCTAAAGGTTTTATTTCTCCTTTCTGGTCTGAGGTAGCGTTTGAGTTTTCCAAATCGGCTGGGGCTGTGTTTGCTTCAACAATTGCTGAGCCAGTGCTGGCGTCACCCTTGTTGAAGATGTTGTTGAAATGTCTAGGATTTTTATTAAGGAAAGAGTCGCTGTGCAGACTTGCTGGTTTGTTGAGAGACAACAAGACTTCATCGTTTAAGTCGTAGATAGATCTAGATGGTGGAAGGTCATCATGTGGATTATACAACAGAAAGTCTTCATGCAAAGTATCGTTAATGGTTTCATCGTACTTGGTGACGTCGCCCAGCATCGATGCATCGTACAAAGATGCTACACTAGTACTAGCATTGCGCTGTGGAACAGATGAGCCAAATGAAATTAGATTAAACTGATTAGTACCATTTGATTGTGACGAGTCCTTGTTGTTTTTGGAGTCCTTCTTCCCATTGGTTGAAGATGATGAAGAAGATGAACTGATCTGAAATCCAGGCTTCTTCTTGGAAACCAAGTGATTTGGAATGGTTCTCTTCTTAGGGTTTTGGAACCATGTGGGTTGATTAGACGCACCCACTGTACCTACTGTTGTTGATGTGTTGCTATTGATTTGACTGTAAGGATTGCTAGTAGTGGTGTTTGTGCTCATTACTGGTTGTGATTGCGAGAAAAGAGAGTTGACCGAGCCAGAAGCAGGCTGCGATGCAAATGAGTTGTTCTGAGCTCCAAAGAGGGTCGACATTGCTATACTCTGTGGATATGATGGGGTCAATGTGATGAACTAGATTTGTTGTGAACTACCACAAAAAAAAAAGAAAACGAAAATAATGAAGTCCTCTTTTGGAGTGCACTATGTGTCGGATCGCACTCACTCTATTTAGTATCATGAGCCAGAGAAGAAGAAAGAGAAGAAATACAAGATGTCAACTCAGAAATGAAATAAAATGAAGGTGAGATAAAAATATTACTGAAATTAGCTCCTCAGAATCAGGATTTTATATATTTTACTTTTATTGAATTTTATTTCTTGGTAAGTGCACCTGTTGTTTTATATCATTTGGTCTTTTCGCAGCCAATCTCTACGAGATGTTCATCACTTTCAAATTTCTACCATTCAAGATCCTACATTTATGACCTTGGAGTCCCGTATTCCACATATGTAAGAATCTCAAAGACTCAGGAACATATATATGGAACTCAGCTCCCTTCTGATGGTGGAAACAATTCCGGATGAGGACACTGTTCATGAACAATGCTTTCAATTTAGGAAATCGACACGAATCTGCACAGAAAAGAATACTTAGCAGTTCTAGAGGATTCCCTGATATATTAAGCATAATCAAGGAGTTGTAAAATTGAGTATCCAATGAAATCCTATCGCTTAAACGAGAAATTTGATTATTAGAAACATCCAATTCTTGTAAACGAGGTGGGAATTGTAAACCTGTCAATTCTGTATAATTGTTCATACTCAAGTCCAAATGAAGAAGAGAAGAAGGAAACTTGACAGGATGACCACGTGAATTTCCGTAAGAGTCACTTAGAAGATTACCTGATAAATACAATCTGACAAGTTTGGGCGGGAACTGAATCGAGTTTATCAGTATTAAGTTGTTATGCGAAAGATTTAAGTTGACAAGTTCTAGAGGGAAGTTGTATGAAGAGTTATATGGGCCATTTAGGCTGGATATCTGATTATCCGTAAGTTCCAAAGTTCGAAGAAGATGAGGTAACTTCAAATCTTGAATGCTTTTGATATTATTATGTGACAAATTCAAATGTCTTATGGTTGTAGGAAATTTGATAGTATTCTTATCGAGTAAACTGCCTATATTACAGCCACTTAAGTTCAAGGATTCTAACAGGGGAGGGAACTTTCCAAACATTAATAGGGCCAAGGCTAAGCTGGATGAAAAGCTTAGATTCAAAGTTCGAAGCAGGTTAGGTAAGAAAAAGGCTGACTCATTATCGATCGAATGCCCCAATACGTGATAAGGTAGGGAAAGATGAGATATACTTGACATATTTTGTACCAGCGGCGAATAGAACATAATTCCAGTGTCAACTAGTCCATGAAACCATGACGAATGATTTTGAGATACAATAGAGAATATGCAAAGTCTCTCCCTGATCAAAGTGTTGGCAAAACAAGTTTTCTCTAATTCATGTAATGACCTATAAATAGATAAATCCATATTTGTCGCAATCAGTTCTTCACCAGATAACTCTTCAACAACGGGAGAAATCAAGTTTTCATCGTAATCGACAAATACGTTTATCTTGTTAATAAGACTTAAACTACTTTGTGATCCTTTATTGTTAATGATTTCCATAAATTTATGAATTAGCATTGAAAACGAACTTTTACCATTATCATTCCTTGTTCCTGGCACTAACAAATATAATGAAAGCGTCCTTGGAGCAACAGAAAGGGGTTCAAAACAGGATGATATGTGAATATTACGACCACCCTTTACCAGTTTTTCATGGTGGCAATGCGAGCATGGACCATGATAAGGCTCCATTTCCACATCAACAATCCGTGCTATATTTTCAACGTACTGCGATGATACTGATTCATTAAAATCAAGCGTATGGTAATTACTTACAAAGTAATGAGCATCTCTTAAAATAGAGTACGAGGCCATTGTAAAAGCTTCAACATAAATTCCATGACTAGGCTGAAATAAATGAAGACTTTCATAATCAAGATGTGTAAATATACGATGAATTAATTCTTGAGGGAGGTCTTGTAACTTGGCTGCAAATTCAGTAGTACCTGCAATCATTTTTATTATATAATAGCCAATGTCAGAGGACGATTAGAATATTTCGTGAGCATATATTCCCCGTAAAAACATATAGTTTGCAAGTTCTCTAATATAATATTTACCGAAACCACCAATGTATGCCATATAATCACCCTGCAAGTTACGCACACAAGTTTGCAACACTTGCCAAACAAAAATACAAAAAAACAATACAAAAAGAAAACTTCGGAAAAAAAAAACAATAACAAATTTAAAAAATGTAGTAAGTAATTCAACAAGATTTAATCATTATACTAATATACTGAGGTTCAATCGAATTCCTTCATCTTTCTAATAATTATGCACAGTTTGGAGACAGACAGGTTATAAATTCTCATTGAAGGCGTGTGTGTACCAGCATGAGTATTGGTTTGTACCATGCAGTACAGCATCGGACAAAAGCCTGTTAGTATTTTGCACACACATCTTCAGATACCTAGTAACATAAAGCCAGTTAACTAGCAGTTTATCGCACAAACCATGATACTTTCCACAGCTGAGAGATCGTACTTGTACGACTCGCTTGTCCAAACCCCGCCTATCAGGCCCGATTCCAGATCAGAACACCAATTCAGACCTCTAGAAGCAAAGACTTCGTTTTTACCATCTTCCAATGGATCTGCCAGAATCAGATTAATGGATGGGAGTGAGTGTATAGTGAGTGTTAAGGCCAAGGTTGTACGTGCTTCCCAAGAAACGAATCTTCTCGAGTGTGATGTCGATGTATCTGGACACCGTGATGACTCCAACTTTGTAGCAAACTTGAAGTTCAACTTGACCAACATTCTTCTGCAGAACTTCCCCAAGGAAGTGTTAAAGTTGACGAGCAAATATTCATTCAAGCTCTTTCTTGATTGTTTGGTGATAAGCCATTCTTCATACCCGCTCAGTTTACTCTCCTTAACCTCATATCTTGCATTGAAGACCACTCGTCTTCCATTGTTGGTCAGTGATGTTGATGATGCTGAAGTGGAAGAACAACCCACATTTTCTGATGATTGGACCAACTCTAGGTTAATGGCTGATTTGGGCGAGACTACATTCCAACCTCCAATCTTTATAACACTCGGAGTTGTTGGAAACAATTTACTTTTTGATCCATCTACTGAAGAAGAACAAGTTTTAGAAAATGGTTTGATTTTAAGTTGGTACGACGGAAAGGTCATTTCTCCTGCTTCCAATATCAACTTAGCATCTAACTCAAACAACTCCAACTTCAAGGGAATGAACGCAAAGTTAATTGTAAACAGTTTGGCACTTGTGAAGAAGTATGGTGGAGCAATTGTACATGCCTTGGACACATTGATTGAACAAGATGATGACAACGACGGAAGGGTATTTTAGAAATGAGCTAAAACATTGTACTATAGATAATATACAGCATAATATATAGAGATTTTGTAGCTATCATGAAGTCACCTTTGTGTATTTACTTTAACAAGATGTTAATTGGAACGAACATCTGAGATTATACAATCACACATATATACATTTCAATTCTTCTATATTCTAGTCGTTTATTATACAAATATATTTAACAATGTTGGGTCGAGTAGGCGTGCACAATGATAGCAGTGGCAGTCTGGATGTTCATAGAACGAATGACACCAACTTGTTTGATTTCTACACAGAAGTCGAGTTCTGCAAGAAGATCACCAGGAATACCTTCCTTTTCTCTACCAATTAAAATCAAAGACTTCTTAGGGAATTTCAATTCATGGTTCAATTCCACTGACTTGTCTGTTTGCTCAAGACCAATAAGCGTGTAACCTTCTCTTTTCTTCTCAGCGAAGTAGGAGATGATATCTTCAGGCTTAACTTCAATCATTGGCATCCAACGGTCGGCAGTAACAGCGACAGTCTTGAATTGAGGGTGGTTCTTCACATTAAGGTCATGGAGAGTTAAAGTACCAGCACCCAAAACATCACACAATCTACAGATACCTCCCAAATTTGGTGGTTTGTTGACCAATGACGAAACAACAATCAAGTCACTTCTGACAACATGTCTGGTATCTTCATCGACATCCAAGATCGAGTTCAATGCACCACTCTTGGTTTGTAATGGTGATTGGTCAATAGAGGAAGCAGATGCGGTATCTCTACTAGCAATAGCTCTCTTATCACCTTGTAATTTTCTATCCTTGATCCATAATTCTTCAAAGTTTTCACCAACTGGCACTTGTAAGGCATTCAATTGTGATTCACTCAAACATGCCAAGTATGATTCCTTGGTGATAAAGTCAATGTCTCTGTCACTAACACGCAAGAGCACACCTCCAGAGATACTGACCAATGTCATATCCTTAGTAATATCCCACAAGGTAGCATCTCCACTTCTATGAGTGCCAAATGCATCAGATAAAATAGCTGTATTATACATGTTTTCAACAACTGCAAGAAGTTGAGGGTCAATATCCAACTTCTTTGATTTAATTTCTGGATAAATGGCACATGTCAAAGACAAGGAGAAGTGTCTGGTGATAGCCTTGTTTGATGTTGCAGCAGGAAGTACAACGGTTAACAACTTTGTCAAAAGTTCCTCTTCCTTTTCCTTTGGTAATTGTTGAATCATAATAAGTAAGATACGTTCATAACTAGTAAGGAGAGTTGGTTTACCACCGTTCATATCAACGAGCTTCTTCAATGTCAAGAAGATCTTTTCGGTGTCTTCTGGACTATCCAAAAGATATGTTGCAATCATCCACTCAATATAGATTCGCACTAAAGGACTTGGATCGGTTTCGAGTAATCCAACAAAGCGAGTCATATAGTTTTGAATCATATAATGAGATGCGATGTTACGAGATGCGATAAGAATCACACTAAATAATTGAATTCTTGTCCATTCTTCCAAACCATCAGTTCTCTTGACTACTTCAAACAAGAAGAATTCTCTTTCATTGGTGACAATAAAATCCAAAATTCTCTTACTGAAATGGGAACTCTTGGTACTACCCAAAATAGCCATAATATTAACTCTGGAACTGATGTCTTCCAATCCATAAATTTCCCTATAAATATCACTATTAGTAGTTCTGGCAATCTTGGTGTCATATAATTTACCAATAATATTTTCTAAACGGAAAACATTACTTTTAAGTTGCAAGACAGTGTATCCTCTCACCAAAACTTCTGGGATCCAAGGACAAGATTCAAACTCGTCTGGATGATGAGCAATTTGGAAATCAGATAACAGCTTAGTTAAAGCTGGAAGAAGACATCTTCTACCATGTGAGTTTTGGATAACAGTGATTGAAAATGCAAGTAAGATTTCACTAATAGCTGGATTAGATACGGATTGAGAAAGAATCTTCTTGTGTGAGAGAGCTTGGATGACGGCAACATGCAAATCTTTTTGGTTTAATTGTAATCTAGCAGAAGTTAAGCTAGACCACAATTCATCAAGATGTTCTACAATGCTTTGAATGGTTTCTGGAGATTCAGCTTCAGTGATCAATCTTTGAACAAGGGTAACAAGTGCTGTGTTATGCTCCACACCCAGAGAGTTACAATCAATTATTGAAATAATATCCTTTATCTGAGAACCAGTTAAAGATTCCAAAGTACCAATGGAAACATCCAAGAGGGTATAAAGATGCCCAAATGCTTCATCGCGAACCTTATAGAAAGTCTTAGAGCTCTTGGAAGCATCTCTGGAGTTGCTGAAAAGAATAGATGAAAAGTTGATCAATGATTTAAGGTCAAACATGTTGTCCTGGCCAGGGATGGCACGACACAAGATACTAAAGAAGGAAAGCTTTTTAGCCAGGATTCTCAAGCAAAGTTCATCAGATGACTTCACATCCAGTTGAATAATTTCCCAAAACGTTGGCAAGTTCTCTGAAATTTGATCTTGATAAGTCAACCAAACATTTTCTTCGACATTAGAAAGCCTGGTATATAATTGCAATTGTTCTTCATCAACGACTTTCGAGGTAAGTACATTCGAAACAAACTGTTGCACAATCTTTGCGTCGATATCTTTCACGATTCCTTGTTCGAGAACATTGACAATAAGTGAATCACCGTCAATACTGACATTAGATTCTGGGTAAATACGTTGAATGACAGCAAAGACCAAGGCTTCAAGTTCACCACTACTATTTACAGATTGAAGATCAGCCAAAGAAACAGAGTGTTTCGAAAGGTACTCCGAAATCAAATCCACATGATCGCCGATAATTTCGCAACCATTGAATTTGTAAAATTTATCGATGCTACCAAAGAATGTAGAAACATCGACAAACTTGAAGTTAAGAAGAAGTCTCAAGTTTATAGTTTGGAGCGATCTTTGAAAGAGGAAACCTTCTGGTTTGTATTCAATCATGGAGAGTAATAAACTTTCTAAGCGGGTACCATACTTCAAAACTCGCTTTGAGTTCAAGCCTTTGAGTAATCCCAATGAAACATAAATTTTAGCCGGGTCGAAAACATCTGCTGTATTAAGAGCAGTAAAAATGGCAGTAGTTGTATCTTGAAACTCTTGTTCAGTTTCCAAGTTTTCTACTAAACTACATACAAATGCGGTAATTCTTTCACCATATTCACAGTTGTTCTCGTTTGTACATCCAACTTTTCTCACATGAAAATGAGCTGCAAGCATTGCATATGGCAAAAAGACACCCTCCAAGAAAGGTAAACCATGTTTGATCAAGTACAAGTTTTGCGGTGGGATCGACATCAATAACGATAATGCAAACTTTCTCACAGAGTCCATGGAAGCATTAAAACCAGTGGAGAGCAAGCAGAAACCCCAAGATGGATGAATTACGGAATTTGGAGAGATGAGACCAATAATATCTCTAGTACCAGCTTCAGCTTGATGGAGAGAAGTATCAATACCAAGAATTTCAAAGAGGGTAACATATCTGGCCCATTCCTTAAGGTAGACATGTGCTTTGGTAGTATCCCATGACATGAAAGAGTTAGTGAAAGAGTTGGCAATTCCTTTGACTGAAACTTGAAGAATCGATAAGGAGAATTTTCTATGTTCATGGAAGGGACTGGTCAAACCGATTTGAACGCAATTCCAGTAATGTTCAGATGAGACTTGAGATTGGAAAGCAGGATCAGCAGCCAATTCCTCAGCCAGGAAAGAAGTCAAGTAACGTAACCATAAAACATATGAGTGAGCCTTATGGTGCTTAGCGGAAGATTTTTCCAATGCAAAGATAATGGTCCAAATGCTGGTAACCATGTTGGTAGAGTTTGCAATGGAGTGGATTCTCCAACGAAGCATGCTTGAGACTGCAGATGATACCGCTTCATCATTCACACCAATAAGCAAACACAACAAGTTATCAAGCTCAGTTACGTCATCGGCCTCAACAAGAACAGAATGCATAAACATGTATTCCAAAAACTCAAAAACAGAAACAATATGCTCATTGGTGAGTTGCTGATCTTGGTCGGAAACTTCAGTACCCTTTACCAATTGTTTGAATTCAGGTAACAAGTTAACCTTTGATTGATGTAAGTACAAGGATAAGTGAGTTGTCGCACGGTTAACGAGGTCCTTTCTCAAGGCTGGAAGTCCCAGTGCCAACTTAGTGACAGCGGCATAATCATTCTTAGAAGGGTCATCAAGAATCGAGGTGCAAAAATCCAAAATTTGTGGGTAAATGGAACTCTTTGTGGTTATGTCAAGTGAATCGAGCAAGTCGCACAACACGGAAAGAGATTCTTGAGAGGAATCAATTTCCAGTACGAGACTGGTAGCCAACTCGGCCTTACGAGTATCGTCCAAGTACTTTGCCACAAGCGATATGGAGCTCATCTGTGGGTCTGGACAGTAGTTGTCTGCTAGTGAAGGCTTCATCAAAATGGAGCAGCCATCTCTAAATTTTTTTTTTGATTTACGACCTGTTCATGCATATAGGGATAAGAAAAAAGTATATGAGGTTTACAGAGCACAAGAGTTTTACAGAGTACAGTTAACATGATTACTTGTAAATTCTGTTATGATTGAATATGATTGTGTAAAAAGTGGGAAATATAATTCATTATGTTGATTTTAATTCAAATAGAAGAAATAATTCTGTACAGAATTACTAGAGATACTTCTGTGATCTTTTGTAGTTTATCACTTCATATTCTTTTTTCCACTGGAATAATTCATTTATTTATCACAATTAACACATTTATCACTTTACATTAGGGTTCTTATTATATCCAATATTAGTACTTATTCTTGGTCTCTAAACATAATCCTCTATTTTATATTATGAGACCATGAATATTTTTTCACGTGACCGCGCGGTACGTCGCTTGTAAATTCCGCTTTCAGGACTTGAATCACCGATAAGGCGGAACTTCAATTTGACTCACAATTAAGAAAATTATTATTTTCTCCACTATTGGATCATTCTAAGGAGTGGGATTTCTTTTAAAAAATAATATATAAGACTACATAGCGGCCAAGTGTTTTTTTTGGATTGTACCAATTAATCCCGATCTTCCGAGCTTCAAATGTTCGAGTCACCTTTACTCTATTCACTTTTACTAGTAATACCATATCTTGTTATCAAATATGGATCTCTTTGGCGAAGAAGTTTAACCCCGAATACAAAGGGCATCACTAATAAAAAGTCAGCATTCTATGACAAGAGCAAAACATCATCTCTTGAGCCAATGCCGGCGGATTTCCAATGGGATTCAATTGATCCAATCAAACTGTACCCTTTCAAAAATGCTGCGTATAAACTCACCATGGGGATCAAATCATTAGATGTGCAAGATTGGCTTTTAATAGAACCGACATATCTTGATAGAATAGAAGAAAAGACCAAGATTGTTACCAATAATCATCCAGATTATCCCAAGAGCAAAGATTTACCCCAAAGAACTGTATTCCTTACTGATGAATGTATCCCCGCAGTTCATGAGTTTTACGATGTGGTTGTCAATTACATGTGTACTAAATATCCAATGTATTTCACAAAATCTGAAGATGGAGAACAGTTATACAACTCTATAACAAAGGAATTTATACCTCTGGACTCGCTGAAAATATCCGGAGACTTCAGTACCACCCGCTACCTTTTACTCAAACTTGTTAGAACCATTGAGGAAGATTTTATCATTCTCTTGAAAGATCCAACCCGTGAAAATGAAGTTGATGGTACAGAATATTTCTTTAAAGGTGGAGTATTCGCATTTGCTGCTGGTTTTAATCCAAACGATCGATTCAATAAACCTCTTTCATTCATACACCATCCTATTCCAGGGTATGAATCGAAACTTAAGGTTTCCATGAATAGATTCTTTGATAGAATTCTTCCTGGTCAATTTGTCACCAGAAGTAACTTTTCAATGCAAACACATAGCCAATTCTATGTTGACGATAAGAATAAGGGCCATAACAATGCCATCGAGGAGATTGTCCCCCTCAAATTGGAAGACATTGATTTTGAGAAGGAAATGCACTACAGAAGTGAACGTCAAGTGTTGACAAAGTTACCAAAAACCGGCGCAGTTGTATTCACAATAAGAACATACTTACAACCTTTAAGTGAGGTCAAGAGACAAGGCCCTGAAGTTAGAGAACGTCTTGTGGGAGCTATCAAGGGATTTCCTGAAGAAATTGCTCTCTATAAGAGATCCATAGAATGGGGGCCAGCAGTAATCCAATATTTAGAGAAGGATGTGTAAACTTTATATCGAAGAATATTATATATTCATGTACGTACATACAAATAGAAATTTCATTATAATTTCTGGATTTCCTCACGAATATCCTCCCATATCTCCACATTCTTCTTCGCCCAATCAATAAGGAAACCATTATAACGAAGTAAAATGTCATAAATCATTTTCAATTGGCGTTTTTGGAAGCTTTTGAAGTTGTTATTAAGCTCATCAGCAATATACGAGATATCCTCAGCCATACGAACTTGGCATACTTCAAGGATATCAATCTTATTCTTGAGTGCCACAAGCTTCTGTTTACGGGTTTCTTCAGGGTTCTGGTCTATAATATCACTCACATATTGGGTAATTTTCTTCAATGAATTCATCAGAGGGAATAACTTGTATTTACTCTTGGAAATCGGGGTAGGATCAGCCTTCAAATCATATTTGGCATTCCGAACTGTGCCACCACCTTGACCATATGCCAGTTCAACCCGTTCTGATTCGGCTTCAAACCTCAGGAGCTCGTTGTATTCTCTCTTTTTATCTTCCAATTCTCGTTCCAAAAGTACAGATTGGCGCAATTTCCGGTCTTTGAATTTTCGAATACTTTGAAGTGTTGATGAATACCTTACGGCTTCCCCTAAGGGTTCCGAAAACTTAGTTTCTAAATCGCCAATTAATGAGTTGAGGGTTATATATGACCGATCGAATACTTGTCCCACTTTATCAAAAATGATATTAAGTTTGATTTCTTCATCCATAAGTGGCTTCCCGCGGATATCTGGGGAATCTGAAAGTATTAGAGAGAAGGAATTGAATATACTCCCCAATTCAGTGTAATCATTTGCTAATCCAATAAAGTTTTCCATGATTCGATTATTTGTAGAATCTAAAAGTGTCGTATTAATAATATCTTGATCGCTTCCATCAGCCACTACTGCCTCCGTGTTATCAACCAGATTATTATTAGCAGTGGTAGTATGGTTACTTTCCGTAGCAGGGGTGTCTGTACCCAAGATTTGATCTCTTCTTCGGTTAAATCGTTTTTTGTTTTCTTGAAGTGGTCGCAATAATGCTCGTGGTAGACTATGACTAGAGACTGGGAGGGGTAAGTTGGTATATATTCCATCGGTTTGGAGTCCATTTTCTGGATTCAGTTGGTAGACTGACTTAGGGAGTTGGCTGGTGATCAATACTATCTCATCTGTCCAATTAGCATTGGGATCTAAAAACTTGGAAAAAAATTCAAGATTCCGGATCTTGGGTATTTCCAAACAATTATTTAAAAAGTTAGATAATAACCTTTTCCGATGTTCCACCAATTTGTGTTTATTAAGATGATTTGAGTTGATGTATGAGTAATTGTTGTTGGGGAGTCCAATAGAATTGTTGATGATGTTGTCCTTGGTTCCTCCATTGCTTGGTCCCTTGTTTTCAGCAGGCTCACCAACACCCGCATTGACACCAGCACCAGCACCAGCAGCACCGCCAGACCCGCCAGCATCGGTGTTGGATTCCCCGACTGGACCATCCCCTGCACCATTCATATGTCCACCACCAGTGCCTGTTCCACCACCACTCGTAACACTTGCCACCAGTATGTTACTGGCAACTAATCCATTCAACACATTCAAATTGAAATAGTTCTTTGGAGGAATAGGTGGCACTATGACCAAGGGGAATATCTTAGTGAGTATATCTCGAAGACTCTCAAAGTCACTGTATCTTCTTCTGGTTTGGATATCTTCACTTGGATCGTCCACATTGATCAATCTAATCGTGTATACGATATACTTCTTCAGTGAGTTCAGCACTCCTTCGTTCGAATTACCAGCCTCGGTTATCTGGATCCGCACCTTTGTGTGTGGTTTCAAGAGTCTTGTAACCCTAGTTTCATGATTGAGTTGTATTCTGTTAAAATCAAAGTCTCCACTAACGACCACATTGGACCCTTCACCGCCGTCAACTGCCTGATCTGGCTGAGTTGCCCCCACATTCTGGTTAGAGGTTAGCAGTTGCAGTGGTGCAGTGCTCTTGTAAAGCAATACAGACTCTTCGGGACCCTGTAGCGACAGCACCCGGGTTGTAGACGTCCCGTCCTCATTGGTGTCATCCACAATATCCACAGCTTTCCCATCATTGATAAGACTCGCAAGACCTTGCGTATGAGAAAATGGATTGTTATCCTCCTCTACTTCATCAAAGACAGAATTGGTGTCAGGCTCTTCTGACATAACGTTCAAAATATTGTATAGATATAAGACAATTGATAAGATTTACTTCTTCCAACCTCAATTATCCCTAAGAATATATATTATAATGGGGTAATACGGAAAGAAGGATATCGCATTTAACGTCACTATCTATATCATGGGCTGCATACAGTCCGTCAAATTCCTGCACCCAGGACGTAATGCAAACTAGAGTCTATATATACAATTCTTCATTCAATGCAATTCTTCATTTATATAAGGAAAAGGAATTGTTGGATACTTAAACTGGATATATATATATATATATATACTACAACTATCTCTATAATAAAAATACCAATTTTTTCTTTCTATTTCTTGAAACTTGTTCTTACTATATGTATTCTTAGCCTGTACACAGCACCCCCACTTCACTCATACTTTCAAAATGGCACAAATAGTGAAAAGGGGTGTGCACAGGCGAAAAAATTATAATGAATTGAAAACAAAAGAAAAGTGAGTAGAGATATAGTACAGTAGTTGTCAACAACCAAAGAGAGGACTAAGAAGCATATCATAGATAATGACTATTGATTCTAGTGTTGTTTTTGGTGTTAGAAACCCGTTGAACGGTGGAGTTCCCACTCCAACAACTGCCACAACGACGTCTTCAGTGGTACAACAATTTGCATCAGCACTTCAAGAATATCAATTGGCGTCCAGTTCAGGAGATCCATTCGAAATTATTAACAATTTCAAAGCTATATCTGCTGGTGAAGCTCTCAAATATGGCGAGGCAAGCATCTCGAATCCTTCCGATGAATATATCAAGGAAACATTTGAAACTTACGATTTAGAAACCAAGATGTGGCATTTGGTATACATTTTATATTCCTATAGAATGGGGAAAGATAATGAAAAATTACTTCCAAATTATAAATTCTCTTCTGAAGATGTCAAGAGACACAATTTCTTATATGAAAACCGTAAAATTAGAGAAGTATCACTTATAATTAATTGGTTACAAGAAAATACAAAATCAGTGGATACCAAACAATTAGCTACGGGATCTAAATGGCAGGCCACTAAGCTGGAACTTGCAAACCAAAGTCTCAATGTTTTGGCATCCAATGGAAGTAGATCATCGACCCTCAAGGAACTCGATTCAGATGGTCCATTGAGAAATAATCAACAATCTTTACATCCGGACGATGAGTCTGCAGACTCTCAAAACTTCCAACTCATATACAGATTGGTTCTCTCTAACCAGATAGATGATGCTGTGGAAGTAGCCAACAATACTGGTAACTTTACTCTTTCACTTATTCTCCTTGGAGCAGTACATAATTATGTTGATCCTGTCGTAGATCAACAAGCATTTGCTCAAGGCGAAGAAGAAGGAATGATTTTGGAACAAGATGAAGAATTATTGAATAATGATGCTCCCTCAGGTCAAAAGCACAAGTATTTGTGGAGACAAACAGTGTACAAGTTGTCACAACAAACTAACATCAATACATATGAACGTTTGATTTATAGCTATCTTTGTGGAGGGGACGTTGATGCCAATATTAAAGAAGCCAAGGGTAATTGGGAAGAAATCTTGTTGGTATACTTAAATCAATTATATGTGCACAAGATGGGAGAATTCATAATATCGAATTTAGAAAAAGAAGGCATCTCGAATAAGGAAGCTCTTGCAGTATCCATCCCATCACCTCAAAACGATGGAGTTGATGACATTTTGAATGTTATTCAAAGAAATTCTAACAGCATAGCATCAGAAGAGAGTAGACATCCATTCAGGTTGATTTGTGGAGGAATCATGATAGAACAAGTTTCCACCTTATTACATAATATCATCAAGCAGTTGAGCGTAGAACAACAGAACTCTTATATTATCCGAGTGGTGACACATTTGTCCATTTTCCTGCTCATTATTGGAGGAGAAGATGTCATTAAATCCAAGGACATCACCAAGGTTATTTCCTTGTATATTGCCTACTTATCTACAATTAAGAAGGAGGAACTTATACCAAGTTATCTTGCATATATCCCCAATGAAAGTGATGCTAGAGAATGTTATTCACTTTTCTTGTCATCTCTTACCGATCCAAAGGAAAGAGCCAAACAAATTGAAATTTCTCGTCAATTCTTTGAACCGCTTGGAAATGAAGTTGGTGACGTTGAAATGGATATTGGGGTAGATGATTCTACTTCATCAACATCTGGTGATTATGAGGGTAAGATGGTGAATGTTTTGAGAAGAACTGTAGAACGGGTAATGGTTGAAACAGCTTCTCATTATGCACCAAATACTTCTGGAATATCTACTGATGAAGAAGTGGATGAAATCGACTTCAAATTGTATAGAGCAGTAGAATGGTTTTATGAGAACAAAATGTATGAAGATGCAATCTCTGCTACCATTACCATTATTCGTCGTTTCTTACTTTGCGGGAAATTAAATGCTTTGAAGCAATTTGGTAAGGAAAAGAATTTCAAACAATTAATTAAAGATTATGACTTTGACGTCAATACCAAGATGTTTAGCAGTAGTTCTGCTTCAACTAGTGTTACTGAAGAGGATAAAGAAGAACTTATACAATATGAAGTGTTTATTCAAGGATTGGCACTCATCGACGATTGGAAGAAGTTTTTAGAAGAAAGTCAAATAAATGGTGCACAAACATCGAAAAACTTGTCATTTTGGAAAGTGCCTCATGTTGGTAATTCCATTGAAAAAATTTCATCAACTTTAGGAAAACTTACTTTCAATTGGTTCAGTAGATTAATCTCACAAGATTATTCTGAAAATGTAGCCTTATTCAAGGAATTCAGATCAATTTATATTCCGTATCTTGTTATGGAATTACTTCAAATTTATCAATATTCAAGATTGAATGATTGGAAATACATGCGTTCTGCATTCAAGTTGATCAACGATATTGCTGATGATGAATCTAATGATTTATTAACATGTTTCGTTAACAGTGGTAGATTAAACGAAGTTCTTCAAAAGAGTGGAGAAATTGCTGCAGTTGCCTCGGAAATAGGAATTGGGGGTATCTTTTTTTGAAAGATGACATATTAATAGATAGTTCTACATATATAATAATTAAATCATATTTACATCGTGCTTTCGCCCTTTTTCATTCTATTTCAACTTTTTGTTTATTAATATTTCTAATTAAGAGAAGATGCCTTTTCGTATAATAAATCTACAACACTTGACAAGTGCTTAACCAAATCTAAAGAAGCTTCGTAAGTGGCATCCTTTCTTGGTTTATCATAGACAATCAACCAACCATTACCTTGGTCAAGAACCCCGTAAAATACCTTGTCTAAGATCATTTGGGACAACTTCCCTTCAACTTGATTCAAACTTAAACCAATGGTCTTGGAAATGTGACTCAATTCAACGGTACTGTAAGATTCAATAATCTTCAACAAATTTTGTTCGAGCAAGTTATCATATAAAGCATTGAAATGACTCTTAATGATTGAATCGGATTTCAATTCATCAGCATAGGTAACAAGAGAGCCTTCAAAATCTTTCAAGGATCTGTTAGAATAGGCTGTTGCTATGGACTTCATGGCGTCAATATCTCTAGATTGATACTTGACGACATTCTTATGGCCCAAGATATTGTTGACATCGTCTACGAGGTTCAACATGATCTTGGTAAGAAGCATGTACTTTAAAACAACAATGGCCCTATGATCTTCTTGAGAATTAAATCCTTCAAACGATTCATAAAAGTACGAGAAGGCAGTCTTATAGTCCTTGTCTTCAGCATTAAGTATACCACTTTGACAATCTAATTCGGCTTGTAACAAAGTAGGACAATAAATGGCATTGGCAGAAGTTCTTGCACTAGTGAGGGCAGCACGAGACTTTGGGATGTTTCTCAAAGCATGGTATATTTGGGATTCGAGGAGTTGAACTTCAACCAAGGATGACTTATCATCCAATTTCTTGTATTCACTCAAAAGATCAGTGATGATTCTAAGAGCCTCCTTATATTGGTGCTTTTGATGAAGCAAGGAAGCAAGTTTCAATTGTAATGATTGTTTTAAAAAGTTCAATTTAGATTCAATTGCCCATTCGATACACTCCTTGGTGGTCTTTATGGAAAGATCCACCGAGTCTGGGATACCATCAATATATTCAATAAGAGTTTTGATGATTTTAGCAGTTTTAGACTTTGCAAAAGTTCCTAAAACAGTTTTAGATTCACTAATAAGAGCGCTAATCTTTTCCTTGGCCTGTTGCTTTTGGTAAATCTTACCGAGTTCCAAGATAGCTGCCTCTTGTTCCTGAAGAGTCTTGTTTTCTGGAACTCCAGCTTCTTGTGGGGATTTAATAATCGCTTGATATTTTGATTCTGCGGCGGAGAAGTCTGAATCGGTGGCAGATTCTCTGGCCAGAATAAGTGCTGGCGATACTGACATGGCTACAGAGTTGTATATGTCAATTGATAATGGTGTATAGCAACAAAAAGGAAGAAATTAATTAATGTAATAAAAAATAAATGTAACAATCAAATACCGTTGATAATGTTGAATATATGTGGTCAAGTTCAATGTTAAGATTTTGGGAACCTTTCATTTTGCCTTCTGATTATATAAGCATTGATTATATAAAAATAAAGAAATCAAAAAAAAAAAGATCACATGATCAGAAGTTATTTAGAGTTACACCAATGGATTAGGTTTTTTTTTTTTTTGGTTGTCATTTATCAAACGACATTGTAGATCCACTATTGGTACATATTTGTAATATGATTGGGTTGAAATCCAGGTTACAACTCCGAGGAGTCACTCTGGTGAGAAACATTATCAAACCCAATACAAATTTCTCTCGTAACAAGTCATTTTTCACAATTCCTCCACCACCAAAGAAGAATAAAAGATATGAACATCTTCCAAATTGGAGACAATGGGCTGCATATCTTGGAGAAAACGAGGCTCAAAAGAAGGCCACCAAATACTACGTTGCTGGGTTTGGGGTTGTTTGTGTCTGTTTCTACTATTACATGCGTGACAAGTTTTATGAAGATCAACAAAGTAATCTTATTAAGGCCAAATTTTTAAAAGATCCTGATAGTCTTACCGAATATGAACACCTTAGATTGAAATTAATCTGTGGTGAAGCTCTCAAGAGTAGAGAGGAAAAATTATTCCGTATGTATCTGGAAATGAGAAAGGAATTTTTCAGAAAGAGTTTAGCTAGACGTGATGACTTAACTTTCCTGCCAACGGAAGAAGATTTAGCTGCTTGGTATGATAAACAACCAAAGAGAGTGATGAAAAAGGCTCCTGTAGGTGATGCAACTACTGAAAATGGTGTCGTTGAAGAAAAAGTGTCTCGTGGTATCAGTAATAAGGAAAACCCCAATATCATGGAAGCCCATGACACTACTGAATTTTTTGACGAAAAGGCAGAAGCTTACGATGCTGAGGTCAATTGGGAAGAAAGAGCTGTCCTTATGGGTATGCGTCGTAGAGAAACCATGAGTTGGTTGGATGGTGATGTCTTGGAAGTCTCTTGTGGTACTGGTAGAAACATCGACTATCTTAATTTAGAAAAAGTTGACTCTATTACATTTTTAGATTCATCTGAAAAAATGGTGGAGATCACTAGAGATAAGTTCAAGGAGAAGCATCCTAAATTTAGAAAGGCGGCATTTACTGTGGGTAAGGCTGAAGATTTGGTGGAATTAGCTGGTCTGGGACCAAATGGAGTTAAATATGACACTATTGTTGAGACCTTTGGATTATGTTCACATGAAGACCCGGTCAAGGCATTGGAAAATATGAAACATCTTTTACGTCCTGGGGGAAGAATTGTCCTTTTGGAGCATGGAAGAAGTACTTGGGACATGATCAATAATCATTTGGATTTTAGAGCCGACAAGAGAATGAAGACATGGGCATGTAGATGGAACCTTGATATTGGAGAGTTGATTGAGGACGCTGGGCTTGACATTACTTATGAGAAAAGAGTTCATTTTGGTACTACTTGGATGCTTGTTTGTAAGAAACCAGAAGATCCAATTAGAATGGATGAAAAGACCTTTCTCCAAAAGTTATTTGGTAGAGGACCCCGGATTGAATAGAGAGGGTTGCATTGTAAATAGAAGTATTTGTATATAGGCATTTAAATCAATTTTATATAATAGAAATAATTAAAGATATATTTCATCAGATTTAGTTTGTTCCTCTTGCTTTTGAGAGAGTAGTCCACGGCTGGTCATTTCTGCATCCAATGCCGTCACTCTTTCCCTTTGACTGGTAATCACAATCTTGTTTTCCTCGATTGATTCCTGATACAATTCAAGGTCCTCAGCAAGAGATTGGTGACTCTGATCGGGGTTCAATTGGGCAATTGCCTCCTTTGTAGTTGAGATCTCCGTCTCAAGTAATTCATTACTCTCTGTAAGTTTCAGTATGGAGTTTAGAAGCTGGGATTTCACTGAGGTGATATTTTCATCAGATAGATCTTTGATGGCTAAAACAAAGTCATCTATGGCTATAGGGGTTGTGGTGGATGACATATAATAATGTGAGAGGAATCTGTGGAGTATAAAATTTAGATAATTTTGTTCCGCACTGGAATTATATGTCCTGAAAGGAAGAAAAAAAAAAGTTTGGAATAAGATCATAAACTTTGCAACTCTTGGAGAAGAAATTATCTACTATGTTGACCAGACGATTGTTAGGAGCAAGATGTGGAGCCTTAGGCATGAGGTTGGGACGTTTGTACACAACACGGGTGGCAGAAGAAAAATTCACGCCTATTAATTTGGATGACATGCCCAAGCTTCATCCACTGCTTTTGAAAAGAGCTGAGACGTTAAAGGAAGAGTTGAGTGTATTGGAGAATAAAATAGAACAAGGATCCTTTGACCAGGAAACTAGTGTGAAGTTCTCGACGGTTCTGGGGATTTTGGAAACTTATGGACAATACGAGTCGTACAATGAAAGTCTTGAATTATTAGTTGAGATGTTAAATGAAGAACAAGACGCGGAGCTTGTACAAGATGCAGTGGGAGAACTCAAGGAGATCATTCCTAAGTTGATACAATGTACGCAGAAGTTGCAGGCTAAACTTATTCCTGCGGTGTTACATGCTGATAAGCCAACGATTATGGAGTTGAGACCTGGGGTCGGAGGTTCTGAAGCACAACTTTTCACCGGAGATTTGCTCAATATGTATATAAATTTTGCTAACCATAAGAGATGGAAATGGAAACTTGTTCTGAAGAATGAGGTTGGGGGTGTTGGTGGTGGGAGTGGATTATCTGAAGCAGTACTTAGTATTGATGAGCCAAGTTCATATAACATTTTAAGACATGAAAGTGGGGTACATCGGGTTCAAAGAGTTCCAGCAACAGAAACAAAGGGTAGAACACATACTTCCACAGCAGCAGTCGTTGTGTTACCAAAAATGTCTGACGGAACAGATGCTTCGTTGGCTGAAGATGAACGCCAATTTCAGCCTGGAGAAGTCAGAATTGATACCATGAGAGCAGGTGGGAAAGGTGGACAACATGTGAATACCACAGATTCTGCCGTTAGACTTACGCATATCCCCACTGGTATTCAAGTGCAACAACAAGATGAACGGTCGCAACCACTTAACAAGGCCAAAGCATTCTCCATCTTGCGTAGTAGATTGGCAGCACTTGATCGAGAAAAGGAAATTGCCGAACAGAAGAGTTTAAGAACAACTCAGGTGTCGACGACAGATCGTTCAGATAAGATTAGAACATATAATTATTCTCAGAATAGAGTAACAGATCATAGATGTGGATACTCTATCCATGACATTGCAGGATGTTTATCAGGAGAACGATTAGAAGAGATTATTGAAGCGGTGGAACAAGAGGAAGTTAAAGAAAAATTAGAGGCATTATAGATATATAATATTGTAAATAGATAAAATAGAAGATTAAATACTGGAAAGAGTAATTGCAAGTCAGCGGGACATCAAGTAAAAAAGAGTTATATTGTACCATATCAGTCCTTTGGACGCAAAGTATATATCCCATCACCTGTTTTATTCATCTAAGTACTTTGTGAGAATATCTTCCCGTCAGCAATGGAAAGTGTATTCACACCATTTTTTAATAGGTTGAATTACCTTATTCTTCCTCTTCAAAATCATATACATGCAACAAAGTATTCGAAACATCATGGAAGTATGTTGTCGCTCTTACGTTCAAAAATTGATCTACAAATAAAATACCAAGCCCAAATTGGGGTAAGAACTACTAACTTCCCCCTAATACTTAGAGACAATTCACACAATTTCGTTTGTACGAGGTTTGATACGAGATTTTTTGTTCCAAAAAGGGTACTATATTATTCAACTTACTCGATTACCTAATACTGATATACATACTAGAAAACTTAAAAGTCAATTCTTGACCACCGATAGTCATTCTCATGTTTCTTCTGTGCGAACTAATAAACGAAAATTCCTACTTTCTATACAACTATGTAACTTTGTAGTTTCAATCTATTTATATATATATATATACATTTTCGCTACATTGCTTGAAACCATCACAGACCCCATTAGGTGTGCTTATCATGGACATCACCTCCAAGACATTCACCTTCATTAGTACCTATCTGGTATACCTAGTACTGCTATATATTGAATTGGAACTTCGAGATATTTCTATCAAGTTAGTATGAGGAGTACATTGCATTTACAGCTTTCTAGTCTGGGTATCCTGATGCACCTTCCATTCCCCTGCAGTGTGGAAATACGAACTCTGAAGAGCTTTCCATTGGTCATGTGATGTGTGAAAAAAATATGGAAAAAAATAATACATTTCGCGCAAAGCAACGCATAAGGCGTTTAAATATCACATTGATCTACTCACAATTACCAAACAAAATCCAAACACCAGATCATTTCAAGATTGATTGGTTCTTGCTTTCTAAAAGCCAAAATACAAAGAAAGCGCTCTACATTCAAAAGAAGCGTCTTCTAGTTTCAACAATTCAATCATTGTGTATGTCACAGGGAAAATAGTTTTTCCTGCTCCGTGTGGGGTACTTAAGCCCTCTCCTGCATGTTGCATCAGAGAATGCACATTTAATCAAGTTCTAGACCCCAATGTTCTTCACCAGGGTCTACTATGAATAGTCACACACAAGCACCATTGTGTACTATAAATGCAAAAGAGGGGACTCAAAAGGAAAGTACTTACTGATACATACACATCCAAAAAAAAAATAGGAGTATGGCTGAAAAAAAGATCAGATACAGATATTACTTTAAAACTGCCCTTGGCATAAAACAATGCCCTTTACTTGTGCAAGTCCAGAAATAGCATTTCATATGTATGCTCTTGTCTTTCTTTTTATTTTTTTTAATTGTTTTTTTTTTTGAATCTCGTCCTTTTTTTTGACTCTCGGTCCTCACGCGTTAAGATCAGAATAGTACACGCGAATGCAAACTTCCGAGGTCAGCAAAAGGTTAATTTAGGAAGTTGGTGACCTTGTCGTGGCGTGTGTCAAGTATATTTAGCCCAATGGACTAAGTTTGTGTTGGAGAAAAGTACCGCCGCTAATACCTACGACTATTGCATTGGGTCCCCCCCCCCCTTGGTTGTTCTGTTGCCCCGACGTGCTTTTTTGAATTTTTTTTTTTCTTTTCTTTTTTTTTTTTGATTTTTTTTTTGATTATTGTATTTTATTTTTTTCTGACTTGTGTCTCTCGTTGTTAATATAGACGCCTGGAACAGAAAAAATAGACACTTTTCCATAACTCACGCTCCGAACACGTCCCTACTGCCAGTGAAAGTACAGTCAGTTCCTCCTTTCTCAAACCTGATCTCACGCATTATAGCAGGAGTACGCGAATGAGTTGTTGACCAACACCCAGAACTGACCGCATACTGACACACATTCACACATAAGGCCCACACAATCGTTTTCTCCCAATTTCATTTGTTTGTTTTGGCCCCCTTTAATTCTACCAAGTCACTCGCTTTAATAACTTACATATGGTAATGCTCATCCGCCTAAACATGGCCTCGCATTTACTGCTTGTGTTTCTCTTGCTTGTGTCACAAGTGGCTGCCCTTGGGCTCACCATTGAACCGACCCTAGCGGGCGACAAACGCAAGTACTCGGGTCTTCAAAACCTCCACAACTGCATCAGTTACCCCACGGTACGAGACGATATCATCATGGTACGCATCAATAGTGGCGATCGCATAGCTTCACAAAAGCTCAACCTTAACATATTTGACTCAGAAAACAACAAGATCAGATTCAAGAAGGATATCTCACAGGAGATCAACTTGATCTTTACGAACTTGAACAGTCCGTCAGTGGTAAATACCGAGGTCAAGCAGGGATCCAGCAAACGGTCCAATATTTTCAATCGACTCCATCATCTTGTTGCGCAAGGTTCCACCTCTGAAAATGATAACACCAACATTGATAAAGGTGTGGATGCAGCAAACGCGAACGCGGACTCCCCCGCCACTGACCCAGCAGATCAACACATATACAACAACAAGGGCAAGTCTCTAATTTACATCTGCTTTGACAACATCTACACTGACCGTTCATGGTCTTTCCATGCTCAGTCGCGAGACATTGAGCTTTTCACCGAAATTAAAACCTTCAGTTCTATCAAAGAAACAAATTATAATAACTATGCACATTATTTCAATAAGGTAAGCAAGAAGGGAGGTTCCAACCAGGAAGGGTCAAACCAAGAAGGGTCCAACCAGGAAGGGTCCGAGGACTCATCCGACAATTCAAATGGACCCACGGGTGCGAGAGTCCCACAAGAATTTACTCAAGAAGACTTTGAAGCCCAAATCTCCACTCTTGAACATGAATTACAAGAAGTATCGAACGCCTTGACGGCGTCAAGTAACGTCCTTCTGCAATTATTGGAGCACGAGTCGCATCTCAGAGATACCAACGAAGAAATATTTGCTGGATACACTAAGTTTTCAATCATGATGCTTGTATCTATCCCAATTTGCGCGTTGTTCCAGCTCTTATACCTGAGGTACTACTTGAAGAAACGGAAGGTTTTATAAACAAAGAAAACAAAAGCATTAAAAATATTTTGGCATGGCAAGAATTACCCCACCTATAATACCATAACAGGTGGATTTCCCGGGTGAATAGCATAGTAGTAGTAGTATATATATAAAGAAGAAAGATAGGAATGTATTTTATTTTATTTTATTTTATTTTTATATTAATACTATGGTACTTCTCTAGATCTAACCTCTCATCTTTTCGTTATTGGTCACGTCTTGACAGATACCCTCCATGGCTTCCTTGTCTATCAAACTGCCAACATCTTCATATGCCAAACTGGCCTCATACCCCATTACAATACGTTGTTCTGTGATCCCCAATTCTCCGTAACTTAAAGCCTTAATCACATTGTAATAACGTGCTATCGTTTGACGAACAGAGTTTGAAATGGCCTCGTTCTTATCAGAATAGATTTCCCATGAACTTTCTTCTTCCAAACGGGTGATCGATACAGATCCTTGGCCTGGTGCATATGAACCCAGGCCCAGCGCCACGTCTAATGATGCTTGGGCCTTGTTTGTAGATGCATTAGCACTGCTACTAGAACCAGCCTTGATCTTACTCAACCATATGTATCCGTTAACCCCTACAATGACGTTTATGTTTCCCGGAAGTTGGTAGGAATGATTTTTAGACTTGACGACTAATGATGATGGAACCTTGAGGAAAATCCCATTACGTAACTTCCCATACTTGAGAGAACGTGTATGCAATGACGCAGACCCATTGGTGAAAATACTCTGTACTTCAGCATTCAATAAATCCCCCTCTTTCAAGAAATTACGCATTTGTAACTCATCACTTTCAGACTTTCTACGAAGCACCCCACCAGGCAAGTTCACAGACCCAAGCATCAATACAGCATCCTGTTTACATCCGATGTCCACCTTCCACCGTTTAGGACCAACCTCGGTAATTCTACCAACTACATGGTCACCAGTCTCGGCCTGGTATCTTCCTCTTAACGGTATCACACTTAATAATCGGTTGACTCTAGATACATTCCCAGCGACAGAGGAATAGGTTTGGTCGTGCAAAAAGTAGGTCCCATGACCTTTCATCCACACAGGATCATCCGTTACAAGCTCCCCTGGTGTGACAATGGATTCCTTATTAGTTTCTTCGGCATCGGACATGTCCACATCCGAGTCGATATCAACATCGTTGTACAAAAGCGATGGTTTGGTAATTGAAATCACGTCCATCTGATCTGAATGCAAATAATATGAGTCTGACGAAGTTTTATGATAATGCAAAGTATCCCTTTAATTCAATAGTATATCCTCTGTATGTATATATAAATGAATATATATATATATTCTTCTTCTTCTCCTTCTTCTTCTCTCTCTCTCTCTCTTTCTCTTTAATCTCTATCAACTTAAACTCATCGGTCGTGTCTGCGCAAAATAAAAGCTCTCCAAAAAAAAAAAAAAAACCTGTGTACAAGATCCGCTTCATCAGTTAGTATGAGCCATCTCTCAATGATTCATTAACGACTTTTAAAAGGTAAATTTACCAACGAATGTTCAGAAGATTCACCGGCATAGTATCTTCTCAAGTCTTACTTCCATCGAAATTACAGGTATCAACTCCGCGTTTCATCCATTACATTTCAAATAAAACAGACCGTCGTGACTTCATGTTGAAATCTAAATTTGGTCCTCCAATAAATCGGTCTATGACCGAATTAGATCGCTCTTTCTTCAAGAAAGAGGTACTGCTTCTTGTAGCATACTTCCCAGAACCTCGTTATCTTGGAAACTTTGTGAAATCATGTAAAAGGGATATTTTAAACCTTCCTTCAATCAAACATATTGTCAACATATCAGCTGATAAAAAGGGTGTCTTACTTAGAGAAGACATTGAAACATTGCAAGAATCAGAAGAAAAATTAACCCAATTGGCCAAGGATAAAATTAAAGAGTTTGGTGCTATTATACAACCATACACTTTGGAATTAGACTATTCCTTTTGGAAGGCTGATGATATCTTGAGAGCTGTTTTACCTCAAGAACTTGAAAGTGATATCCCTACTGGATTTGCTCAAGCTGGTCATGTTGCTCATTTAAACTTGAGGGACGAGTTCAAACCATATGGTAGTCTTATTGGCCAAGTATTGATCGATAAAAATGGTAAAGTTGAAACCGTTGTTGATAAAGTTGACTCTATCGATACAAAGTTTAGAACATTCAAAATGAATGTATTAGCCGGAAGAAATGATTTGGAAGTAGAACAAAGTGAAAGTGGATGTCGTTTCAAATTTGATTTCAGTAAGGTTTATTGGAATTCAAGATTGAATACTGAACATGAACGTTTAATCCATCAATTCCAACCTAAGGAAGTGGTTGCAGATGTATTTGCTGGAGTCGGGCCATTTGCAGTCCCTGCTGGTAAGAAGTCTGTTCTTGTTCTTGCCAATGACTTGAACCCAGAGCTGTACAAGTACCTTAAAAGTAATATCACATTGAACAAAGTGGATGACTTTGTGAAACCATTCCATTTGGATGGTAGAGAATTCATTAGAGACTCTCCAAAACTTTTGCTCAATTGGGCTGAAACTTCTAAAACTGTTGAAAAGAAGAAATTAGTTAAGCGGAGAAAAGTGGAAGGTGCAACCACATCTTCATCCACTTATGAAATAACCAAGGTTGATATTCCAAAATATTTGACTAATTACGTAATGAATTTACCTGATTCAGCCTTGACATTCCTTGACGAGTTCATTGGTTTGTACAGTAGAGACCCAGAAGTGGAAAGGGTAGTGAGGTCCTTATCAGACTTTAAACTCCCAACCATCAATGTCCATTGCTTTGAAAAATACGCTTCCGATGAGAGCCCAGAACCTGCAATGGAAGAACTTCACAAAAGAGTACATGCCAGAATAGTCAAATTAATCGACTTTGAAATCCCATTTGAATCATGCAAATTCCACTTGGTTAGAAAAGTAGCTCCAACTAAACCAATGTTCTGTGTAACATTCGAGTTGCCAGAAGAGGTTGCATTTAAGAAAACATATAGTACATAGAATCACAAATTAGAGATATTGCCACAAATACAAGAAATATTTAATTTGAAAAAAAGATGCTGCAAAAATGTAGATTTTTTATCTTTTTTTAATTCTGTTATCAATTGAAGCTTGATTTTTGCTTTACTCGCCCAGATGTCTGTTCCACATGATGTATACAACTATACCGAGTTGACCACCTCATATATGGGGTTTTTCTATTCGGAACAGTTTTCAAAGTTATTCAACACAACTCATACCGGGGCAGCGCATTCTTCAGCTGGAATGGACTATTCTGTACTTGGTAAAACTATAACCACTTCTTTATGCTTTTGCTTGGTACAATTAACGTTATTTAGTTTCTTCAGATTAATGTTTAAAGATTTGTATCAACCACGGTGTTATTGTGTTCCGGTGAATGAAAGAATGGATGTGCTACCTCGTGGGTTTCTTTCATGGATAATCCCTACCCTTAAATATGATGCATTCAATTTTCTACCCTTGGGGTTAGATGCATACTTGTTTGTTAGATTCATTCACCTACTCCTTCTTTTCTTTTCTGTTATTGGTACCTTGAATATAATAATATTGGTTCCAATAAATTGGACAGGAGCTACAAGTACTCATACTTCTAGAGGTCTTGATAGATTGAGCCTATCAAACATTTCACCAGAAAACACTACTAGACTACATTCCCACCTTGTAATGGCTTTGATTACAATCTCATTGTTCCATTGGTTGGTCATTTATGAATTACAAAGTTTTGTAAAAATACGTCAATCTCACCTTCTTTCCATGCGACATAAATTAAAAATTTCTACATCAACTATTCTTATTAGAAATGTACCAGAATATTTAAGAGATTTAGATGTGATTAATCAAGTGTTTCTGGTTGTTCCAGGTGGTATCAAGAATGTTTGGTTCTTGTACGATTTCACTGGTATATCAGAAGATGTGAATGATGCAAAAGAAGCTATGCAACATCTTGAAATGACCGAGGTTCTGCATCTTAAAAAATTGTTGCAAATACGTCATAATGATCAAACTATTGATATTCTAGCAGAAATGAAGAATTATCAAAATGATGAAAAATTTTATCCTCCTATTCACTTTAAGTCTTTCCATATACCTACTTTGGATAGAAAAGTACGAATTAAATTACCGGGGTTTCTTCGGATTTTCCTTCGGCAGAAAAAAGTGTTGAAAAGAGATTGGAGTATTCAAACTTTGACTGCAAAACATAAATCCATTGAAAACTGGAAACAGTTATTATCACAAGGAAATATCCCAAAGCATAGCAAGTTATTCATACAGTTCCAGTCACAAACTGGTGCATATGTGGCACACCAATGCTTACTTTCTCAAGTTCAAGGGAACTTGGATTTCACACTAATTGGGGTAAATTCGAATGATGTGCTATGGCACAACCTATCTAGAGATAATACAGTTGGATACATAGTCGAACGGTATGCAGTTACGTTATTGTTAATTGCGATTATAATATTGTATATTTTTCCAGTATCTTTCATTGGGTTATTTTCGCAGCTTCCGTTGCTAGTCCGTGTGATTCCATCATTACGTTGGGTATATGCATTTCCTGGAGACATTAGAGAAACTCTTGCAAGTCTACTTCCGTCAATAGTACTCACCATGCTTACCGAGCTTGTATTAGTTGTTTTCAGGTTTCTTATTTATTTTAGAGGTAAGGCTACTGGTTGTGAAATTGAACTTAATTTACAAACTTGGTATTTTGTTTTTTTATTTGTGCAACAATTCTTGGTGGTTACTATTCTGTCAAGTATCACCGTCATATTCAAACAAATAATCGATCAACCAACTTCCATACCAGTTTTATTAGCGACAAACTTACCAAGAGCAGCAACATTTTTCTTTCAATACTTTGCCCTCAAGGCATTTGCATTTTGCGGTAATAGCTTTTTGAGAATTGACCAATTGATTTTAAGATACACCATTCATAGATTGAAAGATAGAACGCCTAGACAAATTTTTTTCAGAAAAACCACTTTATTGAAAGTAAGATGGGGATCATTATATCCTACATTTTCTGTGTTTTCCACCATAGGAATATCGTACTGTATTATCTCGCCGTTGGTCAACGTATTTATCGTGTTTATACTTCTGTTAACCTTACTTTATTTTAAATATGCCTTACGTTTCATATTCAGTCATGTCAATCATTCTGAAACACATGGAAGGCTCTACCCAATTGCACTTTTACATATGTATGCGGGAATTTACTGTTTAGAAGGATGTCTCATAGGAATATTTTTCTTACTGCGGGATCAAAATGGAAATCGTTCTGTTTCCATTGATGGCTGGATTATGTGTTTAGTGCTTATGGTCACTATATTTGGTCATATCACCTTATACAATAGATATGTGAAGCACTTCTCTTTATTGCCAATTTTAGACGACAAAAAATATGAAAATTTGACACGAAGAGAAGATGGGAGTTTTGATTTTGAAACACTAAACCGACCACCAAATCATGGACCTCTAATTGATAGAGAGTATTATCTGAATCTCAAGTTACATCTCCTTCACCCTGCATTTAGCTATGAACATCCTCGGATATGGATACCACAAGATGAGTATGGGATAGCATCTATGTTAATAACGCAATTGGAAGAGGAAGTGGGAGATTTGAAAGGCGGGAGTAATAAAGGAGCAATTATTGAGCAAGGTGGTCGATTTTTTGGTCCCAAGATTTCAATCTTTGAAGCACCACCTGATTATAAATAGATTGAATTCGCATATCAAACATCGTACCTATCGATTCGTTGTTTTATTCGAAGGCCGCGTAGCATCATATTCCATGCCTTAATACTATTTAACTCCCGCTTTTCTACTTCTCTTCGATTTATTTCAATTTTACCTGCAAGCCATAGTCTCTTTACTTTGTTCTCTATTTCTTCTGAAACTATTACGCCTTTTTTTATGGGGACAGCATATCCAGGACTAATTTTGAAGTCGAACCCTATTACTACAGGAACAAAGTCGATCGTCTCGTTAACGCCTCCAGTCGTCAGAAACCATTTCCTTTTATGATTATAATCTTCCAATATCTCATGAATGTTAGATAATTGAATCCAACTACAATTATATGGCTTCATCCAAGGTTTGAATATCTCAATATTTCCATATGTGTTGCGAGGGAGTGGTTCTCCTTCGATAACTACTGGAGGTTCATACTTGCAAGTCTGATCAAAACCATACAAGTCGACCTCCGGAATATTATTAAATCCAAGAAGGTTGTCCATGTTCAACTTCCTTCTTTTTGCAATTGTTCTGGGTTGAAGCTTCCTAGTTTTCTTTATTGGGCTTAGTATTTCATCTTCTTTAATGGCTCTACCCAAAATCTTCCATTGTTGTTGTGATTTTCCTGTAATTATATCCCTCTTGAAATATACATTTTCTTTTCTTAGCGTGGTGTTACCACACTTCACTTTACCTACCAGCTTAGAATCGGGTAAAATAACTTCATTAAATCGTAAAGTTGAAGGTGTTACAACATTTGGATTTGACTTCATGGCAGAAAAGGTTGTTGGAATGGAACAATTTATTCTTGCAATTAGTTCCAAGGTTTTCAACTCATCTTCATTAATTCCTAATGTACTTCCAGAATTCAAATATCGTAAAGTTGATTGGAAAAGTAAGCTAGCTCTACCAGTAACTGTTCTTAAATCTAATTTTTTGAACCATCGATATGCTACATCTGGCATATATCTCAGACTTGTTTCAAAAAGGGTGTTCTGGTTGGTCAATGAAACAACATAATGCATGGACATTTGATTGAATTGACTTGGAATTGGGTAAAATAAGTTTGTGTAGTTATTTTCTATCAGTACAGTTGAAGTTGGAGTGCTATACCTTTTCAACTTTGTATATCTTTTCTCTTCATCATGAAAACACATATTTTCTATTATAATGATTTCACTTTTATCCAAAGGATTTACTACTTCAGTCCAATAATAAGGAAAAAGTAAGTCATGGTCTATATTTCTTTTAAGTCGTTCTTTATCTATTTTAGGTTGAGATTTAGCATTTTTATCTAGTAAAGGCAATGAAAATACTAGCCGAGCTTCAAATCCTAAACTCCTTAGTAAAGAAGTATATAATTGAGCACCTACATCTCTATTGTGTTTTAATTTCCCGGCCACGGATATAAATGAAGACAAATTAGGTGTGCCCTGAGCAGTGTGAGGATAATAGTCTTCAGCAGTGAAATCCTGTGATGGCAAGTATCCCAATACACGTATGCCATGAGAAACCAATCTATAGTTTAACCGGAACCATTTGATCGTATACTTCAAAATGTATATCAAATCATGTTCTACATCTATTGATCCAACATCAGTAATCTTTTTCCAAAATGCTTTGTTTCTTTTAATTAACGATTTCGGAAGGTTTTTTTTTAATTTCTTCTGAACACTTGGATTGTTTAACCATTTATTACGTTCAAATGCATGGGTTAAATATGATACTATTGCTAAATTATGTATTGATGCTCGCTTCTTACGAAGTTCAAGTAACATTTTACGTCTGCGAATGGCTTTTGCAGCTTCATCGTCTATATTTGGCTTAATTGTTATTGAGAATGATTCGGGTTGTGGTTCCTTTTGAATAGTTGTGTCTATTGGAACAGATTCCCATTCACTACAAGATAAATCTGAGTCCGACTCTGAGTCAGAAGTGTCAGGACCCTTAAATTGAAATGTATCCAAGTAATCCTCATGAATCAGAAGCTTCTTCACCTCCTCTATTTCGCCTCCATGTGCACCATTCTCTACATGACTTAAGCCATGGTTTAGGTCTATATCTGACTCCGAATCCGAATCCGATGAAACATATAATTTATTCATTCAATTGAATCCTTAATCATAAATGTTTTTTTGCCACCAAAAATCTTGAAAATCTTTATGATTCTGTCTCATTTCATTTCATTTTATTTTTTTTTTATTTTTTTTATTTTTAATTGTTAATTCGATTTCTTTGATTATGTAATACCAACCAACAGTATACTATGAAATTCTATTCATGAATAATATCACTAATATCATTCCATTCTGACATCAGAAACCATTGTGAATTCAGAGGGATTGGAGTGTCTTGGCCATAAACCTTGAACAGTTTGAATTGTGCTTCTGGTACGTAATTGTTCACTGTTCTGTAGCCCTGTGGAGTCTCTGGAGCAGATTCCATAGTTTCATGTTTATTCATGATATAGGCAGTAGAATTTTCAGGTAATTTAACTTCATTTCCAACAAGTTTACAACCACGGAAATATGCAGATGTAGTATTTGCTACTTCATCATAGGCTTTGGTTGGAGTGAAGTAATCTTTAGTATTGGCAGGTCCCGTATATTTGATATGGACAGGAAGAAGATTAGCTTCAAGTGTGGGTACTTCATTAATTTGAATCGACATGTTGCTCTACTTAATAAATTGGAGGAAAGTATACGGTATAAGGAGATGGATGGTAAGTGTATTCTTATTTTTTAACGCGTCCCAAATCCAAATAAATAAATTAAAAAAAAAAAAAAAGAAAAATTAGAACAAAAAAAAAAAAAAAGATATTTTAGTCGAAGCGAGCCTAAAGAATAAGACTGAGAATATCTTTAGATAAATCCCTGGGATGGTCAATGTATATTGATCTTTATTACCTAGACTGGCTAATTACATTGTATAAATATATCCAGTTTGATTTAGATTAATTACATCCCACATGAAGAAACAATATTATTATTCTTTTCTTTATCTCTCTCTTTATTACTCCTTAAACCTTTCATTGGCCAGTGTTGGTGTTACATATTCATCCACTTCCGAATTCAAACACTTTAGGTACCTTCTCTTCTAATGCCCAGAAATATTGCACGGCATCTCCGTCGTAAATTTAAACGTTTGATTAAGCGGCCTCGAATTCCGCTAACTCCAGTTTTCTCAATTTGTCAATTAAATGCGGGTTTTGGCAGAGCGAGTCAAATCATTCGATTAGATCTTTAATCATTATTAAAAAACCAAGTTCCGTGCGGTATCTACAAAGCCGAGTCTAGTCCTAATAATTGTTTTTTTTTTCGGTGAATTTCATCTGACACGATACTTATATATATTATAGCATCTCTCCCGTTTCATTTCACTTTCTTGGTTTAAATTTATTATTATCTTTATCACTCTTTATCATGTCTACTGCTAATCCACTCCAAATTGTTGACATATCTGAAGTCAACAAGGCCACCGCAGATGAACTCCTCAATGCAGCCACAACCCAAGGGTTTCTCTTTGTTGAAGGTCATGATTTCACCCAAGAAGAAGTAGATCTTCTTTTCTTGCTTTCCAAACAATTCTTTGAATTGCCCCTTGAGTACAAGAAGAAATACCCAATCAATAAGAATAACCATGGATATAGTCACATGGGAGAAGAGGTTTTAGATACTTCTGATAAATCAAAGGGAGGGGACCCAAAGGAAGCTCTTAACTTTTGTTGTTTGAACTTTGAAACTGGATTGCCCTCTGAAGTCATTCCAGATTGGTTCTTGGAAGATCCAGTTCGTCTTGAAAAGATGAAGATTGCTAGCAAGAAACTTTATGAACTTTCAGTTAAGATCTTGAGAATTTTGGCTATTGGTTTACAAATTGAAGATACTGAAGAATGTAAAGGTGAAGATTGGTTTGCTTCAAGATATCATCCTACTAAGCAATCTGGAACCACTTTTAGATTTTTACATTATCCAGGACAAAAGACTTTAAATCCAGAAGCAGTCATTAGAGCCGGTGCTCACACCGATTATGGCTCTATGACTTTACTTTTCCAACAAGAAAACCAAGAAGGGTTGGAAATATACTCCCCTGTTTCCAAAGGTTGGGAACCAGTACCATTTGTTGGTGCCAACACAGACAAGTTCAAGGGACTGGCTCCTCCTATTGTGGTGAACATTGCTGATCAATTGAGTTACTGGACTGGTGGCTTATTAAAGTCTACTATTCATAGAGTAAAATTCCCACCAAAGGTTCAGGAAACCGGTCAACCACGTTACTCTATCGTCTTTTTCAGTCATCCTAATGATGAAACTTTGCTTGAACCGGTTCCTTCTCCAATAGTTAGAAATATCAAGGGAAGAGGTGCAAACAATGATGAAGGAAAATTGGTTACAGCTAAGCAACATTTAGATAAGAGATTGGCTGCAACTTACGGCTGGAGTTATTAGAATGCCCCGCTAAGCTACGAATGAACTGTATAGTAGTTATGATGAATGTATATTAATGTGAATTTAAATGTCCTACCTACCCCAGACCCTAGTTTGTATTTGAAATACTAATATGGTATATATAGACACTTTCCTCATCTCTTATCTTATTTGGGCAGTTGGACGCGGAATTGGAAATTCGCGGCTTCTTGCGCGATTCCTTCGTTCTGCAAACTACACATTGCAACCGATTTTGTGACTTAAATCGTTATCAGTGGAGTTTCGGCCCTTACACCAAAATTTAGATCACATCGTCACTCGCTTTTCTCACTCCCCCCCCCCCCCCTTGGCCGATATCCAATCTATAATAATAGTACTTTATGTCGCCGACCCATACTCCAATATCTACCACCACCACTGCGGGCAATACTGTGGTACTGCCTCGTCTCAATCCATCTAGAACCCTAACTGGAAGACAACTCCACATTGATGCCCAAATCACTGATACCGCTGAGGATATTGTACAGATCATCAATGATAATGAAACAAAAAACTTCCAGCTCGGAGTCATTCTTATTGTAGTGGCCATCGGATCCTGGATCATTGGATTAGAACTCGTCAACTCAGTGTTGAAAGGTGATGACTACAAGAAACCGTGTTTGTTTGCATGGATTACGGGACTGTGTTTTATGCTTAATTTGTTACCCGATATATTTGAATTCGTAAAATCTAAATGGTCCAAATCAGAAGTACCACTCCCAAACTCTCCAGAAGCAACACCGTTACTTTCACCAGGTTCAGCTAGTGGTTCGACTAATAACGTGGTTCCAAAGACTGCTCTTGAAAAGCTGCTTATTCCCGATGCTGAGACTCCAGTTGAATTGACAAGATCAGAAGTTTTTCTGCTTGCAGCGGAAATTGCAGTCATTTATCTCATGTACAACATCTTTGTAATGTTCGCTTTACAATTCACTTCTGCATCTAATCAAACAGTTCTTGGTTCAACCACATCAATTTTCACATTATTCATTGGAAGGTTTTTAAACATTGACAAAATCACAGCCAAGAAACTAATTTGTATATTCGTTAGTTTGGGAGGTGTTTTCTTTATCAATTGGAGTGAATCTGGTAAAGCAAACGGACCTAATGATGGATCAAAGTATTCCCCAAAGAACCCTCTTTTCGGTAATTTTTTGGCTATTTTAGGTGCCCTCATGTATGCACTTTATCTCATTATTATGAAAGTTAGATGTGGAACGGGGAACAAAACTACCAATGAAAGAAGACTCTTTGGATTTGTTGGGATTTTCACATTTTTCATTGGGATCCCACTCTTGATCATTGCTGATTGGCAAGGAATTGAGAAATTTGAGTTTCCTCCACCTTCAAATGATATCTTGATCCTGATTTTAATCAATGGGGTGTTTTCGGTAATTTCTGATTATACAACTATTCTTGCAATGCTTCTTACAAGTCCGCTTGTTACTTCTTTGTCACTTACATCTGCCATCCCAATCACAATCCTTTTGGATTTCATTATACTTCATCTTAGCGGTAAGGGAGGCTCTGGTGGCAATGAAGGATCCGATCAATTTATGTATTTTTTCGGAATTGGTTGTATTTTGGTATCTGTTGTTCTTGTCAATGTTAATATCACTTCTGAAAATGAATTAATTCATGAATTTATAGATGATGCATTGGAGGAAGCTATTAGGGATGATGAAGTCCTTTCCCCAGTACTTTCTCCGTTACTTTCTCCAAAAGCACCTCTTGCAACCTCGCCATTCATCTCCAATTCTGAAATCTTACAACGTCATGCCCCAGGAATTACTTTACTGACACTTATTCAATCATTTTCTCCAAAGATCGCTGTCTCGTCTACCAACGAAAATGGCCCTTCACAGGGAGGCTTACCCAGCTTTCAATTACCACAAAATCAAAATCCTGAATTCGGTATTGATTCCCCCACCTCAGATGGGAAATTATTGGTATATGGAGGGGAAAACCATCATTATCATGTTAGAAATGTATATGCAAATTCTCCTGAAATTCAACCCATTTCTAGCAATCATACAGCATAATTAGAATAATACATACATATTTATATATAAGAATAATACTATATTAATGATAATAATGATGATAATAAAATATTAAAAAATCTCTACTTCAATCTCTAGACATACTAGTATGTAAAACATGTTCTCTCATAAAAAGAGAAGTGAGTACACCAAGGGCAACAGTCGCACCAGCAAATGCAAATGCTCCTTTACATGCAATACCATAGGAATCTATAATTGCATCTCGTATAGCATGAGGAGCAGTCTGTGCATATTGAGCATTTTCAAGAGCATTTTCAAGGACAATGGCGGCTTTCAATGGATCTGAAATTAATTCATAAATTTTGCTACTCAAATTAGTCTTGAGAATATTTTGGAAAATTGCAGATGCAATAGAGACACCCAATGTAGATCCCGTAGCTCTAAAAGTGTATTGGATAGATGTTGTACAGGCCTGGTACTTTGAAGGAACAGCTGCAATCAAGGAGAGTAATGTGATGGTCAAAATACTTGAATAGGCCATTCCTTGAGGCAATTGTAAAAGAAATTGGTTCACAAGAGAAATTCGAGGAGAAATAAACAGAACGTTGGTAACACCAAAAAGAGCAAGGATACCTGTAGCTACTGCCAATTTATAGTAGCGGCCAGTAGCCTTCATGTAGAGACCAGCACCAACTGATCCAGTGGATGTGGCAAGGAAGTTGGGGACGAGTCTAAGACCATTTTCTGTTGCTGATAATCCAAGAACAGATGTGAAATAGATCGGAACATAGAATAAATATGTGAATACTCCCATAGTATAGAACCAATTGGTTAAACTTGAAGACAAAACTGTTCTCTCGGCTAACAATTCAACTGGAATAACCGGTTCTGGTGAAACATACAATTCCACATAGGCAAAGGCGAGTAAAAGAACACACAGTATAACAACAAGACTAATGAAAAGAACTGAATCATATGCAATATCTCTACCACCAAATGAAGCGGCAGCCATGACACCCATAAGGGATGTAACAAGTAAGAAAGATCCCAAAAAGTCAACTCTCTTCAATTTAGTCGACATGTCACTACCATATGCTCCCAACCCAGGGGACCCCGCTGGTAAGTTCAAGTTGAAATAAATTGCAATTCCAACGAGCATTGCGAGAGGTACTTGTAACAAGAAAACATACTTCCAGCCCAACAAGTCTGCAACAACACCACCCAAGACACCACCAGAGGCAGCACCAAGGCCAAAACATACATTCCCCAAACCTTGATATAACCCACGGGATCTAAGGGGGACAATGTCACTCATGGTGATCGTTCCCAATGCAGTCAATCCACCGCCACCAATCCCAGTAACAAATCTGCCGATGACTAACATTAAAAGAGAATCAGTGGAGCAGATAAAACATCCAATTGCAAAGCAGAAACAACACACCATCAAGAGCGGTTTTCTACCGAAAATGTCTGAAAGCTTACCAAAAAGTGGTTGAAATGCTGCACAAGAAAGAAGATATGCAGTGGCTATCCAAGAGATTCTAGCTACAGCATTAAGATCAGAGGCAATGATAGATAATAAGGTGGTCACCACTGTGGCATCGAGGGCTGCCAAATACGATGACATGTACAAACTTGAAATGACCACGTAGACTTGAGCCTTTGGCATAGCAAAGTCTGAATCTTCCGAGTGTGTCTCCACTGGAGATGTGGAACCTGAAGTTGAAGTTTCCACGGATCCATAATTATGAGACTTCAATGTGGCATCGTTGATGAGTCCTGCATCTTCAGCTGCCAATTCTCCAGCTACAACACCGGCACTGCCAGTAGATGCATCCTTAATAATATTTGGGTGTAAGGAACCAGTCATTGTTGTAAATTGTGGGTAAATTAAATAGAGCTGATCGTAAAAAATACTAATATGAAGATATATGGCTTTAACTATATATAAGTCGCGAATCACAAAAATAAAAATTCCGTTATCACTGGAAACCAATAGTAATATCGATAAGCGAGTATTTAAAGTTTACAATTGAAATTGCTCTTGCCGTGGATCAATCAAAATTATACATATGAGGATGGAAGTACGTAAAATATCTTAAGCATTGGACAATAAGTAACGTACAAGTAGTCTCACGAACCCATATGCATTTTTGTATTGTATTTAGAATAGTATCCACAGTTTAAAAATCAATTTCGGCATTTTACGCTTTATCCCGCGTATTTTTATCCACCCCCCATGTGTATGCACGTTACCCGATCCAGTGTCAAGAATAAAATAATAATAAGTAACCAGAGTCAACAAGAGTCAAAGATAAGTTGCAGAGTCGGACTATTGTGGGTGAAGCGCACTACTATATCTCTAACATGAATGTGAGAGCATGACACGAATGTTAGAGCATGAAATGATTAGTGGGTTTTCTTTCCGAATGAGTTAATTCCTTCCTTCACTGAATTTTTTTCAGGAATATGTTAATGAAGAAGGTAAAAAAAATTAGTAATTGAATGAGAATTCAACCATTGCAAATATAGTCAAAACTGGTTTCATGCAACGAATTCAGTAGGTAGAGATAAAAATTCAAAAAAAAAAAGAATTGATTTCGCCCAGGATCGAACTGGGGACGTTCTGCGTGTTAAGCAGATGCCATAACCTACTAGACCACGAAACCATTTCTTGAAAGTGTTAAAATGTCTAGATGGACAAATGTTTTTTCCTCTCTTGTATGCACTACTCATCACGTGATCACTTGAGTTCCTTCTTATTCTTTTCGTAGTGTCTTATTACTTACTTATCAGTAGCCAACTTACTAGTGATGCTAATTAGCAGTCACTAAACTTTCTCCGCGATATTGTAGAGTTTAAATTTACCGATAAACTTCTCGACGAGAGATATAGGAAAAGATATTAGTATATTATGAATGCAGGACACTCTCATCTTCTAAACTTTCTGTCTAACGGTATGTGAAGACTCTCTGGAGATCTGAATCGTTGTACCATATACACGTCTGAGATATAGAGTTGAATCGATTTTCTATCATTTGCTAAAGTGGTACAGAAAGTCCATCATAGAGAAAATAACCAAATTCCATGCATACGGGGAATTGTGACAGGCTGCTTATTTTGATGGTTTTGTCGATACTATTCAATATTATTATGATTTTTGCAACTCGTTAACGGATGAGGAAAGATTACTTTTCCTTATTTCCTCGTTGACAATGAGATCTTGTGTGTTCTATTAGATATCCTTCTTGTGAATATGAAGATGACATGCTTCATCCATATTCTGTTGAGGAAGTCATACTGTGGTTAATTAGACGTTGAGGTCAAGTATTCAGCTTAGACTATGATTACATGATAAGCCGATAACAAGAAACGGTACTTTGTTAGTTTTAAAAGAAGAAATTGTTCGACATAGTTTTAATACCTCAGCTATTTTATTTTTTAAATACATCTCTATCGAAGTGGCAAAGTAGTATTTATACATCACAACTTATTCTTTCAGTTTATCTATAGTGGTTCTACAGAATCTTTTTTATTGCCTGGTTAGAAAATATCAAAAAATCAATGTATTAAAATCAAGAGAAGTACGTTACATAGAAGTGCTCTATCAAAGTGATCGGGCAAATTATGTTATTTTGTAGGAAATTTCTATCTGTGGTCGTCGTTCTCTATCTTTCAATGCACAATATTACAAGCATTGTAATCGAGTGCAAATAAGTAATCAATTAAATTTTCCATTTTATCTTTACAAGAGCCAACATTTCATTCCCTGATTTGTTTGGATCATTTAGAAATTGATTGTATTTTCTCTCGATATACAATGTCATATGACCTTTACAATAAGTGCGGAATAATCTCATGTAAATGCTAAACCACTTAAACGGGAAACACGGATTTTCACATGATTTGTAATATTATAAACGATCAATGATGTTCAGATGCGCCTGTACCCCACATCTAACTCTACAACTGAGTGTCGATGCCCTACAAAATCTCAATATAAAGAATATCTACAATTAAAACATTTTTGTCGACATTCACCAAAGAAACATTAGCATAACGAATAATGCACGGTGTCCAAAAAAAATTATATATATATATATCTCATCCGAGAGTTCTTCCAACTGATATTCTACAACTTATTACGACTAAACCTGCAATCTCTACAAATTTCATAGTTTTTCCCGTTCTGTCAATATTGAACCACACACGCCCGAGTGGAGAAAGACACCATGTGGGACAACCTCTCCTACCCAACCGCAACCGGATACAGCCAAAATACACGGAAGTAAAACAAACACAAAATATATACATTTATATTTATTTAGACGATTGGTTTTAGAGGGCCATAATTGACCAGAGAGTGAGGGACATTTAGCTATTTTATTAGTACATTAAAAAAAAAAATTTCTACAATAATTTCGCTGTCACTAATCTCTTTATTTCGAAAAATCAATTTTGAGGTGCAGTTTCAAATATTTGTGTCAAGTAAACAACAAATACGTCAATCCCACACTATCATTGTGCAAATTGTAAAGAAATGGAGACATTAGAAATTCATTCCAAGGACTTCTTGGTAAAGTGGATACATGCTCCGGATAACTCTGTCATTGATTGGCAAGCCAAACCGTTAAAGAAGTCTATCAACTTTGCTATTTACAAGAAAAATGAAGATCTGTCCAAGACAGTAACAAAGAATGCAGGCACATTAACTGACAATGAAGTTTCTGGATCTACTTCAATTGTGCCGCCAACCGCAAATGGAAGTAGTTCAGCTCCGTTGTTACCCCCTCCTGCAATTGGAAGCAGCAGACTTGGTCGTTCTGGATCACTTTCGGGTCCAAATTCCAGTTCAAGTTCAAATGGTGGTAATCCAAGAGAAAATAGATTAAGATCGGGCTCTATGGTATCTGTTAACCAATTCACCGAATCTGTTTCTAGTATGTACAAAACCCTTTCACGCTCGAACTCTGTATTGTCCTCAAACTTGATCAGTTCAGATTTGACCCTTGTTAAAGATTATAAAAAACTTGTATCGGGAGAATTAGTTCATGGGAAATTTGAAGTGAAACAAGGTGGAATTTATGCTTTTATTTTTGATAATTCATTTTCTAAAACTATCGGTAAGAAAGTATTATTCAGCACCAAAATTTTATCGGACTCTAGTCCTCGCAGTTTACCTGTGGCTGAACAAAAGACTATGGTGTCTAAGCCTATCCCCAATGCCAATGGATCCCGTTCGAGCTCTAACAAGGACTTGGAAGTTCTCAGACCTAAGAATGGTGAGTTATTACAGGGGGTTCTTTCCAAGAGAAGAAGGAAGAAGATGCAAGGATTCACCAAGAGATTTTTCGTTCTTAGTTTCAAGTATGGTACATTATCATACTTTAAGCTTAATGATAACAAGTTAAGAGGACAAATGCCTATCAAACATTCAATTGTCAGTGTTAATTCTAAAAGTAGAGAGATTATCATTGATTCAGGGATGGAAGCTTGGGATTTGAAAACTCCAAGCGAGAAGGCATTCAATACCTGGGTTGACGCATTTAACCAGATTAAGAAAGAATATTACAAGGTGGGTAATACTGAAGAAATTGGAACAGTGGTCACTGCTGACTCTGCTACAATTGAAGATGGATCAGCTCCTAAATTTGTGATAAATGAGTTGGCAAATATCTCGGATAAGCTTTCTGTTTTGAAGCAGGATAAAAATAGCACTCACTTAATCGATGAAATCAGTAATGATGTTGATCGTCTTCTTGGTCGCTTACAGTTGCAAAAAAGTGGAGGAGATATGATATCACCTTTTGAAGATCATTCAATCTATTCATCTAGTGACTTTTATGACGCAAAGGAATACTTAGATGCCATAAATTCAGGAGTCGTCTTTTTAAATGGAAACGCGCAACAAAATGCTGTCGGAAATTCGACAACACCTGAGAAGTTGGGGAGTGATATCGATGACGAGGAAGAAGATGATGAAGAAGCTGACGACTTGTCTTCAGCTTCATCAATTTCATCTGCATCTGAAGTGACTTCTGATATGGCTTCTGCCATGGTAAACGGACCTGATCTTAATTTGGATGATAATCATGATGACAACTTGTTCCCATTACCACATGAGCCAATCCAAAGAGATTACGAAATTCCTGAATGTGACCACCAGCCTCCGGGAATTTTGGCATTCTTACGTAAAAATGTTGGAAAAGACCTTTCTCAAGTTCCAATGCCAGTTACAATGAATGAGCCAATCAGTACTTTACAGAAATATAGTGAGATGTTTGAATATTGTGAAATTATCGAGAATGCGTTACAAGCTAATTGTGACGTTGACACTGGTGAGAGAATCTTAAGAATAGCAGCATTTGCTGTCAGTTCATTGTCGTCAATGAGAGCAAAGGAGAGAAATATCAGAAAACCATTCACGCCATTACTTGGGGAAACATATGAACTTGTTAGAGAAGATTTCGGTATAAGGATTATTTCGGAGAAAGTGAGTCACAGACCGGCGTGTTATGCCATGTTTGTGGAATCTAAGGATTGGAGTTTAACTTTCAGTCCTATGCCAGAACAGAAGTTTTGGGGTAAAAATGCTGAAATTATTACTAGAGGTTCTGCCAAGTTGACAATTAAATCAACTGGTGAAGTTTTCCTGTGGACTCAACCCAATACTTTATTAAAGAATATAATTGCAGGAGAAAAATACGGTGAGCCTACGGGTACATTGACAATAAAATCTACTTTGGGATATCGTGCTGTGGTTGAATTCGCCAAGGGTGGTATGTTTAGTGGACGACTGGAAGATCTTACTATTAAAGCCTATGGTCCACATAAGAGTCAATTACCTTACACAGTTTCCGGGAAATGGACAGAAGCATTAACATTGAAAACAAATACCACTGAGAGATTGATCTGGACAGTTGGTGAATTGATCCCTAATTCGATCAAAAAGTTTGGTTTTACAAAATTTGCTGGTACTTTGAATAAATTTACTGAGATTGAAGAAGGGTTTTTGCCCCCCACAGACTCTAGATTCAGACCAGATCTTCGTACTTATGAGAAAGGTAACACGGACGAAGCAGAAGACTTGAAATCTAAGCTCGAGGAAGACCAAAGACAAAGAAGAAAGGAGAACGAAGCAACTAAGACTGAACATGAACCTAAATTCTTTGTTCCTGACCTGGAAACTGGAGAATGGGCTTACCGAAGAGGAGAAAAAAGTTACTGGAATAGAAGGAAAACTCAAGATTGGAATGATTTACTCAAATTATGGTAAAGGTTCTATTAGTTTAATAGTATCACTACTTATGAATAAATTATGAAAAATATATGAAACTGGTTATATTGTAGTCGATTAATGACAGTAAAAATCAAGTAAATACTCATTGATCAATAATATATGGTCATATATATCTGAGCTGTGCATGAATAATGGTGTATTGTATATATAGGGTGAGAGTAAGTATGGAAACTCTAATCTTTCACGTCCGTTCTCCCCCGTCAAATTCACCTATCTTGGCATATATTTCACTTCTTCAAAAATCTAATTCAGAACTGTTTGAAAATACAGTATATTATCTGATGGAGAGTGAGAACACCTTTAATTGTGAGTTTCCTAAGTTTTTAATAGTTAGTCAGTGGGTTTCATGATCTTTTGTATGGGTGTACGGGTTTTCTGCATATTTGAAACTTCTCTATTGTCAATGTACCCACTTTTTAACCTTCAGAAATGCCTGGTTAGCTCAATCGGTAGAGCGTTTGACTCTTAATAGAGTGTGATCAAAAGGTTGCGGGTTCGACCCCCGCATCGGGCTTTTATTTTTGCCTACAGTTTTTTGGTTTTTTTAAAAAAAATGCTGTATATTTAATACTAATACAATTTAGAACATCTATAATTTAAGATTAAGCTTCTCTTCTGAGTTACTTCTGGATGAGATATCAAAGAAGTCTTGGTTTTCATTTTCAGACGCATTTGAATATGGCAGAGCGTTGCCCATTGGCCGGAATCCCCCATTTGGAACTCCTGGGTTTCTCGTAAATAGCATAAACTGTAATTGTTTCCTCAAACTGTTCATAAGTAATCTTTGCAAGTTTAGGTCATCCTTCATCATGAATGAATCATTAACCAAATTACTTAAAATCGTGTCTCTCTCCTTGCTGGAAGAAGATTCCTTATTAATATAGGGTAAGATCTTCTCTTCCAATTCAAATTTTAATCTATCCAACTCACAGTTCAAAGATATCATCTTATCTTGACTATTAAGATTTGATAATTCTGAGCTGAATTTATTGATTTCTTCCATTGGCTCATGATAACCAAGATTAGTGATTTTTCCTTGGATGATCAGATCAAGTATTTTATTTATCTGTCTTTGTAGAAAACTATTTTCCGTTGATAACTTATCAACTTTTTCGTTTAGCTTCTTCATGTATGGTAAAAGGTTGCTTAATTGACAGTTATTTTTTTGTAAGTGAATTTCCAATGCAGTCTCGTTGTTTCCCACCCAATCACACCCTATTTCGTGTGCCGGACACTTAAGGTGGCCCACTTTGAAGCAATTCTCCTCATGCTGGGTAAGATTTTTGACTGGAATCAAATCATTCAAACATAATTTACAAGACGTATAATTGAAATTGCAATCAGTTGATAAGTGATCATCTTCAGTCAATTTAGTGATTTCAACAGAACAAAACTGGCAATTATATATCTTGTGAGCACATTCATGGTTCGAATTATTCTTATTTTCTTGTAAATCATCGGATTCATCTTCTTGTTTTAAATCTTCCTTTAGATGTCTTCTTTCCACTAATAATGAACACTTTTCTCCATTTATTCTAGTACCATTACAAGATACACCTGTAAATCCACAATCATTCATAACATGTCTTTCTAGCTCCCATCGACAACCTGTCCATTCACAGCCTCTCTCGTTATTTAAACAGAATACTTCAAGTTCATCTACCAAGTTTGCCACAATGAGAGGGGTTGGAAATAAATCATTCGTTTTGCTTGAATCCAAGGGAGTACGATCAAGTGGACATGAACCTTGAAGATTTTCGGGGTCCGGATTATCTATATCACTATTTCTATTGCTGGTTCTCATAGATTGCATTTTCAAACACTCGTAAATACACTCTTTACAAAAAGTATGCCCACATACTGTGGTTAATGGTTGCATGAATGGCTGTTGACATATTGGACAGTTTAAATGATCAGTTGGTGCCTTATATTTAATGTTTCTCAAGTTGGGCCTATCTTCAAGATGTTGCAAGTTGAAAGCAGTTGTGTAACTCGAAATCATACTAGATGAATACCTAGGGATCTCAACATCGTTTTCATTGTCGGGGAAGTAATCTATATCTAAAGTGCCAATCCCTTCCAGGATACCATTAAGACTATCCAGAGACATAATAACTTTGTAATTAAAAGTAAGTTAATGTTGATGCAAATGCGTTCAGATAATAGACTTCACCTGACCTATCTCCATGTTGGTTTTGACACGACCATTTTTAAAGGTTTCAATAAATGTGCGGGGGTCGACAGGTAATTATTAAAATACTTATCACCAATACATGTAAACCATCCACCTAGTATATTTACATTGTAAAATGATAGAAGCTAGAAGGAGAAAAAAAATGATTATATCTAAGCCACTAATCATTCTATTAGAAAATATGGGACAAAAAAAGAAAGGTCGTACCCGGATTCGAACCGGGGTTATCCGGATCAAAACCGAAGGTGATAACCACTACACTATACAACCTGATAACGGAAATTTCTAAATTAAGTTGGTAATAACACTTGTCGTTCTTTTATATGCAGGATTGTGAATCTGCTGCCTTTCAGGGTAATATATTTTGCCGGTGTAGGACCTGGCACCAGGACTGTACACCCTACCGTCCTGTGCCCCCTGAAATAAGCGAAGCAAGTCAGGGTCCTTAATATGTATTATATAATTGTTTTGTTGTCCCTTTTTATATGATAAATTACAAAAAATAAACTCTCACTCAATAACGTTTATTATATGGCAACTATGAAATGAATATACAGAAGGAGGTTATATAGCCAATATAACCAACGATTATATAGACAAATTATAAGATAATAAACATCGAATGAAATAAAAAAAAAATGTTACTGTCCTCAATAAATTCTTCAGAAAGGTTCTAAGTGCCCTGTTCTATAAATTTATCAGTGGGAGGTATCAAGATTGGATATATTTGAAACTTTCTTAATTATTATGTAAGATATTGTAGTATTATATGTTAAATGAAACTTGCAATAATTGTGTTCCCTTTCGAAGTATTTTAAGATTTTGCACCCATTATTTGATTTCCATCTAGCTAGCAACGTTTTTTATATTATATTCACACTAATAATATTGAATAATACTCTAAACAGTTAAAACCATACCTCGGGTTATACAATCCAAGGGAACTTTTGGCTAAAAATATAAATATAGTGTCGAATTTCAGGAAAGGACGATTGAGCCGCACCCGGTGGAAACAGGCCATGTATTGCTCAATAGAAATCCAATTCCGAGTAAAGTGATATATATCTACATGTTTATCTATACTTCTGACTAATTCTATTGGAAACCCAAGTATTTTATTTACGTTCATGGAACTCAGTATATAGTTGTCTTTATGTCTAGATATATTGCGCTTTGGAGCGAAAGCCCTGAGGTTGAAGGTGAAGTGCATCATGAATGAGGCTACCCATTCAATAGCCGACCAAAAGCAAATAGGTGAGGATTTGGAAAAGTTCCGATTTCGTTCCAAAGTCTTAGACAAACTCCAAATGATACAACAAGAACTCCTTCTTATTAGGAAGTTTCGTGAGGTTGATGTGAAAACTTTCCACGACTTGATGCAAAAGCATGACGGCTCCTTGGCCGCCGTATACCTTCAATTACAAGAAATTCAAACAGAATTACAAAAACTTCGTATTCGTGAAGGTTTGAAAGTCAGTGAATACTTTGGTGAATTTTTGTCTAGTGAAGAAAAGGCTGAAAAGGCACCTGGTCCAAATACAATTATTGCACATGAAGACTTACCTTCATTGGAAGAGCCATGCGACATGAATGACTATGAGTTTGCAGAAAGAACACAGGCCTAAAGGAATCCCGAGAGGGTTTACTCAGCGTAACAAGTCAGTTTCATAGGGAGTATGGGATGGAGAATTGACAAATTAAACTTCTTTCCCTTTGAAGGTAGTTCACTCCATTTTTTGAAAGGCTCAACATTACACATGATACCACAGTGGATCTGTTTATTGATACTTCAGTGGCGATGTCGTATACAAGCATCGAATACCAATACTTCACATACTACAATACATCCAAATCCTTCAACGCATCAAACTAAAGCTCCACACAACAAACAGTACTGCAAAAACGCTTGAACGCAACTAAGTTACTCCGTTTCGCACATACCGTCTGAAATCTTACTGTTATTTATTCCAAATCATTTTGATTACTTGTGATATAGATAGTAAAGAGTATATTGAATACTAAAAAATAAATAGACAACCTGCAAATGGCTGCAAATCAATTTAAAAAGAAAAACAAAAAAGGTCGTACCCGGATTCGAACCGGGGTTATCCGGATCAAAACCGAAGGTGATAACCACTACACTATACAACCTGATAATTAAACCGTATTTTCCAAAGTAGTTTTGTACAGCTATTGGTACATCCTTACACCCAATAAAAATCACATGACGAGCCTCACGTGAAGGTCCTAGGAAGCTAGGATGTAAGCGTCGGGTAACCCTTGGAGGGCATCACCTCGCGAGCGAGTGTTGTCCTACGAGGGACGACTTCCGTAAGGAATCCTCGGATACATATAATAGTTAAGTTAAGTTTAAGTACGTTAAGGAGTAACTATAAGTATGGGTTACGCCAATCGAGATAGCCATACCTTGGGAGAATCAGAGTCAGAATGATTAGGACTAGGTAGAGTTTGAGATTAAGAATAAACATAGCGAAGCCTAGACAAGTGAGTCTACTGTTGTTCTGTTGCTTCCGGCATGTGTAGAGATCTGTCTAAGAGTATCAAGGAACTTACTATTACAAATCCTTCAACGCATCAAACTTAAGCTCCACATAACAAACAGTACTGCAATAACGCTTGAATGCAACTAAGTTACTCCGTTTCGCACATACCGTCTGAAATCCTACGGTTATTTATTCCAAATTCACGTTAGTAAAGCGTATATTGAATACTAAAAAATAATTAGACAACCTGCAAATGGTTGTAAATCAATTTAAAAAGAAAAACAAAAAAGGTCGTACCCGGATTCGAACCGGGGTTATCCGGATCAAAACCGAAGGTGATAACCACTACACTATACAACCTGATAACTGTCTGTTAATTTTTCGCAGTCCTTTCAGTCAGCTCATTGAATGTGTATATCACGTGATATGAATCAGGTGATATAAAAAATGACTTGGTATGAATATACTAGAGAATTTTCCTCTTGCTAAAAAGGAGTTATATAGTTATATTATAAGATCATATACATCAAACGAGGAAAAAAAAATGTGAGTAACTCAGTCTACTAATTAAATTATTAGTTGCAAACTCGACGTTGTCAATTCTACGTGACGACCCAGTAATAATACTTTTTTTGCAGCCTTCCTTAATTTGTTTGATAATTGTATACAACGTATAAGGCAATTAGACAGTTACATATATAAATTACTATTAATAGGACCGGAGTATGGAAGAGAAAACAAAGACAAAGAAATAATTCTTATCGTAAAATTTAGATAACATAAATATTTGAAATTTTGAAAAATATAAAAAATATTATAAATGCGCATTAAATCAAATGAGTTGACTACAAGCATTATTGTCTAAGTTTAAAGACAATCAAGACTCTTTAAATTGTCTCAAAGCATGGAAATAACTATCTTCCATGGTTATGGGAAAACTCAATTAGTCATTATCGTTATTGGAGATTGTTTTAGACTCAACTACTGCAGTTATACGATCTACCATACTACAACCTAGTATTCAATTCAACTACCCATCAAAGACAAATTTCTAAAAGTTATAGTTATTCGCATTCATATATGACTTCACGTCAACTCTAACATACTGAATTATCTAATTTCAAATTAATATATTATTAAACAATGGGAGCGATTTTTTTGCCATCCTAAATTATTGGAACTGCTGCACCATCTCCTCTGGGATCGGAACCTGCCGCATAAACAATTTTACCATCCTTACCAATGTTTTTTATAATTTGGGCACGACCAAAAAGACCTCTACCATTTCCACTAACCAGCTTAACAGTGTGGCCCAATTTACGCAACCCTTCTGCAACTTCCTCAGGAATGCCGTCTTCAAGTGCTACTACGGTAACAGGCGTACTTACCGGGCCGTCAGCACCTCTACCACGATCCAAACCAGTAGGATCTGAGCATAAGCAAAACCTAGGAGTATCGACCAGCTGTTGTGGAGTCATTCCAAACACAGTCATGTTAAGAACATGCTGGACATGTCCTACAGGTTGCATATATCCTCCCATATTACCAAATGCTGCATACAAGGAGTTGTCATTTACATTAGTTATCATGGATGGAATGATTGTATGATATGGTCTTTTACCTCCTTCTAAAGCGTTTTTAGAACCTTTTGTCAAATTGAAGTTAGCCCCTCTATTTTGTAAACAAAAGCCAAACTCTGGAACTACTACAGCAGAACCAAAACCTTCGTATACAGAGTTAATAAATGAACAAGCATCTCCATTCTTATCTGCAACGGTAAAATAAACCGTATCAGATTTATTTATTGGGTTGGGGACTCCATGTGTGATGGTCTCACTATCAAGAATTTTAGAAGCCGAATAAAGATGAGAACGTTCCTGGAGATACGATTTATGTAAGAGGTCAGATAAAGGAGCTTCTCCGAAATCAGGATCCGATACATACTCATCAGAATCGTAAAACCCAAGTTTACAAAGTTCAATAAGAAGGTGTAAGTACTCGACCGAATTCACTTTATGGGAATAAATATCCACTACACCCTCGTTTTGAAGCTCCTGAAGCATACCCAATGCCAATAAAGCTACCAAGCCTTGCCCATTTGGAGCAATCTCCCACACTCTATGTTTTTCAAAATCAATACTAATTGGCTCAACAATGGAAGAAGTATGGGATTTCAAATCTTCCAAAGAAAGATTGTGACCTCTTGAAGAAGTTGTCTTAATGACAGCTTCTGCCACTGAACCTTCATAAAATCCCTTTTTACCATGTTTAACAACCAATTCAAGAACACTAGCAATTCCAGGATTGAAAAATAAGTCACCTTCTTTTGGGGCCTGCCCATTTTCATTTAAAAAGGGGTTAGCCTTAAGATTTGGATTTTGAAGCTTTAATTTCGATTCACACAGTTTCCAAATATTTGCTGAAACTTCATGAACTACAAATCCATTTTTAGCTAAATCGATTGCAGGTGCCAAAATCTGATCAAGTCCAACTTTACCAGATCCCCATGCTTCTATACTATCAATCCAACCGGCAATTGCACCCGGGACAGTAACAGCATGTATAGAGTTCCAAGGAATCCGTAAGGCGTCTTTGTTCTTTAAACTCTCCAAAGTGGCGTCTACTGTTGCGGAGCTTGCACTTCTTCCAGATCCATTTAATCCATGTACCTTATTAGACTTCTGTTCATAATACAATGCAAAGCAATCACCCCCAATTCCAGTTGAGGCAGGTTCCAATACACATAAGCATGCTGATACGGCAATTGCAGCATCTACACAATTCCCACCTAATTCCAATATTTTTACACCAGCAGCTGTAGCAGCTGGTTGGGATGAAGCCACCACCCCCTTTGTGGAATAAACAGTTGATCTTCTAGATTGAAAGGATATTTCAGTCATTATGGATAATCTAGGACCAGTTATCTCTTTTGGGAATTCAGGGAAGAGGTAATTATAGTTGAACTATATATACTAAAAGGAGTCGGAACACGACAGCTTATTTATTTCTTGGTTTTATCGGACTCGGCCCGATCCTCCGTATGTCCGCATTTCCGCAAAATAAATGGCTGAATGTGGGGGGGGGGGGGGGGGGTAATCGAAAAGGGGATCCTTTATCTAAAGTGGGTTGCATTACATACAGGCTATTCCTTACATACACTATCAGTGTTTTGAATACTTCACGCGCGAAATCAAAATGATGATTTTTTTTTTTTTTGAATCACGTAAAAGAAACTAGGTAGAACATTTTGGGAGACATCCATACAAATGAGTTCAGGAGACGAGGATTACGAAGAGCCTACTGGGTTTGTTGTAACGGATCGGGAACTTTTGGGCCCCGATTCAGAGACCCAAACTCCAACATCTGAAGGCGTAGTTACAGATGAGCAATTGAAAGTAGCTCATTCAATTGTAAGAGTAGTGATGGCTCGAGAAGTTCGAGGATTATTGATTAAAAGAGAGCATTTCAATGAAGCATATACCGAGAGAACATCCATGACAAGGCGAATAAAATTTGACACAATATTCCCAATTGTACAAAATATATTGGAGACTGTATATGGACTACAATTAGTACGAGTGCCGTCAAAGGTTAGTGTTGGACCATCCCATGGAAGGAAAAGGAAGGCAATTGAGAGCAATTCAGAGACCTCAAGTAAAAATAGTAATAGTAGCAATGGAAATAGTGCCAGCAATAATAAGGTATTTGCATTGGTTAGTGTACTTCCAACCACTGCCAAATCAGTTTTAGGAGAAATTTGGGCAACCAAATGTACTCAAAAAGTTCCAAATGGTAGAAATATTTCAGATAGGCAATATTTTCTTCCTAAAAACATCAAAACAAGTACACCAAGCTCAAATTCAGAATTAATTAAAACAGGTATTATTGCATTGGTTATCAGTATTGTGATAGTACACGAGAATAGATTATCAGAGGCTGATCTTAAACAAAAGTTGAGCAAGTTTGGACTTTCTGAGAGTATCCACGAGCGTAACACTTCTATAAATATGACAACGATGGAGTTTCTAGGTGAAATGACAAAAAGAGAATACTTGAATCGTGAGGTAACTACGATGGATGCAAACTTGGCGGACTATAAACTAGGACGACGTCTGTTGGCGGAATTCAAACCAGGCTCAATGTTTGATATGTTGGAGCGAATTTATGGTACGGAATTTGATGTAGATACGAGAAATAGAACTTTGCGCACTATAGAACGTGCTTATGGTGAGGCTGTAACCGACAGTAAGCTCAGTGAGACCATGACTAGCGAGCGGAATACACCACAGGTCCAATAATGCCAATATACAATTTTAAAGCGGAATATTCATGTAGTGTATATATCTGTAATGAATTTTAGGTTTTTCCTGCAGTGAGTTTATCGATAATTAGTTGATCTCGCTAGAGATTAAGCTACGCGGAAATATAGCGCGGAATTCCCATTATGGAGATTTGTGTAAATTTTGGTGGGGGCCCCTCTGAGTGAATTCCGAACTTATGCTTCTAACTATCGCATGGTAGAGTAGTCGTAGTCGTAGGATTATAAAGAACTGAATGTAATTATGAATTTCATTATTGAAGACTGACGATCGCACATGCGCTTCGGATTCGCCTAACAAAATATACACCCAATGCTTGCATCACCCCACTCCACGTTACCAAGAACTAGTAGCGAATTTGGTCTCACATGTGTTCCAAGGTGGGGAGAAGTATATCTCCCGCGACGTGCATGTGACCCGATATGAGAAATTGTGAACGGATCATTTCGATATGGTGACACAATTCTTGCGCGCTTGTGTGTGGTGTTGGGTCGTATAGCCCGTATAGGAGATTCTATGCGACGCATCGGACAATGAATGGTGCTTGTGATTTCGGTACAAATAGATGGGACCCCCAAGCAATAAATGAATGGAATCCATCATTTCGAATAAATCACGAATCTTGTAATTGACGTGCAGAGGCTTTTATACTGGGAAGAGTACATCAAAGAGGTGCGCTATCTAAGTATATTCTTTGAGGTTTGATCAGCACTACCAGAAAAAAAAAAAAAAAAGAGGTTTAATAAATATAATACGAAATCCTGCCCTTTTGATATTCTCGGAGTACACGCAGTTTTAGACAGAGCTTGACCCTAAGCACGAAACAGTAGATCACATATATACATACAAGATGGCAGTAGACACATTGGACTACGCCGTAATGGTAGCATTGGCCGTGGCGCTTATTGCCTACTTTGGAAAGGATAAGATTTTTGGATCTGGTGACGGAGTTGACGCCGGCTTTGTAGCTGGTGCCCATAGTGGCAAGTCCAGAAACTTGGTAGAAGTCTTGGAGACCACCAACAAGAAGTGTGTAGTCTTTTACGGATCCCAGACCGGGACTGCTGAAGACTACTCATCCAAGTTGTCGAAGGAATTGAAGTCTCGATTTGGGTTGTCGACCATGACTGCCGATTTGGCTGATTATGATTTTGACAATTTGAATGAAATCCCAAGTGATACTTTGTTTTTCTTTCTTCTTGCAACATATGGCGAAGGTGAACCAACCGACAATGCCATTGAATTCATTGAGTTTTTGGATAATGAAGCTGAAACTTTGAGTAACATCAAGTACTCCGTGTTCGGATTAGGAAACTCAACCTATGAATTTTTCAATGCTATTGGTAAGAAGGTTGATGAACGGTTGCAAGAGTTGGGAGGAGACAGATTTGTTGAATACGGTGAGGGTGATGATGGGAAGGGGTCCATGGATGAAGATTATTTGGCATGGAAGGAGGTTGTTTTGGACTCCTTGAAGAACAAGTTGGACATTGAGGAACATGAATTGACTTATGAGCCTGGTTTGGAGCTCACCGAGGAGGACTTGATGTCTGCACTGGACGTTGACGTCTCACAGGGGGAACCAAGTAATGTTTACTTAAAGTTGGCAGCCGGAGAAGAAGTTACCAAGGGTCCATTTGATCACACCCATCCATACTTGCTGACTATTTCTGCAACCAAGGAATTGTTCCATAGCAAGGAAAGAAGCTGTGTACATGCTGAATTTGACTTGAGCAATTCAAATTTGAGATATTCCACTGGTGATCATTTAGCCATTTGGCCAAGTAATGCTGACGAAAATGTGAGTAAGTTTTTCGAGGCATTTGGTCTTCTTGGTAAGGAAGAATCAGTTTTCTCCTTGAAATCTCTTGATTCCACCATCACCATCCCATTCCATTCCCCAATCACATACGATGGTGCTGTAAGACACCACATGGAAATCACTGGTGCAGTATCCCGTCAATTTCTTATGTCCATTGCTCTGTTTGCACCACTGGAAGAATCCAAGAAGAAGGCACAAGCCTTGGCTAGTGATAAGGTTGCATTTGCAACTGAGATTCATGCCAAATTTTTAAATATTGCTGATGCTCTTTTATTAATATCTGGTGGTTTACCATGGACTGACGTACCATTTGTGTTTTTGGTTGAAAATGTAGCACACTTACAACCACGTTACTACTCTATTTCCTCATCTTCTCTTTCTGAAAAGAGAACTGTGCATGTGACTGCAGTGGTTGAAGCTGAAAAACATGGAAATCAATTGGTAACTGGTGTAGTTACCAATCTTTTGAAAAATGTCGAAATTGTTCAAAATAAGAAGACTCTGGAAACTCCAACTGTTAGTTACGACTTGAAAGGTCCAAGAGGAAAATTTTCAGGATTTAAATTACCAGTTCATATCAGAAGATCTACATTCAAATTACCTAGTAACCCAGCCGTGCCAGTGATTTTAATTGGACCAGGAACCGGTGTAGCTCCATTCAGAGGTTTTATCAGAGAAAGAACCCATCAACTTTCTGCTGGAGAAAATGTTAATGTTGGAAAGACATTATTGTTCTATGGATGTAGAAACTCCAATGAAGATTTCTTATACAAGGAAGAATGGCCAACTTATGCTTCTAAATTGGGATCTAAATTTGAACTTGTTACTGCATTCTCTAGAGAAACCCCAGGTAAGAAGGTTTACGTCCAACACAAGCTTTTAGAAAGAGCTGAAGAAATCAATGCTTTATTAGAAAAGGGAGCTTTCATTTACGTATGTGGTGATGCTTCCAAGATGGCTAGAGATGTTCAACAAACTTTGACGAAGATTATAAGTAAGGAGAGAAACATCACAGAAGAACGCGGGGCTGAACTTATTAGAGGCTTTAAGGTACAAAACAGATACCAAGAAGATGTATGGTGATAAATATATACATAGAGAACGAGTAATCAATAGTAGTTAACATATATCAAACCTCAAACAACAAGCAATGTAGAATTAATCTCAGGCAAGAAAGAAAAAAAAGAAAAGAGGTCAACAATGAAGGAAAGATTTCTGATAATTTGAAATGAAACAGGAGAAGTTACCTTGGTCATTGTTAAGTTTAGTTTCCCATTGTAGAGAATTTCAAAAGCTAAAAGTAAAGGAAAGTAAGGGATATGACGAACCTGTATGAGAATTGAGTTTATCAGCTCATATATGGATATCATTGTGTTACGAGTGTACAAAGGGTGACGTCAAATAATGTCGTTTATTCTACAATGAATAATTAAAAGTTAGTACTAGGAGGTAGTAATGTAGAAAACAGGCAGAATTGTAATTTCTACTAGATTTTGTAAGGGGGGACACTTGTTGTGGATGAACTTTGGGGTCTCAAAATTACAAATAGAAAGACAGTCCAAGCAGAGGCTCATATAGAGAGGCGAATGAGACTCACTTTGGAGATACTCTGTGGCCGAGTTTCCTGTTTCTCATACGAAATGGATACAAGAGTTTACTCCAACCCAGTGCTTCCCCCAAACTCTAGTAGAAGAGTATGAGACAAGGAAGGAAGATGACAAGTCTCGCTGTATTAACTATGATACACCAGTCTTTCGTGAAACCAACTTCCTTCTAGAGCGCGACTCTTTTCACTTTTTGGTTGCAAAAACAAACCTCACAAAACTTTAACCTGACTCTTTCTATAGATGAGCTAACTACCAGGAGACATCTAACACCCAGGGTCTTCCCTCTCAAATATATATGGAAGATAAATAATTCTTGAAGAAGTCTTCTAGAAATTTTTTTTCTAGCAAAATGTCATGGTTGCTTTTCCTTGTTCTTCCAAATATATACTTTAAAATTTGGTGAGAGGTTCTAGACCGATTTAAAACACTTACAATAAACCTCCTCCACCCAAAACAATCCAATCCAGAGTAACAAGGCATCTCTTTTCTCCACATCTTATCTTTTTCATGGATAATTCTTCTAAACCTACAGTGTCAACTACTACCCAATGGGCTTACACCACTAATCCTACATACAATTATTTTTTCCTTTGTACCAATTTCCTGTTCTCTAAATAATAATCAATGATTAATAGACGTATTTAAATTCAAACTGTACAACATATCAATGGTTCAATTATATAGTAGGAGAAACCTCTCCATAATATCCAAGATCCGGAACTCTGTTCTTGGTGCTACCAAGACGACGGATATATCGGAGTCTGTTGGAACTGATAGTTTACCGAAGCTCACAGGTAATGGACCATTTGTAGAATTACCCAAATTTGAGGCATTAGGGAGCCCCACATCGTTGCTCAATGTGACACTCCCAGCGTCTTCAAGACTTAACATTCGAAATGGGTCGATCATAGCGATGAATGGGGCCAAATTGGATACTCTCACCACACGGGTGAAGAACTTATCTCACATACGACCATTGTTATACCAAGAAATGCTGAGTGTTTCACCTGTTTCACTCTTGGTCAGTGGAGGACTGAACTTCACAATCCTTGATGCATCAGAGGAGAAAAGCTGGGCTATTGCCAACGTACAAAACGTGGTGGCATGGACAGGCTTCAATCTTGAACTTGTTCCTCAGGCAAGACTATTAAGTGGAGGGAATGGGATTTATTCACTTTCCAACTTTACTGGCCTTAGAACTGAAGGTAAGGGGAAACTTGTATTACGATCTCAAAGTGATCTCTTTGATGTAAAGTTGGAAGCTGGTGAACAACTTCTTCTTAACCCAAGTAATTTAGTTGCACATTCATTCACAAAATCTGAAGGGGGAACCTTTGCAAAATTTACAACTTTGAAGAGTGAAAGATTACAATTTCCTCCTTCATTCAATTGGATAGAACGAGTTACGATTAGATTGAGGGGAGTTTCCAATTGGATACAAAACGCTACAAAATATGTATATATAAAATTAGGTGGCAAGCCTTCTTCAACCAAGAGAGTAACTAAAACTGGAACAAGTGAAGTTTCTAAATCAATTGGACAACTCACAAAATTTTCCAGTAAATTTGTCAATTTCATCTCTTCACAATTCACTAGATTGATTCGAAGTGAAGTGTACTATCAAGTTGAAGGGCCATGTGAACTTCTTATCAGCAGTGGCAATGGGAAATCTCACTCCAAGACATTCACTAAATCAGAACTAGACAGTATATATGAAACATTAAAATAGAGTAGATAGATGGAGAGTGAAAATATTCAAAAGAACATTATAAATTTGAAAAAAACAATCAATTAATTAGAAGTGGAGATTGTAATTGAAGGGGTTGGTCGTGTAGGTGAGATAAACCACACTTGGAGTGGATGGGGAACTACTTCGGGACCAATTCCTTTTCAAGTAGTTACGCAATTGCTTGTTTGGAGGTAGAGGATCCCTCCAGGTATGTTGAGGGAGTCACAACCATAGTGACTATGGGTTAACAAGACATCCTGCTTGGGCCATTACTCTACTCGGAGAGAAGAGCTAGTACTTTAAAGAGACTCTATTCAAGCCAAGAAGCTAATCGCTTAGAAAGAGCCTCAGTTTTCGGAGTACTAACGGAGGTGCATCAATTACGCTGTAACTTACTTATTTTTACATTCCCTCGCTAAAGACTATTTCACCCGAGAGAAACGGGACTACAAAACTTCGAATAAATACTGACAAAGAAAACAAAATTCTATTTAGCAATACCCACAAAAAACGGAATCCGTCCAGAGGTTCTAATCTATATATAGAATATCTAAATCTCTAAAAAAATACTATTGCTGGTTTTGATTTTAATGTAGATTATGCACAGATGCACCACCACGTGATTAAATGTAACCATTTTAAAATTATCCTTTTAAGAAAAAAAGTTGTGGGTGTAACTATGGGGTTGATACAAATAAAATATGGCCGGTAAGAATACGAGATTGGGAATCTTCGTACTTTAATGGGTGACAATACTTAAGAAGGATGAGTATTAGTGAAATGTACCCATATAACCATACTTTGATTGGTTTGGATATGGACCATAATTTTGAGACGCTAGATTATCTGGGGAAAAAACTAAAAAAAATAAAAAGAAAGAAAAAAAAAAAATAATTAAAAAACAGGCTCTCAGGCACATAGTGGGGCGCGCGGGCGTAGTGGGTAAATTGTAGTTTCTTTATTGTTTGCGACAATGGGCAGTGTTATAGTGGCGTAGCACATGAAGACCAACTGAGAGACGTGTATCGATAGGACAAGGAGATATAACATGAAATGAGAGAAAAAAGCGCTTTAGATTGAGATTGAGGAGGTGTTTGGGGACCGATGAACAAAGTATGAACTATGCAGTTGAAATAGCGGGCAGGAGAGGCGGGGGTTAATACTTTGCAATATAAAGATGGATATTATTATTTCAAATACGACTTTAATTTCTTTTCTTTTGGCTAGACCACTAAGTCCTCCTAGTGCGAAAAATGTTGCACACAAAGGGTTCAAAAGTTGGATACGCGACCAGTACAATCAAGGCGTTACTTAAATAGTAGAACTTTGTAGTGGCCCGCGAGTAATCAGAATTACTCTTGCATTTAGGTCGTACGATTTCTCGAGCACGTCGGTTCATTGCCCGCCCGCTTATATCTGGTGGTTGCCATGACACGAATAGAATAGGTAGTAGTACTCTTTGTGCGCTAAGTCTTCCGGAGAGGGTTGATGCGTACTTTCCTCTTTTTGTCTTTTTTTTTCCCTTTCTCTCTTTTTTTTTTTTTTTTTTACATTTCTATTTTTATTTTTTTATTTTATTTTTTTATTTTTTATTTTTGCTCCTTTGATTTCTTGATCTAGATTTCAATGCTCAATGGGGGGGGCAGCCCGGGTATTCTGCTTGATCCGCTTTGTTCACAGTTCCTCCATAGATTCCAATACTGTTTTCTTTTTTTTTTTCTCTTTCCTCTATCTAGTATTCTCTTTTCACCCTTTTATTTATTTATTTATCTTCAAGGATTGAGAAAAAAGGCTAGAAATAGCCATTTTCTAGAGAAAGAGAGATTAAGGACAAGATAGACCAAGCGAGTTGTAGAGCAAGTAGAGTAGCATGGAGATCTCCAAGATCACGTCCCCTCAAGAATGGACTTACTTCGCTAAGGGGAACGCCAATATACTTTTCAAATACGTTGGACCACATGACTATCTTAAACACAAGTTGTTACGGGTTCGATTATTGAAGGAAGAGGAAGAATATATTTCAACTTGTGAACTTTATGATTTCATAGAATTAAAGTGTAAACCACTTTTCCCCCATCAAATCATTGACATTCAACTTGTAGTATTGACCATGGATTTTGTGACGCAACTCGATAGCCATGGCAATAAGATCATGTTAAAGGAAAGATATGGTTTACTTCTCCCTAATATCCTAGATGGGAATTATGAGAAACATTTTCTTTCAAAACATTGTCAATTATACACTGGGTGTACCAATAATATCAAAACTAATAATAATCTTAATAAGACTAAAACTACACACGATACAAGTCAGATTGATTCAGTGATATTTGAAATTAAACCAAAATGGTTATATGATAATACATCATCCAATTATTGTAGAACATGTCTGTTGAATCAACATCGGAATCAAACAAGACATTTTTGTCCATTGGATTTGTTATATCCAGATACATTGGAAAGAGGATTGGAGGATATATTCCAACTTATTCCAACCAAGACAATGAGTGAAATAGAACAAGACAGTAAATTCCCCATTAAAAGTCTTTTCAGAATATTTTTAAGCAATCCTGAGAATGTGTTTCAGAAATTAAAACAATATCAACGAATTGCTAATAAGAATGATTTAATTAAGAATTTGGGATCAGCTGCAGATGTTCTGCATAACCTTCTGCTTGTGATGACATTGAGAGATGTAGGATTGTTTATCAAGTTTGAAAAATATAATCGAGATAACAATATCCATAACTCACACAATAATGTTCACAATTTGATAGATGTGGAAGGTCATGGCAAGTTTCTACTCACATGTAATATATATGATCTAGACCTCAAATCAAAGATGAAGTATCGACACTGGTTTGAGGTAGAGCAACAATTGCAAGGAATATATGGGTCTATTAATGAAGAATGGAGATTTTGCACCAAGAGAGATATAAAGAACAATTTAGAAAAATAGGCCATGAACAGATGTTACAAGTATCTGACTACTTTATAGAACACCCTATATATATATATATGTATAATAATTGTATTGAATAAGAGATAAGAGGAACAAATGGTTGTAGGTAAATTGAGAAACAAATGGTGATAATCTACCTTATAATTTTAGAAAGAATGGATAGTGGAAATATAGATACAACCATCATATTAATGCCAAATCGAGAAACCAAGGTCAACCATGAGACAGAGTCATGATCACATCTATTCAAGATATTTATTGTGTGGCTGTCAAAATATATTGACATGTCTTTGAGCGGTTGCGGCGTAAAACAAAACGGCAAAAAAAAATTAAATTGTAAGCGCACCGAAAAAATGTTTGACTCTGAACAAAGTGAAAAGGTTACTCATCAACACTTTGTTCATCGAAAGAATCGATAATCGGCTGAAAATCCTGTTTTTCATAAAAATTTAAAGATGTCTACCGAAAACAGTAACAGCGGCAAGAGGAACGGATCCGAGGTCAACACACCAAATCCAACCGTTCCATTGAAGAGATCAAGACTTGGATTGGATGGGAACGACGCTCTGGAACTCAGCGTGACCCCATTACAGACCAGGGTTGCCTCTCCATGCACCTTGAACCCACCTATAGATAGCGACGGACTCTCGTGGCCATCCAAGGGTGCCCGTCTGCGTATTGAACAGACACCAGAAGAAGCCAAGGCTAGAGAAGAGCGTATTGCCGGGGCCGTGAAAACCATTTTGAACGAACTTGGGGAAGACACAGACAGAGAAGGATTACTTGAAACTCCTGAACGTTACGCACGTGCCATGTTGTACTTCACCAAGGGATACGAAGACAACATCCGCGATGTGATCAAGCGTGCCGTTTTCGAAGAAGACCATGATGAAATGGTCATTGTAAGAGACATCGAGATCTATTCTCTCTGTGAACATCATTTAGTACCATTCTTCGGGAAGGCACACATTGCCTACATTCCAAACAAGCGGGTTCTTGGGTTGTCCAAGTTGGCCAGACTTGCCGAAATGTACGCCAGACGGTTCCAAGTACAAGAAAGATTAACCAAACAGATTGCCATGGCCTTGAGCGAGATCTTGAAACCAAGAGGTGTCGCAGTGGTGATCGAAGCCACACACATGTGCATGGTCAGCAGAGGGGTACAAAAGACCGGATCTCTGACTACCACCAGTTGCATGTTGGGCTGTTTCAGAGGACAGCAAAAGACCAGAGAAGAGTTCTTGACCTTATTGGGTAGAAAGTAGATATACTCCCACTTTCCTCCAAACAAAGAATAGACACACTTGCCGCCCCATAGATTGTTTTGACCATCAAGACCCATGTCCGTGACATCGGCCTCATAATCACGACCCGTACGAAAAAGATTCAACACCTTTTCATTCTCCTTGCTAATTTGCATGCCTGTTTTTTCTCCCAGCCAATTAGTGGTATGATTCAACATAATACATTATAATAAACATAAATATATACATATATACCAGTAAGTCTGTAGAAGGATTATGATGTCGTCTGACTTTGTAAGAGGTTTGCAGCTTCGAAAAGAGTTGCCTCGTCACCGAATTGGGTCATCAATTGAATTCCATGGGGCAGACTATGGTTCCAAGGGATTGAAATGGCCGGCAAACCAGCCAAGGATGCAGGGACTGTCAACAAGTCGTTGACATAACTATGTAATGGGTTTTCCTTGTTTCGAAGTTCGTATTCTTCGATAGAAGGGGTGTCTCCAACAGCAGTTGGAGACAACAAGACATCACAACCAGAAATTGACCCGGGCTCTTGTAAAAGAAAGTTTGGAAATTTAAATACCTGGTTGAATTCCTTGACCAAACTTTCCCGTACTTGTGTGGCCTTCATGTAATGGTTCCCAGAGTCTGACGAGAGTGTATAATTACCCAAAAGGATTCTCTTTTGCACTTCTGGGCCAAATCCTAAAGTTCTATTCTTTGAGATCAAGCCACTATTCTCCTCCTCTTCCTTTACAGTCTTAGCTTCCTCCGATAATCCATATCTGAGACCATCATATCGTGCTAGGTTGGATGCTGCCTCTGCCGTGGCAATGGTATAATAAGCCAGCAACAGTTTCTTGATCAGTGGGATGGATACTTCCTTGATAATATGGCCCTTTTCTCTGAATGTTTCCAACGCTTCCAACCAAGCTCCACGGTTATTAGTCGAAAGTTCTTCTACAAGAAACTCCGACGGTATTCCAATGGTCAATTTTCTATTATTATCTTTTCCTTGTTGATCGAATTGGGTCCGAAGTTCTTGTGTGAGAGTTGTCGGATCCTTATCATCTACATGGTCCAAAACTTGGTACACCTTCTCCACCAGCTCTACATCTCGTGCCAATATCCCAACTGTATCCAAAGTCTGTGCATATGGAATGACCCCCCATCTAGAAATACGTCCGTACGAAGGTTTGAACCCAACAACCCCACAATAGCTCGCAGGGAGTCGCACAGATCCACCGGTATCTGTTCCAAGACTGAAATCTACAAGCCCAGCAGCTACCGCAGCAGCAGACCCACCAGAAGACCCACCGGCTACATGTGGCACTGCCGCATGTTCATATCGTGGGTTTAGGGTTGCACCATAGTATGAGTTTGTATTGGATGATCCCATTCCAAATTCATCTAAATTGGCCTTCCCGACAAGTAGAGCTCCAGCTTCATCAAGTAAACCCACCACAGTTGCAGAATATGGAGCCACGTAGTTGGAAAGAATACGAGATCCACAAGTGGTGGTAGAAACTGAAAAATTATCCTTTGCTGCATACGTGAGTCCTTCAAGTGAGGCATTACCCTTACCATTTCCTTCTCCTGTTCGCACTTCCTTCAGAATAAATGCATTGAAGGGATCATTCTGCACTACTCGAGAAGAAAGCCTACGAAGAGCTGATACCCGACCGATACACACTCCACATGTCATGCTAAATGGATTATCTATCTAAGAGTACGTCCACAGCTTCTCTTAGTCTAAAGAAACTGTGGATCCAAGACACCTGACCCATTTTTCATATACACACCAAAAAAAAAAAAAAAAAAAAAAATTGGTGACAGAAACTCAAAAATTCAATTCAGGTGATCATTTTGATCTTTACTAATCCACCATACTCAACAACCGTACAGAAAATGGCCGGACCTACTTTGCATCCAGCTAAGGGAAACACCTTGGCCGACTTGGCTGCCAACATCAAGATCGCCGTTGCCGGCGCTATTTCCAAGACCGTATTGGCCGATGCGGCTGAGAGTGACTCAAACTTGTCTTACCAAGATGCTAAGCTTGGGTTTGAACTTGTTGAAGCTAATGCCATCGTTCGTTACTTGACAGGTGACTTCTCTGCCAGCAAGGTTATTGCTTTAGAAGAAACCACCGCCTACAAGACTCTTAAGGCCAACAAGCCTGTGGAAGACACTGCTTCCCTTATTGGTGGGTTCACCACTCCAGACGTTAAATCTGCCGAACAAATCATTGCCTTTTCCGCTGTCTACCCAACATTGAAGGGCTCCTCAGAAGACTCCTCCTCTTGGTTTGGTGCCTTCTCGAAAGTCCCAGAGGTCACTGCTGCCATCACTACCGCTCTTGCCGTCACCAAGATTGAAAGAACTAAGGAAACCAACACTGGTGCTAAAAACGTTGAAACTGGTCATCTTGTCAAGAAGCAAGCAGACCAAATCTTGCCAAAGGACAACGAAAGAAACATTTTGATCACCTCTGCCCTTCCTTATGTTAACAACGTTCCTCATTTGGGTAACATTGTTGGATCTGTATTGTCTGCTGACATTTACGCCAGATACGCCAAGAACAGAAACTATAACGCTCTCTTTGTCTGTGGTACCGACGAATATGGTACTGCCACAGAAACCAAGGCGTTGGAAGAAAAAGTCACTCCAAAGGAATTGTGTGACAAGTACTACAAGATTCATAAGGAAGTTTATGAATGGTTTAACATCGGGTTTGACCACTTTGGTAGAACTACCACCGATGAACAAACAGAAATCGCTCAAGACATCTTTTTGAAGTTGAACGAAAATGGTTACTTGGAAGAACAAACCACCCCTCAATTATACTGTGAAGAACACAAGGCTTACTTGGCCGACAGATATGTTGAAGGTACTTGTCCATTGTGTGGATACGAAGACGCAAGAGGTGATCAATGTGACAAGTGTGGTAAGTTATTGAACCCGTTCGAATTGATCAACCCTAGATGTAAGTTGGATAACTCTGTCCCAGTGACCAAGGATTCCACTAACATTTACCTTAAACTTGAAGACTTACAAGAAGAATTATCCAAATGGGTCGACGAAAGCTCCACCAAGGGTAAGTGGTCCAAGAACTCCAAGACCATCACCAACTCATGGTTGAAGGAAGGTCTTCAACCTAGATGTATTACCCGTGACTTGAAATGGGGTACTCCAGTTCCATTGGAAAAATACAGTAACAAGGTTTTGTACGTGTGGTTTGACGCTCCAATTGGTTATGTTTCCATCACTGCCAACTACTTCAAAGAAAAGGGCAACAAGGAATGGACCAAATGGTGGAAGAACCCAGAAAACGTTGATTTGTACCAATTCATGGGTAAGGATAACACTCCATTCCATTGTGTTGTTTTCCCATCTACCCAAATTGGTACCAAGGAAAACTGGACTAAGTTGCATCACATTAACACCACCGAGTACTTGCAATACGAGGGTGGTAAGTTCTCCAAGTCTAGAGGTGTTGGTGTCTTTGGTAACAATGCCAAGGAAACTGGTGTTCTGCCATCTGTATGGAGATACTACTTGTCTTCCATCAGACCAGAAACCTCTGATTCTCAATTCTCTTGGAATGAATTTGTCACTAAGAACAATTCTGAATTATTGGCCAACTTGGGTAACTTTGTTAATAGACTTGTTAAGTTTGTTAATGTCAAATATAACGGTGTTGTACCAAAATTTGACCCTAAGAACGTTCCTAACTACAGTTCCTTTGAATCTGATGTCAATGAATTACTCAAGTCTTACATCGACAGCATGGAAGCCGTCAGCTTGCGTCGTGGTTTAGAACTTGCCATGGCCATCTCTTCCCGTGGTAACCAATTCTTACAAGACAACAAATTAGATAACACTTTGTACTCTGACTTCCCTGAAAAGTCCGATGCTGTTGTCAGTGTTGGTTTGAATCTTATCTACCTTCTTTCCGCCATTATTTGGCCATTTATGCCAGAAACTGGTGACAAGATTGATGAGATCTTGAACGCTCCTGCCTTATCTATCACTGACAAGTTTGAACTTGTTTTGAAGCCTGGCCACTGTATTGGTAAGGCTCAATACTTGTTCACCAGAATTGATGAAAAGAAGATTGAAGAATGGCGTGGAATGTACGGAGGACAACAAAAGAAGTAAATGTATAGAATGTGTCTTTAAATTGATAATTAAGTGCTAATAAGTGTGCATGTAGACTACTACTATTCGTAGAGTTGTAGCAAAATTGATCAGTTTTCTTAGCTGCAAATTCCCCATAAATGTGCTCAAGTTGTGCGGCCAGTTGAAAATCAAAAAAAAAAAAAAAAGGACAAGAAATTCCTAGTCCGGGGTTGACACTTTTCCCCGGGATAGCTCCCCCCCCGCAGTGAAACACGGGGCAAACTAGATAAATTAATTGTTTACTTCTCCTTTCATATATCATTTCCACTAGGATTAGAAAGTGCAGATCGATCAACTATATACTGGATATGTCTTTCTTATTGAAAACCCCAATATCAGGTCTCTTGACCGGATTGATGGTCCCCCCAGTACTTACTAAGCTTGTACTTGAACCGGTTTTGATTCAGAAAAAATACGACGAAATTGACAAAATCAAACACGATTTGGACTTTGTAGGATGGCATGTTCGAAACCTTGAAGAATCTTATGGCTTTAAAGAGGCTGACGTTTACATCCCCGTCAGTTACTTTCAAGGAAGATACTAATGTATCTAAAAAGTTTAATCAGTGGAATATTTATTCCTATGTATGTATATTATTTAGTGTGCTATATACTCGCCCTTAATGTATTTTGTTTATGTATTTCTTCATGTAGTTAATCATCGTTTTCGAGATCTAAACCTTCGTCATTGATATCTTCTTCAGCTCCACTATATAAGACTTCATCATCGTCATCAAACAGGAGTCTAGAGGCTTCCCAATTGCTTATACCTTTAGTGTCACTCAAGTCACCACCTGTAAGCACGCGGATCAAGTTCAACTTGAAGTCCTTCGATTGTTTATCGAAATCAATATGGTCTTGAGTACATTCTGGTACTTCAGGTGAATGACCAATGCTCTGACCCACTCTAATCAAAGTTTCAACACATGTGTTGGAATTATTTACCAAGTCTGAATCAAACTTGAAATGCAGAGATTGGAAAAGTAAAAGAATAGTTGAACCTCCAAATTTGAAATATCCAACTTCTTCTCCCCTCAGAATCTTTTGCTGTTCTCCCACAGAGAGTACAATCGACCCTACCATCATGGCACCCACTGCAATCATAATCACCGTACCGAAATGTTCAGTTTCAATGCAAATAATTGACCGAACGTTTTCTCCAAAGACATCTAATTCAGATCTGATAGCCATAGGATTGACCGTGTAGTATTCCCCATCAACATGCTTAATAGAACGGATAACACCACTTACTGGAGAATGGAATCGATGGTAATCTTGTGGTGCTAACCGGAAAATCCCCAATGAACACTTTGATGGATTAAATAAGTCGGTTGTTTCAAGGTTTTCAAGATTCCCATTAAATAATTTAGCCAAAGTGAAGTTGCGTCCCTTGACCCATAATTCTGTTGCCGCATCAACGGAATCAAAACATGTACTTCTACAATCAGCTGGAGACACAACTACCCTATCATCTTCAGATGATAATTTTCTTGCTCCAGGTTTGAGTTTCCTGTAAAAGAACTCGTTAAAGGTTGCGTATTTCAGTGGATCTTCTTCAAGACAATCTGAGAGGTCTAAACTATGAAACTTGATAAACGCCTTAATATCGTTTTTCAGTTGTTCAGCATCGAACTTTGCTCCTTGCTTTATAGAAAGACTTTTAAGTAATTGTCTTATACGCTTCTTCTTTGCCGAATCAAGTCCTTTATAAAGCACTCTTATTCCCAATCGAACATAAACACCCATCTTTTCTTCCATAACAATCCCTGTAGTTCTATCCTGAACCAAAATATTAGCCGAGTTACTGCCTAGTTTGTACTTACCATAAGTAAGCTTGATCAAGACTTTAGAAAACCATCGTCTTGTAGCCACTTGAGGTGTGTCATATGACAGCAAGAGTAACTTGTTGACGATACTCCAATCCTTAGATGCACATATGGCAACATGCGTTATGATATCAACATCTTGCTTTTTAGATAATCTCTTTTGACAACAAATTGGACATTTTTCAATTTGGAATATCTTATTCCCCTGACCTGCATTGGATGTTACATGCTTTTCTAACATGTCACTTATTTCTTCAATAGTCAATGTATCACCTCCCCAAGCCAGCTTCCCGACACTTTCAAAGAACCCACTGACAATGTCGTCACTGTTCTCACACCCCAAAGTATCCAAAAGGGCAATAAGTTCAATGTAATCGTACTTACCTTCATTACCCAACAGATACTGCTCAAGTAAAACCTTCCAAAATTGACGTCTTAAGCTTTCATATGGTTCAAATCTAGCTCTGATCTTGAGTGTAGGTTTGTATTTTCCCAAGTATTTCTCTTTATGAATGTTCAATGCCAAATCCATAGTCTTAAATTTAGAAGTATCTTCGTATTTCACAGTAACCTTCTTTCTCTTTGTAAAGCGCTTTTTCTTAATAGAACTCACCATGTTCGCATCCTCAGACAATCTAATACTAGTCAGCGATGGATAATCAACGGGGTCTAATACTGGCAACCCCATAGAAAACCCACTTACAGTTTCACCCTCCATAGCAGCACTATCTGTTCCATCTGCACCATCTGCTTCAGCAAACGAAGTCTCCGTAGACATATCGGTTATTTCCTTCATTCGAACCGTCACATCGGCAACTTCGTCATGGAATGAAAATGAGTCCTTATCTAACACTGAGAATTGAATATTGAAATTATGTTCATGTGCCAAAATTTCAAATGCTAATCTTTCGTTAAAGATTGGATTGAGAGTGTGTCTTTTCCAGGAAGTACGGAATGTTCTTTTACCAAATGTCACCACAACAAAGGGGTCCATATCAAACGACGTACGGGTGATATTACTGAGTGGTGGGAGATCAGAACACGATACAATTTCCAAGAAGATAACTCCAAGAACATCTCTATTACTGACTTCGAAATGTGAATTCTGTGAAGCCTTCAGACGAAGTTTCAGAAGTGGATGTTTCTTCTTTGTACTTGGAATATCTTGAGGATTGAGTAAATTCAGCAGCTGTACCAGAAATGGAAGCAGCAGTTGAGATAACGATACATCACCACTATCCAAAAATTGTGAAGCATCGTCAGATTCCGCTGCACTGTCATCAGTGCAGATAGAATAATCAGAGCCCGATATATCATCTGGATGTAGGAGATTGTCATGGGAAATATCCCCAGTAGCCTTCAAAATCGGAATTGGAGCAGATCCAGATTCCGAGGTCGGTTCGAGTGAAGGTGTAACACTTTCTAAATCAGATCCATCTGCCATGATGGTTGGACCATCAGGATAGAATCCTTGTTCATTCGGGGACAATAATGTGCGATCTGGGCTGGAGACAAGCAATGAATCTAGCCATGCTTGGAGAAGAATGGACTTCTCCCCTTCACTTAACGTGTTCACGGGAACCAATTCATTTTCTTCCATGGCATCAAGATTTAAATCGTCAATCTTTGTGTAAAGATCATGGGCGGTAGGTGGATTAATAAGAACCGTTGGAACCGCACCAGTATCCTTGCTTTTATTAACAATAGTAGTTTTATTTCCGACTCCAGTTGACTTCTTTCTACGCTTAGTTTTTACTACAAGTTCAAAGGAAAGAAGTAGAGACCCCGTAACAAAGCCTTGATATGACTGTCCAGAGTATAATTTGTACCATTTTAAGTCGCTGGTTAGAGAAAAGGAATTCGAGGAATTAGTGAAAATATCACTCACACTTAATCGAAGTTCTCCCATATAATTCTTGTACCGTCTATGTTTGTCCCAAATGGTTAACACAAGGAGTTGGGAATAGTCATTTTGTTTCAATGGGAGATGCACAGAGTCGTCCCAACTAGGTTGGCTGGTGTGCAACTTCCTCACAGTTTTACGCTTGTACCCATTGAGCGAGGCTACAAGCACTGGATTGACACTTTTTTTGGAAGATGTAGACAGTGGGGCAGTGCCAGCACTGTGACTAGCAGCAACCTCCGTGGGAACCAAGTCTGCTGCCCGGTTGGCATTGATTTTGAGAAATAGTTGTGTTTTCGGAGTCGTCCTCTTCTTAGTCTTCCGACGAAGAATACGCATGTTAACTTCGGTGGACTTCTATACTTAGCTGTTAAGGCTGTCGGAGAAACTGTATATATATATGTATATATATATATTCAAGATTGGCACAGACGAAATTCTTCTATGTAGGAATTCCAGTCTTGACGTAAACGAGGGGAAGATCAGAATTCAGTTTTGGTTTATTCCTAAGTGGCTTAGCAAGTCGTCCCACCGGGTACTCAGGATAGCTATTGTGGGCTTTCAGCGGGATGTTTCTTTTTTTTTTAAAAGATTGCCTCAATAGACGGAAACTACTTCAATTTGATTTCTACAATTCCTTGCCAAGATATTAAGGACAAAGACAAGGTTTTGAGGATGTACGTAAGTTTAAATCTTTCCATGCAATCGAATTGTTCTAATGCGCGATGAAATTGAAAATGGATGATCTTTTCATTGTTACACATATCTAAATAATTTTTATCAAGTAACATTAGAGTCTCATGAGCTTACACCAACTTTTGTTCCAGCTCTAAACCCCATGTAATTTTACTCTTTCAAGAGTTCTTCATCTCATTTTATTCTTGCATTATTACCAGTACTATATATAACTTCTCTTACTAATAACTATGACATCAACATCTCAACAACTCTCTTCACACTCAATCTCTTGATATCCGTATAGGTCTGTCCAGTACCCACAAATAAAATAGGAACTCTCGTTGCCATAACCATATTAATCATGGCACCAACCAAGTCTCCAACAGTATCAACTTTGGAAATAATGAAAAAATCCAAACTACGTTTATTCCCAAACGCATTGTTGAAATTGGTAGCTTGTTCCACGGAATCAGTACCAACAAGAGCTTCACCAACCATGATAATCTTGTTAGGATTGGCAGCTTCACCGAATTTCTTCAATGGAGCCATCAATTTCGCATTAGAATGAGTTCTACCTGCGGTATCAATCAAAACAATATCATACAGTTCTTCAGCAGCATATTGAATGGCCAGCTTAGCAGTGGCAACAACATGGTCTCCACCACCATAACCCTTTTCAAAAAGATCGATTTTGGAGTTTGAAGAGGATGAAGAAGAATTCAAACGTTGCAAGTTATTGACGTGGACTTTAAGTTGTTCCACAGCACCAGATCTAAAGGTATCACAAGCACAAATCAAGACATTTAGGTTATTTTGCAAGAGCCAGTATGCAAGCTTGGCCAAATTCGTGGACTTACCAACCCCATTAACCCCAACAACGGAAATGACATACGGTCTAGCAGATGTCGATGAATTGGCCTTGATTTCATGAAGAAGATCAGTCGATACGTTTGGGGTCAAGATCTTGGTGAGTTCATTAATCAATGTTTGTTTATAGGAAGCAGTGGTGATTTTGGCCTTACTAGAAGTGAATTCACTCTTAATCTTATCAGTAATTTTTTTAGCAGTTGGTGGTGAAATATTCTTGGAAATAAGATGATCGCAGAAATCTTTAGAAAGAGATTCGATATTAGTATTGGATCCAAAGTATGATGAAAGTTTACCGAAAAACCCACCGGAGTTACCATTTGATTCTGAATCTTGCTCATCTTCATCGTCATCATCGCCGCCAAGAATGTCGTTCAATTCGTTGACTATATACAAGTCATTCTCCTTGGTAAAGGCAGCCTTATCCACTTGTAATTGTTCCCTGCTTGATCCAGTGTCACCTACCTTTGAACTGGAGAAATCAAGGGCAGTAGAGTCTCCAGCTGGCGCTTCTTCTTCCACAAGTTGTCCATCTATCCACTTTCTCATTTTCTTGCCCTTAACGGCAGATGACGATTGTTGTTTCTTATTAGTATTAGTATTATTATTATTAGTGGTTGAGGAGGATGTGGAATTATTCTTTGACTTAGTAGTCGTTTGTTCTACAACAGATTCAGAAACTGTGGATTGTTTGAACTTCATCAATTGGGAAACTTGGTAATCAATCAATTTCTGTAATTTTTCCCTAGTAGCCTTATCATCCAATATCTCTTCTTCTGCAATCTTGTGATAAGTTTTCCAGATACTATTCAATGTAGATTTGATTTTTTCTCTGTCAAGGGTAGTCACAGCGTCAAAGTATAAAGCAACATAGTTTTTGTTCTTCTTGGCACAATAGAATCGTTTTTGGACAGTGGAAATGGTGAAAAATCCGCTTTCTATTTCATGATATGTCTCATTGACAATGCTCGAAATAAGTTCATTGAATGGATGTACTTTGTTATTGAACTGGTAATTAATTTTTCCAGAAGTACTGAAGATTACCAAAGAGTGAGACATTTTTTATTTATTAAACAGTAATAAACTGAAATGAAAATAACTTAGGTATGTATTTTGGCAGGGGAGATTTCAACATGTTCATTTTTTTAGATCCTTATTGACTCCGAGCCGTTGACACCACAAAGTTGAAAAAAAAAAGATTGTGCGGCAGTTTCCCAAATCTTGGGGGTAGAAAAAAAAGAATGACGTCACAGACAGGATTCGAACCTGCGCAGGCAGAACCCAACACCTTGACTGCTAGATAATAGCAGGGTGTCGCCTTAACCACTCGGCCACTGTAACTTATTTGTGTTGAAAATTGCGTAAAAGTAAGATATACCATCAGAAAATAAGTCAAAAACTTAATTTTTTATTTTGAATATAGAGCCAGGAGTATGCCATTTAAATTTAGTTAGACGGGTGAAGTATATGAATAGAGGTCAAGAGTCTCTATCTGAAGAGTTAGGAGATAAAAGAGTATTATTTGGGGGAGATATTACGGAAATAGAGTGTTCCAATAATATGAAATATACTTAATATGAATTTTCCACCTACTTATCGAAGTCGTTTGATTAATTGAGCTTTTTAAGACTTAATCTATCTGTCGGAAATCTATTAAGGGCAAGTTAACCAGTGTTGTATTTGAAAAAAACGTTTATGTAACGAGGTATTTTAAGAGTGCTGTCTCTTCCAAGATTCTCAGATTTAACTAATTACGACAATTTTCATTGCATCTAGAAGGGGAGATAATCTAAATAAATAATACCAAATAAATAAAGACAAAATTATTACACACAGTCCTTTTGTCTTTAATAAACTCTAGATAATAATAATATGTTACATCATGGATTGGTTGCAAAACAAAGAACAAAGAATAAAGATCAAGATTGAACAAAATATCCCGTGCAAGGATTTCTTAGAAACATTGGCTGACTCATGCCAATTATTATAAATTCAGAATTCATTCTAACGATAAACTCAAAATCTCCCATCTCATAACCTAAATAATCTAAACCTTTCCAATTCTCCAATGGATTGTATTCTCGATTCTCCAGAAGTGTTTTTTTTTTTTTTCGCCTCTTAATTTTTAGCTTGACCGCAAGTATATTCTTCCCACACACGACCAAAAAAATGATCTCTGTATAGAAAACACGTCCTTTCAAACATATTAAATACACATTGGTAGAGTTATCATATACTTTACTAAAAGAAGAGAATACCTATATATTTTCTGCTTCTCATAATTGCTTCATATTTAAATTCAACCCGAGAAATCCAATTGGAAGTGAATTCTGATTATCTAACGTAAATCATCATATTCAATCATGTCATATTACCAGACAAACGATCCACAAAATTTACAATTCTATCAATCTAACTACTCCAATGTGTACCAATCCCAGCAAGGCGGTGTAGGAATTCCTGGAAATGCTGGCACGGGTATGGGTGGCCCTATGGGCGCCATGGACAGTGGATTTGGTGCCAATATTGATGTCAGTGGATCCATGGGAAATGGTGAATTGACCCCTGGATTACTTGCTGCATTTGGTACTAGTGGCTACCCCAATGAACCTCCATTACTTGAAGAGTTGGGAATCAATTTTGTTCATATCAAAATGAAAACTTTGGCCGTTTTGAACCCTTTCAATAGAAACATCAATTCAGATATAATGTCCGATTCTGATTTGGCTGGTCCTATTCTTTTCGTTTTGTTGTTTGGAACCTTGCTCTTATTGTCTGGGAAGATCCAATTTGGATATATCTACGGGGTAGGACTCTTTGGAACCATTAGTTTACACTATTTGTTCAAGCTTATGAGTGATGACATTTACATAGATATGGTGAGATCTGCATCTGTGATAGGTTATTGTTTACTACCACTTGTTATTATCAGTGTTTTAGGTGTATTTGTAACATTGGATAACTTATTTGGGTATATTTTGAGTGCCATTGCCGTCTTTTGGTGTACCTACTCTGCCTCTGGGTTTTTCGTGGCAGTCTTGAAGTTGCACAATGTCAGACCATTGATTGCCTATCCATTGGCCATGTTCTACTCTGTATTTGCATTGATGGCTATATTTGTAGAGAAGTCACCATTGGCATGAGGTAAATAGAAGAGGAGGTGAATTATAGGTGATATAGATTTCCTATTGTGTATACTATGAGGGATATAAATATATATATATATAAGTATAATATATATGACATATCAATAGAGGTGGAGAAAAACCTACGAAAACTGTAGTTCATAATTCATTCATATTGTCCAAACTTCTGGGTCTATTCAATTTTAAGTGGTGTTACCTTAACCGCGAAAAATGCGCCAATATGAAAATGAAAGTTTTATTTTGAACTTACCTTCTTCTTTCTTCCACCTTAAACATGATACCAAAGACATTACGCAGTACTGGTATCACAACCAAATCGATATATTCCAAGGGGTGGATACGACTGAAGTCCGCGGTAGCAGTATCAACCCCACCTAATACTCTATACACAACGACTCCAATTTTCTATGTAAATGCCAACCCACACCTTGGTCATTTATATAGTATGCTTTTATGTGATACAAGAAATAGATGGGAAAAGCTCAACCCTAGAGCAAAGACATTTTTCACTACTGGTACGGACGAGCATGGACTTAAAATTCAAACGGTGGCTGAAAAGCAAAATATATCTCCTAAAGATCTTACCGATAAAGTATCACAGAATTTCAAAGTATTAGCCACAGATCTAGATATTGATTACGATAGATTTATTAGAACTACTGATCAAGATCATGTAAAGGCGGTGCAATTTTTCTGGGAGTTAATGCAAGAAAAGGGATATTTGTACGAAGGATCTCATTCAGGGTGGTATTCTGTTAGTGATGAAACTTTTTATCCAGAAACTCAAATTGAACCAATTGAAGGGAATCCAGGTAAAATGAGATCTAAAGAAACCAAAAGTGAAGTTGTTTATCAACAAGAACTGAATTATTTCTTCAAATTATCAGCATTTCAAGATAGACTTATTGAATATCTTGAAACTAATCCTGATTTCATTATCCCTAAAACCAAATATACTCAATTATTGAATGAACTTAAAGAAGGACCTATAGGAGACCTTTCAGTATCAAGACCTTCATCCAGATTGACATGGGGCATCCCAGTACCTAATGACCCTAGTCAAAGAATCTATGTTTGGTTTGATGCTTTAATTAACTATATTACATCTTGTGGATTCCCCAATAGTTTTATCAGAGATAAAGAAACTGGATTATTTAAAAGCGGTAACGCTTGGCCTGCTACTCATGTTATTGGGAAAGATATTATTAGGTTTCATTGTATATATTGGCCAATTTTCTTGATGGCTGCTGGTATTGAACTTCCCGAAAAAGTTGTGGTTCATTCACATTGGCTCAGTGATGGGTTTAAAATGAGTAAAAGCTTGGGTAACGTGGTTGATCCACAGGCTACTGCAGCATATTATGGTCAAGATAGTTTAAGATTTTTCTTGATGGAATATTCCAATATTGAATCTGATTGTAATTATCGTGAAGATCAATTCCATTTCACTAGAGAAACTATAATTGGAAAATTTGCTAATCTTATTACTAGATGTGGGGGATCAGCGTTTAATATTGAAAAATCTGTTGAATATGCTAAACTGGGGAAATATGAACAAATTGATGAATTAATTGGAAAATATTCCATTAAAACTGATATTGAAGAAGTTAAACTTGCACGGGACAAGCTTGAAATGACTGCAAACTCATTATATTCGACAATGAATTCCCATATAGTACAATTTGATCAACTGAAGGCTATTGGAGAATGGTGGTCTCTTGTGGAAAGAGCCAATGAATTATTCCAAACAGCGCAACCTTGGCTTTATACCAAGGCACTCAAAGATGTGGATTTGAACGCGGAAGATAGGGAAGCTCTTTTGACTCTACAACTCTATTATACTTATTTGGCAGCAGAATCAAGTCGTATTGCCTGTATTCTTATTAATCCAATCATGCCTAAATTATCAACAATGCTTCTTGATCGATTGAATGTTGATCCCACAAGAAGAAATGCGGATTTTGCTGCCATTGGACTGGATTTAAGTTATGGTCATGGAGCTAATGAAAAGACTCATAAAATACCAATTGTTAGAATTCCAATGAGAGAAACAAATTTGTAAATAAAAGAAAAAAGAAAAAAGAGAAAAAAAAAAGACGAAGAAGAAGAAGAAAAGAAAGTAATCTTGTAAATAGAATGATATAAAGAATTAATCACATATTGTAAGGAAATGGAGAGTAAAAGAACATACATATTCATTTTGTGTGTATATCTCTCAAATGTATCAAACAATATCCTGCGTATAAACACACAAGATTCTCCATTTATTAACATTCTCTTATGGCGGTAAATTTTTTTCATATTGGCTGCAAAAACTTAAACCTACACCAAATTCAATGCAACCAATATATTGGACATTTGACCGGAATATAAATGTTTCAATATTTCACGCTTAATCTAGCGACGTGTTAAAAATTATTTTTTTAAAATTTCTTCTTTCAAAATTTTTTTTTGAATCAATCCATTATATAGACACATTACCTTTGTCAAGTACTATATCCCCTTACCTCACATGATATTAGTTTTATTATAAATTCATAATGTTTTTTAAAAAAAATAAGGTACTCTATTCTACAAACAAAATATGTCAGCCCCCCCTCTTTAGAAAAAAAAAAATTATTTGCCCCCTCAAGTGTATATTGAGACATTATTTTTTTACTTTCAATATGAAATTATCTAATCATATTACACAAAAGGCAGGATACACGTGACATAGATTGACCGGAAACCAAGATTTACAAGAAAAATAAAAAATACCCATTTTTCCGGGACTAAGCTTACGAGGGTAAACACAGTGTGTAATCTAACGAGATTAGGATAATCCACATTTAAAAAAGGTAATTGAGAGAAGGTAGGTATCGAGAAATACTGCTGCTAAGTCCAACTGTAGATTTAGTTAACTTATTGAGAATATATTGGGAGAGTTGCTCCAAGAATATCAATTGAGCCTTTCACCACCTAATTGATTTGAAAGTGTCACAAGGTTTTGGAGAGATAATTAATTAAATTTTTTCAGTATCAATTAAGCCCCTATCGAGACTACGACAAGACTTATACCGTCTGATATCAATATAAAAACAGAAACCATTGTTGATTTCAGAAAGGATTATTCTGAATTGGTATACCATTATCTATAATTTAACCTCAAGATTTTTGAACTTACTATTTATTACAATCCTGTCAGATACTCCGAGGCTATGGCTAGAAGGAATGGGAATGGACGCTTGAGTCTGTTGAAAGATCATTCTGACGATGACGAAGATATTGTACCTAGAAGAAGTAGGAATGCCGTTTCTTACAATGAAGAGGAACCTAATGGTTTCGAATCTGATGAAGAAGATATCAAGACCAAGAAAAAAACTCAATATAAATTCACTATGGATGATGATGATGATGAAGCAGAAGAGGCAGTCGTGGATGATATTCCGGAAGTTAAAAGTGGGTCTGATAAGGATGACGATGATATCGACGATCTCTCTGAATCTTCTGAAGAAGTAGACCCTGCTGCTGACAAGGAAGATGATTATGTTGACGATGAGGATGATGATGAAGATGCAATGCCCAGTCGTCGGAAAAGACGAAGAAATGGAGGTTCATCGTCTAGAAACCGTCGTTCCCAAAGCAAGATTGGATCTGACGAATCTGACTTTAAAGCTGACAGTGAAGATGACGAAGATAGTGAAGTGTATGATGATTTTGTAGATAAATTACAAGAAAAGAGGTTTGTTGCTACAGACGAAGAAGAAGGTTCAGATAGTTACCTGTACAGTTCACATAGACCAAACAAGAGAGCGAAAAGAAGCAAGAGTCGGTCGAGGTCGAGATCTGTGGAACCGGGTAAAAGAGGTGGACGTACTACACGAGCGTCTCAACGTGCTGAAGAAAGAGCCAATGAAATTGAAGACGAAGACGATGAAGAAGAAGAAGACAGTATACAAAAGGAAATTCAAGAATTGTACGATTCTTCTCCAGAATCCACTCCAGTTAAACACAAACTTAGAGAAAGAGGTACCAAGATTGACTATACTATACCACCTCCGTTAAACCCAGACAACCAGAACGAATTTGCATCATATAACAACACAGCTGCCATTGGTGCAACAAACTCCACGTATAAACCTAGAGGTAGAGGACGCGCCCCAGCTAGTAAAAGTGATTATAGAAAGATTCTTTTCCCCACTGCTGGTCCATTTGGAGGTAGTGATGTAATTTCATTATTTGGGAAGAATATTCCACCAGGTGGTATCCCAATCGAAGGGATGACAAATGATCTGAGTCTTACAGCAATTGGACAAAATGCCAGTGATTCAGATTCATCTGACGAGGAAATTGTGCCAGTAAATGGCACTGCTACTTTGAAAAATGGCTCTTCTGGTAGTGGCAACACAATAAATCACACAAAACTTATTACCAGTGGAACTTCTGCGGATCCAAAATCCAAAAAGAAAAATAACTTGAGTGATACTGATCCATTAGGAGTTGATATGAATATTGACTTCTCTGTTATTGGAGGACTTGAAAATTATATCAATCAATTAAAAGAAATGGTTGCTCTCCCGCTTTTATATCCTGAACTTTACCAAAATTTCGGACTTACTCCACCCAGAGGTGTTCTTTTCCACGGTCCTCCTGGTACTGGTAAGACTTTAATGGCCAGAGCCTTGGCTGCTAGTTGCTCTACTGCAGAAAGAAAAATTACGTTTTTCATGAGAAAGGGTGCCGATTGTCTTAGTAAGTGGGTAGGAGAAGCCGAACGTCAATTGAGATTACTTTTTGAAGAAGCTAAAAACCAGCAACCATCAATCATCTTTTTCGATGAAATCGACGGGTTGGCTCCAGTCAGATCATCAAAGCAAGAACAAATCCACGCCAGTATTGTATCCACTTTGTTAGCTCTTATGGATGGTATGGACAATAGAGGACAAGTCATTGTTATTGGGGCTACTAATAGACCTGATTCCATTGATCCAGCACTTAGAAGACCAGGAAGATTTGATAGAGAGTTTTATTTCCCTCTTCCAGATCAAAATGCTAGAAGTGAAATTTTGCAGATCCATACTAGAAAGTGGCAACCTCCTTTACCAGAAGGGTTTGTTGACAAAGTCGCAGGACTCACCAAGGGATATGGAGGTGCTGACTTACGAGCATTATGTACCGAAGCTGCGCTCAATAGTATTCAACGTAAATATCCACAAATTTACCAAACAAATGATAAATTGAAGGTCAACCCACTGAAGGTGAAAGTGATTGCCAGAGATTTCATGAAGGCCATCGATAAGATTGTTCCTTCTAGTGCACGTTCCACCTCATCTGGATCTTCCCCATTATCTGACCATTTGAAACCTTTATTAGAAGACTCTTTTAAGGAAGTTGTACATAAGTTGGATGAATTGCTTCCAAATACAATCTCAACATCCACCAAGAAAAAGCTTTCTACTTTAGAAGAAGCATTATATTTTGATCCAACAGTAAGAGATAGTGATGGTGGATTTGCCAAACAAGAATTACTTAAAAACTTGGAAAATGCAAGAATTTGTAAGCCACATTTATTAATTTGTGGAGATCAAGGAAATGGTCAACAATATATCAGTGCTGCCATTTTGAATCATTTAGAAGGATTCCAAGTTCAATCTTTGGATATGGGTAACACTTTTGGAGATGCCAGTAGAACTCCTGAACTGAGTATAGTCCAAGCTTTTATTGAAGCTAGAAGACACCAACCAGCGGTTATTTTCATTCCAAACATTGATATTTGGTTCCAAGTGGTTCCACATTCTGCCAAGGCTACATTGACTGGATTGTTGAGATCTCTTAATAGTAGTGAAAAAATTTTATTATTGGGTGTTGCAGAGACAACCATGGAACATTTGGATGATGATATCCGATTGATTTTTGGATTCAATAATAATGCTAATAATGTCACTCTTCATGATCCTTCAAGGGAGAAAAGAGCAAAGTATTTTGAAGCATTACATAAAACTTTATTGATGAAACCATGGGAATTTATTAATGATTTAACCAATAGACCTAAAAGAAAGTTGAAACAATTAAAAATTGTCCCAGCTATTAATAGTGTTCCAGATGAAATTGCAGAAAAGAAGAAACAAAAGGAAATTGAATATCAAGATACAAAGCTTAAGAATATACTTAAACTTAAATTGGCAGGCTTGATGGATTTGTTCAAGAATAGATACAAGAGGTTCCGGAAGCCTGTTATCGATGAATCTCTTTTGTACCATTTATTTGAACCAGCAGTATTGGATAACCCACTCAATAATTATGAGGTCTTGTACGAGAAGTCTGATGATCCAAAACATGAAAACATGATTAGAGAAATCTCTACTGGAAGATACTACTACAATATGGATTTGGATATTATTGAAGAAAGATTGTGGAATGGATACTATTCAGAACCTAAACAATTCCTTAAGGATATCAGAATGGTCGTCAAAGATTCTATCACTATTGGTGACAGAGAAAGAATTCTCAAGGCCAATGAAATGTTGACTAATGCTCAATTTGGAATTGATGATTTTAGTACTCCAGAATTTTTGAATTCATGCAAGGAATTAAGAGCTAGAGAAATTCTTAGACAAGAAAAGATTGTGGAAGAACATAAGAAGGCAGAAGAAGAGTTTAAGAAGAAGCAAGCAATGAATATTGAGAATTTACTCACCAATGAATCTCTTGACCTGCAACCAATTGATGTTGATGCTACACCAATCGAATCGAACGGACATACCAATGGAGATGTAAAGATGAAGGAGCCCGGTGAAGAATCCGTGGAAGTACTTAAAGAAGAATTTTCCAAGAAAGAAGAAGAAGAAGAAGTGTCAAAGGAAACTACAAATGAAGACTCTTCAGTAGAAGCAGTAGCATCAAAGCAAACTACAAATGAAGAATCGTCAACAGAAGTAGTACCTTTGAAGGAAGTACCAATCGCAGCTGCAGAAGTAGAATCAGAATCAGAATCAGAGATAGAAACTGAACCTGAACGTGAAGATAAAGAATTGGTAGTCGATGGTCGTATTAATGAATTCTTCACCACATTATTGCCGGAACTCACCGACAATTATGGAGTTGAAAAACTTGAAATTGTGATGGCTAAGTTCATGGACATTGTTTGGAATGACCGTGCCAATTGGGACAAGCGGGAAACCATTCTGAAATTGATTGACGCTGCAAAGGAGTTCATGCTCACCCTCAACTAGAGAAGTTTTTAGTACTACATGTATATTATAACGAAAGTAAATAAAAAAATTGGACACTTAATTTATTGCGTAGCCCCCCAGTAGAGGACTTTTTGTAATTAGATATATAGTACAGGTGGGTTTTTGGATAGACTTTTGGAGAAAAGACTCAATCTTCGGCACTGCCGTCTCTTGGTCTATATGAAATATTTTGTTCCGATAAGTCACCTATGACGTGTGGGGGCAACTTCCCGTTGATTTTAACCGCGTATAAGCCGGGAACAAACGAGTCAATACGAAGCCATCTAGCAACCCACGACTTCTTGTTGTCGTTACCCAAGGCTACAAGCCCTTCAAAGGATGGAGAAGTACAATCTTGAACCTGATTATCTTCATTATCTTGGAAATGCAATACACTTTCACAATTAGGACATCCACCATCCACAAACTTCTTGAATGGCTGGATAAGGCCACACAACATGCATGCTCTTTCAGTTCTCAGAGACATTATTGGGAATTGTACTTTGGGTCAAAATGTATATAGGTTTGACTTATTCAGGTAAACTTTTTTGCGAACGTTGATGTTTTGTTCATGGAGATTTGCATACAGGAGAAGATATCTTTCCAGCCACGTGATCAGCCCAGTTGTAACTTTTTTTTTTCTCCCAGAATATCATTAACATAGTATAATGACACAAAGGAAAAATATAAACCATTCGATTTAAAGATCCCAAGTATTTACTGTTCGTAACAAGCAAAAAAAAAAAACAGACTTTAGAAGAAGGTCATGTATCTTGGCAGGACATCCTTGACGACCCGTAGAGGAATTCTTGAGTGTGTACGGCAGCCAGTACTGGTTTCACAAAGGAGAAACTTTTCCTTTGAACCTCAATTGGTTGTCAATACTCTCACCGAATCTATTCAAGCAGTACATACATTTACAGGTATACCATGGTGGGCACTTATTCCCTTGACCACGTTCAGTTTGAGAGCCATGTGGACATTGCCACTTGCAGTGATGCAGCGTAAACGGATCCAGAAACAGAATGAATTCCGTCCCGTTGTAAGTGCCATGTTCCCAGTGATGAAATTAAAATTAGCTCAAAAAGTTCAAGCAGCAAAGCAAAGAGCAGCATCTTTAGCATCTAAACCAGTATCAACTGATTCAATAGAACTCAGTGTCTTGGAATCACAATCTCCGATTGCATCCATGAAATATGAAGAAATTGTCTTGTTAGCAACAAAGGAAAGACGTAAGAGACAAAAGGCACTTTTCAAAAAGCATAATATACAATTATGGAAAAATTTCATCCTTCCAGCATTTCAAATTCCTCTTTGGGTATGTATGTCCCTTACCATGAGAAATCTTAGTGGTTGGTCTACTTGGGATAGCACTTCCAATACTCCATTAGATCCCTTACTACGTGAAGAAGGGTTACTTTGGTTTACTGACTTGACCCATTTCGACTCTTTACATATTATTCCTGTAGTTTTAGGGGTCATTTCATTATGTAATGTGGAATGGACTTTTAAAACTTTAGAATTATTGAAAACCTCGAGGTCACGTGCCTTGAGACCAACAATGATGGATTCAATTGCAAATATTTCAAGAATGTCAGTTGTTTTCATGATGGCTATTTCTATGAATGCACCTGTTGCATTGACATTATATTGGCTTAGTTCCCAATTATTTTCTCTAGTACAGAATATTTTTCTCGATCTTAATTTCCCAATGAGTTTTACTCCAAAGACAAGATTTAATTATAGAAAGACAAATGGAGAGGCAAAGAGTGTTATTAGAGAAGGAGAAGAAAAGCAGTAAACAACAACAAAGGAAAAAAAGAAAATGTAAATAATATGTACATAGATAGAATAAATATATTAATCTATATTAAAAATAGTTGAATGGACTCTTTCTGACTTCTTGTTGTAGAGTGTTAGTTACCTGTGCCTCGTTTCATATTGTCCTGTTTACGTGCAGTCCATCGCCTCGTTTCTCTTGATAACATGTATGCAGTCCAAGATAAGATTTAAGCGCGATAACCCCCACTCACACCCATGTGGTAGCCCCGAGACCCGAGAACTATTTAATAGTTCCCTTTTCTTTCCATTTTTCGTTCTTTCTTTCTTCCCCTTAAATATACATACCTCGAATTATGATTTCCTTTCCAGGTACTTTAGCAACAAGTATTAGTGTTGCTGCTGCCACTCTATTTGGATCTTCCAACGCGCTTTCTATAGGATTCCCCAATGTTTTTGACTCATTGAACGCCATCACGTTTGGAAGTTCTGATATTGCTCCCTTTGATTCTTGTCCTATCGATATACCGATTTCATGTACCAATAGTACACCCATTGAAAACTCCTGCTGCTTTGAACTGCCCGGTGGGATTATGTTACAAACGCAATTTTGGGATTATTACCCACCTATTGGTCCAAATGATACATTCACCTTACATGGATTATGGCCAGATAATTGTGATGGAACATATGAACAATTTTGCGATGATCTGTTGAATATCAAAAATGTCACTGATATCATTCTTGATGAATTTAAAGATGAAAATCTTTATAAAAAATTACAAAATATTTGGAAGAATTTTAATGGTAGAGATGAAGATTTATGGCTTCATGAATATAATAAGCATGGTACTTGTATTAAGACTCTTAGACCAAACTGTTATAGCGACAAAAATTATATCAAAAATGAAAATGTTTATGATTTTTTCAACATTTCTGTTAATTTATATGAAAAGTATCCAACATTTGAGTTTCTTGCCGAGGCTGGGATTGTCCCATCTTTAGATCAAACCTATACAAGAGATGAAATCGATAAGGCATTGCTGAGCAAGTTTGGCGGGAACAAAGTGTACTTCAAATGTAATAAGTACCAAGCATTACAGGAAATCTGGTATTTCCATCATGTTAGAGGTTCTGTCAAGCAAGAAAACTTCCAACAAATCCCAAGCATGATGAATACAAATTGTCCAGCTGAAGGAATCAAGTTTATTCCAAAGAATGGGTTCAGACCACCTCCAGGAACCCCACCAAAGCCTAACCCACCTGGTTTAGGTAAGGGATACATCAAATTAAGCGGCAAGAGCGGTTGTCTCATCAGTAATGGACAATGGTACCAATACGGTACATGTGCTGGATTCCAAGTTTTAGAACTGACATTTGGAGGTTATAACCTCAAATCATCCAAGGGATACTGTGGATTGAATTCTGATAACCAGATTGTATGTCATAGTGGAATTTCACCAGCCAAATTTCAATTCCAACTTAACAAGGAAACAAAGCAAATTGGATATGGTGGTAAATTTGATTGGTGTTTTGATTCAGAACATAAACATGGGTCTGGAAGATTTGTACAAGTTCCAATTAAATTGGGCAGTAAAGATTGTGAAGATTCTATAAAGTTAACTTTCCAAGCTTAAGATAAAAAATAGATATATTAGAGAAAGAGATTAGACAGAGTAGACAGAGTAGACAGAGTAGACAGAGTAGACAGAGTAGACAGAGTAGACAGAGTAGACAGAGTAGATCAATCTATTAGTATATATGTCGTTATACTATATCTGACAAATGTATATTGATGTATATTTATACCTTTATATCCCTAATATATCTATGAACTATTCTCACAAGCCTTTTGAACTTCAGAGTACAAGAAATCAGAAAGTTTGATTATTCCAGATTCTCCATTACACAATCTGTAAAGGTTATTAGACTCATAAGTTCCAGGTACAATCTTGCCCTCAGCATCTACTTGAACATAACCGAATATGTTGTCAACTTCAGGGATTCTTCCATAGTTTGGAGTATGACGGAAATCATAGATTGGCATATATGTATTGGCGTTAGCACCTGCTTCTACTATGAACAGGAAATCGTTTTGGATTGTTTTGGACACAGTTTCATGGAGAATAGATACGAAAGTTGGGTTGGTCTTGAAGTTTGTGGGCACTATGGCAGCTGTTGAGCCTGTGACAGTTCCAAGACTTGTAGCCTTTGGGTCTTTTGAAAGAGATGCAATGGTTGTACCTTCAATTGAATGTAAGAAAATTTGTTCATTTTTAGCGTATTGCAGGAATAATCTATTGGATTGACGAAAGATGGAAGATCTCATAGAGATCAATGGACTAGAGATTGAAAACATTTTAATGAGTTGGATGAAAGAGAATATGGGACATCAAATAGTTGTAAGATATATAGGTTGCTGATCCAATATACAGGAGAAGAGAAGTTTATAGTGTAGTCACTATTAACTTGAATTATTCCTTTTACTTCTTTTTCAGCTTCTACTACTAATTCTCCTTCATCTACTTCATCATCCTCTCTTTATAATCTATTACTCTATTTATCCCAACATACTTCTCTTTCTACCTCTTAATCTTACATCTTCTAATCGTTTTATAGTTTCAACCAATTTCTTCGTTCCTTGTTTGGATTTAAACTCCTTTGAGTGATGCATGTCCAGATACCCTTTCAAAAGCCAATCATTGTAGAGATCCAGGTGGACAGAATGTGTACTCAACACAGCTCTTTCAAGTACATACAAATCGACGGCTTTATCTTCAGGAAGTCCAGAATACGACGACAATCCAAAATCGATCAACACAGCCTTATACTCCTCCTCGACCCGTTCCAACATGATGTTGGATGAGGTTAAATCCCCGTGAATCATTTCATTCATGTGTAATTTGGCAATCAATCCTCCGATATTATTGAACACTCGTTCAACATCTTGACCAACACAAACTTCGGCAGAATTCTCTTGCTTTTCCAATGACCAAAGCCAGTTTTTCAATGAACTAACATTCCCATTGGTGAGAGTTTCGCCTACAAATTCCATCCATATGACCCCATGCAGTGGGTCCACCGCAATAAGTCTAGGCGCAGGAATGGCAAGCTTGGTCAACTTGCTCATGAACTTGGCCTCAGCCACCGTTCTGTTACGGGTGATTTGCTTATCAATCTTGGGATGTCTATATGGTTTGTTGGGTCTATATTTGATCACAAACGAGTCTTGATGCTTGAATCCAGCAGGTTTCGAGCAGTATGGATGGACAGATGTTTGAAACACCAAGGCCTCAGCTCCTTGAGAAACCACATTGAGTGGAATGTTGGGCAACACAGCCTGTGCCTTGCTCACTATATGATCAGTCATATTATATTATGTGGATATATTTGTATGCTACTAAAGTTTCTCTAAGGTGATCTTTTCCTCTTTGTTTTTTGGAGTTACACTTAATTTTTTTTTTTTTTTACATTCATTTTATTTTCTGTCCTTTTTTTTGGTATTTATGGTTCGCGCTAACAAACTAAATCCCTTTCCCCACTATTTTAGATAAGGATTCTGGGCTCAACATTAACCAGATCTTTTACACCTCATATCATACATGCATACGTCTGAGTTAGTCTACGTCATCCCGCCATACCTTCTCAATACGAGTTTGGGTGCAAGTTTGCAGAAAAAACTTGCTATATTGGATTCAAAGTTGGCTCAATTGAATTGTGTATCTTCAAGTTCACGATACTATAATGTCAATTTTAATAAGCAAGATGCATCCAAATTACCATCTGACTCTAAGCAATTCTCTCTGGACCCGGTACTCAACCAAATAGTTCGTGATAAACTCATCTATAAGCTCTCTGCTATGGGGGTTGTTGGGGTAGAGAATCCCATGAAGAAATTGGAAGAGGATGAAGATTATTTGTTTGAAATTTATAGTAATACCTTACTTGTTGACTATGCAGACTCTTCCACCATGGGGACACCACTTTTAGGTCCGAAAGATGGTGACGAGGAATATGGCACAGATGGGAATGATCACGATATTGGTACTGGTGACGACGACGAAGATCATGAACGAGCAATTGCTAATGAAATGGAAGAATTGAAAACTTCGAAGGCAAAGAATTTATTCAATTCAACAAAATTAGGTGAAGTGAATCTAGATACTATTTCTCAATATGAAGAAGAACTTTTGGGGAAAAATCTGGCGTGGTTGGCTCAAAGACTCCAACCAAAGTATTCTACGAAGCAATACAAGAAATTCATGGCATGCCCACTCAAGGCATTGCTTGCACGAGTCAAGGCCGATGAGTCTTCTCAGGCCAAATCAACCCCAAGTTTTATTGAAATAAATGACGAATTCTTCCAATACCCACTCCCGGTGACTTGGGTACCACTTATTTCAAGTAAATATGAAAACTACTTGACTTCTAAACTTGGACTTTCGATTGACATTGACCGAGGCTTTTCAAACATATCATTCTTGTATAACAGAAAATCCAAGGAATCTGACTCTAAACACAAGAATAAGTTCACCAATTTCATCAGTGACAAATCTGTATCACCTTCCTCTGGAGTTTTTTATTATGAGATTGAAATCCAACAAGAATGTACCGATGCTACCAATTACAAACCAATTATTTTGACTAATGATGAGTCAGTTTCGTCTCTTAATTCGATGCATGTTTGTGTTGGGTTTACTAAACGGTTCTCCAATGTAGATTTTGGCACTCTGCATCCTAACAGCAATGCCAGCATGGCAAACATCCGCTCTGGAGGTGGTGCTGGCGGCAGCACTAGAACGGAAATTGATTTGGAACACGTTAAGAATGATGTAGATTCATTCATATATGGCTGCAACGGAGATTACCACCAACAGAAAAAACCCAGTGAAGATTCTACAGTCACAGAAAAATCACTCGCTTCAGATGATATTGAAAACTTTTTAGCATCTCAACCAGGGGTACTTCGAGGAAGCTTTGCGGTTAATTTTGAAGACTCATTGTTTTATAACTCGGAGAAGAATCCAGAATCGTTACAAAGAGCTGCAGTATTACATATGCGGAGACTTTCCGTGAATCGTCAACATTTAGAGGACTTGGATTCTGGGAAACTTGACTTGGGGGTCCCATTGACTACACATTTAGAGAAGGGAGCAAAAAACGGTGCACACGATCTGAGAAATAAGGATCTGTACCATACTGACATTATTGGATGTGGAATTAATTTTTATGATAAATCGATGTTTTATACATTGAATGGGATTCTTGTTAAGATAATTACAAAGGAAGATTTAAGTACCAGTAACCCGCTAAGTGAAAATATGTTTTTCGACGCTGAGGTTGACCTTCCTAAGGCTATGGAAAAAGTGAAGAGAATGAATGATCCAAATTTCCTGGTTAGTGATTTGAAATCAGTTTACCCCATAATTGGGTTCAAATTGGCCTCTGACCTTAAGGAAGGAGGAAACAATACAATTAATGAGGGAGGTACCACTTCAACAATTATCAAGACAAATTTGGGATTTAAAGAATTCAAATTCAATGTGAACAATTATATTCGAAATTTCCGTAATGAATTTCAAAATTCGTTATACGTTTCATTATTAGAAAAGATTGAATTTTATGAATGGCAAAGGAAACAGAATGGGAAGAATAGCAGCAATATCGAGGCATCAATTCTAAATGTAGATGATTCTAACATTATGAATGATCTTATTAAGGAATACTTGAGTCATGAAGGATATTTGAAATCATTCAAGTCATTTGATGCTGATTTAAAGAATTTACAAAAGGAAATTGGAGGTGATGATGAGATCAAGCAGGAGGAGAATGAAACTAAAAACTTTATCAATTCAAGTTGGGAAGTATTGGACAAGTCAGAGGCGAATAATCGTCAAATTATCAAGGGCCATATTTGTCGTGGAGAATTTGATTTAGCCATGAAATTCTTAACCTTAAATTATCCACATTTACTTTATGGGGACATAGGAGAGAAGAGTATTGTTTTCGATTTAAAGTTACTTAAGTTTGTCGGTATGATCAAGAATTATTTAGAGATGAATGAATCCAGCAATGTGGATGAAACAACAAATACTACAAAACCATTAGCCACCATCAAATCAGAAGTGTTCTTACAATTGTTCAACTTTGGTAAAGATTTGAAAAAGGAATACGAACATAACGTACGTAATCTTGAATCATTGAAGCTTGTTTCATCGTTGTTTTTGATGGACAATAACACTTCACTTGAACACTTGCCTGGAGCAAGGGAGTTCATTGAAAATTACACAGAAAAGGTCAACTTGCTTGCCGATGAAATTAACCGTAAGATATTGATATCTTTAGGATTTAAAATTCCAACTCTTCAAGCTATCTTTGATAGAGTTGATAAAAACATTGAAAAGTTAAGTTTAAAATATTGCGATGATAAATTTATGTTGGTTAATTTTGAAAAAGATTATATAGATTTATAGTTCAATGATATGTCTTATTGGTATAGGTGAAACTATTTAATTTTACGTCTTTTCCTCAGGGAATCCTTTTTAATTTCTTGATCAGTGTCTTCCAACTTTTCCTTCTCCTCTTCAATCTTTACATTTTCTTCTTCTTCTTCGTCTTCTTCTTCGTCTTCTTCCTCTTCTTCTTCTTCATCATCATTCTTCACATAATGTTCAAGGATTTCTGGTTCAATTTTAAAGGGTAATTTTATATCAGCTAAAATGTCAAGCTTCCCAATGTCATAAGATTTTATTGACCAAGCACCCTTTTCCAAAACGTTCATATCTACATCTGGGTTAGACTTGAGTATGTCTATCAATACCGGCAAGTACTCTTCAACATATTCTTTCACATTGTATTTAATTTTGGTCCCCTTTCTACTTGGTTCAACCACAAAATAGATAAAACTTTCATCACTAAAGAATGGAGGAGTAAATGATTTCACAATTGGGGAAAGTAAGGAAAGAATAAGACTTGCTGTAGCAGGACCAACTCCTCTCAAAGTGGAAGTTTTCTTCAATGCATCTTTCACAGCGGAAATATATTCAGATTCTTGCTTGGAAGTGACATTCTTCCAAAAATTCTTCTTTGATGAATGAGTTGAATAAAAGTCTATTAAAACTTTGAATCCTTCTTGAGTTGCCGTTTTAACCAGATCTGGTTCATTTTGTCTGATAAGTTTTGGTAACGTTGGTCTAAACTTCCCCTTGGCAAGTTTCCAATCCATGAGTAATTCCAATTCTTCTTTAATTAACCAAGTATCTCCCCCATGTTCCTTGTATCTTTCCAAGACAATTGTGGGGAGTTGTTCATTTTTCCAATGATCTAATTGTTCCAATGACCAATTGCCATTGTTATAAGTGGTTGTTTTCTGATCGGAAAGAGACTTTGTGATGGTTTTATATAACCCACCACTAGCTTCAATCAATGGATTAAGTGACATTCTAATAATGAAGAGACAAACAAATAAAACTTGTGTGTGTGTGTGTGTGATTGCGATTGATAAATTTTATCTATAAAGGCTCACAACAAAGATAACGAGCCACACACAACCAACCCCCCCAAAAACTTCTTACTCTCTACATCATATTAATCCGTTGAGGAAACCTTTATTAATTTATAAAATCTACCATTTTTTAAAACAAAAATAAACAAAAATACTGAGGAACAGTAAACCCAAACAACAAAATAATAAGGTGCCGAACAACTTCAAACACACAAGTCATAAAATCATTAAATGCAGTTGATGCAGATAAATTTACAAGAACGGGGGGTAAAGCCCCGAAAGTAGGTAGATCTCAGTGGGAGACATCTAGTATCTGTAGATGTCGGCCTTGAATGGACCTTCCTTTGGAATACCCAAGTATTCGGCTTGAACGTCAGTCAAAGTGGACAACTTGGCACCCAAGTGGTCCAAGTGACACTTGGCAACGGTTTCATCCAAAATCTTTGGCAACAAGTGGACACCAACGTCGAACTTACCGGTCTTGGCGAATTCTGGGTACTTGGATCTGAAACCTTCATCGTTAGCCTTGAACAAAGCAATTTGAGCAAGAACTTGGTTAGAGAAAGAACAAGACATGACGAAAGAAGAGTGACCAGTGGCACAACCCAAGTTGACCAATCTACCTTCAGCAAGCAAGATGATGTGACGACCGTTCTTCATCAAGAATCTGTCAACTTGAGGCTTAATGTTGACAACAGATTCAGCGTTAGCCTTCAACCAAGCGACATCGATTTCAATGTCAAAGTGACCAATGTTACAAACAATGGCATCTTCTGGCATTTGTTCGAATTCCTTTTGGGTGATAATGTCACGACAACCAGTGGTGGTAACAAAGATTTGACCAATAGAGGCAACGTCTTCCAAAGGAGCAACTTGGAAACCGGAAACAGCGGCTTGCAAAGCGTTGATAGGATCGATTTCAGAGATGATGACTCTGGCACCCATACCTTGCAAGGCCATGGCACAACCCTTACCAACATCACCGAAACCGGCGACAACGGCAACCTTACCGGCAATCATAACATCGGTGGCTCTCTTGATACCATCGATAAGAGATTCACGACAACCGTACAAGTTGTCGAACTTGGACTTGGTGACGGAGTCGTTGACGTTGATGGCTGGGACCTTCAACTTGTTGTCCTTCAACATCTTGTACAAGTGGTGGACACCAGTGGTGGTTTCTTCAGACAAACCGAAACAGTCATCAAGCATTTCTGGGTACTTTTCGTGGACCAAGGTGGTCAAGTCTCCACCGTCATCCAAGATAAGGTTGAGCTTCTTGTTGTCCTTGAAGGCAAACAATTGTTGTTCAATACACCATTCGTATTCTTCGTCGGTTTCACCCTTCCAAGCAAAGACTGGGACACCAGCAGCGGCAATGGCAGCAGCGGCGTGGTCTTGGGTGGAGAAAATGTTACAAGAAGACCAGGTAACTTCGGCACCAAGAGCAACAAGAGTCTCGATCAAAACAGCGGTTTGGATGGTCATGTGCAAACAACCGGCGATTCTAGCACCCTTCAATGGTTGTTCAGCACCGTACTTCTTTCTGATGTACATCAAACCTGGCATTTCGTTTTCGGACAATTCAATGTCCTTTCTACCGAAGGCAGCAAGGGAGATGTCGGCGACTTTGTAGTTAGAGGCTGGAGCGGAAGACATAGTTTTCTGAAGTCTAGAGGTTAAACTGAAGAGTATGAGAAGAGATTTTGATCAATTTTCGGGCTACAACGTGTTTTATATAATCTGGCCCACCAAAGGCGCGCTGCCAGTGAAAAAAATTTTCGTCACATGCTTGGTAGGCGCACGTTGAGCGAAGAGAAGAGAGACAGGTGCATAACCTAATCAATGAGGAAGGGGGGGTGTCGTTTACAGGTATCGATGTGCTTCGGAGATACATAGAATGATTGTTGATGGGTTGTAGGCTGGTTAGAGTTGGTATCAAACGGAGGCAGGCTTAAAGTGGTCGATACAAGAATGGTGTCTCTATGTTTGTATTCTCCTATTTCTCGTATAGCGTTATCTCTATACGACTCGTAAAACTTTTTTTTTTCCGTTGGGCGATGCATGTGCGCACGTTGATTGCAACCAAAATTGACGATCAATGGAATTAGATTGGAATTGGTCCAGCTGGATGTAGAATAAGTGAATGTAAATTGTTATATAAACTGGAAAGTGAGAGAATTGGGTGGAGCTATATACGGGGTTAATCGAGATATGGACTCAGTAAGCTATGTATAAGAAGAGAAGATGTGTGATGTACAAGAGTAGAATTGGTGTGGTAGAGAGAATGATATAAGTCTTAAAATAGAAGTTATCTTAATATTATATAAGATATATCTCATACCAATTTATCATTGAGTATAGTCTTTCCGTTGCTTAGGGTTGCTTATAGACTTACTTATAGTCCAACGTATAGCTTTGTCCAACGTATAGCCTTATAGTCCAACGTATAGCCTTATAGTCCAACGTATAGCCTTATAGTCAACGTATAGCCTCACTTATACCTACTTATACCTACTTATACCACACTCATACATTGCAAACATCATCTACATTCGTTATCTATAAGCCCAAATGACATTAGTTTCAATAAAATAACTCGTCCACCCACTCTCTCTACTCTCATATAATCTGTTCATCATGCATTAATCACTCGCCATATTACTATATCACCTATATAATTTTCGTTTAGTTTACTCAAATTTCAAACTTTAACCAGTCCAAATCCTTCATATCTTCTCTATCCTGACCTTGGTCTTGGTTCTTCCCACCCATTAAAGTGGTCAACGAAGAAACAGGTTGAGTGTTACTTACAGGGATTTCGAATTTGGTTGCAGGTGCAACAAATCCTCCATTTGTTCCTTCATTATCTTCATTTTGTAAAGAAGTATAATTCTTGAAAAAATCTTCAGTGTCAATATCTTCTCCCTTAACTTCATTACTACTATCGGGAAGTGAATATATTTCATCTCCATTAGATGTCAAGTTACCAAATTCTGATCCAGGAGTATTTGCATAGGCAAATCCATTTCCCTTAGAATCAAAATAGCTCCCAGTTTGCGCTGCAAATCTTTGGTTCAATAACCCAATGTTTGTAGGAGTTAAGGCATTGGTTGGTGGGGTTCCCATGTTATTGACTCCTAGAATAGAATTCTTTCTTTGGAATGAGGAAAGATTTGTAACAGATGTTCTTCTATTCAAAGATGAAGATTGGAATGATGATGAAAGAGATCCTCTTTTCCCTCCCCATTGTCCAGAAAGAGATACTTGTGATGAATTTCTTTGACTGTTCGAAATTGGAACTCCTCCTTCATTCTCCATCATTTCCCCCTTTTTCCTCTTGAACAGTTGAGATGTTTCCATTGATCCAGATATCGGTGTAGGAGTTCCTGCATTGCTGGTGAATGGAGACACGGAAAGTGGTCCATCTTGTATATGATTCCCGTTTGGTATTGGAATTGAATTCATTCTTGAAGGTGCAACTGTATTGCCACCACCTCCTCCCCCTGGTGGCTTTGGAAGAATCAAGACATTCTTATATCGAGATCCAGAGTTGTTGATGGAAATGCCTCCAGAATTCAGTAAGAAACTGGCGTTGTTGGTATATGACGAAGTTGGGGTATTGGAACCAATGGCTATGTTATTGTTGTGATTATTTGTAAAGCTGTTCCCGCCACCACTATTGATGGGGATTCCTCCAGAGTAACTTGGTTGACTTGGTCTACCATTGTACGAAACTGCCAAATCATGGATTGAATTGTTTCTTGAAATGTTTGCACTTGGAGTGGAAGTCCCCACCGATGAAGATAGTTTGGTACTATTTGGTAATCTTCTCGAGTTTCTTTTCTTGATAACATCTGTTTTCAAACTGAGTGGTCTTGTAGTACCATGTAATTTTTGGAAGAGTCCACAAGCATTACACAAGGTGTTCCCCACTGGATCTTTCCTCCACAAGGGAGTCTTGAGGGTGTGACAGTTGGAACATTCGGTCGGAGAAGAGGAGGAAGCCACTGAGCCGGATGTGGATGGTGGCGTTGGGGTTGGGGTTGATATTGATGGAGGCACCAGTAATGGTCTAGAACCAATGTTTTGCTCAAATCCATTGAGCCTTTGTTGTTCTTGTTGATGAATTGAACTAGTCAAGTTCGACTTGGCTGTAACCGTTGTCTTCACCTTATTCTCAGAATGAATTTGAATTGGTGATATAGTAGTTGTTGGTTCATTTTTTATTCTCACATTGTGAGATTCATTAAACGTTGAGTTAGAATTCAAAGTGGAGGTTGAAGTAGAGGTAGAAGTAGAGTTGGCCGCCGTATTTGCGGCGGCGATATTGTTGGTCTCGTAGTCCATTGGTTGGTCATGGTTCACCATACTAGTCGTGGTGGTTGGGTTCATATGGCTAAGGGACCCCCAAGATATCGTAGTGTTTGGAGTGTCAGAATTGTTGCGACTATTGGTGGAAGATCCACTTCCAGGAGGCGAGTCGTCATTTATACTTGATGGAGTCACATATGAACCCATCAAGCTCTTGCCACCATTCTTTTTCGAAGCTATAGCGGCTTGGATAGCACTGGGCTTATATGATGTCAAGTCATCTATCGACACCGGCGACAACAAGTCAAAGTTGTCCATGCCGTTCATGTCGCTGTGAGAACGTTGAGTCTTGATGTTTTCCTTACGAAGTTGTCTGTTTTCGACTCTGGGTTGTAAGCTAAGTAATTTTTTGGCTGACAGGAAGAGTTCTAATATGGATGGAGCAGATTCTAGCTCATCCTTTGGATGCATTTCCGTGATGAAGAAGGCGTAACTTTCCCAAGAGAGAAAGACGTGGGTTGTAGAGTGGCTGGTGAGCTGGTGGAAGACGCAGGTAAGGTATCTGTATCCAGTGTATAACCAGAGTAATCACTTTTAATTAAGAGCGGAGTTTGACTCGGTGACTCAAAAAAAAAAAAGAAGAAAAATGTAAAAAAGGGTAGTGCAATCGAATGAAAAAAGATCCAAGGCTAGGGCAGTTACAGAGTCACAACAATGCTCGTTCACTGGCTGGTACTGCGCGTGTGGTCCGGGTCTATGTTAGGTCGATGGTGCTTGTACTCGATCGAACTTTTGCTCAATCGTCGTGGTTCCGCCGCTTATTGTTTAGGTTTTTCCCTCTCTTTAATTTTGAATTTCGGGGTACAAAAATTTTTTTTCTCTCACTTAAAGGATTTGTGTGTTCTTCTTAATTTTTTATTTTTTTTTTTTTATTACTACTTTTCGATTTTCGTATAGTAGAAATCCTTCTATATTAGGAACCACAAAAAGGGCTAGACTTCCGCATTGGGCAGTACCGAGGGCGGTAACCGCACTTGCTCCGTTGTTTGAGCTGGGTGTACGTCAAAGTATGCAATCACGCAACCGTCACAAGCACAGAGCAACAAACTCCATGAAACGAATAGTACCTTTCTTCTTCTATTTTTTTTTTTCTCTCAAAGTTTAAATAACTTGAAAGGAGAGGTTTTTAGTGTGGAGTAGTTTAGAGTAGGTTTAAAAAGTATTTATTAGTTGTAGGTTTCTAGTTTGTTTGAATTGTATGGTGTACTTTTTCTTGTTTATTTATTATTATTTAGCATGTCACGCATTGATTATGGGGCTACATACTAAGACTTGGTGTGGTAGATGATATTATTAGTAAATGGTGTGGTTGATATATTTTTTTATAATAGCATGATTCTTAAAGATAAGAATGTGATATTACGTTGATGGAGATCATGATAAGTGTAAAATTTTTATTGAACTAAAGTATTTGTTTCAATAATTTTTGTGTTGCAATATGTGTTGCGCCAAAACTTATGTTGGATCTCATTGAATCCTTGTAATCTCCATATAACTGTTCATACATTTCCCACAGTTCTTAATTCTTACAGTTGTTACAATTTTTACAGTTCTTACAGTTGATACTGTTTTTACAGTTCTTACAGTGCTTACAACTCTTACACTTTAAATTCTTACACTTTCATACTTCTTCTTAATTTATTATAATATGTATTCTTATTCTACAGATTCAGCCTTGTTTATATACAGCTTTTGATAACGACGACCTGATGGCTTATCGGAACCAGAATTTGGAGGATTATTGTCCGAATGTAATCTGTACTCAAAGGAAACTCCATAAACTCTCTCATTTGATCCAGAATCTAATGTATCAATACTATCAGAACCTTGAGAAATCATATTACATTCTCTAATAATTCTCAAGATTGAATCACAAATAATTCTTCTAGCTTGAAATGAGGTAAGTTTCTTGGAATTGGAATTCTTCTTATCTTCTTCTTCTCCATTATTTATTTTCTTCTTGTTAAAGTTCAAATTAGAATTCCAAATGCTAATGATATCTTCATCTTTTCTAACACTTAAAACCAATCCAGAAATATCATTAAGAAGAAGATCTTGAATTTCTTCTGAATATGTGGAATCTGGAATGATAGATCCAGTCAATGTCTTAAGAATGAGTCTTTCCCAAATCAAACTGGATTTCCTACGAATGTTCATAGCAGTGTCAGCATCATGGTTCCCATTGTTTGGTGGACGACGACTAAATCTAAACACCCATCTACCACCTTTGGTGTTTATAGGATCTTCCCAAACTGGGTTGACACCACTCTTGAAGATTAAAAGTTCAGTGCCAATTGGTAATTCATACTTCTTCTTAACTGATGATAAACATGCCCACATTTGTTCTAAAGATCCAATGTTTGAGGTAGTTTCTCCAGCTTGTTCAACCAGTGCAAACTGGATTTCATTGGTAGTTTGTAAGTAAGAATTGACTGCAAGAGCAGGATTTGCTTCTTCTGATGTACTATTTGAACTAGAGTTGGCAACAGCACTTGCAGCAGCAGCTACTGCTGCTGTCGAAGCAGAAGAAGAAGAAGTAGACGAAGATGTAGCAGCCCCGGTATCATCTGCATTTCCTTGCAGTTCGTCCAAGTCTCTATGCTTTGGTTTGGCTCTGGAATGGTGCCATATCGTCCAACAATACGGTAAGATATGATGATTGGCAGGGATCTTACGTAAAGTCTCTTCAGCAGTCTTGATGGGATCTTTCTTTGGTAACTCAATGTTTGGATTGGGGACCAAAGAAGACTTTTGGTGATGGTTACCACCATTATTATTGTTATTGTATGATTTATATCCACTCTTATGATGATGGTGATGATGATGACCATTGGTGGAACCATTCCCATTCCCATTGCCATGGTGAGTAAACGACTCATTATGACTGTTATGGTGGCGTGGACCATCTCTACTCTTCAATCCACCACCTCCATTCTTGGCTCCGTTACCCCCGTTGGAAGACGAAGATGATGCACCATTCTGGTTCATTATTCTATTGAAAAGAGATTCTGCACGTTTCAAGTTTTCAGACATTTTTAAAGCAATAATATAAAGACAAAAAAAATGGGGTAAATAGTTTAGATATGGATATGTGATAAAGCGGGGGAAAATGCAGGTTCTACTGGAGAACTGGTACGTGTATCTTTAAACCTCGTGATGGGGGATGAGTTAAAGAGTTTTTTATGTTGGGTAATGATTTCTCTTCTTAATGCGGAAAATCAAATGCGTGGTAATGCTTGCGATGAAGGGTCAAGTGTCAGGATATTTTTCTGGTCCACGGACTTGGTGTATATGCCGATTCTTGTAGTACGTCTAGTAATGCTTTTATACGTAATTTTAACGTAGTATACAATATTTTATGGTGTAGAGAAAAGAACGAGTTTATGGTTAAAATTTTGTTAGTACGCTCGCTCGGACTTAGCAAAGTGTGATAATTAACTTTTTCAACGTTGGACCGGTATGAAAGATCGCGCCGGGTAATTATTTCCCGGGTAATTTTGCACACTTTAGAGAAAGTAAATTAAGGTTGATAGGAAACAAAATAAGAACAATTAAGATTGTGATCATTCTGGAAGGAGTTGTTTTGTTGAATTGTTTGTGTCTTTTATGGTTCATTTCTCTGGTTTTTTCTAGTAGTAAAATTTATTTTGATTTTGATTTGATTTTTACAGCCATTTATTAATGTGTTAACATTTATCTATATCAATTAATATGTATGAAATACACTATTTAGCTAATATCATTGGTGGGTAGACTCACTACTTTTTTAAAAGATTGCTTTCTCCATAATATTTATCGAATTACACTCTAACTACTACTAATGTACTATTAGCACTCTACTCTATCATATTTCATATATTTATTCCTATTTATACTTAAGCCTTTCCATAGTAATGTAAGTAACCACCCAAGGTCTTGCATCCATTAATGTAGTTGCTCATGTTAAGCTTTTCATTGATGGAATGAGCACCATCGTCACCTCTACCCATTGGCAACAACAAAACGTCAGTTCCAAGTAATTGTTCAAAGGATAAAGTGATTGGAATAGATCCACCTTCTCTGGTGAAATCTGGCTTGATGTTCCAAACGTCTTCAGTGGCCTTGGCAGCAGCAGTGAAGGCTTCGTTGAATGGGTTGGAAACCCAGTAAGCACCGTCATGGATCAATTCAGCCTTGATGCTGTTTGGAGAACCCAATTCAGCAAACTTGGCGTTAACGTAGTCAATGACCAACTTGTCCAATTTGGCAGATTCAATGTTTGGAACGGTTCTAATGGAGAACTTACCAATGACCTTGGATGGGATGACGGTCTTGGCACCACCACCGGAGAAGGCACCTTCGATACCGTGAACGGACAAAGATGGGTATCTCCATCTGTGCTTCAAGATGGCCTTCTTGTCTTGGTGCAAGGCGGTGTCAGAACCAGCAGCGGCGTTTAATTCTTCAACAGAAAAGTCAATATCATCGTACAACTTGTCTTCCTTTTCAGTGAGTGGAGCAACCATGTCATCGATACCTGGAATTAAAATTCTACCGTTACCGTCAACTAATTGAGCCAAAACCTTGACCAAATCGGTCATTGGTTCAGCAATGATACCACCAAAGATACCAGAGTGCAAGTCAGCACCAGGACCCTTGATAGAGACTTGGTAGTAGTTACATCCTCTCAAACCGTAGGTCAAGACTGGCTTGGTGGTACCGAGCCAGTAGTTGTCCGAAATACAAACGGTGTCAACACCATTGAAGTAGTTCTTGGCTTCAGCGGCAATAAGCTCATCCAAGCCAAGGGAACCACTTTCTTCCATACCTTCAAAACAAACAACCAAGTTGACTGGGAGTTCCCACTTCAATTCGTTGTGAGCTTGGATAACGTTCAACCATCCAAGAACTGGACCCTTGTCATCGGTGGAACCTCTACCGTACAAGATGTCCTTGGTGGTGTCGTGGTACATGGTGAATGGGTCGGTGCTCCAACCATCTTCCTTGAGGGCTGGTTGGACATCATAATGACCGTAAACAAGAACAGTCTTCTTGTTCTTGTCGTTACCGTATCTACCCAAAACGATAGGAGGCAACTTAAGGTCCTTGTTTTCCACTGGTGGTGGTTGAACACCCAACTCCTTGAGTTGGATGTCGTGGAATCCCAAGTCGGTCAATTCATCGACCAAGAAGTGGGCCATTTCAACGACCTTTGGTCTCAAGGATTCATCCCCAGAAACAGATGGAATGGCAATAGCCTTACGGAGTCTTTCGACAAAGGCTGGCTTCAATTCATCGATCTTGTCGAAGAACGGTTGTAATGGGAGTTTCTCGTAGCTCATGCTCGTGGTTTGCTAGCGGAAGAGTAGTGGTTGGAAAGAAAAATTAAAAAAGAGCTTTTTGATAACCGTTATAAAAATTATGTCTCATTTTTTTTCCTCCTCCTTGACGTAATTAGCGGGTTGAAATCCCACTGATTGCCGTTTAAGTGTGAGGCATAAGATCAATGCCGTTTGAAGTTGCAGGTATTTTTTTTTTTCCACATTATTTCCCCTCCTGCAAGGCAAAAAACAGAGGGGGAGTGACAGATAAATTAAGAGGTAAGAGGGGGGATATAACGGGAGGTTAGAATGAATGATGTAAGGTTGTACTCTCACAGTGAAGGTGAGTGTATTTTTTTGGTTTGAGAGATTGAGTATGGGTGTGTGGGTGTGTAGGAGTTTGTAGCTTACAAAAGAAGTAGGTAACTAGATCAAGATATGAATAAGATATTGATTAAGTTAATGAATAAGATAATGAATAACATAATGATGAAGATGTCTATATAATGGGTTCACATATGTTTTATATGGGTCAAAAATTTATATTCTCTTTTATAGTGCCTTTCTATCTCTATATGAATTTTCTTTCTGCGACACAAAGAAAAATTGTACTGCAACTATTACAATCACAGTAGAATATATGTATACATCCATGATATGAGCGATGCGTCCTCTTCTGAATCTGAAGATGATGTGGTGGATATTGTTTCATTGATCACGGGGCAAGCCAAGCCATCTAAAAGCAACTTGGTAGCCGAATCAAAGGTTCATATGGACGAGTTGTCTCCTACAACCAATCCTAATGATGATGATGATGATTTCAATGTTTCATTGCCAACAGTATTCCAAATTGATGCTAGGAAGAACCAAACGTTGGCCGAGAGAAATAAGAAAATTCAAAAGGAAATAATCCAAGAACAATTGAAAGTGGAACAAGAATACCATGAGCTTGTACTGGTGCAAGCCAAGGTGTTGCAGGAATTAAATGATAATGGTACTAGAGGAGTTAACCGAGTCAAATATCTGGCTGAAGACAATAAAGAATTGGTTGATCATTTGGTTAGAGAGCGACTAAGAGGGGTTGATGGCAAGAAACATTTCTATTTCTATTCATCGAATAACCTTCAATCAGTGGAAGAGTCAACCATTCCTAATCCAATTCATGGAAACTTTACCAATTATAAATTCTATTTCCATTCAATCTCTAAAGATATCAAAAAGTACTTTTTACAACTAATGAAAATTGATAATTATGATCAATTGTTAAAAATTCATCGATTATTTAAGCATGCCATCAATGATGATTATTACTTCAATTGGGATTTTGATCAAGAAACTTTTAAACAATGTTGTTGGTTGGTTGGGTGTAGAGACGATCTATTATCTACATCAACAGCCACCATGGTTGACAATTGCAAGAAATTACTTCATTTCACTCCAAATGCGGAATTAATCATCTACAAAATGTCGATATTATTCAATTGTTTATGTATGACTACCCCCAATGAAACTTTCTCTATGGCAATAAGAGTCTATATATTCACCATATCAGATTATAATTTACTGAAATTAAATTCAGATTTATTATTACTGATATTTGTACCAATGATAAAGAATTTACTCTTATGGGGCATTCAGTATCTTTCAAAGGATATAATTCAACCTAACGAACCAATAAATCATGAAACATTGTGTCGTATCCATGATATCATGGTGGTTTCCCTAAATAAGGAAATTCGTGGTTGTAATCTTTCCAACGAAATGCAATGTAATTTCCTTAAAACGCTTGATTTTGCTTCTTCAGAATTAATGGTATCATTTGAAAATCATGGAGATTTAATTGATAATACATTTGTTAAGAGAATAACTACCAGTTTATTATTAAGTTTTATCTATGAATTTGATTATAAAATGTTGGATATATACATCAAGGATGAAATATCTTTGGAAGTATTATTTTCTCCAGAAATGACAAATAAATTTAATTTCCTGCCATCTTTAATATTAATTCAAAAGTTTTTAACAAGTTTAAGATTCAATGATGTGTCTAAATATGAAATTTTAAGATATAAATTGGATATATTCCCGCTTGTACTTCCATTAAATTTAACTGAATACAATAAGAACTCCATGGAATCATTGTTGAGAAGTTTACAAAAATTGAAGGATGATTCCCATAAACAATTGGGTGTTGTTTCCACTAGTGAAGATAAATATAATGAGGTTATAATTGAGTCAATGTTTCATATTTATGAAAGTATTGATTTACTTTTGAATAGAGTTGAACATGACTATCAATTAGTTAGGGATGATCCTTTTTATTAGAGAATATTAAGGAATGGTTATAAGAACTACAAAGACTATAAGATTATCACAAGACTGTGAGAGTCAACACAATGACTAAATGATGATGATTATATATATACTGTACTATATAAAGGCTATAGATAAATGTACATAATACTGTACCACTAGTTTGTAAGTAATTATATAGAAATCTACTGGCTTCTTGAATTATGATATATCAACGAGTAGAATATAGAAGAGCATATCTGTACCAAGATATCAATCATAATTTTAATATTTCTCATTTCCAGTAATAAATCAATTTCATGTAAAACGTGCTTATCTAAAATAGATGTGTCATATGCTGGAGATAAAAAATATAAGTGCATAATCTTTTTTCTACCACATTCTAAATTTTTGTATATCTCTTTTCCTTTCTTCTCTCTCGAAATGACTGGCATTGAATGGACTAACCCTGAATTACAAGGCTCAAAGCTGGCCAAGGTCACTCTTCCATTTGGATTTGGACCACTTCCTTCCAAAAATAAACGGATATTCTATTTTGATATTGACAATTGTCTCTATGAACGATCCACAAAGATCCACGATATGATGCAAGTCAAAATCCATGACTATTTCAAAAATGAGCTTCTGTTGGATGATGACGAAGCCCACAAGCTCCACATGACGTACTATAAGACGTATGGTTTGGCCATTGAAGGTTTGGTAAGAAACCATCAAGTGGATGCTCTAGAATATAATGCCAAGGTTGATGACTCGCTTGACTTGAAATCAGTCTTGAAACCTAATCAGGAATTACGCCAAGTATTGATTGATATTCGAAATTCCGGGAAATTTGATTATTTTTGGCTTATCACCAACGCTTATAAAAACCATGCCTTGAGAGTAGTTTCATTCTTGGGGTTGGGTGATCTTTTCGATGGCTTAACCTACTGTGATTACTCCAGTTTCCCAATTATTTGTAAGCCAATGCCTAAATTTTTCTACAATTGTCTTACAACCACTGGAATTGATTATTCCGATAAGGAAGTTATGTCACATCAATATTTCATTGATGATAGTGAATTGAATGTTAAGGCTGCGTATGATTTAGGATTTGGACATGTATATCATTACGTTGAAATTGACTCAGAATTTGAAGCTTTACGGAAGAAAGATGATTATGGGAAATATTATGGTGCTGATAAAATCTCTATTGTTAGACACATTACAGAAATTGGTCAAGATTTCAAATAGATTTAGATATATACAATGAAAATAAATATGGATTTACATGTAGTTACCCGTGAGAGAGTTGTGCCCCAAAGGTAAATGAATGGAATACCAGTCCTTCTATGGGGGACACGACAATACCTACTTTTTTCCAAGTGAGAGTAGCACTGGCTCCGGACTATACGGCTCTCGCGGATCATACGGACATCATAAATGTCTTCAAAGCAGTTCTAATATCCCGTGGAATGACACTTTTCTTTTTATTTTTGCTATACGGGTTGTGTTTACCGCTCCACTACCTGTAGGCCGTGGAAACCGTGAGTGGGATAAAGGATAGAAATGACGTAACGATCTGCACAGAATGTTAGACATCGAATCTTGAGTTGGAAGATCTCTACTACCCCACTTAGACGTCCCTCAACATTCTATGTGTGTGTTAAATCGGCTCCATCTATTTTAAGATTCCACACACTGAAACTTCATATTGTTCTTTCCTGAATGAATATACCTGTTCCATATCTCCTTGATTTGATTTTAAAACTAATTTACATAAATTATCTATACATAAAATTATCATCAATAATATTTCCCACACTTGTAGTCCACTAGTTATTCTCTAGTTATTCACTAGTTATTCACAAGTTTTTGTAACACCTTTCCATATAGAACCCCTTTATCAGTTTTTATAAGTTTCCACTTTCTCTTCTGTTTCTTCTTTTCTTCTTTTTTTTGGTTATCAATCGCCGTCGTTTATCATGTGGTGCATATGGAAACTTTAAATCTGTGAGTGAATCATTATACCCTTGTTCTTCTTTATCATCACCAATCTTAATATGGCTCCTCAAATTAAGGGACGTATTCTCTTCTTGCATGGATACACGCAGAGTTCAACCATCTTCTATGCTAAAACTTCTGCGCTTAGAAAGAGACTTTTGAAATTGGGATACATCCCAGTCTACATCAATGGACAATTGAAACTTACCCCAGCTGATTTCCCCAGCACCGATTCACTCTCAAAGTTCAGCACGGTCGTTGCCGACGATGAAGATGACTCCAACTATAGAGCCTGGTGGATCAGACCAATTCTGAACACAGAACCAATCCCAGTTGATGATGGGGTTGACACCGTTCGTAGATACATTGAAAAGGGAGAAATTGTAGAGGATTCGGAAACCAAGGCCAAAAGCTCCGATGAAGATCACCTGGACGTCCCAATTGTTGGTATTGTTGGGTTTTCTCAAGGTGCTTGTCTTGCTGGGTTGATTGCAAGAAACTTCAACCGTCTCTTTGATGTCAAGGACAAAATTAAGTTTGTCGTTGCCTATGGTGGGTTCATGTTACAACACCCAACTTTGAAACTGTACTACCAAAAGGAGGATGAGACCAAGGATGACTCCTTCAAGCTCTTGCAGGTGATCGGGGAGTTGGACACGGTGGTTGATGAAAAAAGAGCATTGACAATCCTTGAGCCTTTCCCTACCAATTCAGAAGTTTTGAGACATCCCGGTGGACATTTTGTTCCCAACTCCAAACTCCTCATTGATCAAGTGGTCAACTGGATGGAACACGCCATGCAAGATGACAAGAGCTCGGACAAGGAGTCTTCAAAGGCGGAGAAAGAGGAAGATGATTTGGATAAGCTTATGGATATGATGGATAACTTGGGCAAGGCTTAAATATATTTATATATGTATATGATAGATTTATAGATGTAATAGAGGCGTCTTCTTATATTATTTGCTTACAACTCGTCGTGAACGATCTTTTCGGTGGCCTTACCTGTTCTGTACTTGGAATAGTACTTGAATTCCTTCTTGGACAATTGTCCCTCATGGGGGAGTTTCCCGTTGTTTTGGTCAACAAGCCATTGAGAAATCTTCTTGGAGTTGTTCTTGTCCTTCTTGGTGCCTGGATATTTAACAAACTCTCCAGTTTCATCGTTGTATGTGATCAACAATGGGAGCTTATCGGAGTCTTGCACGGGTATTTCGACTGGTTTACCGTTGATGTCAAACAGTAGCCCAGTAACGGCCTTGATGTCCGTGGCGGTAGCCATGGCAAACTTGTAATCGGCAAGGAAATCTATTGCCAAAGACTTGAGGGTAGGACTGATAGCCTTCAGTTGAGTGATCAAAAGAACCTTTTTACGTGAGTCCACGTCCTGGTCAGTCTCATCGAGCCATTGTTGCACCCCATCAGCCTTCAAAGTGGAAAACTTCTTGACATAGTTCTTGAGACGTCCTTGAAGGAAAGTCCACATAGCCTTGAGAGTTCTTTCCCCGTTATATGTTTCCGAAACGTGTCTTCCTGGCTTTTTTGTGTCTCCCACAATATATTTTGGTGGACGGAAAACCATCAAACTTGGGTACCCACTGACTTGATACCGGCTACACAAGGGCTTATTCTCGTCCTTGTCACAATCCACAGCAGCGACATTCACTGCATACTTCCCCTCCTGGTGCACAAGCTTCCCCAACTGCTTATAAATTGGTTCTAATTGTTTGCAGTAGCCACACCATGGAGCGTAAAATTCAACAATGGTGGTGTAATTTGTCTTTCTAACAACCTTATCAAAGTTGGAAGGTGTCAACTCGTAGACATTCGGATCATTGGCATATCCAGCTACAGTGAAGGCAACCACTTGCAAAAATACAAACAAATAACTGATAAACATCTTTGATGTGGACAAGTAAGCAAAAGGTTAATTTTTGCAATAGTGAGAATTTTAAAATCATACTCCGCGATCGGACTGAATTTAGACAACTACACTTTGTCAACACTTTGTCAACACTTTGTCAACACTTTGTCAACACTTTGTAAACACTTTGCCAACACCTTATCAACTCCTTATCAACATTCTACAAATCAAATATTATGTGTCATTTATTAAACTAGTCATTAATCATTCTTCTCTCTCTCTTATTAACACTCTCACCTCATGCAAATGGGTTCAAGATTCTCACAGTCAAACATGGTAAAGCCATTCCAATTTCAGCACGAATAAGTACTGGTACTTTGTTCAACTCTCTAATTTCTTGAACGTATTGATTGTTTTCTTCACGTATAATCACATCTTGAAGATATGGTTTCAATCCATCTTCCGATGCACCACCTCTTTCAACAATTGGAGTTGACAAACTAGGAAGGTTCAAGTTCAACTTACCAAGCTTTTCAACGATGGAATCAGTAGTTTCAGAATTCCGGTTTGTATTCTGAATCTTTGCAGCTTGAACTGCTGATGTTCTATGCTTATTCTTGATTGAACTACGGTATGATAATGAAGATTTTTCATCTGGTGGGATATATGTTGCTGAATCAACGCCATTTTCCCAATACAATTCCAAAATTCGTTCACCTTTATCAAATTCAGCCTTCACCAATGGAAGTTGATCCCCATGAACTCTTTTTTCAACCCCCAATTCTGGAATGAAAACATCAAAAGATGATTCATACACTTGGATTACAGTACCCATACACAAAAGTTGACCTGAAACTTCACTTAAATTGTCAATGGTTTGAGACAAGAGTAAATGAATTGCTTGTTCTTGTGCACTGGCTGCACAGTCCTTCTTAAAGTTACAATAGTCTGCAGTAGCCTTAAGAGTTTCCAAATCGCTTGCTTCGGGCATCCCAGTCTTATGAAGAATACTCTTCAATTGTCTATGGACAATAATATCAGTGTATCTTCTCAATGGTGCTGTGAAATGAGTATAAAGTGGTAAATTGTAATAATAATGGCCAAAACTATCTGAATCTTGCTTACCAGCAACATAGTATTTGCCTCTTGACATACACTTGAACAACAAAATCTCAACACATTGTCTTTTAACTGGGTCTTCAATGGATAAAATGGAATTTTGTAAAGTTGCTGAACTGGTGGTATCAATTTTAATTCCCAAATTGTTTGCCTTACGTACGAAAACCTCCATTTTTTGAAGTGTAGGTAATGGTTGTCTTCTCAAAAGAGCAAAGTCTCCCAAACCAGCATGAACCTTGGCTGCAATGGCCCCATTAACCTTGTGAGAAATTTCAGAGATAATATCAAATGAAAGACTATCTTTAAAAATATTCAAATCCAATCTAACTCTTTCATCATCTAATTGATCCAACAAGGTTAAGTTTGGACTTACTCCCAATTCCAGATTCTCTAAACGATGTCTACGGAATTCACGAGCAATTAAACTTAATGTCTTAATGTAATCGCAAGTGGCAGATGAAATATTCAATTCAGAAACTTCTGCAGACGTAGAATCATGGGATAAGATCACATCAAATGCATCATAGGTAACCAATTGCTTTGGAACAACCACTGATTCATTGATATATAAATCCTCCACTTCAAAATTGGTTGTATCAATTTCAAAAATCACAGAAATTGCCAAATTTTTCTCATTTTCTTTGAATGAGATCAAATCATTAACCTTTCCTGGAAGTAAATGACTCTCTTTTTGCGGCAAGAAAACCGATGAAGACCGTTTTTTCGCCTTTCTATCCAAAATTGAACCTGGCTTAACGAAAAAGGAAACATCAGCAACATGGAATCCCAACTCAATCTTGGTATTAGACAATCTTTTCACATGCAAGGCATGATCGACAAATTGGCCATTTTGTGAAAACAGAATGACATATTCATTCAAATATTCAACACGATCAACATTTTCATTTAATTCTTCTTCAATAGATGGGAATTCTCCAATGTATGATTCTATAATGTCTCCATATTCATCCTCAGGGTATTCATCACACAGGAAATTGTTATCTCTTAAAATAGAATCAATCTCGGTTTCCAGATCGTCAATTGGTCCCAATTTGTTGACCAACGTACCAAATGGATGCAAAGAAGTGATTGGCCATCTCTTGATGGATGCAACGAAAAGTTGATCTGAATAACGTTCATGGTTGTCCACAAAGTCACGTGGGGCCTGTTCCGTGGGGATGGCAATAAGTGGAACCTTCTTGTCGGTTGGCTTAAACCAAACAATTTTAGGTGATTTAGGAGTTTGAATATTCAGTTCTTTACCATTCTTTTTATCCTTGGCAACTTGCGCAGCTTGTGCAGGTCTCAACAATCCCAAGGTTCCGGAAAAGAGTTGACCTGGGATTCTATCAACTACCGCCACAACATGGCCCGCGTAGAGTGGCTTGACATCGTCATTGATTTCCTCCTCTTCAACCAATAATAATGATTGACCTTCAACTTCAACATCATCATTCTTCTTCATTGTAGGTCTTTGCTTGAGGGAACCTCTTCTGGTCAAATTTGAGTCATCACCACCATTGCCACCATTGTTATTGGAATCTTTGGATTGAGAATCTTCAGATGGTCCTCCAGAAAAGCTAGTGGCATCGTTATGGATATCATCGTTGGAGTGTCCTTTAAAGTTATTATCCTTTCTTCTCTTCTTTTCCTCCTTCTCCTTTTTGGATTCCCAAACTTCGTCAACAACAAGAAGTTCCACGGCAACAAGATCTCCTTCCAACGCTCTATTACGGTCCTTGGACCCACAAATGAAAATATCGGCGTCAAGAAGTCCATCAGTAGATACATAAGCATCGGATCTATTCTTTTTATTTACACGCAATGTACCGGTGACAAGACGTCCCTCGGCAATAAGATCAGGAAGTGGTGATTGTGGCAAGTATGGAGCAAAAAGTGACTTTCTTCCATTCAGGTTCCCTCCATTCCCACCATTATTATTGTTGTTTCCATTTGGTAAAAAGTTAGAAATCGATGAAACTGATCCTCCTCCATAGCTGCTGTTGCGAGCCTTATGTCCTGGGACGAACGAAGGTGGTTCCAATCCACCAAATTGATTGGAAGATTGTTGTCTGTTGTGGTTATTATTTGTATTGGAGTTGGAGTTACCATTGCGCCAATTCAAATTCATATTGACGGCACCATTGGGGTCAAAATTACGAGAATTGGAACGATAATGAGAGCCACGTCTTTGATGACCTCTTTCGGGACTGAACCCATGGTCAAAACTTGGGGTTGGTGGGAGAAGCAGCCCGCTGGCTGCTGTGGCGCCTTGGTTATTGGGGGTTAAACCTGCGGTTCCAGGGCTTTCTGGGGGGAATTTAAATGATGGTTGACCATATGCTAAAGAACGTGACCGGGTGTGGGAAGGAGCCCCTCCAACACCAGGTGGAGAGTCTGAAACATAATTGGTCTCATTGTTGGTGGAACTCGAATCAGGTGGGAATTTAAACGATCCAATATTTTCTTGTGGTCCTTGGCCTGGGGCTGGAGGTGAAGAGTTGGAGGCATTAACAGAAGCAGCAGGACTGAGAGTGGATTTGTGGTTGTTTTGTCTTTGAGTGGCTGCAGCTCTAATGGCTTCGTTCAATCCAAGTGAATGTCTTCTGTTGTGTCCATTGGCTGAGTTCGACGAGTTTGAGCCAGTTCTACGGTGGCCGCCCGAACCTCCAGAAGGTTGGTTGGACAATTGGCCAGTTGAATTGTTGAAGGAGGACGATTTAGAATGCGAGTTGCCCCTGAAGTTAGAAGGTGGGGGCATCAATTCTGATGACCCTCCCAGAGGGGCGGAAGCTGGTGGGTAGCTAAACTGTTGTTGCTGCTGTTGCTGTTGTTGCAAGATTTGCTTCTGTTGAGCCTGGACCACCTCCAATTGACGGTGGAGGTTATATTGCTCAACCATGAGAGTCGTGAGCTCACTGGGTGACCGTCTGTGGGCAATGTGAAAGTTTCTTGGTTTCTTGGAGTCGTTGTTTGACATTGTGAATGATAAAAAGTAAACGTGCTAGGGCAATCTAGTGAGCAATCGATTGATTGATGGATGGACGGGACTGGCTGGACTGACTGGAGGACTGACTGGACGAATTAACTGGCTGAAATTAAGGAGGGTGGAATTTTCGCCAACGTTATTGAAGGAAAGATTTTCTTCTGGCGGAAGCGTGGCAAGGTGGTCACGTAGGTCGTCGTACAGAGGTTCAGCACTGCTCTTCTATGGGGTGAAGAAAGAGTGGACTTGTGGGAAAAAAAAAATGTTGTTAAAAAAGAATCCCCTTGGAATATAAAGTGCCTATTAGAAAAAAAGGATTGTCTTCCAAAAGAGACGATAAACTAAAAATAAAATAATAAAAAAAAATCCAAAGAGTATGACGCTAAGCTAAAAGAGCAAGGCTAACAAAAAGTTCACAGTAAGTTAAAAAAAAAAGCGGGATGGAATACACAAAGAGTGGCTAGGGATAGTCGTCGCGGGTTACAGTGGCCGAAGCAGTGCAGGAAAAAAAAAAGAATTTTAGAAATTAGAGAACTCAAGGGTCTGACTGGGGTGGGGGTTGATCTGGACCCACAACAGGTCCCACAGTACACTTTGTTCTTGTCAGTACTAGTCAACAGAAGAAGCTTAAAAGAGTCTTGTGTAGAAAAATGTATGCCAGATGAGAATAAAAAATAAAAAATAAAATAAAAATAAAAAAAAGAATGAGTCGTTTAGTGAGGAATCACCAATAAAGTTCTGTGGTGTTGAGGTTGCAAGGAACACCCGCCTACACTTACATTGGACACCGCATTAGGCGAAGAGACCGCTGGTGGGGGGCCCACATGGTTTTGGTATATAATAGGCAGGTGTTTCGTCATTTTGCAGGGAGCACGGTTCCCGTGCTACGTCGAGATACAGGGACAAACAGGACACCATGTCTGGAATAAGGTTGGGCAACCCACTCTACTGATGTAGTTGTTGTTTGTGACAGTTTACGAGATCCTGCGCGGGGGCTGGAATGTTGGACACAAATGTGCACAGGATAAAATTTTTTTTTAAAAATAAATAGCAGGAGTCTATTGGCCGCTATTATTAGCAGACGCTGCGCACAAGACACAAATTGGAGCGACATGGTCTAATAAAGGAAACCCCAGAGAAACCAGTGGACGTAGCATGTATTATGGATCAAAGGGTGGCAAATGCCCCGACATTTGTGTCCAGGGGGGTTTGAGCGTGGGGCGTGGGTCAGTGAACAATCTAGGTGTTCGGTTGGTTGTCATGTAGGCAACGGCGGGTGCGTGCCTGTAGGCAGGTCAACCCCCACAACCTCCCCCCCCTCGCTTCATTTGTGGTATTCTGCCTATTTTGTGTTTTTTTTAATTTATTGCAAAGGTTAATTCACAAGGATTGTGATCCCATGATTCATGTAGATATAATATGTAATTATTATATTATTTTTCTATTTATAGATGGTGATAACCTCGCACTCCAAAGTGTCAACATCAAGCAACACCAACTGTCCCGACTGGGCAAACCGCGGCACCGAAATCAAACGAACTGAAATTTCATCTCCATCAGCATCTAGTTTCCAATTCTTGGTGGTTGTAGCGTAGTTATCTTGATTACCAGCAAACAAAACATGTGGAGTCTCATTTGAAAGAGTAAATGGATCTGAATTATCAAATGGGTAACAATACAATGTATCAGGTGCTGTGGGTGCAATGTTCTGCCAATGGATGCAGGACTCCAACACCTGCAAGCTCACGTCATCACCCTTTGCTTGCAATTGAGTTGATGTGAGATATTTAAGAATATCAGAAATATTTTGTCCTGAAGTTCCAAGTAATCTAATTGATCTTGTAGGTTCTTCAATCCAAGTTGGATTTGTAGTCAAAGTCAAGCTTTCACTGCCAACGTACGGTTTACAATTGGCCAAGAAAGACTTGTGGATTGGTTGTTGTGGGAGACAACACTCTACTGGGTCCTTTTCTCCAGACATGATTGTAATTGGAATACTTGGCAAGATTCCCCTTATGAAATTATCAAATTTCCCCACTGTTTCAATGTTAACTTTTGAAACATTTTTAGATCCATAATTATTATTAAGCCCTGCACTATAATCTTCATCATTAATTGTTTCTAATGGTAATATTGAATCACCTGCAATAATTAAATGATTAATTCTTGAACTCAATTCAATCTCTTTATCTCCTCCTAATTCTCCTCCAAGAAATTGCAGTAAAAGTTCAACCTTGATATCTTCTTCATTACCCATATTTAAACCTGATACAATGGCTATTTTCTTACTAGCTGTGCCTGATGATGATGATGATATTGGTAATAATGGTCTTTGTGGACTTGTGGTGGGATATACAATATCAATGATATCAAATATACCGGCTTGAACTTCTTCACCTAAAACTGCCACTATACACCCCGTTACTAATAAATTTAAATCTAAAAGATCATTACTATGACTACGTAAGATTGCTCTTCCTGATTCATCTTCAAGCATAACCACAGCTTCCTCCTTATCATCACTGTAAGATTTGGGTACCCCTGGTAAAGTATCATCTTTCCCCTTTTCAACATCTTGAAGAATGTTTAATTTCTTACTTAAATCACAAAATACTGTACCACTTACCCAACAAGTTTCTCCACTCTTGATATCCAATATCTTATCCTTTCTGGTAATATACAGGGCCCCTTGGGCCAGTTTTTTGGTACCATCCCCCCATTTCTTCATTGCATTTGTATCAACTCTATTCTTGAGTGTATTTAATCTATATTGATACATTGAATAGAATTGACGTTCATATGTTCTATTGGATGCATTCAATTTATATACATCATCTTTATCGAAAGTTTCCGGAAATGGTGGTTCCACAGACCGTTTATATTGTGGATCATCGGAGACATTGGCATTTACGTGGGATAGAAATTCCATTCTAGGATTAAGGGGTATAAAGTCTATAGATTGTATTAAAATGTTTTAAAAAGTGCTGTAAAAAAAAAGGTTGATATTTTGAGATTTTAAGATTTGACGCGTTTTGTAATGAGCGTGTTATTTTCATTTTTTGCAGTCAAAATGATGAGATTTTAGAAGTACATTAGTTTTTATTAAAGGTTGGATTTGGTAGTATGGAATTAGAGGGGGGGGGTTGTGCTCGATTATTGGTTTACTGTAACTTTTACTCTGATATTTTGTGAAAAATAATGGAAGAAAAATGGTTGTATTGTATTGCATTGGTTTACAGTGTGTAACTATTATTGAAGACAACAGTATACTCCTCTATAGAATTGTGTTCACTCGTACTCTTCTATTATATATTGTGAAGTTGTAGCATATTCAATTGTTTCTCATGTATTCTACTCTTCTAGTTTATTCTCTTCTAGTCTATTCTCTTTTATCTCACTCACCTATCCTATTCTAGTCTAGTTGAATACTCACTCCTCGTAGAGGAGCAAGGCCCCCACGGCTAGTGGCCCACGGAGTGCCAGCGGAGCGGCTCACAACCCCGTAGGGTGGTCCAGTTCCTGACCTGTAGGACTGTAAGCCGCTCCGCTGGCCCCTGCTCGGGGAAAGCCACTGCGTGGTGCCTAGCTCCTCTTCGAGGAGAACGAGATCCTAATGTCGACTCCTAGTAAGGGCCACCCCCCCTTCTATTTTCTCCACAAACTCTTTCCCATTCCCTTCATCATTCTCCCTTCCTATTTCTTGACTTCTCTACACTCATTCTAATAGTTTCTGTTATTATTTTCTCTAAAATACACGCCTATATAATCTATGCCCTTTTCTGCTTCTTATGCTTCTTTTCTAAAGACTTACCACTAGCTCCAATGGTAATGTTAACCTTAGGTGGAACTTCAAATCCAAATGATTTGGCAACCTTGACAAGATCCAACTTGTCAATTTGGTAAACAGTCTTCAAATGATGAGATGCATATGCTTGCAAGTACGATCTGTACCCATCCTTGGCAGATTGGTGTAACCAGTAGTTACTCTTGATCAACTTGGTAAGTTGGGATTGAACATTGGCAATCTTGGAAGTTGGGAATTCATATTCATTCAATGGGACATTGGCAGCCTTCAAGTAACGAAGGAATCCCAATTCTGATGGGGTCAAGAACATAAGCGATCTACCCTTACCGTTGGAACCTCTGGCAGTTCTACCAACTCTATGGATGTAATCTCTTGGATCATCAGGTGGATCGAATTGAATAATCCAATCAACGGCTGGGATATCCAATCCTCTGGCAGCAACGTCAGTACAGATCAAAATACCTTGCTTGGCATTACAAAACTCGAAAAAGGTATTGGTACGCTTCTGTTGCTTTTGCTTACCATGCAAGTCCAACACTGGCAAATCAATATAATTGAGTAATTCTCCAAAATACTTGACACAGTTACAAGATGAAAGGAAAACAATAATCTTCTTCTTGACGTTTCTCTTCAAGAAGGAGAAAAGAAGAAGGAAACGTTTGTCGGATTCACAAACAACGTAACCTTGTTCCAACCCATCGGCGGTGGAAACATCGGATTCAGGAACAACATTGATATAAAGTGGACCAGCTCTCAAGGAGATTCTGGCCAAATCCTCAACCTTGGTGGTTTGTGTGGCGGAGAACAACATGGATTGTCTTTCTTCCTTAGGTAAGATCTTGATGATTTGTTTCATTTCTTCTTCAAACCCAATTTCTAAAATACGATCAGCTTCATCAATGACAAGAGCCTTCAAGTTCTTGAAAATGAACCCTGGGGTGTTTTGTAAATGATCGAGCAATCTACCCGGGGTGGCAATCAACAAGTTGACCCCCTTGGCAAGCTTTTCAGCTTCTTGTCTTCTATTGGCACCTCCAATGACAATACCAAAAGTTTGTGAATGATGAGCCATAAGTTCACGGGCAACTCCAAAGATTTGTAAGGCCAATTCTCTGGTAGGGGACACAACAATGACCCCAGTACCGTTTCTTGGCTTGAACTTGAGAGAATAAAGCATCTCGATGGCGGGGATAAGGAAGGCCAAAGTCTTACCAGAACCGGTCTTGGCGGCACCAAGGACATCACGGCCAGCAAGAAGCGGTGGGATGGTCTTGGCTTGAACCTTGGTCATCTTGGTGAATCCCATATCCTTGATAGCCCTTAAGGTTGGTTCTGAAAGACCAACGTCGGCAAAGTTTGCTGTTTCTTCTTCGGAGATAACTTCTTCAACTTTTGGCTTGGTGAGTTGACGAGTCACTTCTTCCTGTTGTTCGTCTCTGGCAGCCTGTTTCTTTTCTCTCTTGGAGGTTGGGTCCTTGACGTCTTGTCCGAGAAGCTCGGCTACCTCGTCAAAGTCCTCATCAAGTTCTTCAACCAATTTTTCATTGGATTCAACTTCAGATTCAGATTCAGAACCGGATGATGAGTCTTGCTCAACCGCTTCACGAGCCCGTTTCTTGTTGTTCTGAGCCTTCTGGGGCACGGCTTTCGCCTGAACCTTGGATTTTGTCACCTTAGCCATGGTTTAAAAACACAATTAAAAGTGGGAAAACTAAAACTGAAACTGAAAGTCTATTATGATGGTCTTCTCATTGACCTCTTTTTTTTTTTTACCTTTGGTTAGAGAATTCTCATCTCATCTGCGAGACTGCAGACAGGAAGTCACGAGATTGGGAATTTAATTATTTTTTTTGAAGATTTTGTATGCAGTCAAATATGAATCATCATCATCAGAGAGAGAGTCCCATTTGAGTACAACCTATAAACCTCTTACACATAAATGGTGGCAAAAACAAAAAAAAAATTTTTGTTAGACCAATTTTTTTAAAAGAAAGTACAAGTTGAAATGGCTTATACGGTGACTTCAACCAAGTCGTACATGCAGGCCATGGAGCCGATGGAGGAGATGCTTCAATCATTTGGAATCAATGGCCAAATTGAAGGTAAGATTGCCAATTTGAATGCAGAAACCAATAAACTTAATCCAATTGAAGATATATTGAGTCGATTCCAAGGGGTGGACTCACGATTGATTCGTACTGTCCATACGAGAGCCAGTTCTTCGGTGGTGTTACGAGAGATTGAAAACAGATGTCAACAGATCTCCAGGCAGAGAGATGGTGACAAAGATGAAGTCTTGGATAGTATAAAGAGCATTATTGAGTCAACCAATACCGATGAAGAACTTCAATCCAGTCTTTTCGATATTTTGGGGTTTGAAGAAATTGATTTAATCTCGAAAATTGTTCAAAATAAGCAAGTTCTTCAATTTAGTTCTGATGTTTCTGTTGCTAATTCTAATTCTGCAACTCTTGACGGACATCCACATCTCTTAACGGCAGAGGAAAGAGCCCAACTCATCATAGACACCGCTAAAAGAACTAAAAACCAGAAACTTGCCCCAAGAGCAGCAAATCAATTGTATCCTCATGTGTACAAGAACCAGGACTTTAACAATGCAGCCGTCGTTGGAGGGAAGTTTGCCCTCCCCGTGGGGTCCACCCGTGAATCGTATGGGACCTATGAAGAAGTGGTGATTCCATATGTGGAAAGTAAACGAAACAAATGGATAGGAGATAATGAACTTGTTCATGTGAGTGGGTTGGACTTTTTGTGTCAAAAGACATTCCATAATTACAAAACTTTGAATCGGATGCAAAGTTTGGTGTACCCTGTAGCCTATAACACCAATGAAAACATGTTGGTTTGTGCTCCCACAGGTGCTGGTAAAACCGACGTTGCTCTCTTAACCATTTTGCATACCATCAACCAATTTGTCACTGAAACGGGTCAAGGTGACGAGATAAACGTGGATATTGATTATGATGAGTTTAAAATCATTTATGTTGCCCCCTTGAAGGCGTTGGCGGCGGAAATCGTCGACAAATTTAGCTCCAAATTGAGATGGTTGGGTATAACCGTCAAGGAATTGACCGGTGATATGCAATTGACAAGACAAGAAATCTTCTCTACTCAAGTGATTGTTACTACCCCGGAAAAATGGGATGTGGTCACACGTAAGCTGGGAGGTGACAATGAATTGGTCAGCAAGGTGAAACTCTTGATTATCGATGAAGTTCATCTTTTACACGAAGATCGTGGATCTGTCATTGAAACCTTGGTCGCAAGAACTTTACGTCAAGTGGAAAGTACGCAACTGATGATCAGAGTCGTTGGTCTTTCTGCCACCTTACCGAATTATATGGATGTGGCAGACTTTTTAGGAGTCAACCGTCAAATCGGGATGTTTTACTTTGATCAAAGTTTCAGACCATGTCCCTTGAAACAAGAATTGATAGGGGTTCGTGGGAAGGCTGGGTCCAAAGTAGCCCGTGAAAATATCGACAAGGTTTCATATAACAAATTAATTGAACATGTCGCCCAGGGACTCCAAGTGATGGTGTTTGTCCACTCCCGTAAGGACACCGTCAAGGCGGCCAGAACATTTATCCAGATGGCTCAGGCAAATGGAGAACTGTCCTTTTTTGACACCTCACAGGAATGTGAGAGCTATGAGAAGTTTTCTCGAGAAATGGCGGCAAAGAATAGAAATAAAGATATGAAGGAACTCTTTGCCGGTGGGTTTGGGGTACATCATGCTGGTATGTTAAGAACAGATCGTAATTTAACTGAAAAGTTATTTTTGAATGGAGCTATCAAGGTCTTATGTTGTACTGCCACATTGGCCTGGGGTGTGAACTTACCAGCAGCAGTGGTTATTGTCAAGGGTACTCAGGTGTATGATTCCAAACAAGGTGGGTTCGTTGACTTGGGTATTTCCGATGTAATTCAAATTTTCGGTAGAGCTGGTAGACCTCAATATGGTGAAGAATTCGGAACTGGTATCTTGTGTACCACCAGTGATAGGCTCGACCATTACGTTTCGCTTATCACGCAACAACATCCGATTGAATCGAGGTTCAGTGATAAGCTTGTAGATAATTTGAATGCGGAAATATCTCTTGGTACTGTCACAACCGTTGATGAGGCCATCCAATGGATGGGGTACACCTATATGATGGTGAGAATGCGCCAAAATCCATTTGCATACGGCATTGACCGTAAGGAATTGGAATTGGACCCAACGTTGATGAATAAGCGTCATGATATGGTTGTGAGTGCTGCCCGTAGACTTCATCTGTTGCAAATGATTGTGTTTGATGAACAAAGTGGAGCCTTCACCGCCAAGGATTTGGGTAGAATTGCGTCTGACTTCTACTTGTTGAACAATTCAGTTGAAGTGTTCAATCAAATGGTTAATCCAAGAGCTACTGAAGCTGATATTCTTGCCATGATCAGTATGAGTAGTGAATTCGATAGTGTCAAGTTCAGGGAAGAAGAATCCACTGAATTGAAACATTTGTTGGAAGATGCAGCCCCATGTCAAGTGGCAGGGACCGGGAAGAAACTTGATAAGAATGAAAAGGCTGACAATGACTCTATTAACCTGTCACCTGTGAAAACAAACATTCTTCTTCAAGCATACATTTCTAAGGCGCTTATTAAGGATTCTGCCTTGATTTCAGATTGTAATTACGTTGCTCAGAACTCGGCAAGAATCTGTCGTGCCCTCTTTTTGATTGGTATCAATCGAAGATGGGGCCAATTTCTGAGAGTTATGCTTTCTCTTTGTAAATCCATTGATAAGAGAATTTGGGGTGGGTTTGATCATCCAATGGCTCAATTTGATAAAATTCCAGACCATGTCATGAGAAACCTTCGCTCTAAATCACCATCCATGGAGATGCTCCGTGACATGAATGCCGGTGAAATGGGTGATTTGGTTCATAATCACAAACAAGGAAGTGTTTTGAATAAACTTGTTGATCGGTTCCCATACATTGAAGTTGATGCTGAGGTATTCCCCGTGACCAGCAATGTCATGCGAGTTCATTTGGACCTTCAGGCCGACTTTATATGGGATGAACGGTATCATGGGAATGCACAAACTTTCTGGATTATGGTTGAAGGATCGTCAGAAACTGATTCCAATTTGACTAGTCAGCTTCTTCATGTGGAACGTCTTATGATGAATCGTAGACTGGTCAATAGTGATACCCCACAAGCCATGGATTTCATGATTCCCTTGTCTGATCCTCTTCCAGCCCAGATCGTGGTCAGAGTGGTTTCGGATTATTGGATTGGATCAGACTCAATGCATACAATTTCTTTCCAACATCTTATTCGTCCCTCGAATGAAACGGTTAGAACTAATTTATTACGTCTTCAACCCCTCCCAATCAAGGCTTTACAAAAGGCAGAGATTGAAAAAGTGTATTCGTCTCGTTTCAGTTACTTCAACCCCATGCAAACCATGGCCTTCCATTCTTTGTACAATACCAATTCCTCAGTATTTGTTGGATCTCCAACTGGGTCTGGTAAGACTGTGGTTGCTGAGTTGGCAATGTGGCACGCATTCAATGAATTCCCTGGCTCTAAAGTGGTTTATATTGCTCCAATGAAGGCTCTTGTTCGTGAAAGAGTTGATGATTGGAGACAACGTTTATGTGGTAAGAATTCTCCAACTGGGTTGAAATTGGTTGAACTTACCGGTGATTCTCTTCCTGAGGCTAGAGATGTCCGTGCCGCGGATATCATTGTTACGACCCCGGAAAAGTTTGATGGTATCTCACGTAATTGGCAAACAAGAAAGTTCGTTCAACAAGTGTCACTTGTCATTATGGATGAAATCCATTTGTTGGCCAGTGATCGTGGTCCAATTCTTGAAATGATTGTCAGTAGAATGAACTATATCTCAGGGCAAAGACAAAAGGAAAAGGAAAAATCCGGACTCAAGGATATTCGATTATTGGGGATGTCTACCGCTGTTTCCAATGCAATTGATATGGCTGGATGGTTGAAAGTTAAAGAAGGGTTATTCAATTTCCCGCTGTCGGTGCGTCCTGTCCCTCTTCAAATGTATATTGATGGGTTCCCTGACAACTTGGCATTTTGTCCACTCATGAAAACCATGAACAAGCCTGCGTTTATGGCCATCAAGCAACATTCGCCAACCAAGCCTGTGTTGATTTTCGTTGCCTCCCGTAGACAAACTCGTCTTACCGCCCTTGATCTTATCCATTTGTGTGGGATGGAAGCCAACCCAAGAAGATTCCTCAAGATCAATGATGATGAAGAATTAAGAGACATTTTGGACAAGGTCAAAGATGAAACATTGAAACTTTCTCTTCAATTTGGTATGGGTCTACACCACGCTGGTTTGGTAGAATCTGATAGACAGATTTCTCATAAGCTCTTTGAAAGTGGGAAAATCCAAATTTTGATTGCCACTTCAACTTTGGCTTGGGGGGTGAACTTACCTGCCCATCTTGTCATTATCAAGGGTACTCAATTCTTTGATTCTAAGATTGAAGGGTATCGTGACATGGACTTGACCGATATTCTTCAAATGATGGGGAGAGCCGGTAGACCTGCGTTCGATACTAGTGGTACTGCCATTGTATACACTCGTGAACTGAAGAAGGTATTCTATAAGCATTTCTTGAATGTTGGTTTCCCCGTGGAATCCTCGTTACACAAGGTATTGGATAACCATTTGGGGGCTGAAATTGCCGCTGGCACCGTTAAGACTAGACAAGAAGCTATGGATTTCTTGACTTGGACATTTTTATACCGTCGTGCTCATAACAACCCCACTTATTACGGGATTGAAGATACTTCAACCTTTGGAATTTCCAAGTATTTGGGTGGATTAATCGACACTACCATTGAAAACTTGGTTGAATCCAAGTGTGTGATCACTGCTGGTGAGAACAAGTTGATTGCAACCCCATTCCTTCACATTTCGTCGTACTACTATCTTTCCCACAAGACTATGCGTAACTTGATTGGTAAATTGACTCAAGAGTCGACTTTCAGACAATGTTTGAGGTATTTGTGTGAAGCTACTGAATACGATGAACTTGCCACCCGTCATGGGGAAGAATTGATCAATATGGAGATGTCGCAGGCCATGAGATATCCCTTGGAAGATTTGGAATGTGAACATGTGTGGGATCCACATGTGAAGGCATTCTTATTGCTTGAAGCGTACATGAGTAGAGTGGAGCTTCCAATTGTGGATTATGTCCAGGATACTGTTGCTGTTTTGGACCATCTGTTGAGAGTGTTACAAGCCTATGTCGATGCCACCGCTGAACTTGGCTACTTGGAAGCTGTGTTGACATTTATTACCATGATGAGATGTATTAAGCAAAGATGTTGGTTTGATGATGATCCAATCAGTTGCCTTCCAGGGGTTCGTCTTCGTCCAAGAGTAGATGAATCAGAGGGTGTCAAAGTGACCACATTGAAAGATTTGGGTGGTATGAACAACAAACAACTCCATGGGGTTGCCAACAAGTTGGGGGTTTCGCGGGATAGTAACACCCGGTTTGAATTCATCAAGGTTGCGTCAAGCTTACCAACGGGTAAGTTCCTGGTTGAACAAGATTCAAACAGATTGGTGGTTGAATTAGCACATGACAACGAGCCATTGAACAAGGAATTCAGAGTACATTGTCCTCATTTCCCCAAGGCTCAAAGAGAGTCCTGGTTTGTTATTGTATCCAAGGGCACGGAACTTCTCTTACTTAAGAGAGCGTCTCCTAAACTCTTCGGTAAGAAGGGTAAAGTTCTGTGTGTTTTGGAGATTCCAGACGAATTGAGGGGAGGTGGTGAGTATAAGGTTTCATGTGTCAACGATGCACAAGAGTTACAATATGAACAAAGAATTCAATTGAATTAAGTTTTATAGAATTAAAATTATAGAAATAAACAACAATTGAACTAGTAGAAGCTAATAGCTTCTCAAGGTAGTGAATCCATACCTCAAATGACTAAACTACGAGGACTATAAGCCACTCCTCTGGGACCTACTCGGGGAGAGCCGATATCATCTCTATGAGAGAGTCCTACGTCTCACCTTTTCCTCGTTAGAGGAACAGGAGCCTCCACGGCTAGTGGCCCACGGAGTGACAGCGGAGCGGCTTGCTAGCCCCGCAGGGTGGCCCATTAGTATCCCTACGGGGTTGGAAAGACGCTCCGCTGGCCCCTACTCGGGGAGAGCCACTGGCGTGGAGCTAGCTCCTCTCCGAGGAGTTTTGCAGCCATTTTCCTCGCTAGAGGAACAGGTGCTCCCACGGCTAGTGGCCCACAGAGTGCCAGCCCCTAGGGCAGTCTTGACCATCTCCCGTCCTCACCAACCCGCGCCAGGCGAAGTAAAGCGACCACAGGAGAGAATGGTGGTACTAAATATCTATAGAGTGAAACGAGAGAGAGGTATCTTTCCATGTTTTGTCTATTCTTAGTCTTTGACGGTGGTCTCAGACTACTATCTATTGTACAGTCTATATACAAACTACTCAAAGAAATCATCTTCGCCGTTGTCTGCGTCTTCTTGTTCAGGTGCATCGATTTCCCCACCACCATTGCTTCTATGTCTGGTTTGTTCGACTCTGATGGCTTTGCCCAGCAACACGTCGGCAAATGTGAATGGGAGCTTGTCTTCATCAATGAGAGTCTCAACTTCTTTCCGGAACTCTCTTCTTCTTTGTTCGGTCAATTGAGTCCCACGCTTGGCCTTAGCATTGTTCAAAGTTGACTTGTCTTCGTTTTCCTTGGCATTGGGGTACAACGAGATGTATTTTTCCTCCTTGGGGAACAACACCACGTATGCCACGTCGACCTCGGAGTGCCTCACGACTTTTCTGGCCTTTTTGATATCCTTTCTGACCTCAGTCTTGGCCACTTCATCGTAGGCCTTCATGGCTTGTTTAAGTTTACGGATGGCCTTCTTTCTTTCGAAAAACCGCACCATATGGTACTTCTTCGCGGTATTCTTTGCCTTGAGGTCTCTCTCGGTGTTTTGAAGCTCAACTTGTAAAGCCTTGAGAGCACGTTCATTGTCCACTCTGACATGAGCTGGTAAGGTATCTTTCTTCAACAATCTTCCAATGTCTCTTATTTTCTTTTTCAACTTGGCAGCACCTCCACCAAGCACACCGGCGACTTCTATGGCCGGGGCCCTTCTCTGGGAGTGGTTCTTGGAGTTATGGTTATGGTTAGGATGGGCCATAGCTGGATGTTGGATGGAATAAGAAGTGAAAAGTAGGGACAAATGTAGTGCTTGGATTTTTCAAGCGATGAGATGATTGAGGAGTGCATAAGATAAAATAAAATAAAAAAGAAAAAAAAATAAATAAATAAATAAAAATAAAAAAATGAGAAGTAACGTTAGGGTGGAGTAAATGAGTGAGCGGGGAGAGAGTCTGTTAGTGTGAGATTAAAATGAAAGGTGAGATCGAGAGCTGAGAATGAGATGTGTAAATAAGAACTGAGAATGAGAGCTGTAAAAGTGAGAGTACTGAGAAAAGCTGGAAAATTGTGCGAATTTATAAGTGAGAAATTTGAGAAAAAATGGGTGCTAAAAAATGCAAGTGCTTAAATGGAATTGCTTGAAAGTGAGAAGATTTAGAAAATATCAACTATTAAAAATGACTAGTACTAATGTCAGTGAGAGAAAACTTTAAAAGTACACAAAAACAAAAATAGTAGTGAGAGGTTGATTAAGAGCACCATACAAAGCCATCACACTAAAAGGTTAACCATTATTAACTTTATTTTTGACATATAGAACATGGGGATTATAGAGAAGATCGCACAGATCCAGGAGGAGTTGGCCAGAACCCAAAAGAATAAGGCCACGGAGTACCACATTGGTCTTCTTAAGGGGAAGTTGGCGAGATATCGTCGTGAGTTGTTGGAACCACAACCGGGCCAAGGAGGTGGTGGTGGCCAAGGGTTCGAGGTGGCCAAGGCCGGGGACGCCAGAGTGTCGTTGATCGGGTTCCCATCGGTCGGGAAGTCGTCCTTCTTGAACAAGGTGACCAACACCAAGAGTGAGGCCGCCAATTATGAGTTTACCACGTTGACCTCAGTTGGGGGGATCTTAGAATACAACGGGGCCGAAGTACAGATCGTCGATCTTCCGGGGATTATAAAGGCCGCCGCCCAGGGGAAAGGTAGAGGTCGTCAAGTGATTGCTGTGTCAAGAACATCCGATCTCATCATGATGGTTCTTGACGCCACCAAGAGTGAAGATCAACGTCAAATCTTGGAGAATGAATTGGAATCCATGGGGATCAGACTCAACAAACAAAGGCCAAACATCTCGCTCAAGATCAAGAAGACTGGTGGGGTCAAGCTCAACTCTGTGTCACCTCCAAAATATTTGGATGAAAAAATCGTTGCTGCACTTTTAAAAGATTGTAAGATTCATAACGCCGACGTGTTGGTACGAGATGAAAACGTCACCATTGACGACTTTATTGACGTGATCAACGAACAACACATCTCGTACATCAAATGTTTGTACGTGTACAACAAGATCGATGCCGTTTCACTTGAAGAATGCGACCGTCTTGCCAGACAACCCAACACGGTGGTGATGTCATGTGAGCTTGACTTGGGGATTGAAGACTTGAAAGAAGAGATCTGGCGTCAACTTGGGTTGGTTAGATTGTACACCAAGAGACGTGGGATCCAACCAAAGTTTGACGAGCCCATGGTTGTTCGTTCTGGATCCTCGATCACACAAGTATGTGACGCCATTCATCGAGACATGAAGCACCAATTCAAGTATGCCTCGGTTTGGGGGTCCAGTGCCAAGCATTCTCCACAGAAGTGTGGGTTGAATCACCCGGTTAATGACGAAGATGTGGTACAAATTGTTACCAAGTAAATAGGGAGTATAGAGGCTAATAGGTGTGCATAACAGTATTTTCTAGTAGTGTAGAACCTTTGCAATCTTCCTCGCTAGAGCAACTAGGTCTCCACGGCTAGTGGACTACGGAGTGCCAGCGGAACGGCTTGCAAGGCCCCCCGCAGGGAAGTGAAGAGGAGGATACTACGGGGTCTGTAAGACGCTCCGCTGGCCCCTGCTCGGGGAGAGCCACTGCGTGGTGCCTAGCTCCTCTACGAGGAGATCCCCACGAGTAGTCATTTCTTCCTCGGTAGAGGAACAAGGCCTCCACGGCTAGTGGCCCACGGAGTGCCAGCGGAGCGGCTTGCAGCCCCGCAAGGATGTGACACCCCGTGAATGCTCTGAGGAATCTCTGAGTAACGTGTCGTCCTCGTTCGAAGACTATTTTTAAGCTTGTATTGATATCTCGGAGTAGAAGATAATAGAATTACTAAAAGATTATATAGGTGAGTTTGTAGGTGAGTTTGTAGAGTGTAAGATATGGATGGAAAATGGTGAAGGAGCAGAGAGGTGTAAAGTGAGAAGTGGAGAAGGGGATATCAGGGGAATGGAACAGAGAAGAATAGTATTACGGAGTACATCTAACGTGGTTTCTTTTCTCTTAAAAAAGATAGGTGTAAAGTGGAGTGAAAGGTTCGGTTCAATTGTTTTGATTTCACTGCAGTGTGAGATTTTAATGTTTTGATATTTTGAGTGAGATTTGGTGATATTTTATCAAATTTGATATAAATTTTTAAAATAATTATATTCCTCCAACCTTTTGTATGAACGATAAGTATAGTGACCTTCCGGATATAGAGGAAGGACCTCTGGTGTTCGAGACGTCTGATATCGACAGCGATGTAGAACCAATTGTCTCGTCAATTGTTGAAGAAACATCCGATGTAGATGTGAATGAAATGAATCATCAACAATCAAGAGATAAATTTAGTCATCAAATTCTAGATGGAGACATTAAGAATTGTGACTTTCTGGGAAACTTGGAGGCAAAGTTCAATGAAAGTGGGTATCATGTGTCACAGGTGAATGAAACTATGGAACAAAAGATTGTTAGAATATCTAGAGAATTGGAAGAGATCAAATTTATTCAAAATCAAGAAAATTCTAAAGGGGTAGAACGGGAAAAAATTGATAATTTAGTGGGAATATTAGAAAATGTTAAATTACAAAAGGAAGGAGTGGATAATAATAATCATATTAATGATCAGTATAATAAAAGGATTAAGGGGGTATTTGAGATAACGTCAAAGATATTGAATGAGAAACAAAATAATACCAATACACAATCTTCTAATAAACAATCCACTGATTCTCATAATAATACCACATTATTAGAAATTGAGAGTAAAATAAATCAATTAGAAAATTATTTAGGAGTATCATTTAAAGAAATTGAATCTGGGTTATCAATTCAAGAACAGATCAATGATCTTCAAAGAAAGGTAAATTTGATATATAATCCGGAATATCATTTGAACCATGTCAAACAAGAATTGGATCAACTCAATAATAAGATGGAATCATACTATAAAAATCGTCGATTATCTCAATTAAGTTCAAATAAATCAATGGTCCCCCCTTTAGAAAATGAACAAATTTTAACAAATGAGAAAATTGAACAATTGTATACAAAATTGCCAGAATTTGAAAAAGTTGCAAATATATTGCCACATTTATTGGTACGTTTAAAATCTTTAAATCATGTACATAATGATCTTGGTGGATGTGTGGGCAGTATTGGCCAATTGGATCACGTCTTACGGGATCTCAAATTGGATATGATGAAATGGGACACCAATTTAACTCAAATAAATGAACAATTGGATGCAAATGGAAAGATTTTTGAAGATAATAAGAAAGATATTGAAGAATGGTTAGATGATTTAGAGAAAAGAGTTGGGAAATAGAGTACTGGTGAAGTCTGAAGTCCTGGTAGCCCTGGTGGAGCGGTTCACGGACCCTGTAGGGGTGGCCACTCTGTCCCCTGCGGGGGCTGCAAGTCGCTCCGCTGGCACTCCGTGGGCCACTAGCCGTGGAGGCCTTGTTCCTGTACCGAGGAAGATATGACTGCAAAACTCCTCGTAGAGGAGCTAGGCACCACGCCAGTGGCTCTCCCCGAGTAGGGGCCAGCGGAGCGGCTCACAGACCCCGTAGGGTAGTATCTCGATTCTCTACGAGGCTGCAAAGTCGCACCACTGGCACTGGCCACTATCTATGTCCCAGTTCTTCTAGTGAGTAACTTGACTGCAAGAGTCTCCTCGTAGAGGAGCCAGGCTCCGCGCAGTGGCTCTCCCCGAGCAGGGGCCAGCGGAGCGTCTTACCAACCCTTGCTGCACTCCCTCCCCTACAGAAGTTGTGTCAGCCGCGCTCTAAGATCAGAGCCTGAGAATTTGACCGTAAGGTATGTTTTTTTATCCATTTCTTGGTTCTTTGTTCTTTAGTTCCTCTCTACTTATTCATCTAGGTTAATCTATCTACCGCCTACAATATAATCTACAAATCTTCATTATCTCCACCCTCCCCCAGGTTGGTTTATCACTTTATTTGATATTCTTTTTTTGCTTTGTTTATTTGTGGTGATTTCTCGCTTGAAATTTCCAAAGTTGAATTAAAAAAAAATAATCGCCTCCAATTGCCTTTAAAATACAAAGAGAAAAAAAAAAATTAATTAATTGGTCAATGGAGTATATCACTCCCATCATCCATATAAGAAATTCAATATCTCCCACGATATTCTAAAATTTTCAATTACTTTCTTCTTTCCTCGATATAAACTTTGAAATTATTAGATATGTTGAGATCTGCTGTTCGCCTGTCGCTTCGTTCGACTTTCTCCAGAACCATCGTCGCTCGTGGTCCCCAAGTTGCTGCTACCGCTACTACTACTGCCTACAGATTTGCCAGTCAACTTTCATTACCAAAGACTCCTCCAAGTCTTATCAATGAACCAATCAAGGAATTCTCTTTCAATGATCAAAAGGATTGGGATTTACTTAGAGCTTCAATTTCTAAATTGACCGATTCAGATGCTTTGAAAGTTCCAATTGTTATCAATGGTAAGAGAATACATGCAGGAAGAGACACCCTCCCACAAGTAAACCCTGCCAAACATGCTCAAAATTTGGCTAATGTTGCTCAAGCAACTGAACAAGATATCTTGAATGCCATTGAAGCTGCCAAGAAAGCTAAAAAGGATTGGGCTGCTACCCCATGGACTGATAGAGCCGCCATTTTCTTGAAGGCTGCTGATCTTATCTCCACTAAATATAGATATGATATGTTGGCTGCTACTATGCTTGGTCAAGGTAAGAATGTTTTCCAAGCGGAAATCGATTGTGTTGCTGAATTGATCGATTTCTTCAAGTTTAACGTTAAATATGCCGAGGAAATGTATCAACTGCAACCTTTAGAATCTGCTCCAGGGGTTTGGAATCGTGCTGAATATAGACCTTTGGAAGGGTTTGTGTATGCAGTCACTCCGTTCAACTTTACTGCCATTGCTGCTAATTTAGTTGGAGCTCCAGCCTTGATGGGTAATACCGTTGTTTGGAAACCTTCTGCCACTGCAGCTCTTTCCAATTATTTACTCTTAACCATCTTGGAAGAAGCAGGCTTACCAGCTGGTGTTATCAATTTTGTTCCTGGTGAACCAAACCAAGTCACTGATTTGGTTTTAAATGATCAAGAATTCTCTGCTTTACATTTCACTGGATCAACTGATGTTTTCAAGAATTTATACGTTAAGATTTCTGAAAATGTTGCTGCTGACAAATATAGAGATTTCCCTCGTATTGTTGGAGAAACTGGTGGTAAGAACTTCCATTTGATTCATCCATCTGCCCTGATTAATCATGCTGTATTGTCCACTTTGAGAGGTGCCTTTGAATACCAAGGTCAAAAATGTTCCGCTCTTTCAAGATTATTCGTTGCTGAATCTGTTTGGCCAGAATTTAAGGAAAAATTGGTTGCTGCCATGGAAAATATCACCGTGGGGAACACTTCTGACCCACAATCTTTGAACTCATTCATGGGTCCAGTTATTCACGAACAATCGTTCAACAAGCTCGCCGGAGTCATTGATGATGTGGCCAACGACCCTGAATTGACTCTTGTTGCCGGTGGACATCATGACAAGTCCAAGGGGTTCTTTGTTGAACCTACCTTGCTCGAAGCATCCACTCCAGACCACCCATACTTATCCAAGGAATTCTTTGGTCCAGTCTTGACCGCCTACGTGTACCCAGACGCCGAATATGAAGCCATCATGGGTAAGATCGACACCGCCACCAAGTACGGGTTGACTGGGGCCGTGTTTGCTAGAGACAGACAAGCCGTCAGACTTGCAGAGGAAAAATTGCGTTACTCCGCCGGTAACTTCTACATCAACGACAAGTCCACCGGTGCCGTGGTTGGACAACAATGGTTCGGTGGTGCCCGGATGTCTGGTACAAACGATAAGGCTGGAAGTGGCAACATTTTGAGCAGATTCGTCTCGGTCAGAAGTATCAAGGAAAACTTTTATGAATTGAACGATTTCAAGTACCCATCCAACTATAAATAGGATATATGAAATACACTAATGGGGTTATGAGTAAATGTGGATTGTAGTAGTAGTAGAGAGAGAGGCAACTCTACGTGATGAGGCGAGGGGTGTAGTTTGTATTAGGTATATAGGCATATAATTAGGGTGGGCTCTCTCGAGCTGGGACCAGGGGGGGTTACAAACTCCGTAGAGTAGTGACTGACTGACTTCCCTGCGGGGCCAGTAAGCCGCTCCGCTGGCACTCCGTGGGCCACTAGCCGTGGTGGCCTTGTTCCTCTATCGAGGAAGGGGTGACTACTAGTGGGGATCTCCTCGTAGAGGAGCTAGGCACCACGCCAGTGGCTCTCCCCGAGTAGGGGCCAGCGGAGCGTCTCACCAACCCCGTAGGGTGGTACTACTGCCCTCCCTGCGGGGCCCGTAAGCCACTCGTGGTCCTGGGAGGACATGTTTTAGGTTTAGTAGAATTTCCCATTGGGGGGTGGAGGAAATGGTGACGAAGGATATGGTTGGAACTGTGGTTGTGGCGGTGGAAAGCCGGTGAATTGTTGGAATTGTTGCATTGGTGCAGGGACATTCAAGACTCTGCCTAAACCAGAACAGACTGGACACAACTCTTCGTCCAATAAGAATCGGATCAACCCCGAGCCTCGGCATCCTCCACATAGTTGCCCCCCTAGCCGAGGATCTCCCGGCGGTACTCTCATGGCAGGACCACCTCCAGGGCCACCATTTCCACCTACAATGGCGGTGGTCACACCTCCACCCAAGAAGGGGTTGAATGATCCCATAGAGGACATCTGAGGGTTGTTACGTGGGGCATATCGCTCCCAGCATGTCGTGCATGTCTTCCCATTCTTCTTCTTGTGTCCCGTGTTCTCACACTTCTCACAGAGATACCGTTTGGGGTATTTGAAGGGTAACCGAGGGTTGGGATTGTATGCGTTCAGGGAGATGTAAAACTTCATCCAACAGTTTGTACACATGCCTCCCTTTTTCACCTTGTAGCCTGAGTTCTTACATTTGGAACAGAGGAATCCCTTGGGGTATTGGAATGGGAGTTCAGCGTTCCCGTATAGGTTTGGGTTGGGGTTGGAGTTGGAGTTGGAGTTGGAGTTGGAGCCTGAGCCGGAGCCTGATCCTATACCAGGAGATCCGGCATTTGAGAACGGTCTTTGAGATGGACCCGAATTGGGTCTCTGAGGCTGTGGTGGGGGTACAGATGGTCTTCCAAAAGTAGAAGAAGAAGAAGATGGAGGTGGTGGATTGATAGCCTCTTCATATGAAGGAGGGGGTAATTCCGAATCTGGGGAATGACCCATTTTTCCCGGAAAAAAAGAAAAATCAATAAAAGGAAAGCACTGATGTGAAAGGGTAGTAAAGTAGAAATTATATCTTCTCCCTTTAATAGTTTGTAGTTTACTATTGTAATGCAAAGCGGTAATGGTGTGAGAGATCCCGTGTTTTTTGTGACTAAGCCCCACAAAATCAATCCTCCCTATAGGTCATGTGATGAGCTCTCGTGTGACCCTGTCATGTGACATGATCACATGACTGGAGTTTTTTACTCTCTGTCACGTGTCTGGCCCTGAAAACCCTTTTCCTTCCTTATGTTTTATTGCTGTTGGCTGGCTGTGCATTGATCGCGCAACAACTTTTAAAACAAGGGTAAAAAAAAATAGTCTTTATACGCGACTCTCTTATTTAAAACATCCATAATGATCTGGTTATCCGAGAGACAGAGTAAGTAGAGAAGAAGAAGAAGTAGAGAAGAAGACGAAGAGAAGAGAGAAGAGAAGAAGAAGTAGAATTCCCTATATACTAACATCTTCTAGAGTTTGGAGTTGCATTCACCGCTGGTGGATTCTTTTTCTTCCTATTTGGAATCATGGCATTCTTTGATGCTGCCTTTCTTGCCTTGGGTAACATCTTGTTTGTCATCGGCCTCATATTAATCATTGGCCCTCAACGTACCATCACTTTCTTCAGCAGACCAAACAAGCTCAGAGGAACTTTTTGCTTTTGTCTTGGTATAGTTTTAATTTTATTGAAAAGGTCATTCATTGGATTTATCATTGAAAGTTTTGGAATTTTAGGACTTTTTGGTGATTTTTTCGGAACAATTGTACAATTTTTGAGATCAATTCCTTACATTGGAGATCTTTTGAGCCATCCATTGGTTGCTCCAACCATAGATAGATTAGCAGGAGTCACCACCATGTTGCCAGTTTAACTCTATAATGTGTATTTATAATAGTAATAATAATAATAATCTATAGATTCAGTTTAAACCGACGGTTTATTAATAGAATTTGATTTAAAATTTGTATTAAATTGTCACAAATTCCAAGACTTTGGAATAAATCGTAATGAATAATAATTTCATCTCTAATTTTATGGTATGTTTGATTGATGATTTGTACCACCTTGGTTTGATCTTGTCCGTGATGGATTTGATAAGAATATAAAGGGTTAGTAAAGGGGATGTTTGTCATGGCCTTAAATCTAGGGATCCATAATATATCTGATGGAATTTTAAAATTATATACAATATTAATATTAGTAGTAGTAGTATGTAATTTTGATAGATTAGAATTGATTAAAAATGAATCATATCTAGCATTATCATTACTTTTAAAATCAAGTACCACAAATTCCTGATTAATATATTGTTTAGATATTTGCAGTATCAAAATATTTAACTTGGAACTTGGACTTAATGATACAAATGAAACTAAACCTGAATTAAATAATTTAAATCTTAAATTATTCATCAAGAGTATAGGGTGGTATATCAATCCAACACTAGAATTCAGAGGATTTTCAATAGACACCTCCAATACATTGGTTATTGGTTTATCCATATTGTACCCCTGATGTGTAGGAATGATTGGAATTACACGACTCAAATATATTGATCCTGAATTTTTTAACAAATCTATAATAAATTCAAAATTCAAAATATCTTTATTAACAAAATGGGGATTATTTACCATACTTACACCACACCAGGGACTTATATCATGATTGGATTTATTAAATAACCCTCCACCACCATTAACCTGTTGATGTTCGACCACCACAAGTTTAAGCAGAGGTACTCGAACCAAATATGTTTGTAGAATACAATGGGCTAATGTATAAGAAACAAATGTAGAAGGATGAGAAATTATTATTAATGGCATTATCTAACAAATATAGTCAAAAAAGAATTGCTAGACGAGACGATAAGATTAAAATGAACTTTTGATCTGAGAAAATGAAGAGATCAAAAAATAAATTTTGTGGAGAAGGTCACGTGAAAAGGTGTCACGTGAGTACCAAAGATATAAAAAGGTTTTCCCCCCACTCCCGCCCAATACTCTCCGGGGTGCAAGAGGGCCCTATTCATTTGACGAGGATAATTGGATGTCTAGCATTCCCGGAGGGGGTTACCCTGTCTTGCAAGCCGCTCCGCTGGCACTCCGTGGGCCACTGGCCGTGGTGGCCCTGTTCCTCTAGCGAGGAAGATTTGGCTGCAAAACTCCTCGTAGAGGAGCTAGGCACCACGCCAGTGGCTCTCCCCGAGTAGGGACTTAGCCGGGCGTCTCATAGACTGCACTACTCACTTATTCCTCAATCGTGTTACATACAATTTAGTTATTCTTCTCATATAGACTAAAAAAATACTAAACAAATTAAAAAAAATTAATCACAGACGTCTTCTCCGCGATTTTGCCATCTTATCAGCACCCTTGTTGGCCAAGGCATCGGCCATTTCATTGCCATGGTTCCCCTGGTGCCCTCTCACGTGCTCAAATTGTAAAGAACCCCATCCTTTCTTCTCATAATCTTGATTGATGCTCTTGTACAACTTCACGTTGTCTTCAATGATATCACGGTTGGCCACATCGGTGTTATTTGAGGTTTTCCACCCATTGTTTTCCCAATTTTTCAGCCAATTGGTGGTGGCTTCCTTGGTGTATCGCGAATCGGTCTTGATCGTATACTTGGTATCCTTAGGCTCATCATGGATGTTTTGAAGTGCATGACGAGCAGCGGCAAGTTCAGCTCGTTGGTTGGTGGCAGTCACGTTGCCTCCACGAACTTGATCCATGGCAACTGCTACATTTCTACTATCATTTTCTCCATAATACAATCCATAGCCAGCATTAGGAGTCTGGGTTTTCCCATTTCCACGAGATGCTCCATCAATGTAAATATCCTGAGTTTGGGGTTGGGATCTTGAAGTGCCACTATTAAAGTACAGACTACCAGAATACAGACTGCCACCACCAGAATACAGACTGCCACCACCAGAATACAGACTGCCACCTCCTGAAGCAAAACTACTAGCTTCTGCAGCAGTATCAAACTTCTTAAATGAAGCTCCACTATAACCATTCACTTGGTCTTTACAATCAGACCAGGAATCGTACACCCCTTTTCTCTCCCATTAGCTACTGCGTAGTACGGCATTTTCAAAGATTTTGAACTCAATTCAAGCGATTCCTCCCGTTTAACGACCACGCGATAATCTTTTTAGGGATAAAACTTTCATTGAACTGGAAAATAGTCTCCCTAAATACTCAAGTAATATGGTGCATGCGGTTGAATAGACGCCCAATTCCCATTCATTATATTTTGTACTATTAAGGAGTATGAAACCGCGTTTTCAGGGGGTGGACTTTAAAAATATTAGAACAGAGTCTAATAAATAAACCTTAACAGAATGATAAGCTCTCCAAAAAAGATATAATAAAGTTTATGCTCAACTTAATTGACACGATTCTACTCAATTGACACGATTCTACACTTCTATACTCTTATACTCCTCTTTCACCATACTAAAAATTTCTAACTCTATAAACTTGTTCTACAAAATTTCCTCTGGTATACTTCCCCCTTGTAAACTCCTTCCACATTCCGATCTCGTTAAAAGTTGCATCTAGACTCACTGCCAATCACAACTAGTCGACCTCGTGAGATATTACCGATGTACGGGGAATACTAAACTCAAGTTTCAACTAAAAATAATCATCATCTAATTTTGTTCAAATTACCCGCTTCGTATCAGAAAAGCCGCCAAACATATCAATAACCAGATTCTTGGGTGATTTCTATTTATTCATTTAAGACGTGTCACGTGCGGCGGCAGTCTTTGGTGGCAGGAGCATAATGCATCCACCACCACTTTGTTTCAGATCGGTAAAATGTGTAATTTGGGGACAGTGGGGGGAGGTGATCAAAACATACGATGGCTATAGAATCTAGATCATTTCGTGAACATACATAGAAGTAACCTGTTCTGCAGCACGTGAAATGCGCATCTACTCATAGAAGGGGAAGGAATGGGGAGATTGAACATGAAACGATATCATCTGATGGTTTTTTTATGTACAGAATAGAATCTCGTATTCATTTTGACCTCGGTTTGAAAGTCGTATACTAGACGATCACATGGAGGAAGGTAAGAAGGATTCAAGATGTAGAAGATGTAGAGCCTTGTAGGGTGTTGGGATCCACCCTGTGGCACTGTAAGCCGCTCCGCTGGCACTACGTGGGCCACTAGCCGTGGCGGCTCCTGTTCCTCTAACGAGGAAGATTTGTAGATGGCAGTTGGTTAGGTATAGCAGAAGTAGAGAAAGTGAGGGTAGAGCAGGAATGAGGGGTCATTGGTAGAGAGAAGCTTGCATAGTGGCAGATATAAACAACGTAGTCTTAAAGGATCGTGTAACTTTCTATGGATTAACTCCATGAAGCTGTGAGACAATGATGAAATCAAAACAGTACGGTAGATAAGCTCATGGGTTGAGGTTGTGGATAGCCTAACCAGACACATGTAGATATGTGTACATTCTATCTGACCAAGTACAAGATCAGGAGAATCACGGATTGTACCGGTCCCATCTTCGTGAAGTAGCAATTACAATCCCCCTTCCTCGATAGAGGAACAGGGCCACCACGGCTAGTGGCCCACGGAGTGCCAGCGGAGCGGCTTGCAGCCCCGCAGGGGAACAAACTGACCACCCTACGGGTTAGGAGAGACGCTCCACTGGCCCCTGCTCGGGGAGAGCCACTTCGTGGTGCCTAGCTCCTCTTAAAGGAGACTCTTGCAGCCAAATTATTCACTAGAAGTACTTGGTCATAGAGGTCCATAGAGTAGTAACGGAACATACACCTAAAAGGAAGTTGGTGAGCGATCTGTCAGAGGCATACACTGCTCTCTTACTTTCAGGGCTATGATGTAGACCTCTTTAGAGCAAAAATGACAGCTCTCTGTAGGTGGTGAGTACCCTACGGGGTCTAGGGAACGTTCTGTTACAACTGCTCAACCAGGGCCTACTCGCTGCTTACTGCCACAAGTTGTAAAAAAAAATCCTAGTTGAAGTACATCCCTCCCAATAGAATTAGAATGCTGCACTTGCAGCCCTTGACATAAATCTACACAAATCTTCAGGCCAAAAATATCGTAGGGGGGGGGGGGGGTTCTAGTGAGCCCCGTTACAAAGCTAGCAAGCCAGCCAGCTCCCGGCTAAAAATTGTTGGGCAAGACTTGAACCACACTTGGTTGAATGCTCTACTAGACAATCATTGATATCCGCTAAATGAAAGAAAGAAAACCTTCTGCGTCTGCGCAATACTAAACATAACCGCTCAAGCATATTCTCTTGGCGTATTGTTCAAGATTATCATGTCAAACAGACGACGATGTTGTCTAAGACATTGTCCTTTTCCGTTGATGCATATATTGCATCCACAGCGTTATGTTTACCGCATGTGCTGAATCTTGGACGCTTTTCCTTGTATGACAAGACAATAAAAGTAATCCCTTGTTCAAATAACAACAATGGCATCTAGAGGCTCTAAACATGACCCAGATAAGTCCTATTTCAGTCTCTACCAGTAGTAAACACAACTACCCCTCCATAGAGAACACCCCCTTGAGCTTCTCTATCTTGATTCATGTGGCTTATCAGCCGGAAGTGTAAATCCGAAACCTTCTGTAATTCTGTCTCCCCTCGTAGTCCACAAGGAAGATATCCTATGGCTGCTCGGGGGGAGCCACTGGCGTGGGGCCTAGCTCCTCTACGAGGAGACCACTCGTAGTGACCCCCCTTCCTCGCTAGAGGAACAAGGCCCCCACGGCTAGTGGCCCACGGAGTGCCAGCGGAGCGGCTTGCTAGTGCGGCAGGGAGGTTGTTAGCGCCTTCCTCTTGGGTTCAACGTTGTAGTTGACTTAGCAGAGAAGGACCAGAGTGTAGCTCAGATTGCACGTCAGATGGGAAATCACATAGGGAATTGACATAATGTTGATTGTTCCACCCTACTCCTCTTTTGAATCAGCACCTCTATCGGCAAGTCGGTCGACTTGGCAGTTCTCGTGCGAGTCTCTTATGTCTTGTTTGGAAACGGTGTAGACCTTGCAGTTCACCCAGCCATTCCTCTCCCATTTACGTGACCAATACGTGACAGCTTTAAAGGTATATTGAGGGTCAGTCACGATGCTGTCAATGACCAGACCTCACATTCTTTCAAGATTTATTCAAGAGCAAATCGGATTGTCTGAATCTCTACAATCTGGCTAGTGTATTCTCCAGGGCGTGATAACTCAGTAGATCGCCCATGGATCTCTCCAAAAGACTCCAACTCGTCTTGGTTTTGTTGTCCTTTCACTTCACAAGTTCCAATAGACGTAATGGTTCTGGTTAGTTAACCCTCTACTCTTCAAGTCTTAGTTGTCAACAAAATATCCAACCATCATCAAAAGCATACACAGTTCCTGGATACCACAAATTTGTTCCTTACACTCTGCTGACCCTCTATTTCTGCCCTGGTAACCGCATGGACTTCCCTACGGGGCTTGCAAGCCGCTCCGCTGGCACTCAGTGGGCCACTAGCCGTGGGGGCCTTGTTCCTCTGTCGAGGAAGGGGTGGGTATGAGTCGGGGTCTCCTCGTAGAGGAGCTAGGCCCCATGCAGTGGCTCTCCCCGAGCAGGGGCCAGCGGAGCGGCTTACATACCCCGTAGGGAAGTACCTACTCACTTCTCTGTTCAAGCTGTGCGGTACTACTCCTTCCTGTGGTGCTTGAGTAGTGCAGTACCTTCTAGCTTCCCTGTGCAACTGGCTGCCTGGTGTGTCAGAACTTATGTGTCTCTTGTGAATGCTTTGTATGCAAAATGGCTGCAAAAAAAATATTTTTTTGCCTTTTGTGGTCATATGCCCTTGTGGCTGCAACAAAAATTTTATTCCACCCCCATCTAAATCAATTTCTACCACTCTTCATCATTAATAAGAGAGTCGTGGGAGATGGCTGGAGACCAATTGGTATTACCCTTGTATTTCGAAAACTTGTCGCTGGCTCTGGGCGGCGTGGAAGGGAACGAGGTGAATGAAAAAGTTGCTGAAACCCAAAGGTTAGAAGCTCCTCGTGTCACAATCACAATCGGTTGCTGGAAGTGCCTCAAGATCGTATGGAGACATCTATGTTTGCTGATATTTTGGCCCTGGACTTCGTTTGATACCACCATCACCCTATGCTTCACAACATGTATCATTGTTCCTCCCATGATGTTTTTCTTGAATGCCTTCTTGATGAGATTCCCCTTATTGGCCAACATCTTCTACTTGGTGGCTTCTGGCGGTTTTCTTATTGTATGCACCGGTGTCTGGATAAAGACTGGCTTCTGTATCTCCAATTTGATTACACGAGACGGGTTTGGGCGCACGGGGAGAAATGAATTTGAAGAGGTTCAAACACGTTTTGGGAATATTGGAGGAGATTTTTATTTCCAATTATCTTTCTTTGCGTCTGCTCTGATCTACTTTTGGAACACCATCTTGATATCATATGTCTATGGCTGAATAATGGGTGAAATCAATTTAAAATTTTGGCATGTGAATTTTTAGTTGAAATTGTGAAATTTTTTAGATATATGATTTAATGATACTAAAAATATTCAATGACAAAACTGTAGACAAGAAGAAAGGACAAGTGTGAGTGCGAGTGGAGCCTCTCATCAACCCTGTAGAGCGGCACTACTCCCTTCTCTGTGGGCCCCGTAAGCCGCTCCGCTGGCCCCTGCTCGGGGAGAGCCACTGCGTGGGGCCTAGCTCCTCTACGAGGAGATCCCCACGTAGTCAGACACTTCCTCGGTAGAGGAACAAGGCCTCCACGGCTAGTGGCCCACGGAGTGCCAGCGGAGCGGCTTGCTAGCCCCGCAGGGAAGGGAGTAGACGCACCCTACGGGGTCTGAAAGACGCTCCGCTGGCCCCTGCTCGGGGAGAGCCACTGCGTGGTGCCTAGCTCCTCTCCGAGGAGACCCCGACTCATACCCACCCCTTCCTCGACAGAGGAATAAGGCCTCCACGGCTAGTGGCCCACGGAGTGCCAGCGGAGCGGCTTGCTTTCCCCGAAGGGAAGGAAGTAGTTACAGGGTAAGACTTTCCTCTGCTAACAATATTTTGTAAAAAGGTAAAAAAACGCCTAAGATTCCATTCATCCAATACCTGACGCTCCCAAGAGCCCAAATATACTAGTTTAATGTCAATTACTTGCTTACTTGTTGTGTTAATCGATATATAAATCGAAAAACGCCAAAATATCGACTCCATCGCTCGTCAAACCAGCCGGAATCAAACAACAAGAAACATCCGTGATAGTTTAGTGGCTAGAATTACCGCTTGTCGCGTGGTAGACCGGGGTTCAATTCCCCGTCGCGGAGCTTTCCTCAAAGCGCAAATGGTTTAGTGGTAAAATCCAACGTTGCCATCGTTGGGCCCCCGGTTCGATTCCGGGTTTGCGCACACCCCTTCTTCTTTTTTTTTTTAAACTTCTCGCACCATGCGCCCTTTAAAGATTGGACAAAGAAAAAGCGAACCCAAAGTCAATCCTTAAACGTGAGCAGGAGGGTAAGCTTTATTTTCTTTTTTTCTCACCCATTAAATTTTTTTTTAGGTTTTCCTCTAGAGCGTGCGCGCGCGCGCCCTGCGCGGGACATGGCTCTCTCTTTGTAGAGATGAATTGATTTACAATGGGGGCGCCCCGGTGAGTTTCATTCCCATTTATTTACGTATTTTTGTTAGGGAAGAGCATGTCTGAGGTGACCAAACCGAACCGTAGAAAGGAGATCAAGGCCAAGGAGGCCCTCCAGGCGCAATTCCAGCTTGCCATCGCCCGTAATCACTCGAAGATTCTGTCATGGCTTTCACCAGAAACCTCAACTGCGACCGATGCCAATGACAGTCAAGTAGTAGACAATTCATCATTTTATAATTTACCAATTATTCCTAATGGTTCCGGGCTCGCGGCTATGGGTTCCGGGGCCGGGGCCGGGGCCGGATCGGGTGGAGCTGGGCTCAATAAGGTTGGCGATTTCATGGCCAGTACCGAGGCTGGAGGCATGAAAAAGATCAAGGCCCAAACCCAAGCGAGGGCAGTGACTGCCTCCAATGAGTCCAAGGCCATGACGGCCTTGAGAAACAACTTGAGGAACAAGAGCAGAGACAACGTCCAGAAGAAGTTTGGCGCCAAGCAGCAGCAGCAGCAGCCACGGCCCGCCAGCTTTGTCAAGCAGCAGCAGCAGCAGCAGCAGCAGTCCAAGAGCCACCACCGGGCCACTGACGGGGACAGCGACGACGAGGACATGAATGCACTCAAGAGCAGATCTGTCAAGAAGAGCATGCCCTTGGCGTTTGGTGGGAAGAAGAAGAAGGGTGGTAGGCCGTTCTAGAGGGACTCTGTCGCGGAGAGACCCGAGGGGGGTGTTCCTGGGCCCTTCGGGGCGGTCTCAGAGATCAGGGGCCAGGACATGGTCTGTGAGGGTAGGAGGGACCAATGGGGTGGCTGATGGAGCCCTAGGGTGGGTACTAGCCTCCCTGCGGGACTTGCAAGCCGCTCCGCTGGCACTCCGTGGGCCACTAGCCGTGGGGGCCTTGTTCCTCTACCGAGGAAGGGGTTACTGCTAGTGGTCCTCCTCGTAGAGGAGCTAGGCCCCACGCCAGTGGCTCCCCCCGAGCAGGGGCCAGCGGAGCGGCTTGAAGACCCAGTAGGGTGCGTCTACTCCCATCCCTGCGGGGCCTGCGAGCCGCTCCGCTGGCACTCCGTGGGCCACTAGCCGTGGAGGCCTTGTTCCTCTACCGAGGAAGAGCTGGCTACTAGGTGTCTCCTCGTAGAGGAGCCAGGCCCCACGCCAGTGGCTCCCCCCGAGCAGGGGCCAGCGGAGCGTCTCTCCCACCCCGTAGGGTGGCCACTAGTGCGCACGGCCCCTTGGGCAGCCAGCGGTGACAGGTGGCACCAGGAGGGGGAGGGGGTGTGTAATCTACAAGCGTTTTTTAAATTCATCTTAATCGTAATATAAAGAATATTAATACAAAAATATAGAATGTAAGCCTAATCGACCTTTTGTCTCTTGTTGCTGCCGGCAGCCTCCCCCATGGATTCTGTGGGTGTGGGCGTCGGAGTCGTGTCATTGTCCAAGAGCGAGTTCACCGACACCTTGTGTGGGAGCTCGGCAGTGGTGGTAGCAGTGGCAGTGGCAGTAGCAGTGGCAGTAGCAGTGGTGACAGACAGGAGGTCACCAGCCTTGTGGCCCGGGTCATCCAGAGAGTGACTGTTCCCATTGGAAGGATGCCCAATGGTCGGGACAGTACCAGACGAAGTGGTGGCAGAGGATGAGGAACCTCCCTCGTCAATCTGTGAAAGAGTATCATTAGACCGTGGAGATGTGGTCAATGATCGGAGTCTGTTGGGGAATGCCACTGGCAGTTGGATTGGTACAGACCTGGCCCCGGGCAATACCGGAGGCGTCGATTTGCCCCCTGAAGTGGCTCCGAGCGCGACCGGGCCAGTACCAATGCCATGACCATGGCCATGTCCAGTTCCGGCCCCAGGGCCAGTTCCGGTCAGATTGTGCGAAAATCCAAGACCAAGGGGTTGATGTTGAGGTTGAGGATGGGAAAATTGTGGTAAAACCGGTGGTAAAGGGTCATGAGGCCCCACTATGGAATCCTTCTTAAAGGATGGATGATGAGAAATCGAACCAAATGATGAAGTTCTGTGCATTGAAGAAATTGATGACACTGACGACTTCTCGGAAAAGATCGAATTATGAGTTGAAGATTGAGATCCGAGGGAATCTTTTAAATGAGAAGAAGTTGAACCTTGAGTGACGGCGGAATTTGGGGCTGATGCAGACTCCTTACGGGTACCAAAATGAAGTTCAATCAATGAAGGTCTCAATCTTTCATGGAACAGACTGTTGATGGGCATAAGCAGAGGTTTACGAAGAATTGCTGGAGACCCCGGAATTGATGAAGTCAGTGCCCCCGGATTTCCCAGGGTGGCGGTCGCGGTGCTGGTGCTGGTGCTGGGGAGTGCTGCTGGACCAGAACCGGCCTTGGGGATGGTGAATCTGTTGTTCGAATTAGAAGGGTGGTTGCCAGGGCCAGGGGTAGTGTTGGTGGCAGCAGCCAGGTCATCATAGGGACTCATGGGGTGTACCAAGGGCAGTTTTAAAGATGTCGACCGTTGAAGGGATGATGGTGGCGGGAGTTTGATTGATTGGCGCGATAATGACGACCGGGTGGCGTCGGAAATCACCATGGTCTCTCCACTACTGGTGGTACTGGTGGTACTGGTGGTTCTTGTGGTGTCTGGTCGAGGAGAAATCGGTTGCAAGCCTAACCCCAGCAGACCCGCCAGTTGATGAAGGGGGTGTTGTTGGTGTTGCTGGTGTTGCTGGTGTTGCTGATGACTTGCGGGTACAGGGGCCAAGGGGTCGTAAAGTGAAGGATTTCTCGGTCTATTGACTTCCGACCGACCGTCATTCGAATCCCAAATCTTCCGGAATTGAAGATTCGGTTGTGGTGGGGGGATATGAGGAGAATGTTGCAGTTCTGTGTGTGGAGGTCTTGAATTATATTTTGGAGATTTTGGGAAATTTGAGGCATGAGTAAGCGACGGATGGGAATTGGTAGCGATTGGCGCGGTTAGTGCGACCCCCGCGCCACCAGGAGATTGTAAATGTTGTGACTGCGGATGTTGTTGCCGTACCATGTCATATGAATAGGATTGTGGTGGTTGTTGATAATGCATGTTTTGGAAAGGTGGTGGTGGCGCAGCAGCAGCAGCAGCTGGGCCTGGCTGGCCAGGCTGGCCTGGTTGAGGCGTGTGGGGAGGAGGAGGAGGAGGAGGAGGAGGTGGTGGCTGGCCCTGTTGGACTGGGTAGTAAACCTGTCCCTGATGCATAAATGGTTGTAGGGTCTGTACGTAGGGGAGGTGGTGGAGTGTATGCGGATGGTGGATCAGTTGTTGTTGGGGGTGTTGTTGAGGGTGTTGTTGAGGGTGTTGTTGAGGGTGTTGTTGGCGCGCGTGCGGGTGAGAGTGCGGGCTTTGGTGGAGGTGCTGCTGCTGCTGCTGAAGATGATGCTGCTGCTGCTGGAGGTGTTGCTGCTGCTGCTGATGCTGCTGCTGCTGGTAGAGATGATAATGCTGATCATAAGGATGTGGAGACAGACTATGCTCCGAATCTATGCCTACACTCAGATGACGATCCATCGGATGAGCCGCGGAACTCGCGGTCGCTCCGCCATTCCTAGAAGAATTTGAAGAACTTCTTCGCTTAATATATACCAAAGAAGATTCATCATCTTTTCTAAATTTACCACTTGAATGTTTGAATTCCCAAACGGGGGGAACATCAGTAGAGTTATTGGTCTGCGACGTGGCGTGCACATGGGCGGCGGCTGCGGCAACTGCACTGCTTTGCGGGTCCGAAACCTTGTGGAAGCCATACATGTGGAGCTGACGAACAAAAGACGCCACGTTGCCATGCTTGAAATAACCGGTGAGGGCGGTTGCAAACTCCTTCCCCGGGAAAAGAGCAAAGGTGTTCTTCTCCTCGTTCGGGGTCCACCAGATAAGATGGACGAGCTTCGGGTCACTCAACATGGAGTATAGCTTGTGCACAAAGGCGTTTTTCTTGACGGGAGCGTCACGAGTAGCCTTGCTCATGGTTTCATGTGGGGGGGGGGGGGGGGGCACCGTTTTAAAATATGGATCCCGTAGCTTGGCGCGAACTGGTACGACGGGTAGGGGGTGCGGAGTGGTGTTGCGATCCAAAAGGGGGTAGGGAAGGCGAGCGAGAAGGGATTGGGGGGGGGGAGAAGGCGAGTTGGATAATCCGTGGTACAAAGGGGAAAGAGTATCTCGCTTGCGTTGGAAATAGTTGTGGACGAACAAAAAAGTCTGAAAATTCACTCAATAAAAACAAAAAAAAAAACTTCAACTTTAAAAAAAAAGCGAATCGAAAATAGAAATACTAAGAGAGCGGTGCAGTGCAAGCCAACAAAAAAAAAAAATAAAAAATGCAAATAAGAATAAAAAATAAATGAAATCGCAGAAAATGTCAGGGCCACAGCGCCTAAATAATAATAATATCGCAAATTTCAGCGAAGTCCTGCCTACCGACCCCCTCCCGCACATTTTTTTTTTTTTTGGGGGGGGGGGGCAGAAAAAAAAAAGATTAAAAAAAAAAAAAATGTCGTCGCGCGAAAAACGGCTTAGGTGGGATCAAGCTAAAATATGCACAAGACGCAGGAAGTGAAATAACAAGGTTGAGATTGGAACACGAGGTAGATGGAGTTAGGCGCAGGTTTGGGAGAAGTAGAGGGGGGGAGAGGTAGAGGGAGGGAGAGGTAGAGGGAGGGAGAGGTAGAGGGAGGGAGAGGTAGAGGGAGGGAGAGGGCGGAGTTCCGGGGACGAAGATCCGGAGGTGAAGATCCGAGGGGAACGGGTGGCAATAAAAGGAAATTAAAAAAGAAGAATCAGACGAAGGAGAAGGAAAGAAGAAGAGTGAAAGCGCAATTCAAGAGGAGGGGAGTGAGATAGAGAGATAGAGAGAGAAAAAAAAAATATTCTGAAATAGGTGGCGGGATTGGGATCTGGTTCGGGAGTGGCGTGGGACGGGAACGGGTACGGGGACAGGAACTGCACGGGAACTGCACGGGAACGGGAGCGTTAGATAGGAGCGGAATTGAGAAATGTGGGACGGGGATTCTTTTTTTTTCGCTGAGAGAAGGAGAGAAGAAAAGGGGCGGGGTGGGGCGAGGAGCAGAGAAGGAGAAGGAGAAGGAGAAGAAAGAAGGAGAAGGAGGAGAAGGTAGGGAAGAAGAATTGTGTGTAGGAGAGAGGGAGAGAGGTGGGAGAGGAGAAGTGTAGAGGAGTGTAGAGGAGTGTAGAGGAGTGTAGAGGAGTGTAGAGGAGTGTAGAGGAGTGTAGACACGGGTAGACAAGGGGGTAGCCGTAGCCGTAGCCGGTGGCAGAAGATAGGAGTCGTCTCATGAGGAGGCGCGGCGAAACAGAATGTGAAGCAGAAGCCCAAGAGAAACAGAAGAGCATAGCAAGGATACATGAGACAGAAGAGACGTGCCACGTAGACGCGGACGAGGTGTAGCAGGAGGTTGCGGTGGGCCATGGAAAAGACTTTACGCGGACATGCCAAAAAATAGCACCTTTGGAATGGAGAGGGAATGTGGAGGAGCGCTGGAGAGGCCTCTGTTGCCGCGGCGGAGGACACCGGCGGCAAGATAGGAGAGCACAGCAGCGTGGCCGCGTGCCGGAGGCCTTGCTCAGTCGTCAACGTCTCCCATGAGCATGCGGTAGCCAGCTGGGGGGGGCAGCAGCAGAGGAAGCGTCTTTCCTACCGTGCTGTACTGTACTTCCTGCCCGGCGGGGCCTGCAAGCCGCTCCGCTGGCCCTCCGGGGGCCACTAGCCGTGGAGGCCTTGTTCCTCTGACGAGGAAGGGGTCGCTACCAGTGCCGATCTCCTCGTAGAGGAGCCAGGCCCCACGCCAGTGGCTCCCCCCGAGCAGGGGCCAGCGGAGCGGCTTGCACACCCCGTCCTCCGCTCTGCTGCCCACGGCTCTGCTGCCCACGGACGTCGGTGGCCCTCTGGCTTCCGTCTAAATCGACCACCCTTCTCCCACCGCGCAGACGTGACCACCAGCAGAAATTAAACCAACCAGGCCGGAAACAGAAATCTCACCTGATGTGTCAGTCCGGAGGAAGTTCCCACACTGCAGCAGTGGTGCGGTGCGCTGCGGTACTCCGAGATAAATTTATTTATACCCACCCGCATCGTTGTTTTTTTTTTTCCTTTTTTTTTTTTTTTTGGTTTTTTGCCCCACCTGTCCCGATCTGGAAACAGCCGTCTGTTGGGCCCAGCAACACCGCACCAGCGCCATGTGGTACCCATCGCCCCCCTCGCTTGCCCATCGCCCCCCTCACCCTCACGCTCGCCACTCCCACCCCCCCCACACACACCGCTCGCCGCCCTCCCCCAGAAAGCGCGCCTCGCACGATCCTCTCCGTCACCAACCCCCGTCATACAACCGAAAATCTCAGCCCAATGGTTCGTATCTACCCAAATATTGCGCAGATATTCTTTCCCGCACTCTTTGCGCGCGCGCGCAACCGTGCGCGACCGTGCGCTCGTGTGCTGCCTGCAGGATCGCACTTGCGCCTAATTTCAGATGGAATGGCCCTGGTGCACCAAAAGGAAAACAGTTCATATTTCAGTCGTCGTTCCCTTCCCTGCTCCACCCACTGACGTCCACTTGCAACATGCAGCCACTCTACAGTCTCCCAATTCCATCTTCCTCTCCTCCTCTCCCCGAGCAGGGGCCAGCGGAGCGGCTCACCGACCCCGTAGGGAAGTGAGTAGCTGCCGGCCCTCCGGGGGGTGTAGTACGCTCCGCTGGCACTCCGTGGGCCACTGGCCGTGGGGGCCTTGTTCCTCTATCGAGGAAACCTCTCCTCGTACCTCGCCCTCTCCCCGTCTAGTCTCAACTACTAAAGTCGCCCCCCCCCCCCCCCCCTGTCCTGCACGCTGCCCCGTCGTAAATTGCGCTTTCCAAGAATTACAGTTTTCCAATTGAAGGAATAATTAATTCTTGCGTGATGTCATGTAATGTGACTTCATTGTTGTCTCTTTTTTCCCTCGCTCGCGCGCGCACTCCCACATACCCAAACTTTATTTCCTCTGTGGGACTTTTCTTTTTTCTCTTTTTTTTTTTTTTTTTTTCCCGCTCCCGCGATTTTTTTCCCTGGCCTGAAAAAAATATCCGTAAATTTCCTCTCTGCTCACTTTTTAGTCCATCAGATCGTTTCTCTTGGGCGGGCGGCTGGTGGAGGGGCAAGGCATCGAAGTCTATCATTTCTCCTCTATGTCCTCCCCCCTTCCAGTTGGTTCCCACACCCGCACACCCGCGCGGTCACCCCCCCACTCCGCTGCGCTTGGATGCGCTCGGGTTGGGCCCAACCCCCCCTACCCTCTCCGTCTCTCCGTGTTGGTCCGACCTTCGCCTGCGTACTCTCTTTAACCTCTGGCGCCATGTGCTCCCATACCTTAAGCTTAAACTTGCCCCTCTCCCCCACGCTCGTTCTCTGGCGATTCCATGTCGCTCACCTTCTCCCACTCGCTGTCTAATTCCTGCATGACTCAAAAATTAAATTCCTAAACCGTCCAAAAAAATATTTTGCGAATGTACGCGAGGTGGCATTCGGCTTGATAACAACACACCTACAGATCCTTCTGCGCGCTTAAAGTGTCTTTCTCTCTTTTTTTTTTTTCTTGTTTCTTCTTTTTTTCGCTTTTTTCGCTTTTTCGCTTTTCTCAGCTGCTCTTCCATTCACGCCTTCTTTTTTTCTCCCCGAGTCATTTTACTCAACTCGTCAGGAAAGAGGGGAGGCCCCGTCCACTCGTCGTTACCTCCGTCCCCGCCCCCTCCCGCTCGTACCACTGCTCGTGAGAGCGCGCACCCATCCCAACTTTAGTCGTGCTGCCCTGCCCCGGAATTTCTTGTCCTGATGCTAACCTCGTACTCTGCAAGGTCGTCTTTGTTTCGCTTTGTTTCTCTTGGCCCCAACCGCTTTCGCTATCTATGTACCTCCCGGCCGCTGCGTGCACCTCTTTGATCGTGCGGTGCGTCATGTGGCACTTCCCGGCACCATGCGCACTGCTGCACCATGCACCCCCCTCCAGTAGTCTATTTCCCACACACACACACCCCAAAACTCCGCTGCTCTGCATCCTCACCGCCTTCTGTATCTTCCAATCCGCCGCCTCCGCTCCACCCTCCTCCATTCCGCTCCCAACTCACGCTCAGCGCCTACTCCACACCCCAACTTCCACAGATATCCCCCGCGCACAACGCCAAACTCTAACTTAAGGTAATATCCTGGATCGGTACCATGATGTAGCACTATAATTATTGTTGCCGCCCGCATGCAGGCCGATGGATATCTCTTGCTGCATGTCATGGCTCGCGCATCGTATCCGCCATGCACGCCCGGTGCGCCCAAACCTGGATTACGAAATAGGGGGAAGAAGGTTATCGGCTCCCAAAATCTGACTCGGTTCGTCGCTGACATGTCAACCTGGACTTCCACGCAATCATTCCGTAGTTCCCTTGCGCTCTTCTCTTTTTCTCTCCAATTCATTCTCCTTCACTCTCTCACTCCCCTCCCCCCCTCGCTCCTCTCCCTCTCACAAAAATAGTTTTCTTCGCATTGGCTCGCGTCTGTTTCCGGACATGCACACAAGATAAGCTTTACACCCCTAGCAGTACATCGCATGAGCCTGACAATCGTTGCTAGTCTGGTCGGATCCACCCCCATATTGTTCTTCCCAGTAGCCGTGCGTCCATCCATCTCCCTCCCCCCCCCCCCCCCCCCCCCCCATCACTTTTCCCCCCGGCCCCGACCTCGACCTCCAAGCCCCTAACCAACCATTACTCTACTATTGTCTGCCACTCCTCTCCCACCAATCAGCAGCCCTCGTGGTCTGCGCTCGTGTAACGCCTTTCCCACTGTGGCGGTCCTCGGAAAACTTGTGCAGGACCCACGACTATTTCCTGCGCGCGACTGCAGGAGCGCTGCCCATATATGGTAATCAGGTGCGTCATCAATAGCCGCGGCGATACCCACATTTACTATATTTAGCTGCACCACCAGAGCCCAATTCCACCTGTTCTTCTCCAGTCCCACTACCCGTTTCTTCCACCATCTTCCCACCACCTCCTTCTTCTCCTTCTTCTTCTTACCGTCTACTCGCTTGCCTCTCCTCCAGCTCAACGCTCCACCTTATCAACGTGCACCCGCAGGCGCACCGCATGCACGTCCCACACTACATCACCGCGCATTGGCCCACACACACAGCGCGTAAATAAAATATTTATCTTAGACAAAATCTTTTACCTTCGATACTTTTAATCGTGCGTTGCACATGTGACTAAAGTTTTTTTTGGGTAAATTTGCCGCTGTGGGAATCATCACAAGGCCAACAACCGCCACGTCACTCTCTCGTACTCACAATTCTCGGGAAAATTCTCTCTATGATCTTGCCGTGCAATATTTCTTTCCCCGTGAGTCCCTTGTGTCCGTTCCGTTCCATTCATGTTCCAGCCGTGAGGGCATGCCTCTGGGGCACGTGATGCACGTGACCTGGACCGGGGTTTCTCTCTCTCTCTCTCTCTCGAGCACGGCCGTACCCCATGGAACCCGGTCGCCCTCTGGAGGCCAGTCTACGGGGTGTGCGAGACGCTCCGCTGGGCCCCTGCTCGGGGGGAGCCACTGCGTGGGGCCTGGCTCCTCTACGAGGAGACACCTAGTAGCCAGCTCTTCCTCGGTAGAGGAACAAGGCCACCACGGCTAGTGGCCCACGGAGTGCCAGCGGAGCGGCTCGCAAGCCCCGCAGGGAAGGGAGGAGACGCACCCTATGGGGTCTGCAAGCCGCTCCGCTGGCCCCTGCTCGGGGAGAGCCACTGGCGTGGAGCTTGGCTCCTCTACGAGGAGTCTCTTGCAGCCATATTCCTCGGTAGAGGAACAAGGCCTCCACGGCTAGTGGCCCACGGAGTGCCAGCGGAGCGGCTTGCTAGCCCCGCAGGGAAAGGAGTAGTACCACGCTATGGGGTATGCAAGCCGCTCCGCTGGGCCCCTGCTCGGGGAGAGCCACTGGCGTGGTGCCTAGCTCCTCTACGAGGAGATCCCCCTTCGTAGTCACTCTTTCCTCGGTAGAGGAACAAGGCCTCCACGGCTAGTGGCCCACGGAGTGCCAGCGGAGCGGTTTGCTAGCCCCGCAGGGAAGGGAGTAGTACTACCCTACGGGGTCTGTAAGCCGCTCCGCTGGGGCCCCTGCTCGGGGAGAGCCACTGGCGTGGGGCCTGGGTCCTCTACGAGGAGAACCTGGTCAGACGCCTAGTGGTCCACAGAGTGTTCTGCTAACTCGTCAGTGCTACAAGCCAACTATCGTAACTACTGTGTCGTACCTGCTGTGTCGTAACTGTTGTTTATTTATATGTATGTAATTCTTTCTACTACGCTCTATGTGACTCATTGGACCAGATGGGCCTTTCTCTCTCTCAACAAAAGTCTGCCACTCAACATGTCGTTGGCCTTTTGCAACTCCTTCCAGTGGACAGTCTTCCCCTTACGCAACTCGACGTTGGCCTCGTTCTTGTAGAGATCCTTGACGCAGGTGAACTTGATTTGTGCCCCCTGGATCCCGATCACCACGGCGGAGTCCTCTTGCTTTTGGCTGTACTCGTGGATCTTCAGGCCGTAGATCTCGGCTGCATGGTACTTCTTCTTGTTCCATTCTTCGATGTATTGGACGGACTTCACCGAGAACCGCACGGCATTGACTCTATCCATCGACAGTGGCATGAACCCCTGTTGGACATGTCCTGGGACGGCCGTTCTGGTTTCATACCGACCTTTGGCCAGTTCCTTGATGATGTCGGCAATCAATTCCGCCAGGTATACCGAAGAAGCCTGTTCATTACGAATGATCATTTTCCCATTCTTATCCTCACCACGGTCATTTTCAAACACATCAAAGAGAAGATCAATGTCCTCTTGCATGGTACGAAGATCAATCTTGGACTCTGGGGTGTACGTAGCCATGGCACCAGTGACCAAACCACAATATGAGGCCACATATCCCGAATGTCCACCTTGAACTTCAACCACAAACACTCTTCTTCTAGAAGACGATGCCGATTGTTTGACCGCATCACAATAGTTCACCAATTGGTTGAGACATGTATCGGTACCCAACAGGTACTCTGTCCCGGGGACGTTATTAGAAACAGTGGCGGGAATGACAACCATGGGGATGTTGAAGATTGGGTACCGATGTCTATTGGTATCCAATTCATGAACGGCTGTGAAACTTTCAAATCCTCCAACCACAATCAATCCATTCAATTGATATTTCTGGAAATAAAATGCCACTGATCCAAAATCTTCACTTGGTAATGACCGATTGGTTCCAATTTCTGAACCTCCACGGTTATGCCAATTTGAAACCTCCAACCATGATAACTCACGTACATTACCAGAGGTGATCAAACCGGAGAACCCGTTCTGGATCCCAAAGAGTTTGTGACCCTTGGACAAACAATAGAGGGCTGCAGCTCTGGTGGACGCGTTCAACGCTGATGATGAGGCACCAACATGGACAATCCCAATGTTCAATCTGTCCTTTTCGGGCAACACTTGAGATCCATCGTCTCCACTAGAAATGGCCAAGAATTGTGCGTATGCCTCACTGAAAGTGGAATCTCTCAAACTGATGGCCTTTTCGAAATCCTTGTTTTCAATGGCTTCCGCCACAGATTTCGTGAGTTTCACCGCTTCAACCAAAGGTCTACGAACAATCTTGTTCTCCAACATACCAATCATGGGTGAAGGGGTTTCTGGAGTGGACTCCAACACGGCCCTAACGGCGTCAACCCCTTGCAAAGTGGCCAACATTCTGTCGTGTGCCACCGCGGTACCACCACGTTGGACATGACCCAAGGTGGTGATCCGGGTATCAAGTCCCAATTCAACCAAAACATCCTTCACCTGTTCACTGGTGATGGGGTTCAATTCATCATCAATGGCCCCCTCGGCCACAATCACCGTAGTCTTACGGTTCCCCATTTTCCTGTGTCTCAGACAAACATCCTTCAATTCCTGGGCCCAATGTTGTGCCTTGGGCGGTTTTTCTGGAATGAACACGTAATCAGCCCCGGTACTGAGTCCGGCCATGAGTCCTAACCATCCACAATGTCTACCCATGACTTCAACCACAAATGCACGAGAATGTGACGTGGCGGTGGCATCAATGTAATCAACCATTTCGGTGATTCTTGCCAATGAAGAAGCCAGACCAATGGTGGTGTCGGTGCAAGCCATGTCATTATCGATGGACCCCACCAACCCAACAATGGTCAAGTGCTTGTAAGGGGCCACTTGTTGGCTGGTTAAACGTCCTGTAGCCACCAATTCCTCAATCAATGAGGGCCATTCAGACCGGAAAAGATCAGCTCCAGTCAATGACCCATCACCTCCACAAACCACCAAGGCATCAATCCCATTGACCACCATATTATAGGCCCCCAGAAGTCTTCCCTTTCTTTCTCTAAACTCCATACACCTTGCGGTTCCGATGTTGGTTCCCCCTTGTGATAAAAAGGATCGAACGTCATTCCATTCCATTTTTTTAAGAAGGTCTCCTCCTTTGACCAATCCTTCGTAACCTTCATAAACGGCAAACACGTCACATCCAAGATAGATCCCGGTTCTAACCACTGCTCTTACAGCTGGGTTCATTCCGGGAGCATCACCACCTGAAGTCATAACTGCAATCTTCTTCTTCTTGGGGACCTTCTGGTCAGGCTTTGTCACCACATCCGCCAACTGGTCTGGGTGGGCCTTTTGCCACTCCCGGTCTATGTCAACTTCGCGCTTCTTCAAGTACTCCTGCGCACTATTGAACCGTTCTTCACTCAACAAATTGTCGCGATTGGTAAACACAACGTTGGTATTCAAGGGGTCCCTTGTGCGAATTTCCCACAATTTGCCACCCTCACCACTTTCCCCTTCCTTCACCTCATGTTGAATTGATCCACTCTTTAAAATATCGCGAATCTTTTCTAAATCAGTCAGAAAGAACTCCAACACTTGATGATGTGGCACCTTATTAGCACAATGGTTACTACTAGATAATCTCAATTTTAACACGGTGGCGTCATTATAAACCTCCGATCCATCTCCATGATACACTTCCAATTCTTGCCAGGGGATCACATTCCCCTGCAGATCGACGTTCTGAAGTGGGAACGATTCCAACCACAACTCCCGAAGTGAATCGTTTGAGATCCCCGCATGTAATTTGGTCAGAGCCGAGGCACTGGCCAATGCGCTCCCGGAAAGTTTTGAGTAATTTTTAGTCAATCTAAATCCTAACCGATTATAAAAACCAGCAGCTTTTTCAAATTTGTCCCTATGAGAAGTCACAAGGGATGTGAATGCCACTCCTGTTACGCTTTTCACTGGCATGATCAGGGGGCTAACTTATTGTTTCTTTTTTTTTTTTTAGCACTTGTCTTGGCTGCTACAGAAAATTCTTTACTTCCAATCGGTACCAGGTTGCTTTTATGAACCTTGTAGTGATTTTTTTTTTTAAAATTCAATGATCGGGTGACGAATCAAGGGGGTGCAGTGGTGTGTTTCCCCATCAACTGATGGTCTCTCGGGGAGTATTATCCCGAGCGGCCTATGTGTAGGAATAGGCGTGTGTGCAGGCGGTTTCCGGCAGATCCAGCCGAGAGAGTGAGTCGCGAGCCCCCCCCCCCCACGCCACCGAGGAGCTTGGGGTAGGGGTGCTGCTCCCGTGGGCCACTGGCCGTGGAGGGTGGAACGAGGTGCCCTGTCGATGACTCTCTCTGCGAGCAAGGGTCCAGAGGAGCGGCTTGCAAGCCCCGCAGGGAGGTGAGTAAACGCACCCTACGGGGTGTGCAAGCCGCTCCGCTGGCCCTCCGGGGGCCACTAGCCGTGGAGGCCTTGTTCCTCTGGCGAGGAAGAGGTGGCTACGAGGGGGAAAGGGGGGGGGGGGGGGGGGTGTCTCCTCGTAGAGGAGCGAGGCACCACGCCAGTGGCTCTCCCCGAGCAGGGGCCCCAGCGGAGCGGCTTGCAAGCCCCGAAGGGAAGGGAGTAGACGCACCCTACGGGGTGTGCAAGCCGCTCCGCTGGCCCTCCGGGGGCCACTAGCCGTGGAGGCCTTGTTCCTCTGGCGAGGAATGTCTGGCTGCAAATTGGATCTCCTCGGAGAGGAGCCAGGCCCCACACCAGTGGCTCTCCCCGAGTAGGGGCCCAGCGGAGCGTGCGATAGTTCCATCCTCCCCCCCGAGACACTGCCTACTTCTTCACTACCCTCTAGCCATGAACATAGAAACCTACTACTCCCCCCAGGCAACCTTCTCTATCCTATACTGTATATGCAGGTATATCCCTCCACACAGGATATCCACCATAAGTCTCCCCCACCAAAAGTCTCCAGTGCCCCCACACGCCCTCCCTTCCCTTCTCTTAGATTGTACAGATCCGCTCTTTCATTTCCCTCAGTCTCTATAAAAAAACAATCCTCAACATATTGGCAACCACTCCCCCACCATTGATCTACCATTATCTTCCTATATATGTTTTTTTTTTTCACCTGTTTCCTTCTCTGTCATTCCCCCTGCCCTTCCCTGCTCTTCACTTCCCTTCCCTTCCCTTCCCTTCCCTTCCCTGCCCTTCCCTACCCTTCCCTGCCCTTCCCTTCTCTACCCCCACGCTCTTCCTTCCAATGCACCCCTTCCTAATTCCTCATTGTATCTAAATCTTTAATTAAACTTCACCCACACTACATTGCATTACCCAATTAACCTTATTCTAATGCAACAAGTCATAAGCAATAGCCCACGCTACAGACCCCCCACACACTTACTCACCCGTGCACCACAGGCTCGGACTCGGATGTGCGTACGGAACCAACCTGAACCGAAACCTTGATGTATCCGAGATCCCTAGATCTTAAAAGACGATACTTTAAATAATAAGAAGCTCTACAGTCATGACAAATCATTGTGAATCTGGAACACTATAGCAGAGATTGCTCCCTATTGTCCCAAAGATCCAGAATCAGGGTTGATCCCTTCTGCTCTAAAAATTTATATTGTTTACATTTGTGTAGAATCTCCATACTAATTCGCACCCTTACACCCAGCAGGGGAGGGCAGCTACCCACATATATACATATATATCTGTACAAGGCAGGTAGAGGCCCGATGGTATCAACATGTGCTCCCCCTTTCCTTAGAGCTACTTCCAATGGGGGTCCATGAGAAGCTCGGATGGCACTCCGTGGATCCACTGGCCCAGAGACGGCGTGCGGGCTTCCATGATGGCTGCAAATATGATACGCCTCATCTTATAACCATTTCCCTGAATAGAGGGTCTCTGGGGAGACTCCTTGACAACGTAGGGTGGTACTACTACCTTCCCTGCGGGGCTAACAAGCCGCTCCGCTGGCACTCCGTGGGCCACTAGCCGTGGAGGCCTTGTTCCTCTGGCGAGGAATTTATGAGTAGGAAGACAGACTAGTTCCATATTGGTGACTGAGGCAAAGCAGAGGTCCCAGACAGCGTCCCGTAGTCTCTGGGGAAGGGCTCTCAATATATTGAAGTTCATATTAAGCCACATGGTCGGTTGGAATTCATGGGAGTCCTAGAGCGGATCTAGACCGGTCCTGGAGGAGTCAGAGCAGTCCTAAGCAGTGCTAAACTCGATCTAGAGCAGCCCAATGAAAGCCTTTGAGCAATCATAGACCAACCAGAGAAGTCCCAGAGAGAGAGAGAGCTCCAAGAGTAGCCCAAAAGCTGGACCCCGAGTAATCCTAGAGCAGTCCTAGAGTAGTCCTAGACTAGCCAGATTAGTCCAGCCCAGTCGTAACCCAGTCCTAGACCAATCAGAGCAGACCCCGAGTAGGCCCCGAGCAGTCCAATACAGCACTACCTACCCCTGATCCACGTAATACATACAAGACATCTTCTCACAGATGAGGTGTGCTTCTAACCCACTGTCTTATCAATCATGGTACTCCTTGGGCCCAAGTCAGCCCCTCTAGTTTCCAGAGAGTACGATCTCCTCGAGAGAATCACAGAGGCATCCACTAAAGCTATATCCTTCCCTGCCAGGCTTGAAAGCCACTCCCTGACACTCTGTGGGCCATTGAACATAGGGGCACTGTACCTCTCTACCGACGAAGGTTTGTCTACAAGCGGTACTCCTCGTAGAGGAGCCAGGCCCCACGCAGTGGCTCTCCCCGAGCAGGGGCTAGCGGAGCGTCTCTCCTACCCCGTAGGGTGCGTCTCCTCACCTCCCTGCGGGGCTAGAAAGCCGCTCCGCCGGCACTCCGTGGGCCACTAGCCGTGGGGGCCTTGTTCCTCTACCGAGGAAGAGCTAGGCGCCACGCAGTGGGCTCTCCCCCAGCAGGGGTCCAGCGGGGCTACATGGACCAAATTGAGCCCTCTATCCATAATATACTGCTTGGAATTGATCTACCATATTAAATATTCTATTTATTGATCTCTATCTTTCCTTCCTTTCTTTGTCCTTTCATTCTCTAACTTGCCTTCTCCTTCTCCTCCTTTCCTTCTTCTCTTTCTCTTCTTTCTCCTTCTTCTCCTTCTCTTCTTTCTCCTTCTTCTCTCTTTCCTTTCTCTCCTTTTCTTCCTTTTCCTTCTTTTCCTTCTCTCTCAATTCCTTCAAGGGCTTCTCCGCTTCTTCAACAGCCTTCCCATACACCTCACAGAACTTCTCCGACAGTTTCATGGCACAATCCACCACATCGTCATTGAACCCAATACCATTCTCCTCGAATTCACTCAACATCGGGGTCAAAGGTTGCACCTTATCGGTGATCGTGGTGTGTGAGAGAAGCTCATCCAACAAGTTCCGGATGTGGATGATCTGAACCGTTTCATCGGCAACGGAAACGGAGAGTGTCAAGTAATCGTTCACCTTCATGGCTGTGCCCCTACCTTCCACATGGGCAATAGACCAGAAGGCAATCCCATTGGGGATCAATACGTTGGCGTCCCGGCCTTGACACTTGAACTCCGGGTTCGTCCACCCGGGAACGTCGACGTCCAACGACATGTATGACGACAATTGTGACACCTTGTACTCGCCATTCTCTCGAGTGAGAACTGCCAAGTTGGGTCTATACATGGCAGAACCACATCCACAATGACTGATATGGGCCCGGGCAAACCCGACCCAGATATCCTTCTCCTGAGGGATTCTATCCAAGATTGGTTGCGCAAGTTTGGGGTTCTTCCCAGCCACTCCATTCATGATCACATCTCGAATGTTCAACATTTGGGTACCTCCTCTTAATGCCCCCACGGGTTCATTACTACCCAAGTTCTTGTCCCGCTTGTATTCAAACTCACAATTGGCCACGTCTCCAGAAAACCCAGTCAAGTCACATTTCAAGATCTCCAAGTTTCTCCAACGGTAGATGAAATAAATGACCCGATCTCCACCTTTACCGTCATTTTTCCGGGCTTGTGGATCGATGAAGGGAGTCCAATTCTTCTGTACTTCCAACCGTTCAGTCTTGGTTCGTTTCAACTCGGCAGTCCTCAAATAATACTTGTTGTCATACTCGTCATTCTTCATCCCATCAATGTTCTCCTTACCACGTTGGAGTTGGTATGGCCATGTCATGAAAATGGACCGGTAGTACTTGAACTTGACCTTGGCTTCATCCTCACGGTCATTCTCCGCCTTGTAGATCTTTCTGTGGTATTGGTTGAAGATAATGAGTGGTTCCTCGTACCCGGCATCATTACGGATCAAGATGATTCTTGGGTCTTCAGGTCCATACCAATTGCCCTTGACAAACTTGGCGTTATGATACGTGGGGATGGGCAAAAATGATGGGAATTTTAAGGTTCTATACCGTTGTTTGGACGCCTCCTCCTTGTCAAATTCATTATGCGTGCCGGCAAAATTGTTGGTGGGTACAATCAATTCAGTCTCCTTCAATTCATCCCAATTTTCATTGAACAATTGGGCATAGGTCAAACTCAATACTTGTCCTCTCTTCTCCCCATTGGGGAGATACAACATCCGCAGCAACATGAAATGAACCCGATACTCCTCCAACCAGACCGAGGTTCCGGCAAACTTCAACCAATACTTCCCACTCTTCTTATCCTTGACGTTTTTCTCCAACTCTCCGTTTTTGAAAAAAGAGCTCAACTCTTTCATGGGGGGTTCATCCTCGATCTGTTTGATGAGGGTGGCAATCACCTCGTCCATGTTGGGTGCTAAGGCAAAGTCCCGGGTGATTTCCAACGTGAGGGTTTGCATCAAGTTGGCAGAACAGTACTCGAGTTCTCCTCGCAAGTTCTTGACCCCGTCATACATCTCGATGGCATGGTCTTTGTAAGTTTCATTGATGATTTCCTCCGTCAAAGGTGCCAAGTTGTTCTGGTACGAGCTGGCGGAAACCGGCTTGAAAACCGCTGGAGGTGACTCCAATTTGGTCAAGTCCTTGAAGTTTTCACTATAGAACTTCTCCAAGTCCCGCACGGGGAAACTACGTGGGAAGATGACATTCTGGGCAGAGGTCAGGTAGTCAGTGCTCTGGGCGGCGGAGGAGCCGCTATCAACACCAATCATCACGATCCCTGAAGTCTCGGCATAACGAAGGTAAACCATCAGAAGGATGGCTAGGGCGACCAAGACGACCCCCAACCCACGTTTCATTCTCGTGGTTAGATAGTACATGTTCAAACAACAACAGTAAAAAAAGCAGCAGCAGCAACAACTGGATAAAACGAATGGTCTGTACTGATCTACAAAACTTCAAGTTAGTCGCTACTACAAACTGATAAGAGCAAAGAAGCACAAGAGGACGGTACGAAAAAAAAAAAAAAGCCTAAATAATCCATACAAACAAAAGCCGTACAATGGAATAAGCCTCCCCAAGGGTTCCTACCACCACAAGTAAGTCTTGCCCATGCCAATTTTTTCCCCTGCAATGGGCAAGGTCCCTATTAGGCCAGAGAAATGCTTCCTAATAATAATAATAAGGCTAATAATAAATTTATTTTATTTTTTGGAGCTTATTGCAGCAGGACTTGCGTATACGTGCTTGTTGTTATGCAGTGACAGAAAGCGAGCAAGCGAGAGAGAGAGAACCACCAACTACTTATATGACAGTGACAACGAATGGGTCCGGTCCGGTGCGTACCGTGGTAGTTGCGTCCAAATCCGAGACTTTTCCACCGTCACAAACCAACAAACCTCCCCAACACTTGTCCATCTTTCAAAGCCTCTATCGTACTTGCTCTATCTCATTTGCTGTATCTTTCTGTTTATCTGCACATAAGACCTCCCTAGATGCATCTCGGGGCGTGTGGCGGCAAAGTTCCACCAGCTAATAAAACTTCTTCATGCACAGCCATGGTGGACCTCCCTCGCTGTATAATATTTAAACAATTTCCCCCCAATTATTTTATATAAAGTTTGGTAGATCACCCTACTAGATGGGGAGGTGTGGATATGGGTGCTTTGTTGACCACCGCAAGCCATGATTTTGACAAATTATCCAATTTCCCTATATTCCCACACAGCATTTGGCTGACGGGGCTTATACGTCAGAAATATATGTCACTTTAAAATTTTTCCTGTCTCATGTTGCCTATTGACGTTGACGTTGGAGAGATTTCTCTGCAGTTGTGTCACCTGTTTACGATCCTTCAAAAAAATTTTGTTAGTATTTTTAATTGTTTTTTTTTGATTTCTTCGTAATTAGGTGGAAAAAATATTCCCACATGAGCACGTTGCCCCCCCCTGTCTACACACAGGCTTCTCCTGTTTTTCTGGCTGGAGGAGCAGGACCCACACGAGAAGGGGGTAGATGTAACTGACATTACGTTTCTCCACACAGCCTCAATTCCTTTTAAAAGGATATCCTTTCCCATACCGATCGTTCATGGGCATGGGAAGGAGGGGGTCGTGCGCCGCGCTCAAATTGACAGAATTTTTTTATTTTTTTATTTTTTTTTATTTTTTTTGAGGCGGTGCCACAAGAGAAGAGAAATTTGACAACCACAACAAAGATACAACAAATATGTAGGAGTAGGGCAAGATGTAGAAGGGAGGGTTGTAATTCTGAACAATTCACTCGATGTATATAATTATTACGATTGTGTAGTTCCTATGTTTCCAAAATTTTGTTTTCCCTTAAATTTCTCTATTTATGTTGCTGGTGGGAGCCACGTGGGTATCCACCACGGCCGGCCGAGTGCCCGCGGAGCGTCTTGATAGGCCCGCAGGGAAGTGGGTAGGACCGCCCCACGGGGGTCTGAAAGATGCTCGGCCGGCCCCTTATCGGGGAGAGCCACTGGCGTGGAGCTTGGCTCCTCTACGAGGAGAACCACCACTTCAAATCAGATCTTCCTCGATAGAGGAACAAGGCCTCCACGGCTAGTGGCCCACGGAGTGCCAGCGGAGCGGCTTGCTAGCCCCGCAGGGAAGGGAGTAGTACTACCCTACGGGGGTCTGTAAGACGCTCCGCTGGCCCCTGCTCGGGGAGAGCCACTGGCGTGGGGCCTGGCTCCTCTACGAGGAGTCTCTTGCAGCCAAATTCCTCGGTAGAGGAACTGGGCCTCCACGGCTAGTGGCCCACGGAGTGCCAGCGGAGCGGCTTAAAAGCCCCGCAGGGTAGGACCAATCAGACCCAGAAGTGCTGTGAAGGATTTTGGTTCAGTGGCATCTTGTTCGGATTCATTTCTCTTGGATGTAATAGTTGTTATGGGATTCAGTTTTCCCTCAATTTCTCCGTTTCTCACTATTTGTGTGTTGCCACTTCCTCGGCGGTGAACTACCCCCTTCCCCCACTTTTGTTAACTATGATTTCTATTTCCCAAGATTTGTCCGCCTATAGCCCGTAAGGAACCACCTCCATAAACATATCTCTTCCCCGTAGAATAATCTATCACATATATATCCCTAGCTCTCATTTCAAACGGTGCTTGTAAATAATTTGTAAAGCCTCCAGCCCATTCAATGGTGCCACGATCGTTGGACCTATCACCTCCAACCCATACACTCAATATGATACACATGGGGGATTGGGGGAACCCTTCCTTCAAGGTAGGAACCACTCTTCGAACTCTTACTCCATCTATAAACCATACGATTTCATCTGGCGTCCATTCAATAGAATATGAATGGTATCGATGAATATCGTCAACTGCATGTGTAACACCTCTTGCGTACGTAGATGTATTCCCCTTGACAAAGAAATTGGACTGCCATGTGTCCTGAACCCCACCAAACAGTTCCATCACATCTATCTCATCCAAATCATCACTTTGTAGATAGAATGATGAAACAATTCCTTGACCTTTTGCAGCCAAAATCTCAACCTCAACTTTCCCGTACAAGATATAAAAATTTGATTTAATCGACGGATTTTCATTACGGTGTCTAATCGTTAGAGTCAACCCTTCCTGGTCGTATTGCACCCCAGAGGAACAAGTGTAAGGATGGAAATAGGTCAGGTAATGTGAAAAGGAGTCAAAAATCGATTTCCCAAGTGAAGGGTTCCGTGCCACACATTTGGAATCTTTGAAGGGGTTACAAGGCATTGGCTCGTCATAGCCGAGGCAGGCGTACATAAAGATGAATACTATCCAAGGAGTCATTCTAGGGAATGTTTTATGAGAATAAAGATGAAGGAGGTGGACAGAAGTGTGGGGGGGGGGGGGGAGACAGAGAGAAATGTGCAGCATTTTATAGAACACACAAACAAAAGGTAACACAGACAGAAATGGGGGACATGAGGTCTCCCACAGAAGAGGCTGGGCAAAGTTTGTGACCGACAGAGGGGGCCTGAGGCCCTCTACTGGTTAAGAATGACCAGAGGGGTGGAACCTGTCTCCTCTACGAGGGTAGGGAAATCCCCCCTCCCTGCTGGGCTTGCAAGTCGCTCCGCTGGCACTCCGTGGGCCACTAGCCGTGGGGGCCTTGTTCCTCTGGCGAGCAAGGGGGGTAACTACTAGTGGTCTCCTCGTAGAGGAGCTAGGCACCACGCAGTGGCTCTCCCCGAGCAGGGGCCAGCGGAGCGTCTTACAAACCCCGTAGGGTAGTACTACTCCCTTCCCTGCGGGGCTAGCAAGTCGCTCCGCTGGCACTCCGTGGGCCACAAGCCGTGGAGGCCTTGTTCTTCTACCGAGGAAGGTCAGACTTCCAAGAAAGCCCAGCCAGCTATCATAGCCAAGGACTCCATCCAGAACGCGCCTCGCGTCTTACACACCATACCCATAGTGTGGTCACCCCAGAGATACTGAGAGATATCTGCTACACTCCCACAGTCCTCTCAACCGCTTTAGTGCCATTCTATGAGCCCCTAGATCTCAACTCCAACTACCTACAATGATGCATTTTGGCTGCGAATAGTTCTCCTCCTAGAGGAGCTAGGCACCACGCAGTGGCTTTCCCCGAGCAGGGGCCAGCGGAGCGTCTTACAGACCCCGTGGGGGGCGGTCCTACCCCCATCCCTGCGGGGCTAGCAAGCCGCTCCGCTGGCACTCCGTGGGCCACTAGCCGTGGAGGCCTTGTTCCTCTAGCGAGGAATTTGCACCCATTCCTCAATGGTCCCCCCTTGGCAAAATTGAGGAAAATCTAAATAAATCGCAAAAATTCATCAACTCCTCTAACAAACCGATCCTCCTCCATTGACCACGACCCTCCACCATGGACTACTCGCTTGTACACATCACCCTCTTGACCTACATCCGTAGTGTGTCGTACACGGTCCAGCTGGACCTCTGTGACGTGCTCCAGAAAATTGTCCGATCACTTGATCGACCGGAATTCAACTCCAACGTCGACACCCTCGACGCGTACATCGCCACCATCAACACCAAAATTAACCCGACTGGGTTCCGGGTCGCCAAACACAGGGCCCAGGTCTCTGGAGACGTCTTCTATGTGTTTGTGAACACCGTGTCGGACGAGATCACCAAGGTCAACACAAACTACTCGGTGCCGGAAATCGATGCCATCAAGCGAATCATCGACGATCTCATTGACCAGTCAGATCTTCTGTTTCTGCTTGGGTACGTCAATCTGAGCCAACGTATCGGCCAGACATTGAACAAGACCAGTCGTGAGTCCAACGTGCTTCTCAGCAGACTTGTTGACGACGGATGGTTTGACGTGACGGAAGAGGACCGCGTGACTCTTTCCATCCGGAGCATCTGTGAGCTCAAGCACTACTTGATTGACAAGTACGGCGTCTTTGATGGTGAGGACGTGCTGCAGCAACTGGGAGGGAAGCTCTTTGTGTGTCGGCAATGTAAGGAATTGGTGACCCAGGGAGAAAAATGTGTTGATGCCAAGTGTCCAATTTCATTCCACTACAAGTGTTTGGATTTCTACAAACGTCTGAACGACGTCAAGTGTCCGAACTACGACGTGTGTGGGTATGTTTGGAGCGACCAACACGATGGGAGCGAGGACGAGACCAAGAACGAGAACGAGAATGGGATCCCCAGCATTCCGTGGACTCCTCCCACCAGAATTGGGGTTGCCAATCCTTTGAGAATATAGTCAGACGACACGTTTCCCGAGCAGGTTCCCGCCTCCTCACACCTCTCTATCGTACACCATACCCTTCGGGGGCTTGTGAGCCGCTCCACTAGCACTCCGTAGGCCACTAGCCGTGGGGATCTCCTCGTAGAGGAGCCAGGCTCCATGCAGTGGCTCTCCCCGAGCAGGGGCCAGCGGAGCGTCTTACAGACCCCCGTAGGGTAGTACTACTGCCTTCCCTGCAGGGGCTTGCAAGCCGCTCCGCTGGCACTCCGTGGGCCACTAGCCGTGGAGGCCTTGTTCCTCTACCGAGGAAGATCTGACTACAAGTGGTGGTTCTCCTCGTAGAGGAGCCAGGCTCCACGCTAGTGGCTCTCCCCGAGCAGGGGCTAGCGGAGCGGCTTGCATACCCCGTAGGGTGGTCCTTCCCTGCGGGGCTACCCCCATTCCACCGACTCTCCCGGGCATGATGGTCCAGTGAGTCAGAGTGAGAGGTAATCGGGTTGTCATTCTACATGGAAGTTACCCTCCAGTCGTCTATTCAAAACTATCTAAATACAGAGCCTCGACTTCATCAATGATATCCCAGAGCCACTCCTCGGTCACCGTCTCCGCATACCGGTCGCTCAACGGCTTGGCGTGACTCGGAGGTGGGTATTGGAACTCGGGGCCCGCGTTGAACCGAACTACCCCATGCTGGTAAACCGACACCATCGGGTAGTACCCCAACGTGCCATCATCCGTGTTCTGATAGTCCGGGTTCTGCAGTTGTCTCTCGTTGTACGATAACCCTATACTCTCGTTTTCCGTGTCTAGCGGCAAGAACGAGTAGAGGTCCTCATAGGCGGTGCCCACAAGCTCCCCGTTTTTGTAAACGATTACCTTGGACTGTGGGATGGTGGGGATTTGTCGTGCTGGAGAGTCGCGCTCTTCGTTAGTGGAACGTTCCAAAATGGCCTTTTCTCCGAAAACTGTCACTGGGTTCAATAAATGTTCCATTTTCTTTGTAGGGGTGTATTCAAACTGCTCATAATACAATGCATTTCTATACTTTATTGGGATTTGATCTCGCATCACATTCCCAAACTTCCGTAATTTTTTAGCCGTTGGTTCATCTTCGTTGTTATTATCATCAGCAGTTGGGGTCCTTTCATTAACCCTTTTCTTTTTTTTCAAGGGTTGCTGGGGTGCCGGGGCGGGTTCGAACCCGTGCCCTGGAGTACCAGTAGTAGTAGATTTATTAGTACCACCTTCTCTTTGTCTCTCCTCTACAAATGCTTGTACTGCCCGTTTATGGTCATTCAATGAAGGTAATTCCACCAAGAGTCCAATCACATCTCCGTTATGGAACCCAGGGTCTTCTATGAGTCCCTTCATGAATTCTTTGGGTCTACTGAGCGTGATTTTTTGACCATTGACGTCACGTAAACCGTACCCATACCCATCAAACCCCACGGGGGCCTCTAGAGCCGCCTCTCTACGAGCAATGCCAACACGTACATGACTACGATCTCGGCCATTATTGGCATTCACTATGGCAAACTCCATGTAGTAGGACCCTTCACGGATCCCAATGTTGGTTCGGATCGATCTCCAACCATCTACGGTTGATATGGATGCCATATCTTGAGAGAAAATGATCCCCTGGGCCCGATCGAAATGTGATGGATGTACCGTATATGGCTCGATCTCCGTGGTAGAATACAAGTTGGCAGTATAAAGTGGGTTTGGCGTGCATGGTTTATACTTGTACCCACGTCTATTCAATGGTTGATCCTCTGAATTGTAGAATGTAAAAGCCGATGATGACGTTGCCCCCAGTTCAGGCTCTTCAGACACTTCAGACAGTTCAGCGGGGTCGAGAACGACTCCGGCGGGCCGTTTATTGGTCACCATATATTTCGAAGGAAGTCGCAAGTCCAGGTTCTTGAACAAGACAGGCTTCAATCTAGGATGTACTACAACGTTATGTTCCTTTTGCTTGGCCATTGACTTGGATATCGAGTCATCTTTCGACCTTGTGGAATACGAATGAGTTGTGGAAGGTTCGACATTGGGCAACACAGAAGGTATCACGGCCGGGACCGCCATTGGTTCCACCAGACTTGGTTCCACCGATCCCTGGACACTAATCTCCTGTTGCTCCTTCTTTATAGCTTCCATTTATACTTGATAGAAAGTTTCTTTTTAACTTCCTACAGCCTTACTGTTTTATCTATTATTGGTATACATCCATATACAGACGTCGTGTAAGGCTCAAATATCGACTAGTGTAAAAAAAATACAAAAGAGCACCAACCCACCAGATTACATCACGTGATCATATATTAGTAAGGAGAGGGGTCATTATCTATAAAAGTTAACTTGTTTAATTACCAATTCAACTTTCTATAAATGAAGACTAGATCTTTGTAGGGATGTCTCGTACTTAGTTCCCCCATAAACCTTTTTTTTTTTTTTTATTGTAAGAAATGCATCCTCTAAAGATCACGGGTCTCCCCCCCCCCCTGCGGTCCCACTTCCCGTAAATCTGGGGAAACAATTCCTCGTTAGAGGAACAAAGCCTCCACGGCTAGTGGCCCACGGAGTGCCAGCGGAGCGGCTTGCAAGCCCCGCAGGGGAAGCGAGTAGTACCTCCCTACGGGGTCTGTAAGACGCTCCGCTGGCACTCCGTGGGCCACTGGCCGTGGGGGCCTAGCTCCTCTTCGAGGAGTCTTTATCGAGTCTGCACTTGACTGCCAGTGAAGACATAATGTACGGGAGCGAGTCGGGACTATCGCCCTCGCTACGCGCGCTCCCCATGAGCAAACGGCTCCATTAGGTACTTATCTACGGAGGAGACAAAGCCCAACATGCAGCCACCTACACGGCACTATTACGTTGAGCGGTCCGCCGTACCTGATTATAAACGCCGTATCTCCAGACTATCTAATACCCATTGCATTAGACGTTGTAAATTCAATCAGCGTAGAAAACGAAGCTTAAAGTTTGAAACGATAGTGACGTCATTTAAGCTTCTTAGCGAGGTTCGAGGGAGCCACACACACAAACACACATTCTTACCAACCCTTTGATAAGAAAGTTAATGTGGTATAATTTACTGAATGACCTCAAGTGCATGACCCATACCCACGAGGTCGATCTTTATCAAAATTGTGGTATCATGGTACATATTTTGTAGTAGTCAAGGGTACCACATGTGGGCCCTTTTTATCCTTTTGACGACGACCAATGAGGAATGTAGAATGAAGAGTTGTTGTTACTGTTTGGAATGTGTTTGAGAGTTCCAATGTTGCTTCTAGTGGACCACGGGGGATGTATGGAGCGGGGGGGTTCACATTCCCACAGTCTTGAACGTACCACAGGTGAACCGGGATAGGAACCATCCAACGGGGGTGTAAGGTCCCCACAGGGAAGATCTTATCAACTTGTGGGAACAAGGCGGCCCCTGACATAGTTATCAGGGGCTACATAGATCTAAGGTATCAATTTTTTTATTACTACTTGCTAAATATTTCTTTGTACATATTAAAGTATGCTGTTGTTTAGAATGACAATTGTCATCGATGAGTTTTATATGTTATATGCTTGACATTAATTATTTCCCCTTGAGACCGATTTTCTTCCAGAACGACTTCTTCTTTGTAGACTTCTCTTCCTTGTTCAGAGAAGATGCACTTGATAAGGCAGACATGTTTGACTTTACCTTTTCTAATTTTTTCTCTGGTTTTTTAGTTTCTGGTTCTTCATCATAAGAGAGTAATGATTTCACCTTGTAGATTGGTTCCGAGTCTCCACGACCCAGACCGGACTTTGTAGACGTGTATATGGAGTGGATTCTACTGTTATTGGCAAGACTGTTGGCATCGAAACTGATCGATGGTACACTGCTGCTACCACCGGTGCTCCCCGTTGGCTGCGATTGAACTTGATCCAAGTATGCCTTTGATTCCGTCAATGATGAGTCTGAAATCAATGATATCATATTTTGGAATCTGTTGATGTTATTGGCATCAGAAAACAAATCTTCAATTTTCTCTCCAAGGGTTTTATCAACAGGAGTAACGGTCTCGATGACCTTCCCCGCTGTGTCCACTTGGTCAGTGGTGGTTGAATCAGAGTCCATGGATTCAATCGATCCAGTAGAATCGTGTCTCAAAACCCCGGGGTTTTTTTGCTTCGATTGTTTGGTACTATTCCCCACCAAAATCACTGGAACTGGTAAATATTTTATCAAATAAGAACTCAATTTGATCAAATATTCATCTTTCAAAGTTTGTGATTGAGAGTGGATCGGTGGGATTAATGTTGGTGGAGCCAATGAGTTTCTTTTAAGAATGCTCCCCAGGGTCCCACCAGAACTTGAAGAACCTCGATGTTTCGTATTATGAAGTCTTCGTGGATACTTGAAGTTCAAACTGGTTGATTTATTACCTACAATCACCAAATATGGCTGATATTGATGTACAAGTTTGCTGAGCATAAACTTGGTACCCACCAATGGTTGTCTTTTCAATACACCCGAGGGAGAGTTGCCATGACACAGTCCATGTCCATTGATATGACCATTCGTATGGCCATGTCCATTACCATTCCCAATGGATCCTCCATTACTAATACTACCACCATTGACAGATCCATTGGAGGACAAAAGATTGCCAGAACTATCAAAATTGATGGTATTGTCGGAAATAAATTCCACCGTGATCTTCAATTTGAGGTCTTGAGGGATATTCTCAAGAATGTAATGGAGAAGATTCTCACACTTTTTATATAAAAACCCATCGGTGTCAGGGTTATAAATGCTACCAGTAGATCCTCTTTTCTTTGATTTTTTCAATTGGGATTGAATCACTTTTGCTGGGATTGATGCAGCCACTACAAGATAATCTCCGTCTTGAAGGAAAGTTGATGGATTTTCCAGATTTTTGCAAGGAGAATTGGAATTGGAAGGATTGGACTTGAAAAGCCAGTCAAGAGAGTTCCAAGAATGCCTACGGCCAGATATGACTGTGAGAAGACATCTATGAAGCTCACCATCATTGCCACCAGTTTCATCGAAACCAGGGTGTTTCACGGTAAGACTGATGGATTTGTAGTTGTTCTCGTTGGACGTTGGGTAGATGAACCCAGTCTTTCCAGCGGCTCCGACACCAGTGCCGGATCCGGAAACGGAGCTCTTTCTCGCAGATGGGAGATAATACGTCTTTTGTGAGTCAAACTTGAACATATCAACGTTGGAAACTTTTGATTTTGTTGTTTGATATTGCGGATCCAACGCCATAAGTTCTTCATCGGTCATCCCAGAATACGATCTATGTCTCTTTGGAGGTTCTGGGGCCGCCCTTTCTTCATTATCTGGATCATCTGAATCTGAAGTTTCCACTGCTACATCAAGGTCTGGAAGTCCGACCTCGGACTTGGGGCCATTAGTCGGGGGGTTATCCACCATATCGTTGAGATCACCATGATAATTCGTGCCCAACGTATGACTATGCTCGATGTTTAACAGTCGTTGTCTTTCCAGTAATGAGTTCTTCAAAATGGATTTTGAAGGTGGATCTGGGAGTCGATTACATTTCCTCTTGGACGTGCCAAGTGGAGGCTGAGCCACTGCGGTGGACAGATATAATCGTGCTACATCAAAATGATTTACACTGGTGTACCCATTTCCGGATACACCGTTATTACCGGGGGTATTCCCCTGGAACAGAAGAGAGTAATTTTGCTTGAATGGGGAAATGTCATTGGACTCGATGTAATCGGGCTGGAGATTATTGAACGAAACTCGCCTTGTGAAGGTCGATGTCATGCGGGCTAGTAGAAGAACGCTCGAGTGGCTCTTTTAAACTAAATAAAAAAGCAGTAGTGACAAGAGACGTCGTTTTTTTAATACAAATAATATTTGTGAGTTGCTGTGGTAAATTCCAAGCGTTCCGTAGAACCCCAGAAAATGTATGCGCCTTATATAAAAGAACTTGCGCGCGCTCGAAACGTGGAGATTGATAAAGCTGGCGAAAAATAAAAATAAATAAAATAGAGAGAGAGAATTTTTATTTTTTTTTAATTTTTATTAAAATTTTTTTTTTGCGGTCTTTTATTTTTTTGGAGGCCACAGTATTATCTGGTGGTAACTGTTTCAGAACTGGGGCAAGTGATCGTTTGTAGTATGGGGGGAAGACGGGGTTGTTGAGTGTGATATGTGTAAACTCTGTAGATGAAACATGATAGAAAGATAAAAGAACTGTTAGTAGGGTGACCTTTTTTTTTTGTTATGGAGGTCAGCCAATTTATTAAACGATAGAGAATTAAATGAATACAATTATTAAAGTTAAAGTGATGCAACGAATCATAGGGAATCTTCGCATCTACGGCTCACCACCACTTTTAACCCTAACGGGGCAGAGTTTGTTCTCCCATGTTTTATTATTGTTATTATTATTATTAATTTTACTATTTTTACCTTTTATTCATCGTCATATAAGCCACTATTCCAATTTAGCAGCAGAAATTTTAATTTATCAGAATAAGACAGCAGGATAGGGGTCCTGCACACACGCCGCGAAAGCTTGGCATTTACTGACCATTTCTATCCCTTTAGTTACAAAGAGGGGGGTAATTATCTATCTACTACCTTTATTGTAAATACGGGTAAACCGACAAATACATCCTATATTTCTACCAATTGGGAACACAATCTCTATTGTTCTGGAATTATTTCTATACGTGTCTAGAAGACGTGGAAAAAGATAACGTGATGCATTGTCCATTGTATTGAGGCTCGTCATTTTTCTTTATTCTCTCACCAGAAGAATATGCATAGAAAATGAGAACACGTGAAGATTGGGTGGGTCGTGCGGCCCGCCCAAATCAATAGTGTCATCCAAATATCCTCTAAAACGAGCGGGGGTTTAAAAACATTATCAGAGTATTAATGATAAGGAATAAATTTTTTTTACGTAAACGTGTAGGGGTCTACATCACATACCGTATTTCACCTCTACAATATTCCCTTCTACAACCTTAATCTAGTTTAAATTATTCATTCTACATTTCTTATCTTTGTCTGATTTCTAATGAATGTTCTTGGCCCTGCCAAGCTTGGGTGCCGTCTGCAGGACGCCCGCTAGATAAGAGAAAGGGCTTTAACTCCCCTCTTCCCATTCAGGTCGTGTGCGTAGAAAGATAAATTGTATAGAATAATAGATAAATTGGTGTATGCGTTGCGTCATAAGAGTCTAAAAAAAACGTGTGAAGCAAATTCGCAAGATCTTAGATTAGATGATTTAAGTATAAAGGGGCCATGAAGAACTAGAAATTATGCATACACAATTGAACGGTAGACTGGACACCACAACCACCACGACTACCACAATCACGAGGATGTACTCTCATATACACGAGGATTTCTCCTCCCTAGGACCATACTCATTCCAGAACTCATTCCTCTTCATTTTCTAATCATGTGATTACCTTGGCCTGAAGATTGATTGGACAGCTCACACCCGCACACCCGCAGAAAAAGACAAAAATTAGAAAAAAAAAAATACACACACACACTCACACATTGTTTACTCCATAAAAGCAACCTTATTCTCAAGGGCTTCACTACACCTTATCAAAGTTTATGCGACTCTTTTGAACCTTGACAACTGCCAGACATTGAGTCGTTTACTCGCAGCAAATTTCACTCTTGTACCTCTTAAGTTGTAGCCTTTGCAGCAAGTTTTCCACCTTCTACCTTGCTGCAATTACCCCATTTGTACATTTGTAGCAACCATCATTAACTACACATTGCCATTGTTATTATAAAACCCTAATATAATTTTTTTTTAAAGGTGCGCTTAAATCTTTAGACTAAGCAAGGGACCCTCGAAAAAAAAACAACAAACGAAAAAGAAACTACACTTTTGTTTTGGAGGAAAAACAAGGTTACACGCGCTACTATACTGTGACCAACTCGAGAAATGTGGCAATCGTCTCTCCCAATTGAAGATTTCCGTGAAATCAACCGTTCCAACGGAGAAAACCCTCCAAAGGAACTCCCAATCTCAGACCCTCTTGGAGGCTTGGACATTAGATGTGGGCCCATTCTTAGATTATGTGGAACCCATGAAAAGGGCGAGCCAAACTATAGGGGTACCATTATGATTGTGGTGAAGAACTCTGACTCCGAGTCATCCAGTGCTACTCCTCCTAAAATTACCTACAAGATTGGACCCTCTCACGATGAATCCCTTTCGTCTAATGGTGGAGAATTCCCCGGTACCGAGTACTACACAGAAAAGGGGTTTTCATTTTGGAGATTTGCCATCAATTTGACTCTTGGTGACGTGGAACAAAGAGTCAAGTACTACATCAATGACACGTTTAAGAAATCATTCCAATTCTTTATCCCATCGTCTACTGAGTCCATGAATGTCGTTTCCTACTCTTGTAATGGGTTCTCCTTGGGGGTTGACCCGCTCGATTTCAAGTCAAGTTTGTGGTATGATGTCTTGCAAAAGCACGACAAGCAACATTACCATGTGATGCTTGGAGGAGGTGACCAAATCTATGCGGACTCAATCAAATTACATTCAGAATCGCTTCAAAAATGGATGAGTGAAATGAATCCAATCAAGAAATCTAAAACTGTGGTTGATGAAAAGACCCTTGAAGAATTCCATAATTATTACCTCCACCATTATTTGGGATGGTTTGGTAAAGGTTATTGGGAAGGTAAAGAGGGGAACACTTTGCAAGAATGTTTCCCCTTAACCATGTCCCAAATCCCTTCCGTCAACATATATGACGATCATGACATTATTGACGGGTTTGGCTCATACAAGGACTCAACCATGAACCAAGAAATATTCAAAAGCGTGGGGAATGTAGCTTATCTCTACTATATGCTCTTCCAACATCATACCAGTCCAGATGAAAAGCTTCACACTCAAGAGGGAGAATCTTCATGGATTCTTTCCAAGAAGGATGGACCTTTTATCAAACAAAAGAACCATTCCAATTATATCCGTCTTGGTAAGGAAATCAGTGTGGTTGGGGTTGATTGTAGAACAGAACGTAAATTAAAACAAGTTGTGGATCTATCCACCTATGATTTGATTTTCAAGAGATTAAAGGATGAAATTACTGCTGCTCCAGAAGTGAAACATCTTTTGGTCATGTTGGGGGTGCCAATCTTGTACCCAAGACTTGTTTGGCTTGAATGGTTGCTCACCAGTTCTATCTTGGCTCCAGCAAGAGCGCTTGCGATCCGAGGAGTCATCAACAAGGGGCTTGTCAATGAGTTTGACGGTGGGGTTGAAGTCTTGGACGATTTGAACGATCATTGGTGTTCCAAACATCATAAACGGGAAAGAAATTACTTGTTGAAGATGCTTTCCGAATTCGGAGCTCTTCACGGGGTAAGAATCACCATTTTATCAGGAGACGTTCATTTGGGATGTATTGGTAGATTGAAGTCCAAGATTCATCATCATCCACATACTCATCTTTTGAAGAATGGTGATCCTAAACAAATCATTGAACATAACACCAATGTGGTTGAACATCCTGAAGAAGATCCAAGATTGATTTTCAATATCATTTCCTCTGCCATTATCAACACCCCACCTCCAGACGCTATGGCCACTCTTCTTGACAAACGGTCGAGTATCCACCATTTCAACAAGGTTACCGATGAAGACATCTTGCACATCTTTTTGACAAATCCAGACGGATCGAAACGTGACAACCACCAATTTTTAAACAAACGTAATTGGTCTGATTTGATTTTGGGGAAACAATCCATCTATGCTGATTCTGGAGATTTAGAAAAGGGGATTTCCAAGTTCCCTGCTCCATTGAGTGACTTGGGCCAAGAATTGGTAAATAAGAACGACGTTGACGAAAGACACGTCAAGTACCCATTAACTGCGGACACCTTGGTCACCACATTGCACGTAGAAGACGACAGTTCTGACTTTGATTGTAAGACTGCGTCCTACGAAGTGTTGATTCCACAACTTGTTGGAAAGTACAAGATTGAAAGTCCAGGAATCAAGCATTTACATTAAAAGAAAAAGTACTAGTATAAGCCGAAGAGAGCCCTTTGTATTTCTATATAATTCTTAATATAACTAATGTTTTAGATATTCAAATAAAACAAAATGATGTAAACCTGTTTACCTACCCCTGCACAACACAGACCACTCTACAGGGTTAGTACCATCCTACGGGGTATGCAAACCGCTCCGCTGGCCCCTGCTCGGGGGGAGCCACTGCGTGGTGCCTAGCTCCTCTACGAGGAGTACCGCTTGTATTCAGACATTCCTCGGTAGAGGAAGAAGGCCACCACGGCTAGTGGCCCACGGAGTGCCAGAGGAGCGGCTCACAGGTACCCGTAGGACTCCCCCCCCCCCCTGGTGTCCCACTCGGCGCCCCACTTGCCTCCCCCCTGCCTGCTCTGGTGGGAGATCACTAGCATGGCGCCCTGAGGTGGCAACTTGCTTTATTTGCAGCTTATCTTTTTTTTTCGTTATCGCTGAAACTCTGCGATTTTACTTTTTCTCTTGCGTGCAAATTCCGCACTTTAGGTTAGAAAAAAAACGTCAAAGGTGCAACGTCTTTGTTGTTTGTGATAAGATAGCAGATGAAACGGGAGACTTCGGAAGAAACAGAGTCGCTCGGGCGTGACGCAAAGAAGAGCAGGCCATCTGCGCTGATCATCGGGATCTCTCGAGCGATTTCCGCATGCCAGAGATGTAGAAAGAAGAAGATCAAGTGTGATCAGAACTTCCCTAACTGCTTGAGATGCAAGAAGGCTGGCGTTGAATGTGTAGGGTTAGACCCGGCCACGGGGCGGGAGGTGCCCCGTTCGTACGTGACGCATTTGGAGGACAGGATAGCGCTGTTGGAAGGGTTGCTTCGTAAGAATGGCGTGGAGATGGATGACTCCCTAGAGAATGAATCAGGAAATTTGAAAATATTACCAGAGACTAGGGATCTTGAAATAGATGGAGAGTCGTCGAATTCAGCAGCAATACCCTCGATATCAATGTCGGGAGTCCTGGTTCCTGAGGGGGGCCCAGTACCGAGAGAGGACGAATCCAAAGAAGAAACGTCATATTCTGAAAACAACATGCACAATATCATGGAGGGAGTAACCAACGTTACCAGAAGATCAGGCTCCAAGGCACCCCCTGGATATCTCAACACATCCGATGGGATATCGTTTGCCAAACTCATGTTTGCAGCCGTCAAGGTGAACCAGAAAAATTCAAGACAATCGACCGCGCCACCAGTTCCACAAATCAAACGAGAACCAGGAGATGAAGAACGGGTGAATGTCCAGAGTATGCTGCAGGACATCTCTTCTTCAACTGGACCTTCTAGGACGCCCGGCCCATCCTTAGCATCACTTTCAATAGACCCTTCAGTTTACCTCAAACATGATGTCTTACCAGCAATCTTACCGCCGAAAAAGACGGCTCAGGAGTTTATCAAGATATTTTTCGCCCAGTCCAACTCTCAACTCCCGATTCTTCACCGTGAAGAGTTTGTACGGACGTGCTTTGTGCCCATTTATGGAACCTTGGACGCGGGGATCTCACTTGCATCCAACTACACCGCCATCAACACCGACCAATGCCGGGGCAAGGAGGAAACAGACCCCTCCACCACCTGGTTCTCCAAGTACAAGCAAGAGTTCCAAGCATACATCCAAGAACATCCAGAGGAAAAGATCGACCCGGTGAAGATCTCCAACAATATCACTCCTCCAGCAAAGTTCCATCGAGCGCTTTACTTCCTAAACATTGTGTTTGCCATTCTGTCCTCTGTACACCATTTACAGTACCCAGCCACGATCCTGGACTCGTTCAAGGCCGCTGCGGTGAAGTATATCGAGCCCGTATACTCACTGTCGGACCAATTGGAGTCACTCCAGGGGATTCTTCTTCTTGCCTTGTACAGTATCATGAGACCGGCCGTTCCCGGAGTATGGTATGTGTTAGGGTCTGCGCTAAGATTGGTGGTTGACTTGGGGTTGCACAGTGAAAATGACACCGGTAGAACTAACGGTGGCACGTCTACACAGACCAACTTTGACTCATTCACTCGTGACAAGAGAAGAAGACTTTTCTGGTGTACTTACTCGTTGGATAGACAAATTTGTTTCTATTTGGGAAGACCAGTGGGGATCCCCGAGGAGAGTATTCGTGTGCCCTTCCCACTGGAACTTGACGATGCCTTGATCATCCCACACGACGACTCAACACCCGACTATCTGCAAAACTCGAGTGGGATGCCAACTTATAAAGTGATATCATTATCATTTTTCAGAATTAGACAGATCCAATCTGAAGTACAGAAAATCTTGTATGAAAACTCTGAACTCCCACGTAAATACAACAATTTAGAGGATTGGAAGCTTCAAATTGGAGAGAAATTGGCGTATTGGAAGAATCAAGCACCAAAGACTCAACGTAAGATGAATTGTGACTTCAATCTTGAGTTTTTCAACCTCAATTATAACCACACGTTGATCATGTTGCATGGGATATCCCCGAAAAATTACATACTCTCAGTGCAAGATTTCCACCGAGTTTCCGAGGCCCTGAAGGAGCTCATTCATTGTTACCATCAGCTATATCTCAGCAAGAGTATCAATTACACATGGGCAGCGGTGCACAACTTGTTCATGGCGGGGTCACTGTACTTGTACACGGTGTACAACAGCCACGATGTTCGAGAACGGAACAGTTTCTACGAGGTGAAGAAGGTCACGCAAGAGGGGATCACTGTGTTGAAGTCCTTACTGGACCGATGTGACGCGGCCAATCATTGTCGAGAGATCTTTGAAGTGTTAACCGCTGCCATTCTTAAAATCAGATACAATGAAACAGTGCAAGGATTAACCAATGCCATCCCTAGCACTCAACAGATTGCCAGACTGCAACCGGCTGGACATGTGAATCTGAATTTACAACAATTGGTGGAAAACTTATCAAATGGTGAGACTTCGAGGTCACATCAAAGTTCTCCACAGCAGAATTCTAACCAACAAAGTTTGGGCAATTCTCCACAACAAAATTCACAACGAGTTCAACAAAATTATCCAACTCATTCAGCTCCATCTGTTCAACATAAATTCCGTCTTAATCCGTTTGGTTCACCCAATGGGTTAAATGGATTTAATATGGCGAGCACTGCCAGTGTTGAGTCACAAAATAGCATTGCTCCGGGTACTTCTGTTCCCACGGAGCCCGCTGGTGGACCTACACAGTCACCATCGACTTTTGAATGGATCACCGACCGCTCATTGCAAACCACCACAGACGCCATTGGCCGCCAGCCAACTCAATACGATTTGGATATCTTCTTTGGCGAGCTAGACAACCTTTCTTCATGGGATAACACATCCATGGGGTCCAAGAGATCAAGTGTTTCTGAAAACGTTCTGACAGACAATTCGAATTCAAATTCGAACCAATCAGCCTTGAGTCACTCCAACGACATCTACCATCCATCCGAGACCCCAGAGTCTTCTTCTTCCCATAAGTACACGTCTTCCCAAAGAAGCAGTGCTAGTGGAGGTGCCACTGGCGGTTCCTCACACGAAGATGGTCGTACAGTGCCGCCTACCGAGGCGATCCGTATCTACGAGCTTATCCATCAAATGCCCACCGAATCAATCTGGGACCAATTTTTCACGGCTCCATTGAACAATAACACTACATTTCCAAACTAGTCAACTAATCTTTATTATATTATTTACTATATATCTTGTAATTTTGTAATTTGGTGTAAAATATCCAAATTGGCTGCCATTGAGAGGGACCCGCCATCAATCGCCACACACTCCACGATATCTACAGTTTTACCGTTGTAATACCCCACGACATCAACTACAGCTCCCAGGTCAACGACATCTGACTTCAAGGACCCCATTACCTTCAGCATCAGCCACTCCAACATTGGTGGGGCGGACCCGTTGTTGTCTCTTATGGTTGGTACTGTTGTTACCCAAAGAACCGCCCGATTTATATCATATCGTACCACCTGGGCAAACGTTCTGATTCTTTCCACCCGCGACTGAGATGCCCTGGGGAAAGCATTCTTCAACTTTGATGGATCCAACACAAGATGGGTCATCAAGACACATCCACCCTCTGGTCATAATAACTGACCACCCACTTCATGGATAAATTCTTTTGTGTGAGCGCGCGCGCACACACAAGTTGTCCCCAAACCTCCTCAAAACAAAACGCTCGACTCATCTCATCGGGAGGAGACTAAACACCACACAATAAACCACTCAGTATGAAGATTCTCAACCCTAGAGACAAGTTTCTCTCCAACTACGAGGTCTTGAGTCACCTCCAAGACATTAAAAAGAAAAATAACTGGACTTTTGGCCCAGAGGAGAACGACAAAAAATTCCAGAAAAAGAGATTTACTGCCTGTGGTCTTGACTTGGAAGTCATCACTAGAGACTTGTCCTCCTACTTGCAGAGCAGCCCCTGTGGTGTGATCGAGTCCGACGAACAGTTCAGCCAGCTCATGCTTTTTTTGAATACTTTTGAATTGGAAAAAATCGAAAAATTACAAATTGTAAATTCTCTTCCTCGCTCGATGGTTTGTCTCTATGCTGTCGTGGAAGAGTGTGACCAACGGTTTGACGAGGACACCTGCGAAACCATAATAGCCAAGATCAACGAATTGTTCCCTGTAGAAGGAGAGGACGAAGAGGAGGGGGAAGAAGAAGAAGAGGCTGCCATGGAGCAACTGGAAGAACCAGTAGATGAAGAAGACAACTTTGAAGACGCTCAAGATGTCCAAATGGAAGAGTAGGTCCGATCCAGCGACTGGGGAGTCTAGGTGACCCATTGAAAGCAGGGACTGGGCTCCTCATGGAGTAGTCCTGACTTCCCTGCGGGAGCTGTGAGCCGCTCCGCTGGCACTCCGTGGGCCACTAGCCGTGAAGGCCTTGTTCCTCTGACGAGGAAGTTACTAGTGGTCCTCCTCGTAGAGGAGCTAGGCACCACGCAGTGGCTCCCTCCGAGCAGGGGCCATCGGAGCCGGTAGGGCCGTACCTCGCTGCTTCTTGTATAAACTTGTATAATAGAACACAAACTAATTAGAGATATTCTATGTATATGTATTACTTTTACTATTCTCTCTATATGAAATCTCCCATGACTTGTCTCGATGACCCCATGTCTTCATCTTTGCTCCCCGAGGGCGCAGCCTGAACATCCAGTCCACTATCCACCACCCCGCGCTGATAGTTATACCATTGATCTTTGAAATTGCCCATCATCTCACTGACGTCCGACAAGAGCCCCGTGGGCCCAACCGCAAATAGCGACTCTGCATTGTCCTCCGAATTGATCCAATGGTGATTATCTTTCTTGGTGGACTCGTCGATATCGTCGTTTTGCCTGGTGATGAGATCTCTAGAGAGGATCCGTGAAAGGTCCCCCTCTTCGTCAAGTGAATCTCTCTGGTCACACTCTTCCAAAGTGGTGTCTTTATCAACGCCTTCGGCAAAGTGATTGGATACCAAGTGTTCAATCACTGGCCAGCCGTAGGCGTTGGCGTATCTTCTACGTACTATGATATTATTATGGGCATCAGGAAGTAATTGTACTAGAACTTTCCGCCATGACATGTGTTTATGGTACTCTCTTGCAATCTCTTCCTCCAAATATTCAACATCTTTATCTAGAGAATTCATCAATCTTTTCCTGAGTGACGGCGTCATGGTCAGTTGGGGCAGGTTCGAAGCCCCATTTGTGGTGGTGGATGAAGCTTCAGTGGCAGCAACAGTCACATCATCACCACTCCCCAATCGAAGCAGTGGGAGTCCAATCCTTTCTAAAATCCCTGCCAGAGACTCTTCCTCTGCAAGTTGTTTGACCTCACGTGGCGGTAAATCCGACTCTTGATAAACCTTGTCATGAACAATGACATTTTCTCTAGAAGAAGGATCAGTGATGTACTTGAATGAAGGAAGTGGTGGTAAGATCAACGAGGTGGCAGTTTCAAGTACGGATGACTTCAGTAAATGTTCAAAAGAGTCACCAGGGGCCATCAAGTTACCATCTTCATCATTAGCCCCACCACCACTACGAACGCCAGTTTGAAATCTCTGATATTGACCATGACCCGTTCCCTGAGAAGATTGTTTCTGGGGCATAAAGAATGAGAGCATGGCCTGGAGTGGATGTAACCCATTGGATTCCTTACCGTTATTATTACTGTTTTTCGAATCTCCATGGATTTGATCGGTGGAAGGGATTTTCATGGTGGAATTGATCACAGAACCATCATCTGACGACTCGGTATTTGTATTGTTTCTCATAATTTGGGACAATCCTTTATAATCCAAATAGAGCAACGCTGACGTTCTCAAGGGAACAATGCCATCATTCTTGACATTGGCATACACGGTACGTCGTTTAAACATTTTCAAGATCAGATGAGTGGGGCCAGTTGGGAGTAATAACAATAATGGAGGCGAATTGTTTTCCAAGAATACCAACCCCAAGTCTTGACCTGTTTTCCCAACAAACCCGGCCAGTAGCGCCAATTTAACATACATTGGGTTTTCATGAACAACTCCAAGTAAGGGCAGGGCAATGGTAATGAAATTGATTGGTTGAATTTGTTTGAAAAACCAGGGGAAATTATTTTCAATGTAGGCTATGGCAAACGTTTGGACAAGTCCACCGAGGGAATGACCAACAAATGAAATTCTATCAACTTTCCCATTGGCAAAAGTTCCATTTTTAGTCACCAAATCAACCACAAACTCAGCGACTCGACTTCCAAGATATTTGATCCCACGTTCAGTCTTTCCGACATTCCCGAAAAACCCCTTCACCACCACATTATCGCCTTTACAGGAACGATCGATCTGATCTTTCAAATACAACATATCTGCCGATACATTGGAATGAAGTCCATGAGTTAAAATGACCAAATGTATGGGCTTTGATGGAGAAGGGATTGGTAAATTCCACAAGTCCAAAGTATCATGGTTAGTTACAGATAAGAGTGAAGGCGGCACAAAGACCCCAGTCTTATCTCCATTAGTTACCGGTCTTTCCATGGGGAATGAAAGATCATGGACCACTTGTTTGGATGTTCCAATACTTATTTCAAAATCCACATCGATGGTGTTATTGAAAATGGTTTGTGACACCACATCGACGGTCCATGAATAAGATGATTTAATACTATGACAAGCCAATTCAGCATACACAGATTGGCCGGGTAAGAGTTGAGGTTCAAATACTGGTTGGTCGGCGGTAACAAAGCATTGCTGTTCCGAATGGTAATCCATTGGCGTACAATCCACATAGAGCACGTAAGGGCCAGCCAAATACGCAGCTCTCAAAGCAATCAGCTCCTTGTTCTTTACCTTGAGCCATAGATTTGGTGGGATAGGATTGGATGTATTGGTATTACTTTTGTTGTTGTTTGGTGTGTAGGTGATGATGAATCTTTCGATCTGTCCACACTTCACAGCCTTTGTTTGGCGGTAAAGTAGAATATCCTTCTTGTCAATGGAGTCTTTCTCATTAAGACTATCTCCATGATTAGGCATTTCTTATGGTGTGGAGTGGTAAATATTGGGATTATAATTTATTTAGCAATGGTACAAATCACAAGACAAGCAGCATATGATTGATTGATATGTCCTGCAGGTGGGCTAATATTGTATATAAGGAATTAAATAGAGAGAAATGGAGTTAGAGAAGAAAGAGTATCCAGTGAAGAAAGAGAAAATATGTATATAAAATTCCTTTGATTTGGGTTTTAGAAATCTAGGTAATAGGAAAGGAAATTACTATTATATATATATATATATATATATATATATCATAATCAGGAATGTAATTGATGGAGTCTGTCCTGCAGGGGAGTGGTACTGAGTATATCGATCCTATATCTGAGGATACTAGGCCTTGGGATATACGATAAGTATTCTTTAATAGACTCCTTTTCCATTTTAGAAAGTATTAAATAGTATCAAAATTTTATATTTCCTTATTTATAGTATAATATGTCTTAATCATTTGCAGTCAATTCATTTATTTATTTTTTTTTATTTTTTGATCACGTGCACCACCCCACGCCTTTACTCCTAAACAATACGAAGCCATTCCTAACACTAATAGTTGATATTGGTAAATAAGGAATAGATTGTAAGATGGGAGACCTAAGTTCTGAAGATATAGACACCTCACGAACTGATAATAATTCAAGTTCTCAAATTGAAACATTTAATGGCCCCACTTCAAAAGATCAATTGTTCTCTTCAATCCCACAACAATCAGATCTATCGAATGACACCTTGACTGATAATCATAAACATCTGCATCTTGACTCACGTTCAATTGCGTCGAACCAGAGTGCATACGACCTTCATCCGATAGAGGTTACTGCCCATACGCTTTTAGGAGGTTCATTGGACCATCTAAATGAAAACTTTCAACATCTAAACCAATCACAAGTTGTATTATATACGAGATTATGTCAAATTGAAGAGAGGTTAATGGCAGTTCTGGCTGTAGTTGACGATGAAGAAACGGTGAAAATATCTCTACTGAGGATAAAGGGGTTGAAAAAACGACTTTTAGCCACGGTGAAAACCCTTAACAAAGTTGAAGCAAGGGTCATTAAAATTGAAGAGAAAATATAAATGGAGTCTTCTAAAAGATCTATAATTATGGTACCTAGATGGTGCTACTTGAACGCAGATTCCAGGTTGAGTAGACTCCAGCAGAGCGGCTTACAGTCCGCATAGCGTGGTACTACATCCATCTCTGTGGGACCCTGTAAGCCGCTCCGCTGGCACTCCGTGGGCCACTAGCCGTGGAGGCCCGGTTCCTCTAGCGAGGAAGTCTCCGACTTACTAGCGGTACTCCTCGTAGAGAAGCTAGGCACCACGCAGTGGCTCTCCCCGAGCAGGGGCCAGCGGAGCGTCTCACAGAGGGGTACCCACTCCACAAAGGCTCCAATCGACATCCCCTAGTATAGACCTCGCATAGCCTCTCCTAGACCTAGGTGGGATACCTTCAAAGTAAACGCTACAACATGTTCTTACTCTTAAATTTGTCTTATTTTTTTTCACTTCTCTTCTCATATATACATATATACATATATATATATACTCTACTACTCCATTGTAATCTAGAAAATATTTAAAAGCTTGTATGGGTAACCATAACTCTTCACACGGAAAATGGAAACCAAAATGCTGTAGAAGATGAAAATGAACGCACTGAAAATAACCACCGTCAAGAATTGAACTTTTGCATTCTTAACCTCAGGAGTTTTCTTGACCAAGACAACCACAAATAAACTCAAACATCCATAGACAAAGGACATGATCTGAGTTTCTACTCCGTATTGAGCCTGTTGTCCCTGTTGGAAATATTCAACCTTACCGTTGTCGTGTTCTCTAACGTATGGTACACCACGGATTTGGTTGAACATGTAGCCAGAGATGAGCAAAAGAATGGATACCAAGGAGAAAGCACTCCATAACACCTTGGAAATAATAACCCGGTGGATTTGAGCACTGAAGGTGTATGCAAGAAGGGCAAAGGCAAACGTACCAAATGCATTGATGGCCATACGGGTGTAGTCAGGAGGGATATGAATCTGGAACTTGTGACCAGTGATCTGGGACATCCAATTGATGAGCAAATCACGATGGGATCCAGCAAAGAATTGGTATTCTACAAACTCCTTTTGGTAAGCATTGGGCTTGGTAGAAGTAGATGGAGGGAAGTAAAACACCTTGGGGATACTGTTCAACAGGAACAAGTTGAAGAACTTTCTTGATTCCATGAATTCTGAATAAAGGAAGTAGACATTCTTTGGAGCAATGACGTCCAAGGCGTCGGCGTCTCCTTCTACTGCCAATTCAGCCTCCAGTAAGCCATTAGGGTGGTCCTTCACCCATGAGCTGGCTACCAATTCATATTCGGGCTTGAATTCGTTACACAATACACAGTTGATCTTGGGAGAAGTGGAGGTCATAAGAACAACCAAGTGGTAATCACGAGGGCCGTTAAGAATGTCGTCATAGTTGGCGTCGTTGACCGTAATCACATTGTGCTTTTGACCACGTGCAAGGGTCTGAAGCTCACCATTTGTGAGGGAAGCCGTTACAACATTGGCAACAGACAATGCTGCCGCAATTAAGGTAGCGGAAAACTTCATCTATATAACTATGAATTAACCTAGATTATTAAACAATGTTGTAGTCAAACATATTCCATAAATGTCAACTCTAAGGCTCGTTCCTGCATGGTTCAACAAAACACGTTAACCATAAAATTTCATATCGCGTCACATGGTAGATATCACGTGGAATGGACTAGGTAGTGTTTATTTATAGGTATGTATCTACACACCATATGGGTGTGTAAGCCGCTCCGCTGGCCCCTACTCGGGGAGAGTCACTGCGTGGTGCCTTGCTCCTCTACGAGGAGTACCACTAGTAATCAGAGAATTCCTCGGTAGAGGAACCGGGCCCCCACGGCTAGTGGCTCCCGGAGTGCCAGCAGAGCGGCTTACAAGCACCGCAGGAAATATAGTAGTATTTAAGTTGCTGATATATATATTTACTCTATTTTCTTAGTTCGATCATACGACTTGATCCTATTTCTATAATGGCTAATCCTGAACCCAGTTCAAACCGTTCTACCAATAAAATATACTCTTGCACGTCTGGTAATATACAATCCACAAACACTCCATATAGCGAGTCATTCCATTTTTCATTCACTTGTACTGGTTGTTCTGTCGTCCGATTGAAGATCGAGGCTCTCATTTTAGGTCTATAATGAGTAGAATCATCCGTTGATTGTCCAAGATCCGTAGAATATTTGATATGGAACGTTACTTTACATTGTCTTGATGTCGTTCGGAAACAAATTTTTAGTCGATTCCGTTGTTCCCAAGAAAAAGTTTCCTTCAAGACGAAAAGTCCAAGAGCGTTATAACACTTGGTGAGAGTAACATCATCTTTATTGGTACTATCATGGTTCAATCTCAAACAGAACTGGGTGGGTTTATGGTTGGGAAGCGCGGTGTACGTCGAACATACCATCCGATATGTTCCTGGTTTAAGATCCGGTACGTGATAAACAACACTTCCTATATGATAATTCTCTTCCTTCACCAATTTTTGTAAAGATATAGATCGTAATGGCTTTTCTGCGTCTGTAGAATCACTTGAAAAAATGTGTACATTGTAGTATTGATCGGCCAATTCCCCTACAAGTCCAACGTACAAGTTTATCAGCTGTTTGGTCACCCTGAGTGTATACTGGGGGTTGTATATGTACGTGGGGAGCGCATAGTTCCCACCACTGGTCCGGGTATCCCAAGAGTCGACTGGGACCAGAATAATATGTGGATATTTGGGTTTTGCCCGATGCAACTGTACCTTAGTGTCACTGTAGGCAGTAAGGGTGAAATTGGCATTTTCTGAACTATTAATGACCACTGTATACGATTTTGCATGGGGGAACTCTTTTCCTGGTGGTAATTCTAATTTAACAAGTTCTGTACGATTATTAGTCCCTGTTCTCAGCTTACAAATGTAATGGCATTGATTATCACTGAACACCCGTTCACCTATTTTGGTATCATATATCGTTATACCAATGACAATTTCTCCCCTAGTAGTTGAGGGATCGTCGACAGTGGAAAGGAGATGTCTCTCGAGTAAAAGCCAAACTTTCCCCTCATGGGGTGGGACAGTGAGAGTGTACTGCGGGTTGTTATATAACGCAGACCATAATGATAACCCTGGACTATTCAGTTGTGCTATAAAATTGACCTTAGTTGAGTGCTTGAAATGAGGAAGCCAATTGATATACAAGAAACTGAAATGATAGAGTTCAGTTTCGTTGACCCAACGAATGGACTGGGTACCATCGGTATGAGCCAGCCATGGGTTTCTAATAAGAATCTCACGCACTCCGGTAGTCTCGTCTAGACGCATATCTACAACCGCATAGTCATGTCCTGGGATAAGACCTATCTGAGCTGCCAATTTATCACTAAGTTGTCCAACCCCCAATCCAAGCAGAACTTTTTTATTTCGAAACAATTGGGCAAGGGTGTCATCTGCCTCAGTCCCATCGTATAAATGGCCATTCAGAACATGGACAACTTCTGGGATCCAGCCCAAAAGCATAAAGGTGTCGACTGCCATGTTGGAGCCTTGGAAATTGTATCCCTGGCCCATGACCATAAGATATGCCTTTTCCAAGAGCGCCGGCCAAACAATGGCAGGGTTGGTCAGTGACCGCATCACCAAGTTCCTACCATTGTCAACCAAGGGGAGTTTGTTGTCCAAGGTGACCAATCTAAAGCATCCATTGAGATACAATTTGACTTTATAGGTGTCCTTGTAGACATGTGAGAGTAAGGAGTACACCAAGTCCGGATTGATATGAATGATACTAAGAATTGCACAAACAAAGGAGCAATTGGTCAATAAATCTTGGTAGATATTCTCAAGATCGTTGATAACTCCTCTTTCATTGGTTCCGGAAGTTTTCATAAAGGTTGCTGAAATTGTGTCTGGCAACGAGAGCAAAGGACGGGTTGCGTCTAACTCTGGGACGATATCAAATGAGGTCACACCATCAAATTCAATCATGGGCGGGAAAAATTGTCCATGAATCTTGGATCCTAACCACATGAGCTTGTCTTCGAAAGTCGTGGTAGATGACTTAATTGACTCGTACAATGACATGGCGTTAAGGGCAATTGGCTTCACAATCAATGGGTCTCCAATTTTGGCCTTTAGTAGGCCATTCAACAATTTTATGGACTCTAGACATTCACGTCGAGCGGCATCGTTCAATGCTAGAGACAAATTGAACTTGCTTCTCTCTAGCAATGCTACTGCACTTCCTAGATCGTTCATGATCCTCCTATGTAAACAGTGTCGTTGTTGTAGATTGTGCGCAAAAAATAAATCAAAATGTGGAGAGAGAAAGAAAAAAAGACTCCTACCAACAACGAACCCTTTCGCAGCTTTTGAAAAGTGCCAAGATAAAAATCAACATAATTGGTAGAGTAAATGTTAGAGCGCAAGAGAGTCTTACGAACCACATCTATCTACTCTACGGGGTCTGTAAGACGATCCGCTCGGTCCCTACTCGGAGAGAGCCACTGGGTGGTTCCTGGCTCCTCTATGAGGAGTCCCTTGCAGCCAAAATTACTCGATTGAGGAACATGGCCCCCACGGCTAGTGGCCCACGGAGTGCCTTCAGAGTGACTTACCAACCCCGTAGGATAGATATTAGTACCACCCTACGCGGTCTGTAAGACGCTCCGCTGGCCCCTACTCAGGGAGAGCCACTGCGTGGGGCCTAGCTCCTCTACGAGGAGATCTCTGGTATGAGGTCCCTTGAAGATGGATTCAAAAGCTTTACATAATCGCTTAGACTTGAAAAACATGATGTGTATTAATATTTATATAGCAATTTATTTGTAAGGAACTACTAGAGAATCCCCAATACTTTCACACAGGTAGCAATTACAGTGATAATACATCCTAAACCTGCGATAAATCCATTTCTTGGACTTTGTACTGGACCAAACTCGGGGTCAGATTCCTGGTTGTATTGGTTAATACTTTTGGCTATGGACCAACAACAACTGAATGCAAACCATCTGACAAATGGAGTGGCCCAAGTAACAATTTCCCCACCAAACATCAAATCTAATAAACATAAGACTATTAGAACCGTTAAAGCACGTGAAGCATAAATCTCAAATTGCTTCTGTTCCTTGAGACTCCTGGTCTTGTTTGATTGTGAAGTGGTAAGAGGTCTAGTATTTGAGGCAGAATTAGTCGCAATTGGATTGGCATTTCTGTTGGATCGTTTCTTCATCAAGAATAATAATATTACGTTTAGATAAATATTCTTGTGAGTTTGCAAAAAGGAAATTACGTAGGGACAGTATTTCTTTAAGTTTTCAACGCTACACAATTCCTTGAGATAGTTTGATAAGGAACCAGTCAGTGGATCCATAATGAGTGACATGAAATTTTCATATAATGTACCAGCCAGTAGCCCCATAATTGCCATGACATTTATTGCAGTTATAATTGTGAGTCCAACCAGGACTGATGACAATAACAATAAGGCGATATACTGTCTATGATTCTTAAGTGGCCCCCAAATTCCACAATAATCCATATTTACCGCTTGTTTTACCACATAAAAACATAATTCATAGTTTTGGAATTGGAATAGTAAACATGCTAAACCTTTGAATCAATTAGTAGGATACATACTGGTGGGATCATATTCTCTATACATCAACGCATACAGACCAACATTTATAAAAAAGTGTATTAACCAGAGAGCTGTGGCGGTATATTCTCTTGTAAATCGGGATGCGTTGAATTCGTAGTAGGCATCTTTAAGTAATGTTTGAACAATATGATATTCCCTTTTGGCATCGGAGTATACTATATCTGTTCCAATGATTTTTGAAGGCACATAGAATGAAATAAAAACATCCTCAGATATCGTATGCGGCATTATGTCTTGTGCCATAGACTTCGACATTTGAGAATGGGAACATACCTGAGTGATTTCCGTAGAATGTTGCTCATGTATACCATCTATTTTTTCAGCCAAGAAATTAATCTGCTCAATCACTTGGAGGGTTTTGTTGAAGTCGGGGCTTGGATCTGATACTAAATCTGAAATGCAACTCACAACCTCATCTAGAACTATTGACAACTCAACCAAGTAGTAAGAAATTTGATGTAACCATTGGGCAATGTCTTGAGAAATAACTGAGTCTTGAATACTACAGGGACGATATTTGACTTTGATAGATAGGTTTTCAACAACACCAGACGAATGTGTAGTCATGTTTTGTATCATTGCCAAGTTTCTAAGTACCGGTTTCAAGCCTTCCGAATACTTCTTCTGTAATTCAGTTGTAAGTGGAGAGTTTGGGCGATCGATATCTTTTTCTTCTTTTCTGGTGAAGGTTAAGAAAAGGTCAACTAAAAAGCAGAATACTGTAGGGATTCCGTTCACGATTGTCCACTTGAGTATGACTTTGATTAAAAACAACACCCACTGGATTAACAACCACGCCAATTTCAACATAGACATGATTTGAGGCCACACCCACTTTAATTGAAAGCACTCACGTACATTAGAAGACATATTTCGAAGAACAATGAGTGATTAATGTAAGAATAACAAAAGAAGGAATAACAAACAAGGGGAAATCCACCAAGTTCAGAGATTTTGGCTGCAAAAAACACACTACGCGAAAAATATTCCAAGCGGCTCGAGTTGCCAGTTTTATTGAACGTGTTTATTTTAGTAATAACTTATTGAGTAGGTAAACTCTATTATTATGGTTGTAAAGTACCAGACTAATTGAGTGGTTTACAAAGTTCTGGAGAAGTGGTGAACTGCCGGAGTGAAAAAAAGAGCGTCTCGCAGATCTCTAGCAAAGTTGATTAGGTATTTAATTGTTGGCTGACAAGACAAGTCCCCAATGGGTTGATACATCATCAATTTCGACTGATTCGAGGCTCCCCGACTGTAATTCAAGCTCAAACCAACATTCTAATCATACAATTGAACAATTGACCAAGCCAATCCCACCGTTGAAATTATGTAAAAATACCCTTGTGTAACATCAAAGATGTTAAATTCATAATGTGCGTATTCTTTACCTCTCAAATTATTCTGCCCGTCATACATATCGTATAAGTTGTACATGAGTATCAAAAAAGTAATCAGGACACGAACGGAAGCCACTAATCCGATCTGCACCATGGTCCAATTGTCAATGTAAAATGCACGTAAAACCGCTGGAAAGAGAAAAAACGCAACCCCTAGAAACAACTGCTCGCTGCAAAGGAATATCACCTGTGGTAAATTAGGGTAAAATGATCTTGATGTCTTGGAATGGCTCATTATATGGTGTCTATAAATTGAAATGTAGTATAGACGAAGAGTGCTGTAACAGTGGTATATATAGCGTTTGTTACCACTTTCCTAAACTAAATATGCTCAATCTTTGCAACTTCCTCGTCTTCCCAAATTCCTAATCTTTTTATTCCTATTGTTGCTCTGGCGGCCCTTTGCAGCTATGTACATATTCTCACCAGTACGCCACACCAGGATTACAGATTGTTTAGAGATGTCTAGGGATATTCTGGAGAGTCTAGATACACTAAAAGATAGTGTAAGTAGTCTAAATCGATATAACCTAGAGGTGTGAGATGGTTTAGAGATAATAATATGTAGAAAGTCTAGACACACCACAATCAAGACTGTCTAACTTTTAGAGATTTTTTAGAGGGCGTAAGATTGTGATTTGAAGGTGTACAAAAATTACTTACATTCTAAATAAATGGAATAGTATAGACCCTTTTTAAAGTAGAAGACTAACGTAACTTTTTTAATCCGAGAACTTCAGCGTGATTCTTTTATTATTATTATACATAGTACTCGCTAAGTGACTATATCGAAAAATGAGCCTTCGAAGATATTCCATATATTAAGAATAACAACCACATCGCCAACAAAAACTTCAAACCCCCGAGCATCTTAAAGAATTCTTCTTCATACATTTCATGGATACAAATTCCTCCTACAAGATTCACACTACCCATCATGAATAAAAAAAAAAACAATAACAACCCTTGAGGGCTACTTTGCCAATTGTAACTGCCGGATGTTGGATCAGTATCGAACACTTTATATAGAATAATTCCACACACCACATCAAAGCCGAGGCTCAAAAATGCACCAATAAAAAGAGCAGATACAAGCAAAACTTCCGTCTTTAATACAGGTCTTTTCTGTCTATCGTGGTGATAAGATGTTTCGAATGGGGCACATTCAACCATATTTACTTTCGTTAATCTTTCGTGTAAAAATAGATGACAATATAAATAGACTTACATATTCTTATTTAAATACTTCCCCCACGTTAAACATGAGGGTTGCCTATTCCTACCTCTTTCTGCAGATACCTATTTTTACCTCTTTCTGCAGATACCCATTTGAGACTCACTTTTGAGTCTACACAGAAAGTTCCACACGCCTAGTGACCCACAGAGTTCCAGTGAAGCGGTTAACAGACCCCGTATGGTACTTTATTGACAATTTCAGACTGTAAAGTAAAGTAACCATCGTGGAGATCCATAGTATAGTAGAAGGTTTTCTGATCTCTGATTCCGTTGGGTATTTGTACCTGTTCTCTGTTACTCGATACTACTTTTATCTATGATGCTGTATATTTAAGAATGCTATTTGCATATTTATAATTTGTTTAATATTGTAGACATTATTGAATGACTAGACTGTCTATTTCATATGTTATTGTATTATGATTAGTTGGAAATAACTCCAGCCACACAATCCCATTGGGCGAACACATACCAACTGTTGCCACTGTCGCCAATCACCAACCCACGATAATGGCCCGTTTCTGTGAGTTTGATGTTGCATTCGTAGGTACTAAATGGTTTCCCTGGTTCGGTGGCTTGAAGCTTGAAATATTTACCAGATGGAGATTCAATCACCAATTTAAAATCTTGATTTATAATTCCTGATCCACTATTCAAGCCTTGAGATGGATGTTGCATGATCTCAAAGTTGTATGAGTTTCTAGCAATGACCTTGCTGGTTTGTGGTTGTTTGATATACAAGTCGTTGGTTTGACTTTGCACTGTGGGGAACCGAGGCACAAATTTACATGGTTTATAACTACCAGAATGATATAATGGGATAACCACCGAAAGTTCATGAATATTTTCAAAATGCTTTTGAAGTCCCTTTGGACCCGAGAAGAGTTGCAACACTCCAATTGACTCATTTTCAGGGAGAATGGCCTTGATCTTGGCAATTCTCTTGCCATTGGACCAATACACTTGACAAAGACTGAGTTCATTGGTGGTGAGTTGTGCGGTTTTAATTAATGCAAAAAGTTCAACATCACAAGGAATTTCTAATTCCAATTCGAAAAACTCCAAATCTGTAAGTCTTGTAAGAGCGTTGTTGAAGTTTCTAAACTTCAATTGGTTTCGATAGAACCCCAGGTACATTCTTGGAAGGTAAAAGGCAATGTTTTGGTCAATGGGGGGAACAACGTGTTGTAAATCAATGATGGAGGGGATATGAGTTGAAACCATATTCAATGGACGAGCAAGGAAATAATGTTCATTAAATCCAAGTTTATGATCTCTAATGTTACAAATATCTCCATTTTTGAAACTAAGCAAGTCCATAATGAAAAAATGATCATCAAGAAGAATGGATAACCAACAATGATTGATCACATATTGTTCATTATGATAAAATTCATTTGGACGTTTCCAAAATCCCATAACAATTTCAGATGGAATTCTCAAGGCATCCAACATTTTCTTGAATAGATAGTTGACTTGGTATATACTTGCTTCACCCTTGGAACTAATTTCATGAAGTTTTGGCTTAACTTGCAGGATTTTCAATGATGGATCTTCTTCGATAATATGTAATTTACAAAGTTGAAGTAACACAGCTCTAATTTGATAAACTTTAGAGTTGCCAAGCTTGACAGCAACATCGGCAATGAATTCATTCAAATCACATGAAATGTCATACTTGGCTACAAACGAGTCCACCCGACGATGTGATACTTGTCTTTGAAGACTTTCCCATTCTTCTTCATCTGCTTCTCCTACAACTTCATTTGAATTGATCTCAGAAACAAATTCCAATGGCTTTACAATAAGAGATCCTTCTTTCCTTACGATTCTCTTGGTTCTTGCCTGTTTGGATTGGGTGGTAAGTGAGTTCATCCGGTTCATATCGGACTTGAAAGTCGTCCAATGGATCTCATCGTTCTCCAATGGGTCTTCCTTGTTGAGTGACAGTAATTTCAGATCTTCTGATGTATTGGATTTCTTCTTTTGATGTAATAATTTCTTGAAAATATTTGGATGTCTTGACTTTTTATCCTGGAAAATTGAATCGATAAGCTCCTTGTTATTAGCTTCATTGTCTTGAATTTGGACACGGCCCAACAGTTGTTCAAGCAGACTTTGGATTTCCTTCTCATGTTTATGACGCATAAATGATCCAGCACTGGTGGCACTCAATTCAGACAAGTTTAAAACATCACTTTGAAGTGACTTAATGGAGTTTTTCAATTCTTCCAGTTGCATTTGTGAAAGTCTAAGTAATTCTTCATCTGAAAACTTAAAGTCATCGGCATCATAAGGGTGTATGACACCTCCACCTGGGATAGCCTTGAGTGGAGTGGCATGTTTGGGTGGTGGTGGAGGAGGAGATACTGATCTTTCATGTTCTTCAATATAATCTAATTCTTCAACATCATCCTCATGATACTCATCTTTACTGAGCTTACTGCCAAGATCTTCTCGATAATTCTTCTTTGACGACAACATATCTTCACTCACGTAACCTGATGATGATTCATCCGATGGTGAGATACCCTTGGCAATACGTGAAAGACCATATTGCAGTTTTCTATTCTTTTCAATGAGTCTCAATTGATGCAATTCCTTTTCAAGTTGCTTCCTTTTCATGGTGATTTCATCAACTTCTATCTCATCATATGCACTATATCTCCCCGCGGGAGAGCTTGGTTCAGGGGCAAGCACCTCAGCGGTGTGACGATGAGATAAGTGTGGCTGGAACTTTGGTTGCATGGAAAGATCAATATTTGAATGCATGACTTTACCCTCGGGCAGGGTACCTCTAGTGTATGGCAGTTGTCCATGAGTATTATATTCTGAATGCTTGAAATTTTGTGCCGAATGAGAATGTTTCATCTTGGATGGAGATCCAGGACCTCTACTGGTTATCATGGGGGAGCTTGGTTCTGAAGTCTTCAGTTGCATGGACATTCTCTTTTGCTTTTGCTCTTGAATCTTCTTGATCTGATATTGTTGTTGTTGTTTCAATTTCTTAAACCTTTCAATTTCAAGTTCTCGTTGTTGAAGATGTAAAATCTCACTTTGATGATAATGATCAGTCATGGTTTGTCCATTTCCAGGGGATCGATGGAACATTCCCGGCAGTTTTGAGAGTCCATTCCCAATGATTTTCTCCTTTACAGGGGTGCTAGGCCCACTGGGGGTATTGGAATTCCCATTGGAAGTGAATGATGAATTGATATTACTGGCTCCATATGGATCTTCGTAAAGACGTACATAATCACGGGGGAAAATCCCCTCGGCTCCATTTCTTCTGAGCTTACCACTCCACCAGCTCTCATCCACAACCGAGTAAACTTCAACGATTTCATTCTCGAGAAACCCCAAATCTCCCTCTTCTTCTCCGGCCCATGACACCGTTGTCTTGACTTTAAATGGCGGCTCAGGTGTGGCCATTTTCTATTCCTGTTCTTCTTCTTCTTCTTCCAATGCAAAAATTAAACGGGAAGTGACAGAGAAATATACAGTGGTATTGATGTATATTTTTGTTTCCGTCTACACTGTTAACAGGTATGTATACACTATAATCTGTATGTCTACAAATGTAATAGGTGAACGAGTAATTATGAGAAAAGGATCCAGAAAAACAACCCTCACGAACTTCGATGATGCCAAATGGCTTGCTGATCCGACTAGCTGCAGGCTCACAACGCTTCTACCTACAATAGCTGCCAGCAAGATTATTAAATTAAACCCTTTAGGAAGGTGCGCTACAATAGACAGAAGCGATCTGATGTTGGTGCCTAATTAGGCAAAACGTAAATAGAAAAGTTGAGATTTAACATTAAATGGTACTACAGAAACGCCAATAGTGCGGTTGTGCATATACTGTGCTTCTATTTTGTAGAGATACCCATAAAATATCACACACACCCTTTAGGGGGGCAGATACTCATCTTATTACCAGGTGGTAAGTCCCTCTCTCTGGGCCAGTATTCCATCTGTAGCTCCCCTAGTAACCTGTCTCATTTTCAAAAAAAAATAATAATAATAATAAAACATCCTCAATATTATTATTCTATTCTATTCTATTCATTTCATTTCTACATTGTTCTCCAATTGTATATCTATTGATTATTTACTGTTGTTGACGCACCCCACTGACAATATCGTCAACCCTCAATAATAAACATGCACTTTCAATGGCGGTTTTGAGGGATTGTTGCTTGATAACTTCTGGTTCCCACACTCCGTAATCGTTCATATCGACAACCTTACCCAAATCACCATCAATACCAAAAGTGTGTTCACCCTTGGCATGTTTAGCTCTCAATTGTGATAACACTCTGATTGGATTACCACCACAGTTTTGGATCAAGGTTCTTGGAATCACTTCAAATGCATCAGCAACAGATTGATATGGCCATTGAGCAATTCCTTCAATGGTCTTGGCCTTTTCAGCAAGTCTAACACTTACAGCCATTTCAGTGGCACCACCACCTGGGGCTAATGATGGTTCAAACATCACATTTCTGGCCACAGCCATGGCATCATGTAAGTTTCTTTCGATTTCATTCAAGATATCCTTGGATGGACCTCTCAACAATACAGTACAAGCTTGAGGTTCCTTACATTCAACCAAATAAGTGAAATATTCATCTCCAATCAATTCTACTTTGAAAAGTCCACACTTGGTACCAATGTCTGATTCTTTCAAATCTTCAACTCGGTTGACAATCGTGGCACCAGTGGCACGTGCTATACGGTTGTTGTCGGACTTCTTAACTCTTCTCAAGGCAGTAACACCTCCCTTCAAAAGATAATGTTGGGCCAAGTCACTGACCCCCTTTTCAGTCAACACCAAATCTGGCTTAAACAGTAAGATTTGTTCACACATGGTCTTGACTTGTTCTTCTTCAATTTGTAAGATACGGTTCCAATCTTCCTCCTTGGTGATTTCAATGTTAGTTTGAGATTCACCCTTTTTATATTCCATTGGACAATCAAGTAAAATAATTCTTGGGTTGACAATGTTTCTTCTCATCTTTGGATGGGTAACATCCTTATTAAGGAGGATACCGTCCAAGACTTCACTATCGGTGACTTCTCCACCAGGAATCTTTTCAATTCTAGCATATCTCTTAACATCAATTTCCTTATGATCTCCGTTGGTGACTCTTACGGTCTTGACTGCTTTCAAGGCTAATTCACACATCTTTTGCGACCATTTGTTGATGTACTTGGTTCCGATGGAGGCCTTGATGAGCTTGATCATGGCGGCATCATTCTCCACGTCTACAGGAGTCGACACGTCATGGATAATTTCCAAGGCATCACTCAAAGCTTGCTTTAAAGCTTGGATAATGATAACTGGGTGGATGTTATTCTTTTCGATATATGGGTAAGCTTGCGCCAAGATCTCTCCGGCAAGTATAATGACAGTGGTGGTACCATCTCCAACTTCTTCATCTTGAGTTCTACTTAATTCAATCATGGATTTGGCAGCTGGATGGGCCACATCGATCTCTCTTAAAATGGCATGACCATCGTTGGTCAACACAATCCCACCCATTGGATCCAACAACATCTTCAACATGGCCTTGGGTCCAAGACATGTTCTTACAATGTCAGCCACAGCCTTGGCTGCAGTGATATTGGAGACTTGGGCTTGACGTCCAGATTGTCTCTCGGTGGACGCGTTCATATACACTACGGGAGCTTGCATCTTGAGTTCTGTTGTAATATGATTGGAAGTATATTCAGCAGACTACAGGAAGTGCACGTTTGGGTTTCCGGGTATAAATAATAAAATCAAATCTATTGAATAGTTTCCAAGGTTATATTTGAAAAGTGTTTCGTCGTTCGCCCTCAGTTTTTGAGGTTTAGCCAAAAAAAAAAAAAAAATTATGAAAGAAAAAAAAAAAGAGAGAGAGAGAAAGAGAGTAAGAAAGAAAGAGATTACGTAATCTCTTATATATTGCGGGTTATACCTTTTGAAGGTGTAGATTACCACCTATTCACTCTTTATATCTCTACTTATAACCCATAAAAATTTTAGGTAATGGATTATTTGAATGCCAATTTCACGTCTCTTGACGATTTAGAAGTATTGGATGAAAAAATTTCAAATTTAGAGAATGAGAAGTTGGAAGTGAATATATTGGTGAAGAACAAAGTTAATGGAGATAGTCAACCAGATCAAGCAACCAATGAAGATTTGAATGACGTTATAGACACCCGTATTGAATCAATCCTTGCCCAGATTGATGGGTTGTGTAATTCTGGGTGTAGTTCACAAGAATCTAAAGATAAAATTGAACAACTTCGGTTGGAACATGGTGACTTGGCTGTATTCCGTCAATTGGATGATCTTTTCACAAGAAGGGATAAAGTGAACACTATAGTGGAGCATCTTGAACGGGCAAAGGCGGTAGAAGAGTCCCTTGATTCACTTGTCCCCACTGACACTAATTCTGTGGAATTGTACTCCCAAGTGTATTCAGAGATTGAACAAATAATTTCATCTTCATCATTTGGACCTGAAATTCAAACAAACCTCTCACAATTACTCATCCCGATCTTTGATAAAAAGGTTATTATCCTTAAGGATTTGCTTGGACAAAAATTATCAGTTATACTTCAAAAAATACGATGGCTTTCACCTAGAACGAGTAACCATCAAGATAGCAATAATCAACTTATCAACTCTTCAGACCTCAAGCAAATCCAATCTCTTTTACGTGGATTAGTCCAGCTTCAAGCCATAAACAGTGTGCCTCAATATCCCGAGTCTTGGTGGGCTATGGATTATCTTTTACAACCGTTTATCATCAGATTCCAATACAATTTCATGACTGCGAAAAAGGAAACTAATAAAGTATCAAAGCCTGAATGGGCATTGGAATATGTTGAAGAGTTTATCCAGGAGAATTCAGACTATATCCAAATGGTTGTTGGTGATATTCTCTCTGAAAGAAAGAGAATCACCGTATATGAAATTATTACTACGGTTTTGAAACCAGTGAGAGAGAAAATGTTGGCCTCCATGAATGTTATCAATGGTAGTATTGCCAAACAAGAATTAGAGACCCAAACTTCTGATCTTGAGCGAGGAAGTGGTCGTCTTTTATCTCATCTTGTTTTCGAACTCACTTCCTTTGATCAAAGATTAAGAAATGTTTACAAATATAATCCATACATTGAAGATTATAAGGCGGCTGCGCCGTCTAAAAAATGGATGGGTCTTACGGGAGATATCATGTTGAAAGGAGGCGATGCCAATGTTGGTGGTGTTGCCCTTGCTGCATCTAATTGGCTCAATTTTGAAAGCCAATTGGCAAACAAAAGGTTCCAAGAATTACTTGTGTCAGAAAACTCATTTCTCATTGATTTTGATTTCCAAGCTGCTATTGAAACTGGTGGTATTGATCTGTCCGACTCGACAAGTCATTTCAAACTGCTTAAGCCAACATACTCGGCATACTCTTTATCTAAATTGTTTGATACCCTCACTTCTCATTACAAGACATTGAGTATCGTCAAGTATCAATTAAAATATGTTTCAAACATTCAACTCAAACTCTTGGATGATTATTGTGATGAGTTGCAATCGCAATTCAAACGTACAAATGGGAATTCTGTACTTAAATATATCCCAGGTGGCATGAATTCTGAATCTACTTCATCTGGTGAAGGTATTATCGATTCTGAAAGAACTGGATTGAAAAACTTGCAACAACTTTCTCAAATCTATTGTCTGGCTAAATACATTGCCAATAAGTTGGAATTTTGGAGTGAAGAACTTATATTCATTCAACTATGGGGCGCTTACAAGTCAATTGCTTCTGAGTTAAATGGAGGAGAAAACCATTTCCTGAAAGAACTGACGATTTTTGATTCTTCACTTGCAAGATATCAACAAATTACCTCTAGTGTTCTCTCCAAATTTGAAGAGTTGTTTGCTAGAGATATTCGTACATTTTTGAAAAAATATGTCAATCATTCACAATGGGATATAATCAATCATGATGAATCTGAACTTATGGAAGTTTCACCTGATCTTCTGCCTTTATTGGTCGGTATTCCGGAATATTTACATTTCCTTTCTCGTTGTTTATCCTCGGTGGATTATTACATCTTGAGTGGGAAAATTGTATCGATTATATCTCAAACTTTCATTGAATTTGTTATCACCAACAATAAATTCGATCAAGCTGGCTTGGTTCAATTGCAGACTGATTTGGACTACGTTTGGTCTACTTTAAGCACCCTTTTGTTCCTACGTGACAATGAAGACATCTACAATAACAAGTTCAATCCTGGCTACGTTAAGGTCCATGAATCGATTGAATTGTTGAGATCAATTAAACCGAATGAAGTGGCAAATTTTGGGAATTATGATTCTTATCCAATTCTTAGAGAAAGATCTAGTACTAAATTTTCAAGTTTAAGTGAATTCGAAATCTTTGATTTATTACATAGAATTAAATAAGATAAAAGACAAGAGCCTAAAGAAGAATTTTTGTAAGAATAGATAAAAAAAAGAGGTGTTGTCCCTATACTAAACTCTGATCTTGAGAGTGTTTGTTTGTTTTGTTTGTTTGTTATTGTTTGTTTTTCCTGCATAACCTTTTATTCTATGGATATAGATTAGATTAGTGAATTTTGTTCTTACATCTCTTCATCTACTGATTTGTGAATATCATGTCGTTATCTAGGAAAAGAGTATGTTTACGAGGGTTACTCTACCAATTTATCAGAGTCTACTATAATCAGATTAATGGATTATATGGCCACTGGCACCTTTTTTTTTTTCTTTTTTTTTTTGTGTGTTACTAACTGATCAATCTTAGTTCCTTCAAGATGAGACACCAACTCATAAAAGGGTATCCCATGACTTCCCCACGATAGCAAAGCTCTATGGGGTGATTGCAGAAGCTTCACACATTCTGATTCCAAGAAAATCGGGAGGGGTTGTCTTGGGTCGTAGTAGCGCGTGTGATCTTCGAATCTCTGGAACTGATGTATCATCGAAACATTGTCAATTTTCATTGGCGTGTAATGAGGCTGGTCGTGAGTTTCTATATGTGACAGATATGAGCTCCAATGGAACTTTTGTCAATGATGAGCTTATTGGGAAGGCCTCCACTACCCTTTTGAAAAGTGGCGATAAGTTACAATTTGCCAAAACTGGTGGAGCATACATTTTCAGATACGCTGTGGATGAAGTTGAGGATCGAAATCGTAAGAAATCCTTTTTCGATGACTATATTATGGGTGCACCTCTAGGCTCGGGCCATTACGCAGTGGTGAAAGAGGCTCGTGATAGACATTCAGGAGATGTGGTTGCTGTGAAAATCTTCCATCCTAACAAAGGTAGCAACAATGTAAATACCCAGAAACAAGAAGAGGAAACGGCAAAACTTCAACAGGAAATGAACTTACTTCTTCTGTTCAATCATCCCAATATCGTCAAGTTTATATCGTACTATGTGGAGCCTATATCGCAACATTCAGTGACAACTTACTTGGTACTTGAAAAAATGAATGATGGTGAATTATTCCAAAGAATTGTCAACAAGCTGAAACTTGGTCAATTGGAAACAAAGGCCATCTTCCGTCAACTTCTTTCCGGGTTGAGTTATTTACATGACAACAATATTATCCATAGAGACATAAAGCCAGAGAATATCCTACTAGATATAACTCCACGAACCCTGTCTGAGCAGATCCAAACCGGGCCATGGGATGAACATGAATTGGATATCAAGGTCAAGATTGCCGATTTTGGCCTTGCCAAGTTCATTGGAGAATTAAAGTTCACCAATACGTTATGTGGCACCCCAGCATATGTGGCGCCTGAGATTCTTGATAATTCTAATGAGAGAACGTATTCAACCAAGGCTGATATTTGGCTGAGTGGTGTATTACTCTATGTTTGTTTGTGTGGATTCCCGCCATTTAGTGAGGAATTGGCACCTCCTTCAATGAAAGACCAAATCTTAGAAGGGAAATATGCATTCTACTCTCCATATTGGGACGATATCAGCGATTCTGCATTGGATTTGATCAGTTCATTGCTTGTGGTGGAGCCAGGCCAAAGATTTGATGTTAGTCAAACTGCAAGACATTTTTGGTTCTCTGAATCTGAGAATTCAATTGAACCATCTTCATCGCAGATTTCCTCTGAAGCAATGCATGTCGAAAGCATTGCAACTTCAACTTCATCTATAGAGAGAACTCAACTCAGATCTAACACTCAACCACTCAGTTTGAGAGAAGCATACACGTCTGAGTTGAACTTTCAAAAATCATCTGTGGCTTAAAAAAAAACAGAAGCAAAATAAATGACATGGAATGACATTCAAGCACGCTTACCACTTACTCGCCTTACAACTAGACTTAGAATGACTTTAGATATACCTATATACAAATAATAAAACCATTCATTGAGGATTCCCTCTATAATACAATGCATTTTCTTACTCTCTCGCCTATTCTGAGTTCTCAAGAGCTGCAATATCCTTTGCTCTTGTGGAAAAGAACATTTTCAAAAGTGATTCATTCAATTCCATGGTATGGCGCACCTCTTGGCTCTTTGGAACCATTTTCTTCCCACGTACTTCTTGAATCTTGTCGCTGATACCAATCAATCTGTCCAAGATCTTCTCTGCATTGGTAGTGTCCTTGACGGCCACATAACAGTCAAATTGTCCCATAATACACATCAAGTCTCCGCTCATCTCCGCTCCAAGTTGGAACCATTCAATAGCCTTGTAGTATTGGTTGAAAGTATTCATTTCCAAAAATCCCAAAGTAGCAAAACTTTCCTTAAGAGCCTGACTTGCAGCTATTTCCAAATGGTATCTTGCCACTTCAGGATTAGTGGTGGAGAATAATTGACCCAAATAATAGTGAGCAATCACCGTATATTTGTCTAACTCACCAATTTGAACACTCTGTTCGAAATATTGTCTAGCCTTGCTCAAATCCGGTTTTGGTTGAAGATGACTGAAATAATAAACTCCCAAGTTCGAACATACTTGACTAGCCATCACCGTGTCGGATTCATACTGAAGAAATTGTGTCCAATACTCTGCAGCATTATGATATTGGGCCTTTTTAAATGCAACATCACCTGCCAACTTGAACACAAGTGGATGTTTCTTTTCCACGAGCTCCTTCACAAGTTTCTGTGCATAGGCAAAGTCCTCCTTATTGCCGCTTTCAAGAGCTTCAAATGCTAAAATGGTGATAGCATCATTGTCTCCCAACTCGGCTGCTTGTTCCACCAATTCATTTTCAAGTTCAACCAAGTTACGGTTCATTGTATTGGTCTTGGTACGCACTGCGGCAAGAATATGTTTCTGTATCATTAAGTCACTCCCACGTACACTCTTGGGGAGTTTGATATCTTGCGGGGTGTCCAAATTATCATACACAGTCTGAAGAATCGGGAGGACCTTCTTGTATGGTAATCGACTGTCAAAGTCAAACAAAAACCGGTTAAGACTTCTCTTCGTGGGTAAGATGGTCAAGAGTTCCGGTCTTCCCCCACTGGATGCAAACCGTATCTGGCCATACAAGGCGCCCAGTCTACGTGCTGCAAGCATATCCTAGTATTTATAAAAGCTACCTTACAGAGAAAAAGTACAACCACCAAAAAAACTTCCTATAAATAATTTTTGTCTGCGAATTCTCCATAAAAATTATGATCTCACCACTAGAGCTACCACTAATACTCCCACTAAATCTACTCTCTCTACACTTTTCTCTCTGTAACTTCAACATGTTATTCACTACGGATAGTTATTGTTATAATCTATAAAACTGTCGACCTGGTGGCCACCATGTGAAGTTGCATTTGCTTCGCTATTAGGCGTATGACTAACAAATTCATTACTGAGAGTAAACTCAAAATCCGTATGACTTTGTGGAGTCAGGTTCGAATTGTTGGTTCCTCCCACCTGAGAAACCCCATGGAGATCTATAAATGGCTCGTCAACCATCTCATGGTCTTCATGGTCGGGTTCTCCATCCTGAACGTGGTCATGATCACCTTGTCCAACCAAACTCATTCCATAATTATGTTTCCCGTCCTTGTCGATAGACGGGAATGGAGAATGGGTCTGATGTGTATATGCTTGCAAGTTTGTCGATGGACTGTGAATTAAATTTTCGGTGTTGTTATTGTACCCGGAACCGTTAATGTCATTGTTATGCATGGATGAAAGTCCTGCTGGTGTTTGTGCACCCGTAGCAGTGAAAAAATCGGGTGTATTGGCATTGAACAGTTCGTTGTATGGGTCATGGGGTCCTCCACCACTTCCTCCTGCTCCTGCTCCTGCTCCTGCTCCACCATGCTGAGAAGAGTTGCTATTATTATTGTTATGTTGATGATCTTGTTGTTTGCTGAGGTGGTTTAAATTGTTGTGTATCACTGAGTTTGTATCTTGGTGGTCATTGCCATGTTCATGACTAATGCTACCACCGCCACTGCTTGTCTTGATTTCGTTGGGGAGAAGTGGTCCGATCGTAGTGCTAGTCTTGCTGTTCATACTAGTCATGGAATTTGGTGAAGTTTCCAGATCAAATTCCCCCATTGGTGAATATCCATTCCCTCGCAGATGTATCGAAGATGTTTGATGTAAGGTGTTCCCATTCCATGGTAAATCATCGTCAGGGAAAGTCACTGCATCATCTCCTCCATTGGTACCATCTGGAATATGGAAATTGGAAGTATCATGACTAAGTTGATTATTCTCCAATATAAAGGCATTCAAGAATTGTAATGAATTCTTAACTCCAACCAAAACATGTGGGATTGAACTACCTCCTTCATTACAATAAGCCAGACTGACTTGTTGACCTTCACTAAAATCTTCACAGATTGACCATTGATTGGATTCTGCATTCGCCCCCAGGAAGAAATACACAGAAAACTTGGGTTGATGGGACAAGCTAACTCTCAACTCGTTGTTCTCCTTGTTTATATTGTTGTCGAGTAATGAACATGTTACAATACTCAGGATTGGATAAAAGATTCTAAATAAAACCTTTAAATTGTTGGAGATAGCGGAAAAGAAATAATTCAATTCCAAATTTTTTTTAGAAAGTATCACCAAAAGATCCACATTGGACATCACTGTATTGAGTGTAAATGGAGCCAAGTTAACCAAACTGTTCTTCAACAAGTTCTCATCATGGTACCCGCTCTTTATTCTTTGCCATGATCCAACCGATAACGACGAGCAATCGACTAGACAATATTTCTCATTGATTTCAATTGGTATTGAGCCTAGTCCAAAGAAAAAGCTGCTATTCTGTTGTGTAAAGGTATTATTAGTATTATTAGTATTGGTATTGGTATTGGTATTGGTATTGGTATTGTTATTGGTATTGTTGATTTGTCCATTTAATCCAGTGGGACTCATATTAAGATCATGGATCGAAATGGAATTGGATCGCGATGAATGAATGCTACCAGTACCACTACGACCCATTCTCTCTAATTTCCGAAGTTTGGCTCTACGGTTTTGAAACCAAATCCGTACGGCCTTTTCGGACATATTGGTACGATCTGAGATTTCCTTCCGTTGCTCCGGAGATGGGTTATGATTATGGTCAAACTCCAGAAGAAGATAGTCCAACACTTCTCCCGAGGCACGGGTCCTCTTGTTGGAAGAACTCTCGTCAAATGACATGGTTCTGTAATGCTATGGGAGGAGGAGAAAAGTTTGGTTGAGCCGATAAAAAAAAAAAAAGAATAGCTTCCACGCTATCAGAGATTTAAATGGGAAGCTCAGGCTCTCGGTTTAAGTTCACCAGTATGGAAACTTGGATGACTTACTTGAATCAATACCTTATTGCCTAAGGTTGAAATTTGAATACTGGGTGATTCCGCCGTGACGAATAGCTCCTTTTTTTTTTTTCCGGAAGTCGAGGGATAGTTTTGGCGTCGGCTTGCGTCCTCTTCAGATACACAACAAGGTACTTGGTCGCGCGTATCGTGGTTTGGCTCGCTTTGTTTCCAATGCTTTCGTGGACCAATAAAGATCTACTGTTGCGGTTTACACTCTAAAGGACTTCGACGTAGTTTCTCCTGAGACCATGGCGCCGCCTTGGTGCGATTCTTTCCGTGTGGTGTATGGAAATGTGGGTTTTGTGTAACATTGTGTGAGGCACGATTTACGACAATCATGTGTGGCTAAATGCAGGATGTACATACAAAAGTATCTACAAGAAAATAAGAGACAGAGAGAGAGAGAAAAAAAAAAAGAAAAACGTGGCATCGTGGACAAATAACCAGGAATGTTATAATGAGTTACTTGAATGTCTGATTATATTTATAGTAGATTAGAGGGTGGGATGGGGGTTACATGGGAAGGAGAACAGAAGCCGTACAGAGCGAGGAAAAAAAAAGAAAAGACATATATTTTTTTTGTTTTTCCCCCCTCCCCCACCTTCGCCGGGGGTGAGTTCCGGTCGCCAGTGCTCAGCCTGTCGACCTGTCTGTAGTACCGACCGAAAAAAACCGAGAACGTGTCGGAGGCTTCGCCGTATCGGGTAACCGGTGGCGGCGTTGACGGCACGACCTCTAGCCAACATTTTTGTAAATATGCATTTAGTTTATAGTTTGTCGGTACACCGACTAGAGCGGGGTCAAGTGGTCTGACAATGAAAAGAAAAAAAAAAGATGGTATACGTATCTCTCTACAGCAAGTATGATGAATTCTTTCATTTTATTTTACTTTTCGGGTTCCTGAGGATATCCCAAGGACCTTATCTCATCTTTATGTACCGTATGTCACGATATGCAATGCATGTTTGTCCCACTAACCGCTTTCGGTATTTCTCAGCATGTGATGTTTCCCTAGTATTTACATTTCCTCTGTGTATGCAGTACGGCCTTCTATAGACAGGATCTCGCCGCAAATGGGTGCAACATAAAAAAAATTCTAAAAGAATTCTTCAATATCAAATTCATTTAATGCTTCGAGACAATATTTTAAATCTTTCCAATGTTTCTGTGTAGGTTCCCAATTCTTATATTCATACAAGAGCTCTTGTACAAGTTTTATGTTTGAAAGATGTTTGGTATGGATCAAATCTTGAATTAATTCATGGACATAAAATGGAATATTGTAGAGATTACTAGTATTATCTGTAGGAGGAGGAGGAACTGTACCAGCAGTTCCATCCAATGAGATCTCATTACTCAATTTCCGTCTATTATACCCATAAAGTGGTTGAGAATGATGTAAATTTGTAGTTTCCAACGCATGTTTAATTGAAATAAGGTAGATATCATTATTTGAATAGATTCTACTATGTCCACCTTTTGAAACAGTACCCATACAAATTTTACTTAATTCTCCAAAAAGTCCATGATCTCCATGTCCTAAATTGATTAATAAAAGTAAAATTTTCAATAAAACCACCACAAAATTAGGATATTCACAATTTTCATTCACATTAATACATCTGAAGATATTTGGATGATTTATATTCAATCCAAGAGATGAATACATGGGGATTAATTGATCATTAATAGATCCAGTTAAAGTTATTTTCACATTATTTTCCACAAGAATTTGAATACTTTGAGCTAATTTAATACTTTGATAACTATTTGATTTCAGAAATTCAAATAATTCATTCAAAATTTCATTTTCTGTTGATGAATAAGCTCTAATAACAATTTTAGAATCTAATCCTGGGAATGGTCCTTGTAATATCCCAGACATACTAAGTAATCCAATTTTTTGAATCGTTTTAACATGATGATTTTCAATAAGTTTGGCCAATAAATGAATAGCAACTGCAGATCCTTGTGAATGACCAATCATAAATAAAAAATCACAATTATTGATCACTTCAATCCAATTTAAAAGTAATTTATATAAATTTTCCACTCTATTTTCAATTTTCCCTTTCCCTTCTAATGAAATTGTTTCAATATCAATTTCTTCTTCTTCACCTACTTCTCCCAATTCTTTATGAACTTCTTCATTGGTTTCTAACCATTTGTATATGGCCTTGGTTGCCTCATTAGTGAATCTCATAGAACTACCAGTAGGTTCACCAATCAATGTTTTAACCATTTTGAATGGGAAAAATCCATGTACTCCAATAATTACGATTTTTTTAATTCGTTTAGTCTTCTTCAATGATATGTTCTCCATATTATGTTTATATAAATGAGCTTCTGATGTTTCATCTTGAAATAATAAATGTTCTCCAATTAATCTTAATTTTGTTTTCAATGTAATAGGTCGGAAATTTTCATCTATATCAGGAGTAACAAGATTATTTCTATATGTGGATAGAATTGATCGTTGAGATTTTATTGATGATGCTGATGAGGATACTTTTGGTATATTGGGTGGGATTGGAGATGGCAGTTTGAATGATTTCAGTTGAACCAATTGAGGTGAAGACTGGGTAGTAATAGATGTGGTTGTGGGGTTAGTACTTGTATTGGCTGTAGGAGCTACAGTAGAATTAAGTGTACTCCCCGTATTAGCCGCAATGGTTGTTGTACTATTATTGGTTGTAGCGGTTAAATTACTCTCCTGAATTTGATTTGGAAGTAATGGAACCTTCTTATACTTATACCTTACTGGATGTTCTTCAGTCTTGGTAGAAGCTACTGCTAATTCTCCATAAGCGGAATTATGATGGGTACGATTATTTTTGAATGCATAATGTAAGGAATCCTTATTTGCTTCAATTGCTGCCTTGGCAGATCTAAGCAATTCTTCATGTGCATTGGGAGGTTCAGTATCATTTTGTGAAGTTCCAAATCCATTCCATATCCATGTATACCAAGTAACTTCGTTTGAGCCACTATTATTCTCTTCCTTGGCAGAAATTGGTCCCTCCAGTGGCTGGACATTGCCCTCGGTTATAACTGGTTCCAGTACCAGTTCTGTACGATATACATAACTTACTACTGAACTCATTCTTCGATAAGTTGGAGTCCAAAAACTTCCATCAGTTTCTGAATCCATAGACAGTGGCTGCAATTGTTCATGATCTTGTTGTTGTGTGCTCTCATGGTATTCCTCTTGTTCATTCCAATTCCACCATGTGGATGTTCTTCGGGTTAAATTATTGGTGGCGGTAAGATTGGTTCCAGATGTTTCTCTCGATACCTCGCGTATTGTGCCGAGTCCGAGTCCATTGGACGGTTCTCCATCAGCCGACAGTTGCTGTGTAGACCCACTAAAGCTCCAATTGAACCCTGTTCTGATGGTTGTATCTGACATCTACCCTCTAGGCTAAATGATAACTGATGGCAAAACTTATCCCAAAAAAAAAATAAATAAATTAAACAAAAATACAAGTGCCAAATTGTAGAAAGATATATATATATATCCCGTTCAAATATCTTTTTTATCCTTCTCAAATGAAAATCTAAAGGAAATAATGGTAGTTATCTATCAATGCAAGTCCAAGAAAAAGTGACATGGGGTGTAGGCCGGACCTAAAATAATTGACATTATTTTAATTCTCATGATTTCTAAACTTATCGGACTGCATCAATTAATCCGCCAAATGTATGGCCAGGTTAATTTTTGTTTTTTGAGTTATATATAGAGTAAAGTTCCTTATCTCCTAGATTATCAAAAATTATGTCATGGGAAGAAGAAATTCTAGGTAAATTATCTTTACGAGATCAATATGAACAAAAGGATTCAGAATTTATTGGTGCCCTTACTGAATTACGTAATAGATTAATACTATCTGAAACCATTAAACAAGATAACAATAAGAATAATGAACAATCTATAAGTAAACTAATGAGTGAGAATCTACAACTTAAACAAGAAAACTCTTCACTTATACTGAATGTAAATCAATTGGGACATTCTAATGATTCTTATCAATTAAAATTAAAAGAATTAGAATTGATTAATTCAAAGCAAAATAAATCTTTAGAATCTTTAAAGAATAAAATTAATGATATGAAACAAGAATTACAAGAAAAGAATAAAACTATAGAGATAATTAATGATGAGATTTTAAGTGGTCTGATTCAAAATAATGTATTACAAAGGAAAATAGAAGAATTGAGTAAGGAGAATGATGGATTGATCCAAAGATGGATTGAAAAAGTTAAGAAAGATGCAGAAACAATGAATGAAGTGAATGAGATGTTAGCCAAGGAGAAACAATGAGAGACACACAGAACCAGAATTTTTTTTGTGAGTAGTGGCGCAGAGAGTACCAACTGAGCGGCTTATAGACCTCGAAGGGAGTAACTACTATCGCAGGTCCCGCAAGCCGCTCCGCTGGCCCCTGCTCGGGGAGAGCCACTGCGTGGTGCCTAGCTCCTCTACGAGGAGTACCACTAGTAAGTCAGAGACTTCCTCGCTAGAGGAACAAGGCCTCCACGGCTAGTGGCCCACGGAGTGCCAGCGGAGCGGCTTGCATGCCCCCGCAGGGAAGGTGGGTGACTACCGTACCTGATTTATAGAATTATTAGTCCAGTAAAGGTACTTGCATCCTCACTTGATCTTTATCTATGAAGATCTTCCCAAGTTAAAGACTATATTATCAAAGCATCAATAAAGGTTCACTTTCTACAATAATAATTAATTAGAAAATCGTTTTATTACATATTATTATTTTCTATCACATATTTTATATTCATCTCTACCGTCATTCGTTATATAGTTATCATCAAACTCTCTATTTGGAAGTGTCAACAACGTATCTTCCCAAAATCTTACCTTGTTGCATCAAGTCGTAAATGGATGGAAGTTCGGACAAACCGACAATCTTGATAGGACACTTGATCAAACCTCTGGAGAAGAAGTCAAGGGCTTCAGCGGAATCAGCTCTGTTACCGACGTAAGAACCTCTGATGGAAACAGATCTAACAACAGCGTCAAAGACTGGAGCACTGATCTTGGCACCGGCTGGTAAACCAACCAAGACAACGGTACCACAAGATCTGACATATTCGACAGATTGGTCCATAGCCTTTTCAGAAACGGAAACGTTAATGACACCATGAGCACCACCGTTGGTAGCAGCCTTAACATCAGCAACAATATCCTTGGACTTGGTGAAATCAATGAAAACTTCAGCACCCAAGGACTTGGCAAAGACAGCCTTTTCGTCACCACCATCGATGGCAACTACTCTGTAACCCATAGCCTTGGCGTATTGGATGGCAAGAGAACCTAAACCACCAGCGGCACCGGAAATGGCAACCCATTCACCAGCACTCAAGTTGGCGGTCTTCAAGGCCTTGTAGACGGTAATACCGGCACACAAGATTGGAGCGGCTTCGGCCAAGTCGGTACCTGGAGCAATACGAGCAGCTTGCACGGCATCAGCAGTGGCATATTCTTGGAAAGAACCGTCGTGAGTGTAACCGGACAAATCGGCTTCAGCACAGTTAGATTCGTTGGTGTGTTGACATTGTTCACAGTTCATACAAGAACCGTTCAACCACTTGATACCGGCGTAGTCACCGATCTTCCAACCTTGAACGTTGGAACCAAGACCAACAACAACACCAGCACCTTCGTGACCACCAACCAAAGGTAACTTGGTAGCCAATGGCCAGTCACCCTTCCAGGCGTGCAAATCAGTGTGACAGACACCGGAGTACTTGACATGAATCAAAAGTTCATTTGGCTTTGGGGTTGGAACTGGGATGTCCTTGTATTCCAATGGACCACCGTTGGTTTCGAAAACAACAGCCTTTTGGGTCTTTGGGATTTGAGGAGCGGACATTTTTTTAGTATTGGAAATTCTATTGAGGGTTTATTCTTATGAAGGAATAGTGAAGAGAAAACTTAAAATTACATTATAATGGTTGGGATACTCTTCTATATTTATATCCCCCACGTTAGAATCCAATGCAAAAAATAAAATAAAAAAGAATGAACAGATAGTAGTGTTGCATTCTCTGACATCATATGATCGGAACAATCTTTTGCGGAAAAACTCACCTGATGCAGTACGATGGCATGTTGTACATGCATTATTTTTTAACTCTATTCACCTGAATGAGAAATATTATGCGCTTAGGTGGGCGTTCGCGCAATATACAATCACATCACCAGTACGCCTGTCATCCCAATGGAAATATGAGTTGAAAAACCGGTGACATTCACTGTATTTGTCTCCTAAATGATTGGTTACTATGTCCTCTGCAGGTTCAAATACAACCAATCGCGATGGCCATGAATACTTTTTACCCATTTCTGGAATGTTAATTTCTTGCGTAAGGTGAGGAAAGTTTTCATTAATGAACGTCACTGGATCGTCGTAGAATTGGTCAGATTCATCACGATATTTTTTGATAGAGTCCATGTTTGCCGCCAGGGATAAATGTAATGGAGGTTCACAAGTAAGAAACCAAGCCGCGGAAGAATCATCAAGGTCCTTACGATGTAAAGTACTTTGCCAAGGAGTCGAATGGCATGGAGTTAAAAATCCAAACGATGTGACCAGCTCATCTTCACGAAGATAATTCATTACATCTATCACCCCTCTTTCATGAACTCTGGTAAAGAAATAAGCAAGGGAAACATTAAGAATGACAATAATTGTCAAGGTTTTCTTCCAAGTCCAAAGTCTTAATTGATTGATGGAGATGGATATAAAGCAAAGAAATAATGGTTGGAGTGGATAAATGAATCTTATTTCCTTATGGCTAATCATGGAGAATGCCAACAAGACTATCACTGATGTGAAACCTGCGACCGTTTTGTAACCTTCAAGTTTAACGGCATAATGCAAAAGAAAGGGGAGATAGGTTAAAGTCATCATTGGTACTCCTTGTAGAATGTAGAAATGCCAAGGTGCAACCCCGTAGAATATAGATAATGATTTGACAATGTTAAATTCAAGAAAGTTCCATAGAGGAACGGTTATTTTACCGTAATATAAGTAATCTACTACGACATTTACCGCAAGAATGGCGACTAATAATGCCGATATTGAGATTATTAATTTGAGAATGTGTTGACGTTTGGTATTCCAAACAAGACTCAGTCCCAAGCATAGCCAAAGTACTGCGTTTGTAGGTCTAACGATACAACTTACAATCCCGAAACTGCATGCAATCAAGGTGTCCCAGAGGTTATAATTGTAGTTCCAAGGCCAGTAACTCAAGGCCACCGTGGTGAGAACCATCTCGAGATTATTTGAAAAGGAACGAGTGATCAAAAACCAATTGAATGGACTACTCATGGACACAAGTAATGTGATGTTGGCAATTCTTTGACTTTGACAATATTTTAATGCAAATTTGTACAAATGGAACTCACCCACGGTGGCAATGATGGCACCCATAACCTTGGGTGCTACCAAGACTAAAGACGTTTCCCAATCGGAATTGAATCCAAGCAATTGGATCATTTTATAAACAAACGCGTACATCAATGGATGGATTGAAGACCGGAGTTGCTCGGTCCATTCCCAGGTGATGTACCCGTATCCAAAGGCCAACTTATGAGCCGGCTCAAGGCATTGAAAGAATTCATCGGCTTGGAAATAGGTTTGTATGGATTGAGAGTTCCATAGTCTAAAGATGAAGAGGACACTCAATATGTTTCTGGTAGACACCACCGTGTCCAAAATGGACACTGGGACACGGATCGTTTCAGTAGATTCGTGCTCCTTGTTTCCATGGACACCACTCCTGCTCTTCGTAGACATTGTGTTACCTAGACTAGATATGCCTTCTCCATCTTTTTTTTTGCTCGTGGAGTAGCTTTTAGTGGCACCCTTCTTTTTTTTATTTTTTATTTTTTATTTTTTTTTGGAGCTCGTAAATTTTTTTGATCCCCCACTGAAAGTGCTGCAAAACATAAATAGCCTGACTTTGACATTGACATAAAATGACGTACTTGGTGGGAATGCTGTCAATAATATATGACCGGTAAGTGGTGAGATCCTATCTAAAGAGACAAGTTGACGCAATGGAGAAAGGAACAAGTGTGGTAAATATTTTGACAGGTATATTATCGGATATCATGTTTAGGATGTCATTGTCTACAAGGTGAAACCACTCCATTGAAACGATAATTCTATGAATCTCCTTTCTTTCAAGTTGTAATATTGTTTTTGTGTTTCTACCCCAGAACTCTAGTAAAAAATGGTGACCATACATGATATGTAAGTATGGGTGGGGCGAGTGGGGGAAGAAAAGTTTAGTGGTGAAATTATGTGTCAAAATGACTTCCTAAAAGGGATTTGGCCGCATCTTGTACATCCGATATTTGTTGCAAGAATGGTTATGTTACTTACGGGTTTAAAGGGCTACTTGGTGTTGATTATAGTATAAAAGGGGATAGAAAATCCATGGGAATAGACACGATAGCTACCACATCAACAGACAATATGAATACACAAACAATTTTCGTTTCCGGTGCAACTGGATTTATCGCACAACATTTAATCCTTCAATTACTTGCAAAAGGTTATAAGGTTGTTGGTTCAGTTAGATCTATTGCCAAGGGTGAGAACTTGCAACAGAATATGAATTCCAAGAATTTTAACTACGAGATCGTGGAAGATCTTCAAAAAGAAGGTGCGTTTGAAACTGCTTTATTAAAGCATCCAGATGTAACGGTTTTCATCCATACAGCTTCTCCAGTTACATTTGACTCAGATGATGTGGAGAAGGACTTGTTGTTTCCTGCCATTAACGGTACCAAGAACGTCCTTGCCGCCATTAAAAATGTATCCCCTCAGATTACTAGGGTGGTCATCACTTCTTCAATCGCGGCAATTATGAATCCTGATCATGATCCAACCATTATGGTTGATGAATCTACTTGGAATCCAACTACTTGGGAACTTGCCAAGATTAATGGATGTTTTGGATATTTTGCATCCAAAAAATTTGCTGAAAGAGCTGCTTGGGAATTTCTTGAAAGTGAACGGCCAAACTTTACCCTTACAACCATTAATCCAGCATTTGTATTCGGACCACAGGCGTTTGATTCAGAAGTTACCTCGAAATTGAATCTTTCCAATGCAATTATTAGTGACTTGTTGAAGATAAAACCGGGTGAGCCGGTTCCAGATAAACTGGACCCTTCTATTGATGTTAGAGATGTCGCCACCGCTCATATTATTGCGATTGAAAAAATTGAAGCCATTGGTAAGAGAATTATTTTAAAGAATGAAGATTATTCTAATCAATTAATTTTGGATGCAATCAATAAAGGAGTTCCAGAATTGAGAGGGAAGATAGCAATTGGCACTCCTGGTACCAAAAAGCCTTTAAATTTTTTCAATGACCAAAAGTCAAGACAATTGCTTGGTTTGAATTACACAAGCCTTGAAACAAGTGTCATTGAAACTGTCAGACAATTCATTAAATACCAAAAGTAAAAAAAAACTACATAATATTTTAGAAATTTCAAAAGACTAGAATTTAAGAATTGTAGGAATGTCCATTTCACATGGTAGCAACAATTTGCAATTGTGGATTTTATTTTTTTTGCAGGAAACGTTTATTGTGGTTCATTGATAAGCCTTCAAATGTATGATGGGTAAATTTCTCCGATATGTGCGAATTTGTCAGCTTTCACAGTATATAAAGAAGCTGCATTCTTACCATAAATACCAATTGAGCAATCAATTATTAGTCTACCAATCTCTTTGAACATGGCTGAAACTGTTTTTATTTCTGGAGCTACTGGCTTCATCGCTCAACACATTGTCAAGCTCTTAATTTCTAAAGGATATCATGTTGTAGGGTCCGTTAGAAGTACTGCCAAAGGTGAAAAATTGAAGCAAAATGTCAATTCAGAAAACTTTTCTTATGAAATTGTCGAAGATCTTGAGTCTGTTGGTGCCTTTGATGCTGCATTGAAAAAGCATCCAGAAGTTACCATTTTCCTCCACACTGCATCTCCAGTTACATTCGCTGAAAATGATGTAGAGAAGGAAATTTTACTTCCAGCCATCAATGGTACAAAGAATGTCCTCAAGGCAATTAAAGCTCAAGCTCCTCAAATTACAAAGTTGGTTATCACCGCCTCAATTGTGTCCGTTGATAGTGTAGGACTGAAATCTGTTGATGAAACATCGTTCAACTCAATCACTTGGGAAGAATCCAAGACTTCTGGGTTTGCTGCCTATGCTGGATCTAAAACTTTTGCTGAAAAGGCAGCTTGGGAATTCATTGAAACTGAAAAGCCAAACTTTACTTTGTCTACTATCCATCCAGTTTATGTGTTTGGACCTCAAGCCTATGGTGTTGACGGTGAATTGAATTTCTCCAACACTGTGGTCTCCAAGTTGTTGCAATTGAAGCCTGGCGCGGAAGTCCCAGTTACCATTGGAAGTTTTATCGACGTTCGTGACGTTGCTGAGTCCCATTTGGTTGCCTTTGAAAAGGAAGGGGCTGCTGGTCAAAGATTTATCTTGACCAACTCCAGATTTAGTAACCAAACTCTTTTGGATATTATCAATGCTAATATTCCAGAATTGAAGGGTAAGATTACTGAAGGTATTCCAGGTTCTCAAACCCCAACTCCTACCACCATTAATGATAAGAAGACCAGAGAATTCTTAGACTTTAAGTATATTGATTTGAAGAAATCAGTGGTTGATACTATTGAACAGTACATTTCTTCCCAAAAATAGTTAAATGGGTATATTTATATGATTATGAGACTTTTTAATGAATATATATATATGACTTTATAATGAATATATATTACATTAAGATTATTAAATGAGTAGGGAGATTTTTATTTGAAAACAACAAAAATACCAATAAATGTTATATTTAGAGTGAAAATAGATTGAGTCTTTTTTTTTGAAGGTATATCACTGCTGAAACAAGGGTTTATTGAAGCTTAAGAACCCTTGGGATTGATATAGAATGTCATAGGTATTATAATTGAAAAATAAGTATGAGTTTAATAATGTTTAGTATAGTTGGAGGATCGTGGTGTACGGGTTTATGTGGGGTTGAAACATGCAGTCTTTTGCAACTTTATAATTAATATACAACAGGAGAGAATACATCTCTTTAAAGTGTTTGAATTCGGTCTTGGAAGGTAATTGGCTCTGAAATATTATTCATGGAATCTATCACTTTGAAGGACTTTCAATCACTTATCTCACTAAGTGTACTCCTAAAACAATCATTTCAATTCATAACACACACTTTTCTCTTTTAACCTCTAACCACTCAGAACCAAAGATTTATTTATAATTAGTTTCATAAGGAAATACTATAACCATCTTGTTTAATTAAAACAATATACAATATACTTGCTTAGGTATACCTTGTGGTTTTCTTGTTCTATTCCTTCTTTTTGTATTTAGTAGTTGGTTTGTTTCATACAGGAAATCTAATCAATTCTCGATTATATCAATTTCTATAGGTGGTTTCTTTTCCACTTCAATGATCAGTTTCCGAAGCATAATCTCTTCCGGTGTATCTAAAACCTCAATCAGAAATCTCTGTGTTTCTAGGAGTCTTAGAAGCGACTTCTCACATGTTGTTATCGGTGGTGGGGTAGTGGGAACGGCAATTGGATTTGAACTCCAATCACAAAAAGATTCTAATGTCCTTATTGTAGAACAACATGAGAAATTGGGGATGGAAACCACATCTCGGAACTCAGAGGTTATACACGCTGGACTTTATTACCCCAAGGACAGTTTGAAAGGGCAGCTTTGTATAGCAGGGAAGAAGAAAATCTATGAAGCTTACGATCTGGGAAAATTCAATACTGTTCAAGTACCATTGGAAAAATGTGGTAAATGGGTAGTGGCTCAGAATGAAGATGAAATGGAGTATTTGGAGAAGTTACTTCAACATTCTCAACTGGTTGGAGTTCCCGTAAATCTTGTGAGTGCGGAAATGGCTAAAGAACAAATACCCAAGATCCACGCTGGAAGTGGAGCCTTGGAATCTCCAACTACAGGAATTATTTCAGCTCATGATCTCTCATTGTATTATGAAACTCAATTTGAAAACAATGGTGGTACTATAGGACTCAACACAAAATTGATAGGGTTAGAATACAATGGAGCCATTCCAAACTATACTTTATTTTTACAGGAGAAAGAATCTGGTGAAACATTTGAAATAAGTTCTGACAACGTTATTAATTCTGCAGGTTTACATGCTGCTAAAGTCTCAAATATGCTTCTTCCAGAGTCAAGACATTTACCCAGTTATTTTGCCAAGGGTTCATACTTTAGTTATCAACCAGAAGTAAGTGTTGGAAGAGTTTCGGATAAATTAATTTATCCATGTCCAAACCCCAATGCATCTTCATTGGGGGTACACTTAACTTTTGATTTAGGTGGACAGATAAAGTTTGGTCCAGATTTAGAATGGCTCGATATAAAAGATGCAGATGAAATTAGTTATGACGTTAGTCAAAAAAACTTGGAGCCAGCTTTTGAAGCTATTAAACGATACTTCCCTGAGGTTACTTTAGAATCATTACAACCATCATACAGTGGAGTAAGACCAAAAATTGTTTCAGCAGCTGAAAATAAAAAGCAATTTGCAGATTTTATCATCAGAGAAGAAGAAGGATTCCCCGGGTTTATCAATTTAATTGGGATTGAAAGTCCAGGGTTGACTTCCTCATGGGCAATTGGTGAGTATGTAAGGGATATATACTACAAATAGTGTAAATTATTAAGCCCTCCCCAATTCTGGGAAGAATTATATTCCGTTGCTATTGTACATGATTTTATATTCTCTATATTTTCCTTCTCTTAGCATCTGGTTCCAGCAGATCAGCTTCAACAGGCTCTTCATTATTCGGCAAATCCTTTGGATTACTTGGGGGTGGGAATTCTACAAAGTATTCGTGTTGTAATGCCTGGGTCAGGGTAAATCTACTTCCTGGATCTAATTTTGTTAAGGCAATGAGTAAGTTTAAGGCTGATTCTGTAGCTGCACTGAATCTGTTCCTTAACTCTTGTCTAGATGGCGGAGGATACACTTTAAGTGCGTTGTATAAAGGTAAGTTGGACACATTGGGCCACATTTGTTCTGTAGGAGTTCCTAAAGCCCTGAAAGTAACGTCCAATTGATCAATATCATCTCTACCTGGAAGATATGGAGTTCTCATCATAAGTTCTGCGAAAATTATACCAATAGACCATATGTCTACTGCACCCGTATAATGCTTTGCACCAAATAACAATTCAGGAGATCTATACCATCTAGTAACCACATTGGAAGATAAATCTTCATTTGCGTTTCCTAAAGATCTTGCCAACCCAAAATCGGCAATTTTGAGCTCACCATCAGGAGCCAATAACAAATTATTAGGTTTCAAATCTCGATGCAATATGAAGTTTCTGTGACAATGATGAATACCACGCAAGGTCATGAGGAGCCAAGCCTTTACATCACTTGGTTTAAACACCACTGATCTATTTTTGATAAGCATTTCCAAGTCACAGGGTAAGAATTCCAACACCAAGTTTAAGTTATTTGTTGCCAGAAATACATCAACAAGCTCAATGACGTTTGCATGTTTGAGTTCTTGAAGATATTTGACTTCACGTAACGCAGACATATCAAGTCCATCTTTAAAGATTCCAGTTTTGATTTCTTTGATGGCAATTCGACGGTTTGTACTGAGCTGTTTACCCAAGTATACCACAGCGTAAGTACCTTCACCAACTTTACGGTCTTTGGAGTACTTGTGAGCACTTACTTCGGACATGATTGTTTAACTTCTTTAATGTAATTCAATGTGTAAATCGTATGAACACCATCTATCATTGGAAACTAGAATGAGTTTTGTATTTATACAGGAAATCAGTATAGGTCACGTGAACGGCACTTTTATAGAAGTTCTTTTGAGTTCCGGTAAATGTGGAAAAAGATTACGTAATTTCTTCTTCCTTGTAATGGATTCTACTATCTTTCGTATATCCGTTGATGAAGAAGTTTTTGGCTGACGTATTATTTTTTGGCGTATTATTTTTATGAGATATTAAGTTGAACTTGTATTGTTGGAAACTGAGGTGAAGTGAGGTTTATACCAACTTTAATCACGTGACCATAATCGATTCTTAAAAAATACTCGAAAGTGTTGATAAATTCAACGAAATCGTCACACAGGAAGAGAGATTAAGATGTATGCGTCAATGGAGAAATTAGCTATATAAATATCTAAAGAATATTGTAATATATTAAAGGAGATAGTGCATTATTAGGGGTTTTGGAGTTTTTCGCATTCTAAAACTATAATTAGCATTGTAAAAGATGTATTATTTCGTACTGAGTTCCAATATGAACATTCTTACATAAAAAGTGCCACTCATTACCATACAGAGAATTAACGTCCTTCTCTAATTAATAATATTCTCTTCCCGACAGCTTATATAATCAGGAGAATACGGACTTTTTATTTTTCCTGTATCAAACGATAGAAGACGATTAAAACGATTAATAACATCCAATACTTCAATTACAAACATGGCTCTGATCAATACAATTGCAAACATATAGTTAGGTCTAAGTAATTGTTCATCTATGACTCTCTTAACTTGGGGTCACTATAAGACGGCGATATTCTTGACAACCTAGTTAATGCTGTCAGTAAAACCGCTATCATGAATCACGTGACCAGAGTGCATATAATAATCAAAGTCTGGCATCAAAAAGTGAGAACAAAAACTCTCAAGAATTCGGTTGTATAGTGTAGTGGTTATCACCTTCGGTTTTGATCCGGATAACCCCGGTTCGAATCCGGGTACGACCTTTCTTTTTTTACATATTTTTTATATGTATACTTCTCGCAAACTACCTGCATAGGTATATGACTCCACTATATACCCCAAGATTATACACCTTTTTTTTTTTACAATTGTTAGAAGCATTCATATTCAATTAACTTGAAAATGACCAAAGAAATTGTTGTTGTTGGTGCCGGTGTAATCGGCCTTTCAACCGCTCTCGCCATTTGTGAAAGATCCAAACAGGATTCCACACATGTTACTGTGATTGCACGCCATTTCCCGGATGACTCAAACTATGATCCTGAGTACACTTCTCCGTGGGCTGGGGCACATTTCCGACCATTTCCTAGTAAAAATCCACAAGAATGGGAAGAACTGAAGCTTACCAGAATCACGCAGAAATATTTTAGAAAGTTAGCCATCAATTGTCCCGAGTCATCCGTTCAGTTTATCATTGGAGAGGATTCATTGGAGGACCCTGACAAGTACTATCAAGATTTGGCAAAAGGTTACACGGAAGATATAGAAGATTTTGAAATTTTACCAGCAGAAATAGCCAATACCAGAGGAGCCAAGCTTGCCACTAGGTATAAGACTTGGGTGCTTAACCCACCCATTTATTTGAATTATATTCTTAGAAGACTTCGTTTGGAGTATGGCGTTGATTTTGTTAAATCACCGGTTTTAAGTAATTTGAAACAAGTATTTGAAGTTACTAATGTAAAACCTTCCGTTGTGATAAACTGCACTGGTAATGGCCTTCAATATGATGGTGGCCTTGATCCTGAATCATTTCCAATTAGAGGTCAAACGGTATTGGTGAGACCTCCTTTACCTTTAGCTGACGGACCATATCATGCAAGAACTATCACTCATCAACTGAAAGATGGTAAATGGACATTCTGTATCACGCGACCATTCTGCGGAGGAACCATTATAGGTGGTACTAAACAAGTCAATGATCTTTATAATAAGCCTAGAGAAAGTGATACCAAGGAAGTGCTTGATAGAGCAGCAAAGATTTTCCCTGAGTTAATGAAAACTGACAAGGATGGGAAGAAATATTTTGATGTGTTCCAAACAAACGTTGGGTTCCGTCCTGCCCGTAATGGAGGATTTAGATTAGAAAGAGAAAATCATGGATCTCACAAGATTATACATGCGTACGGCGCTGGTGGAATGGGATATGAACTTTCTTATGGTGTTGGTACAAAAGTCCATGAACTCTTAGTGGAAGCCCTTAATGAATCCCTGAGACTTTAAGATTTTAGACCTTACAAATATCACATTTTACTAGGTTTCGAATATTATTTTAATTAGTGTTTTTATTTTAGAGTATTAAAAAGAATTAAAGGTCAAAGTACTTGAATGTAAATGTAGCAAATGTAGATGCTGCAATGAAGAAACAAATCATGTTAGGACCGAAGGAGTCAGCGTACTCGACGGCCTTCTTGCCTCTAATTTGGATGGTTCTCCAAACGTAAATGTAGATGGCGTAGATCAATGTAGTCAAAGAAGTAATGAAAAACCCGATAGCGGCGGTCAAGGCACTTCTATTACCGTAGTTCAACAAAGCGGAACCAGTGAATCCCAAGAGCATACCAATGGACAACCAACTCAAGAAAGTTCTTTCAGCAGCAAAGTAAACCTTTGGTTCAATTCTAATAGGAATACAAATCTTCTTACCCTTAGGAAGTTTGTTCTTATATGTTTCATTCAAGTTGAAGTTGGTACCAGGCTTGACAGTAAAAGATCTGTCATCATTGAAGTAGTACAAGAATTTACCATACATGTGGTAAAGGAAGGTTTTAACCGGATTGTTTGATTGTCTTGAAGAGTAGTTGTTTGGAAGCAATAACGGGGTTTGTTCATCCAAATCATCTTCCAATGGATTGATATCATTGGAGAAGTGAACACCACCGTATCCAGAGTAATCAGTATTGTCTAACAATTCTTCCTCATCCATTTCTCCACCAGAAGATGAAGATTTATGTAAATGCTTATCTCTCTTAATTCCAAATCCCTCTTGAATCTTTGGCTTTCTGATGTCAACATCCATTTGTGGCAACCAGAATGGCAACAAGTCTACATAGTCTGGTAACAAGGTGGCTCCACCGTGTATAAATTTCGAAAACTTTGGAACAGCTTCGACAATATGACTTTGAACCAAGTCTCTAATCCATTGAGGTGGTTCTTGTCCTAATTGGGTTTGCAACTTGACTTCCAAGACAGCGTATGGGAATCTGCAAATATCCAGCTCAGACAATTGACTGAATGGGAAATCAACTCCGATATCCATTCTTCTCCAATTACCATTGGTTCTATCATGGCCGTCAAAGTTGTCTTCTCTCACCATAGATAATTCTGTGTCCAAGGAAATACGCACACGTGCATCACCTGGTAATTGGAAAGCAGTTCTATTGTAGAAAGAACGCATGACTGGTCTCATCTTGTCCTTAATGACTCTATATTGAACTTCCTTAGCCAAACTTTCCAAGTTATCGATTTCTTGCACAGATTTCTTACCATCTTTTCTGGCCTTTTCAAAAGCTTGTTGAGCAGTAAACTCACCAGTCATGAATTGATTAACTTTCTTTTCTTTCAAGGCAAATCTTGCCTTGACAGATTTTTCACCGGTCCAATCTTCTCTATGGGTTTTTCTTTCAACGAAAATTTGGTCTGTCTTCATACCACCGTACCATCTCAATCTGATAGCCTCGGCACCTTCATCCTTTCTCAATCTTCCATAGTACAAGTCCATGTCCTTGTTATCATAGTAGATGGAAGTGATTGCCAGATCTTCGACATCAAATTCCTTATCAGCGTTGAAAACCAACACTGGCAAATGCTTCAACACAATCAATTTCAACTCAGTGATGTTATCTGGATGAACCCAATACTTGGTGGTTTGTCTAACAAAGTTTTGTTGGGAACCACCAGCGGCAGAGTCACCTCTAACTGGGTTACCTCTGGTTCTGACCAAGTCATACAACTTGGATAACTTGACAATCAAGTTGTCATAGTTGTCCTTGTAGAACGGCTTGGCACTCAAACGGACCGAGAAGATAGGTCTAAGAGAAAACTTGGTGGTCTTGTCATGTTTCTTAAGAATCTTTTGGAATCCAGTGTAGTTCAAACGAGTGAACTTGGCCAAATCATGCACATCAGCAATGATATCCGAGAGTTCTTCTTCCAAATCTTCGAAAATACGCTCATCTGGACGTTCATCTGGGTTTGGGTCATCAATGGCGGCAACCACTTCATAGACATATTTTTCAGAATCCTTAATACGACGATGAACTTCAGTGTTCTTCACCTTGGTGAACAGATAAACCTTGTCCAACTCCTTCTCCAACTCGGCAAGAAAATCTTCTTCCAAGTCGTTGGTCCACTTGTCGTCATTGTCCTTCAATGCCTTCTTCAATTGATGCTTAAGGTCATCATAGGAAATGTAGTAGAACGCATAATTCTTGATAAGAGCTTCTCTCAAGTGTTCTCCAAACTTCATTTTCTTCGCTACAAAACTCTGACAGAGATCAAAACGGGTCTATGGCTCAAGAAGAAACTGTATCAGGTTGTCTCTAGGAAAACAATTTGTTAAAAAAGAATGCTAGGAAACTAAACTAAAGTTGTTGAAATTATTTATTATTAGGCATATGTAGGGTGCATTTCCAATTAATTAGCCCTCCCCCATTAAAGCGCCAAAGCGCCAAAAAAAAAAAAAAAAATAATTAAAAAAAAAAATAGCACTACTAATAAATGGCTGTGAGAGAGATAGTGGTCAATGCACAAGTGCTATATATAACTGACTAATAAATTGGTTGAATCTTGGGATGTTCATTAAGCCTTGATGGTAGAATCAGATCTGCCAAGAACCCACCTATAGCCCTGGAATTTGTTCTCCTAGCGAGAGAACAGCCGCTTCTCAAATTATTCAATGTTTCATTTGTATCTATCGGAAAACTTTGTGCGCACCTTAAAAAAGAGTAAATAGTGACATTGTGTCTAAAGGGACCCCCCCACGTGTGCGCGATTGTCAATGTTCTGTATTTCCTTTTTCATGCAGAACGAAAAATGTCCATGCCGGTTGGTTGAGGGCTGCATCATAAAGCGACCTATTTCACACATTTTGAGCTTTATGCAACAAAAACTAAAAATACGACCAAAAGTACAACCAAGAGTAAATATTACTAAAAGAATTATACTCTATTATTTTATATATATGTACATATACTTCCTATGGAACTTCCCCCGTTCTTCGTGCAATCAAAGCATCGATATCTTCTTCATTTCCACGTTGCCACCAACTATTCTTTCTTACTCTCTTCCCACTAGGAAGAACATCATATGAAGCATCACCTGGACGTAATGCTTCTCCATAACTTCCAGGCGCAAGTTCTGAAGATGTAGGTATAGTACCAGCACGTTTACGTTGTTGTGCAGTCTGTTGATATGCGCTAGCCAGCGAGCTAGTGTCCTCTTCGGTCAACCTTGGAGGGCGCATGATTCCAATCCTCCCCAATAACTTAATGATACCAGTTCTCCAAGTTGATGGTTGCTTTTCAAAAGTCCAACCTTGATGAAGCTCAGTGTATGCATTTTCTTCAAATAATCTTCTCATCTCAATATCTTGTTCGAATACTTTGAAAAGTTCATCATCACTTGGTTTGAACATAAATTTGAAAACTTTGATCAAAATATCAAATAAAAGCATAATCGTAGCAAGTACTAATAAGGCAGCCCACCAAGAAGTATCTTGGCCAAATGTTAAAAGACCATAATCTACAAAGAAAATGGTTGAGGCCTTTGCTCTATAAAGGAACATAATAAGAACATTCCAAATTCCATATCCTCCAACAGAAATAATGAATGCTGCAAATGCAAGCCATTGACGGTTTTGCATTTCAATCAATTCACACTTTGCATTGATCACAATAGTCAATACTGCAAACAGCAAAGACCCCACTGGGAATGTGGTGTTATCTCTCAAGGCTGAATCCCCCCAAACTATACTGCTTATGAAGGATAAAAAGAGACTTTGTAATGTTGCTAAAACCATCCAGGTAATAAAGATTTTCAAATTGAAAGCTTGATATAATCTTCCCTTAGCATATAATTCAGGAACTGCAAGGAGTGTAGCAGGTTTTAAATCTTTATCAAACATCCCCACGCAAAGAACGGGTAACGAAGTGAAAAGAGTGTTGAACATTGACAATGACCAACTTTCGTACATGGACGAACCTGAAAAGAGGGTCTCTCGTTGATAGACTGCCTGGGTCAAATAAAACAACAATTCTTTGTAGAAAGTACACAAGACAAACTTGGATGTACGAATATAATTATACCGGCCAGTAACCAATAAAAGGTTGAGAAGGAATCTGAATTGCGCAATAGAATAATCTGAAGATCTTGCTGCTTGAAGTCCTTCTTTCCCGGTAATACCAACTCCAATATCAGCACTTTGGATCATTGCAATATCATTCGCACCATCACCAATAGCCAATGTAACACATGAAGGTTTTAATTTTCTTACGGAACTCACCATGTTCGCCTTTTGAGAAGGTGATGCACGACAAACAATGGCTGAATCGACTTCAACACAGAATTCCACAAAAATTGACATGAGCGCAGAATCATTCTCGATATCGGCCAATGTAGCACCATCAATGACGACTACACAGTGTGCTACACGGCCACCACGTATTTCCATTCCCGCAGAAGTAATTCTTTGCATAAGTCCATCCCGTCCTTCTTCCATACTCAATATAACAACAGTTGAATAATCTTTGATCAACCGACAAGAGTATCCAATATTGACGGCAGTTTCTCTTTTATCACCTGTAAGCATCCACATTTTAATTCCTGCTCTTCTAAGTTTATCAATGGCCTCACTAACACCATCTTGTAATTTATCTTCAATAGCAGTAGCACCAATAAGTTCCAAGTCAAACTCGATGCGTTCTCCAACAGCTTGTACTTTAGTTGCTCTATCTGAGATTGCAGTCTTAGCTTCACTGTAGTCCTTCGACCAAGTTTGGTAGGAGTTCTTATCAAGCCATTTGAATGAATAACATAAAGTTCTCAACCCTTCAGTGGAAAAATCTTCAATATGTTCAAGAGTCTTCTCAATAAGAAATTCGTCATTAACCAACAATTTATCACTTGGTATGAATTTCCTAATCTTGGATTCTAAGTCAAGGCTATATTTGGTGCTCTGTTTCCTTTGTAAAGACTTTCTATTTTGTGATGCAATACTATTCAATTCTTCTTCTTCATGATGCATAAGGTTGTAATCAATGGAATTCAAACGTCCATCTATTGTCGCATCCCCAGAAGTACGTCCATTGAGACTCAAACTTCGTCTAATAGATCCAAATGAGCTTCTACCATCCATCATTTCATTCGACATTCTCGTTTGAATAATAGTATCTGCTTCCATCATCTTTCTCTCAGAAGAATTTTGAGCAATTTCTCGTGCCTTCTCTAATGCTAAATCCTTATTTTTGAGTTTCTCCATGATAATACTGTCTGCTCCCTTACAAACAAGACATATTCTACCATCGGGGAATTGAACAATAATAGACATCCTCTTCCGTTCTGAAGAGAATTCAATTACATCCAACACTTCATATTCATCAATTTTAGGTTCGTTTTCAAATCCTTGAGGATATGTTTTAATTTTAAGTACACCATGGTGTCTATCAAACACAACGAATCCCAAGTCTCTAGCAGCTTGAACAAGAGCCAATTCATCAGGAGAGGCTGCCTGATATTGTATTTCTGCATCATCTAAGAAATCTTCCTGAACCAACAGAATTTTGGAGCTCCTTCTACTATTCAAATTACTAGTACTTCCACGATTTCCTTTCTTTGGTAATGCTGTGTTACAAAGGGCGACACTCAATAAGAAAAAAGTGGCCCTCTTTGCAAAGAGAGTCTGTGGATGTGTTTGAATATATTTCAAGAGCTCAAGCGATGAACTTGAATCTTGAACTTTCACAGGATGTGCAGTTGATTTCCAAGAAGTATTAGAAGCTACGGACGTAAGATCCATCAGATCTCGCACTATTGAAGTTGTGGTGGTTGTACTCTTCCGTACCTTAGGTACCCGGCGCTCATCAAATTGTTCACGCTGTTCACGTTGCTCTTCTTGTACATTTTCCTTAACTTTAATATCCAAATCATGAATCCAACTCATTCCACATACACTGAATTTACGGAATATCATCAAATTATCCGTCAATGTACCAGTTTTATCACTAAACACATAACTAACTTGCCCCAATTCCTCTAAAATTGTGGCGGTTTTAGCGTCTGCGGGAGTGTTGCTCTCAACGTGATACATATTGATATCACTTTGTAAAAGGAATAGCTGCATAACCTTAATGATTTCCATGGTGACATAAAGCGAAAGTGGAATCAAGGTATTATACATAATGATGAACCCCATAAGGGTAGCCGCCACTCCAGCATCCTGTCCATACAAGTACCATGCTTTATCTCGATTTTCAACCAAAAGAAGTCGTTGAGCCATCAACAGGAAGGCAGAAAGACACATTACGACCAAAACCATGAAAAGTACAATATAATTAATATTTTTCTGCAATTTGGGAGCTTTCACTCTTGGGTTTTTAATGTTATTCATTCTAATTTTCGTCTCCTCCCCTGTGAAAATAATAACACCAATAACGGATTTGGTGTTCCTAAGGATACTACCACGATAGGCTACATTATCAGGACCTAGAGGGTATGTTTCATCTCCCAAACTGAAATGTCCTTCAAAATTGTACAAGTCAATGTTAGGATCTTCCACTGTTATCAAAGTTTGAAGGTTTTTCAATCCACTGACTTTCAGATATCTCTTGGCAATTTCTGGATGAGGACATTTAGTTTTCATGTTTGTTTCTCCATCAAGTGCCATTGTTTCTACGTAGCAATCTTGGGTTTCATTAGAAGTGCCAATCAAGAGTAAATCAGCGGGGAACCATTCATCTTCGTGAATCTTGACGATATCACCAACCTTAAGACGTTTCCATTTGGTATGGTACTCCTTAAGGTTACTGTTGCGCATGAGCTCCTTATTGGTATAAAGATCTTTGGAAGGTGCCGTTTCCACCGGAACATCAAGACAATCTTCGTTGGCAATCAACTTGCTATTATTTATATTCACAGTCTCTGTGACTATGGTTGCAATGGAATGAGTATCCAATTGTACAAATTCTTCATCTTCTCGTATGACACTGGCAATTTTATTGTTTTCTTCCTTATCATTGACATGTCGTTTCCAATCATCAAATCCTTCACGTGCAATCGAGATGGACATAAAGATAAGTAAGGGGATGATGGTGGTGAACTGACCCGTGGTGGACCACGAGGGGATCATTTGCATGATTGCAACAACCATAAAATAACAATTAGCCACTTTGGAAAACTGAGCTTTGAGTTGTTTAGGTAAAAACGTGTAAATGTTGTACTTTGACAGGGTAATGATATTGCTACAATATGGTTCTTCATTCCTCTCGTCAATCAATTGCTTGGTGTGATGGTCATAAAGCATTTGGTTAAATACGACATTGGTATTCTTATGATCAACACTAATTGGAATAATTCTCCCATTCATGGTTGGCTTCAAATCTTTAATTCCTAAAATCTTATTCTTTAATTTCACAAGTTTACTCTTTTTATTCGAATACCGCTTCTTTGGAGGTTCATTCCTATCAATAGACTCATCTTGTGAAAATCTGGATGATTCAGATGTAAGATGTGTGTTGGATCGATTGGCTTGATTGGAATATGGTTCATATTCCACTCTAGAATTACCCTTGGAATCTTGTTCAGGCTCTATAATTTTCGGTAAGTTTATCTGTTGTAATTCTATATCATTTTGACTAGGTGGTTGTGGTTGTGGTGGTGCTGGTGGTGGAAGAGTTTCTGGTTGTGGAGCTTCTTCTGTAGGGATCAGAAACGCCTTATTGAAAAGTTGGGTTCGAAGAGAAAGTCCTCTCTTACGCCGAGGTACATTCAAATTGGAATCCCCATTGGCCGCTCCTGGTTGTTCCCCACTACGTGTAGTCTCGTCATGACCAGATTCCTGTCTATTCATGAGATATCGCACTCCTCTAATTTAGAAAGATCTCCAGATCAAAGATGTATATTCTGCAGCCGTCAGGACTTGCTGTCAAGTATTCAATTCTATATCAGATGTTTGGTCCACTGGGCGTGAGTGTATAAAATCCAAATAAAAAATACGCGTCCAGATCTTAAAATCAGATGCCCCACTTCAATGTCCAATTTGTCTTTGACATCAATGTGCTAACCTCAATGTGTCTGTCTGGCCTAATAACTTCTAAGCCTCATTACCTGCAGTCAATAGTTTTGTGTAAAGTCTTGCCAAGTAAATCTCTCCCAGTATGTGGCTACAAACAAAACAGAACAAAGGAATACTTTGTATACATATGGTTCTTCTAGTTCCGTTCCTACAATTCCAATACAATGTCATCTTCATAGACTTCTATTAAAAAGTACTCATAAGTGTTTCATTAGTCTGGTCTCTAATTGGGGTTTATAGCGGAGACGCACACGACCTTTGGCATAAATCGTTGATCTATTAATTTTCATCTTTTTTTTTTTTCTTTCTATTAAATGTCCAAAGTCGCAAGAATTTTGCCAAGACAATAATCCTTGTATTCTTCAACATATCCAGGTATGTTCAACTCTGCTACACCCATGATCTCAGAAACGATGTCTCCATTGCCGGCCACGACCACCATTCCGCGCGGCATCACCGCCAAATCGGGCAATGGCTCAACCAATTCTCCGTTATTAATAAGAGATATCACATTATTTGCAGCCGCGCGTCCCATATACATTGCCCATCCGGCACTTTTTATGATTGGAAGTTCAACAAGATCTCCAAGCACGAAAAAATTCCCAACTTGTCTAGTTGCGTTTGTAAGTTGTAAGAATTCATTTACAAGAATATTTTGTTGTTTATTAACAAATTGAACTTTTAAACTTCCACAAAGAAGTTCAACATTATTCTTATGGGATGTACTCCAAAAATTACATCCAGATTTTATAATTTCTCCTGTAGTTGTAACCAAATCACCCAGCGGCAATTCTTCTGAAATACGCGTGTTCAAGTGAACTTTGACCCCGCCTCTGGTGACCGAGTCAAGTACCATGGCCTTGAACTCGGCCGTCAATGGTTCCGGCGGAAATGTCAGGTGAGGATGGATCAAATTGACCGTCTTGTCGGGGAATTCATGTTTAATATCTCCAGCAACTTCAAGTCCCACAGCTCCTGCTCCAATTATGGTAACAATATCTTGATTTTCTACACTTTTTTTGAATTTGTTCATTTCATCTGCATAACTTTCTGGTGTAAATCCATCTGGAGTTGTGGGCCAATTTCGATCTCTACCACTGGCAAGAATGACGTATTCAAAGTTAATTTTCCCACTCTTATCTCCGTTTTTGGTACCCTCATGTTCCAATGTATATTCTGCATCTGTTTCAGTAAGATGAGTAACTTTACCTTGGACATATGTCACTTCAACACTATCATCAAATTTGAAATCAATTACATTCTTTCGAGTTTTAAACCGTTCAATTACGGTTTCATCTCCAGAAATAACTCGATTTATTTGTAATTTAGTATCTTCAAATGGTACATATTGAGTTTTAGCAAATTCAGAGTTAATAATGGCCTTGGGTATTCCTAAAATGTTTAAAAGTCCAGATTTTGGCTCAACAAATGTAATTGAAAGTGTCTTTTTATTGTCTGGTAATGTACCAGACTCACATTCTTTTATGCGATCTTGACTTTCTCTCCACCTTGTGGTCAACGCACGTACAGCCGCAAGTCCGGCGTAGGCTCCTCCTACAACCAAAACCTTTGTCTTTATCTCGACTGGTTCATTCGACAGTGACAACATGTTCTTCTACAACCAACAAAGAGAAGTAATGATAAAGAGAAGAATAAAAAAAAAACCCGTTGTATTTTTTTGCGCACTCTAATTTTGCCAAGGTCCCATATTACAGCGTTCTCGCTCCGATATTCGGGTTTATCAAAATAATCTACTGGCATGAGAAACACTATTACCGACAATTCAGCTAAATTAAATGTAAAAATAGAAAAAAAATAAAATGAGATTTCTTTGCAAGTCCATCTACATAAAATCCTACAAATACTTCTCCCGTATCATCCAGTGCTCTCTTATCCGTTTCAACAATATATGTACATTCTGTATCGATATTGCCCCTCTTGCACCACAAATGTGAATCATTATCCCATCGTACCTACGTTTCATTTGCTTATCTAACCAAACCAAAAACTGGCGAGAATTTCGATCTGCTTTTGCGAACAACCTTAATTTTTTCTTTTTTTTTTGGATTTAAGAATTGGGGGAAAAAGCAAATAATAGCAGTTTTCATTCTTTATACAGAGTTATCGAAAAAATCTCCCCCACGTCTATTACTAATTTTTGCTGGTTGTTTATTTCTCTCCTTATTTATTTTTTTTTCCTACTAGAGTCCGTCTATAATGCAACTTTTCTATAAATTATCTATGTACTTTATTGTAAACTTTTAAGAAGACGTCTGTTTGTACGGCCAAACTCTTGTTCAATCCCAAGCAACACTTGTTTAAGTCCTCGGCTCTTACTATTTTCCTCTAACCATTTCTCAAATGTAGATCGATGTCTTTGAATATCATTAATCGCAGGTAAATCCATAGGATTAGGTGGATTAAGTAATGTCTCAAATAATGGAGCCCATAATTCAACCTGCCAATATCTCTTTAAATTGTTTGAAAGTTTATATTTCCCATCTTGTTTTTCTTGTATTTCAATATATTTCCCAAATAAAAGCGTATGAATAATACTGGCTACCCCATAATAATCTGCTTCATAACTCCATGGTTCACCTTTATTCATTTGTGGACAATCTTGTTGTTCGGATTTCCAATGCGATACAAATCTTGGGATTGATTTATTATTATGGAAAAGGGTTAAATCAATGGCTCTTCCAAAATCAATCAATGTAATTCCTCTATCGTTCCATCCACTCGATTTCAGCCGATTGAATTCTTCACTTAATTTCTCCTCGTCTTCATCACTCACAAGTCGTATCATACAATTGTCTGCCTTCAAATCACCATGAATAATTCCAATGTTATGAAGGATCTCTATGCTCCGGAGAAGTTCAATTGTTAAAAATATTACTAGTGCTTCATCTACAACACTTCCTTGGTCTTTAAAATAATTTACTACGTCCAATAAAGTTCCCTTATTGGCGTAATTCATCGTGAGGTAACTCTCGTCTGCAAAGTAATATAAGGATTCAGGTTGAATAATCATTGATCTGGCCAGTTGTGCAAATCCTTGTAATCGTCTATGGATCTGACATAAAATGTAAAACTCCCATTTGGTTGCAGGAGATTCAATTTTCATGGCCTTGAACTCTCCAGTTTCTGTTTCAACTAAATAAACAGTTCCGTATCCTCCCTTACCTAATTCATATCTTAAGCAAAAAATCTCATTTCCACAATAATTAATAATTGAATCCTTAGCACCCTTTTGAATAAGGTGACTTTTATCATTCGTTATCTTGGGGAATTTCACCAATTTTGACATTCTAGTGGTAGAGTAATCATAGAATCCTGGATATGAAGATATATCCACTGGTAATCTACTCAATAGAGCATCTCTGAGAACTTCGTCCATTGGGTCGTATGTTTGGAATCCTAAAACTCCTCCATTATCGATATTACCGGCTGAAGGACGTTCAATAAATGGTGAGCTATTTCCATCTGAACTATCATAATGATCAGTTGGTGGGGTTTTTTGTGTTTCCAATGCCGGTGTTTCCACTCGGTTATTAGTAAGTGGGTTTTGTATCGTTTCAGTGACAAATCCATCATAATTAGTTGTATTGTCCTCGGTAAAGTCAGTTTTCCCCTCTTCATCTTCGGAATTCAAGTTATTTGCAGCATCGTTAAACATTGTAAGGACTTCATTTGTTGCCATCCTGGAAAACATTGTCATTGTTGGAGAATTTGGCCTATTATTATTATTAGGAAGAGTTGAATCTTCATCTTCATCTTTCAACGGGATTGTAAGAGAATTACTTTTTTCAGTAATATAGTTTTCTTCTTCTACAGAAACTTTTGCCTCTTCCTGTAATTTCAAAGAGGAGTTCATTTGTTGTTGCCATTTCATGGCAAATACTTCGTCAAGACAACATTCTTCTTCTCCCACGGGATATATCAAATCCATATTAATATGAACTCTTTCAGGTTTCTTCCCAGGATATCTCACCGTTGTATAGATGGGGCCCCCTGAAAGCAATTCTTCAGTGGTATACTCAGGCATATCATTCTTTGGATCTGCACCAACAACGTCATTCTCACTGGGGGTATCTCTGAAAACAGGGATCTTTGCAGCAAGAGGTTGTCTTTTAAGTTGCTGTTTAATGACTTCTCCAGACCATGGCTTGGCAGCAATTTGATTCTCCTTGGTTCTTAATTTAATTGTCCCAATGTTCAGATCAGTAGTACTACTAAATATCTGTTGTAAAACATTTTGTTCATCATCTTCATCATTAAACACTTGCAACTTGGGTTTTTTCCTAATATTGGTATTATTATTGGTATCCCCATATCCCTCTCCGAGGGCAACATGAGATTCATTGTCTCTATTTTCTCCTCCTCTTTTCAATGAAAGAACGTTTCCGATGCTACGTTCACTGTCATCCTGTACAGCGGTATCCGTACTCGTTCTGTCTTTGAAATGTACATATGATCTTTCTAATCGTTTTAATGGTCTTGCCTCTGCCTGTATACCCATTGTATATATTTCTTCAGCGTCTCGAATATTCCCCTGAATCTCCAAATAATTGGCAAACTCTTCATAATACAAGGCTAGCAGAGTACCAATATCCTTCTTGGCCAAATAAACAAATATATCTCTGGGTGAATCGGAATAATCCTTGTATTGTAGCCATAATTTCAAGTATCTTGGATCATTCTTATAATGAAGAACATCTCTAAATTGTGATGTACATCGTTCTAGTAACAGCAAGAGCCCACTCTCCGTGTTCGACCCCTGAGGATACGTCGTGTGAGTCCATGACACATAATCACAATACACTTGTAATGGGTCATCCAATTCATCAAATTTCTGTAATTCCTTTTCAAATTTTTCTCGTTGCAATTGACGTTGTGATTTAATGGTAGCCTTATCCATATCATGGTTCAATGCCATTCCCAACTTTGAGGCTGGTCGTCCTCCGCTGAGAGGCTGGATGTTCTCCTTATGCAGCTCCAAAAGCGCAGCGTCTACCATAGTACTGGAGTGACCACTCTATTCTTCTTAAACCCTTGTATTGGTTTTTGTTTGTTTGTTTGTTTGTTTGTTTTGTGTTTGTTTTCAAATGTAAACACTATGAGAAAAATAGAAAGAACGCTCTACCCATTTATGCACAGTTAGCGCGCTCGCTCTACTACATTTCAAAGTGTCTGCATATAACTCATGCGGATCTCTCTCATTATTTCTCCACTAACAATTTACTTAACACAAAAGGTGTAAGCAACACCTGGCTCCGTTTAAACGTGTATTGATTGACTTGTCTTTTCTTTTTTGTTTTTTTGAAAGAATCCATCATGCTTATTCCGGTGTACTTGGCAGCATGTATTGTCGCCACTGTGCTAGCATACGATGAGTCTCTCTACTTGAAACCATTGCCACGCAATAAGCTTATGGCATCTTGGGAATTCGAAGTTGAATCACTCCCAAGTGCTTTACAATACTATACTGAAGAGGAAGGGCTTGGTCAATCAAAAGTGGAAACTTCCCATTATAAGTACTTTCCAAGGGCATTGGGACCCATCATACAGTCCACTAACACGCGTGAATTGCATCTTCGTTTCACACAAGGTTGGTGGGATCTGGACGCCTGGGGCACCCTTCCTGCCAACGGGACTCGAAGTGGAGGTACTGGGGTAGAAGTATGGGCAGTTATTGAAGCTCCAGACGTCTCTGGTGCCAGAAAGTCATGGAACAAGTTGGCCAACTCGCTCTCGGGATTCTTTTGTGCCTCTTTGAATTTCATTGATGATTCCATTACTACTTTCCCCAAACATGCATCAGAATCAAAAGCTCAAGATGATGTACGATACTTACTGAGTGATTCCAACAAGTTGTACTTTCTTAGAGCATCCTTGCCCAGTGAACCTATCTGTACTGAAAATTTGACTCCTTTCTTGAAATTACTCCCCACTAGAGGGAAATCAGGAGTTTCTTCATTATTGGAAGGTCATAAAGTATTTGATTCTCTTTGGCATGGTATGTCTATTGACGTGACTTCTGTCTGTGATGATGAAAATGAATCAACCTGTCATTTATCAATGCATCAATCGGTAAATTCTGTTATCGATCTCATTCGCTCCATTAGAAAAAGAACTTCTGGTGGTATCCCTAAGCCAGTCCCTGGTGATGATTTGAGATGTGACCCTTCAAAGCCACATAATGCATGGCAATGTTTCCCCCTTGGTGATCCAACAGACTTGACATGGTCGTTAGATTCTATCTTGGGTAGAAAGATTGTTGGTCCAGCATTTACTGGAGATTCCGAATCATCTAAAGTATACATTGATATTAATCCTGAATTTTATAATGTGAGTGTTATTAAAAGTCAACAAAATGGTTGGAGTGTGGAAAAATTGTCTCCTCCAAGTGATGGTTCAAATATTATTTCTTATAATATTTCTGACTCCGTTGCGCATGACATCAAATTTGAGACAACTGATTCAACCATGACTTCTCCTATCAATGAACCACCTCTTAAAGTATCAAGATCTCTCACAGGTTATTCGCAAGATCAAGGTGGATTCCGTGTATCCTTCACCAACCCTTCGACTGAAAAGATCGAATTTGTCTACTACGAAGTTCTTCCGTGGTATATGAGACTTTATTTCAATACTCTTTCCATGGTCATCACCAATAATGGACCAGTTGAAAGTCAAGGTCAAGGATCTGGTCAAGAGTCTGATTACATTAAAAATAGATATTATAAGCCAGCTATAGATAGACAACGACCATCTCATCTAGAACTTACCATTGAATTGCCTCCTCAAACTTCAATGACTCTTACTTATCAATTTGATAAGTCATTGTTATTATACGCTGAATATCCTCCAGATGCTAACCATGGATTTACTGTGGAACCGGCTGTGGTTACAGTTTTAGGAGGTCAAGATAAAAAGAGTGTTTATGAGCTTCGTACTACCAGTTTGTTAGTGACACTCCCAACTCCTGATTTCTCCATGCCTTACAATGTTATTATTTTAACTAGTACAGTGATGGCCTTAGCCTTTGGTTCTGTATTTAACTTACTTATTCGTAAGGTTGTTACCGAAGAAGAGCTGGAAACATTAGCATCACAATCCAAATTTGCTGTAATTGCTGCTGCAATCAAAAGAAAGATTGTTAGAAAGTAAAAATGGGATAAAAATGAAAAAGTATAAGTATTAATTCTTAGTTTTGCTTATATGAATATACACACATATATATATATATAATAAGTTAATCTTCTCTACTTTGAAGAATACGTAAGATGAATAAGAATAAGTTCAAGATGTCCAAGTACAAGGCAATGGTAGCTGGAACTTCATCATCAAGATGAGCAGTCTTCAAAATCTTTTGAGTGTCGATAATCACGTAAATACTGAACAAAATAGCTCCAAGTCCGGAGTAAACAAGCTCCATTCCTGAGGATTGAGGGAAGAACATCAGAAGGAAACCCCAACCAATGAGAGCCCAAACACCCATACCAACAAATCCTTGCCAACTGATAAAGTCGTACTTAGTTTGGAAGGCAAACAAGGTTAATCCTATGAAAATTACAAAAGTAAGCAAAAGAGCTTGTACAACGATCTCGGACTCAACAAAAGAACAGGAGAGACCAACCCCGTAGGCCTCACAGAGGGTAAAGCAAGATAATAAAATCAAGTTTGTAGGGTACGACCTGGCCTTGAAATGAGTGGCAACGGCAAAACCAATGGCACCAATCATGGAGACGAAGAAGAGCCACATGTTGTTCAAACACCAGTTTTGAACGGAAGAATTGGAGCGAATGACATACCCAACAAGGACAGTTCCCATTACTTGCATTGTTAAAAGGGCATAGACTTTACGGATAAACATCTGTCTGATAGGAAGTTCGCACGAAGCAACATCCACCGAGTACTTGAAGTCATCAGGGATATTATCACCAGCCACACGAGGTGCCTGTTCCTGTTCGTACGTAGGAGGTTGTTCAGTAGGAATTGCAGTATAAGAACTCATTGTTGTGGGAAAAAAAAGTGTGTAAGAAAGTTCATAAAGGCAATTTATGATATTAATACCACATGACCTAATTTGGAATTTTCGCATAGAAAGAATTTGCGTATTTCTATACAGACTAGAAAATGTGGGGGAGACCCGATAGTTGATATAAGAAGTATAGAATGAAGTATATAAAAAGCATAGTATATAACTGTAGTATTGTTTGAATTTACACCCTTATATAGTGTAAGAGGAAGAAAGGTAAAAAACTGAGACAATAGGCTGAATCGCACTCTCAAATTTTACCGATGTACCTGGATAAGTTGCCATACCATATCCAGGTAGGAGTATTTAATTGCGAGGAAGTAGATGGTGGGTGGTCTTACTTCCTTATGAATTATTCTGTAGATATCATTAGATAATCACTGTTGATTATGGCTAATAAAAAAAATCAGGAATAGAAATGGAAGTCTCTAAAATATCTTGCAGCCATTGTAATATGCTAATAAATGTTTGTATCTAGTGAAGGTGAATTTCATGCTCTTCTCTATCTACACAAGGAAGTAAATCTGCAAAGAAGGATGAAGTGATTGAGAGATTGAGGAAGACTGGCAAATACTCTGGTGAATTGGGGGTTTTTTTTTTGTTCTTTTTTTAAAAAACCTCTTGTGTATGTTTAATGTAACATGATATGATACTCTGAAATAGTTGATATATATACTTTTTCTTTTGTAAGGATCACCAGTAATATCAGTAGCATCTCTCAGCTAATATTAGACAACAACGACAGCGATTTATCATCAAATCTAATGTATATATTAGATTCGACGTGCATTTATCTTATATCCCTCATAATAAATAATTCCAATTAGCTACATAACGTACTCTAGTGAGCCATAATTACTTACTTTATCTTTTAGCTGTCATATAACACCATCAAATTGACCTTCAGGCACATTGAAAAAAATCCCGATTTTTAGGATTTCCCTGGTCTGTTTTTCTAGGACAAATAATAGAATGTTATACAAAGTAGTTTTGTACAACTATTGGAACATCCTTACACCTGACACCTGACGGGCCTCACGTGAAGGACCTAGGTGAGCCCTAGGGACTGAGATATGTGTGAGGGTCGGGTAACCCTTGGGGGGCATCGCTAGTGTGAGCTAGCGATGAGCTACAAGGAAGGATTTTCGTAAGGGAATCCTTGGATAAGATATAGTTTAGGAAGAAGTTAAGTTAATACGTTAACAGATCAAGTTAGATATAATCGAGTGATAATTAGTGTAAGCTGATTAGAAGAAGGTTAGGATCTAGATTGAGAATAAACATAGCGAAGCCTAGACAAAAGAGTCTATTGTTGTCCTGTTGCTTCCCGCCTGTGTAGAGCCTGTCTAAGAGTATCTAGGAACTTACTGTAACATAGAATATATAAGCGCCTGGTTAGCTCAATCGGTAGAGCGTTTGACTCTTATTTAAGAAGCAATCAAAAGGTTGCGGGTTCGACCCCCGCATCGGGCTTATATTTTTATTTTTTTGAACTTTTTTTCAGTCAGACAATAAGTACCTAGCCAAGCACAATTTTACTCTTACTGGGGTTAAATAAATATTTATAATAATATTATCTATGTACCACTAAAATGGGTCCTCAAATGGATCTTCTTCATCATAATCATCATCTTTTTCAAATTCGTAGACAATTGCACCACCAGACGATCCCAAAGCCTCTTGTGCTTGCATAAATGGGAGATCAACTTGTTCTCTAGCCAATTTTTGCTTCGAGTTTGTAGTCAAATTAAATGTAGTCAAGTCCTTCAACAATGCTTCATCTTCTTCTCTTGCCTCCTCGCTACCCAGTGCTGGAGTGTACACTTCTATAGATTTCTTTGCTGAATCAATGACATATCTATAAGTCAAAGACCGTCCTGATTTCCTTCTATTGGTCAATGTAAGTTTGTAGGTGGAACTATTAAGATGGACATTAATTGGTGTTTGGAGTTTATTGATGGCAATTTCTAAAGCCTCTTCATCGATTTTCTCTTCATCGAGTAATGGATCCACTTCAAATATGGAACTGGCAATGAATGATAGTATATTTATTGGAGATGGATGATTGATGACAGTAGGTTGGCTCTGTGGGATGTTGGTATGGAAAACTCCCAATAAGGAAGTTCCAGGAATGATACAACCAGAAATAAAGGAAGATAATTCTTCAGTAGGTATATAATTCAAAGAGTCCACCACGATAAGAGTCTTGGCTGATGTGATGGATGAAGGTTGGGTGGTAGTGACAAGTTCACGAACAAGTTGTATAACCTTGGCAGGAGATATGTCGTTTGATGTCAAATCCACGTAATCTGTAGCATAATTAGGCTTATTTATAGTTTCGAATGACAAGTAAATCACTCGAGTATTGGAGGCACTTCTATTGATGAACTCAAGAATTAAATGATGTGCAGATTGTGCAAGAGAATCCAACACTAATAAGAAGGGAGAGTTCTCCTTCAACCCAAGTAGCCTTGTGAGAAGGATGGTAGAGCTCTGGCTAGACATAGTAGGATATATATTATCTTTGTACAGAAGAACGGTTTGAATGATCAGTTGCGAAAATGCCCTTGTAACAAAAAATCGTGATGAATGATTTTTTTCCCGCACTACTCATCAGATCTTTGAGGTTTCTGGAGGGTATCTACAACTACTCGCCTTTGTTTAACATCACTGTACACGTCTGACTGATTCTCAATGGCACCTCTGTATAAGAAGAGTCTAGTTGGGGATTATACTCTCCCACAGACATTGGCAGACGAGCTAGAACGAGAACATCGAGTGGAGGATGCGGTTTCAACCGATGAAATCAAACAAGACCTCACTAAAAATGAATACCAACAAAGGAAATATCAACGACAGATAAATGTGGATTTGAATCAAGTACAGTCGTACAAGGAGATTATGGCCCAGAGAGATCTCGAGAGAGAGGAGAAACGAGTACAAAGAATTATAAACGAAAAGAAAGAGGACGGTTACATTCCTCTACAAATAAAGTCATCCACAGAGAATACCCTACCAACTCAACGGGTTAGAAAACGAAGATGGGATGTCTCCCCAGAGGAATGGGAAGAAGCACATTCAAAAAAACACAACTCAGTTTCGATAGTTCCTTCATGTAGTCTTATTGTAAATGGGATTCCCTTGACTGATCAAATTCTAGATAAGATTTTACCCCTGGGTTATAAAATCGTACCATTCCCTGAGTCGTTCAAGCAATTTGATAGTTCGATTCCACCAGACACCACTGATGTCCCTGTGAATTATTATGTACCACCTTCTACCGATCAGGCCGGCTTATCGGACAAAAGTAAACTTGATGGAAACAAGGATCTTATCATGACCGAAATCAAAGATTTAGAATATTTCAAAGAGGAAGATGCCAAATACTTTGGCAAGTTAGCTACTCTAGATGAATCTGAGGCGGCAACCAATGAAGTGAAGTTCATGAAGCTTCTTCTTAAGGTTAAGAATGGTTCTCCTATCGCTAGAAAGAGATCGTTGAGACTGATCACTGACAATGCTCGCAAATTTGGACCACAACTAATCTTCAACCAGGTTCTCCCTATCCTCTTGGAGCCCAACTTGGATGACCAAGAAAGACATTTGCTTGTGAAGCTCATAGGAAGAGTGCTATTCCAGTTAGATGATTTGATTCGTCCGTATACACATAAGATATTGGTAGTGGTGGCGCCCCTTCTTATCGATGAAGACTTTACTACCAGACTCGAAGCGAGAGATATTGTTTCGAATCTCGCAAAGGCAGCTGGATTGTCCAATATGATCTCTAGTCTCAGGCCAGATCTAGACCATGTTGATGAGTTTGTGAGGAATACCACCTCACGTGTGTTTGCTATTGTAGCTAATACCCTAGGACTTGTCAACTTTCTTCCATTCCTCAAAGCGGTTATAAAGTCCAAGAAAAATTGGATGGCTAGACACACTGGTATCAAGATTGTACAGCAGCTCTGTATCAATCTAGGAGGAGGTAATGGGAACACGCTATTGCCATACATGCCCCAACTTATAGATGTGCTCAAACCTGGGTTGACCGATGAGGTTTTACAGGTTCGTACAATGACCGCATTAGCGTTATCTCAACTTGCAGAAAGTGTAAATCCATATGGGATTGAATCTTTCGAGGTTATTCTTGAACCTACCTGGCTTGGGCTAAAGAGACATAGAGGTAAAGGTCTAGCAAGTTTCCTTAAATGTATTGGATCGATTATCCCATTAATGTGTCATGATCCAAATTATGAAGAATACGCCAACTATTATACCCGAGAATTGATGAATGTGATATCTCGAGAATTTCAATCTCCAGATGAAGACATGAAGAAATCGATTCTTCGGATTATGTCGACCCTTCCTCTTTCCAAGGCTTCTATTCCAGAATATCAACTGAAAATCTTGGAACCTTTTTTGAAGTTTTTCTGGAATAGAAGAGTAGCGTCAGATTCCAACCAATTAAGTAGGTTGGTTGTTGACGCCACAACGCAACTTGCAGTTAAATTTGACCTTCTTGAAGTTCTCGAAAGTATAGTGGTCTATTCGAAAGATGAAAATGAATCGCTCAGAAAAATGAGTGTGGAGGCAATAAATAAAATGATTGTGTCTAGTGAAGAAGGTCTTTTAGGATTGGATTCACAATTGGAGCTTTCTCTTGTGGATGGTGTCCTCTTTGCATTTCAAGAACAAACTATTCATCTTCGTATATACTTGCAAGCATTGGGGACCGTAGCAAATACTTTGGGTGTTAGACTCAGGCCACATATGGATTCCATTATAAGTACAATCTTGTATAGATTGAAGAATAAGACTCCGGAAATTCGTCAACAAGCATCGGATTTAGTGGCAACAATTTCTCCAGTTATCAAAGTATGTTATGGAGGAAATGATGAGATATTAACAAAATTAATTTTGATTTTGTACGAGTCTTTGGGTGAAGTTTACCCAGAAGTTCTTGGTTCGATCTTAAGTGCCTTACATGCATGTATTGAAAGTATTGATAAATCATCACTCTATACTATGCTGAATCCTTCCGTAAATCAAATCTTGCCTACTTTGACTCCTATCTTGAAGAATAGGCAGGATAAGGTTCAAGAAGCATGTATCAAACTTGTGGGACTCATTGCCAGAAAGAATGCTGAATCTATAAATGCTAAGGAGTGGATGCGTGTATGTTTTGAATTACTTGATATGCTTAAGAGTTCTAAAAAGAGAATTAGAGTTGCCGCTAATGATACTTTTGGTCATATAGCTAAAACTATAGGTCCTCAAGATGTACTTGCGATGTTGTTGAATAATTTAAGAGTTCAAGAACGTCAATTGAGAGTTTGTACTGCCGTTGCAATTGGTATTGTGGCGGAAACATGTTCACCATTCACTGTCCTCCCTGCATTGATGAATGAATACAGAACCCCAGATAATAATGTTCAAAATGGTGTTTTGAAAGCATTGAGTTTCCTTTTCGAATACATTGATGGCACTATGACGAAAGATTACCTATTTGCAATGACTCCATTGATGGAGGATGCTCTTACAAACAGAGACTTGGTACATCGTCAAACTGCCTCTACGGTTGTGAAAAATATGGCTATTAACTGTGTTGGATTATCTCATGATGAGTATGCAGACGTGTTCGTACATTACTTGAACTTACTTCTTCCAAATATTTACGAAACGTCACCTCATGTTATTAGCCGTATACTTGAAAGTATGGATTCCTTGAGGATAAATCTTGGTTCTGGAATATTTATGAACTATGTATGGGCTGGTTTATTCCATCCTGCAAAGAAAGTTCGTGGCCCTTACTGGAAATTATATAACAGGGCTTACATTCAAAATAGTGATATTTTGGTGCCTTCATATCCAACATTGGATGATCTTACCGATGAATATGGTAGATCTTATGAGATTGAAGAATTAAATTTGGTTTTATAGTGACATAATTACATTAAGATTCGAACTATAGTATATTTTTCTTTATGTATTTTGCTATGTATTAATATTATCGATAGGTTCAAGTAAGATTTCCAAGTTGCATGATTTCTTCATTAATATCAACTTGGTCAACTTCTATGTCCGATACCTCTTGATGAGCCACTGTTTCTGTTTCATTCTGGTATATATGTGTGACATATCTTGTGATTTTCCTTGCCTGAAGTTCCAAAATATCTTGAAGCTCAGCATAGTCCATAGAGTCATCTCCGGTGGATTCTCTAGATGACACGATTCCTGGGTAACAAGTCAGTAAGGTTGTGAAGCTATCTTCCAATACTACCACAGGTACGGTATGGATCCAGTTTGAAACTTTCTCCTTTGCTGGCATATTTGCAGCCACTCTGGGATTAAAAGAAGGTGGGAATTCAGAAGGTGAGGGAAGGTTGGAATTGTCCCCCAATACGAAGATCCCATTTTTTGTAGGACTGGATGAAGGATGTTTGTGCTCACTTTGTGGGGCAATTCTCCCAACACACACGTATCCATCTGGAGCTTGTTTGCTTGGAGAGATAATGTGGGCATGTCTGAATGATGGCGATTGTATGTCAGAGTAGGAAACTTGTTTAGCAAACCCATAATGGTGCTGGCCATTTGGTGCACCTTCACTTGGTTTGGGTGCAAAAACGTTTTGATTGGCTACAGCTTCCGACACCCTGCCATGAGAATGGGAACAAACATGTGGACTAGAACTGTTCATTAAATGGAAAATCTTGGGGAGAGTAGATAAGGTTGTTGTTACTAGTAACGTCAACTTTACTCGGAATATGTGGTGATTTGAAGTCCACAATTCCACTCTCATCTTATACACAATCTTTATTGTTGTGTACACAAATATATTTTGTGCTGTTTACTATGTTTGTGAAAGAAAAAAATAGTAGAAAACGAATTAGAAAATTTCTTGCAAGAGCGCTTGAATATATAGTCTTATCATATAGAGAAGGAGAGACTTCGACTCCAGTACTCTCTATATATATGTATTGAGTATATTATCTGTGGTGAATTGCTTCTTGGTTTATCAGTGCTGATGTTTTGGGAGGCAATGATTTTGCAACAATTCCAACATCCTTACACCAACTAAAACATGTGATACAGGACATACCTGAGATAAAGATTTTGTAGGAAACTCAAACTAAAACTATATTTTAGTTGACAATCTAAACACACTTTCCCAATGGGTGTGAATTCTTTATGGGATATAGTAGGACCAACTGCCCGTCCCGTTCGTCTTGAGGCCCTTTCCCGTAAAAAATTGGCAGTAGATGCGTCGATTTGGATCTATCAATTTTTGAAAGCAGTTCGAGATGCGGAGGGTAATACCTTGCCACTGTCTCACATAGTAGGATTTTTTAGAAGAATCTGCAAACTTTTATATTTTGGAATTCAGCCAGTTTTCATCTTTGATGGTGGAGCTCCTGCATTGAAAAGACAAACCATCAATAAGAGACGAGAAAGAAGGGAGGGCAATCGAGAGAGTACCGAACAAACAGCTAGAAAGTTGTTGGCTATTCAAGTACAACGTCAAGCTCAAGGAGAAGTAAATAGTCGCAAACGACCAAAGACCAAAAACTCTGGTAATAACAATGAACTTGATATAAACGGAGGGGAGGTTGCCTTCTTAGAAGATTTGGAAAACGTACATCCACTTCATGGCCCGACTACAAGTACTACTAATATTCAATCGAATGAGCCACATAGTGAAGACCATCAACACAAAGGGATCATTTACTCAAAGAATGATGAATTCCATCTACCAGTATTGAAGGAAATCAAGATATCTGGAGATGACCAAAGAATGATGCCCAAGGAAGAATATAGAGAACTAGCAGAACTTGGAACTGATTATGTTGATGGGATTGACATTGATTCTGTAGATCCAGCATCTAAAGAGTTTGAACAATTGCCAATGCCTACTCAATATATGATCTTGTCGCATCTTAGGTTGCGCTCTCGGTTGAGAATGGGGTATAATAAAGAGCAATTAGAAACTCTATTCCCCAACAGTATGGAATTTTCGAAATTTCAAATTCTGCAGGTTCAGAAGAGGAATTTCTATACTCAGAGGTTGATGAATGTGAGTGGGATGAATGAAGGGAGTCTGACTCGAAGAATTGCAGGAACAAAAGATCGTGAGTATACATTAGCTCGTAGTGAAAATGGGTGGACTTTAGCCCTTGGAGAACAAGACGGTGGTGCCACTTCTGATAAGCCAATATCATTAGATGAATTTGGGAATGTTGTTCGAGAACCTGATGTTATTGAAGAGAAACCCACAATAACGAAGAACAAAAACAATGACGATTCGTCAGATGATGACGAGGATTGGGAAGAGGTTCCGATAGGAGTTACAGATCAACCAAAGGAAGAAAAAAATGTAGAAATTGACGACGATGGATTTAATAAGGCATTGATACAATCCATATATGATCAATACGGAGACACCTCCAACAATATGTCAACAGAAGGATTCGATGAAGTCGAATTGAAAGCTGCTATTGAAGAATCTAAGAAGGAGGTATTATTACTTAAAAGGAATGAAGAAACCTCAAGATTTCAAAACTTGGAATCTATACCAGAAACCTCAAATAAACAAGAAACTCGAATAGATCTTGGTCAATCTTTTTTATTTGGTAGTACTGAACTGAACAAGGAAAAGGAAGTTAAACCAATTGAGACTGGATTTTCATCTTTTTTATTTAGTGGAGATGATAAGAAAATGGAAACGGATACAGAGAAAGTAGATGTTGAAAATATTCAAACTACCAGGTCCAAACCAAAACCCACAACTGGATTCTCTTCATTTTTATTTGAGAATGAACCAGAGTCTAAAAATTCAAAAGAAGTAGCTGTAGAAATTATAGACGATCCCAAAAAGTATAAGAGAGATGAGCCAATATATGAGACTCTAGATCTTGAGTCTAGCGGAGATGAAAAGGAAGAAGTTCACGAGCAAGAAGAGCCTAAACCAAAACCAAAGGTTTTTTCAAATGAAATTCCTTCTTGGTTTAATGACTCGGTATCAGAAACTCTAAATCCGTACAACCAAGTTATCACTGAAACTAGGAATGAACCGAAGGTTCTTCCATATCCAGAGACGACAACGAGTGAAACCACAGAGGGTGTATTAGGTGCGCGTAAACGAAGATATCTTGAAGATGAGGCAGCAGGTTTGATATCATGGAGTGAAGCAAAGGAAATGCTACTGCCGGAACCTGAAAATGAAAGCCCTCCAGCAGAAGATGATATTATGATCACAGATTACAAAAATGTTGAAGATTCAGTTGAAGAGATTCACATTGATGAGAATGTACTGTCAGTAACTTCCGAATCTGATGAGGTCGCTTCTCCAACAGATAAAGGAAATGGGTCTGAAGTTCCAGTGGAAGAAGAAAAGGAGCCTGTTCCAGCATCCAAGGAAACTCTTCAGTATGATTTTGAAGAGGAAGATGAGAACAAATTGATTGAACAAATCGAACAAGAAGAACGAGAACATGAGGTATTTAAGACTCAGATTAGAAGAGAAGAACCAATTAATTTAGTGAACAGTATGAGTATTACTGAGGAACAACTATTGCAAGAGAAGCTTCAAAAGGCCAAACGAGACTCCGATGAAGTGACTCAAACTATGATTAGTGACGTACAAGAATTACTAAGACGGTTCGGAATTCCCTACATTACCGCGCCTATGGAGGCAGAAGCACAATGTGCCGAGCTTTCACGATTGGGACTCGTAGACGGAATTGTTACTGATGACAGCGATTGCTTCTTATTCGGTGGGGACAAGGTTTACAAGAACATGTTCAATCAAAAAAATTATGTCGAATGTTACTTTAGCTCGGAATTGGAATCACGTTTAGGTTTAGATCAGAACAAGCTAATTGAATTGGCTTTACTCCTCGGAAGTGATTATACCGAGGGAATTAAGGGTATTGGTCCTGTTTTAGCCATGGAAATATTGGCAGAGTTTGGATCCTTACGTGAATTTAAGAGGTGGTTTGACCAGAATACCCAGACATTGTCTAAACCAGATTCTTCGAGCAGCCTTAAAAAATCCCTTTTACTGAAAATCAAAAGTGGGAAGCTTTTTCTTCCAGAGAATTTCCCAGATAAAGTTGTTGCAGATGCCTATATAAAACCAGAAGTGGATGATGACGAAACACAATTTAAATGGGGGGTTCCGAATTTGGACCAGATCCGGTCATTTTTGATGTACAATGTAAAATGGACCCAGGGACGTGTTGATGAAGTGCTAGTGCCATTGATTCGTGATATCAACCGGAAAAAGACTGAAGGAACCCAATCTACAATCGGTGAGTTTTTCCCTCAAGAAGTGATTCGATCTAAAAAGGAGATGAATTTAAGTAAGAGAATTAAAAGTGCAGCAGAAAGATTGAGGAAGTAAAACAAAAAGACTAGGATATATAAATATTTATACATTCATTGTTAGGAAAGTTATACTGCAGAGATAAATATTCTGAGATATGACATAAAATGTAGGGTGGTGTAACATATTGCCCAATTAGGAAGTCTACACCGATTTGATCGATACCTGTAGATACAGTTAAAGGCAACATCAGATCTAATATGAACACCACATCAGTAAAGATCAAGGGAAAGAAGCAATGACTCAACCATTGGCGAAGATATCATCCATGCTTGGGTCGGCCCGAGATATGACCATCGAGGCAGCAGTTTCTGCATCTTCTAGATTTGCAGACACTCTGCCAACCGTCATGGGACCCTCCGAGGTCACAAAATTACTAAATTCCCGAGTTGAACGGGACATTCTTAGCGGGATGAAGTGCGTAATGGCACTCATATCACGCGGAGAGGATGGATTGCCTTTCTTTGGAGATGTAGTGAAAAACATCACCACGGGAAACAACCAGGTGAAGCGTTTGATCTTGATTTACTTGACGCGATACGCCGAGTTTGAGCCAGATACTGCCTTGTTATCGATCAATACTATCCAGAAATCCCTTAACGACAAGGACCCAGTTTCTAGATCAGCCGCTATCCGAGCCATGGCTGGAATCCAGATCTCGTCAATTGCACCCATCGTACTTCTTTGCATCAAAAAGTGTGTCACCGATTCATCTCCATTAGTGCGTGGAGCAGCCGCCATAGCGGTGGGGAAAGTTTATGAAACCGAGGATTTGGACCGGGCAAGTCAAAAGCAACTTCTTGCACATTTAGTAAAACTTCTTGGCGATGGTGTACCTGCAGTGGTAGGCTCGGCTCTCAAAACTTATCACAAGATCAAGCCAGATATTTCTTCTACACATCAGAAATGGGATATGATACATCATATTTTCCGTAAACTCTGTCGGATTTTGCCACGTTTAGATGAATGGAGTCAAACATTTACAGTCGAGATTTTGTCCGAGTACTGTCGTCTTTTCTTACCTAGACCAAAGTTGTACTTGGAAGATGGTTCAGTAGTGGATTTTGGCACTGAGAATGCTGGTGCTGCTACCATAGGAAACATCCCGTATGACATTTCATATGATGCCGATTTAGAACTCTTTTTGGAATCTTTGAAGGGCTTAGTACATACTCAATCGGAACATTTACTCTTGGGCGTTTCAAAGGCAATTTTTAATTTGGCTCCACCCCTGGTTTATATCGATTATGGACTTAGTCAATCAATGGTGAGGCTAGTGAGTCCATCCACCCCTTTTCAAGTGAGTTATTTTGTCCTACAGGCAGTTCGGTCCATTTCTATTCTGGACCCATCTGTTTTTACTCCTTTTTATAAACGTTTCTACATTTTCCCTACTGATCTGTCCGGATTAGCACAACTTAAGTTGGAAATCTTGTCATTATTGACCAATGAAGATAATTTCAAGAATGTATTTGATGAATTGAAATATTATGCGATTAATTCTAGAGGAAAGGAGGACACAGTGGGCAAGGAAGCCCTCACTTGCATGGGTAGATGTGCACAAATCTCATCACAATGGAGCCATAAGGTGTTGAACTGGTGTCTTAAACAAGTGAAGAGAACAACTTTACACGGTGAGTCCATTGTAGGCGAACTTCTCACAGTCATACGCCACTTGCTCCAGCAGAAGCAGGATCTTCTTAGTAAAAGTAGTGATGGGAATGAAGAGGTGAGACAGGAAATCCTCAAGACTACGTACAGATTGTCGTTAGCACTTCTTGATACCGAGTCAAAGTTGGAAAGCAATGCCAAGGCCAGTATCATTTGGATTATTGGAGAGTTTACTGGTGCTGCCAATAATTTGATTGGACCTGATGTCCTTAGAAGATTGATTAAGACTTATGCATTGGAGGCGGATAACGTTCGATACGAGATTCTCGTATTAGCAGCTAAGATTTTATCTTTTGAACTCGAAAAATTAAACTCCGAGAAGTCAGAAATAGATATGTTTTTCCAAGAAAATATCATTGCGAAGATGTTTGCACATGTATTACATTTAGCAAAGTATGATAGAAGATACGATACGAGGGATCGGGCTAGAATGTTGAGTGTGTTGCTTGCTGGAGAAAATCATGAATCACAATTGGCTGCATTATTTTTGCAGGTACCTAAGGGCGCACCAATTGTAAAATTAGATTCAAGATCGAACAAAGATACAACAATAGCCTCTCGTGACTTTTTGTTTGCTGCCTTTTCTAATATCTCGGATTGGACAGACCCTTCGACACACCCGCCTTCATCAGTAAGAACTGATATTTCCGAGGAAACTGCAGGTGGGAATGGTGTAGTCACTGCAATTTCATCCCAATCAATTAGAAGTAAATCCGGATCGCCTCCAATATCCAATCATTCCATTTCTTCCCAACAATTCCATCTGGGAGCGCGAACTGCAGTACCAAGACAAACATACAAATTACAAAGTTTAGATGAATTCTTCGGAGATGATGATGAAGAAGAACTGCAGGAAGATTCAGATGAAGAGGAAGACGAAGAAGAAGAAGAAGATGATGTTGACGATGAGAACTTAGAGGAAGGAGTATCCTCCACAGAGGAAGAGTCCGAATTGGAATCTTCTGAAGAAGAGAGTTCAGAAGAAGAAGAAGAAGAAGAATCCAGCGCGTTATTCCAAAATAGGTGATAGAATTGAGAGTGCGTCAAACAATGACGGGCTTTACTATGAGCCAACTCGCAAAGTACCAGCAACATGAATTACATATACATACAGATGCGAGAAAAACTAACCATTATTTAGTTATAGATATAATATTACACAGTATTTGATTAACTCCATTAGTGTATGCACAAGTACCTTTTTCTCGACCTCCAGTAAGGGATAAATTGTATATACTTCCAATCGCGCTCATGTAAATATATGAAAGAGGTGAAATTATTGATACTTTGAAATTTTTTTATTATTTCGGAGCAACGCGCCCGCCTACTGTGTTAGCCTCCAACTGAGAAAAATCAAAACTTTTTGAATTTTTGAAATCACCCAACAATGAAGTACTAAAATTGAGGGGATTATCGAATACGAACAGAAACACCGGGGCTCTACGATCTGGTGGACAGGGCAACCATGTAAGACTATTGACCATATATATTATTGTTTGTACTATGTCAAGTGTTAATGTTTTTTTTTACCTAAAATGGAACAAGATTATACGAATGAAGTAAGCTTAGTAGCTCGTAAATCCAACTCTAATGTAATCTAAAAAAAAGCAAATATAACTGGTTCTCGAAGGCAATTTTTCATTTGTATTTACTCTATTATACAGTATGACAATAAGTCTGGGACATCGTCATGCTGTATCCATATGCGCAGCAACTTAAATTGGCTTTGTTATCTCAAGATGCGCGAGCGTGACTTGAATGGTGAGGTTGAAAAACATATTGTTCAAAATGAAACAATGGAGGCCATAGACAATCTACCAATTCGCGATTCCAACATAGAGCTTTCAAAGTTGGATATAATCTAAGATTATAACAACACTACTAACGTGGTTAACAAAGGGATTAGATCCAAAAACAGTGAAATTACTCACCTCCTTTGGGAGCATTTGCAACCATTGTGTAGTACGAAAAAGGGTTCACCATTGATTATTTGTTGTTTACCATCAAAAATGCCATCTATAAATGATAGACCAAATCCCAACTATAGATCAGAATATGTTTATATCATCATTCAATTATATCTTCATTCTACTCAATAGAATCCATTCATTCGCTTTAATACTGGCTATTACATCATGAAGCTCTTCAACTCCAACAGTCACATGACTGCCATTGCAACTACCATGTTGGCTGCAACTTCTTTCGCTCAACTTAGTATTCTCTTTGGTGCATTCATTGACATTAATATTGGTCTTCCAACTCCACTTCCACCTGCTGAAGTTCATTGGTGTGACAAATTCGAAGTTTATTCCTCAGGAAAGGCTCCTCAAAAGAGAGACACCCTTGATCTTGAAGAAAAAGACCTTAGTGCTAGTCTTGTCTTGAAGGCTGACTTTGTTGTTTCTGATGTCTTACCTGTTCTTGATGATGTCTACAGAATTGTTGGTAACTTTGAAACTACTGATGCAGATGCTGTCAACAAGGCTCTTGCTCCAGCCTTGGATAAAATTGTTGTTTCAAACACTGGTGTTGGCTCTGGTAGCCAAATCCTTACTTCCAAGGCTGACGTCCAACTTGATAACATTGCCAAGTTTTCTTTCGCCTTAGACATTTCTGTTCTGAGACAACCAAACAACATCTGTTGTTTGCCTGACGACTTCAATTTGGCTTACCACTGGATCCCTAAGGCAAAGAGAGGATTAGACTTGGATTTGGATGTTGACCTTGGTCTTTTCGCTGATGTTTCTCTTTACACCCTTGCAGTTCCATCCTTAGCTGACTTACTCCCAATCAATCCATCAGACTTTTTGCACAAAAGAGATGCTATTGAATATTCAGACATGAGTGGTGAACTCTACAGCAAGAGAGATATTAACATCAGTATTGACCTTGCAGCCCAATTGAAGCTTTGGTCTACTACTGACAACGTTTTACCAAACTTCTGTTTCCCATGTAACTGTCCAACTTCTCTGTCAAGCGCCGTTTCATCAGCTTCCAGTACCGTTTCTGAACCAGCATCTTCTAGCCCCGTTACCGAAACTGGTGCTTCATCCGCCGAAACCACTCCAGCCTCCAGCGAAACCACCGGTGAATCCTCCTCTACCGGTAGCTCTGTGACTGACTTATCCAGTGTTATTTCCACCACCAGCGCAGTTGTCAGCTCCAACACCGGAGATGTCTCTTCCGCTACTGCTTCTTCTACATCTGGCGATGATGCTTCAGCTTCAGCTTCATCTGCTTCTGGTGATGACTCTTCTGCTACTGCTTCTTCCGCTTCTGGTGACATTTCTTCTGCCACTGCTTCTGGTGATGACTCTTCTGCTACTGTTTCTTCCGCTTCTGGTGACATTTCTTCTGCTACCGCTTCTGGTGATGAATCTTCCGCTACCGCTTCTGGTGATGAATCTTCTGCTACCGCTTCTGGTGATGACTCTTCCGCTACTGCTTCCGGTGATGAATCTTCTGTTACCGCTTCTGGTGACGGTTCTTCTACTACCTCCACATCTTTAGCAGCCGACGCTTCTCAAGCAAAGGGTGGAATTAGCACTGAAACTGCTTATGGCACAACTGTTGTTACTATCACTTCATGCCTGGACCATGTTTGCACTAAGGTTACCCAACCTGTTCAAATAATTGTCACTACAAATGAATCCACTTCCTACACCACCTACTGTCCTATTTCTACCACCTCTGCAGAAGAAGCTGGCGCCGCTCCAACCAGCACTCCAGCTACCACCGAACCAGCTACATCTACTGCATTGGCACCAGCTTCCACTGAAGCTGTACCAGTTGTGGCTGAATCCTCCACTGAAGCCGCACCAATTGTCTCTGAGTCCTCCACTGTCGCTCCAGCAGTTGTTCCTGAAACTTCCAAGATTTCCACCACTCAAATTACCCTTACTAACTCTGGAAGTGCTACTTCTGGTCCTGAAAGTTCCCTGGCTGGTCCTCACGGTTCCGCTCCTGATGTTGCAACTCTTTCCGAAGGTATGTCAAACAAGGTCACTGGCTCCTTGGCTTCCATTCTTGCTATCATGGGTGTTTTCATGCTTTAAGAAAACTAAGCATCTTCGATTATAAACTTATTCCCCCATTTCTTATTTTACCAAGATTTTTCGAATTTCTACTTTCATCATTTATGCTACAGATTTTTTAAGATATAAAAATATATATTACCCCACTGTGCAAACACAAAGTTAGATTGTAGATCTCTTCACGGTATTTACTATTCTTAATTCAAAGCCTTCATTCCTGTTTGTCGTCTATTTTGCAACTAAATTGCGGGGAAATGCGCGCTCTTAATGATCTTTAGTTCACTTTAAATTACCTCTTTCACATATACGACTTCTTTAAATAATGGATCTATAATATATGAATATATAAATCTATTAATATATAAATCTATTAATATAATCACAAATTACATTCCAAAGCTTTACTATAGTTAAAGCATTAATGCTACACCATGGCTACCAATAGAATAATTAAAGTTTTTTTTTTTTCCTAAAGGTAAATTTTTATGATCCCGCAACTGTAAAAGTGTAACCTGGACACGCTCAAAACTTGGCCAGTGCTGAATCTAGTAGTCCTGAATTTAGCTTTATAAAGTTTCGTAAGTCCTGAAATGGAAGGGTAATATGAAAATCCTTTCTCTTGTATACTTTTATCCAATTGTAGTTATTTCTTTCTAACTTCACGTGGAACATGCAGAGCTAAGTATATTCATCAATTAAACTATCATGTCTGTGCTCATTGTGCACATTTCTATCCATTCCCATAGAACAATTTATCTGAACGATTCTATGCGATTTTTCACATCAGCTAACTAATGCAGGGGCCAATATCACCATTTGGGCATTAGTGTGTTTGATGTTCAGTGCGCGCAAATGCGAAAGATTTATCATCAAAATTTCAACTCGTCAATGCACAAATGCGAATTTTTTTTCATCGATACTTATTTTTTTTATTTTTGTTAACGCTTTAAAAAACACCCTGGGAGAAAAAAAAACCCGTAGAATAAACTTGCTATCCATCTGATACTATGCAGAAATGGGAGATAAATCACCCGCTCTAACGATCTTCTCCATACAACTCATACTTTGGTGTTTTCAAAGTGTACGAATGTAGAACATATCTAAGTAGACAGGGCAACTGAGATTTAGTTTATCTAAAAACGAAATCAAAGTGCCCATTCCTACATGAAGTAAAAGAGTATTAAAATCGACTAATCCGGAAGTGGGGGACAATTTAGTTTTGGGGACAAAAATTATTCAAAAATATATCTAAAAAAAAAAACTAACAAAATTAAAAGCGAGTTCATGCGTCATCTTTCACATATGACCATGGCTCAAATCAATGAAGTATCCTACATTTGAAAACTTGAAGACACAAAGATCAAGAGTAACTGTAACCTAAACTGTGCTGTGGAAAGGAACCCCAATCTGTTTCTCTGTTTGCTTTTATATGTAGTGTCTGTACGTAGATAATTACCCCAACATGTTTGTAGACATTCCAGATTGTTTTTTTTTAGAAATACGTTAAAAATAACATCGAAATGGACTATCCTGATTCCCAAGACTCGGAAATAGACGACGAAGACTATTTCGACATGGTACACCCTTTTTTCAAGAAATGGGCGGCTGAGCGCGCGTATAAAACTCGTAAATACAATCCGCGTACCTTACCCCTTTAGGCTTTTTGTTCTGAGGTGCATATGAATTATTCAAATCTTTCAATAGTCCCTATAACTTTATACTTTGACAACTTTAGACTCATTCTAGATGTATCATAGACTCTTATTGTTTGAAAGTACTCTAATTTTAGAAATTCTTTCGATGCTGCTCGTGTATAGTTTTGTAGGTTCGAGTCCCAATGTAGATACTTTAAGGGCAATTGCCTTACGAGAATGCGCCGTTTGAACGGTTAGTTCAGAGCGGGACAGATGAGTGCTTCACGTCTAAATGCGCACCAAGGTAGTGACATTGGCACATATCCAGTCTATAGCGAATTAAATTTTATTGTGGAAACGCATAAAATAAATCCTTTTTAGGATGCTTCAAAGGTAGGATAGAGGCAAGAAGGTGCATACACAGAATGCAAAAGATGGACTGATGGAAATCGAGCCACTACGAAAAAACAAACGCGGTGGCTTGATGGGCGGGGGGAAGGCAGCAGAGCCACGGTAGCCTCGGTGTTGACTTAAATCGATGAAAAATATAAACAAACAAGACTTTTGTTAGTGTAACGATGTTTGACTGATAAAAAATATCCTGATTGCATTGGACCGTTGATAATAGTTGGTGTTTCAGCAATTGCTACCTGAATCGTGAAATTCCATTTCTACTACATCTAGCTAAAGGAGCCCAATTGCATAGATGACATTCATTGTTGTTTTTTTACCTATTGTGTGTCATAAGTAAAATTGAATTCAAAGGTCCTGTTATCGAAAAAGTAGCTCTCTCCTGCGTTTGTCGCATTTCACACTTTTTTTTAGTGCCGTACGCGTATATTATGCATGCACCACCTGCAGCATCGGCTGCGTTTATTTCCTTATTTCCTATTCTCGCTTCTTGAACCGTGATTGTGTTGGTTGCAATACATGCAATAAGCGAGTACATAACTATAATTATTTGAGAGGCGGGTGAAAATCTTGGATGCACGTAGTTTAGGGTTCAATGGCCCTAAAACTTTACAATCTATAAATACGGAGGTGAAGAATCTAAAAAATTACTTTTTGTCTAAATCCAGGTAATCAATTTAATCCCAGTCTTTCGTTAAATAACTATCATGTTGGTTACTACTTCTCAATTGGCGTCCTTTGCTATGATTGCATCCACTCTTGTGGCCCAAGCAGATGCCACCAGTGTTTCTTTCTCAGACTACTTTGATTTCACTGCTTCTCTTGGTTTCCCAAATAAGAATATTTGTCAAAAGAGCTCTCTTCTTCAAATCGGTTCTCAACAAGATGTCAAGCTTGACATTTCCAAGAGAGCTGATGTCGAAGATGTTGAACTCGAACAAAGAACTTTCGGTGCTGCTTTCCCAAAGGCCGCTTTCACTGTTTCTGATGTTGTCTTTGTTGAACAGGATCTTTTCAAGGTTAACCTTAACTTCGAGACAGTTGCCGCTGCTGAACTTTACTCTTCATTTTACAAGAAGTGTTCTTCTGTTGCGATTACTGGTTTAGGTTCTGTACAAGACACTGTCCATATCGTTAAGGACGGTTTATGTCAAAATGGTTTCAAGAACTTCTTCCAATGGTCCACAACCGTCTTGGTCAAGGCTACCGACCATGACACTCACTTCTGTTTACCTAGTGACTTTGGTATTGAATTCAATTTCGATTCTAGTTACAAATTGGATTATTTTAGTACTTGGACTAAGTATTTCCAAACCAACTATAAGTACAACCTTTGTGGCCCAGATCTTTCTTCTGCTACCAAGGTCGACTTTGACATCTTTGCTGGTGCCCAATGGAATAAGAGAGACAACATTGCTGAAAGAGAATATGCTGCTATGGAAGAAGGTTCTTTGGATGAAAGAACTTTTGGTTCTAGTTTCGATTTTGGATTTGATATCAGCTGGTTCGGTAAGTTCCAATGTCAAAAGCCACAATTGCCAAACTTCTGTTGGCCAAAGAAATGTACTTCCACCACCAGTTCTGTTCCTCCAACTTCAACCACTCCTCCAGCTACCACCAGTTCTACCCCAGCTTCTACTACCCCAGCTACTACTTCTAGTACTACCCCAGCTACTACTTCTAGTACTACCCCAGCTACTACTTCTAGTACTACCCCAGCTACTACTTCTAGTACTACCCCAGCTACTACTTCCAGCACCACCCCAGCTACTTCCTCAAGTGCTCCAGCTACTTCCTCAAGTGCTCCAGCTACTTCCTCAAGTGCTCCAGCTACTTCCTCAAGTGCTCCAGCTACTTCCTCAAGTGCTCCAGCTACTTCCTCAAGTGCTCCAGCTACTTCCTCAAGTGCTCCAGCTACTTCCTCAAGTGCTCCAGCTACTTCCTCAAGTGCTCCAGCTACTTCATCTAGTGCTCCAGCTACTTCCTCAAGTGCTCCAGCTACTTCCTCAAGTGCTCCAGCTACTTCATCTAGTGCTCCAGCTACTTCCTCAAGTACTCCAGCTACTTCATCTAGTGCTCCAGCTACTTCATCTAGTGCTCCAGCTACTTCCTCAAGTGCTCCAGCTACTTCCTCAAGTGCTCCAGCTACTTCCTCAAGTGCTCCAGCTACTTCCTCAAGTGCTCCAGCTACTTCCTCAGGTGCTCCAGCTACTTCCTCAAGTGCTCCAGCTACTTCCTCAAGTGCTCCAGCTACTTCATCTAGTGCTCCAGCTACTTCCTCAAGTACTCCAGCTACTTCATCTAGTGCTCCAGCTACTTCATCTAGTGCTCCAGCTACTTCCTCAAGTGCTCCAGCTACTTCCTCAAGTGCTCCAGCTACTTCCTCAAGTGCTCCAGCTACTTCCTCAAGTGCTCCAGCTACTTCCTCAAGTGCTCCAGCTTCTTCCTCAAGTGCTCCAGCTACTTCCTCAAGTGCTCCAGCTACTTCCTCAAGTGCTCCTTCTGAATCAGCCACTGTTCCACCAGCTTACACCTCTACTTCCACTGAAATCGTTGGAACTACCGTTGTCACCATTACTTCTTGTTCTGACAACAAGTGCACTGAAGTCCCAACCACTACTGGCTATACCGTTGTCACCGAGGAAACCACTTCTTACACTACTTACTGCCCATTGCCAACTACTGCTGTCACCAAGACTGGTACTACCGTTGTCACTGCTGAAACCTCTACTACAAAGACTGCTACCCCAGGTGTCCCAGCTGAAACTCCAGCTGCCCCAGCCGGTTCTGCTCCTGCTGAAACCCCAGCCGCTCCAGCTGCTTCCGCTCCTGCTGAAACCCCAGCCGCTCCAGCTTCTCCTGCTCCTGCTGAAACCCCAGCCGCTCCAGCTGCTCCTGCTCCTGCTGAAACCCCAGCCGCTCCAGCTGCTCCAGCTCCTGCTGAAACCCCAGCCGCTCCAGCTGCTCCAGCTCCTGCTGAAACCCCAGCCGCTCCAGCTGCTCCAGCTCCTGCTGAAACCCCAGCCGCTCCAGCTGCTCCTGCTCCTGCTGAAACCCCAGCCGCTCCAGCTGCTCCTGCTCCAGCTGAAACCCCAGCCGCTCCAGCTGCTCCTGCTCCTGCTGAAACCCCAGCCGCTCCAGCTGCTCCAGCTCCTGCTGAAACCCCAGCCGCTCCAGCTGCACCAGCACCAGCACCATCAGTCGCTCCACATGGATCTTCCCCAGCTGCTAGCAACGGTACTTACGTGCCTCCTGCAAGCTCCGCCCCATCTGTTGTACCAGAAAATGCGGCTAATGGCCTCACTGCTTCTATGATTACAGTTTTTGCTGGGTTATTCATCGTGTTGAACTGTTAAGTAGAGAAGTCACTTTTTTATTAAAGTTGTCCTTTTATACCCATACACCCATTTCTAAATTTTTTACTTCTATATGTTTCGCTCGACCAAGAGACTTTTCGGTAATAGTTATGACTTATATATTTTAAACAAGACTTAATGAACATTTCTACAAATTGTATTTCATTACCGATTTTTTTATTATTCATATATTCTATCATCGTGTGTAGTGTTAAAATTATGTCATCTGATAGTATTTTGGTGATCTAGCATAATGAAACGTACAAATAGCGAACTATACCAAATATATATGAGAAGGAAACATATTGCCAAACTGTCTAAGTTTTGATTTTAATGGTAGGAAAGATTGTAACACATGTATTATAAGCTGACTAGCATCCAATTTGTTATTTTTTATCGAGTGTATAAGTGGTGATATTGTGGGCTTCACCTGTGGATAAGGGGCCATGTGAAATTAAAAAGGATTTTCATGCATACTTTTTAAATCATTATACACCATGCTAATTTAAAGTTTCATGTAGGTGATGTTTCTTTTCATATAGTGGTACATGTAATCAATACGATAAAAACATTACACCATAGCAATTCTTATGTATAATGCCAATCATTCGTTTACTTCTTCATTATAATTTCTCATTTGGGCAGATGGGCACCTTCTCCCTTTGTTCTTCTTGTGTCGTTAACATTATTCCCGTATGATTCACGAGTATTTTTACTTCTTGGCCATATAGATGGGAGTTTCACTACTTGGAATCGAGGCTCAATACATCTCTCAATGAACCAACTTCTGAGTTTACTGTCAATAAGTGTAGATATTTTAGGAACATCTTGTAGTTTTGCCCTTGCTCCAATGAGTGACTTGACAGTGAATTCAAGTCTGTAGTCAGGTGAAAACAGAAACATGAGTGCCGCTCCTTCAACTTGGGAGGAATCATTATTGGAAGTGGAAGATGACGCAGAAGTGTCATCAGGGGTACCATTTGCATTCGTAGACAAGCTACCACCACCATTAATTGGGGTAGTGGTGGTAGGACTTGGTCCTTCTACAGTTTGTGATCTGGGACTAGCAGTCTCGGATCGGCCATTTATGGGTGGTGTAATAGGAATGTTTCTATTTTCAGACGTCTTATTAGAATTTCCCGAATTTGATGTTGACATTCCAACTGATGAGGGGGACACCAGTGAACTATCTGATTTATTGTTCTCCTTTTCATTTTTCTTTAATTCATTCTCTCTAGCAAATTCTTGATCATTAGTATTGATCAATGAGACAGTAAGACACCCAGAGAATCGCACGATGGAGACAGACAATTGCACTGGCAATACCGCAGTTAATGGCACGGGATGGTTCAATAAAAGCTTTGTTTCAATACCCAAGGTAAGAGTGTCAGACAAATCAACATCAATTTTAGCCTCAAGCCTTCCGGATCCATCTTCACTATGTTTAATTCTACAATTTGAAAATATTGGGAAATCATCACCAACATCAATTTCAGTCAATTTGATGGTATCAAGGTAGTCAGGCATATCTCCTCGAGATAAAAACTCATTAAGAGAATGGTAGATGTTGTCAGAAACAAGAGCTTCACTTCTAAGTTGAGAAATCATTTGAGCAATCAAGACATTGAACCAATCCAATGATTCTGGATTATGATTATTGACATCATAGTAAGTTTTCTCAAGTATACTGGAGAGCTTAGATTGTGAGTCTGACAATGTATCATCTGTCATATGGTCTCCATTGTTCCCACTACCCAGCAGCAGCCCATCTCGGTTATTTTTGCCCCCCTTCTTGTTCCGCTTGACAATGACACCAGATATGTCCTTTGTCTTATTGGTGGTTCCAGCCTCTATGGCTGAAGGCTCAGCAAAAACGAAAAACTTGACAAATATGGCAATCACTACAAATATACTCAATTGTCCAAGAAGAAGTCCCTGTGTAAAACTCCAAGTATTCCCCGACATTGTGGTCTTGGTAGACGGTACAGACAATGGACCATGGGGATATGCTGCTGCCATGGCAGAAGCCCCATCAACCCCCATGAAAAATTCCCGTTGATGGCGGAAGAGTTCTTCTTGATGAAGTTTCAATTGTTCCTGTATTTGTTCAAAGGTGAGCCTCTGTAATTGGTCTTGTGAAAGCATAGAGTTGGTGGATAGTGTGGTCGACCCAGCAGACGCCTCAGTGGATTTACCAACTTTCTCATTGGTTTGTTCATGGACTTGTTGTTTCCCTTCAACCTCAGTAGATGATACTACTTTGTTCATATTGGATATGTAATTGCTAGCGTCCTCCATAATCTCTTGGCGGGGATTCTTATAATTATAAATCTTGACCTCTTCTATAATGTCCAAGACTATTCTATCCACCAACTAGAAGGTCCTACAATCTACTTTACTTTATACTGTAAAAACTCTCTCAAATGATTTTACATCCCCAGAAAACCCATATAGACTATATACAGGAATTTCAAACTAAAACTATAAGGGAAATGTAACTAAATATTTTTTTGGGAACAAATTATCCAATGTCAGTGTAAATGCATTCCTTTTATTAGGAAATAGAACTGTTCTATATTCGCGCTTTTAGTATACGTGCCCCCCCCCCCCTCCAAGAGAAAGGCGAAAAAAAAAATGAAGAAATAAAAAGGACAGCATCAACCGAATTCTTGTATGCTTATCTGTTTGCACTTATCAACTTCTCTCCTTTCTCCCTCACTTCTAATTCTACTCAAACTCATCTACAATCACTCTATGTTTCAATTTTGTTTTCTATTAAAATCAGATACTAAATTATAAATTCATTCATGTATTATGCTGCCTTCTTGGTTCTCTTGTTCCCAATCTTCTTAACCTTCTTTGGACTTGACGTTGCTGATGATGCAGTAGATGATCTTGTGACCACATTAGGACTAGGTTTTTTGGAAATGGTGCTAGATACTAATGTGGTATTGGTAGAGTCTCCCTCATCATTGGTGGAGTATTCATCATGAGAATCTTCACGTTTCATCCATTCCTTAACATTGGAGAAAAGTGATTTCCTTTCTGGTCTGTTAAGATCCTTATTGGCATTCCCAATGTATTTAGCAGCAAAATCGGTTAATGGTGAAGAAGTACGAGAATTAAGAGTAGATGCATTATCTTCCACATCACTATTGAAACTTGCTTGTTCCAAAAATGAGGCCATATCAAATTTTTTACCTCTCATATACTCTCTAACTTCAAAATATAAATCTCTTGAGACATTATTGATATTGGTTTGATTTTTCTTCCAATAAGTTCTGAAATCATTTATATGTTTCTTGAATTCTAATTCATTTTTTTTCAACCAACTGACATTAAGTTCCTTTCTAGTGGCTCCACGGGCAAAATTTCTCATCAAATACTTGTCATAATCTCTAATAATTTTAGTAATGATATCACTGGTTGAGATTCCTTCAGTTCTTTGGGTGGTGAGAAACATCCCCATTTCTTTAATTGGCTTATAGATATCGTCTGAATCGGTGGAAGCATAAGGTAAGTCATCATGGGCAACATAATCAATCTTATGTTCCAAAAGGAAAGCTGTGGTGACACACCATGGCGCATTGGGGATAACTTCATCAACCCATCTACAATGCTTCAAGGTTTCTATTCTTTGTTGATCGGTCAACACAGTAAGTCCCTTTCTCTTGTGGGTTTCCACATCAGAAGGTACTCCACATACCAATTCAACACTTGGGAATGCCTTTTTAGCTTGTTCCAATTGTTTCATATGTCCCAAATGGAAAAGGTCAAACACCCCATCGGCATAAATTCTAATTGGTCTATCCTTTGGAGGAATGTTGAATTTGTAACCATTTGGTCTGAATTTACGGAGATCTTCAGGTAATTCTTCATCCAATTTTTTTTCATTAGCTTCAAATTCTTCTTCTGCCTTTGTTTTAACTTTTCTACGTTTACGGGTGGATTCCTCATTTCCATTGGAGGCACCGTTTGTGTCCTCACCTGCTAACACATAATCTTCTGCAGACTCATCGTCTTCATCTTCATTAGCAGACTCGTTTGGGGTTTCAATTGTATCATCAAGACTTCTCTTATTGGACTTTCTTTTAAATAATGACAGAATTGAATCTACAGAAAGAGTTCGGACAAGTGGGTTTGGTCTACTGCCCGCCAGACTCTTACTGTTAATGCTGACGTTATCCTTTTTACTATTCTTAGCCATAGTTGGGTTATATAAGGATATTTGTCAATTCTAAAGTAAAGCAAGTATATGGCAAAAAAAGTGTTACATACTATGGACTGATTACCCTTCTACGCACGTTTGGTTTGTTTTGCGCGCCCACTTTCTGTGCAGATTTGATAATCACATGAAGAAAAATTGCAAACGTGAATGTTGGGATAAAACAAGAGAAAAAAGAATATGGCAAGGGGTTTGACTCTCAGAAGAGGATACTACTATATGTGTATATGGAGCCTATACGTCCTATTAGGCCGATCACATCAAGGCGAAAAGACAGTATAAAAAAAAAAAATAAAATAAAAAGGAAGCGAAGGATACATGTGAAATGCAATCACATGGCATGGCATGGCCGGCACTCTCTATCTTTGTGAAAGTACTCATTTTGAATAATAATTTTTTTTTGTTCTCTCATCCAAAAATTTTTGATCTGACCTGTACATGAGAGAATTAGAATTTGGTGTAAAATTAATTTCTTCTCTGATATGTTGTACCATACATCTATAAGAATACCAGTAATATGTCTAGAATATACTCATTTTCAGATTTAAAGTTTGTGAATCCTTCAACAATTCGTGCCTGGTTCAGAGGCGGATCACCTACTGGAAATGGTCGTTTTGCTGTGATTGATGTGCGTGATTCTGACTATATTGGAGGTCATATCAAAGGTTGTTATCATTATCCTGCGGGAAATTTCCATTATACCCTTCCTGAACTCTACAAAAGATTAATTGATAATGGTATAAATGATGTGGTATTCCATTGTGCACTCTCACAAGTTCGCGGACCTTCGTCAACTCTTAAATTTTTACGTTCAATTAATGATCTTGAAGCAAAAGATCAACAATATTTTGATAATGTAAACGTGTGGGTGTTACGAGGAGGATTCACTAAATGGCAAGAAGAGTACGGTAAGGATCTTGAGGTCACCGAAGGATATGACGAAGAGATATGGAGTTTTGGTTCGTGAAGAAAAGAAACTTACTCTGTGTGTAAGTTTAATATGGGTTGATCTGACCTCCACAAAAACATAATCATTCACTCTTAAACTCTCCTTAAAATATTCTAAAAAAAGATTTGGCCTGAGCCGCACAAAATGATTTAAACCAAACGGTGAGATTTCACAGTAATGGTGGAGTCACAAGTTCCTGCCAAGAAGGCTCAGTTTACTTACATTAACCCATCCAGCGTAGGAATGTTACATAGTGAGTGGCAGAACACTCTACTAATGTGCTGAACTTGGAATGACCTAATTGTTCGATTCCAGGTAAAATCTCAGGATTTGCTTCGGTGTCGTCTTTTGCTCAGCCTGAAGACGCGAACCGTGTTAAACAAATTCGCGTGCACCTTATAAGCCTTGGAAAAAAATAGAAATAATAATAAAAAAAAAAAAAAATAATGCTGGCATAGTGTCCCAGTTTAGCATAGATCCATGTACTATATATATACCACATAAAAGTCGCTTGTAACCTCAGTAGTTGTCAGTAGTATTTCTATACAATCCAACCTTTGCCATGAAGATCAATACCTCAATTTCATTGGGCTCTCTTGGCCTTATAACTAGAATATTTGCAGCATCATGTAATCCACTAGAATCTACAAGCTGTAGTTCTGACCCTGCGTTAGGATCGACTATCGAGTTAGATTTCTCATCTTCTTCTTCACAATTCAAACCCACATCTTCCAAAGGCTCGATATCATATTCTGAAAATAATGGGGTGGAACTCACCATCAATGAGCAAAACGATAACCCGGGCTTGAAGTCCGATTTCTATATAATGTTTGGACGCGTTGAAGTTCACATGAAGGCTGGGAGTGGCCAGGGAATAGTGTCATCATTTTTCCTTCAATCTGACGATTTAGATGAAATAGATATCGAATTATTTGGCACTGATACCACTCAATTCCAATCCAATTTTTTTTCAAAGGGTAACACGGCCACATACGACCGTGGTGAATATCATTCCACTAGTGGAGCCCCACAAGATTCATATTACAACTACACCTTAGTGTGGACGCTGGACCAATTAGAATGGTGGTTTGAGGGAACTCTTGAAAGAACCTTACTCAGTACAACCCCAGAGGGATATCCACAAACACCAATGTACTTGTCCATGGGGATTTGGGCTGGAGGAGATCCATCTAACCAAGAGGGAACCATTGAATGGGCTGGAGGTTTGACTGACTATAGTAAAGCTCCTTTCACCATGTCTATAAATAAATTGATAGTTTCTGACTACTCTACAGGGACCTCTTATTCATATGGAGATACTTCTGGTGATTGGACTTCAATTAAATCTGATGGAGGTTCAATCAATGGTAATTCTGATGGAAGTAACACTAATACCCAGGTGATTAAGTCAACTTCAAAAGCTTCTTCATCTAGCACTTCATCTAGCACTTCATCTAGCACTTCATCTAGCACTTCGACCAGCTCCTCAACATCTTCATCTAGCACTTCAACCAGTTCCTCTTCATCTTCAAAAAGCTCAACTACATCAAAGAGTTCATCCACTACGTCATCGGAAGTAACTACCTCGAGCTCAACTACTTCATTAAAGAGCTCACCCACAACTTCCGAAAGCTCCTCTACCAGCTCATCCACATCATCAAATTCCTCTGCATCTCAAAATTCTGAATCATCTTCTAGTACTTCTGCATCTCATGGATCAACCCTTTCCACCGTCGCATCTACTGGAATCACAAAGGGAGATAACATACTGACTTCCTCTGCAGACCCTTCCAGTACTGGCTCAAGTTCAAGTTCTAGTTCCAGTTCTAGCTCCAGCTCATCTACTGCAAGTTCTACCACGGGAAATATCGCTAACCACTCCTCAAATCTTAATGGATTCTGGATGATCCCAATAACCTTCTTATGGCTTATCCTTTAATTCTAAATACAATAAATGATGGTGTTATAAAATATATTTTACATGTGTAGTTTAATTATATAAAAAAATCTACTCTTCTAATTTTAATCAAATAAGACTAGGTGGCTCCTGATACGACTGTTGATGAAACTGTTGCTGTTGCTGTGGCAGTTGAAACTGTTGAGATGGCCATGCTGCCTGTCCTTGGAATTGTTGTGGTTGCCATGCCTGCTGTTGGCCATAAGTTTGCTGAGGTTGTAATGACATTCTTGCATTATTCAAAAGTGTTTGCTGTCTAGTTGCTTCTTGTGTCTCAGGGAAAACCGAAACAGTTGGCAAATTCTCCAAACCACCAGCAGTTGGCTGAGTCTTCAATGGTTGTTGTTGTTGAGTCCCAGAAGCAGCAACGTTATTGAACAAATTTGTGGTTGTTTGAGATACTTTGAAAGGATTTCCAGTCGAATTGGATGCAAGACTTGGTGCTTGTTGAGTTGATGGTTGATTGAATGTAAATGACGTGGTCCCACTATTCAGTGAAAATCTAGTATTAGCAAATGGATTGGCAGATCCAGTTGATGCTGGTTGCAATGGTGCATTTCCTGTCATACTGGCAAATGGGTTTGTATCAGATCTTGTTAATCCTCCAGATGTGCCATTCATTGGAATGCCAGCAACTCCAGTCCCAGTGGGTTGAAGGAATGGGTTACCAGTTGATTGTTGTGGAATTTGCGCACCATATCCTCCAAATCCTGCTCCAGTGAAATTGGAAGTAAATTGTGAAGGAATTTGTTGTGGTTGAACCTGTTGTTGAGTTTGCTGTTGTTGAAGTTGAAGTTGTTGTTGTTGAAGTTGTTGCTGTTGAAGTTGTTGTTGTTGTTGTTGTTGAAGTTGTTGCTGTTGAAGTTGTTGTTGCTGTTGTTGTTGGAGTTCAAGTTGTTGTTGAAGCTGTTGTTGTTGGAGTTGTTCCTGTTGTTGTTGTTGCTGTTGGAGTTGTTGTTGCTGTTGTTGGAATTGAAATTGTTGTTGCTGTTGAGGATCATATGCCAATTGCTGAGGATTAATCTGTTGTTGTTGTAAATGTTGTCCATCCAATAAATTACCCCATGGATTGTAGGTACTCTGTTGAACAATCAATGATGTAACCCTATCATTTTCAACACCTGTTTTTTGAGATGGTACCCCGACTGAAACTGGAGTTTGCAGTTTCAGAGTAGTATCTTTATTCCCGTTTTGTTTGGATTTCTTCCCATCCTTTTCTGCCAAATATTGTCTTCTATTTAATTCAAAATTTGGATCATCCAAATATTCTTCTAATGAGGATGTTAATGCAGTTGGTGCATGCTTAATGGTTGGAACGTGTAACTTTGTGGCATATTCAAGATGTTTAGCAACTCGAAGATAATCAATTACATATTTCGTTTGATCAACAAACTTTTTATATATCTTCAATGATCTTTCAGCATCAATTTTAGACATTTCAAAATAATGTTCTAAAAGATTAATTACTCCTTCATTTAATTCTTGAAATAATGCCAATAAATCATTCACTAATAATCGAAATGCTGTAAGAATAATATCATTATTAATTTCATTTTCCATGAAATTATTTTTCAATAAACTATCAATTTGCTTTTGTACACTTGAACATTCTCTCAAGAGTCCCTTTTCCACCGTTAATGTTCTTAATCTTCCACCAGATTGAGTGGTGGTATTATTTGATCGTTCATCTCGAACATAATCAATGCCTGTCAGATGGAATTGTGCCACTCTGGTTTGTAAATATTTCGAATATTTCACTACAAATCTAACATCATTGTTATATCCTGAAGATTTAGAAATATTTGACAGTGATAAATTTAAAATATCATTCCCATGAGATAAATAATTCAATGTTACATCGCGATCTCCTTCTCTAATCATAATATGCAACACAATCAACAGCTTGTATACCACCGACCATGATGAATCATGAAGTCTTGATTGTAAAGTACGTAAAACTGTCTTGAAGTTTTCATTTCCAACTCCTCCACCTACTCCATCTTCCCAATGAGTTGTCATCAAAATTGGTTCAATATATTTGGGTTTTGGTGCCGCAACCTTCACCTTTGTGGCTCCCTTGACGATCTTTTCATATGTAGTCATCGTGTCAATGTATCCTATGCTTCTATCTATTTAATAATAGGGGTCCTTTTATCCTAGTTTTATTATAATTTAATTTTTTGTAAAAGGGGGGCTATGAGGGAAATGTAACAAATGTAAAAAAAAAAACAAATTCCTCCTTTGCTTTTGTTAATCCTAAATCCTATCCAGCTTTTCCAAATGGTATAGGGTGGACCAATTGTACAATATTAACCTAATTGAGGTCTTTTCAAGATCAAAACCAAGAAATTAAAGAAATATTTCACGTTCTAAAAGTTATCTTCATCTTCAAAAATTCGAAACTGATTCTTACAATTTACCATACAAACCGTTCTCGAGCAATACACGACGACGTTCTTATATACAAGACTCTAAAAAAAGATTATGGAGATTTCGGCAATCGAGGGGAACAAACCGGAATTGATCGGGGGGACGTGTGGTCGTGGGTTCGATCCACTAATCCGGCGAATTATTTAAATATTTGAGAGTGGGAACAGTTGATTAATGAATATTCAGTACCATTTTGTTTAATATTTTTTTTAGTTTGTTATTATTCTATCAATCATAAGTATTCATCTATTTCTTCTTCATACCACCTCTCTTTTCCAAAAAGTCTTTAGCTTCATTCACCTTGGTGGCCAATAATGAAGATCCTCCCTTATCTGGATGGTTAGCCATCATCAACTTTCTATGTTGTTCCTTTAACTTGGCTTGAGACAAGTTTGTTTCCTTCAAGTTAAGGATTTGTAAAGCTTCTCTAGCACTCATTTTTTGACCAAATCCACCTTTCACAAATGCCTTACCGTTAATACCAGGTTGGTTTGATTTAACAAAGCCAGCGGCAAAGTACGCAACACCAAGCGCACCGAATCCAGTGAGCCACGGGTGGTTTCCCATCCACTCACATCCTTGGTCGAAATACCATTCAGCAGATCCTTCTGGAGCCTTCTTCTTTTGAAGGTGGCCAAAACTTTGTATGTGTTGTTGTTGAGCCAAAAGTCTTTCATTTTCAGCCTCTTGAAGTTGTTGGAGTTGTTGAGGTGTGTACTCCTGGCGCTTTTCACCAGGAATGGCCAATGTAGGAATTTCCATAGACATTATATTTACAGTAGATTGGGGAAAGTTTATAGATTTGAAGTTTATTTAAAATTAATTGTGACTCTCTGAAAAAAAAAAGAGAAAGAAAAAAAAAAAAGAATGTTGAAGAAATAACGACACGTGATATATATCACATGAGTATAACTTTACAATTCAGGGTCTTCTACATCAATAGCTTCCTATATAAACATATATAGAATGGATAAGAAATTTTTGAATTTATAGTACTGTCTCGCCAGATAAATGATATTACGTTTAGATTTAAATGTTTTTGATACTTCACCCACCATATTTTTATTGAAATGAAAGATGTTGGTACTCTCCAAGAAGAATACCACAAAGTAGTGGAATATAATTACATCATTCTCTTCATAAACTTCACTATTCTTGTTCATCAGGCTATTAACAATAATACAACATTCTTTAAAAAGAATTATTTCTTACTTGATTGTCGATTTACCCACAAATCCCAAATTCTTTTCGCAGCCATCTACAGTACAAGCTCTTCTCGCTCAGTTAAAAACCACACAAATTATTCAATTAACATCATCCCATCCTCATACATCCATCCACCCCTCACTGTTTTAAACAATTAACTTCCCGTACCTTAACCAACATTTCTTCCATCTATTCATCATCTTTCTTCTTCCGGGTAATACATCACCAAATATCCTGCACAGACCGCATCATCTCAGAATTTGAAGTTTTTTTTTTTTTCTTTTTTTTTTTTCTCAGAAATTTTCATTTTGTATGAGAGAGAAACTTTCGTTATCAAATCCCATCCCATCTCATCTCTCTTTCTTTCATTGAATATTTCCTCAGTAGGTAGACGTGAATAAAACCTTCTTCACATCTTTCAACCTTCACAACCTACGTTGGACTCATACAAGTTAATATAAATTTGCATTAAAGAATTTTTTTCATTAATTTAATTCTTTCCCATCGCCCCCCCATCCCACACAAACAGACTTGAACCCACCCACTTTCAAATCTTAACCGTAACCCACCCCACACACATACAAAGCATACATAATGAGAGTCTACAGTTGTCACTTTTGTTCTTCCCCAGTGTACCCATTGCATGGGATCATGTTCGTTAGAAACGATGCCAAGGAATTCAGATTCTGTCGTTCCAAGTGCCACAAGGCCTTCAAGCAACGTCGTAACCCACGTAAATTGAAATGGACCAAGGCCTTCAGAAAGGCTGCCGGTAAGGAGCTTGTTGTGGATTCCACCTTGACCTTCGCTGCCAGAAGAAACGTCCCAGTCAGATACAACAGAGATTTGGTTGCCACCACCTTGACAGCCATGGCTAGAGTAGATGAAATCAGACAAAGAAGAGAAAGAGCCTTCTACAAGAATAGAATGAGAGGTAACAAGGAAAGAAAGTTGGCTGCCGACAGAAAGTTGGTTGAAGAAAACCCAGTCTTGTTGAAGATGAGAGACGTTGAATTGAGAAGAAAGGCCGAAAGATTGGCTGCTAAGGAAAACGCCATGGAAGAAGACGACGAAGAAGAAATTGCATCGGAAGATATCATGAGCGAAGACGAAGAAATGGAATCCGAATCCGAATCCGAAGCCGAATCCAAGAAGCAAAAGGTTTTGTTGAAGAACAAGAACAAGAAGAGCAAGAGGGTTGCTGCTTAGTTGAAGTTTGTAATTGTAGTATAAAAATATATATATACATCTATTTGTTTAAATAACATTGTAGAGAATGTTTTGTCTAGTAAGGGAGAGAATATCTCGAAAGACAAGTCGCTCTGTTGGCACTCCGTGGGCCGCTATCCATGAGGGCCTTGTTCCTCTAGCGAGGAATATTTGACTAGAAGTGGGGATCTCCTCGTAGAGGAGCTAGGCACCACGCAGCGGCTCTCCCCGAGTAGGGGCCAGCGGAGCGTCTTACACACCCCATAGGGTGGTGGTACTCCCTTCTCTATAAAGTTTGTGGGCCCTTCCACTAGCAATCCATGTACAGTCACATCCTTACACCTTGTTTGTTCTGGTGAAGCTATTCTGGTTGTTCCTGGGGGTCCTGGGGGTCCTGGGAGTATACCTTTAAAGTATGAACCAGAGTCATTCCAATGGTATTGATTCTCCGTTCTCTCTACCAATAAGGCTTCTGATGGTATGATGATTTAATTGGTTCTTCCATAGTTACTTCCTCTCCATCACTTAGTGCTTGCTGTTGTTTCAGAGACATCATCATGGAAACGGTTCGAATATGAGCCTCTGAATGGATGCGCAGTTGTTGAATCTTCTTACGTGAATACTCACATGAATCGTATTCTTCGTCATCTTCATCATTTGAACCTCTTTTCCTATTCATTCTAATTGGCGATGATGTGGGGAGAAATGTGGTCTGACCATAGGTTGGTGTCGTCCTAATTGGACTAGAGCTTGCAAATTCATCACTATTCATTACGCGACGCGGTTTAAATTCTGTTAGAACTGGATTGGAAATATTGCAAAAAAAAAAATAACTATAACCCACGAGTCAAAACAAAAATAAAACCAGCTAGTGTATAATCAATTGTAGATCAAATTCTCTCTTAGATGGACACTTGTAGAAACTCTAAAAAATACTGACAAATGGCACCTATAAAAAAGAATAAAAGAGAAAGTAAAGAGAGTTCTTATTATAAAAAGGCGCGACCGTGGGTGTTTGGGTGTGTAACTAAAGAAAATTAAATGTTAAGATAAAGTGAAGAGATTGACATAATTGATAGTGCTAATCATTCATTAAAATATTGATATGACCTCTATAAATCCCAAGAGGGTCAATGGGACTCTAATCAAACACAGTACAAATACCCAACCACAACTGCAAATAGAGAGAGAAACAATATTTCTTGTTAAGTCAAGCACTCCATTTGTATCAGCATTAAAGAGAATCACTAAAATTTTAAATAAGTTTAATAAATTATCTCGAACTAATAAAAGGTTTCAAAATGGAGACTATAAAAAGGTTAAATACATAACAATTAAGGGGATGGGTCGGGCCATGGAAAAAACCCTTTCCTTGGGGTTAAAATTCCAAGAGGAGTTGCAATACAAAACAGAGATCTTGACAAAAAGTATAGAAGTCTTAGATGAGTACAAGATGAATAAAGATGAGAACGGAAATTCAGAATCAGAGTCTGATGATGAAGATAAAGAGACATTGTTTCAAAAAAGAATGGTTAGTTGTATAGAGGTAAGGGTATGGATCAAACGAGAATAAATGGATTTAAATAGATTGGTTTTATTAATGGATCAAATAAATAATAATAATAATGATATAAATGCTAAGGATGACATGTAATGGTGGAGTTTACGTGTATGGGAATGCTATGTGGAATAATTATGATTCAGCTTGATTTATTTTCTGTAAGCATCTCTCCTTTATACTCAAGAGCTCTAAAATGTGTTTCTCAATCTTTGCACTTTTGGCAACTTTTATACCAGCAGCCTCATATTCAGATTGCTTTTGCGCTCTAGAAACAGTGGTTCCATCTACCCCGAAAAGAGTTTCTCCTGCCAGTATTAACTCCAAGCATTTGTGATAGTCTCGGTTGAAATATGCCTTTTCACAAGCATGAATGACAACAACTCTGTCACTCTTCCTATTCTCATCAAGAGGATGATTTTCTATTTCTTCATACAACCAATTCTCTGTATTCAAAAAGGGACCCTCTGCGTAGTACTGCAGTCGTTGGATCTGGTACTCCTCCTCGGTTTGAGGTTTCCTCACTTTCGTAGACTTCTTAGGAGGTTGTGACATGATATGGTTAGTGGTATTGGTGATAAACTATCACTATCAAAGCGTTAACTTTTTTTTTTTTTGTATACAGATTCTTTTTTTTTCTCGTGCATTGCAATTTTAGAGAGACCCTCCTCTTTTTACATTTTAGGGACGACAAAATTCCATCGAATAAATAATATTGAACTTACAATGTCTCGATATTTGTTTCATATACAGAACATCTATCGATATGAATAGATTAGTTTTTATTTAGTTTTGATAATTGCAATAAAACTACTCCTGTCTATGTATAGTAATCGTGAAGATTTTTGAGTAGGTAAAAGGCAGAGAGTACCAGGGGAGATTTGTAGTAAAAAGTTGGAAACAAAGTAACATCTATGGAATATAATTGGGGGATTGATATCGAAGAAAGTTGTGTGTATCAATCTAAGACTCCTGTCAAGATATGATATTACTTGGCCCCCTCATCTATTTCTAAATTGGTAATAGAAATTTAACATTTAAACTTTGTAGGTTATATTTTAAATGGGAAAAAAAAAATAGAAAATGAAATGTATATAGTGTTGCTTAGCATCTAAAGGATTATAGAGCACATAATCACACCTATCTAATGAATTAAAAAATAAGTTATTAGACGAGACTGGGTCTTTGCAATAGATACCTCTGATTTAACAACCAAAAAAATAAAGGTAGAAAAAGAAATCAAATGAAATGAATATAATACGTAATTGATCTGTGCAGTCAGACAGCAAGAATCTCAATAGAAAAAGCGAACATCGGAGGTAATCACTAAGTAATAGCCAAGTAGAGCAAGTACCAGAGATAATCTAAGGTGTACTATTATTGACTAATAGTTTCTTGTGCCTATACCCCCATTCCTGGGTTTAGTTATAATCATATTTGATTCAAGGTAAAGATTTGAGACAATTCAACTAATATTCCTACAAAGTCGAAAATATCCAGATATTTCATTTTATTTTAGTTTTTTTTTCTTTGACCAGTTATTCTAGAAAGACACCATCCAAAGGCTCTTAACCTAGAAGACATTGATTAACATCTGGATAAATTACCAGATCCCCACAGCGATTAGTGGTCAAAAAGTAATCTACACATTTTTTACCAATATATATACGAAAGGTTCCCATTTTGTGCGGGATCTGTAACACCGCGCAAAGTATACCAACAAAGAATTTTTATCAAGGGATAAATAAATAGATAGAGTTGCCTTTATCACTAGAGGCTTACTGGATTTACGAGTCAATTGCGCACTAAAGCTTCAAAAGTCGAATACTTTGTTCAATTAAGTATTCTTGGGTAGGTGTTCTCTTTCTTTTCATTCTTATTTCTGTTTCTTCTTGTTTCTTTTTAAAAATAAATTTCGATCAATATTTATTACAACTACCACTATTCTTTGAAGTAAACAAAGTATTAAAAGAAGAAAAGATAGGAATAGGACAATGATCAATTTCAGTGGACAAACTAATAAAAGAGTGGTTAACCTTGGTTCTAGTAGGAACTCTAGGAATAACTCACGGGTGGGGCGAATCGGTGGGCCCTCTACCACTGGTAACCAATCTGGTAATCACTCAAATAATTCCAACCATTCATTTTTGGAACAATCAAGAATTCAAAGAATTCAACGAGAAGAACAACGGAATAAGGAAAGAGCTGCGAATACCCTTCAACAATATGTCAGTAGATATCTTGAAATGATTGATATTCGAGAGCAAATCCTTGAGAATTGGGAGAATAATCAACCAATATTAACAATCTCATGGATTTATCAATTTAAATTCATTTGTAAATGGACCAATTGTTCACCATTTGAAATTGAAAGGGTATTAAGATTAGCCAAACCGGTAATATATAGCAGTAGCATTATTTCCGAGGATATCCGAAATTGTGGAATTCCTTTGGAGTCCATTCAATCAGTAGTCTCAACCGTGGGGTTATTAATTTGGAAAGCTTCGCGAACCCCTTATACAACAATCAGGAATGAAACAATTAAAATTGGAGCATTAATTCTCTTGAAAGTACAAGATTCTAGACTTAAATATCATGGTATTATTAAAGCCATTCGTGATGTTATCCCACAGGGCAAGGACCCTTTAAATGAGGACCTTCATATAATCCTCAATGAATTAGTATTTGCTATCAATTGCAAAGATTCTTCATTTAATTTTATATCTTATTTAGCTCTGGTTGAACCAACCACCGGTGATCATTTACCGATATTGAGAGATCTTTTCAACCCTACCACAGTTCAACAGGAGAATGAGCTCGATAAGGCAATCTTAAAACTATCCAAACTTGAAAAAATTCATCTTTTAAAATTCTTTTTAAATGTGCACAATAATAATGGGAGCAATAACATTTTTGAATTAATTGATATTAAATGTATTGGGAAGTTATTGTCACATATAACGTTTAGGGTATACCTTGAGGATGACGACAAAGTGAGCCACCCTGGTTCCAACTCGGACGTTTCTGTCGATGCCAGTACGATGGAAAGTATACTGTTGTTATACAGACACGAGTTCATAAATGAACTATTTGATATAATAAAGGAGAAGGATGCCCACAATATGCATACAGAAGTATTACAAGCTCTTTGTACATTAATCTTCTTGTCAATTAGTCATAAGAACAAATTCTGTATGCTTATCACCATCACATCAAATTCATATCCATTAATCTTTTCATTTATTCAATCTCATCCGTTGTATAGATTGTTTTTAAAGAAATCCGATGAAGGTGGAGATTATTTGACTTATCAAGAGTTGTATCAATGTCAGAAGAATACCAGTGCACAAGTTAGTCGTATACCATTTTGGAAACTTATATTTACATTTGAAGAATTATATTCTTATTGGTTAATCGTATCAAATGATGTTGAAAGTTTTTCCAATGATAAATTAACGATGGAACAAATTATTGAATTCATCAAGTTTTTGAAAACCTTGTGTCTTCTGTTGTTGTTTAATCCTTCGAATCCTGGTGATTTAATTGAAAATTATACAAAACTTCTGGATATTTCAATAACTTTACTCAATCAATTGTACTTGAAGAATTTGAGGTTAAGATTTGTTCAAGAATCATTTTGGAAACCTAACGAAATCTTATTTAATATTGATCAGATGTTGATGATAATTGCTGAGCAAGAAGAGAAACGAGTTGAGATGATGATGAATGATTCTGATGAAGATGATCAGGGACAAGAATTAGAACAACTGCAACTGACTTATATATCTCCATTTGCTAGTAGCAGTTCCATGAAAGAAAATGATGATATGTCTATTGATTTTGTTTCAAATATTGATCCTAATTCTTCATCTTCAATGATGGTTAAGTATGAGATATTGAAAAAATTACCATTTTTCGTTCCATTTAAAGATAGAGTTAAGGTATTTCAAACGTTGATTGAGTTGGATAGACAAAGAAGTCTAGGAATAGATCATTTCTCGTACGGTAGTAGACTCAAGGCGGATATTCGAAGAGATTTCTTGTTGGAAGATGCCTTTGAACAATTCCATAAGATTGGGGCAGGATTCAAAAATCCCTTGAGTGTCACATTCTTTAATGAATGGGGACAAGAAGCTGGTATTGATGGAGGTGGTATCACAAAGGAATTCTTAACCAGCGTTGTCACTGAAGGATTTCGACCAGGGGGTAAATTTGGTCTTTTCAAAGAAACGGTTTCCGGAAACCAACTTTATCCAAGCGATGAAATATGTCTTAGACTAAGTAAGAATGTGATTGACAATCAAGCTCCAGGAATTGCCGATGAACAACGTTTAAAATTACAATACTTGAGATTTCTTGGTACTGTCATTGGGAAATGTTTTTATGAAAACGTATTGATTGATATATCTTTTGCTCCATTCTTTCTTACCAAATGGTGTAATGCCAACCGGGGGAACAATAGTTTAAAGAATTCTTTGAATGATTTGCAATATTTAGATGATGAATTGTTTCAAAACTTGATGAAATTAACGTCAATGTCAGAAACTGAATTAAAGCAACTTGACTTGACGTTCTCCATAGACGAAGTTATTGACGACCATACTTATTCGTTTGACTTGATGACCAATGGGTCAAACATCCCGGTGACTACATCCAATAGATTGAACTATATTCATCAAGTTTCGAACTTTAAATTAAATCAACTGCTTCATATTCAAACTAAATATTTTATGGAAGGATTATTTGATATAATTTCCTCAAATTGGCTTAGTATGTTTGATGCATATGAAATCCAACTGTTAATTCTGGGTGGTGAAAGTGATGTTAATATTCAAGATTGGAAGGAGAATGTAGAGTATGGGGGCTATTTCGATGATGATCGAACGGTATTGTTGTTTTGGGAAGTTGTTACTGAAATGACAGCTGAAGAGAGATTCAAATTAATTAAGTTTGTCACCTCAGTATCAAGAGCCCCACTTTTAGGATTTGGGGCATTAAACCCAAAGTTTGGAATTCGGAATTCAGGAAGAAGTGAAGATCGATTACCCACAGCTTCGACATGTGTTAACCTTTTGAAACTCCCTGATTATCAAGACAAGAAAATTGTTCGCGAGAAATTGTTATACGCAATCAATACTGATGCAAGATTTGATTTGAGTTAGAGGGTAAACTTACGTGAATGAGTTGGTAAAAGGGTTGGTAAAGTATTCTTTGGAGAGTCGGTAAAGGTGTTAGTAAAGGTGTTAGTAAATGGGATTAATATATGCGTTAAAATAAAAAAAAATTGGGGGGCCAGTGAGACTGGAAGGGGGGAAAAGGTAAAGTGAAAGAATAAGTGATCAAGGAAGGAGGAACAAAAAAAAGGGGACTGGTGGTTTGATTCACTGCTTTGAAAAGCTACGAACTTCATATGAAAAATTGAAAACTATGACATTTATTATGTATCATATATTAAAAGATTCTAATCAATCAAATTTGCAAGGGTATGGACTGACCCGCAATGCAGGGTCCTTTCAGGAGAATAAAATATTATACATGGGATAAAATACTTTAGTACCAAGGAATTAGTTGAGTTGAGAACAACGAGACAATATCCTCCTTCTAGGTGTTTTTTACTGGATTAACAATAATTGAGAGCAGCCTTAGAACTGTACAAAGTGAAGATGTAATTGTTTAGGACTAGACGCCGTGCTTGATAGCGTCGCTTATATACTATTTTTAAAGATTAATCTAATAAGAAATATGATATTAAAATTGAAAATTAGAAAATTACAATTACATGACCAACAAAGACCGTAAGATTTATTAAGGGTGAATAAGAGACTTCCTTCTTGCCTAGCCACGCTTTAACAATTTGAAAACTTGAGTTGTTTGCACTGGGGATTTGAGGTGCGGCGTTCAAATATTTGGCGCGGTTAAGACATATGCATGATTGTTTGCGATAGAACATTTTTTGGTGGAGGAATAATTTTCTATATATTTATACGGCTAAGCTAGTTTTAGCAAGTTAAATAAGGGATGCTTGCATGGAGGATATGTTTGCGGCAATATGCTGGCAATGGCCTTGTGAACAGGAGAAAAATGGCCATTTCTATGGCATCTTCAATTAGAATGATTCACCAAACGGCTAGTAATCGAATGATTAACCCATTATTACCATTTGATGTTTTAGAAGATCTTGAAAATGAGGATCTTGAAGAGGCTAATAATAAGTTGAAGAAGGAAAAGAAGAAACTTGTCAAACAGAAAAAGAAGATTCAAAAGAAGGTTGATAAGGAAAAGGAAGAGGAATCTTCAGAGAAGACAGCTGATGAATTAACAAATGAAGATTTCAAGACCAAGAATGATACAATTCCATTGAAAAAGGCGCTTAGTACTAAGGTGAAGACATTGGAAGTGGAAAAGAAACAAGGTGAAACTACTGAGGGAAATAGCAAAGATGGGAGTGAAAAATTGGACACTGAAGTTAAAAAAGGCGCAGCAAAGTCAGGTGAGAACAACACTGATGAGAGTAAATCTGAGAAGCCAACTTCAAGTAAACCAGTTGGTAGTGGATCAGCTGCTGTTTCTGCTGGAAGTGCAAGCTCTACTGGCAAACCCACTGGAAATTCTGCTGGAAATTCTTCTGAAAACTCTACTCCTGCCAATTCAGGGTCTGGTTCTGGAGGTAAACCTCCTTCAGATGATAATCCAGAAACTCCAGAAAGTTCTGATAAGGATAAAGAATTAGAAAGAAAGAAAAAGGAGGCAGAGGAACAAAAGGCAAAGGAAGAAGAGGAGGAGGAGGAGGAAGAAGAAGAGGCTGAAGAGGAAGAAGAAGAAAAAACCAGTAGATTTAGAGAATCAATGGATAGATTCATGAGATTCTGTTTTAAATGCCTTGAAACTATGGGGATCACATTTAGTTCTGTGGCCATCTTGGGGGTTGCGGGAGTAGTTTACCATAAGTATTATGCTGTTCATGTTTTAGATAAGATCGACCAAGCATTTGATGTTGGAGACCCAGCATTCCAACTTGTTGTTAACAAACGTACCAACAAACATACTGAGGGCGATGCCACGGATGACAAGTATGATATTTCTCAATTTTGGGCGCAACGTCCTCAACAGCAACTTTTAGATGATATCATAGCTGGGAATATTGTTGGAAGATATTTCCTTGTGATTGGAGAAAAGGGAACTGGGAAAACTTCATTGCTTTTGGAGGCAATGAAGAAAATCAATGGTTATAACGTTGCCATCTTTGATGCACATGCAGACCCTGAGATTTTTAGACTTAGATTAGGGAAAGCATTAAACTTTGCATATTCTGAAGATTATATTGGATCATTATTCAGTATTAGAGGACCAAGAGATACCACTGCATTATTAGATATTGAACGAGCGTTTGGAAAACTTGAAGAATTAGCAATGAAGAGAATTCAAAAAAATAAGGGTAGACCATTAGTGTTGATTATTAATAATTCTCATTTAATTAAAGAGAATGAAGATGGAGCTAAACTTATTGAATTACTTCAACAAAAGGCTGAAAGTTTAAGTGGGGCAGGATTAGCTACGATTATTTTTAATTCTGATGATTATTGGGTATATGAGAAATTAAAGAAATTAGGTACTAGACTTGAAGTGATTAATGTTCGAGATTTTGGACGTCATGAAGCAGTTAAGGCACTTAAATTTACTAGAGAAAAGTTTTTCCCATCATATAAACATCCAGAATATAAACTTGAAGATCAATTATGTCATCAAATTTATGATTTAATTGGTGGTAGACCTCAACACATTTCGCAAGTGGCAAGACATAAGGATATTTTGAAAGCATGTCATGAAATCATTGATAGAGAAAAGACATGGTTTTTAAATCAATGTGGACTTTTGGGAATGGATATGGATGATGACGTGATGGAAAGTGGGAAATTTTCAACTAGTGCCATGTTATTGATGAAAGAATTTGTCAATATGGATAGAAATAGATTCAATACTTTATTATCACAAGAACATCCATCAAAGAAGGATGAACTTAAAGATCATCATTTACCAGAGTTACCACTTTGGAGATCTAGACAAATCATGACAAGAGGTGATTATATTCAACAATATGATAATCTCAATATTTTCACCATTGATTCAGAATCAAGAGTAAGAGCTGATAGTGTCCCTATGATGAGAGCATTCCATGAGATTGCATCACAACCACAATTTGATGATCTTTTGGAGGAAACCATGCAAAGAGTTGCTGATATTGAATCACTTGGAAGAACTAGAGAACTTGTTGCTAAAGATTTGGTATTAGGAGGGAAATATCAAATTAAAAAGCAAGAAAATGAGAAATATTCATTTACTTTAAAGGGAGGAAGTGCAGACATTCAACATAACTCTGGTAATGATGAAGAAAATGATGATGATGATATGTTTTTAGAAGACATTAAAAGAGGAGAGCATAAGAAATGGTGGAGAAAAAGAATGCTTACATTTGATCAATCTTATTCACCACCACCAAAGAATAATAACGATATTGATCTCGGACGTATTGATGAATAAAAGGTAAAAGTTGTCGGGGTTTTCTTGATATGCACCCCCAACGGTTTAGAACTGTAAATACGAGAAAAAATATACAACGTATACGAGCCATGACAAAGTGTAGTGCATATAATATGGGTTTGATCGAGATTAATGATTCCGTGGAATAACCGAAAAATCTAGAGGATGATCCGAGAGTAGTATACTCAGAATAGCTCTTGGTGGTGTTACAAAGAAATATACGACCATGTGCCTTTGGGGGCTGACAAAAAAAAAAAAAAACCAATTGGAAAAATGCTGAAAAAAAAAAAAACAATTTTGTAGCTTGGGCTCAAGGCGGACAAAGAAAAGATGGGTGACCCACCAACCGGAACGGACTCTATGAGAGAGTCCGTTCCGTTGAGTGGCTTTGTGCTGCTATGTTTATGCTTGAGCAGCTAAGGCGACGACTTACGTGGCATGCACGTCAATCCCATGCCTGATGAAGACTAAAAAAATAACAAATCTCGTCTTTTCCTAGTGCTTGAAAAAAAAAAAAAGATCTCCGGAAAAACAATCTAGGCGGTGAGGGGGGGAGAACTCGGGAAACCTCGTAAGAATTGCAACACGGAAATACGGAAATAAGGAAATACGGAGTTATGGAGTTACGGAAATATAGAAATCATTGACGTCAACGGTAAGAGAAAAGGAGAGAATCTCCATCGGAACGGAACCCCGGTGGGTCGTATAAAAACGAAGATGGTAAAAAAATACTTCAGAATGAATGTTATTTCAATGTGGGAATAATATTACCGAAAAATTTTCTTAAGTGAGCAAGTTACGTGTTTCTCTAACATGTACATGGTTTGTATGATGGTTCGAGACTCAATGGTTATAAAATTTCATATTGATTGTTTTTTCCGCATCAGAATTTTTTTTCGTTCTTTATTTTTTTTAACCTTTTATTAAACTTTGGTCGTGCATGAATGTGTACTATGAGGTGTGAATTTCAAATTTATTTACGTTAACTCAGCCTCTACGTACACTTTAGAAATTTGATGAAGTGTAGAGGGTGTATCGTAGAGTAAAATGTACATATCTAGAAACATTGTAACGGTACCTTAGTGTGTGATCTTTCAGATAATATAGAATGGAATTGGCAATTAGCAATTGGGAATGGGAATGGGAATTGGAATTGGAAATTGGAAATCGGGATTGGAATTATGAGTAGCTATCTGCACTCCACATCTAATGATTTAGAACCCAAATGCCGCGGGGTGAGCGGGGTCGATAGTGCTCAACGGCGACGACGATTGTTGATTCTATTGGACCTACGGAAGATGGAGAAAAAAAGTTTTTACCATTGTTTTTTTTTTTTTTTTTATCATTCTATTTTTTTTTCGTACACCTGCCAGGATTTTAAGAAAGTTCTAAATTGTAACCGTAAGATCGAGTAGGACAACGGAAGAAAACATTCGATTGGAAAGCGGATTTGACTGAAATTCAGGAGAATGAAACAAGGGTTCATAGAGTACAACTAAAGGTAGGTGGAATTAAGAAAATGCCGCCAGCTTGAACTGCTATTATTGGAGGGGCATAGTAACCGCAAGGCACATGCATACTTCTTTCCCCTTTTTCACAATGCATCTGCAGTTCTTTCGCAGATGGAGTACTTTCGCTTCCGCCTGAGTCAGATCTTCGTAAAAACTTTATGACTTTTACTGGCACAATCTGAGATTTTTTGACCGTCCAACGTCTTAAAAATCGCCCCAATCCCGATTCATGGCGAGTCCGTTTACCTTAAAGAATGACAGAGTGAAATCTATAGATATGAATTTCATACTAGAATCAAGGTTTATTAGAGCATTTTTTTTCCTTCCTTTTCACTTCGTATCCGCACCTGATGCATATAAAATTGGTAAATGTGCATGCGCCTCATCTCTCTTATATACACTTTTGGGCACGCACACGCTCTCTGAAACGCGTCCTTTATGTGGCACAATAAGCTCTTACCACGCATGTGGATCCGTATATTACAATCTTTACGATACAAGAGCGAACTAAAACAATTCCCCACGACCTAACTCAAAAGTTAAATCTTCCATCATCAATAACAATATATGTGACTTACTATTTGACTTAGAATAAATTGTAAGAGTTTCAATGAGTTTAAAATATGAGAATGTGTTAACCATCCTTTGTCATGAGAATTTTTTACACTCTTTAATTTTTACACTTTACACCAAAAAACTCTACTCTTTATAGTCTTAGTCGTCACACAATAAAAATACAAGTAATGTAATGCTTTTCTTTGTCCTATTCTATATTGATACCTTGTTAAATTCCGCGTTTTATTACGCATAATTGAAATTCTCTTGTTGGTACCTTGAATCGGCTGTACCATACTGCAACTTTGCCTCTGGTATGTTTTTTTTTTCAATAAACTTAATCATTGTTTTTAAAATTATTATTGTTTTTTGTACAATAGCTTGCATGTTCCCCCTAGCTCATATCTGTATCATTATCGTCATTTGTTCTACTCCGTCTACACCCAAGTACATTATATACGGAATACACCACTGCAGAGATGCACAGAGTGGAAAGGTCTCCTGCATGTCTGTGATCCCCGTTTTGACGTTCACTTGAGTACGTAATTGTCCACGTATATTATTTGTCTTGCCGTTTTTTTTTTATGACCTTGGCTTAAAAAAAAATCTTATGGGTCTCCTGAGTTTCTTCCTGAAATTTCTTATAATGTCCTCTATTTGATTCTCTTCTTCTTACACTTATTCCTTCTTGATATTCACTGACAATTGCAATCGCTGGTGCAGAGAGGTACGCGAACTTGCATGCAACTCTTAACACATTTGAAGAGCTTCGCAGAATTAAAACTTCACTCACCACCATCATTCAACCTTCACTATTTTAGATTGTAACATCCCCCCAAGAAATCTATTCAAAATATTAAAATAAAAATTAAAGAAAAAAATAAAAAATAAAAAAAAATAAAATCCCGTATTCAAAAAATAAATAAAAAAACAATTATTAAAAAAAAAAACAATCCAAATAAAATTATTATTATTAAAAATACTCACCAAAAAGTAAGGAAAAGTAGTTAGGAGAAAATAATAAAAAAATAAAGACTGGGAACCTTCTGAATTAACATTCTCAGTATCCAACTTTATTAACGAAAAAGCAATTGCACAAAAAAAACACTGTTGCAAGAGTATCAACACCACAAATTTACGGAACCAAAGTGGGCCATCCACATTCTTTTTTCGGCCGAGAAACTCACATAGAGAACAACGAGTTAAAAAAAAATTCAAGAGAGCAGAAAAAAAAAAAAAAAAAAACCAAACCTGGCCAGGCATTTACAGCAGCTTTTTTTTTTGTTTTAAATCTGCCTAAACTATTTCTCTTGCGTAACGGTTAAAACCGCAACCCCCGATTAGAAAAGACATTGGTAATTATTTATTAAATTTTTTTTTTTTTTTTGGGAGCTAACGCACTTTGTATGATCTAGGAGAAAGGAGATTTCGTACTTAGAGATAAAACTATACATGTTTATATGGACGATTTCCATCAAACATTGAACATTTCATCGACATATCCACCACCTCATCTGGTGCTGAAAATAGATTTGATGACCACCACTGCGGCATCTACCACGGCGAGCACCGCATCTACACAACCGTCTAGTCTAGACACATCACCTGTTCTGCCCAACCCTCAGCCACAGCACCTCCATCCCCATCAACAAAGCTCATCTGGTCCAGTGACTCGGGCTGCGCCACCTACAACCATGACCGCTGCAAATAACGAACCGTCCACATCAGCTCCGACTTCTACTTCATCTTCAACTTCCACCTCCACTTCCACCTCAACTTCAACTTCAACTTCTTCTACTTCTGCATCAGAATCATCTATATCTAAAAAGAAGAAGAACTCTAGACGAAAACATCGAAACTCCCACTTGGGATGCGGTACATGTAAAAAGAGAAGAATTAAATGTGATGAAAACTTGCCAAGTTGTCTCAATTGTCTAAAGGGGAAATTACATTGTGCATATTTAAATTTAGATGCTCCTGCTAGAAATGCCTTGAGAATGGCACAATACAATCAGAATTTGCGCCAGGACAGACAACTTCAAGACCTGCCCAATGAGATGGATATTCTTTCACATCCACATCCACCACCTCCAATTCCTCAACAAGTTCAACTTGCCGCTCAGGGCCAATCTCAACTTGGTCATATTCCTGGAGTGGTTCCTAATATGGGTGATGGTGGGATGATGATACCACCTCAACATGATGTTAAACTTGTCTCGAACATGGGTCCACATTACCAGCCCAATGGAGCTGGTCCAACTGCTTTCACAGTTCCGTATCCTATCATACAAACATCTTCACCAATGAACTTGCCTACAGGTATGGTTCAAGGTCAAGGAGGGAGAATGATTCAAGGTCATTACGGGTTTGTTATCCCCAGTGTTGCCATTCCAACTTATTCTCAGGGTATTCCTGTTCAAGCACAACAAGTGGGCACAATGCCTCATGTGATTGGATATCCTGCACTGGGAGTAGTTGGAGTCTCTCCAATTCCTGAGCAACAGAATATAAAGCAAGAGCAGCTTCAAATGCAGCAACAGCAACAATTTCAACAATTTCAACAGATTCAACAACACCAATATCAGCAACAACAACAACAACAACAACAACAACAACAACAACAGCAACAACAACAACAGCAACAACAACAGCAACAACAGCAACAACAGCAACAACAGCAACAACAACAGCAACAGCAACAACAACAGCATCATCATCATCAAATCCAACAACAACTCCAAGAACAACAACATCAACACGTGCATTCGGCACCTTCACAGGTTCCACATCCCCCCATATATACACAAAATATTCCTCAAATATTGACCAAGGCTGACATAAAAAATGAAGAACAAGGTTCATTCACATCATCTTCGATACCTACCACAACGGTCAATTTGTCACCTCCAAATGCCACGCAAGCGTCAGCTCTGGCACCACCTTACCTCACGTCGTCAAAAACAAGCCCACATCCACAACACTCTGTGGTCAATCCACATAGTTCAACATTACCAGGGATTCTGGTGAAAGCCGCTAATGTCAGTGGTGGTAACTCTCCATTACTCCCTCCCATAAAGGCTGGTGACTCCACGCCTAATGACTCCGTCAAGCATACCGTTATCGGATCATCAGATAGTGTGGGCAGCGTACACAGCATAGAGGAGAAGGATGTAATGTTACCACCCATCAAAGCTCCTAATGTGAATGAAATGGATATTAAAATTGAGGGTAAAATGCCCAATATTTCCAAATTACTTTCGTAATATTTTGGAGATGTAATGATAATGAATAGGTTTTTAGAAAAAAAATTAGCATAAATGTATTTTAGTCATTATTAGCATTATATGTAGTAAATAAAAGGAAATACCATACTTCAATGGGTATAGTATTGGGTGTTTCTTCATCTAGAGTAGATGCAAAAAAAAATGATGCCTTCAGCCAGATTCGAACTGACGATCTCCTCATTACTAGTGAGGTGCCTTACCAACTTGGCCATAAAGGCGAATAAAATTCGAAGAAGTCTCCTGGGGGTGAGTCGAACACCCGATCTCAAGATTACTTTGAGGTAAATCATTACAGTCTCGCGCCTTAGCCAGCTTGGCCACCAAGAGGAACTTCATGTCTTATAAATTTTTCTGTTTATTTTGTTTTGAAACTCCATATCAGAAATAAAAAATCTTCTATATCTCTTTAATTAATTGATATTTTTAATATTATATGGTATTGGAGCAGTAATTGACCTTTTAGGCTTCTTATAAAAGTGAATATCATTTACAAAACATATGTATAATGAGAAAAATTACTAATTTATGTTCTCAGGCTATTTTTGATTGTGTGTTTTTTTAGAATTTTGAGGTATCATTTGTACTCCAATCTACTATATCAATCCTGAAATAAATGGTGTTCCGTAATGAGTAATATAATGTGTATTTTTACAATCTTTTTTTATAGCCTACTGTGAAGATAATGGATATTCATGTTTTACTATTTGAATAATGTGAACGAATGCGTGAAGCTATAATGATATCATATTAAGTTAAATGAGTGTGAAGAGATGATAAAAGGACTCCAGCACATATAGTTCTCACTTCTTACTTTTCTTCATAATAAATTTTCGATAGTTTTTTATTGTAATTTAATAAATACTTGAATAAATATATTTTGTGCTGGTAATAATTTTATACTGTAAAAATTCTTTAAGAAAACCCAAGGCGTAATTAAATTATAGGCTTATCCATAGAAGTAGTTACATACACCATCACTTAAAAATTCTCTAATATTGGCGCCTGAAATAAGAGTAGAGGCGTAAAAAAAGTGGTTGCAATATTTACAACTATTTACAAGAAGTGAAGTAGTACAGTTTAAAATAAAGAAAATAAAGTGAGCCAAATTTGCATTAATTGCCTTGTAAAATATGTCCTATCTATACTAATTCTCTGAGTCTACACAATTTTTGCAGAGGACACATAGTGTATAGATGTTAACGTATTCCTCTCTCTTGCAAATTAGTAGTTATGGTGGCTAACTTCAAACGAATATAAAAATCGAATGTTTTACTTTTTTAAGTTTATCATAACATTCTCCTCATTCTCACCTTGTCTGTACCTCTTCTAATTTTAAATTTTATATATATATATATTAGTGACTGAATAACTATTTTTAGGCTCTCACAGATAGTTAGTTTCGTACCTTAAACCAGCGAAAAAAAATAAATAAATAAAAAAAGCATTTCTGCATGGCTGTATTTCCACATTTGGCTCGATTATGGGATACTTCAGGCTTAGATCATGGATATTGTTTCAAAAAAAAAATTGTAACAAATACCCAAATATTTGAAGGCAAAAAAACCCACCTATTCAAAGTAACTACAATTGAGAGGTCAATTATTATTGATACTATATAATGAGTAGTACGAGCGATCAATCGCATAACCAAGATTACCTGGAAGTTCTTGATTCCATGTCTGAGTTCAATTTTAATGTACCGCTGATCAATGTTGAAACTACTTACTGTGGACAAGATCCTGAACCACCCAGAGAAAACCAGCTCTCGACGTCGAATAGATTACCTTCTACATCTTCCACCACGTCTTCTACCGCGTCTTCCTTTGCTAGTCATGGTAGTGTCATTTATGGCAGTGGTAGTCGTCAACATCGTCAATCTGTATACTCCACAATGTCAACCACCAATACTTTATACTCTGCTGGGAATTTCTCTACAGATTCTGAAGTGAAAGATCTTCTTTCAGACAAGCGAACCAATGATAGTTCATCCAAAATGGATGAAGAAGACCTCAAAAGAGAACGATTCAAACAATTATTCCGATCTAGTAAAGTTAAAACAACTAGTCATGTTCATGAAAATCCCCTTGATCAAGAATATTTTGATAATGTAACCAATCGATTAGAACAAAATGTATTTTCACAATCAACAAAATTGAAATTAGAATTAGATTGGGATTATATAATTGAAACCTACTTATTTGGAGATCTGATTGAAAATGTTTTTCATTTAGGAAATTTGGAAAGTTATCAAAGGAACCATGAACTTATGGATTTTTTGTTGAATAGTCATTTAGAGTCAGGAGAATTTAGATTTACTCCAATCCCCACAATAGGCACACATATACCCCAAGAAGAAATACTCGAGGCTATAAAGAGCATTCTTATTCAATTGGATGATTTTAATGATATCTTAACTTTTTATAAAGCAGAATTTGAAACCCATAATGATACCAAGACTTTTAAATCATTGGAAACATTCAACAAATTAGAAACATTTGCTAATAAAAAGGGATTTACATTACCAATGGCTCAATCAATGTTTGGTACATGGTTACTTTCATTTGCCAAAGGTGGTGATGATAGCAATTATAATGATGTTAGAATTATGAATCAATTTAGGAAAGCTGCAAGAATGTCACTCGTTTTAAGGAAATTAAATGAAAATCAATTTTTTGAAGAATGTATAAAAATCTTAAACCGGGAAGAACAAATATCTATACGAAGATTTTTGAAAAAAGATAATGAATTTGCCCTTTGTATGGCCATTTTCAGTATAGCAGAATATTATCAGCATGTTCATGGGTTCGATACTGCAGTGAATTATTGGGAAGCAAATGCCCACTTGACGCGGGACGTTGAAAGTTGCAACATGGCGATTTGGGGGCTTGGAGATGGATTAGGAGGAGGTAATAAAGTTAAGAAGTTGGATCGATTAGGATCTGGTTCAAAACGGAAAAAGTATAATACAAAGAGGAGAATTGCCCATTTATATCGAATATTAATTAAAAATGGAGGAGTTCCAGGTTATGGAACCTCTTGGGTATTCAAAGAGAAGTATGATTAGATACGGAAAATAAATACATAGTAATTAAACTTAACAGAGGATATAATAAAACCATTCAACTTCAGAAGTTATATATATATATATATATATTATGAATGATCATGTAAAGATTTCATGGCAACTCACAATTTAGAAATACGATTTGCGTGCGTTGTGAATTTCGCAGCTTTTTCATTCCCTGCACATATTTCAATATGAAAGATGAGCGAGCATCAAAGCTAAAGACTGACAGAAATAGATTCTGATTAAGATATTACTATAATAATAATAATAAATAATGTCAGAAATAGCTCCTAAATCCGTGTTTTACTGTGGAGTATGTACCTTCCCTCCTGAATACTGTGAGTTTGGTCTTTCCTTCAAGAGATGTAAGGATTGGCTCAAGGAAAATCAAGAAGATTTGTTCGACAAGCTTTATAGTGACGACGCCTTAGCAAATGCTACATCTTCTTTATCTATTGAAAAGCAAGAACAAATCTCCAAGGAATTAGAAAAGAAGCAAGCCAAGGAGGAAAAGAAGTTGGAAAGAGAACTTCAACTTAAGCTTTCATCCAAGGTTACTATTAAGAGAATTGAAAGAAACAAGAGAAAGCATGTTATTGCTATTTCTGGATTAGAAGTCTTTAACATTGACATGAAGAAGCTTGCCAAGACATTTGCTTCCAAATTCGCCACTGGTGCCTCTGTTACCAAGAATGCTGAAAAGAAGGATGAAATCGTGGTTCAAGGTGATGTTAGTGATGAAGCTAAGACTTATATTGAAAAATTATTAGAAGAAAAGGGATTAAATGAAGTCAAGGTTGAACAAATAGATGAAAAGAAGAAGAAGAAGCCTGCTCCAACTGTTATTGGTCAGCAACATTGATGTGTATAAATATATAAAAATAAAGAGATTCATAATAGCAAAAAAAAAATATTGAGATCAAACAAGAAGCATATGATATTGATTATATTATTGATTATATTAAACTGTTCATGAAAATTCAAAGGCAGCAGAACTTGAAAAGGCCCGAACAGGTCTGAAGTCTTCTAAATCTATACACTTCCACAAACTCTTATTCAACAAGATCTTATCGTCGATACGTTCATAGATCAAACTAAGATACCACCAAACCTCAGGGTTGTTGGATCCATATGGCCAGCAATTTGTATATTTTTCCAAATAATTCTTCAACCTTATAACCCCAGCATTCATGTCTGCAGTGGAAATGAATAATGAATTGTCCACTTCATCATCAATAATGAAGAGTTTACACAAACCCAATAATGTTGTTCCAAAGTCCTTACGACTATAATATTCTTCTCTACCCAATATTTCAAGAGATTTCTCAAATTCTTGCAACGATAAAAATTTACGAGTCTTTGACGTTAATAAACCTAAACTTGCGTTTGATTTCACATTAGGTTCATAAACTGTTTCCGATTCAACGATACATTGTTCAGCTTCTTCAAAATTTCCCAATTTAGCATAAATATTACTTGTCCAAAGCCATAATTCTTGCAACAATCTTCTTTCAGTTACATTATCAATTTCTCTTCTAGATAATTCAGATTGAGCTTTTCTATCGCGTGACTTTAAGCGTGACAAATTCTTCAATTTATCACTAATAAAATCAATATCATTAGATTTTCTTCTATTGTTTTCAACATTGTTATGCCCATTTCCATTAGCATGTCCATTAGTTCTACCATTGGCAACAGGACGCTCCTTTACCTTAGGGTCTATCACACTAGGTCTATGAGACCAAGCACTATCCATGTTAGATTTCGGCTTATCCTTACCATCTTGATCAGTACGGCCAAGATCAATATCAAAAAGTTCATGGAATAATTCAAACAAATCTGGTAAATACTCTAAAATGTAAGGAGTACCATGAATGGATTCCCAAACGGCTAATTGAGTCAATTTTAATTGAATAATTTGATATTTGGTTTCTTCGGAAAGTGTTACACCTCCAGAGGTAGACTTTGAATTATATTTTTCAATAAAAATTGCAGCAATATTAAGTGCATTAGCAATCAATTTTTCCAGCTCTCTAGAAGGCCACCCACCATTGGTAGAGTTTGAAGCACGCAGTTCTTCAATTATAGTTGTCGAGTCATCATTATCTTGGATCTTATCGGGATTGTATGACTCAAACGATGTAAGTATAAGGACAAGTAAATTCCAAGTTTTGAAAGATTCAGGGTATTTTTTCAAAATAAATTTACATAATTTTGACGCCAGATGTAAAGAACTATTGTAAGAAAGTGCTAATGCATAATTGAACAAAAGTTCACAATTCCCAGTAGCGTTTACAATAAGCCCATTCTTGTAGTACATTAATACTTGAGATGTGAAACCCTTAAGCTTATCTTCATTTGGCGCTTCATATGTAGCCAAATATTGAGCAAACTTACCCAAGGAAAACCAAGCTTTAGATATTAAATCTATGAATGATGATCTATCTCCTAAAAGAACATTGATATTGTATTTCTTGTACAAGAAAGAAAGTCTATTGGAACCTTGATCCTTTGCTTCATTTGTTTCTTCGTTGGTATGTGGCGGTTTCTCATCTAAATCGTATGACAATCCACATATTTCGGCCAAAATCCCTAAATACTTAATGAGATCAGCACCTAATTGATGCAAAAATTTAACAACCATGTAATTGGTAGTGTATTTAAATTTCTTTTCCTTGCCTTTATTCTTTTCTGATATGAATGATTCTAAAGGATTAAATGCAATAATGCAAGCCGTGTAAGTTTCAATGATCGAAAGAATATTGTCTACATGTCCCATATGTTGTTCTTGTCCCTTCTCAATATAACTCACATAAGTTTTCATGGCCGCATACGCTTCGTCGTACTCCCTAAGATCTAAAAGAGTCTTGATGAAACTAGACAAAACAGTTTGACTCTGATACGTTTGATGCATGGCATGAATAAGGAATTTCTTAGCCAGTGAAGGCTTGAGAAGAAGATAATAATATGGAACTGATCCAAGTCCTTCAAACAAATTGTCCACAAACGAATTCAAGTCTCTTGAACTTTCGGTAGAACTGGCATGTGGGAATGTGTCCAACTTTTCTGTAGCCTGGTACTCCAAGGTTTTGGAGAGCCATCCACCGTATTCACTTCTAAACTTGGAAGCAATACGTTCTTTATTCTGATGACGTGAGAGGTAATTACAGAATGCAATCAATGAATTCTTATTCTCAGCAAAGGGGATTTGTCTTAAAGTTTGAAATTCTATCTTTGATGATCCATCTGTGGTTAAGATATAACTAAACTTATCAAACATAATTTCAAGCCATCGATGTGCTGCAACATTTGACTTGTTAAAGAAATATGGTTGCCATTGTGAAAGATATTCATTCCAAATTGTAATAGAATTTTCTAAATCAGAAAATCCTTGAATTACCCTATACCTAGTAGTCATGTACTTGATAAACTCGTCTGTTTGAGTCTTACCCGCTGCCCCAGATGTCGACTTCTTTACGGGCGCAGTGCTAGAAGAATGATTACCGTTGACATTGTCACCATTGACCGATTCCAAGCTGGTCACATATATGGAAGAGAGTGTCTTTTGAAGCTCCCCACGCTGGGAATTGAGATAATACAAGTGTGATAAAACAGTTGTATAGTATAAACTTTGATGATAAGTCTTAGAATGATCATTATAATTAGCAGAAATGGATACCGCATACTCAATCAACAGTTCGAGTTTGGCACCAATGCCATCGTTGGAAAATTGCTCTTGAGTGGCTTTACTAAGTTCTACTCCCAGCAATTCATTCTGAATGAGGAGTTCAAGTTGATAGTCAACAAACGCAATTTGTTCAATATAATCTTGAGAGTCTTGAAACAGAAGAATGTTTTTCGGGAAACACCCGAACGTCAAAGTTCGAAGTAATGTCTCGTCCACACTTGCTTCAATATGCATCTGGACAGGGTGAAGTTCGTGCTAGCGGAAAGATACCTATAAACTTTTCCTTATTGTCCTAATTGAGTGGGTCTGAACACTTCTGATTACGCACTTTTAGTCTATCACGTGCCACAACAAAAGTTGTCGTGTTGTCTTAACAAAAAAAATATTATCTACTACATGTGACATAACGGTGTGAGAAGTGCTAATATGATAGCCACCGTACATTAATTTAGGTCTGGATATATTAATTTGAAGCTTAGTACATACATAAATACATCTATCTCATTTATTCATTCATTAGTAATTAACATCTCTCAAAAACTTTATATAACCCAGGTAAGTCCGCAACCTGAATAACATCAGGTATCAATTCCTTCGGAGCTAAGAATTTCTGTTGTATAAGTGGGAATACAACATGTTCAAGTTGACGATCCAAGTCTTCTCTTCTCGCATTATTAAGCTCTCTTTTTTCTAAGTCGTGCTCATCGATCGGTATAGCATCAGGAATGTATAGTAACGATATTTGTCTCAAGATTGCCTCTAAACACTCCTGTTCGTTTTCATAATCAACATTTGCTCCTAATCGATACACGAAATGAGCAAGCTTCGAAACTTGAGGGGAAATGTTCTCCATAATCATTGGTAATGTTGTCAATCGATTATCAGAGTCGATTTTAATTTGGAAATATTCTTCTAACATATCTTTCATATCTATAATCAGTTGTATCACTTGCTCCTTGGCAATGAGCTCCTTATCCTCAAATCCAAGTTCATATAGCGGTGAAAGAAGTTCTTCCAAAGATATTGGCTCCAGTAAGACTAATTCTCCATAATTACAAAATTCAGAAATTGCAATTTGAAAATAGAATTCATAGAGAACTGCAGCATAATCACAAATAAATAGTTTCACATCGTACTGAAAGCTGCAAAGTCTCCTCAGTTCATCAATTATTCCCACATACGTACACCCGTTGAATGTTTCCGTTAATGTTTTATCGACTGTCTCTGCTATTTGATTTTTTAATTGTGAAATACTAGTAAGTTTAACTTCTATTCGTTCTCGATCATTTGTGATTTCATCTTTCTCTTCTGCTTCATTATCTTCCACTTCTTGTATCATTAGCTCTCCCTTTTCTGTCCTCTGACTTAACGTAATTGGAAGATCGTCCTTAGTTGATGTCAAATATGAATACAATTTTGGCTGTTTTGAATCGGTACGAACCAACTTATTTTCTTGTCTATATTTTTTGGCAACGGGTGGAGCTGTCAGTTTAGTATCGACCGTTAAACTAACATTATCATTCTCATTTTCCCGAGTTCTCTTTTCTTGTCTTGTAAGAATACTTTGTGTTTTGAAAGTTCTTGAAGCATCAACATTGGATAATATTGAATGTACCTTGGCACTGATTAAACCAATAATTTCATCTTCATATAAAAACCTAACCTCCTTCTTGGTTGGATGAATATTTACATCAACATTTGAAGGTTCAAGATTTAAACTAATATACATAAATGGTTGGTTACCCTTGGGGAGGAAGTAGTTGTAAACAGATGCTATCGCCCTCTTAAGGGGATCACATTGGATAAGTCGATTATTAATAAAGAAGACTGGTTGGATTTTCTTTTTATTGACATAATTAGATCCTGTAATCGCACCAGAACAACTTAAAAGTCCATACTCTTTGTCATTTTCAGACTCTTCCATAGTGAATGGGATAATTTCATTGGCTACCGAGCTTCCAAAAACTGTTCGTATACGTTCTTTCAAGGGAAGGTTTGGACGCGTGCTAAGTGTTTGGTAAGATTCACCAAACTTTTTACAGCTTAACCCCACATCAGTATGAATGGCATATCTCCCCACCACATCCAAAATCTTAATATATTCATCATTTTTGGATTTCATTGCTCTTAGTCGAGCTGGTGCATTGTAGAAAATATCCTCCACTGTGATTTGTGTACCATTTTTACCAGCTACAGGCTTTGGAGCTGCCTTGTCAGAAACTTTAAACGTTTGATCTGCAAGTTTTCCATTGGAATAAAAGGACTTATAAGCCAAGGGGGACTCGCTAGTCTTTGTCACAACTGATAGTCTTGCAATATGCGATATACTTGCCAATGCTTCACCTCTAAATCCATAGGTGGCAATACTTTTGAGATCATCGAACGTGGAAAGTTTGGAAGTGGCAAACCTCTCACAAAGTAATCCTAAATCATCCTTTGCAATCCCAGACCCATTGTCAGTAATCTGAAGTAGTTTGAGTCCTCCATCTTTTACAAGAACGTCAATCATGGTGGATTTTGCATCTATAGAATTCTCTAATAGTTCCTTTAACGCGTTCGCAGGCTGGATAATGATTTCTCCAGCGGCGATTCTATTAACCACTGATTGTTCCAACTGTCGAATCCGTGGTCTAGGAATCTCCACCAGACTATGCTCCTTGTCCTCGGGTTCCATAGTCATGCCAGTTTATCTCACTTTCAAAGTCCAGTACGAGATTTAGGGTTATACCTGTAAAAAAAAAAATAATAATCAAAATGGTTGAGACGTATCTCAACACAAATACAAATGGAAAATATTCTTATCAGATCTTTATTTCCTATCATCTATACCTTTTATTTAAAAGACTACAAATAAATAATGTCAGGTAGAAGAAATTCAGTCTCAACTTCAGAGTCTGAATCAGGATCAAGAAGGAAGCGTCAAAAAACTGAGAATCTGGTTCTCTTGGCCAAATATGATGCTCTTCGTTCTACACTTCGAGACCACACAGCTCTGGCACACAAGGGTGAAGCCACAGATTTGGTTATGGAACATTTAAATAGCCTTAAGCAAGTATATGGGGTGGTGCAGACGGAATCTAATCGGGATACAAGGGTTCAACTTAAAGACGCAGAGATCTTTCTGGACACATCTCAATTTGCAGCGACCAATGCCCAAAATTTGAAATTGGGAGATCTGGATGTTGCCCTAAACCCACTGACGTTTATCAATACAGTGTCAAAGTACTTGAATCAATATGCTGAAGATTTGGACGGTACTGAACTGATATCCCCGAGCGAAGACAAGTTCAATTCCTTTGATTGGTTGAAACTTGGTGCTTTGTATCTTCAAGTTAGTAGTAAACCTATACTTGGAGACTTTTTGTACGGTCCATTGGAAGCAGAAAGAAAGAAGCCAACAACTAGATCTAGAAACTTGGATGACACCCAATCTCGTGTTACTTCAACGGCTCAAAATGTCCAAGCTCAAGACATAACTGGTGATGAGGAGCAAAATACTGCCCATATGGTGAAAATGGTTTACCGGAAATTTATAGAAAACCAGGACGGTGAACCAATTAATTTCTTCAAATTCTTTATTAATCCTAATTCCTTTGGTCAATCTGTTGAAAACTTATTCTTTACAAGTTTTTTGATTAAAGATTCGAGACTCAAATTAACTGTTGATGAATCTGGAATTCCGTTTGTTACTGAGGTGGATCCACTGGAGCAAAGAGCTGGTATGAATGGGAGTGTTAGTGCTACAAATCATCACATTGCCACTTTTGACTATCGTACCTGGCAATCGTTGGTGGAGAAGCATAATATATCAGAAGCATTCTTAGGACATCGAGCAGAATCAGAACCAGAAGATTTTGATTCTGATTCTGATAATGAATAGATTCTGAGTCTACAATGTATCAAGGCATTTCCCACCATTCTATATTATCCTATTTACAAATTATGGAGGAAAGCAAAAACAAAGAAAAAAAAGAAAAAAAAAGAGCCTATTTATTTTGAATAACTTGGTTGTATTCTTCTGGTGTAACGTTTACCCATCCTTCAACATCAAGCAAGGAATCCATGGGCCATTTGGGAATTGGGCATACTCCAAGATCAGATTTGATTCTTAAACTCTCGAATATTTCGATACCAGCAACACCTATCATGACTGCATTATCGGTGCAAAGGGATAAGTCTGGGAAGTGAAGATTCAAGTCCGTTACTTCCCCGTCATTGTCTTGGAATTGTAGCCTTGTGGCAAGCTTTTCTCTCAATCTTTGATTCGAGGCAACCCCACCAGAAAAGATGAGATCTTTCACACCAAGAAACTTACCATCTGCATGTTCATATTTTCTTTTATTGGACCCATGCTTTGTGAATGCCAAATTCATTCTGTCTATTATGTGGTCAAAGACATGCTCTTGAAGTTTATAAGAAATGAATTCACGAGTTTCTTGGTCAAGAACAACATTCAATCCACCCTTATCCTTTTTATACGACTGGATACTACTTAAAAACCCTGCAAAGGCAAACACAATATCTTTAGGGTATTTTTCCCTTCTTGGTCCCTTTAAGGGTAATCCAAGCTTATATTTGAAGGAATTTAAATTCAGTTCCTTTGTTTCCATGGTATCAAATTTTTGTATAGTTGATTGTTTTATTGAATTGACATATGATTCCAATTCACGACCCAACATGACTCCCTTGAGTCCCAACTCTCTTGCACATTTATCAAGGGAATCGCCAACAGCTATATCTGCGGTATTAGCAATTATTTCATGATCAGTGATAGATTTCAGTAAGACTAACATTGTATGCCCTCCACTACATAAAAGACTGAGGAATGGGTACTGAGGAGCAGTTAAATCCGGTTGTTCTGATTTAGGAAGAGTTGCTACCAATATGTGCCCCAACATATGGTGAACCCCTATTAATGGAACACCCCATGCAACTGCTAAGCCTTTAGAAAGTTGTAAACCGGCACTAAGAGACCCAGCCATTCCCGGGCCTCTTGTGCAACAAATGAGATCAGGACGACAATTATGCTTTTTTAAAAGAGTTTCAATAAGCAGAGCCAATGTAGTTTGATGGAATCTAAGAGCATCTGTTGGTATAATGCCACCAGTTGCCACAGAATTTAAAGTACTTTTCACTTGGTCAATGATCTTTGGAGGAGCCTTTGAATCATTTTTTTCAAGTAATGCTATACAAGTATCATCACATGAAGTTTCAATCGAAAGCACTTTATAATGCCGTATAGGCATTGACGATTTATTGGGGAAACCCCTATATAATACCCGTTTCCCTATATTATATAGACTCATATAAATGAAAGAAAGAAAGAAAAATTCTTAGATAAAATACCTAGTAATGATACAATGTAAATGCATATCTATGCTCGCTTGAATGATAATTACCAAAATCCGATTTCTAGCCGATCCTGCATGTATGTTTCCAAAGTTTTCATCAAATGAAATCTCCTAAGCTGAACATTTAGCCACGGGCTTTTTCGAGATTCACTTCGTGAGCATTTGAAACACATTAGTGTTAAAACCGGGGAAGCAAGGTTATATCGAACCATTCAAACCAGGGAACCTTACCTAGCCAGAACATCCTTTTGCTAGTATTTCATTTATTGCAATAAGTGTTTTTTTTTTCTTGTTGAACGGATTTCGTTAATCTTCTTATTCTTCTGCTCTTACACACTCTCATTGGAGAAATTTCACACGTCTTTCTTTTCATCTCAAAGGAGGTCAATATTCTGAAGTTATTCGTGTACTTTTCTCCGCTTCGATATTGCATGATAGAACTCACAAGATAGAATCACATATGTCACAATCTTTTACATCGTCAACAATACCGTTGGGTTTTGTACATCACAACGATCCCGATTCTGCTGGACCGTTTACACATGGAGGTTCTAATGATAAAAATAATTCAAATAATTCACAAAATGATCCTCATGGCGGATCTCTTTCACCTATAATAAATTGCATGCTTGCCGGTGGTTTAGGTGGTATGGTTGGGGACACAACCATGCATTCCCTTGACACTGTCAAGACAAGACAACAAGGTCTTCAACACAACATAAAGTACAAGAATATGGTGAGTGCATATCTTACGATTTTGAAAGAAGAAGGACTTTTCCGTGGACTTTATGGTGGATATACCCCGGCAATTCTTGGGTCATTCCCTTCAACAGCAGCATTTTTCGGTACTTATGAATATACTAAAAGAAAATTAATTGGTGAATATCACATGAATGAAACTGCTGCATATTTTGTTGCTGGTATCTTGGGAGACTTTGCATCCAGTATCTTTTATGTTCCCTCGGAGGTTTTGAAAACAAGATTACAACTTCAAGGAAGATACAACAATCCATACACCAAGGGGTCTGGTTACAATTACAAAGGGTTATCGAATGCAATCAGTTCCATTATAAAAACTGAAGGTCTGGCCACATTTGTGTTTGGATATAAGGAGACTCTTTTCAGAGACTTACCATTCAGTGCATTACAATTTGCATTCTATGAAAAATTTAGACAACTCGCTATTTATTATCACAACAATTCCGGAGACTTACCTATATCGACAGAATTGGCTACTGGTGCATCTGCAGGTGGATTGGCGGGTGTTTTAACCACCCCGTTGGACGTCATCAAGACAAGAATACAAACAGCAACGACCACCTCCACTACCATAGCGGATTCTACTATCCCAAGCTCAAATTCGACTTTGTTGAACCGGTCTTCTACAATCAGGGCACTCTCCTCTATTTATAAGAATGAAGGGATACTTGGTCTTTTTTCTGGGGTTGGTCCTAGATTCATCTGGACTGGAGTACAAAGTTCAATCATGTTACTTTTGTATCAAATATCCTTGAAAAAATTTGATGAAGTCCTTGGAAATAATGGCGTATTGAATTAGCCTGACATCCATTCTGTAAATTAGAACACTGTACATACACACCTATTTATATAAATATATAATATACAATTTTAGATATATATCATGTTGATACTTTGTAGGTGTCTGCGATTAATGACATTTTGAAAATTTGGACGACGAGTTTCATCTTTTAACCAGTAAGATTGCCGTGCCAAATATATCATCATCACTGGTAGTATCTTTACTATGTGGTAATCTCTACTATCATTGTTGCTAGCTTGCGTCTAACCTTTTTCACGAAATCGATTAAGGTTTTTAGATATACCATTTGCAGTTGGAATATCAACGCCTTCACACATTTCAAACAGAGTGAAGAATTTGATTTACATTTTCATTGTGGGCACTGTCTCTTATAATTGTATAATCTTAGTATTGGACTTGAATGTTAACCTTCACTTATTAAATTATGGATCCTTGCTTACTGGAACATTTCTACTTCTCCATTTTTGGAAGCAAACAGTGAGTGCAGTGTTCCCAGAGAACCGTTTTTCTGCAAAATTACTTTCATTTTTCAGCAATAAAATGGTGATTTATCTACTATTGAACGTTTTCTGGTATTATTCTTCATTCCTGACTTTATATTTAGCGAGTTATTTCCCTCTTCCAACTATATATTGAATCATATATGTGCTATATTCTTATCATGTGACCAAATATCAAATCTTCAACTTTTTCCTGAGATGAATGGTAAAGGAAAAAAAAATCATATACTTTGCCATATATACAATTATTGAAGTACCTATAATATTCATAGAAACATGTCTTCGCCTCAAAATCAAGACTTAGTATTCCACAATGATGGTTCTTTAACCTCGGATTCAGTTTTAAACTCTCTGGATTCATATTTATCGATCATCTCCCATACCCAAGGGACTTCTCCTGCATGGCTCTTGAACTCATTGATAGAGAATGCTCTCATTGGAACTGCTTCATTGGTCAATACTGATCTCAAGAAAACTATTAAAAGGTCTCATGTGTACGTGATATCATTTTTGCATCTGGAGGACTTTTTCATTAGCAACTGTAAAAGAAATGGATTGGACCTTTCTCTGGTTCCAAACTTCACCTTTATAGATTGTTTCACTAATTTGTTTTCTGATATATCAACCCCACAAAATGCCAGTGAACAAGTTAAAAAGTTATTTGACCTGAAAATTTTACCTCAAATCAAGCAAGACCAAAAGAACGTAATTCTTGTTGAATTCCCAGAGTTTCTTCTTTCCAGTACAAGCATCACTAGTAATGAATTATTGGGACATCTTTCTAAAGTTAATAAGGCATGCCAACAAATGTACACAGTAGTATCCCAAGATTCACAAGTGGTTGACTTATCTGCATCTAATCCATTGGACCCGGTCTACAAGACTACCGATTTCTTGGTTAAACTTTATCATAGATCTTTTATAAACATCAATTTGAAACCTTTGCCCACTGGTAGAGCAAAAGATATTACAGGATGTTTAACAATCTCTAGAGGAACTCATCCTTACAATGTTGGTTCTTTGGTGGTAACAGAAAGAGAATATATTTATCTTGTAACAAAGGAAGGAAGTGTTAAACTTTTCTTTAGATAGATAAAGAATAACTAATTCATCTTCAACTCTTTTTTCTATGTATATTATACAAATCATCTAGGGCAAATTCGATTGAACATCTGGTCCATAATAAGGGGAATAGTGGCCAAACAGACTTTTCTCCAACTAGTACCCAATATGGAATGTTTTCCATGGTCTTGTGCACATCAAAGACCCGTCCAAAATCTTTCAATAGATATCTTAATTCTGGAACAACGGTAATCTCACGGATACTGGTCAATGATTGCGGAGTGGATGGTTTCTCGTCAATACAAAGCCTCTTAACAAAGTCGGAAAGTATTCCTAATTTGTTCATTACTGCTAACCGATGTTGTATTTCAAGCCCAATAATATTTTTCATATGTTTACGGAAATTGTAGTTTGAATCCTTGGTATTTCTTTCGATGTTTGCTTGACTAGCCTTAACTTTATTAGAAGATTTCACATCGCCACTACGAGGAGTGTCTGTAAGGTCTTGTTTGGATTCCATGCTAGAATAATTGCTGTATGAATGATAATGCTTTAAATCATTACTGATTAAAGGTGCTAAGTATGGTCTTGCCAAACTAATGATAAAGTGGTTCACATTGAATAACTCTGTAAGTCTTGTATATGGAGAGTTCTCTTTTAAGTGATATTTGAAACTGAAAGGTCCTCCTGAGTAATCGGATTTCTCATCAGATTTCTTGTTTGATTGGAAATATTGTTGCAGGTAATTCACTTCTTGTGGTTTCAAGAATACAACGTCAAAATCAGGAGATTTTGAAACAATATTATTATTAAAATCTTTAACGTATAACTGAACGTTATCAGAAAGCACCCCTGTACCAATGGATGCGTATATAGCGGTCCAAATAATCACATTTGGCGCTGTGATATAATTAAGTAAACTTGGTACTGATTGATGAGTTGGATGAATGAAAATGTTCAATACCTTTTCTGTCTTCAAGTAAGCTTCTTCAAAAGTTAAATCTCCAATTGTATCCCGTACAAATTTGAGGAAAATTAAAATATCCTGAGAGTAACCCTTCTTGACCACATTCTCAATCACATTACCATATCTTTCATCAACGTCATGATTCAACCTATCAATGTTACACATGACATCCGCTGGGGATACCAATATAGGGATCAATTCTTGGTCTGTAAGTGTACAAACCAATGATGCGACAGCAGCCCCAACGGCACTACCACCGATTATTCTTGGAAGCAAACCTTTGAAATACAATGCTTTAACAACTCCCAAATGACATAAGCCAAAGAGTGACCCCCCTTGAAGTAAAAGTGCAGTGCATCCAAATGATTGTCGGGCATCATGGAAAAAGTCTAATTTCAATTGCTTCGAGTTCATGACAAACTGTTCACTTTCCTTGAGCGTTGGTTGAGTTATAGACTCGTTAAGATAGTTCAAACAACTCAATACTTCACTTATATACTCCTCAATCTTAAACTTTGTTCCTAAATATGATTTTATGTATAATTTCTTTTGTGAAATACCCCCAAAGTTCCGAATTAGTCCAGACCGGAATAGAGACATAATAAGTTGGGAGTTCCCATTCAACCGGGCCTCCCGAAGAAGTTTCAACCTGTCGTTGATAAGAATGTAGTCATAATGTTTAGAAATGAAATTCTGACGCCAAAGTTCAATGTTCGTCAATCTGTCTATTTCGCCTGCGGTTTTCTTCCATTCACTATAACTAGAAGCATTCTTTAAATCTTTGAGGTTTTCCCTTAGAGGGTTTTTCCTAAGATAAATTTGATAAAGCTTCTTCACCCAGAAAAAGAAGATATCAACCACAAACTCCATAATGACCCAAATGAACCCTGGAACGTGGTTGACCACTAAGGTGAGAAGCGGTATGAGGTACCCATTGGTAATCCTCTCGAACATTTCTTCCTACTTCACAAAATTTGAGAGATTTTATACGTTTCCTGATGAATAAATCTGCCCAATATAGAAAGTTTTTGAGATAAGCGCCAAACAAAGTAAGTCTTTTAAAATGAACTCTGGATGAATATATTAGGGTATGTACACTTGAAGTGATTTAATTACACAAGCTAATACACTATGTAAGTGTATAAACCTTATTATAGTGTATCAAAATATTTAAACCCTTTACGTTTTAAGTACCCCGCGCAGCATGTCCGATTTATACTATGAAGATATTAATAGCCGAGTATTATGCAGGCTGGCGAATGCATTTGATATAGCTGTCGGCTGCAAAATTTCAATCTTCAGCTATGAAACTCGACCGTGTCACTAAATGGAATCAATTTACATTTATTATATTTTGCATGTGTTATATGGTCATAATTTGTGGCTCTTTAATTGCTGCTCCAGTCTTGGTCAAAATTTTACGCATAGCAAATTTCGATAACTATATGTACCGACACTTTGATAAAGAAATTATATTCCATCATATGGAAATGTTTGAAACTCATCCAGATAACCCAGATATCTCTACCAAAAAAGGCTTTAATTTAACATATATAGTCAAGCCTCCGAGGAGACGAAAGAAATGTTACACATTGGAAAAATGGAGCGAACGACAGTCTGTAGTGTATAAAAGGAATAGAAGAGGTAATTCCAACTCTTATGAAAAGAGTTAAAGCACAATCAATTCAGAGATATTCTTAGAGGTTTAAATCATCAACCATATGGTGAGTGTCTTGGGAGTCACTATGGGTGTTGGGTATTGAGTATCAATATTGCAATTCTTAGTGGTGACATATTGTTGTTGTAGGAAATACCAATATCATACTCTACATTACGCCGTTATAGTATTCCAAGTTAGCAGGTTTGTAAAAAATTCATTTATATATCCTAAATATACACTATTTCTTCTTTCCGCGACCGAACAATCTCTTACCTATAGAGGTTCCTGAAGTCTCCACCTTATCCTTGACAATTGAAACCTTACTCAATAAAGTATTATGTCTTCTGATATCACTATGTGGAGCATTTTGGTAAACGGCAGAGGCAATTTTTCCAATGTGAATTGTAGGAGCATTTTCAGACTGTTTGAGAGTTTGTTCAAGCCAGTTTTGCAATCCTGTGTCATAGTTGGATTCCATTTCTTTTGCGTCTCTCAACATTCGAATACGATCTTGTCCCTGTGATGTGCCCATAATTTTGGCCCAGCTATAAGGTGGGTAAGCCCCACCAACGGCCAACTGTGGGGGTTTCGACAAGCTGGACGTTGTTGGTCCAATAGATCCACCACTTGCCTTTCTCTCTTTACTGTGATTATCAAGAGATGAAGGTGATGGATGTTCATCTTTACTAGTATCTGCAATCTGTGTTGATACTGATGCTACTGAAACTTTTCTTGATTGTGGAGGTGTACTAGAAGTATTTTCCAAAACGTCAAGCATAGAAGAGTATTGTCTGTCGCCTCCAGTGTTTGAGCCAGCCTTTGGTAACGGCTTCGGAGTGGATTCATTGGTGGAGGTACCAGCTAATATATGGCTATGCTCATATTCGGTAGTGTCATCTGGATCTTCACTAATACTAGGCATTGCAGCATCCACTGTGTCTGGGATGGATAGCGACAGATCAAATGAGTTTCTATCGTCTTCAGATGATCTCCCAGTTTCATTTCGATCGGGATTGTCTCCTATGGTGGATTCATTGTCATTATCATTAATAAACTGGTCCCGAAAGGAATTTGTATTGGGTTGCCAATTACCCATGCTGAATGTATTGGTGGTCATAGTAGAGATTCTTCTCGATGCAGCATCGTCACTACCCGCGGAAAATGCCAGTGGCGGTTGAAACAGATGAGTATCTTTTGGAGTTGGAGGCAAGGCAAGTGGAAGCTGCTTCTCTGAGTTTGTATCATGCGGGTACCCTCCTAAAGACGAGGAAGATGCAGTTGAATCAACTGGGAATAGTTCAAGTTTTGGTTTAATAAGAGATTCTTTACTTCGAAGAGGTAATGTCTCCTTACTACCTCTGACGTTACTAGCAAAGTTATCATTTGTTGGAGGTTTTCTCACCGATGGTTTCCGACTGCTCATGCCGCTCATATAACTCTCATGGTCTCTTTGCATAGTTGGTGATGGTAACCCAAAGTCTAATGGAGATACTGGGGTTGGGTTCACAGAAGAATATTTCGAAGAAGAGGTATCCAATTGAAGATCTTTATCATTAATTTTCTGATGAACAGGTTTATCCGAAATCTCTTCAGGGCCTGCGTCATCAACAAATGCTCCTTGTAAATCATTAATCATAGTATCCAACGCGGAAGTCAGGTTATTAGCGTAATGATCATCTTCAATATCTTTCTCGTTGTCCATTTCATCGTCAGAATCATCTGAGTTACGACCATTATACCCCCAATCGTCATCAGAATCGTCATCAAAGTCTCTATTATCAATTGAAAGAACCAAAGGTGCAGGTGCAGAAGATTGGTCATCATTTTCAGTTGCCGAGATCGATTTGTTGGTTTCTAGAGCTGCAGTAGGGGCATTGGAAGTATGGATGTCAGCAGTTGGAGTAGTATCCACGGACTCTGTTGATTTAGGGTCATGATTCACAAATTCATTCTGATCTGGTTTTTCAATAATGTCGTGTTTATCGTGACTCTCGTCCTTCTCTACATCTCTCAAAAACGGTTCTGATGGTGAGCTATTTTCCCTTTCCTTAACATCCACCAAGTTTAAATTTGCTGGTTCGTTCTGAATCGAGTCACCATCAGAAGTGAAACTCATGTCTGAATAGGGGGTTTCTGGAACCCGGTATTCATTACCACCAAATGTTGGAGTAGGTGGCTCGATATCAAAAGACCTTGTATCATCTGCGGGTATGGATATTTTTGCGGGGATATTCTTTGCAGTTCTATTCTTGAATTGAGTTTCTAATGGCTTTTCAACTTGAGGTACTGTGATCACATCCTCTTCATTTTGATTCACAACGTCTCTTTCCTTTTCCTCTTCAACTTCACTGGTAGCATATACATCCATAAAGGAATCATTCCCAGCATCTTCCTCGTCATCATATGTCTCTCCTTCATGAATTGGGTCAGTTTCAGGTACCTGTTCTTCTTCCTCTTCTTCACTTGAACTGTCCGTATCTTGTCTACCTTTAAATCGATCAATAGAGAGAACCAAATCTGGACTCTGTGTGACCTTGAGCTGATTGTCTACATGACCATGTACTTCCTCGTACCCACCTTCAACTTGATGCTTACCTCCAGGAGCATTTTCCACATGGTCTTCTTGTATAGTTTCTTGTTCTTCATACCCTAATGGTTCATGCACGTTTAGATTTTCCTCCTCGTCTTCATCAAATTCATAGCCATCATCCCATTCATCTCCATACGATGGAACTGCAGCCTTGGCCCATCGTGTAGAGTTGTGTCTTTCTGGTGCGTCGGTCATTTCCTATATGAGCCCCAATAGATTCTACAATTAACTTCAAATAATATAATAAACAAATCAAAATATGATTTCATTTATAGTGACGACATATTTCTAAAAAAAGGATCCGGTGTGCACACAATTAGCTGCGAGATCAGCTAAAACATTCTCCAGTATTTACCCACAGCCTCTCTTACAAGGCCTCCAATTACATACTACAAAGCACTAATTACAATATCAAAATTTAAATTAAACCATAAACTAGATTATATATCTCTTTCTATTCTTTGTAATTCATCTTATCCTTACATCAAAAATTGAAGGTTCATATCTTGTGGATGTGAACTACTCAATTGAGGCTTTTGTGAATATTTTTGACTCAATAATGTTCTCATGTTATTCAAAAGTGATAAGTAGGATTGGTTTGGCATTTCAGTAAGAGTCTTGATGAATGACCAACTCATAGCTCCTGTACTTTGTCCACCTTCTTGAGCATCAGCACTGGTCTGGTCGTCCTTACATCCAGAGATACTGATTACATCTGCAGGTGAGGCCTTCATATTGATCACTTGGTCTCTATCAGCTCCTCCCAGAGTGACCTTTTTAAATACTCCACTAAGTGCACCAATGGCACCTCCAATGTTCCCTCTTTCATATGACATAAATGCATCAAAGGCCCCCATACCTGCATCCTTCAATAAGTTTGGTTCCTTAATAATACCCTTGGTTGAATATACATATGGTAAATCCAAGGCAGTTCCTGAATGACATGAATCGTACAAGGCAGTCAATCGACATCCTGGAGGCAAGGAACGAACCATGATGTCATGCATATCATCATCAACAATGTGACCATTGACCTTGAAATCAAGAGGATAAATAACTTCATCATATCCATTTTCTTCATCTCCATCAAGATCTTTGGTGACACCTCCATGGCCAGAATAATGGAAAACTAATGAATCATTAGGTCTAGCATCCTTAACTAACCATTGCATGGCACGGATAATGTTGTCCTTGGTTGGGAGTCTTGCTTGTTGGTTTTGATCGTCAGTTAAAATGACCATATCATCCCATTGATATCCAAATCGTTCATTCAAAAAACGACTCATATTCTTGACATCGTTGATACATCCTCTGAGTGCATTGTCGGTTCCAATGTAGTTGATCCCAATCAAGAGGGCCTTCTTTCTACCAGTACAGTTGGAATATTGATAAGTCATACCTGTATTTTGTCCAAAACTTTGTGGAACTGATGGAGGTGGAGGTCCCAGAGGTCTTTGATAACGTTGATATTGAGACGAGTTTGCATTCGGGTCTTGGTAATTCCCATCGTTAGAATTCCCGTGGTACGAAGATTGTGGTGGTGGTGGTCCTGGGGGTCTTGAATATTGGCCACCACCTCCTTGTTGGTATTTTTGCTGTGGTGGAGCTTCATAATAACCTCCTGGTGGTGGTCCAGAAGGACGGCCATATTGTTGTTGTGGTTGCCCGTATCCCTGTGGAGGTGGGCCCTGTGGGGGTGGGTAATTCCCGTTGTTATACGAGTGATTTCCTGATCCTGGGTACATATTGCGAAGGATCGTTATAATATAAGAAGACTGATATATATATATATAAAGTTACACGTTCCTTCTATTTTCAGATTCTCACAACGAAGAGCGACTTCAGAAAACCTTCCACGCACAGCCTGTTTAGGAAAAAGGGGAACAAAAAAAAAAAAAAAAAAAGAAGGAAAAGTTCGCGGCCATAAGATAAGCAGGGGCTTCTACAAGATATCGTTTCAAATGACATAATTTAGTATATTTATAAAACCTACAACTTTGGGGTGTCGTTACCTTGCTTGATTACTGCACCAGGGTACATGCTTCCCATAAGTCCACCAATGTGCCATGCAGCACCGTCCACAACCTGTATGGTACCGGAAACATATTCAGCAGCTGGTGAAAAGAGATAAACAGTGGCCTCAGCAATATCTCTAGTCTTCCCAAGTCTTTGCAATGGAACTTTTCTTTCCAATGGTTCAGATCCTGGAGGAGTTAATCTGGCCATACCTTCAGTACCATCAATCATACCAGGAGCAATACAGTTGGAACGAATACCAAGAGGGCCCAATTCAACTGCCAAAGCATTAGAAAGAGCATCTATACCGGCCTTTGCAGCACCAACATGCAGTTGGAAGGGAACACCATAATAATGTAAAGTTGCACTAACAAATAAAATCGCACCTTTATTTTTACGAAGTTGTTCAAAAGTGGCCTTTACAGTGTTGTATGAACCCAACAAATCAATTGAAATTACTGATTTAAACGCATTCGAAGATAAATGGTTGAAATCAGATAAGAAGTTACCAGCAGCCCCAGCAATCACAAAATCAATGCGGCCCAATTTGTCTACAGTTTCCTTGGCAGCTCCCACAAGAGCATTCACATCTCTTACATCTATGTTACCAAGACCAAGCACTGTTGATCCAGGACGGAGAGCTTGTATTTCAGCAGCAGCCTTCTTAGTCTTTTCTGCGTTTCTTCCTAAGATAGCAGCATTGGCTCCAAGAAGAACCAAAGCTTCCGTTTGAACACGACAGATAGTACCAGCACCACCAGTGACAAAAACAACCTTACCCTTGAAAAGATCGGGTTTCCAGGAAGAGTTTTTAACAAAAGATTGGTCTAGGGTGGACATTTTATATGGAAAGTTACTATGAGTATTTATATGTATTTATAATTCTCAATAGATAAAAATTTTGTAAAGGACAAATGGTCCCTTTTATTTCAGAGATAAAAAAATGCTTCTGAAAATTGATATTGTCTGTATACAGGGAAGAGTGTGGGGTACACCTCAACCGAGGTTAATCAGTAAAAATTAAATTATTGCTCATACTAAATTGAGCTTTTGTTTTTCTCCTCCTAATGTTTATGAAATATAATTCGGGTTTATTCCTGTACGAAAGTATTAGACAAAAAATGCTATATTATAGTTTTTAAGCGGAGATAAGAATCTTGACTAACAAAGTTGTGAAAGTTATCGTGGGGAAGAACAAAATTGGCCCTAAATTAATCATTGTGTTAATTTAAGAGTTTTAACACTTGTATATATTAAAACTTTGTTTAGATAAGGCTCTGCCAAAGAATATGGATAGATCTTTCAAAGCTGTCGTCACGTTTACAAGGATTTGATGTATTCATATCTATGATATTGACTTTTTTTTTTTTTACAAATCTACATCAGCTCGTTAAAGAAGAGGCCCGTTTATGACTTGTATTAATAAAGTGGAAGTTTCTTCGATATAGTATCATATTTCTGTATACGGTGACACATTTATTACTATGTGCAGTAAAAGAATCTAATCATATTACAGTGTTTGTAAGGAATGAGGGTTGTGCAATTATGTATTATCCTCAACCAAACTAATACCACTTCAAAAAGTATTTCAATATCGCCTACTAATTTCTGGTACACCTACTCTTACTTTTGATTCCAAGAAGAAAAAATATTCCCTTGATGTCGCTAGCGCTTATTATGCGGATTATAGCGTGCAACCTCAAGTATAATTTTTTTTTTTTTAATCTCATGAATCTATGATAACTACAAGGGTGCAAAATAATGCTGCATTCATATTTATAACCTTGCAACGCATTTAGTAACTACTTTCGATCTGAAATACAATGATATCTAATAATTGAGTTCATATATTCATATATCGTTAGATGAGAAGAAAAAAAGGAAATCATTTGGTAAAGATCAATTTGCGACATCCGGAGAGGAATCGGTTTGGTTGTGACAAACTTAATTGATGGATAGATCATTGCTATCTTTACTTCTTGCAACAACTTGCCTTGCATGCACAATCGGTCTTCTTGGTACATTTGCAAGTTTTGCAATCCTTACAGGTAGCACAAGTGGAAGCGTAGTTGTTAAAAGTTCTGATTGATGGAGCCATGTTAATTGTATTGTTTGAATTCGAGGTGAATGATGAGAGATTAAAACTATTATTAATGGGAAATTCCTAGCCCTATTTATACTATTTTCTAATCTCTCCTAACGATAGATATCTAATTTTTGAATAGGGGTGGGGGTCACTCAACCCCGGGGGTCGTTCAGAGTCTAGGGCTTTCCGATCAAGGAGTTTTTGAAGAACAATAGCGACTGTATTTTTCCCCTTGACAACTAGTTGCAGTACCAAGATTAATTAATGCAGGAGGAAATGACTGTATTGCGTGTTTCAAAGTGCACATTATTACGAAGTCTAATTATCCGTTTGTGATATAAGGCAAAGTGCGTAGTATTGATTAGATAAGAAGTTAGTTCGTATATTGATATATATCCCAGAAGGATGATTTGGTATTCTGAATGACTCGGAGAGATTGCAAAATAAACTTCTTATCTAATGATCTTCCCCTCTGATATGCATGACGCTCGTGTTGCAGGGTATGTAATAATGTTTTTGGGAACGGACGTGAAATTGTTAATTACCATTGGGAAAAGTTGCAACGTCAACAAGTCAAAAAAATAAAATCTTCCGATTGAATTCAATAACGTGGTACTTAATTCTTACCTATTGTAAGGTAATGCGGGTTTTCTTCAAAAAAAAAGCATGCAATAAAAATATAATAGGGAACAACATGTGTTCCACTTTCACAAGGATAGTTTCAATTTCCTTTATGTAATTCTGGCTTTGAGTTCAATAATTAACAATTATCCTTTTAGAATTTTTAGAATATTGTGATTCATGCCGATTGACTTAAATCTAATGTGATATCATCTTTTAAGCCACTGATGAGGTGCAATGCTTTCATGATTTGTTACTTAATTGAAGTTTGTGAATACTTCCTAACATTTAAAACTTATTAATTTAATTGTTCCTTCATTTCTACAAACGTATTCGATAATTAAAGTTAAGCTTTATTATCCTTTTTCAGTTTTCATTTTACTTATCACAAATGATCTTCGTTAAAGTACCTAAGTTTCTAAGACTAATTGTATATCATATGAGTTTCAACCAATATTTTTATGATAGGAACAGTTCATGAAAGGACAAAATCAAATTGGCTTGAACATCCACACACCCAAATAATATACAACCATACCATTTTTAGTCGAACCAATTAGCTTAAATGAAAGATGTATCCACGCGTGAACCAAGCGAATACCATGTTCGACAATCAAAAAGTGGAGGCACTATATCTGGGGATAAGTAAAATGGATTTATTTGCTGCTCAGTTGAGCGAAATGATCTTTTTTGGTTGAAGTTGCATTTTTAACAATAAAACATTTAAAAATTGCCATATTTAGGAATATATGGTTATAATTGTTTAATAATCATCAACATTGGAGAGTTAAAGGACAGTTGAAAGACCGTTAAGAGGTATCTATGTATATTTCTGGGCTCAAAACGCGCTAAGATGGTAGTACTGTATGTTAGTCTTGGCATTTTTTTAATTCATCAATTCGGGCGTGTGGTCTAGTGGTATGATTCTCGCTTTGGGTAACAGCTAGTTTACTATCTGATTTCATCAAATATGCGAGAGGCCCTGGGTTCAATTCCCAGCTCGCCCCGATTCTTTTTTTTTCGATATTTCCTAAAAGTATTCTTTTTGATATAAAAATTGTTATAGCAGCTTCTTTTACAAACATGCCACCTTTCAATTAATTGGTTCATTGATTCTATATGGCATTTTGGTAAATTTGCATATTTTTGTGTGTTCAATTTTTTTTTTTGTGAGCACGATAACGGAGTGGAGTTAAATTAAGTCCGTTGGCCATACTGAAAAAAAAAAAGCTAAGTGCGATTTATAAGAGCCAGTCGAGAAAACTCATAATCAACAGCTCAACAAGCTTTAGATTCTGTGATCCTACAACATTTTACCACTGTGTATAAAAGATGGTGGAATATACCAAAGAACAGGAAACGATTGTGCGCAAGGTATTGTCGTATAAATCACATCAATATTATGAAATCTTATCTGTTGAGAAAACTGCCACCGAGGGAGATATCAAGAAGTCATACCGTAAATTGGCCATCAAACTTCACCCAGACAAGAACCCTCACCCAAGATCATCAGAAGCATTTAAACTCTTGAACAAAGCATGGGGTGTTTTAAGTGACCCTTCTAAGAAATCTATATATGATCAAACAGGTGTAGATCCTGACTCAAGGGGCGCGGCAGCTGCTTCAGGATTTTCAGGAGGCAGTAGAGCTGGCTCTAGTCCTTTTGCAGGTGGAAACTTTGGTGGTATGCATCGTGGTGGACCTGAAGATGACTTGTTCAATATGTTCTTTGGTGGTGGACAAGGTCAAACATTCTCATTTGGTGGGAATGGGTTTACATTTCAAAATTTCGGTGGTGGCGATCATCCTTTTTTCCAAACAAATATGCATCAAAGACGAGCCCAACCACGTGCACGTCAAGGAAGAACACAACAAGCTGAAGAGGAAGGTATGTCGCTGCTTTTAGGGCAAATATTACCTTTACTTCTTATGTTGTGTATTCCTATCCTCTCAGCTGTATTCTCCAATGGAAATGCACGTCCAGAATACTCATTTGTATCAACGAAGGAATTTACTACCCCAAGATACACACCAAACCACAACATTCCATTTTATGTATCTAACGATTTCACAAAGAAACAGAAAAGGAGTGCAAGTGAATTACGTAATTTTGATCTGAAAGTCGAAAATGTGTATATACAAGAGAGAAGATCCAAATGTTCAAAGGAACAAATCATGAAGAATGAATTGATTGAAGAGGCACAAGGTTGGTTCTACACAGATCAAGAAAAGTTGGATAGGGCTCAAAATATGCCAATGCCAAACTGTCGGGCTTTAAGAAAGATGAATTTGATTTAAGGTTCTATTTCTTATTTACACATTAATAAGGCGAAATAAACCAACTATTAATAGACATTATCTATTTACTTAATATAACTCTCAATGATATTTCCATTTCTATCAATGAATTCAATACCTGGTTTAAAACATTGGAGATCAAGTTTATCTTCCGTAGCACAGTAGTATTGAGGTGCAAGGTCAACTAGATATTTTCTTCTTTCCATTTCTGACCATTGTCCGTCAACCATAATGTTTTTCAATCCATCATAAACGATATTTTTATACTTCGGCTTTACATCCATTGTGAATACTCTATAGAATAGCCTGACAGCCTTTCCCTTTGATGTATTACAAGAATACGTCCCAGAAAATGACGCCGAAGCTCCAGCTTTATAACCTGTTAGGTAAGTCAAACCAAGTATTCCCGACTTATAATTAGCGTTTGCACCCGCAATATTTCTAATAACTGTGCCCCCCAGATATGCGATCGAAAGAGATCCAGAACCTTTTTCATCGTTCAAGAATAGACAAGAAGTGGCTGGTATTAAGACAGGTTCCAAAGTAGTTGAGTGGCTCTTCAATGAGCCATAATCTAACTCCAAGTATGTAATTGGATTTCCTTCATTTAAGTAAGTTTTAATCTCCTCATCTGACATATCAAGAATATCGTCATTTGGGACCAAGAGAGTTCGAGAGTCCTTGAAATATACAATACTCTTGGGGTTATTCTTGACGATATGATTCAACTTTTTCCAGTTAAACAATTCTCTTGTAGAAGATTCATATTTGACCACGTCTGGCATTGAATTTTCCACATATACATTAAATTCAAGATTAGAATAAGTAATACTTGTATGATTCAAGGATTCATCCCAGTTCAATCCGATGTCAGGTAAGTCAAGATTTATTGCAGAAAATGAGTAGTAGTCAATATATGTAAGTGGCTTTGCAAAGCAAAGTGAACCTAATAGGAGTAAAGTAGGTAGCATATATTGAATCAGATATCTTTAAAGCGAGTTTAATGTATCCACATAAAGAATATTTATATATTTGGGAGTATTTTTTGGTACTGATCTTGTAGACTAGGTAAGGCATAATATAATATTTTGCAGCAATTTCACTGCACGAAGATGCTCAATGCGGTAGTATTTGCAGTACTTAGTAACCCTTGTAAATTTACTATATAGCATATACAGTAATGAACTGTCAGAAGTAGTGTACGAAACACACATCACTTACTGGAATGGGAAGAAAAGAGAATCATCCATGAGAGGTAAAATACAGTTGCAGAAAGAAAAATAGACTGGCGTCTATTATTTTTGAAAATCTTCAAACGTATGATTTATTTTTATTAGAGCTTCTACAAATTAAGATTAATATATCTATGCTCTTAATGCATGCTGTAGTAATCCTTAGAGTCAGTTTATTCAAAGGAACCAATCGTTTTATGGAATATTAAAAAAGACTTGATAAAGATTCTATTCTTTTACCCATTGATACCTTAATAATTTCAGGATATTCGATCTATTAAAAAGTCTTCTTTACTTACCCTAGACGAGTAGCTATACATTTTATCCTTTTGAAGGCTTGAGGTAGCCAGGATCATGAGAAATGACCTATGTACATACAACCATAGTATTCGGAATTTTTATTTTTATAATAAAAGTCACTGAATTTAGTAGAAAAGAAGAAGGCACATTAAGATTAGATTTGTGATCACATAATAGGTATATTTGAACCGATAGAGAGACTCTAAGACCCCTAAAATTGCATTTTGGGCCATTTAAGAACATCAGGTATGAAGTAAAAAAATAAATTTAATCCTCGAGAGTGTCCTTATTAGCTCAGTTGGTAGAGCGTTCGGCTTTTAAGGATTTATCGACAAAAAGTCGACCGAAATGTCCAGGGTTCGAGCCCCTGATGAGGAGATTACCCTCGTATACTCTCTTTTTTTACTTTTTTTTAAGCTGACATTAAATTCAAAAGAAATGTAAGTAATTTACCGCAATACATATTTCTTGTTTTGAAGGTATCTAATTTTTGAATTTGCTGAAAATGGTAGAAGGATAAGTTTAAAAAGGTTTATGAATAACGCTGGCGTAAAAAAATAGGACAAAAACAAAATAAAGCTGATGTATGCATGATGACGTATGTGCCACCAACACACAATCCGAAAGCTGTGAGCATCTGTCAAAATTTCGGGAGATATACGACTACATTACTTGATACAAATTGATTACTGATCAATCTTCGCTTTCATAGTTATCACTTTATGGCTAGAAACTTTGTTGTTTACTTACTATTTAAAATAATTTTGAGGTCCTCTATTGTGAAGAATAAATCATGTATTCAATATATGCAGGTCGCCTTTACAATGTGTTACTGTTTACTCGTACCATCTTGCACGAAAAAACAGATAGTACAGTGTTACCATTTATACTTTTCATTAATTTTAGTCTTCATACGCCTCAAAGATATTAGAAAACAAATGTATACCGTATAATACAGTAACTATACAATCATCGTACCCTCCCAACGTTCCAAAAAATAAGTGAAAAGAACCGATGCACGGGCATTTGAAATTTTGTATTGTCGTGGGTAAGTCTAAATATAGATACATATGTGGGGGGATAACATGAAATGACAACAGCCGAAATTGCATTACATTTTAGTCTTATAAGCATATCATGGTATTCAACAATTTTTTTGGATAAATTTCATTTTTATTATATAGAACCGAAGTCCATAAAATTTCTCTTTTACTTTCTAACTATATTTGTTTTTCAGAGGTGGGCTCTATTTGACGAGTTTTAACAAAAAAAAAAATTTCCCCTCAAAATCTTACAAGCCTCTTGGCCGCATTTTAGCTGTCAAGTAGTCTATTGTATTTTTTTTTGCGGTAACATTGTGGAGTTTTACACAACCTGATTGTTTTTTTTTCCCACAGCCCTCCTTGTCGTGTAGTGTTGGGGGTTTATATTAAGAAGAGATTTATTGAATAACTCTTTGCTTTCTTTTTTAAATCTTTGGGTTAGCAAATAGTGTGAGCTAGATTTTTGATTCATTGCTTTGGTGTGAGAGTGTATCTAATTTAAGGTTGTCTCAATTATACTGATTAAGGAGTTTTTTTTTGATTTTTTTTTTAAAACCTACCATATTAAGAATTATCTCAACGCTCGATTTGGATTTATCGTTAGAAATAAAAAGGTGATTATATCAATACCATTATCAATTTAACTAATATACTCAAACATTGAATTACAGTGGCCTACACAAAGCGTGAACTTAACGACTCTTTATTATTATTATCTAACAATATTTGGAACCTGAGCCCCCTTTTTCCCAATTGTTAACAATTTGTTTTTTTCCTAGTTTATCTTTGAACTCAACACAAATAGCCAATCCTTTGATCAAAGGAATTAACTTGCTTAGAAGGTATCTATTCTTAGCGGAAGGAAGTTTCAGCTTTAGTCGGCTGCTTTTTTATTCAAACTTTTGCCCAACATTACACCGTTATTAAAGAAACCACGTCTTGTTCAGGACTCAGAAATGGACACACAAGAGCTTTTAAGGATCCTTGAAGATCCACAGCTCTTCCAAGAGAAGGCCGCACTCATACGAAATGATCTTATAAACCATATCAAAGTTCAGGATGTTACGATCGAGGAAGTCAATACTGAACTTGAAACATCAAGAACCGCCAACAAAGCTTTTAAGCAAGCATTATCCGAAATTGGAACGGTTGTTATTTCTGTTGCTATGGGGGATTTATCGAAGAAGGTAGAAATCCATACAGTGGAATCCGATCCGGAAATTTTAAAGGTGAAAATCACTATCAATACCATGATGGATCAATTACAAGCTTTTGCTAATGAAGTCACTAAAGTTGCCACAGAAGTGGCAAATGGTGAGCTTGGTGGACAAGCTAAGAATGAAGGATCCGTTGGTATATGGCGTTCTTTAACAGACAACGTCAATATTATGGCGTTAAATTTGACAAACCAAGTAAGAGAAATTGCTGACGTTACCAGAGCTGTAGCTAGAGGTGATTTGTCGAGAAAGATTAATGTTCATGCCCAAGGAGAAATTTTACAATTACAAATGACAATCAACACCATGGTGGATCAATTGAGAACGTTTGCCTTTGAAGTGTCCAAGGTTGCCAGAGATGTCGGTGTTTTAGGTATCCTAGGTGGACAAGCGCTTATTGAAAATGTTGAAGGTATTTGGAAAGAACTTACCGATAATGTGAATGCTATGGCGTTGAATTTAACAACCCAAGTGAGAAATATTGCAAATGTCACTACTGCTGTCGCAAAGGGTGATTTATCGAAAAAGGTTACTGCAGATTGTAAAGGTGAAATTTTAAATTTGAAACTTACAATCAATCAAATGGTGGATCGATTACAGAATTTCGCTTTAGAAGTGACTACATTATCCCGCGAGGTCGGAACTTTGGGTATTCTAGGTGGTCAAGCTAATGTTCAAGATGTGGAAGGTGCTTGGAAGGCAGTTACAGAGAATGTTAATTTAATGGCCACAAATCTTACAAATCAAGTGAGATCTATCGCAACTGTCACAACTGCCGTCGCCCATGGGGACTTATCTCAAAAGATTGACGTACATGCACAAGGTGAAATTTTACAACTTAAGAATACTATCAATAAGATGGTGGATTCTTTGCAACTTTTCGCCTCTGAAGTGTCTAAGGTTGCTCGTGATGTCGGTATCAATGGTAAATTAGGTATCCAAGCACAAGTGAGTGATGTCGATGGATTATGGAAGGAAATTACTTCCAATGTTAACACCATGGCCTCTAACTTGACTTCTCAAGTGAGAGCTTTTGCTCAAATCACAGCTGCAGCCACTGATGGTGATTTTACAAGATTTATCACTGTTGAAGCCAGTGGTGAAATGGATGCTTTAAAGACTAAGATTAACCAGATGGTGTTGAATTTGAGAGAATCAATTCAGAGGAATACTGCAGCAAGAGAAGCTGCTGAACTTGCTAATAGTGCAAAATCCGAATTCTTGGCTAATATGTCGCACGAAATCAGAACTCCTCTTAATGGTATCATTGGTATGACTCAATTATCATTGGACACTGAGTTGACTCAATATCAGAGAGAAATGTTGTCCATTGTTCATAATTTAGCAAACTCGTTGTTGACAATTATTGACGATATTTTGGATATTTCTAAGATCGAAGCTAATAGAATGACTGTGGAACAAATTGATTTTTCCTTGAGAGGTACTGTATTTGGAGCTTTGAAAACTTTGGCCGTGAAAGCCATCGAGAAGTCATTAGACTTGACATATCAATGTGACTCTTCCTTCCCTGATAACTTGATTGGTGATTCATTTAGATTAAGACAAGTTATTTTGAATCTCGCTGGAAATGCTATCAAGTTCACCAAGAGAGGTAAGGTTAGTGTGAGTGTGAAGAAGTCTTTCAAGAGACTGGAAAACAGTGAAAAACTCTTGCTTGAAGTTTGTGTTAGTGATACTGGTATTGGTATTGAAAAGGATAAGTTAGGGTTAATTTTCGATACCTTTTGTCAAGCAGATGGTTCCACTACAAGAAAGTTCGGTGGTACCGGTTTAGGTTTATCAATTTCTAAACAGTTGATTCATTTAATGGGTGGTGAAATTTGGGTCACTTCAGACTATGGTGAAGGGTCTAATTTCTATTTTACTGTCAGCGTCTCTCCATCTAATATTAGATACACTCGTCAAACTGAACAATTATTACCATTCAGTTCACATTACGTGTTATTTATTTCTACTGAGCATACCGATGAACAACTTGAGATTATAAAGGAAGCTATTGTCGAATTGGGATTGAACCCTATTATTGTACGCGATATTGCCGATGCTAACTTGACTGATCCTGTTAGATATGATATTATTATGATTGATTCGATTGAAATTGCAAAGAACCTTAGATTACTCCCTGAAGTTAAGTACATCCCATTGGTCTTGTTACACCACTCGATTCCAGAGTTGAACATGAGAGTTTGTATTGATTTGGGTATTTCATCATATGGTAACACCCCATGTACTATAACAGACTTGGCCAGTGCAATCATTCCAGCGTTAGAATCGAGATCAATTTCTCAAAACACTGATGAATCTGTCTCTTACAAGATACTCTTAGCTGAAGATAATTTGGTTAATCAGAAGTTAGCTGTTCGTATTTTGGAAAAGCAGGGTCATCAAGTTGAAGTCGTAGAAAACGGTTTAGAGGCGTTTGAAGCTATCCAGAAGAATAAATATGACGTGGTGTTGATGGATGTACAGATGCCAGTTATGGGAGGTTTCGAAGCAACTGAAAAGATCAGGCAATGGGAAAAGAAATCAAACCCAATTGATTTCTTGAGCTTTAGAACACCAATTATCGCCTTAACAGCACATGCAATGTTGGGAGACAGAGAAAAGTCATTAGCAAAGGGTATGGATGACTATGTGTCTAAGCCTTTGAAGCCTAAACTTTTAATGCAAACCATTAGCAAATGTATTCACAACATTCGTCAATTAAAAGAACTTTCAAGACAAAATAATAGATCCTCTGATTTGGCAAAGAATTTGAAAATGGGTTCCATCAAAAGTAGCGAGCATTCTTCATCTAATTTACTTTCTGGAATGTCATCAAGTCCTAACGGCGGTAATTCTGGAAATGGTACAACTTCGTCTCGCTCAACTCCACCTATTTTTGAAGGATCACCTCAGAAGTCACACTCATTTGAGAATGGTAGACCAGGTCAATTAAACCCTCAAAACCGCTCAGTAACTGAGAGCAGTATCAATTTTATTACTACTAAATTATCCACTACAACCAACACAGATGAAGTTCCACCGAAATTTGAGTATCTTGACTAATTAATTTCTGTTTATCCTATCATCACCTATATTTTTGCGCGATGAAACTAATTGTATATTATTATTATTATTATTTATAGTACTTGTTGAAACGAATGTAATATTAACAGCTACCAAATTGTTTGGTCCCACTTTTGTAATTCTCGACTTTGTTGGTTCACATCCTTTTGTGCCTTCTTACGCATGTAAAAGATTGGACAATCCTTGTTTGAACATAATACCTCTTGGTGCAATGAACCTTGGCATCTCTGACACTCAGTCCACAATCTAGAAAATTTATTCTCCAAATAATTCATTTGTGCTAATGCATTTCCATATAGTTGTGGGGCTTTATCGTAACAGTTTTCACAAATTGCACCTTTATTACCTGGTTTCAATGGAGTTCTACAGTTCACACAAAGCTCAGCTTTCTTCGCAAAACGCATCAACCCCCCTGTTTTCGGAGCAGACATCTTAATGGTTCTAGTATGAGCACCAGCAAGAAGTTCTTTTGCCCTTTTTTCACCCAAAATAGGCTCGAAAATTCTCATAAGCGGATTAGACAACTGGTTTTCCAAGTAGTACTTTACATCGATAGGCAACGAATTTTCCAATACAAAAAGTGGATCTTCTGACTTCTCATAGTTTTTAGCTCCAGCAGCATTAATAATAACATATGCAACTCTATCACCAAGTGTGGGAGCAGAACCTGGATCTCTTTTCTTCATTCTTTCGGCTAATTCAATATGCGCTTGTTTCGCCGAATAATCTTGTTTCGAGTATGCTTTAGTAATAACCAATTGAGACAAGTCGACTCTATTTTGAAGAAGATCAGCAATTGTTTGCTTCACAAACCTTTCAGCCTTATCCACATCTCTTTCTTCTAAAATGAATTCCAAAACTTTTGTAATAACATTCAGGACTAAACGACAATTATCACGTCTAACAGTTTCAATACCCTTGGTGTCCATTTTGTCAAATTTGTCTGGTCTTGTCCAGTACAAACCGGCATATCTTTTCTTATTGATCAACAAGTAAGGGAAATAAACCTTTTCGAACTCAAGTTTTATAGGTGACTTGAACTTGGTCGAAACATAGTTGGCAGCTTCTTCTCCCATCTTCATACACGTTTCAAGATCTTGATAACCAAACTTTACCATAACGGAATCAGTATCACCGTAAATAACTTGGGCATCATATGGGTGTCCGTTCTTAATGGAATATTGGTCTTGAACTTCAGCCCTAGTTTTTTCAATCATTTCTCTCCCAAATGCAGTAACAGAAGATGAAATAGCAAGACACGGAAGTTTACCAATTGTTGCACCAGTGAAACCATAAACAGAGTTAGCAGAAATCTTCAATGCTAATTGTCTACCATTTAAGACGTCTCGCTTAAAGGGATCAGTTTCCTTTTTCAAATCATTCTTTGCCTTCTTTCTAGCTGTAAGCAATTCATTTAAAATAGTTGGTAAAATACCTTTTCTTTTATGTTCTTTTACGAAATAATCTCCATTTGGTGTTAATACGTAGTCATCTTCCAGTAAATTGAATGCTTTCACAGATTGCTTATTCAACAATGTAGTATAACAAAGGTTATGCGCCATCATAATGGAAGGATACAAAGAACTGAAATCCAATGTAGCGATAGGAACATCATAGTACCCTCTAATTGGTTCAATGACTGTGGCACCCTCATATTCTTCATTTGAACCGTCAACCTTCATATTTGGAATTACTATATCATCTTCAAGACATTTACGGAACAATTGAGAAATAACCTTAATTTGTTGACCTCTTGAAAGAAGGTAAGAAAACGGTACACCTGTTACTCTAGACATTTCTGTATAGTTAACAAGACACATAAGTTTTTCTAATAAACGGAGAGGAAGGTATGCATCTTTAAGACAATAAACAGCCAAACGTCTTCTAGTTTCCTTTGTACCATTTTGTAAATCAGTAATAATCGAATGTTGGACATCTTCCTTTTGTTCACCTAAGAAATGAGCAGATACAGAGTTCAATGTATAAGATCTGAGCTTATATTCTCTTTGAACAAATTGTAACAAGTCCAATTGCATTCTCCCATCAATATTAACAACCTTATTTTCTCTGGTACCATATGCTCTCGAACTGAAAAGGGAATCCTTTGCCTCTTGTCTTATGGTTGGTAATCTACCAAAGTATGGGAAGTTTTTCAAACCCAAAGCCTTGGCACGATCAAGTAAATATGGAATATCGAAGTTGGCGGTATTATAACCAATGATAATATCCGGGTCCACTTGAGTGACAAAGTCACGCCAATGCATGAGCATTTGTTCTTCCTTTTCATGTTCAAAGATCTGAGAACCAATAATAGGAGAACATGTATTGACTGTGAAAACATTACGTACAAATGGTTTAGAATCACCATATTTCAGCACGACGTTTGCGATTTGGATTACTGGATCATGTTCAGCTTCTGGGAAAATACCCTTTCTACCTGCACATTCAATGTCAAAGGATAAAATACGAAGAGGAGCCATTTTAAGCCATTCCCCTTCAGATGCATGCGAGATCAAGTCACGGTAGTCAATGGAACATTCATATTGAGTGGTGGAAATCTTCAAGTCAGGATCAACAATTTCATACTTACCCTTTGGAAGTGTTATCCATGACATACCAGTGATTTTACAATCCACCATCAACCTCAAGAGATAATTGATATTATCATAAGAGACATTTTGAGGTGGGAAAAGGTTTTCGAATCGGACATCACCACGTTCAAACGCGGTTCTAAGTTTTGAAATATTTCTCGCGTTTTCAACCACCACTTTGAAAAATGGAGCCTTAACATTCTTATTATAACCCCAGATAGACTCTTTCAAAGTGATTTGTATATCATCCACGCCTTGGAAGTTATTCTGTACATATGTCTTGAAACGATCCAAATGTTGATCACGGTAGAATCCCTTGGGTACTGGAACATAAAAGTAATGTAAAAAGCCTGTCACATTACACAAGACAGAATGACCCATCTCAGTTATTCCGAAAAACCTCGCAATTGTGAGATCACCAACTGATGTTTCTTCTGCATCCAATTGTTGAAATGTGATATCGGTTGTGCTTGGATCGAATGATTTTGGTAATGGTGGTCTTTCCCAGCCTTGATCCTCTTCAGATTTCAGCACTGGGGCTTGGGACATATCCAAGAGTTCTCTTTCAAACTCGGAAGGACCTTCCAGTTCATTTGGTCTAATTTTCTTCAAATATTGTTCTTGAGTGTTTGAAAGTTGTAACTGTGAACCAGAAGATGTGAATGATTGTGACGATGGCGGGAGTGAATGTGCTTGGTCTTGATGTTGATGCTCATTCTCATCATCGCTCAACAGTCTCTTCAAATTCTGCAGCATGGTGAATTTACTTAATAAATAGTTTACACGGAATTTCTAAACTCTTTGAAACAACCAGAATCTATGCCTATTGATAAAGATAAGTTTTAGTAAACTTCATCTTTTGCAGGTGGAGAACGCATTGGTAAGAAATTATTTTAATGTACGCGTTTGTTATATGCAGTGAAACGTAAATACTTATATCTATATAAAAAAATGGGTGCAAATTTCAATCTACAAAAGTATTTTCCTATAATTATAGAACACAATCAAGTGGATATATAATTAAAAGGGTTAAATTATCGAGATTAAAATCTTGTAGTTAATAATCCTAATTACTCTTATTATATTTCAGTATCCTTATATACAAATTATATCTAAATTATTTACTGCTTTCCTTCCAACACTTGATCTATCTTTTCGTCTTCAAGACTGGAATTAGATTCCTCAATATTGGACTTAGGCCCATGGTAAACCTTATAACCATATGTGTAGTAATAAATCAAGGAGAGTATCCAGATACCCACGTTAATAACACAGGTATAGTTCATAGTTTCTTTGTCCACTGAAATTCCATCTGGGAACATCAGCATCACAATAACATATGCAATCCACAGTACAGTTGTGATATGGATGATGGTAGTCAAGACATCACCCAAGTAAAAATAGCCCGGCTTAAAACGGGAGCGTCCTTCAGGCAACAAAACTAATAATACAGGTGTGGCCCAAGACAATGAATTACTGGAAACAGCCAAGGAGAAAAGAGCGTTTGCAGCAACTGGACCAATCAAGATCAACAATCCACAAATCAAAGATGCAGCACCTCCAAACATGATAGCCCTCAAGGGGACTTTAAGAGTAGGATTAACAACTTTCACGAAATTGTGGAATGGCAAACCGTCATCTCTTGCAAAAGCCCAAATTTGTCTAGATGCAGCAGTCAAAATAGAAGCATAAGATATTGAGCAAAGGCAATAAGAGACATGAAAGCAACAGCCCAGTTTTTACCCAAAGTATCATAAATAATTTGAGCCATAGCTTGACCAGAGTCAGAACTCAAAACTGCGTCAACATCACCATCTTTAATGACAGCACAAGCAACAATACAAATGATCCAACCCAAAATACCACAAACACTGATGGACCCAATGATACCAATTGGGACACCTCTAGTAGCGTTACGGGCTTCTTCGGACATATGGACACAAGAGTCAAATGCTCCAATGGTCCAGATAGCTGGCATCCAGGAAAGCATAAATGACCAACCTGGAGACCACGTTCTAACGTTGGAGAGCTCACCAAAGATAAACTTAGCATCATTGAAGCCTGCATTTCTTGAAGCACCAATGGGAACTGCAATTAAAAACAAAATAATAATGAAAACATTAACGTAGATGGAGAACGATTGTAACCAAGCAGTTTGTTTGGAGGCTGCACAACATAAGAAAACATGAGAGACACATGTAGCAGCAAAGACACCATACATGATGGGGTTTGTGATGGTGAAATCACCATCTTTGTTGATGTAAACTGCAGAAAGAAGTTCAGCGGCAAAACCATAATTAATGGAACAACATCCACCGATTAAACCAAGAGCATTGACGCATCCAATCATAAAACTCAAAGGGACTCTAAGCAGCTCTGGGGCATAATAATTAGTCCAGTAGTATAAACCACCCAGGGTTGGAAGAGAAGATGATAAAATCGACATTGAAGTACCAACACAAAGAATAAAACAACTGGCACATAACCAACCCCAAACCAAACCAACAGGACCAGATTCAAGACCAGTAGCTATAGTGGACGAAATTGAAGGAAGAAGACCCATAATTGAGAAAGCAATACCGAAAATTTGAATTGTAGAATAGTTACGGTTTAATTCTTGCTTATAACCAATTTCTGCCAATAAGTCATCTTCGTCATGAGCTTTACTTGGATCTATGGTGATTGCTCTTAGTTCGGATTTATTAGAGAGAATTGTATGGACATGTTCACCTGTCCTTGACCTAATGGTCGAAATTATAGGTGTTATTGGATTTGACATATTTGAATATCTAAATAACTAGCGAAAAAGTAAAAACACTGTCGACGATGTAAAGGGATGCTTTAGGCATTTATACATAGTACGTCAAATTGGAGATTGGCAACCTATCTCATCCCGTACGGCCTAATTAGGTAATCCGCCAGCGGGCGCGCGCTAAGATAACAAAATAATTAGCGGGAAAACAATTATATATACGGCGTTAAATGTGGGTTTATTTCCTCAAACATTGAAAAATTCTCCACTAGCGGTAACTGTTGTGTAGGCATGGCACACATATATTGTAGATATTTTATAGAATGTGGCAGAGTTTAGCTTTCCTTCTCTCCGAGAACAACATCAATATTCTCCACTTCAATACTAGATGAGGAGTCATCAAGATTAGATTTTGGACCAGAATAGAACCTGTAGCCAAAAGTAAAATAGTATGTCAAAGATAGAATCCATAATCCGACATTAATGACACAAGTGTAGTTCATCGTATTCTTATCAACCGATTTGCCATCAGGGAACATCAGCATAAAGATAACGTATGCAATCCAAATGGAAGTGATTGCATGTATTGCCGTTGTTCCTATTTTCCCTAAATAAAAATAACCTGGTCTAAATCGTTTCAGTCCGTGTGGTAACAATACCAAAAAGGCAGGCATTCCCCAAGCTAAGCCATTTGACGCAACGGATAATGAAAATAATGCATTCGCAGCAACGGGTCCGATTAGAATTAATAACCCACAAAGTAAACCTAATGTACCACCAAATAAAATAGCCCTCAAGGGGACTTTAAGAGTAGGATTAACAACTTTCACAAAATTGTGGAATGGCAAACCATCATCTCTTGCAAAAGCCCAAATTTGTCTAGATGAAGCCGTCAAAATTGAGGCCCCCATTAAATATTGAGCAAAAGCGATAAGCGACATAAATGCAACAGCCCACTTTTTGCCCAATGCATCGTAAATAATCTGAGCCATGGCCTGACCTGATCCTGTAGTTATCACGGCTTCTACATCCCCATCCTTGATAACAGCACAAGAAACGATACAGATAGCCCAACCTAGGACCCAACACGTGATAATTGACCCTATTATTCCAATTGGAACCCCTCTTGTTGCGTTCCGCGCTTCTTCAGACATATGGACACAAGAGTCAAATCCACCAATTGTCCAAATTGCTGGCATCCAAGAAAGCATAAACGACCATCCAGGGGACCAAGTTCTTGCGTTCAAAAGTTCACCAAATATGTAATGTCCACTGTTGAACCCAATACCTCTTGCAGCCCCAATTGGAACCGCAATTAAGAATAGGGCAATTACGAAAAGATTAATGATTATAGAAAATGTCTGCAACCATGCAGTTTGCCTAGATGCAATACTTGATACAATAATATGTGATATGCATGTGGCTGCGAATACTCCGTATCTAATTGAGTTTGTTATGTTGAGATCACCATCACGATTGATATAGATTGCCGCAAGAAGCTCAGATGCAAAGCCATAGTTAATGGAACAAAATCCAGAAGTCAACCCAAGGGTATTCGAACAACCAATTACAAAACTAAGTGGGACTCTAATCGAATCTGGTGCATAATAATTTGTCCAGTAATACAACCCACCCAGAGTTGGAAGGGATGAAGATAGAATAGACATTGAAATACCAACACATAGGATGAAAAAACTTGAGGTAAACCAGCCCCATACCAACCCCACTGGTCCAGCTTCAAGACCGGATCCGATGGTTGATGAAATTGATGGAAGAAGGCCCATAATTGAAAAGGCAATCCCGAATATTTGGATCGTACTATACTCACGTTTGAGCTCTTGTTTGTACCCAATTTCAGCTAACAAATCATCTTCGTCATGAGCTTGACTGGGGTCAATTGTAATGGCTCTCAATTCCGATTTATTCGAAAGAACCGAATGAATATGTTCTCCAGTCCGTGACCGAATTGAAGTAATACTCACAATATGTCTAGCTTCTGACATCTCCAAATAATGTGATCACAGGGTATTAAGCACAGTCAATTGCTCCAGGATGAAGCAACTGGCGGGTATTTAAACACCTAAAATATTTTAATAAATTTCATCCTTATCTTTATATTTCATTATTATTATCTAGGATAAGACAAAACGCCGTTCCCAACTTTAAGATTATTGGTTAGAAAAAGTTCGATCCTTAATAAAAAGGGTCTTTGTATTAAGCATTCGTTATCTACTGCACTAAGTATTATTATTTACGCATTCCGCCTTCAATCAAATTAAGCTTTCTCATTATTGTTTGGTCAGACTCTGTCAAACTTTATCTATAAAATGGAAAAAAATATCTACCAGCGGAATCGAATATATCCCACACAACATGTTCATTGAACTTACCGTATATTTAGTATATAAAATGTTCTTATTTGTCTTTTGCAACCAAATGAGAAAGTTCCTTTAAAATCTGATTAACTAGGGCTTGTACAGAATTTCTCACTTCTTCACTCTTATGCGCTTGAGATTTTTTAACCCTTAGAAGTTCTGCAAAAAAGGAGTCACTTCTCAGAAGATCTCTCACCAATACAGCACGGGTAGAATTTTCTTCTAAATTGATATGTTCATTGAATAAGTCATCATCTGAGTTCTCTTCAGGGATATTGAATATCGAAGAGTAGTGATAAGCCATAGACGTAGAAAATTTAGTATCGAATCCCTTTCCAGATCCAGAAAACCCCTCAATTTCAAGTTTTGATAACTCTTTGAACCAAAATTCCGATTCTGTGTTATCTTGCATAACGATGAATAAAATAAGGTTCAAGAAAATTCTTACTTCATCAACATCATGCGTATAACCTGGAAAATGATGTTTATAAATCTCTTCACAAATAAGTGATATCAAACCTCTTTTATCATTCAGTAGAACATAATCCACCAATTTGGAGTCATAATGAATAAATGAAGTATCAGAACTGTCAACAATATGTATTAGATGTTGTTTTAATTCTTCAACTGTATTTTCCCTCTTCTTCATAATTGTAGATACCTCTCTATCTGGTCTTATGCGGTAATCGTTATCCACATTGTTATCAATAAAAGAGATTATTTCATTAACCAATTCAGAACTTTCCCAGCCGGGGAGTTTTCTTAATTGGGTTAATATTTCACTACCAATAGAGTTAAGTACCAATCTGAAAGTTAAAATTGGTTCAGTATTGGATTCTGACCCTCCATTCAAGTTTGATTTTATGAGCAAATGTAAAACTTTAACCAGTAGCAACAGACTTGCACCATCTTTCCCTTCTTGAACCACAAGTCCCGAGGACTCCACCCAAGTTTGAGTTAAAAGCCACTTGATTATATTCAATGTACATGGGATTAAAAACGATTGTGTCAAATAATCAATCCCGTTGTTTAAGATCTTCTCATCAATTTTACCCACTCCACACGCTAAAATTCCTTGACGGAAAATAAGCGAAATAATCTTATAGATTTGTTTGATATTTACTGATTTGATTAATTCATCGGAGAGGCCATCTTCACTATCATCATATAAAGCATTAATCCAATCGCTAATAAGGTTATTATAGTTCTCAACGATGGTCTTATCCTCCTCAGTTTCAGGGGTCGGGATCAGTGTCAAACTTTCACATAACCTATAATAAAAACCGTTTACGTAATCCAAAGTATATGATTCCTTTATCAATAACTTCGAATGATCAATATTGAAATGCTCTGAAATAAGGATTATACTCAACAATATTACTCCAAAATGAGCGTAAGTTTCTTGAAAATTGTCGTCATCAGTTGAGAAATCTTCCCGATCAATATATTTCATTAATTTATTGAGAATTGTGTGTGGTCCATCTTCACATCTTGAACACAACATAGTAAGAAATTTGGAATTGTTCATTACCGTTAACAATAATCGATTTAATTTATCATTCTCTTTGTCCGATATAAGATCATCAATGATTTTACATATGGTTTCACTTAGTTCAACTGCACCTTCCCAGGAATATTGCAAGATACCAGTAAGAGAATTAATATATTCAAGTAAACCAGATTCTTCAAGTGAAGTGAATTCTGAATTCACATCTAATAATTTGAATTTCATATCATCCATTATTGGAGTGGTTAATGAATTTTTTAAATGTGATAAATCATTCATTTGAAAACTTGGCAGTTCAGGGAATAACTTGTTGAATGAAGACAATTGTAAAGTCTCATTATATATACAACTTTTAACAAAGCTTGTTTGTAACTCCATAGGAACAAGTACACTCTTACACTTTTCATCCAAGGCAGCGAATGCATGGAAAATTGCATCCTCCACAGTTTCTTCACCACGCTCTATCCCTTCTACCAGAGACAACAGTGAGATACCCAACTCTGAAGGGATACGCACAATAATTGTCAATAAGAATGATACCCAATTCCAAATTACGTAGTTTGGTTGTTTCATAGTTATAGCTGAAGCAATTCCTTTAAAAGTAGATACCACCAATTCATGAAATAACACATACCCTTTCCCCAATCTGGTGGTAAACCTTCTTTCATACTCCTTTAAGAATGTTTTCGGATTCATGAGATTACCCTTAACCATAAGGTGATTTAGCCAAACATATCTCTTAACTTGTAAGAGCTTAGTAGCTCTAACAACACTTTTAGGTCCATCAAAAAGATTACGAGTGTTATGAAAGGATGTTGAATTAGTGGCTAATGTGCCTGGTAATCCAGAGTCAACAGAATTTGAATGTCCGATCACATGAGTCACACCTTCAAAGTCTCGTACATCAAGTATATGTTTAGTTTGCTGTATGAATAATTTCAGAAGCGATTCATCATCCAATTTACCACTCAATAATTTGACAGATTTACTGGCAATCATCTTGAGACATTCAGTCTTAACAAGATGAGGAATCTTTTGTGCCACAAGACACCAAAGTAATACCACGTTGGTGAATAATGGCTTCAAGTCTACACCATCAGATCCATTAGAAATCATCCACAATAGATTCAAACTGTAGTCCACCAAATGCAAATTGACCAATGAGTCCACCAATCCCTTCAGATGACAAAGAAGTTTTTCATTGGGAGAGATTTGTGGGATAATAAAATTTGGAATGATTTTCAAATATTCACTTTGTTGCATTGGTGTTAATTTTGGCATATTTACCCAAAAACGGACCAATCTAGATTCATTTGTGAGTGCAACAGACAACGCATATTCCAAATATATCCCATTATTTCCAGCCCCCAACAGTGTGGAGCTACTTGCCTCCATCAAACTTGTAACATACTCATTGTCTGAAATCAGTTCTCTTTGATCCAATTGATTGTATAATTGTACAAATTTATTGGGTGGAGTTTTCCTTGAAATCGCAAGCAGTACAACCTTACGAAGTGATATTTTATCACTGCTCATTTAGCTCTCTCAATTGTTTCTCTTTGATTGATTGTATGTTAATCTCACTGTCGATATAAATGTTCGAGTAATGTATCTGTAACCTCAAAATCCTAAAATCTTAAAATCCTGGATAATGCACTCTTAATTTTTTTTTTTTTTTTCAATCCTTCAATTTTGTTGTGGCCTCTTACATTGTGTTAACAAATCAAAACATAAAGACTAAAAATACATATATACTATATATAATGAACGTCCAAGTAAAACAATAAACCGTCTATACCCTAATATTATGATATGATAAACATATCAATACTTTTTCTCACTTTTTTTTTTATCTTTTACTCTTTCAATCTCAAGCTTTTATATAACCCTTTGGAACATACCCGAAAGCAAAAACAATACTATGGAATCCACTCCACAAAAAATACACACACACAGACACAAATTTATAGAGAAGTGTGATCATGGAAAAAAAAAAAACAAACAAACAATACACATCGCCACAACAAAATAATAAACAAAAATAGACCTCTAGGTTCTAACCTAGACAGTCATGCAATGGTTGAAAAAACATAAACATAGCATGAGGAATATCCTACCACATGCTAGAGTTTCCAAAGTTCCCAGAAACAGAAGTACTCTTGCCCGAGTTATTAGAGCCTAAATTCGTAGAACCACCAATGGTCGAATTGTTAGAGTAAGATGATCCAGTCCCCCAAATGGATGAATGCATCAATGTAGGTCCAGACTGAGCCGTATTGAAAACTGACCAATTGTTCGACATCGAGTCGCCACCAGTTGTCGTTGGAAGTAACGCAGGTGACGAGTTGAGGAACCCAGTAGTGCTAGTTGACGAGGCGGTAGAAGGTGGTGCAATGTTACTTTGCGACACAGAACCTGAAATTGTCGTTGAAAGTAACAAACTTGAAGGAGAATTGTTGGCAACATTATTCTTTGGCATAGAAAGGGTAGTACTTTGTGATTGAATAGAAGTTGGAGAAGTAGCCTTTTCTTCGAAAAATGAACCAGAGGTAGCCTTACCAGAAAATTGCAGGAATTCCTTTTGTTGGGATTGCTGTTGTGGTTGGTTGAACGGTGGGAACGTAGGAGATGAAATAGAATGGTTACTATTGTTCATTAAAGTGAAAACATTTTTATAATCAAAAGCTTGACCAACTTGGTTTCCTTGTCCGTTTGAATCAGACAACAATGATGAAGTAGAAGATAAATTATGGACATCAAAAGATTGCAGCTGTGGTTGCAATTGTTGTTGATGTTGATGATGATGATGATGTTGCAGTTGTTGCAGTTGTTGCAGTTGCGATTGTAAGTGCAGATTTTGGTATTGATGTTGCAGATTCTGATTCAGTTGATGAGGTAATTGCTTACCATTGTGATAGTTAGAACTTGAACCACCGGTTAAAGGGGTCAGATACTCATCGTATGAAGAGTACTTGTAATTCTCATTATACTTGTAGTAATCACCGTACGGTTTGTACAGCAGATACTGTTGTTGAAGCTGGTGAGGTGGATGGTGAGATTGATGTTGTTGGTAGTACTTTTGTTGATGTTGTTGTTGCTGTTGCTGAACTGCAGCAGCAGCAGCCACGGTAGCCAACGCATATTTACTCTGTTGACTCTGGTTTTGAGATCCCAGACCATGTTGTCCACCATACCGAGAATGGTTGACATTGTTGTACTGGGCTGAATGTAACCGAGCCTTTGAATTGTTGGAAATGGCAGTTTCTATCACTTCCAACTGAGAGTTGAATGCTACTAAATCTAAAGTTCTTTTCGGATACGTAGCCTTATTTTCGGTGGGAGTCGTTGACGTCATGATTAGTCGAAGTAAATTCTGCCAAGATGGTTAAGTAATTATGATGATCTTTTATCCTCAAGATCTAAAAATTCATATACGGGAAACAAATAAAGAAAACCGTCCAGGAACAAATGACAAAAGACAAAAACAAAACGATGAATATGAATAAAAAATTAAGATATGATCCCTTATACGATCCAGATGGATACCTCACAGATGGAAATGCAAATGCAGTAACTAGTCAAAACAAAAAATGAAATTTAGTTTTAGAAGTTGACTTCTCTAACAAAATGGGGTTTTTGAATTAGAGTGGAAACTTTTTGGTGAGAATGAGTGACTTTCAAAATGATTGGCGCACTGTAGAAGACACGATGACGGATGATGGTGGGGGAGGGAGGTTCTGGGTGGTGGGTATGCAAGCGCGGTATGCGTCGAAACTCAAAAAATTATCGAACAGATACTGACAAGATGAACGTGAGTCTTCGTACTACCGTGAAGTTCTAGTGGAGTAGAGTAGGTAGGAAAAAAGAATGAGAAAATATTAGACAATTGGCGACATAAATAAAATAGGTGCCGGCATATAGAAAGATTAAAGTTTCGGGTCAGACCAGTAGAATTGGTGTTGAATCAAGCGATTGAAGTAAAGAATGAATTCGCGCTAACGCGCTAAAGTGCCGTAAGGTTTCCAAAAAAAAAAAGAACATATTAAGCATAGATTGAGTATAGGTAAGAATTCAGATAAATATATATATATATTTATATATATATATGACTATATAATCTGTATACTTGTCATGATGAATTTTCTCAAGTAGATGCGTTTAATTGCCAAGATGGTACACCAACATTGGCAATTGCAGCTGCAACTTCGTCATCATTTCCCGAAACTTGGGTTGATGCCAGTTGTTGCCACGTAGGAATGGCGGGTGTAGTTCCTTCTTGAGGCTGTTCAGTCTGAGTAGACGACACAGCAGCCTGCTGCCATGAAGGAATAGAGCTTGAAGGTTCAGCATTCTTTTCCTTTTCCCTGGCTTCTTCATTCTCCTTATGCTTTAATTGCCACTCTGGAATTCCAGCAGCTTTGACAGTGTTGGAGTCAGACTTAGAAACTGGACTTTGTTTCAACCCATCGTTGTTAACAGCAGAAATGGTATTAGAATTGGGGGTGGAATTGGAATTGGTAAGTGTTGGAGATGAAGCCTGTTCAGGAGTCTTGGAAGTTTTGGAAGATGCAGCCTTTGCCTTCTTTAAAATTTCAGAGGCTGAAGGGATAGAAGAAACTGGCGCAAGCTTACGAGCAGCTTCACCAGTTCCATTTCTAGATTCAGAACGAGCAGTGATAAGTTGCTTCAATGAAACAATTTCTTCTCCAATTTCTTGTAATTCATCTTTAATGTTCTCTTTGGTACTGCCCATGTTCTTTTCAACACTATTACGAAGGTTATCAATCTCCAATTTCATTAATCGGAGATCATCATCAAAAGTGAGCTTATCCTTATTATATTTGGATAAGAAGTCATTAACATTATTGATCACAGTGTCGATTTCCTTGGATTTGGCTTCATTAGATGTCTTTATATCAGTTTGATCTTGTGTCAATTGTTCGAGAAGCTTATCAATTTTAATAAATTCTTCATCAATTTTGGCCTTATCTTTCTCAATCGAAGATTGAGAAGGTGGGAGAATACTGGGCACCAAGTACCGAGTAACTACTTGGTACAAACCATATGATACCCCAGCAGTGGCCGTGGCCATAATAAAGTAATCCTTCCACGATCTTTCAGGAACTTGTGGTGCAAAGTTATAATAATCAAGTGGGGCTGGTTGTTGTTGTTGTTGTTGGTAGGAAGAAGAGGACGAAGAGCCAGATCCACCGGAGCTTGAAACATCTCTTCTTTCTGTATTACTTGAAGTGGTTGTCACTTCTCCTCCATTAGCTCTTCTAATGGCCTCTTCAATTTCTTGTTGATTAAGTCCCTTGGATTCCAAAAATTCCACCTTTTTCGCAAACGGTGAAGAATTGACGTTTGGATCTTTGAGGAAACTCACTGCACTAGCAAGTAATTCTTCATTCATATTCCACTTTGATTTCTAGAAAAGATGATAGTAATTTCAACTATCTATTACAACCTCTTTCTCATTTTCAGTTTGGAGACTGCGGGGCGAAATTGTTCACAACCGAGGGATTGAAAGAACGTGACGTGAGTCAAAGATCCTACTAAAATGAATTTTTTTTTTCTTAGTGCTTATTTTATTTACTATGTACAAAGTATAAATAATTTAAAAAGAGAGAACAAACAAGATAATAAATATTCTATAATTGAATAGAACCAATGATAAATTGGTCAAGTTTTCATATGCGTCATAAATGGTATAATATGTGATTTTTTTTTCCTTTTTTCTTCCTTTTCTAATCGTCTCTATTTTAATGTAGATGATGTTTTGTTCAACAAATTTTGTATGGTTGCAGCCTTAATTAATTCTTCGTAGATACACCAACTGATTCCAGCAGAGAGTCCCTTACGTCCAAATCTTAAAGAAAGACCACGGAAAAGATTGCTCACTCCTCCCTTTTCAAGTATAATACTCTTTGTTGCCAGTACGATGCTCATATGCGTGGGAGAAAGTTGTAATCTTGTCTTAATGGCATCAAATGGAGCTGTAATTGTAGTGGAAACAGAAGCAGCCAAAACGGCTGCGCTTGTATTGATGAGTGCAGATCTGGAGATCCAAGAGTCATCATGCAAAAATTCCAGAGAGACAATCTTCGGGAATAAATCATTTTTAAATGATTCATAAAATAATATATATAATCCAGCATAAGGACAATCTCTGGCTAAAGTTACCAATGAGCCTCTAAAGAAATTGCTGATGGATCCTTTAGCTTGTCCATCAAGATAAATTCCCTCAACACCTTCATACATGGAATTGTAGTTGTACATGTTTGATTCAAATCTAGTCTTAACCACTGTGATAGGCATGGTAATAAGCCCAACCAAGGCTCTCATACTAAACCCAGTCATTAAATTTTCAAAAGGTGATAATTGAGGTAATGCACTAGTATCGGAAACTTGTGTCGTTTTCTTCATATTGGACAAATATGTTCTACATGCTGAAAGTGATGTGAAATAGAGCCCGGCACCTACCGAAGTTCGTAAAGCGGAAGGTAAAGCACCCCTCCAGAGATCTTTAACCTTGGTTAATTTCATAAGTTCTTTCCGGATCGTTGTTCTATAATCCACATTGGATCGTTGCTGTTGTTGAAGTCTTGTCTTTAATAAATCAAATGGTTGAAGTGAAATGGCCAGAATGAGACCAGCAGCTCCTCCAGCTAATAAATGTGCCGAAGTCTTTGCCACAGGAGCATTCTTAGTCTGAGTGTCTTTCGTTGTAGTCGTTGATTTCAGACTTTGGTCTTGGTTGACATTAGACATTATATGATTTTCTTCTCTCACCCCACAATTTCTTTATTAATGTATTTTCAAGTACTATTTCCTAATGGGATAGATGTTTCCTTTCCTAACCAATTGAATCTATAATCTATTTGATTTGTATTTCTTTTAATCTTTTTTTTTAAAAAAAATTATGCTGAACTCTAAATTGATTTTATAAATTTCACTTTAAGTGTACGCCATTAAAATGTCTACTTTGATTGATAGTGGTAAGTTTCAATTTTAGAAAATAATCTTTTAAAAAACCAAAGTTGTGCACGTGACATTTTAAATTTTCCCATTATATAATTAATTTATCTCTATATGTATATCACTTTATCAAGGAAATCCTTCAGTCCCGATGAAATTACTAATAATTCATCAATATTACCAAGTTCAGAATTCCCATCTACTTCAAAACTAGAATTAATAGAATTCTTCCACATTGAAAGTGAAGCTAATGCCAAGAAACTATGTAATGGATCAGGGAATGTTTCACCATCTTTCCCAAACCCACCAATAAGCTTATTTTGTGTATTATCAAGTAAATATTTTTGAGCTGCATTAGAATCGATTAATTGAAGACCTTGATTACCACATAAAATTTTTAAACTAGCTGTGCACCACCATGAATAACAAGTATCTCCAAATTTATTTTCTCGTCCATTAAATCCTCCTATATCATTAGAATCCCAGTAATAATAATCTTCTGTAGCATAACTTTCCACCAGAGACGGGTAATCTACTTGTCTATGTACAAGCCAATTGATTGTTTGATCTACCCAATTAGATTGGTTTCCTTTAAAATCATACCCTGATAACTTCAATGCAGCAATGCCGCAAAATGTAAGTCCTGAATGTGGTTCAGTATATTTATTTGAACTAAGCCCCCCATTAACACTTATTCTATCCGATAGAAATTTTTGAATTGAATCAATATCAATATCATATTTCCTATCATCTTTGGAAAGTTCATCATATTTTAATAGTTTCCTTATACATAACGCCGTATAACAATGTCTCAAGTCACATTCTCCAAATGGTGTTCTATCTACCCCCAATACAGGTTTGAATCCTCCCTTATTTGGACCATCCTTCAATTGCAACATGGATACGAATTTCATAATCTTATGACGATCAATCTTATCATTTTCTCCATAATTGGAATTTAATGCTAATAAAGTTATTAATCCGAAAAATGTAGCAGCCAAATTTGGTAAATCATAAGATGGAGAAGATGAAGTCCCATCAATTTTATTCAACTTGAAGGTTTGACTCGGCCTAAATGCCTGTATTTCTTCATTTCCTATCGTCTCATTGATTATATGGTCATAAATGAATTCAGAATATTGTTCTTGTTCGGTTGGCGTAAAATTCAATTTACCTAGTAAATCTAATCCATGTACACAAAAATATATAATAGCTAATTTATTAGAGTCTTCAGATTGTGCCTTTGCTGGGAGTGACATAAGGCACATTCTGAAATACTTTTCATGTTTCTTCACCAATAATGGTTCCATTTCCGCGTATTTTCGTTCTCGTACGTATTCTTCATCATATTATGATGTTGTAGAAATCACATAACCAACCCACTACCCATTCCTCCATTGTGATCTAGAAACTATCGCGCGAATTTTTTCTTGTTACATATGCAGAATTCTCATAATATACCTGAATGCAAAAACTTGGCCATGCCTCCTGTTAAGGCGAGAACTTATCTCTGACGAAAATTTAGTGGCTATGTTGTAGATTGAGATCGTAAACAAAACAAATTAAAATAGAAAATAAAAAACATATACTCCCAGCCATTAAATCATTGTTGCACCTCAGTTTTAAAGTTAGACCAGTACACTATTTAGATTTGGTAATGGTTAGTATACATACACGTTTTTTATTTTGACCGAGAATCGAAGTCTTACCCCTGCATTTGTAGATTCTGTTAAAGTTCCAAGGATAAAACTAACCAAAACATAGCCGAGAGTTATTGGCTCAAGACCCAAATAATGGATTCGCGTTAGCAAGTTTTTCAAACTACAATGAATTTTATTTCTTAACACAGCCTTCGAATTAGTTGTGGCTATTTTAATTATGTACAAATGTAGTATGGAGGAAACAAAAGGGTTAGGACCGTTGAGAAAAATGTTCTAAGGCTTTTTTAGACACATTCTCCACAAAGTAATACAATGAGTAAGGTGGTGGGCTATTTCGAGCTCACCCGTGCTCATGATACCACCAGTGCTCTTATTTCATACTCTGGTACGAATCATATAAATAGTCCTAGAGTTTCGATAGTATTTGTCGATGTTGTAAGATAATTAGATTTCGCTACAAGGAATAGTTACATATATACAGACATACACACATACACACATACACAATTATGAAGTACTCTACCGTTACATTATTAGCCATTGCAGCTGCAACTGCAAACGCTCTGGTTGTCCCAGGTTATAATGCTGCTATTCTCAAGAGAGCTGGTGATACTAGTGGTGCTACTGACAGTAGTAGTGGCGCTTCCGGATCTTCTGGATCTGCTGGATCTTCTGGATCTGCTGGATCTGCTGGATCTGCTGATAGTAGTAGCGGTGCTTCTGGGTCTTCTGGATCTTCAGGATCTGGTGCTTCCCCTGTGGGAGCTGCTTCTGAACAATCTGCCGGAGCTGCTGGATCTGCTGGTGGTTCCGTTGCATCTGCTGCTGGTGCTGGAGGAGCTTCTGGTGTAGCACTTGCTGGATCTGCCGCTACCGGTGCTGCTACCGGTGCTGCTACAGCTGCTGGATCCGCTGCTGGTCTTGCTGGATCTCAAGCTACTGGTGCTGCCGCTGCTGCTTCTGGCGCTGGTCTTGCTGGATCTGCTGGAGGTGCTAGTGCCGGTTCCGCTGGATCTGCTGCCACTGCCACTGTTGCATCTGCTGCTGGTTCAGCTGCTGCGGGTGCTTCTGGTGCCACTTCTGGTGCTGCTTCGGGCACTTCTGGTGCTGAATCTAGCGGATCTGCTCCTGCAATTGGCCAACTGAACTCATCCCCATCTTCTGCTGGTGGCTCTTCAGGATCTTCTGGTGCTTTAGGATCAGGTTCTGGATCAGGTTCTGGATCTTCCGCTGGAGGATCTTCCGGCTCAAGAACCTCTTCTTCCCCATCTGGTTCAGGCTCTTCTTCATCAGGATCTTCTTCATCTAGCTCCGGTTCTGGTGCTATGTCCGGAAAGTCCACTGGCTTTGGCTTTGCGGCTGTTGCATTTGCTGCAGGCTCCTTATTAATCTAGAGATAAAAGGAGAGAAAAAAAATAAATAGAACAAATGAACCGAAGAAGAATGACTTCATAAAATGAAATATTGTTTATACATGTATAGGATTAAGATATTTTTCAATAATCATGATAAGGTCATGTAATATATACATATTGATAAGTTGCAAATGTTGTTTTTATGGTATGCTCAGCCCCACTCTTTACAGGCTTCTATTTTTTCATGCATAGATCGGAAAATATTCAAAGATTTCCACAATTTACCGCGGCACTCTGTCATGCAAACGAGGCTGAACCAACGACATACGAGCAATCTCATCATAAGGATGAAATCAAGGACAAATACATATATATATAGTGGAATTTCTTTCTACATTTGTCACCACATTTAAACACACGCTACATTCATTGATACTATGTCCAAAGAAGCCAAGGAAGATTTTCTAAAGGAACCAATATATCCCATCACAGAACCCCCAAGTTATGATCAAAGTAGCGGAAAGATCCTTTCTTGGGATTTCATTTGTCTGGAACAGGCGATAACTGATAATTTTACCTTATATACGTCATTGGATGCACAAGAAAAATACAAATTATTTAAAAATGCCAAGGGAAGCGAAGATTATATTCGAGCTCGTGATCTTCAACAAAATGGGTTTGCCTTACCTGTGCTACAGGCAAATCGTACACTTTTCAAATTAAACAAATTCTTAACTATTTATAAATTTAGACCTCCACCAGCCGCTGGTACCAGATTATTTTCTAAAAAGGAAGATAGATATGTTTTCTGTAAAGTTGAACGAAGATGGTCTATTGGATATACTCGGTATATTTTAGAATTTACCCCTGATTTTGATAATCCAAATAGGAAATTCACAGTGACAATGATTGAACATTCTAGAAAGCCAATAATCGACATTTCAGAATTCAATGGGAAAAGATTGAGATGGACTTATTCCAGATACTTCTTCTCTGGTACACATTGGGCATATAATTTAAATGTGTTACCACCAGATACGCCTTCATTAACTGACAATTTAACATCTGAAAATAAAGTAAACAGTAAGAATCCATTGCTTGGATCTTCATGGGGGAATGTCTTAATTCCAAGAAGTAGACGTGGTTATGTTTATGAATCAAATCATTGTGTTGGAAAACTCTATGATGCACTACAAATCATTGGATTTAAATCTACAAAATTTACATTTCAAAAACATACAATGGATACAAACTTAAGTCCAGAATCTATATTTTCTGTTGATGAAGAAACTATGGTGATCTTATGTATTGCCGCTGTAATCAAGAGAATTGAAGAAATTAAAGCGGATGCTAGAAAATCTCGGTGAGAATCCCCCGAATAATTAAAAGAGTATAGAAATAACCAAATTAATATGAACAGAGATTTTTTGTAGTAATTTATTTTGTATAATCTAAAAGTAATTGATACATATCCACTCCAATTACTTGTAAATTTCTTTCTAAGGGTAATTGCGAAATCACTGATATTATGATTGGGGAAATTATTCCTGAAACACAATAACATTTCTCTATATCCTGTACGGCTTTACCCCTGATATTTATATTGGTAGTCCAATCAACGTCATGTTTGTAGAAATATTTAAAATTCTCAACCTTTGATACATTATTTGGCTTGCAGTGTACAAGTGACTGTGCGGTACTCTTCAAATCAAACCAAAATGATGCCAAATCTATATTTAATCCACATCCAAGTAATTTAGTAAATGCCTCCTTAAGAGTCCAATATTGATTGAATGTATTATATTGATCATTTTTATTCTCAATTTGAGAAAGGTGTTGATATTCTGAATCATCGAATATTTGTCTGAAATCTTCAATACACGAGTCAGGGTCGATTTTTTGCCTTGAATGAGATAAATCTATACCTACCAGTGACTCAATCCCCAGCTGTATAACCATACTTAAGATGTCATTCGAGGTGCTAGCATTAAATTGGAAATTTTTACCGTCATCAATTGCCCGCAAGAGAGATGGCTTCCCATATTCATTGTATTGGAATTTCAATGCATTAAAAGGCTGGAAACTATCCAGATTATCAACTTGAAGGTTGAGAACAAGTCTGGTAAACAACCTGTTAATCAATTCCTTCTTCAGGTCATATTTCTTTGATCTAACTTTCAATTGTTCATCTAATGAAAGATACCGAAGACATATCTCAAAGTTGAAATCATCTTCAAGGAACTCATTTAAAATTTTATCGATAGTTACAATATATACAGTAGTTTGTTTAGGTTTATCTAAGGATTTAAATTCTCCTCTTATATCATCAGATATAGTCATATTATCATAATAGGATATTATAGATCTCTAACCAGGTTTCTTCTAACTCTCGAAATTTTTTTTTATTGTTTTTTCTTAGTCATAATCTCGCGTTATCTATCATACAAAGGACTATATAGTGATCTCTCTATTATATTGTTCTCTATTTCCTTTATAATTCCTACTTTTCATTCTCAGCAGTGACATTATAGAACTTATGATAGTTAGAGCCTTCATATGGTTTTACAAGTGCACTTTCATATACTGCAAGTACAATTTCCTTAACCTTTTCTCTACTAGCTTCTGATTGCTGATAATGATAAGCAATTCTACTACCACCTAATTTAATCCCTGCCTCTTTAGCAAGTTTGTCTAATAAATCAGGATCCATCTTATTCTTTGGAAGATCCAAAAACACAAAGTTTGTATGAACTGGATGTTCTAATGCAATTCCTTTCTCTTCACAAAGTTTCCCTAATTCTTTAGCCCAAACATGTGTTTGTTTCAATTTTGGGAATGTTTCATCAATTGCCACACTTGCCATACTGGTGATCAAGCCTGCTTGTCTAATACCACCACCATTTTGCTTTTTGAAATGATTTGCCTTTAAAATGAATTTTTTCTCTCCTACAAGGACTGAACCAATTGGTGCACCTAAAGTCTTAGAAAGACAAAGAGACATAGAATCAAAATATTCACCATATTCCGAAATTGGAATACCAGTTTCAGCTGATGCATTCCATAATCTTGCCCCATCTAAATGAAGTTTAACATCATTTTGCTTACAAAATGCAGAAATTTTCTTAATTTCGTCCAATGGGAAAATCATACCATGTAAAGTGTTCTCCAAAGAAATCACTTTTGTTGGGGCACCATGAATTTCACCATCATCTGGAACAAAATTAGGAAGAATATCATCTTCAAGAGTAAGATGAATTCCATTTTTGGGAATTATCGTTTGTACCATTGCTTGGGATAAAGTTGGTAAACCTCCAGCTTCGTGGACGTATACATGTGATCTATAGTCACACATTACACTATGAGGAGGCTGGAAAAGGTGACTTCTTAAAGCGATTTGATTAGAAAGTGTCCCACTTACACAATAAAGGGCAGCTGGTTTACCAGCAATCTTGGCAACTTTTTGTTCAAGTGCAATTGTAGTGGGATCTTCATTATAAACGGAATCACCAAGAGTTGCCGAGCTCATAGCTGCAACCATGGAAGTTGTAGGGGTGGTGAACGTATCACTTCTAAATTCATTATGGGCTGGTGAATTCTCAAAACTCATAGTGTTACAGTAGCTTATAATCTTAAGATAAAGAGTATCCAAAAAATGGAAAAAAGAGAGAGAAAAAAATGAGTATGAAATGTAATATATAAGATTGCGTTCGATTGGTGGCGTAGAGATAACGGTTCATAAATGGAACACAGAATTTGTGTCACCAAATGTAATATGGAGTAAATATTAATCTTAAATAAAACTACTAAATCCCATCCATGGGGATAGACCATTTATACAACAATTCAATCTATCTTATTTTGCAAAATCAACTCCATTAATCATTGGACAGTTTTTCCTTTATTTTTGATATGTAAGCATAATTTCAGTTTAAGCCTGGATTATGTCATAGTAGCATGTGAGGAGAATGCTTCTGCTTATCCTTAGCGGAATTACCATTTGAATTACAAAGTACACTAGTTAATAAATATGCACGAATCTTCTTATCCCCGAACTGTCACGTTGATAGATTTGAAACTGAACGCTTTAATAATCTGTATTAGAAATCTTTATTGTTGTTGCTGCCACTCCGCTTTTTTTTTTCCCAAAAAAAAGGAGTTTTGGATAAAAATCTAAATAGGGTATTTGCATGCGGGCGGATGTCCAAATTGAGAAGTAGCACAAAATCACGGCCAACCGATAAGATCGATGCTTTGAAGTCCGTTAAATACGTGGAGAAACGCTCGTTCTTTTCATTCTTTTCAACTACTTTTTCTCTTTAACACATCTTATATTATAAATAATACTTTCCAAATATGTCTTTACCATTACTGTATGAAGTTACCCTTCCAGATGGACAAAAATTCACCCAACCTTCAGGTTTGTTCATTAACAATGAATTTGTCAAATCCAAGTCCGGTAAGACTCTTGACTCTATAAACCCATCCACTGGTGAAGTGAACGGTAGTGTTTATGCTGCTGAAGAAGAAGATGTTGACATTGCAGTTGCTGCTGGTAGAAAGGCATTCAAGACCGTTTGGAAAAAGACCACTGGTGTTAAGAGAGGTCAACTTTTGAACAAATTTGCTGACATCCTTGAACTGAGAAGAGATTTGATTGGTGCTATGGAAGCTTGGGATTCTGGTAAGACCAAGGCCCAGAATGCAGTCTTTGACATTGATGAAACTGTTGCCGTTTTCAGATACTATGCTGGATGGGCTGATAAGATCCAAGGTAGAGTTATTCAAAATAATCCAAAGACTTTGGCTTACACTGTCCATGAACCATTTGGAGTTTGTGGTCAGATTATTCCATGGAACTACCCAATCCTTATGGCTTCTTGGAAATTAGCTCCTGCTTTGGCCGCTGGTAATGTTGTTGTGTTGAAATCATCTGAAATTACTCCATTATCCATTTTGTACTTGGCACAAATCTTTAAAGAAGCTGGATTCCCACCTGGTACTGTCTCCATTCTTTCTGGATATGGGGCCACCTGTGGTAAGGCCTTGACTTCTCATTTGGATGTTGACAAGGTTGCCTTCACTGGATCTACTGCTACTGGTAAAGTGATCCAACAATTGGCTTCTGCTAACTTGAAGGCTGTTACATTGGAATGTGGTGGTAAATCTCCATTGATTATCAGAGCTGATGCTGATTTAGAGCAAGCTGCTAAATGGGCTGCCATTGGTATCATGTATAATCAAGGTCAAGTTTGTACTTCTACTTCCCGTATTTACATTCATGAATCTGTTTATGACAAATTTTTGCAACTTTTTGCTGATCATGTTACCAGCGATTATAAGCAAGGACCTATGTTCAACGACGATGCTGTTGTTGGACCTCAAGTATCAAAGCAACAATTTGAAAAAATCTTGTCTTACATTGATATTGGTAAGAGTGAAGGTGCTAGAGTTGTTCTTGGTGGTGAAAGAAATGCTGAAGGTGAAATGGCTAAAGGTTTCTTTGTCAAGCCAACCATTTTCGCTGATGTTACCCCTAAGATGAGAATTGTAAATGAAGAAATCTTCGGTCCTGTTGTTGCTTGTGGTAAATTTTCCACTGATGAAGAAGTACTTGAATATGCTAACCAAACTCAATATGGATTAGGTGCTTCTATTTTCACCAAGGATATTACCGTGGCCCATGAAATGGCTTCTGAAGTTGAAGCCGGTATGGTGTGGATCAACTCTTCCAACGACTCCGACCATCACGTTCCATTTGGAGGTGTCAAGATGAGTGGTGTTGGTAGAGAACTCGGTGAATATGGTTTATCTACTTATACCCAAGCAAAGGCTGTCTTTGTTAACTTGTCCAACAAGTTGTAATGATGTATCGAAACAAAAAGTACATAAATTTATTTAATTATCTAATAATAGTCTTGTGAGTAAACTAGCCTTTATTGAAATGTAATATAGTCTAATAAAGTTGATAACAATTTTCAAAAATATAAACCGATCTAAAAATGCGGGGGATATAATTTGCACCCAAAATCAGAAATTTCCATTTTTATATTGATTACATGCAGCAATGGAAGCGATGTGCAGGAATTTCGGATCTCATGTACCCCTATATGTTTTTGTGCTGCCAATATGATTGTTCAAGACATTTGATGGATTGATAGGTTGTTCCTTTGCTACTTTCTACATACCATTGTTTTTTTGCCTCCCGGTTCATTTATTAATAGAACAAGTAGAGAATCTCCTATACACAAAAGAATAACACAATGCTGGGATTGTTGAATTGCCATGGACTCCCTTTGTCACCATTACCTTCATCAATCTTGCTGGAGGTGTTTGAACATGTGAATCAATATGACTTGGTAAACCTTCTGTTGGTAAATAGTGTGTTCTATGAGCTTTCAAGTGCAAGACTATACAAGAAAATTACTGTGATATTAGATGCCGACTTCCCTTGTCAATACCGAGATTCCGCTACTTCCTTCGTGGAGGACAATGGGATCACCAATATGGATACATCATTGATTTTCGATCTAGCTAAACTTTACCAGCTTCATTCGACATTTACCAGAAACCCTGCCTTGATAAGGAAAGTGCGATATTTCGTGTTTGACAAATGCTCCCCAACAGGACATGAAGGTGATGATTTGGATATCACCCTTTCTCAGTTCATGGATATTCTTGAATCATCCAATGTTTCCTCATTAAATTTACTCCATATCACTTTCATTGACTTCATTTCAGGGATAGATAAATTGACTCTGTTTATGAAGAACGACAAAATTCGGAAACGTCTCTGCAAATTATTCATCAATAAACTTGGGGATTTATATACTCCGATTGTTCCTCAAGGGTTAACGAATTTATTTCTCATGTTGGACGAAAGAGAATTGATGGAAATTGAAGAAATAGATTTAAACTCTGAAAGTTTCGAAATACTTAATTCTATCCAACATTTAACGTGCCTGACTAAGGAACATCTAGGATTAGATATTCTTCGGAAATTGAAACTTCGATTCAATGATCAATCATCAAAGTTGAAATTAAAAGGATTCACTGCATTTCATTGTCACAGAGATAACGAGGAGATAATACGAGAACATCAAGAAGACGAACAAACTCAAGTACAATTTCCAGAGTCTATGAGCTATCTTGAAAATATGTCGAAGAATTTATGTTTCAATACAATTTCTTCGAAGATTGATATATCATATTTAAGTCAATTATTTCTCAAGATTGATTGTAATGCTGACAGAGTTGATGCTTGTGATTGTTTCCCAACCTTTTTCGATGACCTCACAAAGTACCTGGTGGGAAATGGAGGTTTACCCAACTTGGAACGATTTCAATTGGAGCTTTTCCCCAATTTGGAATGGCTTAGACCACACCAAATTCTTGAAAGTATACTAACACCTTTGGGTACATTCATAAAGTCGTTGGCTAGCTTATCCAGACTTTCTATCGATTTTTCAACTTTAGGATTCAAAATGTTTGACAATGGTATGGGGATGAGCAGTTTATTATTGAATAAATTGAATGAAAGATTAATGCAGGCGTTTTTCTTATCGTTTTTCATCACTTCACCAACCGAATCTATATCATCATCATACACTATATCGTCACCAGTTACCGAAGGAGGAGACTTACTGTGTATTATGGCAAATTTAAAAACATTACAATTACCCGACTTCTTAACATCTTTCATCTATTATAGACCAGAGTTCTATGAATCCTTACTACACACATGTCCTTGTTGGGGCTGCCAACTTGTGTTAGATAGATTGAAAGAATTGTTCATTCCTCTTGTTTCTGAGAAGGATGATGGAGAACAAGAGGATGAAACTGACGAGGGTTCATTAGATGATGAGTCAACATATTACCTTTTGATTGGATTTATTCTTGGGAAACTTCAAGCTGATAGAGAAGTTTGCATACCTATCAAACGGGACTCATATAAGTTTGACAATTACCCAATCTATAAAGGTCAACTGCATACCCTACACACCCAATTTCATTCTGATGAAAACTGTCAGTGTTTTGGAGATCACAATATTCCAGACATTGATAGTTTAACTACAACTTATATTACACATCAAATACGACCAATATTGAATTATTTAAGCAAGATTTTCTATAATTTGGATACATTAATGATTCATGGTATATTTTACAAGAAAACAGATGAAGGGAGAATGGTATCTATATATGATGAAGATGAATATCCTGCGCTGTTTTTAGCGTCACGTAAAACTGAAGATGGGGGCGAGAGAAGGCCAAAAATACCCTTTGGTAAGTATACGAAAATATTTTAGAATCTAAGTAGAATTCATTAATTATTATTATTATATTCGTATTTCTATGTACATGAAGATTGGATATTGTATCGAGGCGATGGTAAATTTAGTGACAAGCTAATCTTTAGGTAATACAGACGTAAGAGCAATGAAAAGTTTACTGAGTTCTTCGCTTCCATGAACTTCAATATAATCCTTTTCTAATAATTCCAGATATGATGCTTTTATCTCATCTAAATATAATTCTGCATCATCGAGATAATTAATATATCTTGTAAGGAATTCGTCAAGTTCAGATATTGGGGCATTTTCCCCTATCTTAGCTTGTTCAACTTTATCCTTCTCATGTAATTCAACAATTTTCTGCTGTTTGTTCTCGGCTTCCACATTCTCATAATTCAAAGGTTTCTCTTCTTTCATTGTAGCTTTAGCCGCTTTATTATCTTTTTTACGCTCGGCTTTGGTTTTCTTATCGGGTAATGTCGAGAATTTTGGAACGACAATTGGAGCGATTGGTTTGGGCTTTCTGGCAACCAAGTGAGTTAATGCTTGCAGTTCATTTTGAATTCCCTTAACCAAAATTATTTTAAAATTTTCTTTCTTCGCTATGTCTTTTAAGATATTACTAATGTTCGACTCTTCGCAGATCACCAAATATCTGATACCAATTTCGGGTACTATGGCCCTTCTTATCATATCACTATTATATTCAAACTGATGCAGATATGTATATATATTCTCAAAATCTTTTGTCGATTGAAATTTAGTCATATTAATAAATGATGGCTTTAGATAATCACACATGAATGATTGATTTTCAAATTTAGGGGTTAATGGAACCATATCCCATATGGAACTACTTAGTAATATAGTCGATGGAGCATTATCTAAGTATCTCTGAAGATGAAACCATGGTTTACAAACTTGAATTTCCTCTATCTTGCGGGTATAGTATTGGTGTGCTCTAACTCTTACGTTTCTATTTTTCTTTTGCCAATCAAATTGAATGTTTTTGTATAAATTGATGAATGGTGAATATATGAGTTCTAGGATTATTTGAATAGATGTTTCACTCGCTGGGAAAGAAGGTACCGGAACACCCTTGTTCAATCTCTGGGACAGAAAGAAGTGTTCCTTCATTACTATATATGACTTTTGTTCCCATACTCTATCAACCACATCTTGTGGAACTTTTCTTGGTCGTGAAACTAAGGAGTTTATATATCTAGGTACCCTTGGCAATTGTACTAATGCCGTATCTTGAACAATGAATTGGATTTTTTTGATTCCGTTACGATTTAATGACATGGTTTAACAATGCATAATATATGTGTCATATGATATATATTCCAAACGATAATTGTACTTGATGTACCTAGTATAAATTGAACTCTTCTCGTTAGACATAGAGATGTGTGGATGTGTAAAATTCATAAAATATTATCACGTGATTCATATCACAAGATAAGAAACTGGCTTAAGTTTTGAGATTGATACCAAACTTAATTGCAGGTAATTACTTTTTCTTTTTTTTCTTTAGTACCATTTTGAATGGTGTTTAGTGACACACTAAGTTAAAAAATCTCGTTGGGAATACAACGCATAGTAAAAATGTATAGATAAATTTCTTTTTAACGAAAAAAAAAAAAAAAAAAATCGTAATTTCAACTCTTGCAGAGTCGAATGTATCAAAAGTACAAGGAGTGCTTTGTTATATTGGTTTGAAACCCAAATTAATATCACAGATAACAGGAAAGTAGGTACGATATATCATGATATTTGGTTTGTGCATTTTGATTAAAATTAACCTTGGCATTGCTAGGGTGGGGTATACGCAGACTTTAGTTTTGTTGTGATAGTACACGATACATAGTTCAGGTACACTAGATTCATCTCATTTAGATTAACCATGATCATGCTTACGTTGCATATTCAGGTAGTCAAAGTATTGACAATAAAAGTCATTGTTCTCCTCCAACTACATTCATGCAGAAGAACTTCCACTCTTAGAAAGAGGAGAAATAGATACAAATTAAACTCTGCATATCCATCTGCACCTCAAAATTTTACTCTTTGCAGGATCATCACTTAAGCAAATGCCAGTATAAGTATATTTTCTCTTCAGATTCTATGCTTTTTCATTATTAAGATATACTTTCATTGAGATTTTCTTTATTAAAGAGGCTATCTATATATAATAAAAGGTAAATTCAATCAGTATCTACGAATTAAGATAGGATGCACATCATATTAAAATTTCTCCATCGAAACACACGCACAAATTCTTCCCTGCACCAACAATTCCATGCCTTTAGTCCGCCACTATTATCTTGGCGAATAGAACTATTCATACAAAAAATTTTCAACTATTTACGAACAGTTCACCGCTAAACACTTATTTTTGTTGGGGCTAACTTTTAGATATGCGCCTCCTTTATTTCATTGGATATAATTCGTCCACGAAATAGGTATGTGATGCATAGACCGCATATGAGCTGCGATTGTATGCACATTTCAGGTTCGGATCTCAATCCGATGCCCCCGATGCGCCTAAACCTTTCTTTTTCTTGCTTCCATGTTCGTTTACAGCGGCTTTTTACTTGACTATACCTAAGCACAATAAGTTCTGTTTTTAATTCAACCTGTCTTCATAGAGGATAGAACAAAGAGAGATAGAGAGAATTGCGTGTAGTTATGGTAGTTAATAGCAATATACTTATGGAACCCAAATTATATTGTGTCTATAGTACATGACTCGATCTTCATGTGCTGTTTTTTAGTGCATGCGGTGTGATATGTATACACGTACCTAAGACAACAGAATAGACCAAGTGTCAGTTTACGATAAACGAAATAATCCTTTGTAAGCATGGAATACATGATATTAAATTTTATTTAAAAGCTGTTCCTTCCTCTCTTCGTAATGTTTTATTTCTACCCAACCTATATTTTGATTGCAAAAACCAAGAGGAATGACAAAAAATAGACTATCTACGGTAGACCATATTAGCTCTCATCACCATGAATGGAAAATTTTTGAAAATTCAAGAATTCAAAGGGAGAATATATTACAAGAGCAACAAGTATACCTACTGCACCAACTTCAGCTAATCGAAGAGAGTAATGATCTATCATCTTTTATGAATGAAATATCAGATTCGGAGATTTCTCCAATACAGAATCAATTAATATCCTATGAAATGCCAGCACCTAAATTGGAACTAACTTCACTTGATGATTTGATAGAAGACACCATGTCTACAACTCAAGTGGACGGTAATTTTCATAAATTACTTATAGCTCATCTATACATATATTTTGTCTCAAATGGGCTTCAAGACTCTGCAACAGCCCTTTACCAGGAAATATGTAAGGGCATATACTCCAAAGAAATCCTGTTAATTGGACTAATAGAAATGCAATTAATTACTTCATGTAAAGGTACATTTCTAGAAGATTGGTGGGATCTTCTTTGGTTAACATTAGCCAGTGAAAGCGCCCTCGCAAACTTACAGTAGTATATCTAATCTGCGATTATGATCCTACGTAAGACTACACTTCTTACATTATTCCCAAGTGATATTAACTCAAACTAGAACAATACAAGAGATTAATAGAACAGGTCTCTAAATATTTGACATCAACATGTTATATTTCCATTATAAAGACTAAGTGAAGGAAATAAAAAAACAGAGTTGAAGGGGAAAAAACACAGTCATTAAGCTAAGTTGAAAGCACTGCATAATTACTGATTGCAAACATATTTATTTCTTTATTCATCTATACTTAAATAATCATACAACGTTTAATTCAATAATTCCACATAGTAGGGTGAAACAGTTTAGGTTGGTAATACAAAAGTAGAAAGAGAGACTAATTCATATATGTATTTTAGAGTTTATTCAAATGGTGCTAAGCATATAGGGATATATATGGGACATGCAGGAGCTAACTAATTGGGAAGAATTCCAACCAGCTGAGAATAAAAAATCAAAAAGGGATATAATGAAGGTAGTGGTATGATTCCTGGCTATACATTTGCCCGTCTATGATAAAGCTATATTTCACACATTTGTTATGTGTAAATCAATACTCATCGTCTAGCCTAATCAGGTATACGACTTGTAGTGCATTCTACTATATACAGGAATCAAATCATTCGTGGTGACTACTGCATATACATATTTCCTTATTAAGAAAGACTGCATGATTGACTAGTAAACAATCTGGAGTAGGAAACGAGAAATTTGATGTATATAATAAGAATCAAAGGTGAAGAGTCAACTTTACCAACCTTGATAACGATACCGAAAGGTTGAGATTTTGTGCTCTTGTTATCCGATACTGAATCTTAATTAGCAGTTTTTCGAATGGGAATATTAGTAGAAGGGAATTTATTTTCAATCTATTAGAAGAACCTAACAAAAAAGAAAATAACCGCAGTTATATATCATTATTGGTATACTTTGGTATTCAAAACCATACCTAGGGTCCTAGAAAGTAGGTAGGAGGCACTATGAATTTTGGTTTCAATCCACTTGCGAGTTACCTCTCGCATAATGGAGTTCAGAGGAAGCCCATCGAAGAAGAAGGGGGACCAGAAATAAGCGATTGGGGCATTGAAGAGACTACCACATCATCCCGACATACGTCTATCAGTCAACATCGATACCACTCTATTGCCTCTCCAACATTAATCCACGAACCTCAATTTTCCTTCAAAGACTATGGTGATCATGCCACACATACCCATCGGATTTATGACACACGGTTCTACTTTCATGGTCATATTACCACTACATCTGAAATCTCATTATACATTAAGAAGTATCTCTCTTTGAATGGTGTGACTGCAGAATTCTGGGATAAGTTTAAATATGATCTTATAGTATCGAATTTCTTGGATGATTCAATGATTTTATCAAAAAATGAACAATCATTAAAGGAGTTATCGACCCAAGTTGCAGACAGCCATGACGATGAAGTAGTGACATATTCTAAAAAGTTAAACGATGACGGTACTCGTTTAGTAATATCATCTATTAAGTATAATATGAAATTTCCTCAAGGTGGTTACAATTCATTTTCAATAATTCAATGTGTCCATTTTATAATCTTAACATTAAAACTTTTGATAAAAAGACAAATTTCTTATGATAATACTTATAAAATGTTAAAAATCATCCTAATTATTTCCACGAGAGCTGTTCATTCCATGAGAGTCGCACGTTGTTTACAAATATTCAAACTAAAGAAAAAGCTTCAATTTTTCCTTTTAAATAACTACAAGATAAATAAGCATTTCATGACTAATTTATTGCAGACCAAAGAGCTTCAAATGTTTGGGTTTTTGAATAACTCTTCCATTAATAACGACAAGAAGAATAATGATAATGAAACTAATAATAATAACAATAATGAAAATAATAATAATAATGACGGTACCAATAGAAAGATTGTTGTTGAACAATCAGATATTCTTGACCATGCTATAAGTTTAGCTATTGGTAACATCACATGTGGTATTAAAGAACTCTTACCCCATATGAATGGCCCAATTTTTGAAAAATATTGTTCTGTGAACAATGTTAATTGGTGCTCTTTACAAGAATCTTTAAATTTAAAATCATCCGATAGTATGGAAAATAATCATAATAGCAATGGCCTAATTTATCGATTAACGCGCAAATTGTCAAGATTTAACCAATTAAGGAAACTCTTTGTCTGTCAATTACTTACAATCAATGAACTACCATCAAGGAATTTCTTTCTAAGCCGAGTTTGTGATGAATTTTCAATCAACGACATTAGAATAAAGGAGAATATGTCTCAAAAGACTTCAATTTCTGGTAAATTTGAACTTTTGAATAATGTAATGGGTAAACAAATCGAATTTTTGAAGAGTCATAATATATACTTTGATACCTTCCAAGATGGATATCGACAGAATATTGATAATGAAGATATTTTACTGTTTAATGATATGAATTCTTCTAAAGATATACCTGTTGCAACTGTCAATGATAATAATATTTCCCAATTAATTGAAAAATTATCAGCCATTACTACTAATTTGAAATATTTTCAAAAATATAACAATTCAACACAATCTATTACTGATTTTGATGAACTCAATGAAAAGCTTTATATATTTAGTCAATTTGGTGATGATATTGACATGGTAAAAGAGTTACATCAAGTCAGTCTTGGTGATTTCAGTACAAGCCTTCAGTCACGAATGAATGGAAATTCACCATCATCGTCTGGAAACTCCTCGAGAAGGAATTCCAGAGACGGTTCTTCTTTTAATTTGAAAACTTTCCATACACCGAAGCCTAATTCAATTAAAAAGCGATATTCACTTCCTTCTTCAATTTCAGAAACTCAAAAGAATTTTAAAAGTCCGATTTCAAGTCCGGTGGTTCCCCAAATCCCCAATTCCCCTGGAATTAATAATAATCTGGGAAAGAATGAAAAAAAATATAAAAGATTATCGGCTGGCTTACCAATTGGATTACTAACTGTTTTTGAAGAGCCCAAGGCAAATCAAAATGGAATACAAAGTAAGCGAACCCTGTCTACATCTACTTCCTCCCCTTCGACCCAAAGAAAATCTACAGGAGTAGGTATAACGGTGCAGGACTTGCGGGGTCCAACAGTATGTTACGACGATAATTATATCAATATACTCCCACCTGCTAGCTACTACAGCGAGTCTTATAATCAAGCTGCGCTTGACTCTTTATCTTCTACGGTCGTCCCAGATGGGACTCGTAAACTGACCGCTAAGGTATTTTCCGGAAATTTTAACAATCGATATTCACTAACCTCCATGAACTCAAATGTGAGTGGAATATCTGATTTGATTGCTTCGACTCATATAACAAGCTATAATGAGGAAGAGAAAGATGAGATGAAATTAGACGACAGTCCTGAATTCTATGGAGAACTCAATACACAACCACAATCCACAGAGTTATCAAAGGAAGCATTAAAGTTGAAGTTAGAAGAAAGTTTCAACCGAATTTACAAACTTGAGAGCCAAAATTCAATTTTGAAGCAAAAGAATGCCAATATCGATGACTCCAAGGAGTTAGACGATTTAGAGGCAGATAATAATATATCCGACTCTGATTTTTTAAGAAATTTGGAGTCAACCTTACTGCGAAAAGTAGAAGGTTCATAATTTAATTTAATTTACTTTACAATAATATACAAGATGAATTCTTGTTTAATTCTATAATATATAACTTTCATTTAATTAAGTGAAGGGGTTGTTGTTCCTGAAGGATTTACTGAAAACTTTCCTTCTCCTTCGTGATACATTTCCTCAAGTCCCTTAGGAACAGCAAATCCAGTCTTCGCATCAGTCTCAGTAGACACTTCAATAGTGGTTGTAGCCTCAATTTCAGGAGATTCTTCATCATCCATCAACAAGAATGCGACATCCTTCTTCTTATTGTTTTCTTCCTTTGATGGGGTAGCTGCTTTTCCTTCCATAACAACCTGTTGCACTTGTTCCTTCTGCTTTGCTCTATTTCTCATTCTTTCTTCAATGGTTCCACGCACAAGTAATCTATACACAGTGACTTGACGGGTTTGACCTAATCTATGTGCTCTGTCCATAGCTTGCGAATCAATAGTAGGATTCCAATCAGAATCATAAAATACAACTGTGTCCGCGGCAGTTAAATTGATACCTAATCCACCAGCACGAGTAGAAAGCAAAAACACAAAAATCTCTGGTTTGGATTGCCAATCATGGACCAAGTCACGTCTATCATCAAGCTTTGAAGAACCATCCAAACGAATGTAAGAATGTTGTCTGTAGGTAAGATATTCTTCCATAAGGTCCATCATTTTCGTCATTTGGAAATAAACTAAAACTCTATGATCATTTTTCTTTAATTCCGAAAGTAATTCGTCAAGTTTTGCCAATTTACCAGATTCGGTAATGAATCTATTCATAGAAGGCATACGAATGTTCGAATAGTCAATTTGTTTGTTAAGAGCTGGAGGGCACATATTACTTTTGGGGAAATTAGGAACAGGGATTTTCTTCTCCAACAAATCTAATTCAGTGTTAAGAGGAAGTGGAGCCATGCTAGATCGTATCTTTTCATTAAATAATGAAAGGTTCCATGTATTCACAAATGATCTTTGAGAGCATGTAACATCGATCGGTGGAGCTGCAGCAAGAGGTTCGGCCGCTGGTTTGAGTACATTTATGTTCATACTCTCGTAAGCATTATGCCTCACAGAATGTAATTCCTTCATGTAAACAGAATTCAGGACCGATGGACCATTTCCTTCATATTCATTAATCAAAAAGAGTTTGCTGGCAGGTTGGGCTTCTTCATCTTCATAAAGATATTTGAATCTACTACTTCTTTCGTAATTTATGTCTGAGTATTCTTGATTGTTAATAGCTCTCTCCAAGACATTCAATCTAGTTAAATCGCGAAGTTCTTGAGCTGAAGTGTCTGTGAATCTCAAGAAAGAAAATGCGTCACTCTTGGTGACATTTTCAGGGTCATAAATACTCAAGGTATTGTTCAAAAGTTTTTCTCTACTTCCAATTTGATTGTCAAAAGATGGTTGCAAAATTTCATCAAAAATGAGGCGAGGTAATGGATACAGAATAGAGTTACGTAATGAATAACTGGCTTCCAAATCATTTGACTCACGTAAAAATGAAGAAGTTTCGGCGAACGAACCAAACACAAATGGAGATCTGACATCTGCACGTTCGAATAAATCTGGATGGTTACAAACCTTACGGAATTGCATTACCAAATTCATTAAAGATTGAGAATCTGAATCCCCATTAGCACCTGCGGGGTCCAATAAGTCCATGACAGAAATTTGAGACTTAAGCATTTGATAGTATTTCTTTTGTCTCTGGGTCAAATTACAGAATAAGTCAATTTCAACTTTGTCACCAAGTTCACTCTGTACATTCTTCTTGATTCTTCTCAACATAAACGGTTTCAAAATCATATGCAACCGGCGCAACTGCTGCTCGTTTAATTGAGTGTTTGATTGGGCATGACTTTCAATATCTTTAGAAAACCAATCACTGAATTCATCATGAGAATCAAATAAAGAAGGCATAATGAAATGTAACAACGCCCATAATTCTTGCATAGAATTTTGGATTGGCGTACCAGTCAATAACAATCTATTACGACAAGAAAACGAAAGTAACGACTTCCAACGAGATGATTGAGAAGACTTAATGGCCTGAGCTTCATCAAGAATCATATATTGCCATTTCATCTTTTGGAAATAAGCAGCATCAGCAACCACAAGTTGATATGACGTAACTAACACATGAAATGGTGCATCTTTGCCATATCTCACATTTTTACGGTCCCAAAACTTTCTCAACACTTTACGGTCCTTGGCATTGCCCCAATATGGTAAAACTTTGAAATCAGGAACAAACTTGGAAATTTCTTGTTGCCAATTGTGTAAAGTTGAGGCTGGAGTAACAACCAAAAATGGACCCCAAATGTTATGATGCTCAGCAAGATATGAAAGCACTGAAATACTTTGAACAGTTTTACCAAGACCCATTTCATCAGCAAGAATACCATTGATACCTTGTTCGTACAAGTTGGCTAACCAATTTAATCCCTTAATTTGATATTCTTTCAAAGTACATTTAAGCAAATCTGGTTGTTTGATGGTGATATCTCCCATTAATGCAGGGTTTTGGAAATTCATTTCTTCTCCATTGGTGTCATCTTGATGGGCGTTATCAAATGCCTTAGCCTTCGATTGTGCTGCTTGGAGTGCCACCTGTGCATTAGCTGCTGCTGCATGAGTAAGTGCTTCGTCATCTTCGTTATCAAAATCAAGAGTGCTAAAATCTGCTGCCTTTTCACCAGTAATATCCTGATACTTGTCATAATGCAGATTCAGAGCCTTGGCACGAATATTTGGATCAGAATCAGATCCTTCAATTTCATCCGTTTTAATTTTCTTACCAATGAAATGGGAATATAATTCAGTTTGAGTGATCAAGAAATTAAGCTTACGTGCTTGTCTCTTTGCTTCTCTATCTTCTTCTTCCTTCTTAGCCTTATCGATAAGTTCCTTTTCATGCTTCTTTCTTAATTCTCTTTCAATACGTTCATTACGTTTCCAGAAATTAAACATTTCTCTCATAGCTCTTCTGGCCTTTGTAGTCAAATCCTTTTGATTTTTATTGTTTTTCAATTGCCATCTCTTAGCTTCTCTAGCAGCAAGAATCGATGTTTTCTTAAGGTTGATCATTTTCGCTTGAGTAGATTGTTGCATGAGTCTACTCACCTTTGGACCATCCTTACGTGATAAATCTTTCCAAATAGCCACAAACGTATTTTCATATTGTTTGTTGATAACTCTTTGTTCCTTTTGAGAAGGTTTTGGTTTAGAGTTATTGGATTCACCTTCAGCTTCGGTTGATTTATCTTCCCCATCAGCATTTGATTTATCTTCAGTTGTTCTTCTGCGTCTTTTCGTACTTGGCTCTGTAGTGTCATCTGTAGAGGTTGTAGAAGTAGTAGTAGAAGCTGCAGAAGCCGCTCTTCTCTTGGGCTTAGCGCGAGTGACGGGTTTTTTAGATGTTGCATCTGTAGATGAATCAGCGGCAGCTATAGCAACTGGGGTAGATCTTTTACTTCCACCGACGACCCCCGAAGCCTTAGATTTGGCCTTTCTTGGTGTTCCCTTCGATTCGGCAGCTGCAACAGCATCCAAAAGAGATTGTGAATCATTTTCAGATGGTTTGGGCCTGGTGATACGCGTAGTACCCCATTGGTATGCCTTTGAGCCATTGTCATCATGAATATTTTCACCGCCAGCTGAAATCTCTTCGGTGACAACTCTTTCAATATAATTGTTGGAAACAATTTCTGTTTTAGCAGTGGTATCCTCGAGAATTTTTCTTTCAATGTCTAACACGTCAAAGTTATTGGCCTTTGTATAATATTGATCTAATTGTGCTAATATTCCTACTCGTTTTGTAAAGTCTAAAAGATAATTCTCTTGACCAATTTGTGATTTAAGTGAAAGATCATCGTCAAGCTCATCATCGTCACTAACCGGAATTGGTTGGATCGTATCCAACACCAGGCTAGTGGTGATTGGGTTAGATGATGGTGCTTTTGTAATCGAAAGCGATGGTTGTACCGGTTGCTTTTGTTCCTTTTCTTGATCTTGTTGCTGTTGTGATTGAGTCTCTATCAGAGAGACCGGTGTTGGGACATCAGTCAACATAGATGAAATATTCATCTTGACTGAAAGTATTGATACTGATTTGGATAAAAAGAAAAATGCTAAACTATTTTAGAATAAGAAACCCTCTCGTCGTTATATTACCTATAATACTTTTCAATTGTGTCCTTTTGAGAGAAGGGGTTTCTATTTTTTTTGCCTTTGCGGGTAATTGAAAGTAAGACTCAGAATGTTTGTAGATATTGACGAATACTTTCCAAACTATATCTATCTAATCCTTGCAAAGATTTTGATTTAATGAAAATGATTGTGGTGGATAAAAGAAATTACTATTTTCAAACTTGTAGACCTTTCTGTCCCCCCTTTTTGCCAACCGCCCACTAAAACAACTTTTTCGTTTGTCTTCGACCCGGTGGATCTATAGAGCGCGAGTGAATGGCCAGCATTTTACGGTGAGGTTTTTTTTTAAGCACTAAAATTCAAAAATTTACATAGAAATTTTTTTTGCCAACCTTAAAGAATGACAAGATTAGATAGGAAACTACTAAGATAATTAGAAACGCGTATTAACGCGTCATATACTACACAGTCTTTTACCCATGTGGCTGATTTTATTCTAATACATGGTCAAATAAGATGCTACTAATTTAATGGTTCGCTCTTACTGCCGAGCAATTCGGTTTAAATGTCCCGAATTTAAATTTAAATGAAAGCCTCACAGTCATTAAAGCGAATAAAGTGTGTGTGTGTGTGTGTGTGCGTGTTAAAAAAAAAAATTATTATTTATTTGTATTTGGCTTTGTACTACACAATGAAATCTAGATAAACTACCATATTCCTCTAGGTCTCTTTTAAAATGTATATGTATTATATTCTGGTATTCATTGTCACATAGTCCTTTTCGATGAACCGATAACCGATGATATCATGTTACTAAATTTGGCACATTTTCTAGGACATATTCATGTTCTCTCGACTTTTCTGTACTACTAGAACTATTAGCTTCTCCACGTCTTACATTAGTCTCATTAATCTTCTGTAATTGCTAGTACCTACATCCGAGAGCAGTATAATACGTTATTCTTACCCGTCATGCTTTTTTGAACCCAGCATCTCATTTTAAAATGCACATTGTCGCGGTCACTTGCTACAATTCAAGATAACAAATTAATAGAGTCTGTTACGTATAGCATTCCTAGCCTCTTTACAGTGATGTATAGGAAGAGAAAATCTATTCCTCTGCAACAAATGTTTAATTCAACTTAGCTATGGTGGTTTTGTGTGTTTTGTAGCGTATGTTAATGATGATGGGACACACAAGAGAATAAAATATGTAACATTATTTTACTTCTAACAAGAAGTTAGAGAATATGTTTATTTAGGTTGTAAAACGAAGGAGTTAGATTATTGGACAAGATGTTAAGGAACTAGTTTAACATATCATTATTGGTGGTGTGGTGTGTTATTGAAGAAATTTATAAAATAAAGTGATCAAAAACAATGAGGTGATTATAAAAGAGAGGGGGAGGTTTGAAATGCGGTTTTTACAAGGTCCAATTATACCTGAAAGGTGACGAAAGGGTTAATCGGAAATAAAAGTGCAGGAGAATAGAATTATCAAATAAATAATTCAAAAGGAGGTAAATGCATTGTTGGGTGTAATCGTAGTACCCTCACTAATGACTTAAATTGGTTATATAAAGAATTACTTTTCTTTTACATTGTTCTATACCTTATACTGATATTTTTTTATCGAATGAGACGGATTAACATTATTATGTCTATAAACAGATTGTGAATCTTTCATACTATTATTGACTATATTTCTAGAGATAAAGTGTTGCCTATTCGTTGTGGAGTTACACATATATTAACAGCTGCACGTGATAAAGCCCCCAAATGGGTACGAGAAAAATAAACTAATTGCTCAACTTGAATCCGATATATTTTACATTTGTAATCAGCTTTTTTTTTACTAGAAATACATATAGAAACATAAAATGGAACATCCAGCAATTACATTATCAGGATTATGCGCCGTTGGCGGCATTATGGGGTATGTCCGTAAGGGGTCATTACCTTCTTTGATTGCAGGCACAACTTTTTCTATTCTTTTCGGTTCTGCCGGTTACTTACTTAAGCAAAATGCTGATTATGGTTTAGAAATTGCCTTTGTTGCTTCTTCTACTCTTTTAGCAGCAGGTATCTCTAGAAGTTTGAAGGCTCAAAAGAAGGCAATTCCATTTGTTTTGATTGCAATTGGTGGTCTTTCAACCGCTTACTACGCTAAGAAATATAACGAATTCTACCCAATTTGGTGAGTTTGTACGCACATGTAAATAGCTAAATATTACACGACAATACTTTTAAGACATTGTAAGCCCCATACTCTTTGTTTGCTACATTGTAAACTAATTATTCGAAATTGATTTTATTTTTTTTTGATCTATTAACCTATAAAACTAACCGGGTGAACAGTCGCACCAAAGTAAAAACAGCCTGCTGATATTTCATAATTACAGGCAAGTCAAAATATTGAACTGAAAAATGGTATGTAAGGAACATTTGTGTTATGTTTTTATCTTCTTAAGATGAATCCTTTATTTAGTTCAACTCAATGATAGACATGGATCTTTCTCTACCAGAGACTTCATCAACTGGAACAGACAAGCTCAGGTCGATGCTTGGAGAAACAGGTGTGGCTTTAAGGGTAGGAGATGAAACTGGAGAAACATCAGGAATCACAAATGGTTCACTAAGGTCATTAGATAATTCTAAGAACTGGGTTGGGAGAGTTTGGAAAGTAGACTTGAAGGACATTTTGTAAGATTGCTTAAATAATATTTATTTGAGTATAGAATGAAAGAAAAGATTTGTAAAACTATATGGACAAAATCACTACTTTATATACTTCGGAGATGTAACGGAGAAAAAAAAAAACCATCACTATTGTGGAGGCAAAACTATGGAAGTACATATCCGCAATGACTATCCCCAGAGTAAAAAAAAAAAAAAAGGAAGATAACCGAACTCCGAGACCGAGGCGCGGGGACCCGCTGGCCCGAGGTATAGAAATGAGACGATTAATTCACTAGTTACTTACACAGTCATTTTTCTCGTTTCTTCCATTCCTACTCCTATTTCATGAATAATTCATTAAATATATGTGGTTTATCATATGATGTCGTTTAGATTACAAGATAGGGGGAAGGTGGCCAATACCAATACGCACTACGTGCGAATAATATTATCCATTTATTGAGTCATCGGATAAATCAAATGTCAAATCGCGCAACTTACCCGCATAGAATAATTTTGTGTAACTGGATGGATGATTCCCATAAATCATTCGCTTTTATTTATCGTTATTATTTTTTTTTTGTTCTTACGCACAATAGGTGGTCATGCTCTAAAATATCTTTGAGCTAAATATTTGTGAAGGCTCATGTTACAACAAATGATGTATTATCCTGCATACACACGTGATTATTTTCCTACACCAACAAAGTGTGAAAGTATTATACACTACATGTTTTCACGTCAATCTAAAGCTCATTCGACTAACGATGTTCTAACAAGTACTTTTCCTTTTAGAACTAATTCTCCGTCATTACTCTTTCCTTCTACGTGAATTCTACAATTTTTTTTTGAATTTGATTGTTAACCGATATTAATATACTAGATAAGTTATATTTAAGCGGTAGCTTCAGTAGCTTCTTCAGCAGCTGGAGCTTGCTTGTAAGACTTAACAGTTGGGGCTGGGACAACTTCATCTTCATCCTTGGCTTCAGAGATGAAAACAGCATCTGGCAAAGCGGTTGGACCGTTCTTGTTTTGAGCTGGGTCTCTCATAATCTTGACCTTAATACCCAAAACACCTTGTCTCATCAAGACGTGTCTAACAGCAATGTCAATGAATTCCTTGGTTGGTTGACCAGAGTGGATCATGAAACCGTCAGCGTACTTTTGGGACTTAGCACGAGCAGCTCTCAACTTACCAGAGATGACAACTTCAACACCCTTAGCACCGGCACCCATGGCGAATCTCAAGACACCGTAAGCGGCTCTTCTCAATGGCAAACCGTTCAACAACTTAGCCTTCAAACCTTCGGCTTGGACAGCAGCAGAAAGACCTCTTTCTTCGACACGTTCAGCGTAGATGACGATACCTTCAGACTTGATCTTGAATCTCTTACAGATCAAAGAGTGCAATTCGTGGATTCTTCTACCTTGTTCACCCAAAACACCTTGAGTGTTAGAGGCCTTGACAATGATTTCCAACTTGGTTGGAGTCTTTCTGACTTCAACACCAGCATACCCTTGTTCGGCTAATTCTCTGGTGAAGAATTCGTTCAATTCGGCGTAGAAAACACCGTCAGCTACTAACTTTCTCTTCTTAGACAAGATAACGTTGACCATTTTAAATTAATTAAGGTTGGAATAAAGAAAAGAAAAAGTCAAAAGAGAAACTAAAAATTTTTCAATGTATTTGAAAATTGTGCTCGTCCGTGCGATTGAGAGATGAAAAAAAATTTTCACTTGAAAAAAAAAACATATTGGTAATTTCGCACGACTTTTTAATTTTGAGTTTGTTCGTATTATATAATGCTTATGTAATATAAAGCTCTAGTTGCAGCATGGTATATGCAGGAAGAAGAGAATAATATGGGGTATTGCATTATACAAGTTAGTATAGAGACTAAGAGAATCAAATTAGTATTACATATTGTATTTATATTTCACTTCTATTCATTATAACTATATTAACAATATATATCGTTAGGATGGTTTCTCTTTTTTAAGTCTGTAATCTATTTTTCACCAACCCATTTTCTGGCAGATCTAAACAATCTGATCCATGGACCGTGGTCTCCCCAAGTTTCACCTTGAGCAGCAGGGTACCAAGAGTTAGACTCCTTTCTGGTGACTCTTTCAGGGTGAGGCATCATAGCCAAAACTCTACCGTTGGCAGAGGTAATACCAGCAATACCTTGTGGAGAACCGTTAGGGTTAGCAGGGTATTGTTGAGCAACACTTCCATAGTTGTCAACGTATCTAATGGCAGTTAAACCACTTTCAGTAAACTTATCAATGTTGTTGTTCTTGAAGAAGGCTCTACCTTCACCATGAGCAACTGCGATTGGCAACTTAGAACCCTTCATACCGTTCAAGAAGATAGAGTTGGAGTTGTCATCGGTGACTTCAACCATAACAAATCTAGCTTCATACTGTTCAGACAAGTTTCTTTCGAAAGTTGGCCAGTTTTCAGTACCTGGAATCAATTCAGCAATTCTACTGAAGAATTGACAACCATTACAGGCACCAAATGCGAAAGTGTCATCTCTGTCTTGGAAGAACTTTCTGAACTCTTCACGAGCTCTATCGTTAAACAAGACAGACTTGGCCCAACCGGCACCAGCACCCAAGACATCACCGTATGAGAAACCACCACAGGCAGCAACACCAACGAAATCATCCAAGGTAACTCTTCCACTCAAAATGTCAGACATGTGAACATCGACTGGGTTGAAACCAGCTTGTTGGAAAGACCAAGCCATTTCTTGTTGAGAGTTGACACCTTGTTCTCTCAAGATGGCAACCTTAGGCTTAGATTGAAGCTTGGAAACTTCCAAGTCATCAGAAGGAGAATAAGTCAATTGGTAAGAAAGACCTGGGTCCTTGTTATCAGAGATTCTTGCATATTCTTCCTCAGAAGTCTTTGGATTGTCTCTCATTTTCTGTATGTGGTAAGAGGTGTTGGACCATAACTTTTGCAATTCGGCACGAGTGTTTTCGTAAACCAATTCATCATTGTAGTTAATCTTAATGTCTTGAGAAGCACTATTGAAATCTGGTTCACCAATAACAGAAACGAATTTTTCGGAAATACCATTGGCTTCAAAAACTTTGACGAAAGCAGAGTAGTCGGACTTCTTAATTTGGAAGACAGCACCCAATTCTTCGTTAAACAAGGTTGTCAACAAGTCTTCAGATGAAGAAAGGTTCAAGTTCAATCCGGTTCTACCAGCAAAGGCCATTTCTAAGACAGTGGTAATCAAACCACCTTCAGATCTATCATGGTAAGCCAAGACGTTGAATTGCTTGTGTAAAACAATCATGGTTTCCAAGAAAGACTTGAAAATAGCATGAGAGTGAACGGTTGGAGCAGCATCGCCAACTTCCTTGTAAACTTGAGCCAAAGCGGAACCGCCCAAGGCTTTCTTGGAGAGTTCAGCAGCCAAGTCAACCAAAACCAAGACGGTTTCTTCATCGGATCTGACCAACTCAGGGGTCCAGGTTCTTGAAGTGTTATCAACTGGAGCGAAAGCAGTGACAGTCAACGCCAATGGAGCAGTGACTTCCTTGTCGTCCCACTTCATCTTCATGGACATGGAATCCTTACCAACTGGGATGGAAATACCCAAGTCTGGACACAAATCGAGACCAATTGCTTGAACTGCTTCGTATAACTTGGCACCTTCACCAGCATGAGAAGCAGCGGACATCCAGTTGGCAGACAACTTAATTCTGTCCAAGGCTGGAACATCAGCAGCAATAACATTCATCAAGGATTCGGCAACACACATCTTAGCAGAAGCGGCAGCAGAAATAAGAGCCAAAGTTGGCTTTTCACCCATGGCCAAAGCTTCACCGGTAGAAATCACAGTTTCACCCAAAGATGTGGCAGTAACACCAACATCAGCAACAGGTACTTGCCATGGACCAACCATTTGATCACGGTCAACCAAACCAGTGATGAATCTGTCACCAATGGTAATCAAGAAGTTTTTAGAACCAACAGAAGGCAATTGCAAAACTCTAGATACAGACTCGGACAAGTCCAAGTTTGAAGTAGCGAATGGCTTCAATTGTAAATCTTCAGTAATAGCAGTTCTGGACATCTTTGGTGGCTTACCAAACAAAACAGACATATCCAAATCAATTGGAGTAGTGTTCAAGAGAGAATCCGTCAAAATCAACTTTTGTTCTTCAGTAGCTTCACCGACAACGGCAAATGGAGCTCTTTCTCTTTCACAGATCTTGGCAAACATATCCAAGTTTTCTGGAGCAACCCCCAAAACATATCTTTCTTGGGATTCATTACACCAAATTTCCATTGGGGACATACCTGGTTCCAACGACAAGATGCTTCTCAATTCGAATCTGGCACCCAAGTCATTGTCGTGAACTAATTCAGGCAAGGCGTTGGATAACCCACCAGCACCGACATCGTGAATAGATTGGATTGGAGTCTTTTCAGCACCAAGAGAAACACAGACATCAATGACTTGTTGGGCTCTTCTTTGAATTTCTGGGTTACCTCTTTGAACGGAGGCAAAATCCAAATCAGCAGAACCTTCACCAGAAGAGATAGAAGAGGCAGCACCACCACCCAAACCAATCAACATAGATTGACCACCGAGGACGATCAATTTAGCACCTGGGGTAATCTTGGTGTCCTTAAGAGCCAATTCAGGTCTAATGGCACCCATACCACCAGCCAACATAATAGGCTTGTGGAAACCTCTGATTTCGTTTTCACCCTTGTGGTTGGTTACTTCGGTAGTTAAAGTTCTGAAGTAACCGTTAATGGCAGGTCTACCAAATTCGTTATTGAAGGCAGCGGATCCAATTGGAGCTTCCAACATAATATCCAAAGAGGAAGCAATATGGTTTGGCTTACCTACGTCTCTTTCCCATGGTTGAGGTAAAGTTGGAATGATCAAATCAGAAACGGTGAAACCAGCCAAACCAGCCTTGGACTTGGAACCACGACCGACAGCACCTTCATCTCTGATTTCACCACCAGAACCAGTGGCAGCACCAGCAAATGGAGAAACAGCGGTAGGATGGTTATGAGTTTCGACCTTGACCAAAGTGTGGACGTTTTCCTTGATGGACTTCCATTCCTTAGAAACGTAATCTGGGGTGAAGACGTAACCAGCTGGACCTTCGAAAACAGCAGCGTTATCGGAGTAAGCAGAGACAGTGTATTGAGGGTTCTTGCTATGAGTGTTACGAATCATCTTGAAAAGAGACAAATCCTTTTGCTTTCCATCGATGGTCCAGTCAGCATTGAAAATCTTGTGACGACAATGTTCAGAGTTAACTTGAGCAAACATGAAAAGTTCAACATCAGTAGGGTTTCTACCAATTACTTTAGTGAAGGCTTCGATCAAGTAGTCAATTTCACCCTTGTCAAGAGCCAATCCCATATCCTTGTTAGCAGCAATAAGGTTATCTTGAGAAGAGAGTAAATCGACATGAACAAGAGGCTTTGGAGAATGATGAGCAAAAAGATCATCATTTGCTGGAGCATTGTCACCAATGTAGAGAACTTGAGTCATTCTGTCGTAAACAGAAGTCAAGATTTCCCCAGATGATAAGTCAAGTTTGAAACCAGGTTCAACCTTAACAAGTAAACTCAAACCTCTTTCAATACGTTCGATATGTTCACCCAATCCACAAATGTGGGCAATGTCAGTAGCCTTGGAAGACCAAGGAGAAATGGTACCAGGTCTTGGGAGAATACGAACAACGTAGGTGTTTTCATCTTGTGGAACCTTGTTGGAAGAAGAAGTGGCAGCTACCAATTGTTGAGTCAATTCATCATTAGAGTCTACTGGAGTATCATACTCAAGAAGAACATTGACCAACTTTAATTGTTGTTCAGTCAATTCTTGCTTGGTAGAAACATAGTGAGTGTATAAAGATCTAACCTCAAGAATGGATCCTGACTTGTTGAGTTTTTTCTCCACTTCTTGAGTGAAGTTATTAATTCTGAAAGCAGATAAAGCCTTTGGACCAGGCAAAACTAAAAATGAGGACGAGGACATGGTAACCTCAGTCGTTGCTTTTTGAACAGAACCAGTTGAGATGCAACTAGAGCAGACGTGTGGAAGAACAGTAGTAGAAAGTGGTCTTGTCTTAAAAACAAAATTCAAGAAAAATTACGAAACTCTGCCGTTATTTAAGATCATATTGAAAATATGTATCAATTGGGTCCGAGTCATATAGTATGAGATTGCCTGTGTGTAATTATTCGCGAGTCGTGCACGGACACGATGAGCCCTTCTCTCTTTGCAACTGCACGGGTAAGATTAATCGGGAAATATAACTAATAAAAAAAAAAAAAAAAAAAAAAAGAAAAAAGAACAAGGAAGAGATACAAAGCATCATAAAATTAAAAAACTATAGAGTGCATTATTATCGGGTACAAACAACTAAAGAATTCCGGATATTATGGCTCAAGGTAAACTCAAGCTTAAAGCAAAGGCACCAGGAAGAATCACCAAGAAACAACTGACCAAAGCCAAGGCAGCTGCACCAAGAGTTTACAAGGCCAAGAGAGCAGGAGCTAAGCACGACGAAAAATTAGCCAAAGTTCAACTGGGACAATTAGTTTCATCCACTGAAAAGCTTATTGCCAGTAGAGTTGGACATCTTGAAATTATCAAGGGATCTCGTAGAGAAATCGAGAGAAAGGAAAAGGAAAAGAAGAAGGCTGGTAAATAGGTAGGGAGATATGAGTGAAACATTTTTAGAACTGATTCTTTCCAACTTTCCTAGCTTGGGCGGGCCCAGTGATACTACCACCAACACTACATCACCTGTGCTTGAAGAAGTAATCGCGAAGGATTTACGTGTATCCTCGTTTATTGTTTCCGATATTAGATCTACAAATAGTGGTGATCATGACCAACCTAAATTTGTCCGGAAGGGCACAATTATTGACTCTGGACGTAAATCAGAATTGAATATCGCTCCAGAACTCATTGCATTGGAGCAAGATCCTTCTAGAAAGAGAAAGAGAAGGAGGTTTTAGCATCTATATATATAAATATATATTTTTTTTCGTATACAAAATAAAAATAATAAGATTATATCGTTTGTTTTATACCGTAAAGAGTCTATATTAAAGTAGAATTAAAAAGAGATATTAAGATTTAATGTGGAATTCCTCTTACAGAAGCCTCTTGGGCTTCTAATTCCAAGTTTTTTCTCTTGAGTTCAAGTTCTTGTGATCTCACGAATCCAATCAAGGCAATACCAAAGACTGCTGTCAATGCAGTCAATAAGGCATTGATTGGAGTTGGGTTCATGTTGAAAACTTCATGGGTAGCCTTATCCATAACTTGTTGAAGTATGTTACAGATACCAGAGAAGCAAATGATGGCCCCATAGATAGTTCCAAATGTATCAAATCCGAATACTTTAGCACAGAAATCAGAAACAGCAGTGTAATAGAATGGTCTATACATAACCAACATCAAGATCCCAGCGTAAGTTGCAGGTAAAAAGGATAAGAGACCCATAACACCAATGAAAAGCGAAATAACAGTAAGAATAGATAAAATTGATAAAGTAGTAAAGTTATCCAACAAGACACCGATGAATGGGATAGATGCCAAACCACCTAATGGCAAGGCCAAGTCAAAGAATTGGTTGATTGCAATAGCCAAGGACTCATTACCACCATATAAGAACAATTCTTGAGACTTGATAGTCGCAACAAAATAATTAATACGAAGCATTTGAATCGTAGTAAATAAAGTCATAAGAGTAAACCAAGGAGACTTCAATTGTTCAACAATACTATAGCCATGCATAATTCCGAATACACCACCAGATGAAGCAATCATTTTATCTTCAGCATCTTGTTCATAAACGGATTTCATGGAAGTTCTGGAAGTATAAGAAGCTCTCAGAATGACAGAAGCTCTTCTACTGGTGCTGGCACGTCTCATTAAAAGTGATGTAGTTTCAGTCATTGAAGGTTGACGATATTCTTGTTCTCCAAAACTGTTACTACGGTCTTCTGGTAAAAGATTATCTGGGTTTAAAGGTCTTCCAGATTCATCAATCCCCATTTCTCCAATTTTGGCTAAAGTACCAACAGTCTTGTACGAATCCTTTGGCATAACTAACACTTGACAAACAAGAATGAAAACTGGGACAGCGAGATAATAACTGAAAAATGAATGTAAAGTGAGTTTATGAACGTTGGTGTAAATAAGTCTGTAGATAAGGAAAAGGGCAGAAGATGAATCAAATGCACCAGTGAGTAAGGCAAGGATCAAACCTGAATTTTTAGGGAAACTATTGGCCAATTGAAAAGAAGAAATGAATACAAATGGACCACCCAATGCAAGTAAGGCATAACCGGTGGCATAAGCATCAAACCAAGAAGAATTGGCGAATGATTTACCGTATCTGAGTAAAAGAGAAGCAAAGAAAATCAAAAAAGATCCAATGATTCCACTTACTCTAGGTCCATATTCATCAAGAATGGAACCAACTGGTAAAGCTGCAACATTTGTAACGATTGCGGCTAAAGTGAACATAAAATTCAACAGTAAATCTTGTTCCACACAGGGGGAAAGGTGATGAGATAACACATCAACGTTAGCAATTGAAGCAAATCCAGAAACAAGAGAAGTTCCCCCAAGCTTAGAAACAATTGAAGTACCATTGATATTAAGGTTACATTTTTCAGCATAAACACCTTCACTGATAAGAATTGGTTTCAATGCTGCAAAGCCAAACACTGGACCAGCAGCAAGCAAACACCACACAATGGAGCATGCCACTTGCACTACTCTCTTGGACAATGGGGTTTGAACAGGAACCTCAGACATAGTTAATACAAATTATAGTAGGAACTGATTTTAATTTTCCACTTTCAGTTTTTCTTTGTTCAGTTTTTTTTTTCCCCTTCAGTAAGCAATATATATACTATCGCTTGTGTTATCAAGAATGGAATATTTTTTAGTGAAAGTTTCGCGGGACAATAAATGCACAGCAATTAACAGACAGTAAATAATAATTGCCTTGTAGAAATATAATCTAGTAGGAACTCTTGGTATTGGAAGAGTGTGCCGAATGGAGTATGGGTTTACTTGGAATGTATGTGGGTTAGTTGATAGCTCCAAAGTGGTCCCTATTTATGTTTTCTCTGCAGCAAAAAATTTTCGGTCGGGTTTGACCGAACTATGTAGACGCATGCTGCATTACCATTTTAGTCCACCGTAGATGGAAGAGATTATGAATGTGTAGGATCTTTTGGTAGATAGCAATGAGTGGAGTACAAACGGGGACTTATACTGATCATGTATTGTTAGTCTAGTATAGCCAGTATTTTCAGTTTCAATGTACGACTAACGAGAACTAGAAATATGCTACATGTCAAAGTCTCTTGGGTAAGACAAGTAGAATGTTCTATAAGTCTGGTAAGCCATATATAAACACTTGATATCCGTTCTGATGTAACATGATATACTACTTGTAGTGCTGGGTGCTAATTTCAGAAATTCAGGTTGCAAAAAGGGTTTCTAATGGTCCTCGAACTGAGCCAAGAGCCACGGATACCTCTCATACATCTTCATAGCTTGTAAACAATTTCCTTGGTATTACGCTTTATTTCTAGTATCAATGGTATTTTTGAGTGTATGTATATACTTATATGATTTTATATGTACTTTTAAACGTTAATTCTTTAATTAGAATGGAGAAATATCTTGATCAACATTTCTATATTCTTGACCCAGTGGACTAAGTTTTTGGAAAATATGATGTATCACAATTGCAATCATGTTGAGAAGTACAACACCAGCCAATACGAATACAAATCTAATACCTGGTTCGTCGTAAACGGGGGTTGTAGAGTTCGACAGTGATGTAGAAGTAGAACTTGATGAAGTAGATGTAGACGATGATGAGGAGGATGAAGATGAAGACGATGATGATGACTTGGAAGAGGATGAAGATGAAGACGACGAAGAGCTTTTACTTGAAGATGAAGTCTTTTTGTCTGTGGTCTTGTCTGTAGTCTTGTCTGTAGTCTTAGCAGTAGTCTTGTCTGTAGTCTTAGCAGTAGTCTTGTCTGTGGTCTTGTCCGTTGTCTTGTCGGTTGTCGTGCTATCTCTCTTTACAACACCTGTTATTTGAGTTCCATCTACAACCTCGGTAGTGGTTAACCATTCGTCAAGTGAAACCGTTCTATCCAACTTATTGTAATAGTTTGGATGTGAATTGTTATAGTTCACATTTACACGATCTATAGCAAACTTTATGTTACTTCTGTATGTATAAAGGGTAATAAAAGAAAATACAACAACACTGATCATTACCCATTTCTTCCAAAAAGCCCCCTTAACAGAGTTTGAGTTCTTGCTAGATTGTTCCTTGGTCTCCGACATAATGAATAAGTAGCAAAAAGAACACAAGATTCTAATAGAATCAGAAATTTATCTTTTACTATAAAATGTTCGTTCTAGATCAAAAGAATAACATTTCCTTTCTATTTTAAGCATTCCTGCGATAGAAAAAAAAGGTACATTAACTAGCCTTCAAACACAGTAAATATGGTGCTCACGTGATCAGCTCTATAATCGGGCATTTTTAGGAGTTTTTTTTTTTTTCTTTTTTGCCTTTTTCTTTCATACACAAAAAAAAAATATCACAATTTGGATGAGCATTAAATATTTATCCATTAGCATATCATCCAAGTCAATTAATAAATAGAATCCAAGATGTCTGCCATTCTTTTTGATGACATGTTCAATGTCGAGTCCGTGGACGCTGGTAAATACAACAAGGTTGCCCGTATAAAGGGACAATCGTCTACTTCTAGAGACATCAAGATTGCATTGGATATCAACAGTGAACTTTTCCCAGTTCGTGAAAATGACTCCTTGACCATTACATTGGCCTCTTCTTTGGGTAATGAAGCCTCCACCATCACTTCCAACGGCTCTTGGAGACCTCCTAAGGGTGACGAAAGATCGTTGGCTGATGATTACGACTATGTTATGTACGGAACTGTTTACAAGTTTGAAGAAAACTCTTCTTCTGACAACATGTCTGTCTACATTTCTTTCGGTGGTTTATTGATGTGTTTGGAAGGTGGTTACCGTTCTTTGTCCAACTTGAAGCAAGAAAACGCTTACATTTTGATTCGTCATTACAATGATTAGAGAATGGAAATTAAATAATCAAGAATCAGGGGAAGTTAAGGAGGGTTTATCCCTTGAACTTAATAATTAGAATGAGAGAGAATTAATCGGTGCTTCAGCAGGTTTAGTCATCATGTACAATATATAAAATAGTAAAAGATAGAAGATTCTATAATAGAGTTGTAGAGAGTAAGTGGAATTTTTATTTACAATTTGAACAAATTGATAGGAAAGTGAATTAAAAATATTATCTTGGTATTGAAAGCGAACACAGCTTATGAGAGAGTAAATGAATTAAGTGGAATAGTTCAATATGAGTATAGGTTAGAATAATAATTATTATTATAATTCGCGGATAAGATTAAGAGATAATAAAATAATTATAGCTATAAGTGATTCTTAATATAAATCTAACTGTTAACATGGATGAAACAGAAAGACGTATGTATAGATTGTGTTTATAGATGACAGGTGGTGATATAGATCTATGTGTACTAACAATTTAGCTGATCCTATTCTTATGCAAGTTCCCTTGATTAAGAACCCATTATATCAACCTCCAAGGGCAATTACTTTGAATACAAATTATAACAAACTTTTACCCACATTATCAACGTCTGTGATACCTCCAAAGGTTAATTTGACCGGTCAAACGATTCAGGAATGGAAAAATGACATTGAAACCATCAAGAATGATAAGTTTGATCTGACCAGAAATGCAAAGATTATCGATGATTTTAACAATTGGGTCAAGGAAAAGCAGCTTAGAGTAGCTCCTGGGTATGATTATTCTCCCGGAAGAGTTATGGTCCCTGGAAGAGTAGAAAAACCACACGCTGAAGTACTGGATACGATCAAAGAACTGGATCCAGTTAATGAACTTGATGTTGTATTTGGAAAGACTCAAATAAGTGAGTAGCCACGAGTAACCACAAAGGGTTTCAAAAAAGAAGTCGACACTGAGAGATTGAGAGATTGAATAGTGCTTCAGATAGGTAAATGGAGAGTAATTAGATGAACTCTCCTTGCTGGAATAATAAGAACTGAAGATACAAAGACAAAAGGGTATTTATATGGAGAAAAAAGACTACCCATGGTTACATCTTTGATCATAGGAAGAAATTGAACTATCTGAGCCTTGCACTCATTATACTATTGTACATTCTTTAATCCAATCTGGAATTAGTGCCCGGATATAACCGGATGTTTATAACGTTATTTATAATAGGAAATCGATAAACAGTAGATAGATGTATATAAATCTCAATTTTATACATTATCTTTTATTATTAGTTAAGGTTTAAGTCAATGCATGTGAATTTCTCGCGTATATCAAAAGATTTCAATACACAGCCCCTGCATGATATTTCAAATTCCTTCATAATTTTGATTTAAATTTAAATATCTTCTCTATTTCTAATGGGAGGTGTGGTCTACAATAAATACCGACCTCGTTGGATGTATCCTACGAGGTCTAAGAGGACGGTTTATTATGTGGTTGCTGCAGTCATCCTTACAATTTATGGGTGCACATTTTTCACGCCAATTCATGCACCCCACCATGATTCACGTATAAATAAATTAAAAATTGCAGATATAGTTGAAGCCAGAGGGAACATTGAAAATGAAATATATTCATCATTAAATTTTAAAGATGAAGATACTATAAGCAGAAAATGCGAAGTATACTTTAAACAATATGAGACTAGGCAGAAACGAATAGATCTCGAATTCTTGGCAACTTTCGAGTTAGATGAATTATTGTATAAGAAAAAGAGATGGTTCCGAAATTATTCTATTAATAGGAAAAAAGTACTTTCCAAACAAGGAATTAAATTTGGAACTGAGCATGAGGTTGAAGCTAGTAATTTATACAATGAAAAAGTTGCTAATCATGTCAAGTTTGAATCCCAAACTGTTGATGATTTCAATCATTTGAGAATATTTGGGAAATGTTTTTTGGAAGAGAATGAAGTATCCGATGAATTATGTAAATCAAAGAATGAATTGAATCTCTATCCATGGTATTCGGGGAAATATCCATTATTTTCCAATTGGGAGGGGAAATTATTAAGAAATGGTGAGGTCCCTATATTTAAAAATAATGATAAGGAATCACATACCGGTGATTCAAATCAATGTTCCCTTAGGAAATGGCAAAAACTTAGTAATGGAAAAGGTTTTGTATTTCCAGTAGTTGGTTCGTTTAACACAGATAATTTGAAACGAATAATCAAAGTATTACGAGTTTTACAGAATGATTTACCAATCCAGGTTATACATGTGGGGGCATTGAGCCTGAATGATATCAAGGCTATCATAGATGTGGGTAGAACTGAATTATTTACACCTCCCGAATCCCATCGAAAAAGAGAGATACCGTTTAATATTTCAAAAGATTATCCTAAACAAGATATATGGTTTGTTGACCTTAGATCAGTGGTTGACCAAGAAAAGTTCCCCAATTTTAAAGATTATTCAAGTTTCCATCTTTCATTGTCATATTTCTTCAATTCTTTTCAGGATGCGATAATTCTTTCTGATAAAGTAATCCCACTTTTACGCAATTTAGGAACTGATTTATTCAATAATGAGAGGTATCAGAAATATGGGATAACATTGTTCAAAAGTCCATCATATCCTACCACTAAAATGAGAAAATTTGATCCCGGATTTCATGAGGTAACATCATTATTAAAGGATTACTTAATGCCGAGTATTGATGACCATCAAGTTTTTGGTATTTTCCAAAGAGATAAAGTATTAGCTACTTCAAATCGAGTCTTGGAGAAAAACTTCCAACAACTATTAGATCCAAACTTGATAGTACTCAACAAATCAAAAGTATTAAGTGGACTATTAATTACTTGTAATATGCAATTTTATAAAATATTCCATTTAAGGTTTAAGCCTCCTAATGACAAATTACATAGTGTTGAATATTTATGGATTGGGCAAGAAATTGCTGGTACAAATGAAAAAGTGAACTTTAATATGATCCATGGAACAGGTCTAGGAGTCTTGACTCCAAGTGAAAAAAGGCCGTATGAAATTCTTACTACATCTGAAGAATTATGTTCTTCATCTTGGGGCCAAGTGGATGATGCGGACGTATTTAAATTATTGTATGTTACAAGCCATCAAGGAGAAAATTGGATGAATATGAATCCGTCATTCCCTAATTCAATTAAGGAAAGGTTCAGTATTCCTGTCGAAAAGACAATTGATAATGTTTTTCTTAAAGATAAAGAAGACGGAGAGGAAGCAAAAAAAATTACTATTGAAGAAATGGACACTCGTATCTTTGATGAAACTTTCGCTATTAATCCATATAGTATCCAATTGTCAATGCTTCCTGCAACATTAGATACCCATGTAGGGGATGAGTTCTACCTAGAACCCAAGAATGCGTGGTTTGAACAAGTATTCGCAGGGAGCCAGAAGGCTCATCCTTACTGGTGTTGCTATGATATAGTTGGTAGTCCCGATCTGGATCAACGCGGGCGCATCATATCGTACAATAATGCGACCCAAAGCGAATATAATTTTTTAACAGATGTTTGGTTGCAGACATTGAGAAGTGTAAATAGATAATATAGGAGACCCGATAGACTATTTATTCGTGTAAATGGAGTTTAAAACTCACTTGAATTCTGAGATTTGATTGAAACTTAATTCTTTTTAAAGATTTAAAAAAAAAGAAATGTAATGACGTCACAGACAGGATTCGAACCTGCGCAGGCAGAACCCAACACCTAAACCGCAAAGCATAAAATACACTAAATAGCAGGGTGTCGCCTTAACCACTCGGCCACTGTAACTAATATTTCTGATTTTTTTGATTTTTTTTATGCTATATAGATTTAAATCGACTTTTGGCATTTTGGCAAAAAACGGGGTTATAACACCATAAACCATCACACAAACACAATAACACTAAGTGATTCAACTTTCACAATGCCATCAGCTACTAGTTTAGTAGGTAATATAATAATTGACCAAATTAATTCAATTAATTGTAGTTTAGAGAGTCGGGGATAACATAATATCGGACTCGGCAAGTTTTTTTTTTTAGATTCCTCACAACTATAACTGCAATGAATGAACTTTACATACTTCTCAATTAAAATCTTAATTGTGCCCCCAATATGGGCACAATTTCATTTTTAACGTGTATATTACTTGAGAGTAAAATGGTCTACTCGGGGCTTGTTTTTCGCATCCGATTTTTTATCCGGATTCGCACTTTGGAACTCAAAGGCGGGACAAAATAACATAAATGAACGTAAAAAAAAAAATTAAAAATAAATACTACAATGGAACAATTGCTGATATTAAGTGTTACCATATACACGTTTTTAGGATAAGAAGACCGGGTAATAACTAAGTGCAATCACTACATATACATATATCTAAGCGAAACAAATCTGAAGGTTATATATTCGTGATGAATCTGTATTATATATAGATTTTGAGCCTCCATCTCTTTCCCCAACTTTTTCGAATCGTCAGTTTTTAAAATTATTCCTTCAAAATATTCCATGGTGCCGGTTAGTTTCCCTGCACCCTTGTAACACAATGCACCACGCTCATACTTTGCCAGTCAATTTTACAGACTAAATATCTCAAGTGATGTGCCGTCAACACATAATTAGTATAGAGAGTTGAGCTCTTCTTAGTTTGTATATCATACTCTCTACTACTCTCTCACTTATTAACAGCACTTTCTTGATCTCGCTCATACCCCTCAGTCCTTTTTTTTTTTTAGAAACACTGCTGTAACATGTATTCGCGTGGCCTAGAAATCCCAATAATTTATTGTGTCATTCCTGCAGGATCCCGACACGAATAAAGTTTAGCAACAACACTTCAACTAAAAAACTACTCCTAAACATTTTTTTGATCAATTTTCATTACCAACGAATCAACATGTCTGCCGTCGGAAAGAAGCACAACAAGACTCAGTCGACCTACGTATGTATCGAAGTACAAGATCTGAATTGATTTGGATATCAGTGACAAAAGGAATGATAGTGACTTTCTCGTCGTTTGACAGTTTGCTTTTCACTACCCACGAGTGGTCAGAAGTACAATATTTGATAATTTCTATACCAAGAAGTCAAGACAATTGAGATATCTTCTCAACATATAACACTATGTATGGCAGAGACTTCTTGAAACTTTTTTGTGGTTCTTTTCCATTTGTGATTCCAAAATTCTATAAATTTTATACTAACTTAAATCGATAGCAATTCGACAACACTGCTACTAATGTTGCAGCATCTCAAATGCGTAACGCTTTGAACAACCTTGCTGACACTGTTGAAGACCCAGCCAAGCAACACAGATTTGAAAATGAAATGGACTCATTCTTTGCTCTTTTCAGAAGATATCTTACTGACAAGGCTTCTGGCTCCACTCTCGATTGGGATAAGATCAAGTCTCCTAGTCCAAGTGAAGTTGTTCAATATGATTCATTGAACTCCGAAACCTCCACCAACTTGTCTAAGTTGGCTGTTCTTAAGCTTAACGGTGGTTTGGGTACCTCTATGGGTTGTGTTGGTCCAAAGTCTGTCATTGAAGTAAGAGATGGTAACACCTTTTTGGATTTGTCTGTTAGACAAATTGAACATTTAAATAGAAGATATGATGCCGATGTTCCTCTTCTTTTGATGAACTCATTCAACACTGATGCTGACACTGAAAAAATTATTAAGAAGTACCAAGGTCACAGAATTAGAGTTAGAACCTTCAACCAATCTAGATTCCCAAGAATTTTTAAGGATTCTTTATTACCTGTTCCTGATTCATTTGATGATGATTTGGAATCTTGGTATCCTCCAGGACATGGTGATTTGTTTGAAGCCTTAGTTTCTTCTGGTGAATTAGATACTTTGTTGGCTCAAGGTAGAGAAATCTTGTTTGTTTCTAACGGTGATAACTTGGGTGCTACTGTCGACACCAAGATTTTGGACCATATGATTGAAACTGGTGCTGAATACATTATGGAATTGACTGACAAGACTAGAGCCGATGTTAAGGGTGGTACTTTGATAAACTATGATGGTCAAGTTAGATTATTGGAAATTGCCCAAGTTCCAAAGGAGCATGTTGAAGAATTCAAATCTATTAAGAAATTTAAGTACTTTAACACTAACAATTTGTGGATTAACTTAAGAGCCATTAAGAAATTAGTTGAAGGAAATGAAATTCAAGCTGAAATTATTCCAAACCAAAAGACTATCTCTAAGGGATCCTCTGACATTAATGTTTTGCAATTAGAAACTGCTGTTGGTGCTGCCATTAGACACTTTGATGGTGCGCATGGTGTTGTTGTTCCAAGATCTAGATTCTTGCCAGTGAAAACTTGTTCCGATTTATTACTTGTTAAGTCTGATTTATTCTACTTGGAACACGGTGCATTAAAGTTGGATCCAACTAGAGATGGATTTTCTAATCCATTGATTAAATTGGGTTCTCATTTCAAGAAGGTATCTGGTTTCCAAGCTAGAATTTCTCACATGCCAAAGATCTTAGAATTAGATCACTTAACTATTACTGGTAATGTTACTTTGGGTAGAAATGTTACCTTGAAGGGTACCGTCATCATTGTCTGTAATGATGGACAAAAGATCGACATTCCAAACGGGTCTATTTTGGAAAACGTCGTTGTCACTGGTAACTTAACCATCTTGGAACATTGATTATTGTCTCAATGAATTAGCTCTATAATTGAAAGTAAATTTACTAAGAAAATACGTGTAAACTTTATTCATTAATTAAAACTTCTCTCTACTAAAACATCTCTATATCTGTAGCTGAAGAATAAAAAAAATTTAAAGATTTACTACGAATTGATGTAAAATTCCAAAACATATTATTTTTATGCTGCAAATTTGAATTAATTTGAAATATTCAATTATTTGTTTCTAGTTGTATATAGTACCACAGTAGATATGAATCATAAACAGTCGTACTAGAAGCACAATGATATTTCTATGATTCTTGAACTTATTTTTTGAAAACCATGGGACTACTATAAAAAAGAATGGTTACAATTTTTTTTCCCTTTTCAGACCCAATCGTTGGAAGTTGTACCACTTACCTAAGTATTAATAACTTTCAAATATTAAGAATAGCCTAATAATTAGTTCAAATATAGTTTTGTGGACATGAATGATTGCGTCAAACTCTGCTATATTGAACCCGAAAGGGAATAATAGGGTTTTTTTATCTAGGATTTATATAGTTGACATGATTTCCTCCAAGATTTTTTTTTAAAAATTTATATAGTAAAATTCTTTGAAGTTTGTAATTTAATGGTTACTAGAGAGTATTTGTCAAGGATAGATGATAAGGGCCACAGATACTGATGGTAGTAATCAAAAGGAATAGAAACGCCTCCAAATATCTTACTTCCTTCCATAGTGTGAGTTCTCGATTATTTTGCAGCTTTGCAAAAATAATTAGAATCAAATAATAGTGTATTATTGCTTAGAGAAAGAATCAAACAATATAAAAGTCATTATAGATTCCGTGCTCATATTAATCCACAGATAAATTGAAACGGCTTAAAGAACCCATTAGACCTGGGTATACAAGGGGAGTGTGTCCTAATCTTAATTTGCAATCAACCTGTCTTTTAATTTTTACCTCACAGTCTACAGATCAAGGACAAATATCCTTTAATTAAGTTTATCGGTTTTAAAGTATCCACGTTTACTATTACAAACTTTAACCTCGATTTCTATTGTGTCTAACTAGCTTTTTAGTCGAGTTAAGATTTTATACTTTTCAAAAAATGCCGAAATTTTACGAATTTCAATGTCTACTCATGGTCAGCTTGTGAGACAAATAAAAACAAGCTTCGTTCCTCATGGCCCAATGGTCAAGGCGTCTGGCTACGATTTTCGTACCACTTCTGGAACCAGAAGATTCCAGGTTCGACTCCTGGTGGGGAAGCTTATTTTTTTGCAATATTTTTTTTTTTAAAAAATATGTTATCGATCCGAAGTGGTGTGCGGGTGTGCCTCTGAGAAATACATCAGATGATTCTCGATTCATGTAATTTACGCTTCACCGGAGAAAGCCCAATATTCAAACACATTTATTCCCACATACTGAATTTGAAAAGATGTTAGCACAACCTATAAATATCAAAAAATGGATTGAAGAGAATAATCATTTACTCCAACCTCCTGTAAATAATTATTGTCTTCACAGAGATGGATTCACAGTCATGATAGTTGGAGGACCAAATGAAAGAACAGATTATCATGTCAACCAAACTCCTGAATATTTCCACCAATTGAAGGGTCATATGTGTCTTAAGGTTGTTGATGATGGCGAATTCAAAGATGTGATTATCAATGAAGGAGATTCATTCTTACTTCCAGGAAATGTTCCTCATAATCCAGTTAGATTTGCTGACACCATTGGATTAGTCGTTGAACAGGATAGACCAGAAGGTGTAAACGATAAGATTAGATGGTATTGTCTGGGATGTAAGGAAATTACATACGAGAAAGAGTTTTACTGTTATAACTTGGGCACACAAATTAAGGAGGCTATTCTTGCATTTGATGCTGATGATGAAGCAAGAACTTGTGGAAAGTGTGGAACTTACAACTATTCCAAACCGCAATAAATGAGAATTTTAGGACAATTTCAAAGGAAGAGACTTTCATTTTCTTTTTTAATAAAAACATTCACGTTCATTTATCTCTAATTTTCTACAAAGGATCTAACAACTTACAAATCGATCGTCTCAGGCAAGCTTCTTTTTGTAGATTTCCTCACCTTTATCAAACAAATAATCAACAGCAGCCTCACATGGTTCATCAAACACATAAGGTAACAATGGAACGATACCCAAACCAATTGCAACTGGACCATAAGTCTTAAGTGCCTTAACATTTGAGTTTTTGAATAAAAGTGAAGAATATCTAACGGCACTGTGGATGGTGAATGCAGGCAAACCCATGGATGCAATACTTTGGAAAATACCTCTCTTTAAACCAACCAATCTCCAATCAGAATCAACTAATTTATCACCATGAATTTCAGTGTAGATTTTACCAGCAACGGGGTTAGCATCTGGGTATGGGTAATTCCATGGTTTTAAACCAGGAGTGTAACGTCCCTCTGCCTTCATCTTGGCATTCCAAGCGGCATTCAGTACATCTCCCAAGATATATAACCATGAGATACCATATCCTAGTTTAACCAAGTTTGGATGAGCAACTGGACGGAAAGATTCACCAATATCTGAAGTATAGGCAACATAACGATGGGAGGCAAGTAAAATAGTTCTGAAACGGTTTGCATAGGCAGCATATCTTAAAGAACCTTCATCTGAAACTCTATCTTCGGAATCATCAATGGCAACTTTAACTTGTTCAACAGCTTGAAGTGGATCTTGTGGCATGATTTTTTTAAATTTATTTTCTATAAGATGGTGGTAGTTATTAAAACCTCTTGTATATGTATAGGTTGTAATATTAATTGAGATTTAAATGAACTTTAATAGTATAGATTGTAAAATTTGTTGTTAATTTCTGGCCACTGACCCGCAATCCCGCAACCATTTTGCCCCGCGCCAGGTGCAGGATTGCCGCCAAATCAATTATTAAATGTGTAGTATAATTTGTAAAGTAAATAAATTTTGATATATATAAACAAGACTCAATAATTGATAAGGATGCAGTTTATAATAGCAGTACGATTCACCACTCCGGGAGAGATCAAGGAACAACTTAAGGATCTTGAAATTCCAATATCTATTAACTTTGAGCGAGATGATGTCAATCGTCTTATAAATGTTAATTGGTTGAAATTCATGGTACGAAGTAAAGTTGAGGTTTGTTCAACTAGAAGACTTCGATTGATTTATAGTGGTAGAGTATTGAATGATAATACCAATTTCAAAACTGATATTCTTGAACCCAAAATACGGCAGCTGTTGATAGAAAGACAACAGGAAGAGCGGGGGTCGGTCCAGCTGGTACTGCCACCTCCATCAGGAATAGCTGACTCCTTAAAGATTTATATCCATTGTCTTGTTGGTGATATTCTTACTGCTAGTCAGCTTGCAGAGGAAGGAAAGTTAGATAATGGTCCACAAGAGAGAACAACTACACCAGAAGTGGTTGGATTTGATCGTCTTTTGCAACAAGGGTTTTCTCAAGGAGATGTTCAAGATTTAAGAAGACAATTCCAAGCCATATATAACCCTAATGATAATATAGGGGGCGCCACTGGGACAGGTGATATACATGATTTAGAAGAAGAGGAAAGAAGACAACAACATATCAGACAACTTGAAGATAGATGGATAGAATCAACCGTCACTCCTGCTGGAGTTGATGGAGACACAACTATGAGACCACAAGTATCAACCACGGACACTCAAGGATTACCAACACAAGGTGTAGAACCAACACAACCATCACTTGAGATTGATGATGTTAATGGTAATGAAGATTTGTTGGTTGGACTTTTACTTGGTGTATTTTTAGGAGTTTTAGGAGTGGTATTTCTTGCCGCAGATGATACTGTTTTCAATCAACGTCAAAGAATGGCAATAATAGCAGGTATTTTCATAAACTTTGGTATATCCACAGTACGTGGTCAATGGTTATAGGAAAAAATATAAATATTTGCACAATAGTTCAAAATAATTGGTCAAATTAGCTATACAAATAAGACAAAATACAGAGATATAGACAACAATACGTAGAGAAATTGAACAGAAAAAAAAAACATATATAAATGGTTTGAGATGTCTGGCCCACCAGCCCTTACCAGCTCCACATTTTAATGTCCATAAATGAACACGAAAACGCTGCAAACTGATAAAAGGGCATTAAGACGGCCGTTACTCCTCCAAAAGAAGGATATTATTCTCGCCAAGAACTTGACGCTCGCCAACTCGTTGGGATTTCGGAAATAGACAAGCAACACGGTAATAGTTCTGGCTGCCGCACAAAGAAAAAGAGAATAAAAAGTTTTTTAAAAAATTTTCAGAATCTCCTTTTAAACAGTGCGAATGAGGTTTACCCGGATATAGTACATGTACAGGGCTAGAAAATAATGTATTTTGCAGCATTTTTTGTAGCATGCAGTATAGATGATAAATCACTGTTAAGTCTTATTTTATCTTATGGATGAATTGAGCTGCTTTTATTGGGACTAGGTAAGTTCTAAAAAGGTCCTAACTTTTGGGACCATATATTAAAATGAGTGAAAGTTTCTCTTTAGTATGTCAACTAGTTGCAAAAATCCCGAGAGAAGAACTAAAATAGGCAGTACAGGTTTAAAAAAATAGCCATTGAATCGACTTAATGTCATGTACTTCCGTTATGGCACAAGTATAATTCTTTTCTCATTGAAGCCTTTTTGGAACAACTTTAACTACTATTCACACCGAGTATGTATAAACCAGCAAAATAATCTGTACAGCTTGAATAATAAGTGGAATATCATTGACCACAGCAGTGATAATTCAAATCTCTTCTTCCATGCATCATTTGATGTCTCTTCCCTAGCTTTTTTTTTGTTGTAATAATAATAATGAGTTCTTAAACTATTATAAACGAAGATAGATAGATGAAAAGTGTAGATAATTAATGTGAAATATTCACATTTTTAGAAAGTCTCATTGGTAACTGAACTTCCCACATCAAAGACTTGGGTACATATTAACAGTAGGGCTTACCCACTTTGCTAAAGTTTCCTATTATATAAATGTTCATTCGTCGCTTTTTATTTGCTGCACCAATTGATTGGTATTGATCTCAATACTAGTGCATAATTTTGCATGTATTCTTTCAGTTGTGTGATTGCTAGTCTTTGAGAATTTTTATCAAGAAGATTATAGTTATATAGACCTCACATATATTCAATTTCGGGATCCGTAACTCCATGTAACGATAATTTCTCTCTCTTCCGTAAAAATACATCGAAGCCGACTCCTCCAATGTTGATAAGAAAAATTTACCAGGAGGTTCTTAAAGACCAGGTAGCAATATTCAATATACAAGATTATCCACGTATAATTTAAGACAATTGACTACAAGAAAAAATACCCACAAGGAATATGAGATGAAAATTACCGATTTAAGTGTACCCCCACGAAGAAGCAGATATATAATTGAGAAATATGTTAGCTTGGTTGCAAAACCCGAACCCGTACTCGAATACCAAGATAATGAAGATATACATTGACTTTTACTTCATTCAAGAAATTGGATACCTTGTTCCCGATGAATAGTCCTTTCTATGTGTAGGGTATTCTCTATAAATCTCAGGTGATGATTTTCAAAGATTACAACATGCTCGTTATTGTCACTACTGGAGAATTATTGAAAATCATTTCGAACAACACTGTGGATATATCCAGGTGTGTGAGGAATATATTTAGCTTTCTTTATAATGTCTCACATACCCAGTTATACCCGGTTGGTTGAACCCGAGTTCATGAAATATTCAAATACGAATACTTATCGTGCCACTACTCAATCCCCTCATTCAGTTTAGTAATCCAATTAACGTGTCTTAGACATATTCGTGATCGCGTAAATCGCCGGTACCGGCAACAGCTTCTAATATTATTCCTTTTTTTTTTCTACCTTTTTCCAGGTACTATCAATTGCGCACACTCATGCAACCACATATATGGACAAAGGTGAGCTCCTAGACTACGATGTAAAACATGTGCACCAACTTTGTGTTTTGCACCCACCAGCCAACAGTCTTCTTGGCAACGACGAACTATTATTTCCTGTCACCAAATATCCGATTTAGTTTGTGTCGCTTAATATTGTACAGTATGCCTAAGTATCTGATGTTTTATTTTTTTTTTTTCTCCTGTGAAATTTTATTTTGCGAAGTGAGGGGGGAGGGGTATCAACTATACACTGAGTAGACCAAATACAATTGGTATATTTCTAATCATGATACACTAGTTGTCACGTAAATATATGATTCAATGGATGCAACAATAATGAAAGATGATGTGATCACTTTTTTTTTGTACATGTTTTAAAATTTAAAGAGTTGATTTATAACGTTTCCTTCGATCCGAAAATCTCCTTATCTCCACTCCCCCCCACTATGGTCGTTCGTTCTACTAGCGGGACTTGATAGTTTTTTAATATTTTTTTTTTTTTTGGGGATTTTTCAATTGACTCACAGACTTACAGTTTTATTCACACTCTACACACTTTTTTCTTTACAATTCTGATCTGTTTTTGAATCAATTTTTAGTTTCGAGCTTCTTGAAACTTCCTAAACAATAGTGTATATATTTGACAATGTCGGAACCACAAAAAACACTTCCCTTCATCTATCAGTTTGCATCTGGTGCCATTGCTGGTGTGTCTGAAATCTTAGTCATGTACCCATTGGACGTGGTTAAGACCAGACAGCAATTAGACTCAACCAATGCTTACAATGGTACTATCAGGTGTATCAAGAAAATTGTCTCTGAAGAAGGCTTTTCACGTTTGTATAAAGGTATCCTGGCCCCAATTCTTATGGAGGCTCCAAAGAGAGCTACCAAGTTTGCGGCCAATGACGAATGGGGAAAGTTCTACAGAAACCTCTTTGGTGTTTCCACCATGTCTCAATCACTTGCAATTCTTACTGGTGCCACTGCCGGTGCCACCGAATCCTTTGTGGTTGTTCCATTCGAATTGATCAAGATCAAATTGCAGGACAAGGCTTCTAAGTTCAATGGTATGACTGAAGTTGCCAAGGACATTGTCAAAAAGAACGGTGTCCTTGGTCTTTACAAAGGTTTGGAATCGACCTTGTGGAGACACGTAACATGGAATGCGGGTTATTTCGGATGTATTCATCAAGTGAGAGGTCTTATGCCAAAACCAAAAACTTCTACTGAAAAGACTCTTGTTGATTTAACTTGTGGTTCCATTGGTGGTACTTTTGGTACTATCTTAAATACTCCTTTCGATGTGGTCAAGTCCAGAATTCAAGCTGGTTCTACTAGATATATTTGGACTGTTCCTTCCTTATTGACTGTTGCAAAGGAAGAAGGATTTGGAGCATTATATAAGGGTTTCATTCCAAAGGTGTTGAGATTGGGACCAGGTGGTGGTATTTTATTAGTTGTATTTACAACTTGTATGGATTTTTTCAGAACTATTCATGAGAAGAAGTAAGGGAGAATAAAGTGTATAGATAAGATTGTAGAATATTTAATTTCTAATACTATTCTTATATAAAAAGAATTGAATTGTATATATCTTACCATGATATCAGTAAAGTAGCATCAACAATACGTACCATTTCCAGAGTACCTTCCACGTCAACGTAGAGTGGTTTATGAATGTTTTTGAAAATAATTTCGTTTTCAGGTTTATTTTTTGGTTCCTCTATTGTTTTGACCTTCATCGATTGGAAACCTTTAACAATTTGAGTGAATTCAGATGTTCCATATTCTATATCAATTGTTCTTCGGTCAGATCCCAATTTTTCTTCTAAATACTCAATACACCTTTGCAAATTTTTAAACCTTGACAAATCGAGATGACAATCACCTATTAATCCCTGTAAACAGTCGCGATGTAATAAGACACTGTACACTAAGTCATAACTTATATTGACATTTTGTTTAAGGAACCTTTCCGCAAGAATTTCATCAATAATAAACAATGTTTCTTCAACTAAATGTTTCACTTCAACACCTCTCTTCTCAACCAGAATAAGTTTTTGTTTCCAAGTAAAGAGAAGAAATCCAAATATAGTTTTGGAAAATTCATTCCAAGAAAATGAATCATCCAATTTTATGTCTTCAATTGTAAATTCATCAACTATTTGACGAATAATTGAAAATGTTAATCTATAACTTGCAACATCCAATTTTTTGGTTAAATTGAATCGAATCAAGATTTGAAGTATATCAAGAATATAATATAAACTAGATTTATAACCCTTTTCACTACTGGTAGGGAGTATTGGGTTCCTCTGGTGACATACTTTCCATTTGAATTCATTGATTTGATATTTGTTCAATTTTTCGACAAGTCTAACACCACGAACTATTGAATTCTTGGAAGTAAGTCTTAGCAAAAGCAAAAGGGCAACTCTTGTAATAGAATGCATGATGGGAGATCGGTGTTGATTGGTGAACACATAAGATAATGATGCTAACCAAATATCGAATACCTCAATATGTTGATCGTATTCCACCAATGGATGATATTTCTCCGTTAAATATTCCAAGAAATATTCATTTTTAGATTGAGAATACATAAAAAGTGATATTGGAAGTAAATCGGGAGTTTCTACCGATTCAAATGGACCATTAGTATTTTCATTTTGTTTCCAAATTTTTTCTCTGGTGGTGAAAAAGTAAGATACTCCTCTAATAAAATGATCACTTTCTTTAAATTGAATCTTGTTATTGTTTAAATTGGTGACATTGTTGGTTGTTTCATAACTTGGATAGCCAGAAGTCCACAAACTTCCTGCGATCCAACTTATGAATGAAGTGTTGGTTATATCATGCAATAACAAATCTTGCTTGGAATCATATAGATAATTAAAGTTGACTGCAAGAATAGGGATGATTTTGGCAAATACTTGTTGATAAATGTCTTGCTTAGAATATTTTTTACTATTAAACAAGTGTTCAACACTGTTAGTAAATTCATTGGTAGTTATATCTGCTGATAATGATGAAGATTTGTATGAAATTGAACTTGGAGGTACTTTGATCAAAATACCAATTATACATTGGATTTCCATAAACAGTTCACACGAGAGGGATAGTGAAATTTCTCGCTCATTTTTCACTGATCCTGGAATATCTTCTGTTACTGAAGATGCCACGTCAAGAATTGAACTCAATTCAGGAGCGAAATCAACCTTATAAATTGTCAAGAAGAGACTTCGAATTAACGACTCTTTCCCAAGGTTGTTATTGGATGCTGACTTGTACAATGTTTTAACAATTTGATATAATAAACTAATCACCTCTTTAATTGACAAAGTATTAGTGATATTCTGTGAAAGGTACCATTTAAGGACTTTTAAAAGAGTTTCGAGTGTTGATATGTCCAATGACAGAGTGGTGGCATTGGAATCTCCAAACATACTGACAAGTACATCAGTGGCACCAGATACTCCAAGATTCGCCTTTGTTTTACGAATAACTGTATTTGTGTTATTCACATTTCGGAACCATATATGTAAAACCTTTAGAATATTTATAATTAATTCAGTACGAAGTATATCATCTATACTTTCTAACTGAGTCCTTTTCTGTTTTAGCTTGCTTGAATCCAGTTTCTGGGTAGCATTTAAGATTGCTGCCTTGGATTTTGATCCTGATGTCAACAGACTCAGAATACTTCCTGACCTGCTTCTGGTACTTTTTGGAGTACTTCCGTGTAACATAGTAATATCATCTTCTTCATCTAAATCAACTAAAGAAGATGCTGCACTTGCTGGGATTGAGCCAAAATTAGATTTTGTAGATCCATTCAAAGATGTGATATCTTCACCTATATCATCAAGTGGGGTTATGGAGTGTCTTTTACCAATACTCTTACGAGGTGAAGTTGCTGGGACTGGAGTGAATTGCTCAACTGGTAAAGGGTACATGGTGGCTTCCACGAGCATTTCTACTGCATGTGCAAATAGCTCCTGTAATACTGCCACATTCTTCACTTCAAGTTGTGTAGAGGTATCAATTGATTCAGAATTTGCGATTAAAATCGATTCAAGAGCATGTTCATGTATTGGATTTATGAATATACTACGGTAATACAATTGATCTTTATTATGAAGAGGATCAAATAGCCGAGAATATACTGAAGTAGTCTTATTCGGACTCATATTAATATGTAGTCAATTCTAAAAATTTAAATGGTATCAATGACTACCAAATAACAAATTATCTTATACTATAAGTACCAATTTCCCAAGATTCACATATACAACCAGGGCTTCCTACTCAAAATGTCATTTAATATGGCTCAGCCAAGCCAATGGTGTGCATACAACATGCGGTTATTTTTTATTTTTTATTTTTTTATTATCAAACCTTAGCGTTGCAGATTCTGAAACTTGTACACAAGGGGGAGACAGAGGGTCCCCTTTTCTTACAATTCAGTAAAGCTTGATATCGATAAATACGATCTTTTTTTTTAAGTAATTATGAGCAATTGGTCCTGAAATGAAGTTTAATAAGAGAATACTGCAAGATTACGAGCTTGTAGAACAACTGGAGGAGCAAAGAGTCCGACACGAAAATCTGCAACCGTTAGTTGACCCCAGTCCCACCTATTCACCAGATGATGATAGCCTTGATGATGAAGAGACGCGATCGTCGATTGATTCAGAATCTTCTGGATTATTTCAAGATATTGAGAATTTTGCAGAGAATAATTACCAGACTCCAGATGATTTCTATGGGAACGTGATATTTCAAAAGGTTTGGCAAAATTATGTTGGAGTCAAGGGAATTTCTAAAAGATCATTTTCACTTGCAGTGGGGGTTTGTGTTATAATATGGCTCTTGGGGGTTGGAATGTATGCACGTGAAGCTGCCAAACATACTCAATCATTGGCACTGAAATTGGGAAGACCAAAGACAACAATTGTTTCATCTTCGAATGGGAACGTCACCATCAATAAGTATGATCCTTCATTAAAGAACATAACTTTGGACGAATATATGAAGGGAACTTTCCTTCCATACACAGTGCCAGTGAACTGGTTAAATGCTAAACAATACCCACAACACCACAACGAGAAAGAGGGCCTTGGTGGTGCTTATTACATGACTAGGGGAGAAAAGGAATCATTTGTCATGAAACAAATTCACAACCCCAAACCACAAACTTTCATAGATAATCCACAATTTGCATTTGAGAATAACTTCTACTATATTCAACACGTTTATTTGAATCCAGCAAGACCAATTGACCAATTAACTAGCAATTGGCATATAGTAGCCACAGACGTGGAAGAACAATGGAGACATCTGTCCTTTGCACTTTATTGGATCTTCAACCCACTGACGAAAGATTATACTCCAATACAACCTCCAAAATCGGATTTGCTGAGTGAAGATAGCCAAAGTCGTTTTGCCCCTAAACATATGTATAAGCTTCACTTTGCTGAATTTTCTCCTTTGGGTACCCAAATATTGTATGGATTTAACCATAATTTGTATATTTTACATTTGGAATCTGGAGAAATTACTACGGTTACCAATACTGGCTCACGAAATATATTTAATGGTAAACCAGACTGGATTTATGAAGAAGAAGTTATTTCAGATTATAAGCTTTTCTGGTGGTCACCGGATCAAAAAAACTTGGTATTTGTTCAACTTAACGACACTGAAGTTCCAGAAGTAGATCTTGATTATTACATCAAGGATAACTCTGAAATAGCCAACACTTTTGAGGAACCTACTCAAAGGAAAACAAATGATGTTAACCAATACCCTGTGAAAACTACTATAAAATATCCGAAACCGGGTACTCCTAATCCAAAGATTACTGTATTTAATTATAACCTCAAGGAAGGTAAATTGAATGATATTACCAATATGGACACTAAGAATATTGGAGACGAAGCAATAGTTTATGATGGGATATGGATTGATAATAAGTCCTTCTTGATGAAATTATCAGATAGAACTAGTAAGATACTATGTAAGAGAGTATTCACCGGGACTGGTAAATTAGAGACTATAAGTACTATTGATACATTCAATTCATTCCATGGTTGGGTTGAAAAGACTTCACCATTGGCAATTGTTCCTGTTGCGGAAAATGGGGATGAAAACCATTATAATGGTTATATCGACAAACATGTCATCAACAACAAAACGCACTTGTGCTTCTTTAAAGATGCATCAACATCTGAAATAACGACTATTTTAACACCGCAAGATGTCGATTGGGAAGTGAGAAGTGACTCCCCAATCACATATAATAAAGTGCAAAATGTAGTTTACTTCTTAACTACAATGAATAGCAACATGGATGCTCACTTGGTTTCGCTTGATATTAAGACGAAAAAGATAAAAACCATTACTGGTATTGATAAAAGTGGGAAATATGAGACATTTTTCAGTAATGATGGACAGTACCTTAATTTGTTCTACCAAGGACCTTTACAGCCATGGCAAAAACTTATTAATATGGAGGATTTGCATGAAAATTGGGCAGAAAATGAAAATGAAATTGATGCTGATGCTTTAATTGAAAGTTACAAACCTATTAATTTTGTGGATGTGACTGCAAAGAATCTTCAAGCAGTAAACTTACCAACAAGATTATATAGACAAGTTCAAATAGGTAAGGGTTCAAATAAAGTAATTATAAATATGATTGAAATCCTCCCTCCAAACTTTAATCCAGAGAAGAACACCTACCCTTTATTAGTTTATGCATATGGAGGTCCAGGGTCACAATCTGCTGATAAGAACTCTGCTATGACTTTCCAAGAGGTGGTTAGCTCATGTTTGAATGCAGTTGTCCTCATAATTGACCCAAGGGGAACCGGTCCTAACTGGAGTCTGAAATCCTTTGCTAGAGGAAATCTTGGTTATTGGGAACCTAGAGACATTATTACAGTCACTACAGAATATATTGAAGTCAATAAGAAATTTATCAAGAGTGAGAGAATTGCCATATGGGGCTGGTCCTACGGGGGATTCACAGCGTTGAAAACTCTAGAAGTCGACAAGGGAGAAATTTTCAAGTATGGTATGGCAGTTGCGCCAGTGACTAACTGGATGTTTTACGATTCCATTTATACGGAACGTTATATGTCAAAGCCAGATGAGAATGAAAACTACTTGACCACTGCAATAATCAAAGAACCGATCAATTTAAAGTACTCTAAACGGTTCTTGGTTATGCATGGTACCTCCGATGATAATGTACATATTCAAAATCTGTATTGGTTATTGGATAAACTCAACTTGCACAAGGTTGAAAACTATGATCTACACTTTTTCCCTGATAGTGACCATACCATCTCATTTCATGGTGCCAATAGCGTTGTTTTTGATAAACTTCTCCATTGGTTAGGAGAAGCATTTGATGGAAAATTCGATCAATTCTTGTAATATTTATTTAAATTTAATACAACCAAATATACATATTTTACAAAAACTCTATGAAAACTATATTTTTTTAATAGATTCTCACCTTACTTATTGGAAGAGACTCTCTCCTATCACCATGCTTCTGCAGCACAATCTGCCTTGCCTTATTATCTTTTCGTATCCTGCATGTTGATTTGGCTGTCTTTTTTTTGTGAACACAAAATGTCCCTCATCGCGGGACTTTTATTTTAATTTTTTTACAGAAATGAAATAGAAGAGAGTATACTTCAAAGGAATTACTAATATCAAACATGGCAAAACCTGCTAAATCCACTAAGAAGTTCCAGAACAAGCACTTGAAGCATACTATTGAACATCGTAGAGAAGTTCAGAAGAATGCCAAGAAGTACGCTTCCAGAAAGAGATCCAAGGGTAAGACCGAAGATGGCGATGAGGCAACTACTGGTGCTGCCACCACCAAGGCTAGTAAAGAAGTATTCAATGATATGTCTGTAGACGATTTTTTCGCTGGTGGATTTGAAGTTCCAAAGGAAAAGAAGTTCAAGAAGACTGAAGAAAGCGACGATGAAGGCTCATCATCTGAAGATGAAGATGCCATGAAGGAAGATATGAAAAACTTGGCTGACAAGGATCCAGAATTTTACAAGTATTTGCAAGATAACGACAAGGACTTGTTGGATTTTGAAGGTGTGAATCCTTTGGATGCCATTAGTGACGATGAATCTGAAGAAGAAGCTGAAGGTGAAAAGAGTGCTGATGAAGAAAAGAAGGATAAGAAAAAGACCAAGGCTGCTGCAGCTGAATCAACCGGTACTAAGAAGGTTGAAATTACATCTGCATTGGTAAAGCAATGGGACACACAACTCACAAACAAGCCTACTGTTAAGGTGATCAAGAACATAGCTATTGCATTCAAGGCGGCTGTGAATATTCAAAACGCCCAAGACGAAGATTATAAATATGCTGTGACAGATCCTAAGGCATTCAACGCTCTCATGTTACTTACTCTTCAAAAACTCCCAGAAGCCATCCAAAAGTTGGTTAAATACAAGGTTCATGCTGGTACCGGTGCTAGAACTGTTCCACAAAAGAACCAAAGTGTAAAGCCAATTTCTGCCATTTTGAAGTCTGTAGCTGGTGCTTACATTACTTTACTTCAAGACATCACCAACACTGAAACTGCTGCTCTTGTTTTGGTTTCTCTTCAAGAAATCTTCCCATACTACCTTTCCTACCGTAGACTTTTGAAGGAAATTTTGGGTGCTATTGTCCGTATTTGGGCTTCAACAAATGATGTTCAAACTCAAATTGCCACTTTTGCCTTTTTGAACAATGCTAGTAGAGAATTCCCTCGTTCCATTTTGGAAACTGTTTTGAAGCTGGTATACTCCACATTCTTACAAAACTGTCGTCACACTAACGTCCATACCATGTCCATGCTTAACTTCTGTAAGAATTCTGCTGCTGAATTATTTGGAATAGATGAAACTGTTTCTTACCAAGTTGGTTTTGAATACGTTAGACAATTGGCTATTCACTTAAGAAACTCCATAAATGCTACTTCTAACGCTAAGGAAGGTTACAAGACCATTTACAATTGGCAATATTGTCACTCTCTTGATTTCTGGTCGCGTGTTCTTGCTCAACAATGTACTCCAGAAAAGGAAGCTGAAACTAAGAAGGAATCTCCTTTAAGACAATTAATCTACCCATTGGTTCAAGTCACTTTAGGTGCTATCAGATTGATTCCTACCGCTCAATTCTTCCCATTGAGATTTTACTTGATTAAATCTTTGACCAGATTGCAAAACGGTACTGGTGTTTTCATTCCAATTTTCCCACTTCTTGCTGAAATTTTGACATCTACTGCCATCACCAAGCCTCCAAAGAAGGCCACTTTGGAAGCTGTTGACTTTGAACACAACATCAAGGTTAACCAAGCATACTTGGGTACAAAGACTTACCAAGATGGTTTATGTGAACAATTCATAGAGTTGGCCAGTGAATTCTTTGTATTGTACACTAAAAATATTGCATTCCCTGAACTTGCCACTCCTGCTATCTTATCCTTGAGAAGATTTACAAAGAAATCCAAGAACGTTCGTTTCAACAAGCAATTGCAACAATTGGTAGAGAAGCTTACTAGTAACTCTGAATTTATTACTGTAAAGAGATCAAATGTCGAATATGGACCATCTAACAAGCATGAAGTTCAAGCTTTCTTGAATGACGTAGCATGGGACAAGACTCCATTGGGTCAATACGTTGTTGTTCAAAGACAAGCAAAGGAAGAAAAGCTTAGAATTTTACAAGAAGCATTAGAAGAGGATAAGGCTCGTGCTGAACAAGAAAAGGAACAAGCAGAAGAATCTGACGTTGACATGGAAGACTTGAATGAAGGTGAAGAATCTTCTGACGAAGAATAGATTTGAAATGGCATATATGTCTATATATATTATTGATAACTTATTGGATAATTAGTATATACTACAATATTTTAAATAATTACAACACTTTAAGAAAGGAAGACTTATGTAGAAGGATCTATCGGGATAAAATTTCCAACAATGCAACTAGGAATGTTATACCTATCTCTTCTAATAGTAAAACTGAAACAGCAACTTTTCCTTTTTATCCCATCCTTGGTACGAAGATTACAACTTGTCAAGACTGCCTTTTGACCCTTATCAAACGCAATAGCTCCATATTTTTCCCAAAAGTTAACTGCACTTTCTTCACTCATTAATTCATAAATTGCGAGTTTCCCATCCTTCAAATCATCAGCCAGAACCCCCACAAGTGATGCAAATTCTTTATTTCCTCTATAAATTTCACCAGTACGTCTCCAGAGACATGCAGGAATCGCCATGGACGTAAATACTCTATCATAGTCAAGCAACATTCTCTCGAAACTTTCTTCAACCAAGACAAGATCCACATCTTTCAATGTTCTAGCAATGGCTCGAAATGCCGGTCTAAAAATTGAAAGAGGTTTCAAAATCCGCTGTCTACTAGAGATATTCATGTAATTATCCATATAACTTTGCAATCTTGCATAACCCTTTGCGTAATTGTATGGTTGAAGAAGTCCGGCTTCTAACTTAGCCTTAATAACCTGTTTCAATCTTTCTTCTGGTGAAATTTCTGTGGTAGGATCTGCAGCTGTGAGGAAAAACTTATCCCTTGCTGAATCAGATATCACTGGCTGGTGAGAACTAGAATTTGACAGTAACGTAGACGGTTTGGGGTAATTATATGTCGATTTTGTTAAAGTTTGATTCTGATTCGATTGGTTCATCTGTCTATTCTGTATCGATGGAGATTGTTGTTCTCTAAATTGAGACTGTGATAATGGATGGTGAGACTGCTGTTGGTGCTGTTGTGGTTGTTGTTGTTGATGTTGTTGTGGTTGGGAATGTATTACATTCATGTCACCCAAATTATTTGAAAACATACCACTGTTGGGAGAAAATGCTAGGAGGTTTGTTAAACTTGCATTGTTATCGTTAGTAATGTCACCTATTGCTCCTCCGCTATTGTTTTGATTTGTATTGGTAGTAACATTGTTAGCAGCAACACTAGCTTGCATTCCAAATTGAAGTAATGGGTCATTATTGTTGTTTGTATCATGAAGGTTCCCATTAACCAACTCTGGATCATCAATCATGGACAAAAAATCATTTAAAGAACTGAATTCACTGCCAGCATGTTCTGAGTAAAAAAATGTCTCTTGATTATATGGAAGGGTTTGAGACAAAACTGAGTTGGATATCGTTTTGGGTTGCAATGAATGTTGATTTTGATTGGTTCTATCTTGTCCATGAGTTGGATGTATGATCGGTTGTTGGTTAAGGTCTGCGAATCCCTTTGACACGTTGTTGGGTGTATTTAAACCTGTGGATGGTGAAACAGGTTGTGGAGAAAACGATTCAGATGTTGCAAGATCGGGTTTCTTAGTTCTTGCAGCAGCCTTCTGTCGTTGTCTATTGTTCGACGGTTCATCGTAACAAAGGTGACCTATTCCTCTTTTAATACATCGTTGGCATGGTCTCGTATCATCACAAATCATGTGTGATCTTCTACAATACACACACGCCATTTCAACTTTTTTCTTTTTTCTTTTTGGTGCCTTTTTCAGTGTCTCATCCTCCCGTTCTAATTCTCCATGGTTATGTCCTTGTCCTTGTTCATTTCCCTGGGCTTGTCCTTGTCCTGGTACTTGTCCTGGTACTTGTCCTTGGTCCGGAACTTGGTCTTGGTTGTGACTACTGTCAAAGATCTGCCCTTGGCCCTGTGTTTCCGGCACCGACGATGTATCCTTCAAGATTATGTTTTCCATAGTGGTATTTCCTTGTATTAGTCCCGTATTCATTGAATATTCATCACCTGAATGCGGCTCAAAGACTATCTGGTATCTCCTGCGGTGATAAACAAAAGGAACGGAAAAATTTATGTGCGTGTGTAGTTCTTGCCAAATTTGATCGCGAATTGCACGACTTTGCGGGGCAGATCGTTTGATGCAGATGTTGGGCCATGAAGAGGGGGGGGAGAAGGGGGGACAATATATTCTTTTATATTCTACAATTCTATTCATTGAATTAATTAATTATCGTATATGTAATAAAATAGCCACATTTAATGCACGTTATTTTATTATTCTACGTCACGTCCACCATGAATGGTAATTTCACTCGTATTTGTAGGTTCTTCATCTGTTTCGTCTCCGAGAGAAACATCATGGCTACTACCATTATTTGATATAAAACTACCATATTGTGGAGTCTGGAAATCTTCATCAATGCTGGTTCCTCCACCTCCAGTCAGGTAAGAAGTTGATTCCAATAATATGGGTGATTCTCTCAGGTACATTTGGTAACTTGTTGGTCTTGTAAACTCTTGATTTGATTCTATTACATTCGAAACTGCTGAATAAAAAGACGATGTAACAGAACTATTCTGAGTGGTAGAAGTAATTGTATCTGTAACTGTATCTCTTGTTTCTTCGGTAACTTCTGGTTGTCCTTCTATGGGACTACTTGTAGAAAGTGGATCAAATCTTTCATTCATACTAGAATTAGATAATAATGAAACATTTTCGCTCTCCAATATATCACCAGAAGTTTGTGATTCAAATTCAAAAGTACCAAAATTTGGGGAATTTAAATCTTGTCTACTTCGAAATAATGTGTTACATAATGGACAACTTCGACGGAAATTAATAAGCCAATTTGATAAACATTTTTGATGATAGAAATGCTTACAATCAAGCACTAAAACTTTTGATTGAAGTGGTTTAAACCCATCAAGACAAATGGAACACTTATAAGCAGGAAAGTAATCTTCAGGTGCCAATAAAATTTTCATTGATGAAGCTAATTCCTTTATATCTACCCCATTTATCATATAATTAATGATTGATGAAGAAGATGAATTCGTTTTCGAAATTAAAGGAGTTGTATCGAGAGATGGTAAATCATCTGTTGAATTCACCCTTTTAGGTTCACTTTGATTTGTTAATTTCAAATAATCTTTAAATCGATTAGTTGGAATCAAATGGTTAATATTATAAATATAAACTGGTAAACTGTTTACTAGTTTTAAATTACTACGACTCATTTGTTTCTTTCTTAACTTTTGCCAACATTTTATCATCATATAGAACATAAGTATCATCAATGGTGGCGATAATGCCATGGATAATACCAAGTTTAACCAGGATCCAATGGATGCTGTGGTAATTGTGAGGTTAATATCATTAAAATCGCCAGTTTCATATTGTAGTTTTGAAAGTACCATAAAATCTTCTAAAGTGACAAATAAAATTGGGGTACGAATACCTCCATCAAGATTAAAAGTCCCAGAATACATGGTAATAAGACCAGTGGATGGTTCATTATTCCCAATGATAATTGCACTTGGATTCAACCCAGAATCAAGAATATTTTCAACTTTCTCCACAAAAGTACAGTCTCCACGTTTAAGAACAATAATCTTGTGGTAATAGTCCGATGGAATAACCGATTCATTTAGACGTTTGGAACATCCATTATTGGGGAATATTCTGTAAGTTGATATGAGTGAAGTGTCCACTGCCGCACTGAATGATGCATATCTTGAGATGACGCGGGTTGTCTCATTAGTCTCTTCATTTTCGTATTCAACAAGTGCATCTAATGGGAAAAATGAGTTCACCACATTATTAAATGGATACTCAGGATCAAATCCTCCAACACCATTAGTCTTGATGGTTGACTCTTGTGGGTCCTCAATGTGTATGGAATGTACCCCGTAGAAACCAGTGAACACGAACCAAATAGTAGTAAGAACTACTGGAAGCATGTTTCAAGCTAGAAAACTAGAACCCCCTTCAACAGAAAAACTTTAAAAAAATTTATAGAAATATTTCAGAAGCTTGTGTGAGGCTTTCAAAAGCACGAGAGATATCCAGATGATGTATAAAAAAGGGAGGAATAACAGATGATCTATTATATCTTCTAGTATAAAACACCAATTACTTTAATGTAAGTTAAAATTTCGTCTTGTCTCTGAATATTTGGTAGCGAGGACTGGAGGTTGGGAAGAGGGGAGGTATGTATGGGTGGCGGTTGGTAACGAAGTGGCGGGGGGAGGATAAAGGAGAAGAGTGTAAGCAGTCGCAAATCCCTCACTATCTGTAGGATCATTGTATCAGAAATGACGCGGTTATTTTTTTTTTGTTTTTGTTTTTTGTGTACCCTTGTAATTTTATTAGGTTTCATATTCGGAAATTTTGTTAAGGAAAGTTTTTCCCCTCCTTAAAATGGTTGCATTCAATTGTTAAAGTTTTAACCAACGATAAATTTCTCTATTTTTACGCTATAAGGTAACCCTTTATGATTTATAGAACAAATCGCTATACGTATTAAAGCATGGAATAACTTTGAAGGAGATCGTTATTATTGAAATTGTAGAATCTAACTGAAAACAGGTGGTTCTCCGGGTCTTTGATTTGCAGCCATATTTTTCGCAGTCCCACATTTTTTATGGGGGGTAATTGATAACCTTCAGGAATAATTGTCGAAATATATGTTTAATGAGTTTAATGTTGAAATTGGACTCATTGGATAGACAATTAAGCTGGTAGTAGGATTTGTATGAACCACTTTATGTTTATATAGCCTATTTCTCACTTTATGTCTAAATTAACTAATTTTAAATCAAAGCCACACTTTTTGCGATCTTGTTAATTCTGCAACTTTCACCTGGTTGATTTCATATATGAATTAGTATCTTAAATTTACATTAAATATATATATTTTGTTTTCTATTTACCTAAAAGACATCTCCCAACTTCAATCTAGGAGCAATGTTCATGGACAATAATTCCTGGAATAACAACTTAGCAGCGTATGGAATGGTCATCTTAATGACATGCTCTGACGATTTACAGGTTGTACACCAACTGCTATAACCCATCAACCCACAGTAATTACATACATCAACTTCAAATGCATCTGAAGAAATCATTAATCTTTCTAAAAGTAATTGCGAAGCACCGTACGCAATAACACAATCTCTTTCCATTTCTCCCAATCTCAAACCACCATCTCTAGATCTACCTTCGGTAGGTTGTCTAGTCAAAACAGCTCTAGGTCCTCTTGCTCTAGCGTGCATTTTATCTAAGACCATATGCTTCAACTTTTGATAATAAATAGGTCCAAAGAAAATGTATGCCTGGAGGCATTCACCAGTGATACCCGAGTACAACATGTCTTTTCCGGAATAACTGAATCCCTTGTCAACAAGAATCTTGGACATTTCTTCCAACTTAGATCCTCCAAAACAAGTTCCATACTCTAAACTTCCATTCAACACACCTGCCTTCCCTGAAATTAATTCAATCATCTTACCGACCGTCATACGAGATGGGAAACCGTGCGGGTTCATAATAATGTCTGGTGCTACACCGTCATCATTAAATGGTAAATCTTCTTGTTGTACAATGATACCACAAACACCCTTTTGACCGTGTCTAGATGAAAATTTATCACCTAATTCAGGTCTTCTAGTTTGTCTCAAGAGAACCTTGATAAGAGCTTGATCGTTATCACTGACAGACATCATAACTTGATCAACATAAGCAGGTTCAGGACCCTTGTAATATGAAGGGGTTTCTCTATGACTCTCTGCGCTTTGTTGTTGTTGATCTCCCAACACTGATTCCCCAGCATTATTAGGAACACATTTATTTACATATACTTGACCATTTTCCACTCTCATACCCACTTCACCAAGACCATCAGGTCCCAATGATGCATGAGGGAAAATAGCTTCACCACTTTCATCAACTCTCATACCGGAAACAATATCCTTGGTATGGTTAGGGTATCTCTTCAATGTAACAGTATTCTTACGAACAACTTGACATCTACCAAAACCTCTATCTATACTTGACTTATTCAATACAAGAGCATCTTCAATATCGTAACCGGAGTACGACATAACAGCAACTGTCGCATTTTGACCAGCTGGTAATTTATCATACTCAATCAATTCGATAGTTTTAGTCTTGACCATAGGTTGTTGAGGATAAACCATGAAATACAACAACGTATCAATTCTACGAAATTGATTGTAAGCAATTGCACCAATTGCTTGCTTACCCATAGCACATTGATAAGTGTTTCTTGGGGATTGGTTATGATGAGGGTAAGGAATAAGACCAGCAACAGCCCCCAACACAGTGAAAGGTTCAATTTCTAAATGAGTGAACTCAAAGTTGGCATTGCTTTCGTTCTTCAAATCATCATCGTATAAGGCAATCAAAGAATCATTTTCTTCGTTGACATCCAAATATTCAACTAATCCATGACGTAAGAAATCATCGAATGCCCATTCCCCAGAAAGAAGATGTTTTAAATGTTGAGGAGTAACCTTGGATTTGTTTTTATTTACAATGATCAATGGACGACAAATTCTACCACCATCGGTGGCAATGTGAACAGCATTTTGATGAGTGTTTGTGTAGATAGATACGAATGCAGACATCTTACCACTACGTCTCAAGTTACGGAAATTTTGAACAAACTTTGTGGAATATCTGGTAGTACCGAGAAGGGTACCATTAAGGTAAATCCCAAAGTTACCTGGTGAATGTAAAGTAGCTGAATCAATTCCTAAGATATCTTCACATCCCAACACATAACAAAGTTTTTTCACTGGAAGTTCTTCATCATCAGTAGTAATATGTGTCATAAGGGCCAAATTCTTAACCAAACCACAGGCTTCACCTTCTGGTGTATCAGAGGTACATAACATACCAAATTGAGAAGGTTGTAAAGCTCTTGGACCAGAAACCTTACGGGATTTTTCGAATTGAGATGAAATTCTTGTCATCATCCCCAATGCAGAAATGTACGACAACCGAGATAACACGTGGGTTACCCCGGCTCTTTCCATCTTAAAACGTTTCAAGGACCAATTACCTGTAGAAATGGCACGATTCATACCCATGGTGATATTATTAGAATGGATATTAATCGATAAAAGGGCATCAAACTCCAGTGCTCTACTTGGTTTCTTAAGAATTTTATCGATATTTGCCTTGAAGTCAGAGTTGAATTTTTTGAATAAATCTTCAAACAAAAGAGACATAAGCTGTCCGGCAAGTTCCAATCTCTTGTTACCAACGTAATCTCTGTCGTCAACCATCTTTGGGTTATGCATAGTCATAAGAACACGACGGGCCATGGTAGCAATGTAAAGAGCCTTCTCTCTGAATTGTAAATCGGAAACAGTTAAATGAGCAATAATAGTGGTGGCAATTGCTTCAATACCTTCTTGAAGTTGAGAAAGTTTAGGGGCACCAGCTCTTCTAATGGTCTTAACACGCTTACCAACATAATTCAAAGCTTGTTGTTGAGTGAAAATTTCCAATTTAGCTGCTTCTTCAAAATTAACTGCAAAAAGATCTTGATAGAATGGATCTTGACCACAAACAACTTGTAAAATTTCTAAATCTGAAGTGATACCTGCAGCCTTAAGAATAACAACAATAGGGATATCTTCACTAATGGAGTTATGCTTCAAGTAAATACGGTCATTCTTAGTAATGATGTATGTTTTAGATTTTCTTTCATGAGTAGAAGATGTAACAGATGCTTGAACAATTCCCTTCTTTTCATCCGCTTCCACAATAATTCTATTCTTTGACAATTGTTCTTGAATCAAAATGACCTTTTCAGTACCATTCACAATGAAGTATCCACCTGGATCAACTGGACATTCATCATAACTGGCCATTTGATGTTCATCCAATCCATCTAAAATACATTTAGCTGATCTTAACATGATTGGCATTCTACCAATTTCAAGATCCTTGTGCATGATAATCTTACGACCTCTGGTATATTCAACATCAACATAGATTGGTGCTGAGTAAGTCAAGTCACGTAATCTACACTCATGAGGAGGTAAAATAACTTCCTTCGTTCCAGGTGCTGAATGAGATTTATGACCAACACGAATATCCAAGTATTTAAGATAAAATTCTGGATCCACATCAGATAAAACTAACTCATTAGCAGCAATGATCTTCTTCAAATCAACATCCACAAAATAGTTGAATGAGTCCAAATGTTGCTTAACAAGCCCCTTCACCTTAAGAAAGGCAGGAAGAAGATTCCATTTGTCTTCTTTAGTACTGATCTGATCAGTGAGTGATTTACCCTTGTAAGTAGGTTGCAACAAGTCGTTGAACGACTCGTCGGAGGTACTCTTTCTCTTTGGCATCCCTCTTTCCCTTTGTCACTATTACCTACTATATAGAAGATTCTAGGATATGATCCAAACTTTTTTTGAATGAAAGAATCTTGCGGAGATAAAATAAAAATCCGTTATACACTTTATACTTGAATTAGAATGACTTCACCTTCAATTTAAAAACCGGGAGACTTTATCTGCAAGAGTGACTATTGTGCAATCCTTTCAATGAACAACAAAAAAAATTCAAACGCCACTTCTATAAAGGTGTAAGTTTAGAAACCAAATATTGAGTGGATACTTTATGCTTTGTAAGTATTTTCCGGTTAGTAATGAGCTTCGCAAAAAAAATCATTGTAAACAAAAATCATTCAAAAAAAAAATTCAAAAAAAAAAAAAAAAATCTTAGATTGAGATTTTGTGTAACTATGAATCCAGTCCAAATATAGTATGTGTGATTGTGAGTGAAGAGGGTGTTAATGTATCATTCTATCAATCAATTTAAAGTTTGAGTTGTATACTTTAGTTGCTGGTACTTATGTTTATATAAGCCATGTCATCCAGTAATCTATTCAAGGCGACTGTGAATGAGCATTTGGAAGGGTTGCCCGAAACTATGCAATCTAGGTTGTATGAGGCCCCAGCTACTTGTCTTTCCATTTATAGATTACTTCCTCCAATTGCTAAATTTTATATCATGTCGATGGTTTTCAGTGAAAGGCCCGTAGCATTAAGGGACTTGGACAAATGGTGCAAACCTGGCACTCGTAAGGTGCAGTTTGAATCGTTGAAACGATTGAAGTCATTGCATCTTATTCTTGAAGATAGACAAGGTCAATATATCACCTTACATCCTATATTTAGAAAGAACTTCCGTGATTGTTTAACAGGGTCACAAGCCCCCAATGCCTTTGGTAACTTGTGTCTAACACCTGCCGAGGTCAGTGTTAGCATTCTGTTTTTAGATTCATTTGCCCTTCTGAAATGGGAAACAATTCTTCATTTTATGGTTGGAACAGAATCTACCCCAACTCCTTCCACGTCTGTTTTATCTCTTCTTAAATCTGGTGGTCTTATGGAAGGAAGTGGGTCTGGGTTGAGAATTACAAACACTGGATTCCAGTTTCTTTTACAGGATGTCAATGCTCAAATTTGGACAATTCTTTTACAATATCTTAATTTAACCCAGGACCTTAATATGGATCCTGTGGATGTTCTTAATTTCATATTCATTTTAGGTTCTTTGGAATTAGGAAAGAGTTACACCGTGTCATCTCTCAGTACCACTCAAGTGAATATGTTGGCAGATTTAAAAGATTATGGTCTTATTTATCAACGAGCATCTAACTCTGGACGGTTCTATCCAACAAGATTGGCAACAACATTAACCTCTGAGTCACTGGCCTTGAAGTCGCCCGCTAGAGCAATGGATCAAGCGTTGGAATCTGCCACACTGCAACAACCATCAGCAGACCAGCTGGATGATGCAGCTACCACTTCAATTTCTGGTCCAGCATCTGCAGCCCAAGGCTCAATCATTCTTGAAACGAATTTCAAGATTTACGCATATACTAATTCGCCCTTGGAAATCGCCATTCTTAACTTGTTTGTACATCTCAAAACAAGATTCGCCAACATGGTTTGCGGGCAAATCACAAGAGAGTCCATCCGTAAGGCTTTATATAACGGTATTACAGCACAACAAATTATCAAGTTTTTAGAAACTCATGCACATCCTCAAATGAAAATCTTGGCTAGAGAGAAACTTGATAAAAAGATTGAGTTTGATACGAATAATAATATTAATACAGCAGGTGGTGCACCTCAATCTCAGATCGATGCCAATGGGACTGTGGCGCAGCATAGACTTGAAATTCTTCCTCCAACAGTTGTTGATCAAATCAAGCTTTGGCAACTTGAACTCGATCGTATCCAGACATTTGAAGGATATTTGTTCAAGGACTTTGCAAGTCAACAGGAGTACGACGTTTTGAGTAATTATGCATCTGAAATTGGGGTTTTGGTTTGGTCGGATAAGACAAAGAAAAAGTTCTACATTACAGAACAAGGGAAGTCACAGGTGGTGGACTTTGCTAATAGAAAATTGAAGAGAGAATAATTTAAGTATTCTTTTATTTAAAAATATATATATACAAGTTTGCGAGGGTATTCTATTTACATTATCCTGAGCAAGAATCACAATTTTCCGGGTTGGTTATGTCGCATGCAACTGGTGTAGTATCATGAATATCATATTCTTCTTCAGATATGGTTCGGGGTTGTGAAGTGGGGGTATTATAGGCGTATTCCCCTCTTTGCCTTTTTCTATTGTTGGTTCCATTTTCTAAATCATCTTCGTTATTTTCATCACGTTTTTCTGGGGTTGTTAAGTCTGAGTTGAATTTTCTTCGTTTAAGTTGTTTTTCAATATTTACGTGGCTTAATTTATCCGCCTCCTCTGTATCCAAAGAAAATTGAATAGCTCTAGCTGCTGCCTGGGTTCTAAGATAATACATTCCTGTCTTCAAACCTATCTCCCAGCCATAAAAATGGCAACTTGTAAGCTTTCCAAGAGTTGGATTTTGCATATGTATGTTCATACTTTGCAGCTGATCAATAAATTTAGCTCTATCTGCTGCCATATTTATGATATTTTTCTGTGGTATCTCCCAAACGGTTCTATAAAGATCTTTAATATCTTGTGGGATTCCTGAAATTCCTTGAATAGAACCATTTTGCATAATTATTTTGTCTTTCAAGGCGGAATTCCAAACTCCTAAATCAATCAAGTCCTTCAATAAGTATTTGTTAACTACTTGATATTCTCCAGCTAGTACACGACGGCTATAAATATTGGAAGTGTATGGTTCGAAGCATTCATTGAAACCTAAAATTTGTGAAGTTGATGCAGTAGGCATTGGTGCAACAAGTAATGAATTCCGAAGTCCAAACATTTTCACTCGTTCTTTAAGGTCATCCCAATCATTATACAAGTTTGTAGGCTTATGATTATCCCATAAATCAAATTGGAGAAGACCTTTTGAAGCAGGAGATCCTTGGAATGTTTCATATGCTCCTTCAGAAATTGCTAATTCCACAGATTGTTCAACAGCAGCATGATATATAGTTTCAAATATTTGGATATTCACTTTCTTCGCATCAGAAGAATCAAATGGTAATCTTAATTCTAAGAAAAGATCAGCGAGACCTTGAACACCAACGGCAATTGGTCTGTGTCTCATATTGGAGGTTTGTGATGATGCTACTGGATACTTTGTCACATCGATAACTTTGTTCAAGTTCTTTGTTAAAACTTTTGTCACCGAATGTAGTTTAGCGTAATCCACAGAGATTCTCGATTTATCCAGTTTTAGAAATGAAGGTAATGCAAGAGAGCCCAAATTACAAACGGCTGTTTCTTCTGGCGAAGAATATTCAACAACTTCACAACATAAATTTGAAGATTTAATAACTCCCAAGTTCTGTTGATTGGACTTTTTGTTACAAGCATCTTTGTATAGCATATAAGGGCCTCCAGTTTCAGTCTGAGATTCAATAATTGAATGCCATAGCTTTTGAGCCTTTATTACTTTTACCGCCCTACCTTCGGCTTCATATTTCTCAAACAACTTTTCAAACTCATCTCCAAAACAATCAGAAAGTCCTGGAGCTTCATTTGGTGAAAAGAGGGACCAATCTTTATCGGCCTTTACTCTTTTCATAAATAAATCAGGAACCCATAACCCATAGAATAAATCTCTAGTGCGTAACTCTTCTTTACCATGATTCTTTCTCAATTCAAGTACAGCAAAAATATCACAATGCCAAGGTTCCAAATATATGGCAAATGCACCGGGTCTCTTATTCCCACCTTGGTCTACATACCTTGCTGTATCATTGAATACTCTTAGCATGGGAACTAACCCACTGGATATTCCATTACTTGATGCAATGTAGGATCCGCTACCTCTGATGTTATGAACATGGAGGCCAATACCTCCTGAAGATTTAGATACTAATGCGGTAGTATGTAAAGTTTTATAGATACCATCTATTGAATCTTCCTCCATTGCCACTAAGAAGCATGAAGATAAAAAATTATATTCACTACCAGCATTGTATAATGTAGGAGATGCGTGAATGAAGTACTTTTGCGACATCAACTCATAAGTATCACGCACTGAATCTAAATCAGACCCATGAATCCCAATAGCAACTCTCATAAACATAAACTGAGGTGTCTCGGCTACGCTTTCATTCAACTTCAACAAGTAAGATTTTTCTAAGGTCTTAATCCCAAAATATGAAAATTCAAAATCACGTTTCTCATCAATCAATGAATCGAAAAATTCACTATATTCGGTCACAGTGTTTTCAAATGCTTTTGAAACTAATGAATACTTTTTATGAGTTCTAGGATTTTCATAACTTGTCAATCGTTTTACATTTTCACTGAATGATAAGTGGTTATTTCTTTGTAACTTTGTGGCAATTAGACGTGCTGCCAAAATAGAATAATCTGGGTGTAAGGTTACTCGTGAGGCTGCTGTTTCCGCTGCCAAATCAAAGAGCTCGTCTATATCAAGAAAGGCTGGAAGCAGTTTTGTAACATTATCTACGAGTCGATCGATATCTAAATTCTTGCCATCGAGATTATATGACAAATCCTCAAGTAGCTTTCTTAATCTTGATGGATCGAAGGCTTTCTTTTTTAATCCAACCTTGGGATACCCGATAACATCAACTCCTTTATCGGTATTTAGTGACATCTCTTGGGTCATTCCTTAAGGACGTTCCTTTCCTTGAAACTGCTTCTGGTTCAACACAATTTGTATTCATCAGTGCTGCTTTTGCTGCTAAAATTGAAAAAAATAAAAAAGTCAGATATGCAGGAATATGGCTGAGATAATCCTAATCAGGTATTGTAATTAATTCTTTTTTTTGCCTTCAACATATTTACTGTGTGAAAACAATATAATCATATATTGATGATGTGTGGCTATATACTGCCTATATACCAACCCAAATCTTTTTTGTAAGATTCTTATTTCAATAAGAAATTGGTGAAAAAAAAAGATTTGAGAAAAAAAGAAAAATAATAGCTAGCACTCAGGATCGAACTAAGGACCAACAGATTTGCAATCTGCTGCGCTACCACTGCGCCATACCAGCTATTTTCGAAATTGTAATTTTTTTTCCGTAACCCGTGAAGCCATATTTCTCACATCCTTACACCCAATATATAATTTTTAAACTTTATTTTCTTTACCAATAATTAATGTGTGATATATATTGATCAATAGGGAAAGTCTAATGGGTGTCCTCTAACGTATTCCTAATTAAGATAACAAAATAGTTGGGTAGGTTTCAAAAAATAATGACTCTTAAAATTTAATATTTAAATATTTTCTATGATATTTTTTACAAAAATTATATTAATTCAAAATGTTCGTAGAAGTGTATTATAGGAGATATTATCTAGGAATTTGGGGCCATAAAGGAGCCAATAGATAAGGCGAGAATTGTTAGTTTACGATAAATACCCCACTTATGGATGAAGGATGGTACAATGAGTGACCAAAGCGTACAACTACATACTTGTCTTCTACATAGCTTTCAAAATAAATTTATCTCTCTACAAAGTTCATTAAAAAGGTAAAGTAACTATGTACACAATATAAAGTTACCTAATGTTAAAAGTAGAAGAAAAGTGGAAAGAAAAGAAGGGTTTAGAAAGTTATCAAATCGAAAATTTTCTCGTATGAATAGTGTATTCTACGATTACCCTTTTGAATGGTGAAGAAAACCGTACATGACCATGCATACATATAGTCCAGTCCTTAAATTCTGGCGCCATTATATAATCAGGGGCTACAGTTATTGTTGTTGTACCTGTGGTACTGAATTGCATTGTGTAGAATATTTCCAAAAAAAAAAAAAAAAAAAACTCAAAAAAGACCAATAAAATAAGTCAGATCGGTTTGATTCCCTTGCCAGTACTATGCAACATTGGGCTTTGTTACCTAAACAATAATAACAATAAAGGTTCAATTTCACCGGCCATGATCTACATTGGCGCAACTAAGACACGGAGAATTCTAATGTTAGTGTGAATAGATTGGTAGAGTGATCCACTATGTGCAATCGAACCACATCTCATTTAAAAAATACTTACACACAGGGAAGTGGATAAACACTATAGGGGTTTAGAGTATTTATGTATACTGAACAGAAATGAAGTTAAGGGTACATACTTGAGTACGATATGTTCGATGACTTTTCTTTGAAAAATTTACGATAGTCCAAGTAATTATGAAGATTCGTAGAGAATTAAGCTAGTTTTTATTCTTTTTGTACATACAAAGGAGTCGGAGTTTTTTTTTTTTTTTATTTTCTAAAAAAAACAATCATTTTCAAACATGCGCCACAAGTTATATACGACTACTGCAAACTATATTCTAGTTAAGAGCCGCCTCCGATCTTTTATTTTTTTAATATTGAACTTTTATTTATTGCCACTCTATTTTTCACAAAAGGGTACCACCATTGCATATAACTTCTTGGAGTTGTTGAAAGTGTACCTGTTCATGTAAGCAATGTATTTTAGATTCGGCCGATACTCAGTTTTTTACTCGAATATAAAACCCTACATAAAAGCCTGCACACAGTTCCTTTTCATGTAAGGAATCTTTGTGGGCGATCCTTGGAAGTCCACGGGACTCCGTGTATTGACCCTGACATGACAAAGAATATTCACAATAAGTCCTTTATGTACTAGTCCCCTCATCTCATCTATAATAGATGATGAGGAACAAGTTTGTGAGATACATACGAATACCTGACAGTACATGGGCACGAGATGGATCTAGTACTTTAAAAAAAAAAAGAGAAGTTCATTTAGAGTTTATAAATTTAATGTGTCTCAATATAAATCTTGTCCATACAATTATTTACCTAACTGGTCTAAGTATGCACTTGAAATTTCCTGTGAAAGGTCTTCATCAGAATATATCAAGCAGTTCCCCGCCTTAGAAACTTCTATTAATGTGGGCTTTTTAAACTGCATTGACTGTTTTGCAGATCACACTTATTTTCTTTTTGACAATTAATCCGCCGCAGATGTCAGAAATATTATCTGCACCTACTAGGTTGATACAATCTCTCCTTTTCACACATTCGTAAGACATTGTTCTAATTCTCATACAAGTATCATACACCATCCTGTAGATTAGCTATTGTCTCGGTAATGGTTAGTAGGGCATGACAACCCATACATGCATTCTGGGTAATCTTAGATCCCTACGCGTGAGGGGGTGGAGGGGATACCATGTATGGAACAGGATCCGAGAAAAGAAAAAAGAAAAAAAAAAGTGTAAAAAAAAAAAAAAAAAGGAATATTGTTAGCGCACAGCAAGCAATCCATTCTCAAGGCGGTTATGCAAACTTTGTACGGTGGGTGTAGTCAAAAAATTTTATTGGCAAAAAGTGTAAGAGCTTTTAAAGTACGGGTAATCCGGATTGTAGGACAATCTCTATGAAAGAAGTAGATATATACTAGTTTGTGATTCTACTTGAGGACAGTTGTTACCTTAGTCTATTGCATTCAGCTCCATCTGCTCCGCATAACTCGGCAAATCCATAACCAATCTTTTTTGTTGCCTTTGCTTCCCCACAGGAAAAGGTGACCCATTTTGCACAGTAAGGCGGGACGAAGTTTTTATACTTCAAAAAAATTGTTTAATATATTGGGTCGTAAATCACCAACGTTAAACATTATCGAAGTCATTTCCCCCCGTATATACATCCGGATACTCTATATCCTCCTTTCTGGGCCAATCCATTGACCGTCTAGCTTGAGATAAGCCGCATTCCTTTGATTCGTGTCTGTGAAACGTTTATATTGAGTTTCAGATCATTCCTACATTCCTTTGCTTGACACTGATAATAAAAATTGATCTCGACCTTTAATTGCCCGAAATATTTATCTTCAATCCCCTTTTCACGTCATGACTCGTTATAACTTCACCATGGAGTTGTTCAGGAACTATGACGGCAACCCGTCCTCTTCGTCCTCTACACGCCCTGTAACGCCGCCACAAGACCCACTTGAATTCCATAATATTCAACAACTTTCTACACCACCTTCTAATAATGTGAGTCCTAATTATACCTATGATCAAGATGATTACTTTCAATATAAACAGAAATCGCTGATACAGATGGAATATCCAAGTGCCAAGATACATAACATCTCTACAATCATTGATGAACCTTCACCTTGTGGTGATAAAAATTCATTTGTATCACCAGTGGAACCTGAAGATTCTATGGGATTTCTTGATACTAAGGGAAGAAGAGGATCTATAATTCCTTCCAATGTCCCCACTTCAGTCAATACTCCAGTATCAGACGATAAATCTTATATCCCACTGACAGCTCCATACAAGTTTCTTTGTGTTGACGATAATTCCATTAATCTCCGAATCTTATCGAAACTTTTATCCAAGCTTTTCCCACAATCCTCGATAGAAACCACCACAAATCCTTTGGAAGCATTGAAAATGATTGATAATAAATCGTATGATATGTGCTTTCTTGACATTGAAATGCCAGAATTATCCGGCAAGGAATTAGCTGAACATGTTCGTAAAACCAACCTGAATTTAGGATTAATCGCTGTGACTACTCGTGCAGGCTCGCAAGATGTCAGAGAATATGAGAATTTGGGTATTGATACCACCTTTGCCAAGCCTTTACGCTATTCATACAGTCTTATCATGGACTCCATAGAGACTGTGATTACCAGAAGATCAACCCCTGCCTAGACTAGAAGATGCAATTAATAAGCAACGCCATTAATAATCTAACGACCACCCCATATGGCTACCGCTACCGCGACCGCCACCGCCACCACATACATATATCCCAAGAACGCGTCAGTGTTCTTGGTTACTGCCTACCATATTAACGATAATACTTTTTAATTCCTTCTCATGATTTTTTTTATTTGGTACTAACGCGTTTCATTAGTTACGAATACTATGTACAATATTTATAGATGCAACGGTTACTTGCAAATGTCTTGGAAAAAGACTTCAGTATAATACAATAGAAGGGGAAATACCCATCTACTTTTTATTTAAATCCATGTAGTAAAGTAATTTAAACTTCAGTTTTGCCAGCAGTTTCACTCATCATTTGAATACATCTTTCAATATTCTCTCCCTTAATGGCACAAACAGGGACAATTTTCCAATCCTTCAGTTCTACATAATCTTTAAGAACCATAAATTTCTCACCATCTTTAGTGAGATCAGCTTTGGTAGCCACAATTAATATTTTCTTGGCTTCAAGCTTTTTAGGTCCTAATTCTTCGATAAGGACTTCTAAATCAGATACAGGATCTTCACCGTCTAATGATACAACAAACACAAGTCCACCGGATCTTTCAATGTGTCTGAGAAAATCAAGTCCCATACCCTTATTTTGCGCAGCACCCTTGATAATACCAGGGATATCTGCCACAGTAAATGGATCCTTATCGATTCTTGTAAATATAGTGCCAATAGTTGGTTGTAAAGTGGTAAATTCCCAATGCCCCACTCTAGGTCTAGCTCTTGAAATGGCTCTTAAAAGTGTAGATTTACCAGCATTTGGTAAACCAACTAATCCCAAGTCTGCAATAAGTTTCAATTCAAATAAAAATGATCCACTGATTCCTTCTCTTCCCAGTTTAGCAAAACGAGGATTTCTAATATCTTTGGTAAGGAAATGCATATTCCCCATACCACCTTTACCCCCCTTTAAAAGTAGTTGAGGTTTCATATTTGGTTCAGAAAAATCTATACCTAATAATGGGAATCTATCGCTTGCAATTTCTTCCCTAATGATTTCCTTATCATAGATGGTGACAGATTTATTCAAATCATTGAAGAAATTTCTTTCCAAATGATATTCATATGTCTTATCTTTGAAAAGCCATCCTTCACCTGGAGCAAACAGATCTCTGAAAAGTTGGACATTACTGATACATTCATCGTTTGGATAACTTCCAATTGCCTTTAAATGAAACTCAGTATCAGCTAAATCTCCCTTAGTTTCTTTAAGTAATTTTTTAATATCTGTTGGTTCAGGAATCCATCTAACAGTAGTTCCAACAGGAACATCTATGATAACGTCATCACCTCTTTTCCCATCTAATTGACTCCCCCCACCAGCACATCCACCGTTGGCCTTATAAGTCTTACGGACCTTGTGAAGTGAACTACCTTCCATCACTCGGATATATACATTACCACCATCACCACCATCACCACCATCTGGTGGTCCAACAGGTCTGTGTGCATCTCTTAAAAATGATACACATCCATTCCCTCCCTTCCCACTGGAAATGTTCACAATCTTAAGATCAACAAAGGTCTTTTGTTCCACTCTACGAGCTTGTGCTACTCGGTTGTTACCACTACCTCCACTGAATCTAGAAAATATACTCTGTGAATACTCACTACCCATGAAATAGTCCTTAAGCGTCATACAGATCTCTTTGAACCCATGTTTATCTGTTCCTACAACCTTATAGTTCAAGTCTTGTAAAGTTCTGACTTCCCCTTCTGGCTTTCTTAAAGTACCTTTACCCTTGGTAAGGATGAAATTGTTGGGGAAAACTGATTCAGTGAAATTTAAATCTGATGCATCTTCTTCCAGTAGAACCTCATCTTCAGATAACCTCAGAAGCCACTCTTCATTTTCTTCTAATGATGGTGCATTTTCTGGTATTGGGTTGGATGTACTATTTTGTACCTTGGAAGATGCTGATATTGATCTTTTGGAATATATTGATAGAGATCTTATAGTTTGAAGTCTTATTATCCGAGACCTTCTAGCTACTATAGTTGATAACATGACGAGATCTTAAAAGATACTTATGATACCTATCAAACAGTAAAGAGTGTCTAGATTGATAGAACTGATACTCTTCTAAATAGTTTTCTAAGGGTACTACCTTGTAAATGTTCGCACGATCTAAAGATGAGCCGCATATTTCATTTTCTCTGCGATGGAGAAGTACAATGAATGAGCAAGAGATGGTTGAAAATTTCAATGATCGTGGGTAGATTTATCTGCCATCTTATCAAAGAGACTAAAAAATCAAACATAATAGGACTTACACATACTTCTTTGGTTTTTTATTACTTCTGGCCAGCTTGTGATCTTGCATAGGAGAATCGCCACTACTATTATTTTTATCTTTTTTTTTTTTCTCTCTATGTAAATACTGTCTATCAATTTTTTCCTCATCTTACAATCCCAGTCCGAGCACGTTGTAAGAAATCGAAAAGTTTAATTTTGAACTCAATAAAATATTTTGATAGTGTATAGTCTCTAGAACAGTGAAACAATATGTCCTTCCAAGACCTAGGAGTATCAAAGTGGCTTGTAGAAGCCCTTAATGCTATGAAGATCAACCAACCAACATCGATTCAATCTGCTTGTATACCGAAAATTCTCAAGGGACATGATTGTATTGGAGGTGCCAAGACTGGTAGTGGTAAGACAATTGCATTTGCAGCACCTATGCTTACCAAGTGGTCTGAAGACCCCAGTGGGATTTATGGAGTGGTACTTACCCCTACTAGAGAGTTGGCCTTGCAAATTGCAGAACAATTTGCAGCCCTTGGAGCTTCAATGAATATTAGAGTTAGTGTCATTGTAGGAGGTGAAGATATTGTTAAACAAGCATTAGAATTACAGAAAAGACCACATTTTGTTATCGCAACCCCTGGTAGGTTAGCTGATCATATTTTGAACAGTGGAGAAGATACGATAGGTGGATTAAGAAGAGTGAAATATCTTATTTTAGATGAAGCTGATAGATTATTAAGTAATAGTTTTGGAAGTGATTTAGAAAGGTGTTTTAAAATTTTACCTCCAAGTGACAAGAGACAGACTCTTTTATTCACTGCTACTGTCACTGACGCTGTCAGAGCATTGAAGGACAAACCTACAGCTGCAGGTAAGCCAGATGTATTCATCCATGAAGTTGAAACAGTTGATAAAGTTGCCATTCCATCAACATTGGCAATCCAATATATTTTCATTCCTTCATATGTTAAGGAAGCATATCTTAATAGTATTTTAACATTACCAAGTTATGAAAATGCCACTGCCATCGTTTTCGTTAACAAGACTCATACTGCTGAAGTATTGAGAAGAACTCTTCGTAAACTTGAATTAAGAGTTGCCTCTTTACATTCTGAAATGCCTCAAACAGAAAGAACAAACTCATTGCATAGATTTAGAGCTGGTGCTGCTCGTATTTTAATTGCCACTGATGTTGCTTCTAGAGGTTTGGATATTCCAAGTGTTGAATTGGTAATTAATTATGATATCCCTGCAGATGCAGATGATTTCATTCATAGAGTAGGTAGAACTGCCAGAGCTGGTAGAAAGGGTACCTCTATCAGTGTTGTTACTGAAAAGGATGTGGAAAGAATTTTATCAATTGAAGAAAGAATCAATAAAAAGATGGATTTATTAGATGAAGTTGATGATAATAAGGTCATTAAAGAATCATTACAAGCCACCAGTGCAGCCAAAAGAGAAGCATTGATGGATATGGATAGGGAAAACTTTGGAGAAAAGAGGAAAAACAATAAAAGAAAGAATGGTAAGACTGTCAGTAGTAATAATGAACCTGAAAAGAAAAAGAAGAAGTAAACAGTTGCATGGGTTAGTACAATATAGTATAATTTAATATAATATAATAAAAAAAATATAAATATTAATAGAAATGAATTATTATGATTCTTCAAGGTAACCTTCAATAATTAAAGATATATTGATTCCCATCAAGGTAATAATAACGGCTGTAACACAAACGACAGAAGTAAGATTATTAAATCCATAGTTTTGAATTTTATGAGCCGCATATTGATTGATGGTTTTGAAGTAATTTATTGCACTAACAAGCAATACACTTAACGATAACGCTATCAAAATCATAGATACAACAGTTGAAAATTTTGTCCTTTTATTCTCTTTTGAATCTTTAACGTCCGAAGTTTGAAATCGGAAATTAAAAGTGATTCCTAATGCTGTGAAGAATAATGTGGTAGCAAATCGTATAAAGGTTAGACATGTACGTTCCAGCTGTAATGCATCCCTTGGTTCAGAACTAGATACTTTCATTTCAATATGTGGATGTAAATGCAGAAGGAGAGACGTTAGTTCCTCTCCAGCATATTGAGTATATGATTGTGGCACTTCCTCTATTCTCTCAGGGGTTCTACCCTGTATTGGATCATCTTCTTCAAGAAGCATAAAAATATAAATATTAATAGAAATGAATTATTATGATTCTTCAAGGTAACCTTCAATAATTAAAGATATATTGATTCCCATCAAGGTAATAATAACGGCTGTAACACAAACGACAGAAGTAAGATTATTAAATCCATAGTTTTGAATTTTATGAGCCGCATATCGATTGATGGTTTTGAAGTAATTTATTGCACTAACAAGCAATACACTTAACGATAACGCTATCAAAATCATAGATACAACAGTTGAAAATTTTGTCCTTTTATTCTCTTTTGAATCTTTAACGTCCGAAGTTTGAAATCGGAAATTAAAAGTGATTCCTAATGCTGTGAAGAATAATGTGGTAGCAAATCGTATAAAGGTTAGACATGTACGTTCCAGCTGTAATGCATCCCTTGGTTCAGAACTAGATACTTTCATTTCAATATGTGGATGTAAATGCAGAAGGAGAGACGTTAGTTCCTCTCCAGCATATTGAGTATATGATTGTGGCACTTCCTCTATTCTCTCAGGGGTTCTACCCTGTATTGGATCATCTTCTTCAAGAAGCATATTATTTATTATTGGAGTAGTAGCCATGGTTTATTATTTTAGTATATCTTTCTTATCAAATAAGTTTAACAACCCTTCTTTCCTTTATCCCACAATTTGCTTTATTTAAAAAAAAATAAAAAAAAAAATTCGAATTTAAGATGGAAACTGTGGAGTTTCCACAAAGTATATTGAACTTAATATTATGTCTACAGCTCTTTACATCTGTGCATATTTTTAGCAGTGATAGAAAACGATAGAGAAGCCTTATATGAAAGTGAATTTAGCGCTTACACCATAATTACCCCTGTAAGCAGGTTGATTGTTTAAATAAACTCTTCTAGTTCTTGCTTGAAATATTGCAACCAGTACAATTACCAAGAATAGCTTCCCTCTCTGCCCCTAACTTTAATATATCTGTTGCTATTTTTGCTTGTAGCTAGAAGATTATGTCAATTCCTCCTAGTTGACACCAGCCATCAAAAGTGTCAGTTCTTGAGCACTATCTTGCATATTCAAAAAATAAAATATCTACCGGGTGTTTCCTTTTATCATCCGATAATTTGTATGAAAGGAGGTCTTCAATTAAATGTTGATTTTATAATTTTAATATTTAAAATGTTTACTTGAGTGAATACGCTCACCTTTAATTATTTAAGTATCGCCACTCATGCATCACATTAGACACGAGAATCAGCATTTCCTACTCCTCACTAATACATGTCAGGGTGTTTTTTTCAATATAGCAATTGTGCTTGTAGTTGGAAATTTTCTTCATGATGTGTAAGCAGAAAATGTTTACCAACACATCAAGTAATGCATGAGTTTGTTCTTTCGAGATGATTGACTTGAGTTATTCATAAAAGGATTCAGTCAGCCCAATATTTGGTGTGATCTCTGGTTATCGTGGTAGTTAAAACAGATTTGTAAATATAAGCTTTTAGACCCTTGGCTACCCCCATATGCTTTTCAGTCAATGTTTTTAGAACTACATCAAGACATAATTTATAGTTTCCGAAGAAAATTGAAATGATCACCAAACCTCTAGATAACTAAGCAAACCCCTTAACATTAATTATACTTTCTCTGATTCTTAAATACATGACGAACACCAAAGAATGTTGACAACACAGTATGTCAGTGGGTATGGTGTGTGTGGTGCTATCTTTTTGAGTAGGGTCTGTGAAATTTCGATATTTACTCCATTATGATTAGTTGTGGTTTTATTATCTTTTTCATTAGGGACTTTCCACGTATAAACATACATAAGTTCTGCCAATTTCCACACAACCACTGCTTACTATCGGAAGACATACTCTGTAAAACAATAGAAAAGGATGAGGATAAGAAAATAAATAAAAAATGTCAAGCTCAATATCTTTGGGGAATATATTCCCACAAACTCAAGTACAAGAGTTGTAAAAAAGGAGATTGCAGCAAAATTCCGAAAGTGGAAAATGATTTTGCAGCCTAACTCGCCAAAAAAAGAAAATTTTGAAAAAGGTTTAATTCGTGAAAAATTATTGATTGTAAGGGTGCTGCGTGTAACTCACGATGAAATCAGCTTCCTGTACTTATTCGAAATTGGATCTGCGGTCCTTAACATTTCGTAAAACATGTAGTATAGTGTTATTTCATTGTATTTGTACCATCATATTTACCCGTAATTAGACATAGCACACACATATTCCCAGCACCTACATCGAATATTGCAACTAATTAAACTACCGATGTTAATGCGTTTACCTCACTATGAAAGAGGCTACCTTTATAATACGGGCGATATTCTTCAAAATTCCAGTAAAGATTCTCCCATCTATTTGCTACAGTCGTTCCAACAGAAATTCGGTGGAAACTCAATTTTTCACTCATGCATCAATCTTGATCTTCGTCAACAACTTCCAGACACTCTTATTGTCCTGTTTTATGGAGCGGGCTTGAACTAAAGGACTTCATTTCTACAATGGCTTATCTCCGTGTGTTTGAGACTGCATATAATCAAGATATACTCAATTTTTTTATGTAATAAATTTTACCATTTACACGCAATAGTATAATTGAAATATTGAGAAATACTGTTTTTTTGACGCCTTCCCCCCAAGTTCGAGTCATCCCATAGGGTGAGATTTCTTTCTTCATTTGTTTTTTTTTATATTTTATTTTAGGGTTTTTTTTATATTTTATACACCTATCTAAGCGTGTAGAAATATTTACAAACAACATTTATAATATTTTGATTAATACATTATCTTGAGAACATTGTACATTAGTTCTTCCAGACACCAGGACAACGTAATAAAGGATTCAACTAATAAAAGGAAAGCAAATCACTAATCCAATACCACTAATACATCACTTCCGTTACTTGTATACATAAACGAACGATTTAAAGATGCCACCAAAAAGAGCAGATGTCTGTAAAAATTGTGGACATTCAGGAACATTTTCCATTAATAGATACACTGGAGCTGGGGATATATCATGTTCAAGATGTGGTGCAGTTCATGATGAAAATCCGATTGTTAGTGAAGTTCAATTCGGAGAATCATCTTCAGGTGCTGCAATGGTTCAAGGTGCTATGGTTGGACAAGGTGAAGCTAGAGCACCTCTGCTGGGGAATCGTCTTCAAACCTTAGAAAGTAGAGAACAAACTCTTAAAAATGCAAGAGGTAAAATAAAGAAAATTTCAGTTGCCTTAAGAATTCCTGATCATATTACTGAAGCCGCAAATGAATGGTTTAGACTTGCATTAATCAATAACTTTGTCCAAGGTAGACGCTCTCAAAACGTTTTGGCCGCTTGTTTATACGTTGCCTGTAGAAAGGAAAGAACTCATCATATGTTAATTGATTTCAGTTCACTTTTACAAATTTCGGTATATTCCTTGGGTGCAACTTTTCTTAAAATGGTGAAAGAATTACATGTCACTAAACTTCCACTTGCTGATCCTTCAATTTTCATTCAACATTTTGCAGAAAAATTAGAATTTGGTAATATGGTTACAAAAGTAGCTAAGGATGCACTGAAATTAGCTCAAAGAATGTCGAATGATTGGATTCATGAAGGGAGAAGACCAGCAGGGATCGCTGGTGCATGTATATTACTTGCAGCCAGAATGAATAATTTTAGAAGAAGTCATGCAGAAATTGTTGAAGTTGCACATGTGGCAGAAGAAACTTTACAAAAAAGATTAAATGAATTTAAGAGTACTAATTCAGGAAATTTAACTGTTAAACAAATTAGAGATGGTGAAAAGGTAGAAGCTATTAAACCACCTTCATTTACTAAAAATCGTGAATTAGAATTGAAATTGAAAAAAAGAATTGAAAATAATGAAGGAGATTTAACTAATTTTAATAATAGATTCACAGAAAGAGAATTAGACGATAAAGAATTTAAATCGAAAAATGATATGAAACCTAAGGAGTCTAAACTTAAAGATGATTTAATGAGAAATATCTTAAAGGGATGTGATATATCTGAAAAGGAAATTCAAGATTATTGTACAAAGGCATTGAAAAGACAAGCTGATCATTTAAAGAAATCTTTATATCAAAATCCATCTGAAAAGACTGATGCTGAAATAGAAGAGGCAAGAATAATAGAGTTGAATAGACCAAGAAATCTTGTGAAGTATTTACCAAAGACTTCAGATATGCTTGCTAAAGTTGCATCTGATAAAGATAATTTTGATGATATTAATGATGATGAAATGGATGAATTTGTTTTAAATCCAGAAGAAGTTGAACTAAAGGAAAGATTATGGACTGGGTTGAATCAAGATTTCTTAATTGCACAAGAAAAGAAGAGATTGAAAGAAGAAGCTGATATGGTTACTGGTAATACTTCAGGTGCAACCAAGAAAAGACGTCGGAAAACTGAACCTTTGGATGGATTCCCAGCTGATGGAGATCTTGCTAACCAAATCGGAATGAAGAATGCTCTTCATGAAGTTGGTGTTGATGAATCAGGTGAACCTCTTACTGCTGCCGATAGTGCTACAAGAATGCTTGCCAAGACTAAATTTTCAAAGAAGATCAATTACCTGGTTGTTGATAATTTGTTTTCATCTGGAGATCGTGGTGGGGATAATAAAGTGTAAAAAGAGTAGACAAGAAAAGAATAAAAAGAAACACTATTTTTTTTTTGTATATATATTGAAAGCAATGCTCCCACACCCTCTCTAAATTCCAATTTAAAGTTATCTACAATGAGGGTTTATGATACTTCAGTTTATAATATAAATTTTAATTAATACTGATAATAAAGTTGTAAGGGTATATGTGGGAAAAGGGTGCAAATAAGTTTATTTGCCGATGACATTAGTTTCTTATCTGCAGTCCAGAACTATTTTTTTTGCAGTGAGATGAGCAGAGTAAAGACCAAACTCCAGATAAAAGATTATTAGAAAAAAAATAGTATAACAACAATTTAATAGACATTAAATAAAAGTTAAACAAGATGGGAAAGAGAAGAAGAGCTGCTATTTTGCCTACCAATATCATTTTACTTCAAAATGTTGTGAGGAGAGACCCTGAATCATACCATGAAGAATTTCTTCAACAGTATGCTCATTACGAATCTTTAAGAGATATTTTCTTGATGAATCCACAAGCTTCTGATAAGGGTGAAGACTTTGCTGAGCTCATTGGGTTTGTCTCTGCTGTGTGTAGTTGTTACCCGAAGGAAACAGCCAATTTCCCCGGTGAATTAAAGGAGATTCTTCTTAATAACCATAGAAATCTTTCACCAGATCTTCGTGAAAAGATTATTCTGTGTCTTACAATGCTTAGAAATAAGGATGTTATTCTGGCTGAATCATTAATTCAAACTATTTTCCCACTTTTGTCCGCTTATGGAACTGCAAATGCCGCCACTACTGGTGGTCAACACGTCAAGGCATTGAGACATCAAATATATAGTACTTTGATTTCTCTTTTGAAATCGGTTAACACTGGTGCTAAGAATCAAAAACTTAACAGATCTACACAAGCTTTACTTTTCCACCTTTTAGAACAACGTGGTTCTCAAGGTTTATGGGCTACCAAGCTTACCAGAGAACTTTGGAAAAGAGGTATCTGGGATGATTCTAGAACCATTGAAATCATGTCTCAAGCTGCTGTACATTCAGATGTTAAGGTTGCAGTCGCTGGTGCCAAGTTTTTCCTTGGTGCTGATAAGGAAAGAGATGATGCCTTTGAAGAGGAAAGTTCTGATGAAGATGGGTTCGATATGGGTGCCCTTAAGCATAGATTGAATATCAACAAGACCACTTCCAAGAGAGGTAGAAAAATTGAACAAGTAGCTAAGGCTATCAAGAAGAAGTCGAACGCTAAGCATTCTGCTACTTACTTGAACTTTTCTGCCATCCATTTATTACGTGATCCTCAAGGTTTTGCTGAACAATTGTTTGACAACCATTTAAGTGGTAAGAACTCGAATAAATTTGATTTAGATCAAAAGATTATGTTTATGAATTTGATTTCAAGACTTATTGGTACTCACAAGTTGACTGTCTTGGGTATCTACTCATTCTTCTTGAAATATTTGACTCCAAAGCAACGTAATGTTACTCAAATCATGGCTGCATCTGCTCAAGCATCTCATGATTTGGTTCCACCTGAATCTATCAACACTGTTGTGCGTAAGATTGCTGATGAATTCGTCAGTGACGGTGTTGCAGCTGAAGTTGCATCCGCTGGTATCAACACCATTAGAGAAATCTTATCCAGAGCTCCATTGGCTATCGATGCACCATTATTGCAAGATTTGACTGAATATAAGGGATCTAAAGCCAAGGCTGTCATGACCGCTGCTCGTTCTTTGATTTCCTTGTATAGAGAAATTGCTCCTGAAATGTTGTTGAGAAAGGATAGAGGTAAGACTGCCAGTATTGAATTGCAACAAGGAACCAAGAACAGTGGACCTCAATTCGGTGTTGAAAGTAGTGCTGTCACATCTATTCCAGGTCTTGAATTACTTGCCAAATGGAAGGTTCAACAAGGTCTTGATGGTCACGAAGAAAACGAAGCTGATTGGGAAGTTGAAGAAGATGAGGATGGAGATGACGTTGAAGGTGATTGGGTTACTGTTGATTCTGACAAGGAAATTGATATTCCAGACTCAGATGATGAAGATGAATCCAAGGCTGATGATACCAAGAAGGATGGTGAAGATTCTGAATTAGAACTTTCTTCTGATGAAGAAGAAAAGCCAGAAGGCGAAACTGCTGAGGTGGACGAAGATGAAGCTGCCAGACCAACTAAGAAGAGTAAGAGAGAAGCTGTAGCACAAAAGGAAGCCGAGGCACTTGCTGCAAGAGAAAAGGCCATGACCGAATTACTTTCTACCAGAATATTGACTCCTGCTGATTTTGCCAAATTGGAAGAATTACGTGTCGAAGCTGGTTATGACAAGCTTATGGGTGGAAAACTTACCAACGAAGAACAAGTTGACTCTACTACTCTTGTAGGAAAGGTTAAATACAAGCAATTACGTGAAGAAAGAATTGCTTTGGCCAACGAAGGTAAGGAAGACCGTGAGAAGTTTGGTTCTAGAAGAGGTAAGAGAGATGCACCACATTCTACTACTAATAAGGAGAAGGCAAGAAAGAAGAATTTCGTCATGATGATCCACAAGAAGGCCGTTCAAGGTAAGCAAAAGTTATCATTACGTGATAGACAAAAGGTTTTGCGTGCCCACATCGATAAGCAAAAGAAGAAGGGTCATTAGAATCACTGTACCATATATATCCATATCAATACTATAAATATATTACATTACCGACTTTTTATTTCGTAATTGGATTGAATAAAGTAAATATTACATTGTTAAAACACAGTACATAATAACACAAGTGGAGATGAATTAAACGTTAGAGGATTGGGAGGCCAACTTTTTGGCCTTCTTGCTTTTCTTTTCTTCCTTCTCTTCGGAAGTCTTCTTAGAACGCTTCTTTGATTCCTTTTTCAAAGGAGAAAGAACAGGAACTGCAACAGAAGAAGATTTGGATGGTGACGAAGGAGTAACATCTTCTGGGGCTTTCAATGGAGAAGATGGGGCAACAGCTTCTGATTGAGAAGACAGGATGGCTGACTCTTTAACCGGGGAGGCAGCATCACCATTAGAAGCCTTTTCGGTAGCATATGCTTCCTTCTTGGCTTGATAGTCCTTTAATTGGTTTTGGTACTTTTGTTGCCATTCTTGCTTTTCTTCAGGTGAAATGTTTTCCCATTGTTTCTTGACAAGTTCACTAAGTTCGGAAGATGGCAAAGCAGGAAGGTCCTTCTTCTTTCTGTCTTCTCTGATTAAGTCACGATGGTGGAAAGAGTAAGCAAAGTACATTGTAAGAGGCTTCTTTGGAGCATTTGGATCCTTTTCAACCTTTTTTCTCTTCTTCTTCTCAGGAACAACAAGAGCACCAGCAGAAGCTTCACTAGATTCAGTTGGCTCATCAGAGACAGTTCCATTTTCGTCCTTCTTCTTTCCCTTAGTCTTTGTGGACTTCACACCTTCTGGAACTTCGGTGGCAGCAGTATCAATGGTCGACTCTTCGCTATTCTTAGCAGCAGCAGCAGCAGCCTTTTTGGAGACTCTCTTCTTAGGGGCAGCTTTCTGAACTGCTTCGCTCACAACTGAGGTAGCATCTTGTACGTTCTTTAAAGTCGCAGCAAGGGTTTTTTCAGAATCCTCCAGTAATGTACTTTTATAGAATTCAACAGTTGCAGAGGCAGCATCTTGGGCAGCCTTTGAAAGTTCAAAGAGAGATGCAACCAAGGAGTCCTTGGCAGTCTTAAGGTCAGACATAGTTAAATATTAATTTTTTGTCGGTAGAATAAACAAAATAACAACGCAAGAAGATTTTTAGTGGGAAATTGTTGAAACTTGAAAAATTAGCGACGATTTCCCGCGAAAACGAAGATTTAGTGGGCGGATTTACTGATGGTAACGTGGAAATATTCGCGCATTTGCGAGAAAATAAGGAGGGGGTGAAACCCTTCGCCGCGTTGCCCCCACATAGCGCAAAATGATATATATCCAATTCAATCTAAAATAGTATAACAGTGGTTTAATTCACAATATAACATGTTTTAAATGAAATTTGAAAGTTGTGTATATATAAAGTAATAGCTCTTCAAGAGTATTATTATACAGCAATTTAATAGTGTATCATTATTTTTTTACGGATTTTAGTGGACAGTTGTTTGTTTTTTTCGGCACCCAGACGGGAATTCTAGAGAGAGTAAATAATTCTCGGCTTTACATGAATAAGTAGCTCGTTAAGTAAATTAATATTATAAATACAACTTTATTTGTAGAATTATGAAACTGATTCATAAATTTTAACTGTTCATCGTGCCTAGTGATGATTTTAGATATCAATGATATTTTGATTACCACTAAAAGGTTTTTGCATCCATTTTAGTTAAACAGTGGAGCACTTTTTTGCAATTTGAGTGTGACACGCCGGCTTAACTTTTCTATAAGATTGGTTTTATGCAATTTAGTGAGTATATCAATCAATAGTTTGGACCATGTTGAGAAGCACTAGATTATTTTCCCGTAGTAGAAATCTACTGGAAAAAGTGTATGCAATCACCTGTCCGGGACAGGGTATTATAAAATCTGGTCTCTTGGCACCATTTTCTCAGTATCGATGTCATTTCGATGATATCCTACAAAGCACAGATGAAGCTTTGAAGGAGAATTTCTCCAAACATCTCTTTAATGAAGATGAGGAGTTTGCAAAGCAATGGCTTTCCAGAACATCTAATGCACAACCAGCTATATTAATCACTACTTATATTCTACATACGATTTTGAAGAAAGAATTCAATGTTGATTTAATGAGAAATCCAAATGTAAAATATGTTATGGGTCATTCTTTAGGTGAATATACCGCACTTTGTCTTTCGGATGCGATTGATTTGGAAACATCTGTGAAGCTAGTTCGTCGAAGAGGAACTCTTATGGAGGATTTGATAAAAGAAAAACCGAACCCTTACGAGATGATGGCTGTGTTATTCAAACCATCTTCATTTTCACAATTATTGAAATTATTAGCTGAAGAGAATATTTTAGCTAATATTAATTCATATCAGCAACTTGTAATATCTGGTCATCGTCTGAAGCTAGTCGAAGTGGTTGAAAGAATTAATTCATTAGAGAAGAAAAAAATAATTTTAAAGACTGTAAAATTACCAGTTACTATTCCATTTCATAGTGATGTATTGGGCGAGATCGAACCTGAATTAATGGAGTTTGCACCAAAGTCAAACAAACCTTTATTCAAGCCTATAATAAGCAACTTGACAGGAGAACCGGTTTATGATTCATCCAGTGCCTTCACCAATACGATTTTGGCCAACTCCCGCCCCGTGCAGTGGGTTGCATCAATGGAGAAATGCATATCAACAGATATTACTAATTTCATAAATGTTGGACCAGGTACAGTATTACAAGACATTAATTCAAAATTCAAAGTTCAAAATAATAGCATGGACTCTTTGAAGTCAATGGAGGAAATTTCAAAGCTTATATAAAATAGAACATTTTGCAACATTTTGCAACAATTTGCGAGAGAAGTTGTAGAGGTCATCATGGTCCTCAAATCACTAAATTGTAAGAAAATAAACTAGCATCATCCATGCTTGGGCCTAGGTTGTTTTGTTGATTAATAATTGTAATAGTAATAAATATTTCGTCTCTCTCCTCAACGTAAGGCAGTAAAAACTATGGTTTTTTTTTATCAATATACTTAACTTACAATGCACAAACGGAAAATTAGGAAAGTTAAGCGACTCTATATGATATATGAAATGATGAATAAGTGGAATATACTATTAGCACAAACTATAAAGCAGATTGCTACATAATCTAATGGTTGCAAAATCACAGACTTTCTATTTATTTATTTTTTTCCTTCTTTTTTTAGCACATATATTATAATATCTTAACTTTTTGAACAAGAAGTCTATCCATATGCAAAAAACCTATCAAAGCTTCTCAAAAAAATATTATAAGATTAAGAGCTCAAATACATCTAAGATCTTAATTAAATAAGGCTCCATTGTGTCTCCTTGGATGCAACGTCAGCGACATCTTATCTCAAGGAAAAACCATAATTTTCTTTTATCAATAAATTTAAATTTTTGTTAACAAAAGTAATACTAAAATCTAATATTCCAATATATATGTTAAAGGAAAGATATGAAAGCGGTAGAAAGGAGTTTTAGACCCGTTTTCGCTATAAAAAATAGTACTTTTCCATCTAAAAATGATCGTAAAACACCTAATATTTTCTAAGATTTCACAAGCAGCTGGTCTCGTATAGTGGTTAGTACAGTTCGTTGTGGCCGAACAAACCCAGGTTCGATTCCTGGGACCAGCATTTCTTTTTTGCATTTTGTTGAGATGAGAAAATATATTTTCTTTCTCGTGCCTCTATTTTTTTGCATCAATAATAAAATTGAACAACGTGGTGGATATCGGAAATACATTTACGAATCTTACAGTAAACTGTTGAATAGTATAAACCTACACCGATTGAATGTTTTTTGTTGACTTCTCACTTTCCAAATCAAACTAATACCAATTTTCGGAATTTATTCTTGGTTTGACTTCGGTCCAATGAATATGCTAGTTATCTCATTCAATTTTATTTTCGTGCATAATAAGAAAAAAAAAACCTTGAAAAACGACTCGGGTAACCTTCGAGTCAAAGTATAAATGTGTCACACCCGCAATTTTTTTTAGAATTTCAATCACTTTTTTAGTCAACAGTCCTAGGTTATACTACAACTACACTACTATGACTGCTCAGTTAATTGACGGAAAGGCTATCGCCTTGCAGTTACGTACTGCGATTCATGCTGATATCGCTAAAATTCAAGCCAAGCACGCTGATTTCAAGCCAAGTTTGTCTATCATTCAAGTTGGTGAAAGACCAGACTCTTCTACTTATGTTAGAATGAAGCTTAAGGCTGCTGAAGAAGCTTCTATTACCTGTGAAATCATTCAATTGCCAGAAACTATTACTGAATTCGAACTTTTGAACGAAATCACTCGTTTGAATGAATCTACTTCAGTTGACGGTATCCTCGTTCAATTACCACTTCCAGCTCACCTTGACGAAACTAAGGTTACTAGCGCTGTTTCTGCTGACAAGGATGTTGATGGATTCGGTCCTTACAATGTCGGTGAATTGTCCAAGAAGGGCGGCAACCCAAACTTTTTGCCATGTACTCCAAAGGGTATAATCGAGTTGTTACACCAATCCAATGTTACCATTGCTGGTGCTAACGCTGTTGTTTTAGGTAGATCCGACATTGTCGGTAAGCCAATTGCTAACTTGTTAACCCAAGCCAATGCTACTGTTACTACATTACACTCCAAGACCCCTCAAAAGCAAGTTGAATTGTTCCTCTCTCAAGCCGACATTGTCGTTGCTGCTATTGGACAACCAGCTTTCATCAAGGGTGAATGGATCAAGGAAGGTGCCGTTGTCATTGACGTTGGTACCAACTTCGTCGAAGACGCTTCTAAGAAGTCCGGTTCCAGAATGGTTGGTGACTGTGATTTTGAATCTTGTAGTCAAAAGGCTGCTCTTATAACTCCAGTTCCTGGTGGAGTTGGCCCAATGACCGTTGCCACTCTTTTGGACAATGTTGTTATTGCTGCCAAGAAGCACTACGCTAAGAACAATGAAACTCCAAAGTTCACAAACCCATTAAAGTTGAACCTTCAAACTCCAGTTCCTTCTGATTTCGAAATTTCTAGAGCTCAAAAGCCAAAGAAGATTGACCAAGTTGCTTTCGAAGCTGGTATTTTAGACAGTGAATTGGAACTCTTTGGTTCTTACAAGGCTAAGATTTCTTTGGATATCTTGAAGCGTTTGGAAAACAAGAAGAACGGTAAGTACGTTTTAGTTACTGGTATTACCCCAACCCCATTAGGTGAAGGTAAGTCTACTACCACCGTTGGATTGGCTCAAGCTTTGGGTGCTCACTTAGGTAAGAATGTTTTTGCCAATGTTAGACAACCATCAATGGGTCCAACCTTCGGTATTAAGGGTGGTGCTGCCGGTGGTGGTTACTCTCAAGTTATTCCAATGGACGAATTCAACATGCACGTCACTGGTGACATCCATGCCATTTCTATGGCCAACAACTTGCTTGCCGCTGCTATTGACACCAGAATTTTCCATGAAAACACTCAAAAGGATGGTCCTTTGTACAAGAGATTGGTTCCAACCAAGAAGGGTTCTAGAAAGTTCTCCCCATGTATGTTGAGAAGATTGACCAAGCTTGGAATTACCAAGACTGATCCAAATGAATTGACTGAAGAAGAAATTGCCAAGTTTGTCAGATTGGACATTGACCCAGAAACTATCACTTGGAGAAGAGTTGTTGACTGTAACGATAGATTTGTTAGAGGTGTTACCATCGGTGAAGCCCCAACTGAAAAGGGTATGACCAGAAAGACTGGTTTTGACATTTCTGTTGCTTCTGAATGTATGGCTATCTTGGCCTTGGCCAACTCTTTGGAAGACATGCGTGAAAGATTGGGTAGCATGGTCATTGGTGCTTCTAGAGCTGGTGTTCCAGTTACTTGTGAAGACATTGGATGTGCCGGTGCTTTGACCGCTCTCTTAAAGGATGCTATCAAGCCAAATGTTATGCAAACTTTGGAAGGTACTCCAGTTTTCGTTCATGCTGGTCCATTCGCTAACATTTCTATTGGTGCTTCTTCTATCTTGGCTGACAAGATGGCTTTGAAATTGGCCGGTACTTCTCCAGACTTGACTGCTGAGGAGAAGAAGGAACAAGAAGGTTACGTTGTCACTGAAGCTGGTTTCGATTTCACCATGGGTGGTGAAAGATTTATCAACATCAAGTGTCGTTCTTCCGGTTTGATCCCTGACGTTATTGTCATTGTCGCCACTGTTCGTGCATTGAAGGTTCACGGTGGTGGTCCAGATGTTAAGGCCGGTGCCCCATTGGCTGCTGAATACACTCAAGAAAATGTTGAGTTATTGAGAGCTGGTTGTTCCAACTTGGCTAAGCACATTTCCAACGCTAGAGCTTACGGTTTGCCAGTTGTTGTTGCCATCAACAAGATGTCTTCCGATTCCGACAAGGAACATGATGTCATCAGAGAAGAAGCCTTGAAGGCTGGTGCTGTTGACGCTATTGTTTCTAACCACTGGGAACAAGGTGGTCAAGGTGCCGTTGACTTAGCTAGAGGTGTTATCGAAGCCAGTAACAGAGAAGACAGAGACTTCAAGTTCTTGTACGAAACTTCTCCATCAGTCGAAGAAAAGATCACCACAATTGCCAAGGAAATGTACGGTGCTGGTGAAGTTGAATTCTTGCCAGAAGCTCAAAAGAAGATTGATCTTTACACTAAGCAAGGATTCGGTAATTTGCCAATCTGTATTGCCAAGACTCAATACTCTTTGTCTCATGACGCTGCCTTGAAGGGTGTTCCAACTGGTTTCAAGTTCCCAATCCGTGACGTTAGAGCCTCTGTTGGTGCTGGATACTTGTATGCCTTGGCTGCCGAAATCCAAACCATTCCAGGTTTACCAACTCACTGTGGTTTCATGAATGTGGAAGTGAACGCCGATGGTGAAATTGACGGTTTATTCTAATTATGAATAGACACTCAGAGAGAAAAGTTCAACACTTACGATTACGAGATTTAAAAATGATTTATAAAAGCTGCAAAAAAAGACAAAAAAAAATAACAACAATAACATAATTTTCAATAAATGCACAGCATAGCTGTCGGGTACGGTTTCAACACGTTAAATTAATTTACATAGATATATTTAAATATAATTCTAGAATAAAATAAAATTGTAGAGAATATAAGAATTGTGGATGTGTGGGTGCCAATGGCCGGCAAATATATCCTGTACGCCCAAATAATTACCCGCACGCACGACTAATAAAAGTAATGGTCGATCATTTTTATGTAGGGGTGATCTATGACTGATGGCCAAACGCTAGATTAGATACACAGTAAATTGTCATTCATTATTTAATATGTACGCATCTAGAGTCATAAGACAGGGAGCCGCATCTGCTGCTAGAAGATTGATAGTCACTCAGGCCTCAAGTGCTGTTTTCGCACACAGAGCCACTATTGCCATCAGACCATTTTCCGTTTTAACCAAGTCCGTCTCTCAACCATCATCTATCTACTCAAGAAGATCATACAGTGTCTTGTCAGAGGAACCAGAGGCTGTTACATACAAGTACGACGGTATCAAGAACCTTGCTTCTAACCCAGAAGCCCACCCAAACACCGTCCTTGTTGACGTTAGAGAACCAGTTGAATTCAACGATGGCCATATTCCAAACGCTATAAATATTCCATTCACCTCTTCTCCAGGTGCTCTTAGTCTTGACCCTGAAGACTTTTCAGAACAATTCGGCTTTGAAAAGCCTTCCACTGATAAGGAATTGGTATTTTACTGTCTTGCCGGAGTTCGTTCAAGTGCTGCTGAAGATTTGGCTAGAACTTTTGGTTATAAAAACAGAGGTAACTACTTGGGTTCTTATGAAGATTGGGTTACCCATGAAAATGCTAGAAAGTAGTATTCTATGTAATCATCAAATTGTGCACTAAGAAATGTGCTCAATCTTATTGTTTATTTTTGTTTGTCTTCATTCCATCCCAAGTTTGGTTTTGGGTTAAGTTTGTATCTTGGCACTCCCAATACTATGTGTTAATAGACTTAATGTACTGGATTTGTTGTTTATCTACGATGAAAGTCACTTGCTGAAGCTACCATTTTATATTTTTTATACACTTGTCTCATAGGGTTTCTTCTTCTTTTATACATAATTTAACGTTTATAATTAAAAAAATTCTATTATCATGTATAATATTACCTATTTCCGATGTTGATTGAATTCCAATTCTCTGAATTCCTTTCCTAATCTTCTCTTTCTCTTTCTTTCCATAACCTTTTCTCTTTGAGATGACTTCATGGTATCGAACTTTGCCTTTTGAATCAATTTTCTCTTGTCACTCTTCTTCAAGAAGTATGGGTTGGTTTGAGAACCATCCTTGAATTTACGAAGTTGTTCATGTTTATGGTCGGCAAGAATCTTACTTTCTAAATCTCTATTCTTCATTGTATCCAAACGAGATTTTAAAGATTGTACTCTAAATTCTATGTCTTCTCTTTCATGATGTGATAATAAACTAGATGCCTTTTTATCTTTCAACATCAGTTTCATTTGGGAAATTTCTTGTTCTCTATATCCATCAAGGAATGCATAATTCTTTCTAATTTGTGCTAAGTCTGCCTTACCGTATGCTGCATCAAATCTAATGTCTCGGTATAAACTATTGTCTTTATATTTAGTACCAAGTCCTTCAATTTCTCTCACTTTAGAAACTGGTCTCTTGGAGCTAGATTCAGATGGTGCATGCTTATTCTTTTTACCCTTGTCCCTATTTGAACGTCCTGGTCTAGCTGAAGATGATGCCCTTGGTGCCTCATCATCAAAGAATCCTTCACTTTCACTATCGGAAGTAGGATGTTGTTCATATTTAGATGGCTTAGACTTTTTCTGTATAGCCCTACTGTTCTTTAATTCTGCCTTCTTCTCTCTCTTTTCATTCTTTTTAGTTCTCTCTTCATCTTGTAACTTCTTTTGAGCTGAACTTAATGATCCGAATGAAATTGTTGCAAGCTCATCATCACTTTCTTCTGGTTTATTGTAAGTGTATTCGTTTTCTGACCCAGATTCCTCGTCATAGATCGAGGGCCTAACAACCTTGTTTCGTATTTTGTCCATCTTGGAATAAGTTGGAAATTAATAATTGTATTACAATTGTATACAACTAGTTATTTGGTTCCAAAGGATATACTTAGACACCATCGTACAAGTTTAAAAAATAAAAAAAAAAAAAGAATTAGAAAAAGAAAAGACTCTCAATGTACAGGATTCATCATCGAGTCTAATAGGAGAATAGTTGCAACACCGACTAGGTAGAAATTGACAGTATCAATTCTCTCTATTCTACTTTCTAGTGAAGTTAACCCAATACATTAAAGAATATATTGGGTTTAAAAAATAAATAAATTGCATTATCTGTTAGTTTGGATATTCTTTGTCCGTCTTCGGTATTGCGTGTTTCATTTTTAATGTTAGCCTCGTAATTCGCAGCCTAATATTAGCATCGTAGAAGGTTAAGTTCATCAATTATTCCATAACCATATTAATCCATGATCGCCCGGGATCTACGGAAATTCTAGATTTCCCATATATTGTTTTTCTTTAATTAATCTTGGTATCTGTTTATAAGTCAATTAAGGGGTTTCGTTCTCGCTCCCGGCTCTCAAGCGGGGTTCTGTTTGTTCATTTTTTTTTTGTGAAATAACAAAAATTAACATCAACTATTACTGAAACTTTATACAAAATTTGGCCACATAAAGTATTTATTTACTCTTCCCTTAACTACTTGTTCTATTTTCAATTTATCAAATTTAAAATCTACACTTTTTCAGGAACAATTTGAAAATTGCTCTATCAAAAATTTTCCCCTCTCTGTACATGTGCAAAAAAAAATAAATAAATATAGAAATGTTAATTGTGTCACTTCAAAGCACGACGAAGGGAGTTCATAAAATCAGAATTGATCAAAAGCCTACAGTAATACGTAATTGTACACATATACTATTTCAAACTCTTCTTAAACTTCTACAAGCTCATGTAAAATTTGCTGAGTTTAATAACCCGCTGTACTTAAACTGAATGCCATGGGTGGGGGGAGTGCGAATGTTTGTCCTCCGGGCCCGTACATTTCCGGGATGAATGTAAGTCGTGCCGCGGTTAAACTCTTCAACGGGGATAATAATGTTTTTGTCGAAAATCACTTACTGTACGTGTATTTGAACTTTGGATTAAATTGATTTTACTTCCTTAGAATAGAGATTGATTATATACAATGTTGTCCAGAACTTTTACCCGTGTCTCAAGAGTATGTAACTTTCATTTTTAGCATTTTTAAAGGGATTTTCAGCCGTGTTTGCGAGATCGGTCGTCTTTGGATGAGTGGTGGGCGGGAATAACCCGTGGGCTTTCTCCTTGTTCGAGGTAATTGAAGTCTAATAAAAATCACCATTTTTCATCAATTCAAGCCCATTCAAAGTAAACCAAGGGTAATATGACCGCCAAAACCTTGTGGTTCATGTTATAGCCTCTTTTTATGGTCTTTTTGAACTCTTTGTGGCTCTTCAATCGCATCGGCCATTCCAACTTTTTTTTTTGGGATAGTTCTTGTGAATGAAAGACATTGGACTATATTTCTTGTATCCACTTGACACAGAAATTAATATGAGGTGTGCCATATATATTTATGTGACAAATCCAGATTTCTCTTGAAGCTCTTTATCTTTCAAATTTTCAATTTACTAACTCGTCAGTCTGCTGTTAACCAAAAGAGATTCTTATCTTTGCATGAATTCCGTTCCGCTGCTTTATTGAAGTCTTACGGTGTTGGTGTTCCAGATGGTTCCGCTGCCTTCACTCCTCAAGAAGCCTACGATGCTGCCAAGGCCTTAGGTACCAACGAATTGGTCATCAAGGCTCAAGCTTTGACTGGTGGTCGTGGTAAGGGTCACTTTGACAACGGTTTCCAAGGTGGTGTTAAGTTGATTTCTTCCGCTGAAGAAGCCAAGGAATTGTCTGAAAAGATGTTGGGTCACAAGATTATCACCAAGCAAACTGGTGCTGCCGGTAAGGAAGTCACCGCTGTCTACGTTGTCGAAAGAAGAGACGCTAGAACCGAAGCTTACTTGGCCATCTTGATGGACAGAGCCACCCAAGCTCCAATGATCGTTGCTTCCGCTCAAGGTGGTATGGACATTGAAGGTGTTGCCGCTGAAAACCCAGATGCCATCAAGACTTTCACTGTTTCCTTGGAAGACGGTGTCACTGACAAGTTAGGTAAGGACATTGCCAGCGTCTTAGGTTACACTGACGAAGCCATTCCAGAAGCTGTCAAGGCCATTCAAAACTTATACAAGGTCTTCATCGAAAAGGACTGTACTCAAGTTGAAATCAACCCATTGTCTGAAACTCCAGACCACAAGGTTTTGGCTATGGATGCCAAGTTGGGATTTGACGACAATGCTGAATTCCGTCAAAAGGAAGTCTTCTCTTGGAGAGACACCACCCAAGAAGACCCACAAGAAGTTGAAGCTGCCAAGTACGGTTTGAACTTCATCAAGTTGGATGGTAACATTGCTAACATCGTCAACGGTGCTGGTTTGGCCATGGCCACCATGGATATCGTTAAGTTGTACGGTGGTGAACCAGCTAACTTCTTGGACTGTGGTGGTACTGCTACCCCAGAAACCATTGAAAAGGCTTTCGAATTGATTTTGTCTGAAAAGAAGGTTAACGGTATTTTCGTTAACATTTTCGGTGGTATTGTTAGATGTGACTACGTCGCCGAAGGTTTGATTGCTGCTACCAAGAACTTCAACTTGGAAATCCCAGTTGTTGTTAGATTACAAGGTACCAACATGGAAAAGGCTAAGACTTTGATTGAAAACTCTGGTTTGAAGTTGTACGCTTTCGAAGACTTGGACCCAGCTGCTGAAAAGATTGTCCAATTGGCCCCAAAGGCTTAGAGTAGAAGGTATTAGATCTATTTCTCTCCATACATTCAAATATATACGACTAAATTATTATTCTAATCTCTAGAAATTTAGGTGATGTTTAAATCTTGACATCTGACCACTATCTGTTGAACGGCTATATACAGTCTTTTTATTTTTATGATATGTAGAAATCGAAATTGCCACTTGAACCGCGCACGACCAGAATATGTAGTTTAACAGTTTGTATATCTAAGTCTCAAAGTATATATTGAAACTAATTCAACATACATAACAGGGTATTTTGTTTTTATACTGAGATTTCAATCGATACGTTAATCCAATTAACATAAACTTTTCAATTTTTCCCAATCCTAAAACAAGATCGAGAAGGATAAATTTTCAGTGAACAACAACGAAACCTATTTTATTAATTATAGAAAATGTTCTTAACCAGAAGTGAATATGACCGTGGTGTCAGTACATTTTCACCAGAAGGTAGATTGTTTCAAGTAGAATACTCTTTAGAGGCCATCAAGCTTGGATCTACTGCAATTGGTATTTCTACATCTGAAGGGGTAATTTTGGGTGTTGAAAAGAGAGTTACTTCTTCCCTTTTGGAGCATTCATCTATCGAAAAGATTGTAGAAATCGACAAGCATATTGGATGTGCCATGTCAGGATTGACTGCCGATGCCAGATCTATGATTGACCACGCTAGAACCTCATCCTTGACTCATAACTTGTACTATGACGAAGAAATTCAAGTTGAAAGTTTGACTCAATCAGTTTGTGATTTAGCTCTTAGATTCGGTGAAGGTGCTGGTGGAGAAAAGAGATTAATGAGTAGACCGTTTGGTGTTGCCCTCTTAATAGCAGGTGTAGACAAGGATAAGGGCCCACAATTGTACCATGCTGAACCATCTGGAACTTTCTATAGATATGAAGCTAAGGCTATTGGATCTGGATCGGAAGGTGCTCAAGCTGAATTACAAAACGAATACCACAAGTCCTTGACATTGAAGGAAGCTGAATTATTAACCTTGAAGGTCTTGAAGCAAGTGATGGAAGAAAAGTTGGATTGTAAGAATGCTCAATTGGCTAGTGTGACCACTGAAGGTGGATTTCAAATCTATAGTGATGAAAAGACTGATGAAATTATTAAGATCTTGAATGAGCAACAAACCGATGATGCTGATGCCGCTTAAGTTGAATGATGGAGATAAATCATAGTAAATGAAATTAAATATATTACATTAGTCGAATTATAAATTATTAGATTATTTCTTTATGTATCAGGGAAACAATTTTCTAATCTTTCAATAAGAATAAGAAGTGATTGATTCTCAGTTTCACCGTATAATTTTAAAGTATTCATAAAATCAGTTAAACCATCATTAAATATCTCATAAAGTGAGTTCAAATTTTCATTCAAAATATCAAATCTTGCTGCTATTTGTTCGTCATCCATATTCTTATTTTGAAACTTTGAAGGATAATCCTGACTAAATTTGTCAAACAATTCAGGATTTATCATAATTAATGACTTCTTCAATCTACTCAAGTAATGATTAAACAGAATGATGACGTCAAACATAACCTTAAGAGATTCAATCAAGTCCTTATTTGTTACTAAAGTATCTCTTAAAATGCTGTTTAAAAAGGAACTCAATTTCTTGTGTAAATTATCAACATCACATAATGACTTTGTTCGCAGAGAATTGTTTGCCTGACTATGATTGAGGATGTTTTTGTCAAATATGCTATTATTATTCTGACTGTAATTATCAAATTGATTTCTGAACCCGAAAAGATCACTCTGTTGTGGAGAAGTTGCATTTGTTGGAGTTTGTGATTGACGGTCTTGTTTTAAGAAATTTTGAATTTCCTTAATAGAACATTTCAAATCTTGATAATTTGTATCTATGATATCAAAATTGAAATAAAAATTCAACTCTTTCATGAAATCGTTCATTCTGTTATGTAAAATCCGACACCGAAGTATCCATTTATGAACTCGAGGATGGAATCCTTTATATCCCCAGACACTTGAGAAATTGATTTCCTTCCAAGAATCATCCAGGAGCTTTGTGATAAACTTGGAAATCACTAAAAGTTTAAAAATCAATTGGTATTCAAAGACAAAATTTTGAGTTATAAGCAAATTAAGTGGGAATGGTACATGTACTTCTAAATTTAATCCGGCAACAGTGTATTCATCTGAATGGTCCGGATCATATGTCAGGCGGCTAGGAGTATTCGATCCAGCAGAACTGATTTTGTTACGTTCCAATGATTTGTTTAATAAAGCCTTAAACATCGAAGAGCTTGATTCATTTTTCAATGCTTCTTCTGCATCAAATGATTTAACATCTAATATTTCTTTGGCTAAATCATAAAAATTTGTAGAATCCACTGTTAATTTTTGATTGAATTTCAAAACATCAACAATATTTGACGTAATGTTCTCGGTAACTCCATCACTAACAACATCAATTATGGCAAAATTTTGACCAGGATTTACCTTATATGCTTCAGCATAGGACTGTGCTAATCGTGAGGGTGATACTGAATGCTTATTTCTCCGTAAATCGTTGAAACTATTCGATAAAAAATTGTCCATATGGTATGATTCATTAAGTAAAAGAGTTTTCTGGAAACTATCAATTATAGAACAAAATCCATATCCATCATAATATAATTTCATAAGAAGCCAATTAGCTCTATCATAAAACTCCAAAATCTTGAGTTCAGTGTTTCTAGATGTAAGTTTTTCTATAGGTATTAAATCTTCACCAAGTTGTTCAAAATTATTTATATCAGTACAGAGTTTAAATATGTTTAAATATTTCCCTGTAGCCAATATTTTGAGCTGTATTTCTTTACTTGAGAATTGTTCGATGAGTCCATCAGTTCTAGTACCATATAATTCATCCCAATATTTTTCAGTTCTAGTATGTATTATATCTTGGAATCGATTAGCAGTCGAAAGTTTATTTTCCTTAATTAAAAACTCATCATAAGGATCATCAATATCTCCATTTATTAACCAATTATTCAACATTTGGACATAATCGATACTTACAGCATCAAATAACTTCGATAGAAACGTCATGGATACTTGGTCCCCATGATATGTATGCGTCAATTGCTGTATTATCTGAAGAACGAGACCACCTTTGCATTGATTGAAGTTTTGTTGATCAGTGGTAAGATCTATATTCCCCGTTTCTCGAAGATCATTTTGAATATTTCGAATGAAGTTTTTAAAATAAGCTTCTCTATCATTGTTAATATTATTATTTGCCCCATATAGTTTGAATCGTGTCTGGGAATCGTCATGAATTGATGTAATTATTTCATATAAAAGGTGAATTTTCACTGATATTTCTTGATTTAAAATATTCTCAAGTATATTCAAATTGAAAGAACTATTATGCTTAAATTCTTCTTCAATTTGAATTATTAGTTGTTGATATTGCACTATAAATTGACTGATTTCAGTACATAATCTTTGAACTACTTTCCCTGAACTTTGTGAACAATAATGTTCTACAAATGAGTTCAATGCAGAATAATATTTCCCAAAATGAACAAGTTTTTTCGTTATACTTTTTAAACTAACGTCCAAATGCTTTGCAGTTTTATAATCTGGACCTTTAATTAATGAATCAAGTGAGTTGGGATTATACCTTTCACTATATCGAATGTAAAATCCCTCATACCCCAATAATACGAATAATAAATCTTGCATTATTAATCCTTGTTGTACTCTCAAATCATTAAGTTCACTCAAGGCTTGAGGTCGTATTTTGCTGTACCCTTTTGGAATTTTGTTTATACATGATTGAATTACCTTGGGTTCTGTTAATACTACAAGGTCAACCTCATTGTCTCCTGGATGAGAAGAAATAAAACTGGCCATATTTAGATGTAGTTGATTGTATACTCTCTTCTGTACTTTTAACATTTGCATCAAAACAAAAACATATCTCAAAAATAATTATGTAAGCAAACGCGTATGATTAGATAAAGTATAAACATTACAATCAGTAGTACCACTATTACCTATTCTTACTTATATATATATATATATATCCCGATTCTAGGGATCCCACTTGTAGATTTAACTTAACCATTCATCATCTTCGTCACTTAATTCCAAATCCTTTAAAAGTTCAGCAGCTCCAAGTTCAGCAGCCTCATGTACTTTCTTTAATCCTGAAACTTCCTCAAGATATGATGAATCATCAAGACAACGTTTGATGAAATCCCAACCATCTTGTTTGTAATGATTCAATACAGAAAGCGAACAAGCGGAACAACTATTGAAATTTGGTGATACAAGCTTGGTTTGCAGGAAGTTATGTAAAAACCCTCTAATTTGATGAGGAACTTCCCCCAAGACTGTGTCTGTAGTAGAACTTGTAGGAGAGTATGAAGCATATTTGCCATCAGGATGTTGAAGTGTAGACATCAAAAGTTCCACAGCTAGTGAAGACGCCATAAGTGCCACTCCTGGACGTGTTACAGTACACATCTGATCTAATGTACGATCCGTTAAACTATCATCCGGGGCAACAACATCATTGCAAAAATAACATCCAAGTCTTTGTCCAACATGAACATCTTCTTCTTTACTATTTTGTAAATTACCATGTCTCATCACCAAATAACTGTCAAATCCTAATGCTGCATTTAAAACGAGTTTATCCTTGGCCAATCCCATCAATGTGGGAAGCCATCTAGACTCTCTAGAATCCATTAAAAGGAATACAATGTCATGTTCATCGAAAAGTTGTGATAATTTATCAAAACTTGCCCTTTTTGAACCTTCATCTTCTTTGGAAATAGGATGTCCCACCATTGGTACTTCCAAATTATATCCAGCTGAATCCACCCCAGGAAAGATTTCTTTCAATGACTTCGCAGCTCGACTAGCTTTCCATTCACCAAGTCCATTATCACTAAAGCAATCTTTAAACAGAAACAATGGTTGTCGCACCGGATTCGAATATGATATTCTTCCATTATCAACAAAGGTAATTTTCCGAACACCCCAGCCCATTAATGCTCTTGCCACATAACTACCCAATGTACCTGCACCAAGTAATAATACCCTTTGATTCTTAATTAAATCTAAATCCAATTGTGGAGCAATTCGCCATTTCATAAGTTTAAGATTCAAATCAACTGCTTGTTCAGCAAGTTGGTTTGGATTTATCAACGATCCAAGATCTGCTAATTTTGGACCCAACTTACCATTAGATGTCCTTTCCCACCCAGTTATCTTTGGGATTGAGTCTGTATCAAACAGACTATCCAATTGAAGTTCAAGTGAGTAAGAGTTACCTATTCCTGGTAAACTTATAGTGACTTTAACTGATTTGAACCCATTCATCGCTAAATAATATAAATAGTTTCTTAACTGTATTGAAGGAGACTTATTGGTACTAGTATCATAGAATATGAATTCTTCCGCTTCTTTCAATTTACACTTGGTCCCATCTGCTTTGACCGGAACTAAGCCAATAGAACCATCTTTCTGGGTATTAATACTTGCAACATCTCTCCGGATAATAGTCCAAGATGAGTTTAAAACCGGGATGGCAAACCAATAGTAAAATTTATATTTCTTCAAATCACAAAATGTAAGAAGATGGAAAGTATTTAAATCTTGGAAATTTGGCATTTCACCTTGTTCCTTTAAAACTTTCAAGGTATTATAAATTTCTAATCCTGCCAGCTTTAAAAATAATTGTTTATCGATATTTTTGAATTCTTCAATTGTATTCTTATTATACAACCACCCATCTAGCCATAAATTCGCCTCTGGATCTTGTTCATCATTGGAATTTGAATCAAAACTTAAATAGTCAAGGTTAACGATTGGGATATTGTTAAATTTGGTTAAACTCTTTGGATTGGTCATGTAAGCACCAATTTCCCTACGGCTAGAATCAAGTTTAAAATCATTCAATTTGAGGTCTGATAGTTTTGTAAAGAATGATGAATCCACCACAGAGCTCGTACTTGAGCATTTTAAAGGTTCCATCTGAAAATAATTATATAATTGCTTCTTAAATCAAAATAATTTAAAATTGTATTATGATTAAATTGATCATAATCATATGCTGTACCGAGAGGACTGCATATAACCTGCATTATCTATAACATTCTACAAAGGTAAGTATTACATTCTACAAAGGATTGCCAAAATCGTGTCTATTAAGGTCTTCTGGAAAGTGTCTTATATACTAAAATACTATGCTATAATGATGGAAAAGAAGGTATGTATTGTGATGGTGGAGGGGGAAAATTTTTATTTTCTTAGTTCGCTTATTCAGCCATTGGGTGGTCATCTAAAGTCATATCATCTAATTCATCCAACAATTCATCAATAGCAATTTGTGGAGCATCTTCATCAGAGAATCCCATTTCATCTTCATCTTCAGTTGGTGGAGCAACGTCCTCAGCAGCCTTATACAAGTTAATGGTTTGTCTCAATTCTTCATCTTCTTCTAATTCTTGCAAGAACAATTCGTAATCTCTTTCAGCACGTTCTTGTTCTTGTTTAGCTTGTCTAGAATCATCATTGGCAACAATATCATTATGTTCCTTGGCCATTCTCTTCAACTTCCACTTTCTGTACTTACCCTTCTTACTCTTTCTTGCGTAATGCTTCTTAACAAGAACAACATCAGGAGTGTTGTCAGTATCTAAAGTATCCCACAAGTCAGAATTGAAGTTGGAGTTCTTCAAGTAGTAACCCATGACAGAATCACCTGGATGTAAAATACCACCCATATGAGTACGAACATAATAAGAGTTATCATTAACACCCATTTCAGATGCACGACAAACGGTAACATCAGCCAAAACTCTCTTACCTCTGATTTCTCCAGTTGGTTCAACATCCAAAACAATGAATTCAAGCATTTGAGTGACATCACATAAGGAAGGGAATGGATTTCTCCAATATACAGAAGCTGACAAATCAGAAGTTTGTAATGTGTTTGGATCCAAAAATTGAATAGAGTTAGAAATCTTAGAACATAAGACTAAACGAGGAATGTTACCCAAGGAATGAGCCAATTTTTTAGGTAATACAACCAAATCATCACGACATACTGGGGCAATTTCCACTGAGAAGGAAAACTTATATTGAGAAGAACCAGATTGGGTATCTTGGGAAACCAATTCTTCGGATTTTTTAGCCTTTACTGGGACAACAGCACCCAAGAAATCAAGCATCTTTGCTGCATGATTCTTTTGAGCATAAAAGAAATCAAGACCATCTTTTGATTCTTGAATAGAAATGGTATCAACATGGGCACTATGTCTAAGAATTAATTGTTCAAGATACAAGAAAGTTCTCTTATGTGGAACTTTTTGTCTGATTTGAACAGTAGCTCTCCAAGTGTTTGTAGTATAAGATTTAGCACAGTCAGCACATTGCATGGCAATAACAACGTATTCAACTTCGAAAGTTTGTTGGACAATAGTATTAGCCATAGCTTCACCTTGAACGGTGATCTTAACTCTAATTCTACGAGAATGTGGTTCGGTCCAAATAAATGAAGCATCGATCAATCTAACTTTATTAAGACCTTTCAATCTTCTTAAACAAAGAGCCAAAAGTTCTCTAGATTCAAGTTGAGCACGGATCCATTGACCTGGAGGTTGCAAGAAACGTTCACAGTTTCTACAGAAGGAAACGTTAGCTTCTCTTGGAATACCTTCGGTGATATCAACCTTTAATTTAATACAATCGTAACACATAACGAGACCCGATGACCCATCCATTGGAACACCACACTCGCAACACAACACAGTTGCTATTTGGCCATAAGATTGTGGGTTACCATCCCCATGATGATGGTCATGGTTTTCTATCTGTGTGTAATTCATACTTGACAGATGTTTAAAAAAAGACAACTAAAGCTAAAGTAAAGCAGTAATATATTTGCCTTCCTTTGATTAGTAAATGTTTTAAGAAGAGCAAAAAGGCAAAATCCCAAAAAAAAAAAAAAAAAAAAAATTAAGGGAAAAGGCATCTCGGTCCAGGTGCAGTACACTTGGTATCTTTGTGTTATATTTTTCCAACATGGAAATATTCAAAAGTTGATAAAGTTGATTGTTTTAGTGAGTGGGAGTGTGCATTGTCATAACTTGTGGAGAGAATACGTTAACAAACATTAAATAGTTTTCGTTGAAATATAAATATATATTTATATTATAGATTGATTTGGCTGATATTTGAAAGGTTGATTCAATTGGGGATATGGTATTTCGAAAAAGGACAGCTGCAAATGATCGTGATGGAGATGTTGGTCATATTAATAAGAAAAGGAAACAAAGAATAGATAAAGATGAGAATGAGATTGATGAATTAGATAAGATCGTCGAGAATGGTGGGAAGCTGGAAGAGGAAGAAGAGGAGGAAGAGGAGGAAGAAGATGAAGAAGTAGCGGAAGAAGAGGAGGAGGAGGAAGAAGAGGAAGAGGAGGAGGAAGAAGAAGAGGAGGAAGAAGTAAATGCAAATGTAGAAGAGGAAGCTGAAGGTGAGGAAGAAGAGGATGAAGAAGAAGAAGAAGAAGAGGATGAGGAAGAAGAGGAAGAAGAAGTAGAAGCCAAAAAAGAGAATAATGTTGATAATGTGAAAGATGAAGATAAGAAAAGTAAAGTCAAGCTAGAAAGTAAGAAAGAAAATGGCAATGAAGAAGAAGGAGAAAATGGAGAAGAAAATGGAGAAGATGAAGAAGAAGAAGAGGATGATGACGATGATGAAGATGAAGCTGAAGAAGAAAGGAAAAGAATAACAACATTTAAATTGGATGACGTAAGCTATTCATTTAAAGAAAGACCATCAGTAATTGAAGAAAAGGAAGGTAAAATTGAATTTAGAGTTGTTAATAATGATAACACAAGAGAAAGTCTTATTGTATTAACAGGGTTAAAAAATATTTTCCAGAAACAACTTCCCAAAATGCCTCGAGAATATATTTCTCGATTAGTTTATGATAGATCACATTTATCAATGGCAGTTGTTCGGAAACCACTTACTGTGGTAGGAGGGATAACATATAGACCATTTAATAATCGTGAATTTGCTGAAATTGTGTTTTGTGCTATTCTGTCGACTGAACAAGTTCGTGGGTATGGTGCACATTTAATGAACCATCTTAAGGATTATGTTCGAGCTACTTCACCTATTAAATACTTTTTAACCTATGCAGATAATTATGCTATTGGATACTTTAAAAAGCAGGGCTTTACAAAGGAAATCACATTAGATAAATCTGTATGGATGGGATATATCAAGGATTATGAAGGTGGTACACTTATGCAATGTTCTATGTTACCATCAATTCTTCGATATTTAGATCTGGGGAAGATTTTATTACTTCAAAAGGCAGCAATTGAAAAAAAAATCAAACAAAGATCTAAATCTCATGTTGTAAGGCCAGGATTACAAATTTTCAAGAATGCTAAACCAGGTAGTATTCAATTAAATGCAGTTAAAGATATACCAGGATTAGCAGAAAGTGGATGGCTGGAAGAAATGGATAAATTAGCACAAAAGCCTAAAAGAGGTCCACATTATAATTTCATGGTTACTTTACTTTCTGAGATCACAAACCATCCTTCTGCATGGCCATTTGCCACTCCTGTTAATAAGGAAGAAGTTGGTGATTATTATGAAGTCATTAAAGAACCAATGGATTTATCTACTATGGAACTGAAATTAGAAAATGATAAATATGAATCATTTGAACAATTTTTATATGACGCAAGGTTAATTTTCAATAATTGTCGATCATACAATGCTGAAACTACCACATACTACAAAAATGCCACGAAATTAGAGAAATTTATGAATAATAAGATAAAGGATAGTACTGAATACGCTCACTTTTTAGAGTAGAGATCTAACAAGAACATGAAGGCGGAAAAAAAAAAAAGGATTTTTAAAAGATGTCGCAGATTGTCGTTGTTCGTGCATACACCATGGTTTTCCCCAATTTGGGTTGCCCAACTAAAATAGATTTGTAATGGACATGCTTCCATAAGAGTGAAAGAGATCATTTAATTTTAATAGATTGAACAGAATTATTTATTATTGACAAATATGTCTCCAAAAGTTTATTCTTATCCTGAATCTGCAGAAGTTTCGTCTGCTGTAGGCCAACATGTTTTGAAGTTACAAGATGAGGCATTGGCTAAGTCTTCGACCTTTAAGATTGCCTTATCTGGTGGATCATTAGGAAAAGTGTTGAAAAAGGCACTTATAGATAACGCTGAGGTTGCTCCATTAGTCAAATGGGGTCAATGGCAAGTCTATTTCAGTGATGAAAGATTGGTAGAATTGGCACATGCTGACTCTAACTATGGGTTATTCAATGAGATGGTTTTAACTAACCTCCCAGAATCTGTCACCAAGCCACAAGTTTACACAATTGATGAATCACTTCTTTCTGGGAAGGATGGTCAAGTTGAAGGTGCTGACAATGCGAAGGACCAGCAAATTGCGGAAGCTTATGAAGCTACTCTCCCATCTAAATTCGATTTGATTTTGCTTGGTTGTGGTCCTGATGGTCATACTTGTTCTCTTTTCCCTGGCCATGGGTTATTAGAGGAAAGATCCAAGAAGATTGCATACATCAGTGACTCACCAAAGCCACCTCCAAGAAGAATCACATTCACATTCCCAGTGTTGGAAAACGCTTCATCAATTGCCTTTGTTGCTGAAGGTGCTGGTAAGTCCACCATCTTGAAGGAAATTTTCGGAGACAAGAATAGTCAATTACCATCTAAATTGGTTAATGACTTGGATACTGGTGTTCAAGTTTCATGGTTTGTAGATGACAGTGCCATCAATGGTGTTGATGTCCTTGCTTCCAAGTACTAGTTAAATAAATAAACATTATACGCATTAATTATTTGAGACCCTATATGTTGTTTCTAATTGAGTTCATGAGTTGAATTTAATTGTTGAATTATTGATAATTATTCAGAGTACCTATTTCCGTCTACCAAGCCTTCTTCAGAATTTTGAATTCAGGAAGATTTATTAATAATTTTATTTTTAATGATATCAGTCTGACTCATACTCCAGCTTATATTGATTAAGCATTAACTACTTTACTTAGATATATATACATATTCTATCTAATTTTATCAACTCATCATGGAATCTATATCCCTTCCTTATTCGTCTACACATTCTTCAAATCCATTTCCTGCATGTCACCCCAAATCTAACTAGATATTACTTACCTTAAGGAGCGAAAGTAGCCCCGGATCGGGATGTTTAAATGTTTATTCATACCTATAATTCTTTCTATTTTTCTTTTCTTTTTGAAAAAAAAGTAATACAACACATCAAGTTTTATTAAAGGATCCATTGGATAGTTCAATTATATTAATAATGGGTTAGTATCATTTCATTAAAGAATTGGTTTGAACACCACACTAACATATAGCACTAGGTGTTGCATTATGGCTTTGTCCTAAGAAGAACACACAACTTTATGACAAGTTGTTAACATTAATGAGTTCCTTGAATACTCTTTTCCCCAATCAACCCCCGAAATTCGAACCTCATATAACGATAACCACCAACGTGGATGTCAATTTGGTTGACCTGGAGAAAACTCGGGATGATGTCAACAAGATTCTTTCAGCCAGTGTTGTGGCACTCAATTCTCTCCCCACAAATCATTCTAATCTTGTAACATTGGGAAAGATTGATAGTCAACGTAAATATTTTAAAAAATTATATTTCCAAGTGAAGAAGGATCCAAATTTGGTTTCTTTGGCTCGGATTATTCGGGAAATATTTGTCATAACTCCACAAGAAATTGAAGCTGAAAATATTAAAATAAATCCACACCTTTATACCACTAATAGTAAGGGGAATACAGTACGGAGGAAACCTCTGAAGAAACATAAAAGATCAGCATCTTCAGCATCTACCGCTCAGAGTAGTACTGTGGATATCGATGAAAGAACAAAACCTATAGAAATGCAAAAAGTCCAAGCCATTGCAGCGGCAAAAGCTGCAGAATGGAGCTCTTCCGAGTTTGATCCTCATATTTCATTGGTGTACAGTGATTTACACCCTATAGATAATGCGTTATGGCGTACAATTAAGACTAGAGTGCTGGATTATTTGAATGTGGCCAATTGTGATGCAGAAGGATTGGAAGATAATGGCCTCGGTTGGGATGGTGGTGTATTAAAACTTGTTCTTTGTGAAGGTGACGTGAATGACTGGATCGTTCTAGGAAGCGTTGATTTACATTGAGAATATTGTTCTAAGTATATTATATATTCGTTTTATGTACAGTAATCATATTATCTATTTACAATTGCATTTGTTTTTTTTTTGGGGGGAATTTCCCACTTTAAGCAGGGGTTAATTGAACTTGGTCAGTTGGAACAGCTTCTAATTCTCCAGTTGGAACAGCTTCTAATTCTCCTTCAGCGTATCTAGCTTTGAAGAAAGTATAATGCAAAACAATATCGTCAATGTTTCTCATGGCAGGATCCTTAGCAAACTCTGGGTCAATAAAGAAGAAAACAGGCATATCTACTTCTTCCCCGGCTGCTAATCTTTGTTCTTCAAAACAGAAGCATTGAATCTTGTTGAAATAACCAGCAGTGTGTTCAGGGGCGACAGAATAAGTTGCCATACCGATAATATCGTCTTTTGACATGTTCTTAGCTTTGTAAAAAGCCAATGCAGTTTCACCAGGAACGACATAAACTTCTCTTTGTTGAGGAGTAAACTTCCAAGGCAAGATTCCGGACGACTGACACGTGAACGAAATTCTGATCCTCTTGTTGGTGTCTACAGGTATAACTTTGTCAGCAGTGAATTGATTTGAATCTGTGATTGGAATACCACTCCAACCTGTTCTTTGACAGATTGCTCTATATAATGGTACAGCAGCAAATGCAAGAGCTAAGAATACCATTGCTAACGATGCAAAGTAGTATGTAGTACTTGTGTTTCTCAATTTGACCTGCTCTTTTCTTAGTTTATCGGCATCCTCCATTCTTAATCGATATGCTTGTTTTTCCTGTTCCACCAAGGGTTTATTCATGGTCTTGAAGGACATATGTAACCTTCTGGTAAACTTGGTGCTCATTTGTCCAAGTGGATTCATGATTCGAGGCATTATAGTAGGTCTAAACTTGGTGCTCATTAGTCCAAGTGGATTCATGATACGAGGCATTATAGTAGGTCTAAACATGCTGCAAATGTATTTAATAACAATATACTGGGTAACCTTTAATTTGTGGTGCAACTATTCTTTAAACTTTGAGGAAGAAAAACGAAAAATGAGATAGCATTAATAATAAGCTAAAAGAGTAAAAAAGAAAAAAAAAAAAAAAAAAAAAAAAAAAAACTTCAATAAATAAATAAATATGAATTACCATACTTACAAGGTCTACCCCACGATAATATTAAAACTTGTAGTTCTATTTAGGCAGTAACTAAACGTACTTCTATATTTATATACATTTATAAAAAAAAAAAAATCTTAAATCATTGTTTGAAGTTTTTCAATACTATATTCATCATTCATGGAGATTAATTGCCTGAAATCAGTATCATTTAATGTGTTACGTAATTCCGAAAGAACTTGTGCAAGCAAGGATTTTAAATTAGTTTTGAAAACCGGGTCCTTGGACTCGATTAATGCTTGGTATCTCTTCTTTTCACCATGTGGGGTTATATCTTGGTCACTATAACAATAGTCGTCGATATCTTCGTATATTAAATCCTGTTCATATGCGGTACAATTACCTTCAGTAGTTTCATTAACTTCCTCCAAGAAAAGCAATATTTTCTTAGTTATTTGAGCGAATTTGAGAGGAAGGACATTATCCTTCGATGGGATTGCTCTAGCACACAAGCTAAGTAGTCCGATCAAGTTTAATTTCTTATTTCTTGGATTTCCATTTCTGTCAAGATTATCGATCCAAGTGTCAAACAATTTCTTTTTATCAATGGCAAAATGATCAACCATTTGGAAAAATAACTCGCTTGATCCCATTGCAATTCTAGAAAATAGTAAAAATATTTTATTTCCTGAAACAACATCATGATTTTCATCAAGTACAAAGAGTGCCATTGCGTTGAAAAGTCCACTACCAATCAAATTATTGACAAATTGTTCATTATTTGATATTTGTAAAAGTAAAATATCCATAAGTGAAATGAATACAGTGTAGGCATCTTCTCTCATATTTGCCAAATACCCAGATAAAGCTCTGAAGATACCCATACCTATGTCACCGCAAAGGATATCTGGAGATATAAGAGCATAGCTTCGAATAATGGACATAATTGTGGGAAGAATTTCTGTGGCATTTAAAAGTCCATGTGGAACTAATGGGAGCAAATTAACCAATTCTTCTTGAGATGTAGGATCTACATTTGTTGGACAATATTGTAAAACAGAGTGCCAAAGCTCATACCCATCTTCACTTAAAAGTGCAAATGTATCAGTATCACCGGTGCAACAAGTTGTAATGAGTGGGATAGAAATTCTGTAGGTTTCAGTAGATTTATCATTTAACGAAACAACAAGATTCTTCAATACTCTTAACAATGAATTCTTTAAAATTGATTCATTATCGGATGAAACCGAATTCCAATAATCTGGGATCACTGAAAGAATATCAATCAAAGTTGCATGATCGACTAAAGGATTACATCTTTGAAGCATCGTGGCTAAAATATTGAAAATGTACAATTTGGATTCAGTGTATTCCACTGATCCCAAAAATTGTATACAAAGCTTGACAAAATCATTCAAAAATGAATGGAAATCATATTTGTTGAAATCCCAATCATCAATCACGCGTTTAAGAGTCTGAATAGCAGTCAATTTCACTACTGCATCATTTATCTTGTTATCTGGATTTAAGAAATCAACAAGGAGTCTGAAAATTTCCACTCTACTTTCACGCAGACATTTTACTGAAACCCATTCACTGATAATGAGACAAACTCTTCTCTTAACAATTCTATTTTCAGCTAGTTCATTTTTCAAACCTTCTGGAATGAAAATATCCTTCAAAAGTTGATCAAAATCGACAGTGTCAGCAATAGATGATGCAGAAAGTTGGAAGGTACATAAAATCGCATCCTTACTCAAGATTTCATCTACTGAATTATTATTATTGGCTAAGCCATTTGAAATCTTGTTTAACACAAACCCAGATAAGGAATCTTTGAAGAATGTGATTAAATCCTGGAAGAAGTTTTCTGCACATGGTCTAATTTGATACTCCCAACTTGTGGAAATTTCTTCATTACACCATTCTTCTGGTTCTAATAACCAACTTTCTAAATCAGAAGGTTTGAGACGAAGATACCACTCAATGATCAAGTCACATAAATGTTGAACAACTTGAGTAGTGAAAACTTCATTTGTTAATTTTTGAATAGCAGCATTAACTTCTTCACGTTCATTACGTTCTTTGAGTACAACTGCTCCCCTTTTATAAATAAATGCAATAATTTTTTTAAGAATCATAAACCCTTTCAATGCTAATGTTTCCCAAAATGAATTTTCTTCAGTACTGTTATAGATAAGTTCTGCCTTGTGTTCCAATAAGGACATGAATGTAGTAATAATGTCTACGGAACATGGGAATAACACAAAACTTGTAGGATTTGAACTGATCAAACCAACATAAAGTTTACTATAACATTTGACATACCGTTCAAGCATATCCGAAGCAGAATATTTCTCATGTTCCACCACCAACATTTGAAGATGTTGAATAGATATAGTCATGAATTCAACTACATCAGTGTTTTTATGTGGACGATCAAACCCTTCGGTGATAATTCTTCTCAACGTTTTTAAACAAAGATAACAAACTTCCATGAGTCCTAGGTCCAAGGAAACAGAAGTCCATTGTTGAAATAACTTCAAATACAGTCTAATGAGAACTGGTGTTATGATAGGAGCCTTACTTTGCATGGCATGGCGAGCACGACCAACTCTAACCACAGCAACAGTTTTAATCACTTGATTTAAAATAAGTAACAAATTATTGGTGGCAACCATATCGCCTTTACGGAACACATTTTCTTCCAAAGAGTTTGCAAGGTCGTCAAACAATGTGGGCCATTCCATAGGAAAATCAAATCTAACAATTCTTGCAATAGAATGACCATTTTGAATGGCCAATTGATTGTTCTTCTCGCCTACAAGATTGAAAAGTCTTGATTTGATCTGGGTTTTTTCCTCCTTGGAAATAGCATTGGCTCTTGAAGACCTCCAGTATTTCTCGATACCATTCTTAAAGCAAATTACCGCAAGCCAACGGAGTTGTAATGGTAACTCTTCCTTAAGATAGATTTCTTGCAAAAGAAAATGGTACCCTTTCTGAGTTTCCCATGCTTTAAGTTGAGATTCAGCTTGTTGCTGTTCTGGGTTCCTCTCGGATCCATTAGCAATGCTAAGCACTGTCGAGAGGTTCTCGTAGGATAAATCCATGCTAATTCTTACTGTTAACCAGTTCGATCTACACTACTAGGAAAAAAAAATATTAAACAAAAAAATAAAAGAGTGATCATTCCATTTCGCAACGTTAGGCATGATTTCGACGCAAAACCATCATAACTACTTATTGTATTAGAATATTATGCATATTATTTCATAAATCTATATTATCTATCTATCAGTTTACTCGGGGATTCGATTATTCTTCTGTCTCCTTATATTTATACTTTCTTTCTTTCTTTTTGGCTGTGGTTACCACCTTTTGTTCTCATCAACTTCCCATTCACGTTCCTCATATCCTAAAATCTTCTTTACTCTTGCAACAGTTTTAGAATCTCCCATATTTTTACCTATATTATCACTGATTTTAATACATGGATTTCCTCCTGCTTCCTTAAGTTTGATGACAATATTCAATGGTTGTGACTTGTTTCCATCAGCACTCTTGAAATCATTGGTGAAAAAGGTACCCACACCAAATGTAACTAAGAGTCCTAAATCTTCAGCATGCTTTTTATATTTAAAACATTTTTCCAAATTTAAAGAATCACTAAAGCAAACTATTTTGGAAAACTTTGGATATTTTAAAACTTCATAGTAATGATGAGCAAGTTTCTCTGCATATTCTGAAGGATCTCCAGAATCTTGTCTCACTCCAGTATAACTATCAGAATATGGAGGTTCAAATACTTTTAAAAATGAATCAGTACCAAAAGTATCAGTTAATGCTAATCCAGCATATTTGGAAGAATAAGTTTTAAGCCAATAGTCCATAGCAACTTTATTGGCATTCGCATAATCATTGGTAATGGCTGCAATTCCCATAAACCATTCATGTGCAACAGTACCTGATGGATTCAATCCATATTTTTGTGCAAGGAAAACATTAGAAGTACCAATTATTAACTTTTTCTTATCTTGAGGTAATTTACTTTGATATTCAGCTAATTTTTTGACCACAATTTCTTGAGTTTTAAATGATCTTCTTCTTCTAGTTCCAAATTCACTAAACATACATCCATTAGTTACCAATTGATCACATTTCCAGAGTGCCAATTCCTCTTGGCCATCATAATTCCAGTCAGTATCAACAAACTTGAAATAGGCTTCAGATACTAATGCTAAAATTGGAATCTCATATAAAATAACATCAGACCACGTTCCAATCATTTCTATTTCAAAATTTTCCAAGTTCTCTTCATCATTAGTATATTTAATTTGTTCCTTAGGACGTAATTGGAAGTCTTCTGATAGATAATTTATAAAATCTAAAGGTAATTGTGGTAATGTTTCCTTTAAATAAGCAATTTCATTCTTTGTAAATCTTAAATCTCCCAAACTTGAGATTTGTTGCTTCAACCACCCGATTGCTTCGTGGTTAAGAACCATTCCTGGAGTTCTATTGGTGTATTTATATGCGACGGGTACATCCTTAAAGTGCTGAAATACCGCAGCATGCATAGAAAGTTTATAGAGATCAGTATCCAAAAGTGATACAATCACTGGAGTAGTTGGTGTAGTCGTAGTCATATTTCAAATGATGGAATGAATATTCTTTCTTTAATTTTTTTGAAATTCCTTCCAAAATAACTTAGATAAACGTTCAATAGATACGTATCCTAAGTTTATATGTTCAATGAAATACTAAGAAATTACTTTTAGAATGACTCTTAAAAAATATTCTTTATCTATTGTAATCAATGAAACTCTCATTCATTTTGGGCCATGAGCTCGACGTACTGCACAAACCAGCATGTGATTTTTCTTATGTAATATAATAGTCAGATGGGACTATACATATGGTGGTTTGGATCGGTAAGTAGGTCAAATGATGTATACATAGAAAGAATTATTTTTAAATAAAGAGAAATAAAGAATATATCGAAAATCCTAGACCACTAAGTATAGTAGATTTAGATTTTCGTTTATCCATTTCTATATTCATTCATGTCAATAGTCTTCCCTCCAGTTTAGGAAATGAAAGGTCTTATGTAAGCAAAACTAAAGTTGATATGCATCACCTGTTTTCAAATACGAGGGGTTGAATAAATATTTTGATAACGTATCTTAATTGTCTACTGTTTTTATCATTTTCATCTTTTAATTCAGAATAAAGGTTTAAACCATAGGTAGATAGTGTAAATCATAGGAGAGTCTATTATTTAATTATATTCAATCTATATAAACTAATAATTATCTTACCATGAGCAAAGTCATTAAAAAGCCAATGGCTACTGTGTTAATATTGATGGCAATTATTGGAATGATCTCATATATGTCAATCACTCCTTCATCATTGGGAAATGTATCTCCGGTGACACTTGATAAATATTCTGAAATTGCAGTACCTCCAACTCAAGATTCATTTAACTCACAAGAAAAATCAGATGAAGATGTGGTGAGAAGACCAAAATCAGGTGAAAAGGAAAAGGACGTGGGAGGTGCCATCCCAGGTGACGAGACTGGATCTGGAGCATCTCCTGTTGAGGCTTCTGGAGACCTCACTGAAACTGCATTCATGCCTAAAATGGCTAATGAGACACTCAAGGCTGAACTTGGAAATGCTTCTTGGAGACTTTTCCATACTATATTGGCTAGATATCCAGATGCTCCATCCAAGCAAGAACAATCGACATTGTTCAATTATATTCATCTTTTTGCTCAAGTCTATCCATGTGGGGATTGTGCTAGACATTTCCAAAAACTTCTTGCCAAATATCCTCCACAGATCAAATCACGTAAATCTGCTGCTATTTGGGGTTGTGATATTCATAATAAGGTTAATGGTAGATTGGATAAACCAATGTATGACTGTACAAAGATTCTTGAAGATTATGATTGTGGTTGTGGTAGTGATGAAAAGGAAGTTGATTATACCCTTGGACAACAAAGTATGGACAGTTTAAGAAACGTTAAGGTTGAAAAAGAGGAAAAGCAATTAGGTGGTTGAACAGGTATAGATTTGCATACTTATATACTTACTACAATCAAAGACAGTATTAATATTAATTGAAGATTCAGGTGTTTAAAGTTAAGTAATTGTACAACATCCAACGTCATTCGAGTTTGAAATTGGGCGTATAGTTTGTCTTGATCGCCTGTATTTATTCTGCTCTGTAGTCATTGGCCATAGAGAAGGTACTAAGTAATCAGGAGTCTCCTTAGTGTAGTTTATAATTCTTTGTTGTTAGTACAATATTCTATTATCTATATGAAACCAAAAATAATCAAAAAAAAAAATAATAATAATCAAAAACGATCTGATACATACAAATAGGACGCATTTGACGCAGAAATCCGTTCACGTAAAAGTGTTTTACGCAATCTTGCGTTTAATTCTTCAATTCTACGAAGCTTTATAATATTTATCCGTTCCTGGATACTTTCATTGACGTCTAATTCACTCATTTTGATGAAAAAACCAAGGATAAATTTCATAAAACTATGGTAGGGGGGGTTTTAAAACTCCCCAAAAAAAGTCCCACATTGGATTATATACACGCCAGGGCCCCATCCTTGGTGTGGGGTATCACCCTTATTTATTAAATGTGTTATTGAATCTTATCAGAATCTCGTATTAGAGTAAGATAATCATCCAGTCATTGGAAATAGAGTTTAAAAAAAATTACAATAAACCAATGAGAGATGTAAGTGAGATGTAGTTTCGTAACATTTTATCTTTTTATTTTTATTTCATTCTATTTGTACTATTATTCATTATGAAGTTGGTTACACTTCAATTCAGTCATAAAATTAAATACCTTTTATTAGTTTAATATAAGAATAATATTATTATGCAAAATGAAATAACTGATGCCAAAATAACGGTATCTCTCTTACGTCTTGTATTAATTTTAGAAATCAAAACATTAACCCCTGGAATCAGTTGAATAGTACCCATCATGGTCAGTTGTGCGTTATTTAAAATACTTCTTTGAGCTAAAAGTTCATCTCTTGTATTATATGCTTGTTGAAGAAGTCTTTCAGCAAAATTATTGGCACTTTCTGCGCGTACTCTTTCATCATTGATATAATCATTTGAATCCAATGCAGGTCCACCATGTGAGCTACTTACATTTCTCTGTTTGTGTGCATCAATATCAGATCTAACGGAAAATAATAAATTATTTCTATTCCTATCATCCTTAATTATTGATTTAATTTTATTATATGCCTTTTTCTGTTCATTTAAATTTTCTTTATGTCTTTGTAATTGTTGTAATTTTGAAGTTGAGAGTGACAAATCAGATTCGGATATTCTTACCAATGAACCAATTACTTCTTCTCTTTTGGAAAGTATTTCATCAATTGAATGGTCTAAATTAGATTCTTCATCCAGTGGTGATGTAGTTGAAGTATTTTGAAATGTTGAGTATTTGGATAATAATGCTTCCGTTTGCTTCTCAAGATTAAGCGCCTGTGCCCTGGTTTGAACAAATGATGGAGCTGACATAATCCGAGTATATTTCTATTCAATAAATGTTATATTTTATATAATAATTGATTAGCAACAAGTTACCATGATATGTATAACTACAGTTTATGATTGTGTGTTGTTAAGTTTATCCTCCGATTTGGTCACGTGAGTGGGTAGAAAAAAAGAACCCACCTAATTAAATCTATCAGTTGAATATAATTGATACGGAATTTGAGCTTTATAGTAAAGAAAAAAAAAGAAATATAAGGATAAAATACTATGTTTATGTGTGGTTTGTTTGTTCTTCATCTCTCGAAATATATGTTCTTAAATAATTAAAAAAAGCTGTTAATAACCTCGTGGATCAATCCTTATTTAACAAGGTTTCAATTTGTTGGTTGCAATATTTTGAGGGGTTCTCTGCAGGTTCAATTGTGATTACCTAGCATGATGATGAGGAGAATATATAGAGCAATATAGAGAAAGAATTAAAGTTACTTCACTCTTGAGGGTTTAAATTTCACAATATGACTTCTCCAATATCGCCAGACTCTTTGCAACATATTCAACCTGAACCATTAACTCTTGAAGAGATGAATTTAGAAGAAAGTATAAGCTTGACACCAAGCACCACTGGTGAATTACCTACTGAATTTCAACCTCAACAACAATTCCCCTTACTTAGGAAAATATTGGGGTACTTGACCAAAGTTCAAAAATATACCGGATATATGTTTACTACTTTTGCTGGTTTGCATCTTGCATCAGTAGTAATCACCCCTGGATTAGGAATATCCATGGCAAAATCTCAAGACATGTTTGAATTAGCAAGAACTATTTACCTTCAAATTCCTGGATTTGAGTTTATGTTTGTCACTGGGGCCACTGTGGCTCATGTTTTGAGTGGGGTTGGAATCCGTATGATCAGAAATCATATTCGTTATCAAACTAGAACAATGAGACCAACAAAGAATGATACTCCAATTTTGACCGATTCTGAACGTGATGATATAGGCTTAGGAGGGATCACTGGATTGATAGGTTTAGGATATCGTAAGGCTTGGATCTCAAGATTAATTCCAGAATTAAGTCCCCTTGCATTTTCTGGTTATTTACTTATTCCAATTGGATTACTTCATTACTTTGAATTCCGTTGGTCTCCAATGATTATTGATGGGGATTCTTCCTTGATATCCTTGCAATATATTACTCATGTACTTCACTTCGAAGCTTGGCCATATCAAAACGTTCTTAATTTTGCAGGATTGGTAGGGTTAGTTTGGTTGGGTCTGTATCATATGGTTAGTGGTCTTTGGAAGATTAGAAGAAGATACAGTGCAAGAGATAAGAAATTAGGCTACTTCATCATAAACATATTAACAGCCTTGAGTGTTGTTAGTTTATACCGTTTCCAGCGTGGCAGTATTGATACTGGATTCATGGGTAAACAATTCACAAAGTATCTTCGGTACTTTTTATGGTGATTATATCACTTACAATATAATGAAATGGCAAAAGATTTGATAATACTAGATATACATATATATAGAGATGTTTGTTTTTTTTTTATTTCGTCTTTTCCTTTTCTTTTCAAATGCATAACATCTTAATCTGAGTAATAAATATACAATAAATATTGTGTAGTTGGTATTGAAGAGAGTCCGATCGACGGAATCAACTTAAGCGTGGGCTGCGACAGCTTCAGGTCCAAGAGTTGGCTTTGCCATGGATCTCTTGGTTCTGTAATCCTTAACGGCACTCTTAATGGCGTCTTCAGCAAGCATGGAACAATGTAACTTCACTGGTGGTAAAGACAATTCCTTGGCGATGGCAGTATTCTTAACTTGAAGAGCTTCTTCCAAAGTCTTACCCTTGACCAATTCAGTTACATATGAAGAAGAAGCAATGGCAGAACCACAACCAAAAGTCTTAAACTTGACATCCTTGATAATTCCGGTCTTGTCATCCACTTGAATTTGAAGTCTCATGACATCACCACAAGCTGGAGCACCAACAAGACCAGTACCAACATCAGCATCATTCTTGTTTAAAGTACCAACGTTTCTTGGGTTTGAGTAATGGTCAAGCACCTTTTCGTGATACATTCTCTTTGAGGTAATTCCAATAGCAGTTGGGGTAACCATGGCCGATCTAGTAACAGCGGCAACGGCAGGTCTGAGAGCAGAAGCTCCGGCTCTTCTGGAAACAGCAACTAAGGATCTGGAAAACATTTGGATTGTATGCTTTTTGAATATATGATATGAAGAAACTAAAATTAACTCTTTGGAAAGAAATAAATTTAAAATTAATGTCACTCCTTCTCAAATACTTTTAGTAGTTTTTTTTCCAGTTTATCTTTTTCATCTCACACAAATGCGTAATTACTCGTTGTTAACGTCAGTGAGTGCGATTTGTAAGAGGGGATGCAATTATCGATATTTACACGACCGGACCCGCTCCAAACCTGGTAATGTGCAGGATTGCTTGCTAATACTAACCGTTTCTAGACAATTTTGGATTTGTAGTGGCAAAAAATTGACGTGTTTGGTAGTGTATTCCCGATTCCGGAGTCTCCCCCTATCCTCAATATAAGATAAGACATGACCATAATTTGAGACTTGTAGTTTAATTTTCATTGAAATGAAACGTTAGGGCTCATAGAAGGGTCCTGCAGATATTCTTCTTCTTTTACAATGTAAGAGATAAAATGATTGTTTATGGGTACTTAGTTTTCTACAATAGTGAATTAAGAATTTATATATATCCCTTAAAAAGCAATATCGACTAGGAAGAATCGGTAAATAGTACTTGCTAGAGACTTAATTCACTAGTTACTATATAATACTACTAATTCCATTGATCAAATTGGAGTCATAATTAGAGCAATAATCATATATAAATAGTGTAATAGTAATGTTATCATAATCTACAGTACTTTTAAATTTTCGGCAAATTACTGCGATTTGAAAAATGCTGACCACAATTAAATAATAATAGCCGTCGTCATCTGCAGGACATTCGACCGAGTCCCTTACTCAATTTCAAAGAATGAAAATACCCGAAGACACATTTGAATTCTAAAGAAAAATAATAATCCTTCTTTGTAGATGGTGTTTCAAATGCATTATTAGATTCATAGATATATAGATTCATGTAGGTGTGAACCTTATAACACTGAGAATTCATTGTAGATATGTATGAAAAATCTTTGCAATGCAGAAGGATTGGGTACTATTCGTCAATGACATCTTCGTGCATGCGGGACACCACGGATGCCCTTTTATTTTATTTTTCTAAAGGGCATTCGTAACATGTTCCATAAAAATACACTTTCTATATACCGGAACCCCCGTCGAGTTTCGATTGAAAGTATTTTAATCAGTCTATGTATACAATTAAGAGGGTTTAAAGTTGTTATCTTAAGTTCCTAGAGTTATATCTGTTATTTTTCAATCTTGAGGTTTACTTTAATATCTTGAATTATAAAAAAAAAAGCTAACAAAATTTGGTAAACATTACTTTTTTTTAAATGACAGACAGTTCAGCTCCTCTACCGGGCCCTCAGTCTGGTAGTGGATTACCTGCTGGTTCACCCAATGCCCAGTCACAGGCTAGTACCGCAGTAGCTCCAACAGACTATGAGACGGGTGTTTCCAATGGTGATGTTGATTGGTTATTTAGAGGGAAATCAAAGAAACTTACCAAGAAAATGAACAATCCATCAGCTGAGAAGGAAAAGAAACCAAGTATTGATAATATTGATACTACTATTGAATCTAAGGATACTTCCCATACTACTACCCTGAAAGGTTCAACCGATTCCCTGTCCGAGGAAAAATCCCTGGTAAAATCACCTGTTGTTTCACTGCCTACTTCTTCCACGCCGCCAAAGGTGAAACATACAACACAACCAGATCAATCTACTACTACTAGAGTACCTTCTACAACTCCAAATGAGGTCAAGGAGCAAGAAAAGCCTTCAAAACTTGAAATGTTTAGAATTGGAAGATCTCGTTCTTCGTCAACAAATTCACAATTACAACATGAAGCTGATTCCATGGTTTCTCCTTCAACTACGTCTCTGCTGAATAATCTTCCCAAGAGAAGAAGCAGTTTAGGTGGGTTTATACCGACGTCAAGTCCACCACAAAATCTGTCGAGTATATCTCCAAAGGCGTCGAAACAAAATGGTTCTAATCATACCAATAACCTGGCAACATCGGATTCATCTCCAAATGTATCGAGATCTAATTCAACGGGGAGTACTGGTGGTAAAACAAGATCTTTGTTTAGTTCAATCTCATCTAAATTTAAGTCGTCATCTTCTACGTCATCGGCTAACCCAAGTGCTGCACCTTCTCCTAAATCTTCGTCCTCTTCTGTTATGGCAGATTTACCATCAAACCCTTTTAACTCCATTGGCGCTTCTACTCCTAATGTGCCCAAAATTCAACCGAATTTATTGGGAGTATCTGGACATCATACTGCTACCGGTAATCAAGATTTAGCTGCATTGGTCAATAAACCACCTAATGGAATTCCAAGAAGACGTAGTTCATCAGCCCTGAAACATGCTCAAGCTATACATGATAAGAAATTGTTGGCATCTACAAAAGGATCTGAACAGTCAAATTCAACCCCAGATCGGGTGATTTTAAATAGAAATCCAAGAAGAGAAGGCAAAATTCCTATTGATGAATTGGGTGGAATTTCAATGAGAAGAGTCACATTTGCTATCGATAGATTAGCGTATGATCCTCAACAACAAATTCCATCTAGAAGACCTAAGAAGGGTAACGTTTTGATTCCAGAAGATTTAACTGCTCCTCCTCCAAGATTATCCCAAGGTATATCATTAAGTGATGGAAAAAGTCCAATGCAAGTGGTTGAAAATAAGTATTCTGAAAATGAATTGAAACTGGCAATTGAAGCTCAGAAGAATGCCTTATTAGAAGCTGAAAAGCATGCTCAAGAAGCACATATGACTGCAAAAAGAATTGCTCATGAAGTTTCTAATTATCGTTGTAAAGCAAGTGGAGCAAAAGTTTCAGAACAAACTCCACTTCAAAGGCAAGAAGAAGAAGCTGCAGAAGAAGCTGCAGAAGAGACATCTGATCGTTTACATAATGTGGGTAACATTGAAATTGATAAACCATTACATCTTCATGAAAATTATTTCGAAGAACTGGCTGCTCCATCGAATAATGGAGAAGTTTATGCAGATGACTTGGATATTGTTGAACATTTATCATTGGAAACTATTTATTCAAGATGTTGTCATTTAAGAGAAATTCTTCCAATTCCTGCAACTTTGAAACAATTGAAAAATAAATCCAAACCTTTACAAGTTTTAAAGTTATTGAATCCAAAACCAACATTAATTGATGTATTATCATTTTCAGATTTCATTGCAATTACTCCTGTCAATACAATTATTTTTGATAATGTGACAATGACTACAGAAATGTTGAAGCATTTTTTGTCGTCTCTTGTTCGTAATAAATCATTGGAAAAATTATCCTTAAGAAACGTTGCCATTGATGAATTAGGTTGGAAATTCTTATGTAAATTCCTTTCCCGAAATCAAACAATTAAGAAATTGGATATATCACAACAAAGAATTAAATCTGATACTCCTCCAAATATGATTAGATCTGCAATGAATTGGTCATTATTGATCAGATCTCTTGTATTGAGAGGTGGTATTGAAGAATTAGTCATAAATGGATGTAAATTATCTGATTCTATGTTTGCTGAATTAATTGAAAAAACTGTCAAAGTTTCTACTTACAGACTTGGAATTGCAGCAATTGAATTGAATGTATTCAAGGCAAAGATTGTTGCAGACTGGATTACTAGTCCTGACTCTAAATGTGTCGGAGTTGATATTGCTTTCAATAACTTGGGATCTGGTCAATTAAAGCCATTCATCGATGCATTCAACAAGGGTAATCTGAATTTACTCTTTTTCTCATTGAATTCAACAAAATTAAATGACATTGAAGAAGCAAGTGAATTACTTAAGTCTTTGTCAAAGGTTAGTTCATTAAAGTTCCTTGATTTAAGTTCCTTGCCAGATCTATTCCCAGGAATTATATCGAGATTGAATAAATTTTTACCAACTTTCCCAAATTTGAGAAGAATTCATTTTGATTTAAATGATTTAACTCCTCAAGCTATTGGTGCTATTGCTGACATCTTACCAAAGATTGATAGTTTGATTCATGTCTCCTTTTTGGGTAATCGTCAACTTAATCGTGGTTCTGCTGGTACTCTTTATACTGCAGTTAAAATGTCAAAATCTTTATTTACATTGGATTTAGACTATGATTTGGTACCTGATGAACTTTCACAAAGAATCGCTTTCTATTTGATGAGAAATATGGATAGAACAATGAATCAAGATGTCTCTATGGCTCATAATGATGATGAAGAAGAATTGATGTTCGATGGTTCGTTATTGATGGAAACAGCCGAAAAGCTATTAGCAGCTGATGATAAGAAGTCCGATAAGAAGGAGGACTTGAAAATTCAAAGACTTATTACAAACGCATTGATCAAAAGAACTAGAGCTGTTAGAAAGGATATTCATCAATCTATTGACACTCTTTTCGTTAAGAGAACTCAGGGTACATTATCATTAGAAGGTAAGGAAACTCTCTTGAGATTTTGTTTGCTTGATTCTTCTTTAGAAAAGGTTGTACAAATGTTTGAAGAACAAGCAAAATCTTACACAAAGGAGAATATTGGTAACGGTGATGGTAAGTTATCACCTTCGCCATCTTATGATCAAACTCAAGAATCTATCAATGTTTCAACTTCCGTAGATACAATGTCTAGAAAGAATAACCCTGGGTTTTTAAATTTGAATCAACTTCATGACACACTTCATGAGAGTTCCAATGAATTAATCACTGCCGGACCCATCTTATCACCTCGTAATACTACTGAAACTAACAATGGATACTTCACTGATCATTTGTTTCAACCTCATCAAGTGGTTGTTGATTCATCTTCCGATGGTAAGGATGTTCCAATTGATAACATGACAGGTAGACCCGTCTTGATTAGATCAATCTCGCAGACATCTGTCCATGCGAAGGAACAAGAACAAGAAGAAGGTGAATTCCATAGGTGGGGTTACTTTATTCAACAAAGAAACAATAATGATGATGAGAAAGATAGCAAGACTAAAGTGAGGGACATGCCAACTCTTAATGTACTTCCATCAGGATCTGAACTTCGTGATGCAATTATCACTGCCAAAGGTATTGAATCGGTAACTGACTTGATTGATAATATCAACAATAATCGAGTAAGTATTGAGAAGATTTATAATCTTCCAAATAAGGAAGATGGAAATGAAACCCAAAGTTCTGACTCTAAGGATGTTAACCCTGGAAAGATATCTTCCCAGAGTCAACAGAGTCTGGCTATTCAAAGTCCTTTGCATGAGATCCACGACGCATCTTCCATTGATTCTCTAGAATTACATGATGCTGAAGATGACCATGATAAAGTCAATGCTGTTGTTGATGAAGTATATGAGAAGCTTTTGAATGATGCCCAAAGAGTTAGATCAAATAGACAAGATTGAGTAGGAAAAGGATCACTTAATGATATATATATAAAGAAAATCTCTGATGAGGTTTTTAAAGACAGGTTATAATTTTTTTTTAATTATACAGAAGAAGCGTATTACAGTGAAATTAAAAGTAAGTTAGTCTAAAATGTAAAATCAATCAAATATGTTTCAGTATTCTAAATGTCGTAATTGAAAGCCATAAGATAAACGGGGTGTGCATCTCCAGTACGCTCATCTAATAATTGGAACGACTCTAATATTTTAAAACCAAAGTGCTCGTACACTTCTCTAGCATGATCGGCGACTGCCTCCAATACTACAGGCAATCCTTGCTCTCTGGCTAATTCCAATATTGGCTTAACTGTGGCGCTAACAGCCCCTTTGACATCTTCTTTCTGTGGATCTTTGGCCAAGTAGTTCAAATACCAATATTTCTTATTAGTAAGGTTATACTTTTTCTTCAATGCAGCTGATTTATCACCATATTCACACACAACGGGGTTAGTAGAAGGAAAGGGGGCAGATTTATGTCCTGGTTCAAACCATATGGCAACCGAAGCATAATCCTTAGATTGGGTCACCCTAGCTCCTGCATCGACGACCTGGCGAGTTCTATTAACAAAGAATTCCTCAAAATGTTTTTCATAGTCCAATTCATCAGCAGAGTCAAGGCCATTGAGAGACGAAATCATATACCTATTTAAAGGAAGGTCAAAGAAGGCTCTAGCAATAACCAGGCCTACTCTAGTTGGCTCAATGTCTTCTTCAAAGCTAAATGTCATGTAAAAATGATGGTCGAATTTTATGTTTTACGAGTAGATCAGTGCGAATTCTCGATCTTTATATATCACCATCCTTATCTATATTTCCGCTTTTAAATTCCGACATTAGTCTACACAGTTTTTTTTTTTTTTTTTTTTAATTAGATATCTTGTTATTCAATATACTACAGGATAGCAAACTAAATAATTTAGTTAGAAGCTTGGAAGTCAGCAATCTTCTTGGCAATCTTAGCTTCTCTTTCAGCCTTGGAGATCTTAACTTGTCTGTACTTCTTAGATTCAGCAGCGTATTGTTCCTTGGTGAACTTCTTTTCAGTTGGCTTGAAGACTGGGTCATCTCTGATAGCTTGGTGAGCTTCGGAGTAAAGTTCTTCAACATCATCAGCGTCAACTTCGTCAGCGATGTAGTTCTTGAAGATAGACTTGTACTTTTCTTCATCATCATCCATCAATTCTTCCATGTATTCAGAAACGTGACCACCGAAGATGTACTTTCTCAACAATTCAGCGTCCAATTCTTCACCTTCGATATCCCAACCTGGGAATCTGTTTGGAGAGTGAGGAACGTACAAACCACCGTCAGAAGCACCCTTCAAGACACCGAAGATTCTGGCACCAGTGGTAGTTCTTTGCAAACCAATGTCCAAGAAAACCTTGAATGGTCTTGGAGCATCTTCAACAGCTTCAGTAAGTTCGAATTCACCTTCAACTTCTTCGACACCCTTGTAGGTTTCGTCCAAGCCCAACTTTTGCAAAGCTCTTCTGGCAACCAACAAACCGGTAGCGTAAGCAGCGGCCCAGTTAGTCAAACCGTGGTTAATACCGTATCTTGGCAATTCATGAGCGTAAGCAGCAGTCAAGACAATGTCACCAACAATTTGGGAAGAGACAATTTGAGCAATGATGTCCTTGTTAGTGAATCTAACAACCAATCTGTACTTTGGGGTGTTGTACTTGGCCTTGTGTTGGGTAACCAATCTCTTTCTTTGGTAGTAGTCGGTCTTACCTTCTTGTCTTCTACGGAAAGGAGTTTGGAAACGGGAGTGGTAAGCGGAGGTCTTTTCTGGCTTTTGGAAAGGCATCTTGAATATAGTTTACTAAAGAACAAAATAGGTTAGAAGTAAAGCTGAAAAAATTTTTTTGAAAAATTATTGGGATGGTGTTCGAATGAAAAAAAAAAAACTCTCTGGTTTGGTACACGACCATGCCACCTCAATTTAGAGATTATTCTGAAAATTACGCATCATGCAAAATATTACGCATATATGCAGCACAATCCAGTAGTGAATGTTGATGAAGATTAATATTGAATTAGAGTATATATATAACACTGAAATCCCATTGTCGTATGTTGAATTGTTTTTCAACTGCTATTTTCAACTTAAACCATTTGTAGTGGTAATAATTGCATTATTTCATGTAAAATTATCATTATGTCTGCGCGTTTACGGATTTTACCCTAGTCCAAATCGAGCAGTACCTAGTATAGAGATGAAGGGAGTGTAGTGCGTGTAATATATCAAATAGTATTGGTTTCTTTTCGCTTTATGGAATGTTACAAACCACTACATGTAACATATAGAGCTTTACTTGTCAAAGTTAGTCCGAATAACTTCAATACACCAACCTTAAAGGTGTGGCCATTAAGATGATAATTGGTTTTTCAATGGAATGCATATTCTTCTGAAAAAAAGATAAAAAATGTGACATAACACATTAAAGTAGAAGCTTAGAAAGGTCAGACTTCGATACAATTGTTGTAGATCCTACTTATTGTGAGGCGAGCATGCGAGGTAAGGTATTTTTAACATTTTTCATTCATGTTATACATATTTCATTAAATATGAACATATACAGCCTTGTAGGGATACTTTAGTAATCATTTTCCCTTTCTTCATCATTTGAAAGAAGTATCCTACACTTATAAATAGTGATTTTGATTGATTTTCCTGCATATAGTGGTCTGTCTGTGTGGACAGTATTCCAGTAAACGAAAACTTGCAAGAAAGGGCTCTTTGGCCGAGTGGTTAAGGCGGTAGACTCAAGTTCTACTATCGTAAAGATGCAGGCGTTCGAACCGCCTAGGAGTCATTATTACTTTCTTTTTTTTATTTTTTGAACTCTTCGACTTCATTAATATGTAAATGTCTTAAACTGCTTCTACCAAATATATCATTGTGAACTAGGTAAGGCTCGTAACTAGTACCATTCTCTTTATATCGCGAATTGAAAGATGTATTCCTCTGTCTTATTCAAAAAAAAAAAAAAAAAAAAAAAGTAAGTAAAGTAAATGGAGCATTCCAGATATATCTACATCTAAATTGAGGCCCTTAGGCAAAATACTAAGTGGAATTTAACTAGAATTACCAGTTGTAAAAGAAATTAATAGACCAGTTGGAAGGCTCCTAAATACTGATAGCACCATATCTATTCTCGATCCAGGTGCGCCTGCCTGGGTTTGTTCTTGCAATAATAATAATAATAAGACCATTACAACCCTTACTCGTGTGTTGATAGAGACTTGTATAAAGTCCATCTAATTAATGTGTATTAAGATTTGGGATTGATGTTTTCTTTTTACATAAAACTAAAAGTTATATAAAATGTACATTTTTGAGTTAAAATTTAAGAGCTGAATTTAAAGATACTATTTGTTTTCAATTTTTTGCTCGATACGTATTAAAAATTGAAAAACCAACTACCAAAACATTAGATTAACTTGAAAACACTAATCAATGGACGCGGAGATAATATAATATGTTATAGGCGATACAAATTAGAATACGGGCGAAGATAATATTAATTCGGTACACAGTTCTTACTAGAAGAAAATTTGCAGCCAAATATAATTTTGTGAGAAGGTACCAAAAAAAGAGCTGAAGTAAAGTTACAATGTCACAACACCCTCCAATTTTACCGGCAATGATATTTCTATAAACCAAACATTAATCCGAGAGGAAACTTGGACCCCTATACCTTGCATACCCTATCCTCAAAACCGGAAGGATTCGTATAGTATGCACAATTGTTTAATTTGTTGGTAGTTCCATATGGTCCATTGGATAGCAAGGTCATAATCTCATTAATTGTAGAATTGAATTAAAATTTATCCCTGACAATCATCATTAACCTTCCATTTTCAATTAAAAATTCTTAGGAAGTTTATCGTTAAACCACGATACGACTTCTCTGCGCAGTATATTTTATACCTTCAATTAAAATATGAATGATGTTATTAAACAAAATTAGAATAAAATCATTTGTACCTAGTAGGCCCTGTATTCTAGGCAGGCTTAAACGAATTATAATACTACTATTTATATCCTTGATAAAAAAACTCGGCGATTTCTCTATTGGTTTCAGTAATGAGAAGTGTAGCCACTTTCCTAATTATCAGAGGACAGATCCAACAAACAAAAAACACCAATACCTACAAACATGATGAGAGACACACGACTGTTTTGGGCTTTTTTATTTAAATATATTCTATTCCATGACACCAGAGATCACCCATTGGGAGGTGGGGACGAGGTTTACTCAGTGTTTCTAGTCATAACTATAGGTCTTAATGTGAAATTAGCGTGGTCGAAATGCGAGACTGAGGACTAAACTTCGATTGGTAATACTCGTCCCTAATATTAAATTAGAGCTGATTCTACAATCATACACGATAATAGCATGTCGTAGATGTAGTGAAGGAAGATGGCACCTCTATTGGTCACTCTCCTTCCAATCATTTTATACCAATACATTGATGAGTTATAAACATGGAAACTCATTGTCGGAGGAGTCTTCTAGGACTCTAAGTGATAGCTAATCATCTCTAAAGCATCTCTCACCATTATTTAGACACCATGCACGTTTCTTAAAGACTACAGCGTCGTTGGTGACAAAATTTGGTCGTACTGCATATACCAGCATAGAAAGATGATAAATAACGACTGCACACAAAACATCAAGAAAGGGCTCTTTGGCCGAGTGGTTAAGGCGGTAGACTCAAGTTCTACTATCGTAAAGATGCAGGCGTTCGAACCGCCTAGGAGTCATTATTTCTTTTTTTTTGAAACTTTTTACACTTTGTATTCAAGTTGAACATCAATTACAAAGAGGAAATTTCTATAACATGTGTGTATATATATAGTGTATTTTTGAACTAAAAATCTAGATACGAGATACTACTCGTAAACTTATTATTTAAAATATAAAGTGGATTCAATCTTGACCTTGTTAATTATGTAGTCTTTTTAACAGAAGTAGCAGCATCCAAAACACCAGGTAACGACTCTGTGCCAACTTCATACAACAACTTAATACCACCTGCAATCAAAACCAACAAGGCAACACCTGTCCACAATAACAAATTTGCTTCTGAAGAAATTTGTTTCTTGCCACAGTCAACACCAGCCCATCTAGTAGTCTTTGACTTCTTCTTGTCAAATGTAGGGGAACACAAACATGACCAACACTTAGACTTCACCTTGCTACATACCCCATGGGAGTTACAGTTTGAAGTTGAAGCTTGACAAGCTTCTTCTGAGCTGAAACAAAAGCCAGAACTGGAAGCCTTTACCAGATCTCTTTCAAAAATTGCTTCCAATTCCTTTGATCTTTTGAATAATTCAGAGTTTCTAGTTTGTTCTAAATCTTCCTTGGAAAGATGGTCAGAAGTAACAAGAACGTCAAGTTCATAAACGTTAGATAATTCGACTAAGAAATCAGCCAATACTTGGGATGAAAATTCAAAAGTTTTAGAATTAAATCCAGCCTTCTTACCAAGAGATGCCAATGAGTTTAATTTAATAAACAAAACATTTTCATTTTCTGGGTTAAGTTCAACATTCTTCAAGTGAATAAGTTGAGAAAGGTCATTAATAAATAATTTATCATTGATAACATCCAAAGTGGAAGGGTTTTGAATTCTATCTTGAATAACTTGTTGATGACCAATTCTTTCCATAGTGGAAGTCTTGAAAGATTTCCAGATACTAAGTAATTTTTCATTGAAAAATTTAAAATGAGTAATTAATTCATGTTCAACTGAAGCTTCATTTGAAGATGAAGTTGATGAAATTAAAACAATTTCTTCAGTTAATTTGTTCGATTCCACACCACGGTTCAATGAGGCATATTGAGTTGGGAAACGATGAAGGACTTGGTTAACCAAGGATTTAGTACTGTCTTCATCACTGTTAATCTTGATGGTTGGGTTAATTCCATTCTTAGAGAAAAGAGTGTTTGGGTGGGCAACACCATTAATAACGGCGATCAATTTTGATTTTTGGTCATTTGTTTGCTTTTCACGTTCATTAGAAAGTAAGTCAAACAATTCTTCATTATCTCCCAAGTTATAATAATCGGAAACATCATATTTATCAGCCAAGTAAATGAGTGCTTCCTTGGTATCAAGTACAGGACTTCTTGCCAGACTTGGAGTGCTCAATTGATAGAAAGCAGCCGAAGTTTCATCGGAAGAAGCAGACACCCCAGAAGCCAACAATGACATGGGTAACAATGCATAGCCCAATCTCATCTTATTTTATTTTATTCCTTAAATATCTATTAGTATTGATTGGTGATTGAACAAGGGTGCTTTGGCCAACACTTTTTTTATCGAATTATTTCTCCCACTAATATTAATCTCAAAAGGGATATGTGCAGGAAAATATAATGGTGTGCATATTGCCAATACATACTTGCTGAGTAGATAAGTACCTTTAAAGGAATTGTATATGCTTAATGTGAATGATAGTTTCTACAATTATAATTTATTTATTTATAAATCTTTTATTAATGATAATGGTTTTGCCTTATTTATTTTTTTTTTTTTAATCTAAAAAATTCCTGAATTTCTTGTTTGTTTTTATGTTTCTATGATATTAAAATGTTTCATCTAATGTAATGGTTGGACTAGGAGGAACTTCATGTTTAATAGATTCAGCACCGGTAGATGTAGCAAGTTTTAATTCTGGTTTAAACAATGTTTTTGTAAGGGATTTAGTTCTTAAGAGTGAAACAGGCTTCATTGAAGGTTGGGTAGATTTTAATTCATCAAGTTGATCTTCAGAATTGAAGGATGAAAGATCTATTCCCATTTTGGACAAGTCTTCATAAACATTGAATGATTTAGGTTTAGGTTCAGAATATTGCTCATCTGTAGGCGACTTAGGTTCATCAGAATCACTTGAAGTATTATAATAGTTTTTAAATTTGGAAAATACTCCAAGGGTATTTTCTTCTTCATTACCATCCAGTCCATCAAAAGATCTTGAACGACTTAAAAGATTTTCTTGAAGTGTCACCTTTATTGATGTATTACTTTTCAATAATGGGTCATCATTTATCAAATATTCATATAATGATTTAGCAGCACATTCATCTTTTAAAATAATAATCACTCTACTTAAAAATGGAAGGTTTGACCAATGCAGTAATTGATTCAAATAATAATCTGGAGTACCTTTAATATCACCATTTATAGGGCCTGGTAAATTCAAGATATTAAGTTTTATTCTATCGACAAATGATAAATTATCTCTTTTGGAACTCGAACTAGTATTTCTTGAACTAGAAGTATATTCTGAATAGTCCCTATTACTACTTAAGAAATCATCTTTAGATAAGTTAGTTAATATGATAGTAGTTTTAAATGTTGGTGGGGTTGGAATAGTTGACATTATGAAGGGATGTGATAAATATGCTTATTTTTTAAAAAAAGAGGTTTGATAATTTTAGAGGAATTTAATCTATCATATATTAAGGGGGAAAGTTACAAGTTTGGTGGAGCCGTATGAGCCCTCCTCCACAAAGATTGTGTATTATGAGATTTGATAGAACTGTCATTCAGTGCGTGCCAAGAAAAATGAGGCATTTGCACTTTTTAAAAAAAAAAAAGAAAGTTCATCTATAGTATTGAAGTAGATAAAGGGCGCAGTTAATCATTCCTGTAGGACAAGAGATATATGTAACATATCAATTGTAACGTGGAAGATGTAGCATATTGCCTCTAATAAAAAAAAAAAAGAAAAGAAAGCAAACCATGTGTCAAGTGACCGAGGTTGAAATGGTTAGACCCCCTTTACGTAATAAAAAAGTCACACTATCAACTTATTATGTAGCACAGCCCTGATCGAAATAAAGATGAGAGTGGAGCGAACATTTTGGATTAAATTTTGAATCACAAAATATGCACTTTGATTGACAATTTTGATATTCATTGACAGTTAATTGTCCATAGCATGAACCACAAAGAATTGCCAATGTATTTCTTTCTTCAATTGACCATCTTTGTGATGGATGGTTAGTTAATTCATCATGACACTCAAAGCATGGGTAATAAATTCCACAACATTTGAATTTTATGGCTATAATATCAACTTCTGAATGGTAATGTGAACACCTGGTATGATTATCTACTAGCTTCCCATCTAATTTATAAGGAATATCCATTTAGAACTTGATAGACATATAATTGTCTAATTATCAGTTTTTTACGATTAAAAATATTAAGCCAATATTTAAGATTGTAGATTATGTATATGCAGGAAATACTATTGAATAGAATAAGTATTAATTTTCCTTTAATTTAATTATTAGTGATATGATTTTGATACATAATTAGATAAACGCCTGTATATCGTACCATTGAATGGAATTCACCTCAAGAATAACAGTTGTTTTTGAAAAATCAGAATATAGTGCACTTATCTTTTGTTATATAATTAATATAGAACATTTTGACCATGACCACGTGAGCTGCTCGCGCCTAAAGAATTGATAGGGGCATGCACGCCCATGCATAATACCCATCGCTTCTAAAAATCCCTCAATGCTTATGTAAAGATGGCTATGCAATTTAGAAAGGGCACCACTTTGACGATAAACTAGAATATCTCAATTAGGTCGGCCCTTCGGACCAAAATGTAGTAGTCATCGGTGATACATCTAATTGATATATTTGGACATAATAATAAAATGCAATTCAACGCCCTCTGTCATCTCTGTTCTTTATTTTGACGTGCAGAGACATCCCATTAAGCTTTTGCAAAAAATATAGGAATAGAGCACAATTAGGCAAAAAAAAAAATAAGAGATTAGAATTAAGACGCGAAAGCTAGTAGCTCTATCTGGAAAATTCGGGTCCACAAATATTATATTGTATTGATGTTGGAGTCTTTTGGATTGGATTCCTATTGGATCAATTGATGTGTAAATGTGTCAAATTTCATTTAGGGTCTAACAAAAATGTTGCATGTCTTAAAACAAATTATCCGGAAGTTAAATTCAAGGGTGACGAAATCGATAGAAACATAGCCTGAGGGGGTACCAGGTATCTCTCTCTCTATTTATATGAATCGACATTATTTGCAATCATTTTATTGTTGCGAATACTGCGAGGCAAATTACAATTGAATTATTATTTTCTTTTTTTGAGTTGCTCTAACGGTAGAAAATAATTTATTTGTCCACCAATACGTAGTACTAAAATTAAATAATAAGCCAAAAAAAAAAGATGGAAAAAAATAAACTTTGATGTACAGGGGAAAGGAACTGGTATTTTGTAGCTTCAACAATACAATAATCCACTTTGTAAAGAAAGGATTCTAAATTACGGTATTGAGAAATAATTTACTACTTTTCTTTTCTCTTCTAGCTGCAATTACTTTACTTTTTCCACAATTATCAAGGAAAGTGGCTTAGATACTAGTTGAAGCAAGGGCAAAGACGATAAAGAGACTCTAAAAAAGAGAGGCGTACGAGACATTTACACAAGAAAGAAATGGTGGCTATCTCTGATTTTCGTAAGGGAACCATAGCCTTAATCATTCTAGGTATTGGTTCCGTCTATTTTACGTTATATCTTAGTATGTATAGAGAAAACTCATATTTATCACCATCTCGTACCGGTGTCCAGCACCCCACGACTCACGGACATCCAACATCACAAACAAAGCCATTAAGTTCAGTTAGGATAACTGACTTTCGTACTTCAGATAAACTTGTGGTTTTCCCTACTGAATTCCATGAATCTGATTTAAAGAAGGCATATACTTCAACATTTGGAGATATTCCTAAAGGTTCAAAATTGATTAGATATAGTTATCAATCTCAAGATATCTTACTGCATCAATTTAAAAGTGTTCCTCATAACTCATTTAATGAAAAGGGATCGAATTTTTCTCCATATACAATGACATTTTTCAATTCATTTACAAATATTGAGAGTGAAATGGATCAATGTTCGAAACTTGAAAATGATGTTGAATTTGATGTTAGTAAATCTCAATTTCTTGACACTACATTACATGATATTATTAAGCAATTCAGAGATGATAACTCTGCTTATTATCAAGAAATCAAGCCTATTTGGGGTGAAACTATCGATAAACAACTTGAAGAAGGTCTGATAGATCAATATTGGTTCCGATTAGCAGGAAGTTCAGTATGGTTGGCTCAATATGGAGTTCATTTTATGGTTAGTAGAGTATTATATTCAGCAGAAAAGGTTAGAAATGTTCCAAATATTTCATTCCTTTATATTCAATTATTTAATGAAAATTGGCAAGAACTTACCAATACAGAATTGATTGTCCCTACCAATGATCCTTATAGGGCAAATGATCCACATCTTGATACAGAAGATTTTATTCATTATTATAAATTCAAAGCACCTGGATTCTTACCAGTTGCTCATTATGTCAATGATATGACAAGATTTTATGGACCTGAAGATCCAAGAATTTTACTTGTGAAGAATAAGTTAGGTTATGAAGAACCATTAGTTGTTTTCAATGCATTCCATAGGAAGGTGAAAGGAATTGAAACTGATGGAGAAGGAACTTCCAAATATAGTTTTGAAACTTATAGATCAATGTTTATGTGTTGGCCATGGCAATTTCAATTTGGTAAAAAGAATGTTGATGGGATTTCAAATGAAAATACTGATATGAATTTATATTCAAGAGTACATGAACTTAGAAGAAAGGGTGCCGAAAGAATGAAAACTCAAAAGAATTGGACTCCATTTGTCAGTTATGATGATAGAATTCAAAATGGTGAATATGATTCTCATGTGTATTTCATCTATAGATGGATTAATTTGGAGATTTTGAAGTGTGACGTTTCTGATTTAACATTTGATCAACCTCTGCAATGTACCTTTGCGTATCGTATGGATGAAAATCTTGCCATTGATGCTCCCGTTGGAGCTATGAGAGGTGGTACACAAATGGTAAATGTTGTTGAACTTCTTCATGACACTTATCGTAATCAGATTGATATTGTAGAACCAATAATTGAATCAATCCCACCAAATAGAGAAATTTGGATTGGATTTGCAAGAGCTCATTTGACCTATTGTGGATGTGGGAAAGATATGTACAGACCAAACTTTGCCGTGATGATTCGAGAAGACGACAAGTTTAAGATTCATACTATTAGTTCATTCCTGTCATTCAATATTGAAGTATTTGGTTGGGACATGAGTCAACCAGATGTATCCTGTGATGATGATGGTCCAAGTGCACTTATTCCTAATGGAATTTCCCTGTGGTACATTCTGACTGAAAGTTCAAAGAAGGATGGTATTATTGACTTTTTGACAATGTCTTTCAGTGTTTCTGATTACACAGTACAAATTATCCATCTTAAGGGTGTTTTGAGAGCACTCCTTACACTTGACAAGAAAAATCCGAATAAATTATTCGGACATGGTGGTAGTGTGGAAATTGGATACAATGATGATAATATCAATTGTGCATTAGAAGAATCGAAACATTTTTGTTCTTTATATGGAGATGTATTTAATGAGAAGATGAATCCAAACAACAACGAAGAAGAAGAAAAGAAGAAGGAAGAAGATGAAAAGAAGAAGGAAGAAGATGAAAAGAAGAAGGAAGAAGATGAAAAGAAGAAGGAAGAAGAAGAAAAGAAGAAGGAAGAAGATGAAAAGAAGAAGGAAGAAGATGAAAAGAAGAAGGAAGAAGAAGAAAAGAAGAAGGAAGAAGATGAAAAGAAAAATGAAGATGAAGAAAAGAAGAAAAAGGAAGAAGAGGAAAAAAAGAAAAAGGAAGAAGAAGAAAAGAAGAAGAAGGAGGAAGATGAAAAGAAGAAAAAGGAGGAAGATGAAACTAAGAATAAGGACGAATAAAATATGGAAATGGTTAAAAGATAAGATAGAGAATATCAGATCTCAGATCAATAAATATGACGTAAGAGTAAAATCGGAAAAATGAGAAATGAAAAATTACACCAAGATAGAACAATGATGGATATTAATTATAAATAGAAAGTCTTACCGAATAGAAATAATAAAATAATTCCATACAAACAACCGTAGTAAGCTATTGTTCCCAACTCACCTATTGTAAACATGTGAATATTGCAGATAAAGGAATAATATAGCTATCACCGAAAGGGATGTTGCATTCGGTGAAAGGGATTTTTAAAACGCCGTGAAATCGAAGATTTTCAACATGCACGGCCACAATTGTCTATGAAAGAAGTGGCTGATGCTGCAGAAAAGCATGCAAAGGAATCGTCTTTTTCAGGGCTCGCAACAGCGAACGAAATTTTTTATGACGAAATACAATAAAGAGAACAAAAATGCGATCATGCATTTTTCATCCGTAAACTCAACGTAAACAGAGACTGCAGATTTAATTCCATGAATCAATAAAACAATGCCGTTCGTAATGAGAATCTTTTTATTTTCTCCAAGATCCTCGGCGATGCATGATTACCGTGCATTTGCGGCTATGCACTATATACTGTTTTTTTCATGTAGAGAGATGACCATGTTCTGAACGGTATTACCCAAAATTTATTATATAGTCGGAACGATTCATATATATATATGATGTATATTTATATACAACTTTGATTGACAAACGAATACTTGGGTCAATTATTTTTTTTTTTAGTTGATATATGAAACTGGAATTACCTTCAAGCACGGGTAAGAATAGGAAGAATAATTAGCCGTGGCACCATAATCACTACACAAGTATTTGGAACAATTCTTATCTATCCAATCTATCGAAGAGAAATTTATTTTATTGAAATTATCAAGAAATAGATTTGTTCGTACATATATCCCTTTGGCCATCCCAGAATCGTGTATATTTTCTCACAAATTTTGTTATTCTACTGTTTTTCTACTAGAATTCCAATTTTCGTGTTAGCTATTGAGTCTAGACTCTTAGCATTCTGCAATATATACAAATAGAAATAGCTCAAATTGAAGGTTTTTAGAATATCCTATTATTTTCAAAGAATATTGGGATCAAATCTCCACTTTTGATTTCTTTTCTTTATTTTACTCACTACCCAAATAAGGAACTCATCAACTAGCATCGGGGAGACCTGCACAATTCTCTTCCCCCAAAAAAACACCATATGACTGCAACATTAATGGAACCATTTCACATGAATCAAGTCCCTTCAGATACACACAATGAAGAGCTTCTTAATCGACTACATAACACCAGAAACAAGTTGTTACATGAATATGACGTTCCATCAAATCTTTTGACTGAACTTTTAGAATTGTTGGATGATTCATATTTGGTGATCTCAAGTATTAAATCGAATGAATCGTCAAAATTAATGACTCCAATAAAGAAGAAACAACATAACGATCTGTATCAGACACCAGCAGACCAAGTTTCCATTCCTGAAAACCTCGCTCCTATTCAATCACATCATCTGGATACATTAGATGAAGAACCAATTGAGTTCTAACTGTAAATATTTTAACTCGATCCGGTTTGAAATTAATATTGCATAATTCATATTTTGGATCTATAGTATTTTCTAGATTTGCAACCGCAAAGTCCCAGGAGTGGCAGCGCCATAAACGAAGAGAATTTAGAAATATTACGCTAAATAAATTAATAAATAAAAAAAAAAAGATTAATCAATTGGCAACCAATATACGAAAAAAGAAAAGAAAAAAAAAATCAATGTAAACGCGATGTAAAGGTTTGTAGGGCTGAAGTGTCTCACCAGGAAATAAATAGACGATACAGACCCCAAGAGAATATCAATGTAAAAGCACATTTCCATCCACCACCATCTACATGACCTGTGGATAGACGTTGTCAAGGAGATTTAAACCATTTAATAAGGAGTTTAGACGCCCCTTGACTTGCCTCACAACCAATATGCAGTAAAATGATCAAAACAAAAACAATAAACACAAACAAAAGCTTCGCGACACGACTCACCCCTTACAAGGGCTAAAGAACATTATTCTCATTGCGATGAATGAGATGAAATCTAAGTATTATACCAGATATGTGTCCGTAATCTGTATAATGGCACATGTAGAGGCTCCTTGTAACTCGTATCCTTACTATGTAGACACTTTCTCATACAAAATCATTTGCTTTATTGACGTGGTTGAGCTTTTACAAATGATTTCGCAACTGTTTGTGTACACTTCATTTGTTACAAGTTTATTTGTTTATTATTTACAGTGTATGTTTTTTTGTTATTTTTTTTTTAGACGTATTTTTATTTGAACATAGGTTTGTTGTTAGAGTTTAAACTTGATAATTTATTCTATACTCCTTCTAGTTATATTCGCTCCGAAGTTGAATTCCATCTCCATCAGTTGTATCCCATCATCCCCAATCGGAATCCATAAAGCAGACTACCTAACTACACTTTGGTAATCAACCAATTTGCTTTTTCCGACCTTTATCATACTTCAAAACAACCCCAAACACACACACACACACACATACACACAGAAGCAAAGGACCAAAAAGTTTTCCACACCCCAGTTACCCCAATTTCTCTCTTTTTTTATAACCCTATTCTAACTTCATAATATCAGTCGCTCGCTAGCATTCCCTTTATCCCATATTATCAATTAGTCATTCTTTTAATAACAACACATCACATTCATATAAAATAATTCAATATGAAAACAACATCTACATACTCAATTAATGATGAAAATATCGAAATCAAACAAAAGAAAGTACTTCGTGCCCCACGTAAGTTACTGCCAAATAGAGAAGTTCTTGGAGATGTAACCCAACATAATGAAAATAACTTTAGAACTAAAGCAGATGGATTACAAAAACCTGCTCAAAGAGTTCAAGTATATAAATCAAAGAAACCAAGATTAGAATTCCAAGGGGTTGAAGATGAAACTGATTTTGAAACAGAAGATGTTGAGGTTCAAATTCCTGAAGAAGACAATAGTCATGATGTTATTAAACGCCATTTCGACCAAATGGGAACTAGCTCAGATAGCATTGCTGAAGCAGCATATAACGAGACACTCGAGCAAGTCCAAGATCAACTTCACCTTCATGGAGTAGTTGGTAGCATTCCACAAAAGGAATTAGTGGAAAACGAGGTCGTTCTCGTTGAAGAAGATCATGAAGAAGAAGATGAAGAAGAAGAAGAAGAAGATGATGATCAAGAAGCCAAATATGACGAGCTTGCCCCTATGGAGCCACATTGGAATAAGGCAATTTTCAATGAACTTCAATATGTAATGAAGAAATTTTCAAGAAATACTTTGGATGATAATGATGAAGATACTTATGATGTTACTATGGTTGCAGAATATGCACCAGAAATCTTCAATTATATGCATGAGCTTGAACATAAGTTAGCCCCAGATCCAAGATATATGAAACATCAAGATGAATTGAAATGGGAAATGAGAAGTGTCCTTATCGATTGGGTGGTTCAAGTACATTGTCGTTTCAATTTACTTCCTGAAACCTTATATCTTACTGTGAATTATATTGATAGATTTCTTAGTAAGAGGAAAGTTTCATTATCAAGATTTCAATTAGTTGGAGCCGTGGCTCTTTTCATTGCTGCCAAATATGAAGAAATCAATTGTCCAACGGTTCAAGAAGTTGCATATATGGCTGACAACGCCTACAGTATCGATGATTTCTTAAAGGCTGAAAGATTTATGATTGATGTATTAGAGTTTGATATGGGATGGCCAGGACCAATGTCATTTTTAAGAAGAACAAGTAAAGCTGATGATTATGACTATGAAACCAGAACATTGGCGAAATATTTCTTGGAAATCACCATTATGGATGCAAGATTTGTTGCATCTCAACCAAGTTGGTTAGCAGCCGGTGCACATTATTTATCTCGTCGTTTGTTAAACAGAGGAGATTGGACTGAGGGTCATGTGTTTTACTCAGGATATACAGAGTTACAATTACGTCCATTGGCTGAAGTTTTACTTGAGAATTGTCGTAATGCTTCAAGCCATCATAAAGCCATTTTTGAAAAATATCAAGAACGTCGTTATCGTAGATCTGCTACATTTGTACAAGAATATTTTCAAGCTATCGACAGCTAAGTACAAAAACGAACATGATAGCAAACAAAAACTGATGTTGATATATTTTTAATTATGGTTTTATCTTTATTATGAAACCCATATCAATCAAATATTAATGAATTTTTCATTAATATTCATTAACAGAGAATTTTATAATTTCTCTTCATTTAAACTCCACCTCGTGTACATTAGTCCTAAATTAGGAATCTTTACTTACTTTAAATTCATGATCTACATTAACTTTTTATATAAAATGAAAATACAAGCCTATACTTATTAAATTGAATGTATACAAAACAATGGTAATATTGTAACCACTTGAATAGTAAAAGTCTATTGTTTGTAGCATATACTATAAAGTTCCCCAAGTCGTGTATATAAAATGTTGGTATTTACTTTGATTTTTACACGCACCATCGGAACGAACATATAATATATGAGGAAGCATCTCATCAGAAATAAATTCATGATTGATCCCTATCATATTTAATAATCAATCAAAATTAAAGAAGTAATGTCATCCAGATTATTTTCCTCTGCTGTTTTGCGCCAATGCGCCAAGACCATGGTTGCTAGACCATCTTTCACTCTCAGAGCTATTGCTCCAGTTATGTCTTCCCCATCTAGAGTTATGGGTGCTAGATTCATGTCTACTGAACCAATTGCTGCTGAATTACGTAAGGTTTTAAACACTGAATTACACGATGCTGCTGAAATTGGTAACGAATTAGACCCTGAATACAAGGCCTACATCAAGGATAGTGGTTTCAAATTAAACCAAGTTGAAGGTGGTGTCACCGTTCAATTGACCAAGTCTACCGGTCCTAACGAAGTTGTTCACGTCTTTTTCGACGCTGACGATGTTACCAACGTTCCAGCTGAAGCTGCCGAAGAGGGTTTGAATGAAGAATCTGCTTATGAAGATGAAATGGAAGCCATTGATGAAATGATGTGTGCTGCTAGAGTTGTCATTGAAAACACTGAAAACAACACTGCCTTGTTTGTAAACTTATTTTTGGAACCAGAAGCTGGTTTGGTTGTTGATCACTTCAACACTCAACCAAATGCTACTGAATTCCTTAAGAATGCTGCTGAAGGTAAGTTCACTGATGTAGTCTCTTACAGTGGTCCTTCTTTCTCCATGTTGGATGAAAGTTTACAAATCACTTTTGAAGAATACTTGAATTCTAAGGGTATCAACAAGGACTTGTCTGAATTCATTACTGCCTACAGTGAATTTAAGGAAGAACAAGAATACCGTAAGTGGTTGAAGGATGTCAGCACCTTCTTTGCTTAATTTTAATTGATTTTTTGCAATTAAAAATGAATGAATGAATGATTTGGAGTTAGTGCTTATTACGAAATATTGCTAGTTCTACAACAAAAGAAAGTCAATTGATACTCAAGTATATATAAAATTGAATAATCCTTTTTTTTTTCTTGGAAGGACCTCTTTTATACATATACTTTTTGTTGTCAATCCTTATCTCTCTCCTACATGTAATATGTATCTATCTCCATATATATTTCTCCTTGTCTATAGTCTTATTGAATATCCTGTATATAACCCGTAAACTATTGTAGATATTTTAGAAAGAGAGAGAGATGGTTTTCGTGACTGCTTTTCCAAGTTTTCACGTGATACATATACCAACCATTTTGCACTATACTTTTTTTTTTTTTCGGGACTGCCATTTTCAATCGGGTAAATGGTGAAAAATGTTCGCTTCATAGACTCTAACAAAAGTTAAAGTTCGACAGTTTTAACTAACATAGTACAATTTACGATCACCGTATATTAATAATGTCTGAAGCTTCATTCTCTTACGCTGCCTTGATCTTGGCTGACGCCGATCTCCAAATCACTGCTGACAACTTGTTGGCTATCACCAAGGCCGCTGGTGCCACCGTTGAATCTGCCTGGGCTGATGTTTTCTCCAAGGCTTTGGAAGGTAAGGACTTGAAGGAATTATTGTTCTCTTTCGCTGCTGCTGCCCCAGCTGCTGCTTCTGGTTCTGCTCCAGCTGCTGCCGGTTCCGCTGACGCTCCAGCTGAAGAAGCTGTTGAAGAAGAAAAGGAAGAATCCGATGACGACATGGGATTCGGTTTGTTCGATTAAACGTGTTAATGTGTTAAACGCATTGCATGAAATCCAATAATCTAAATATCAAAGTTGTATCATAATGAAATAATCCTTTATGAAGTTGGAAACACTTGTAGACTACGGAAGATTTGATATTTCGAGCCTGTAGATTCTTTTTTTTTTTCGCTTTTGTTTTGTATTCATTGATGAAGGAGTTCTGATATAATTTCCTGACCAAATCTTGAAATGAATGATATATTCAGTTGTTTATGATTGTTTGTGGAAATCCTTATAAAGGAAGTGTTCGCAGATGTGCATTGATTAAGTCAACAGTATGGTGAATGTCACTTATTGCGATTCGAACTGCAATTAGAACTGCTATTAGATTGGTGCAATTATCCTTCGATTCTTTATTGATTTGACATACATGGACATGGACATACATGTTCGCTCATCTATGACCTCTCTTTCACCCTCTATCAATTCTACATAATAAATTTGTATTTTACACTCATACCATCTATTTGTAATGTACACGGTCCCAATGGAATCAATGGAATCTTAACTACAACATACTACTATTACAAGCGAAGTCAGAAATAGATATAAAGAGTAGTGTACCTTGTGTTGAACCAACAATTTGTACCCGGCCCCCTCTCTTGATTAACCCTCTCATATCCACTCCCCCCCCCCCCACAAAACAGGAGAGTTGTACATGTTTGACGATCCCAAGTATAAAATTGCTTTGTTCTTTTATAACAAGTCTTTTTTTAGCAGTATTTCATATGGTACCAAGTTTCAATCTGTTTTAGCTAAAGCGCATTATGCGAGTTTGACATATTTGTGGCCAATAATATATGAAAACTACAATTGAGAGATCTATACACTTGCAAATATTATTCACTGATCAATCAATCTAAACAGTGACTCGCATTCATAAATATACGTTATCTCTCGGTAATAACTCTTCGGCTAAATACGCATATACTGCTAGATGTTACACATTGATGATTGGTTATGAATCAATGTTCGATAAATTAAGTTTCAAGGAATTAACCCTTAAGCGGCTCAGGGAAAAACACTCATTATGTCTACATACCTTAATTTATCTGCATTTGGAATACATTCTTCGCCCATGACATAAACAAAATTCCTTGATATTAGATATATATACTTGACGTAAATTTGTAGCTACCTACAATTTATTAAATAGAATGGGGAGTTGAGTTTAACAAAATACGTCAATTAACTGTGTCCCCACGTTTTTGTACCAAATTCATGCAGGCCGATTGTGTTGCATAATTAACCACCGTTTCATTATTAACTGTCAAGAGACGTAGTTGACAACAATCCCTAAATTCCACTGTTTCTTCACATTTTAAATTTACCTACAACTTCGTTTTTGGATGTCATGTACCCATTGTGTTTATTTTTTTAAAAAATCATCTTCTTATTTCTTTAATAACTTGTAAAGTAAATGTATCGGTTTAAGTTTGATGGCATAGATATGCCAATACTTAGGAAAATACAAAAGCCACGAAGGATTGGTGTACTATTACTAATTTCGTCATTTATTACAGGATTATATTGGATATTATCAGTTAGCTCTCGGCCTCATATATTTGGTGATCTTGTACAACATGGTTATACCATATCTGAATATGCACATGATGTAAATAATCGATTTATGATAATTCAAAAGCACTTTGGAAGTCATCTTGCTCCAAAGGATGAGAACATCAATATATTTTGGAGGTTTTTAAATCTGGAGGGATCTGAAAGGGTTAATTATGACGTTCATTTCGTCGACGGATATGATTATGATGATATGTTGAAGGCTCAAAAAACGCTTATTGGGGATAGAATGAAGTATTCTGATCTGGATCGATTGAAAATGGAAACCAATTTCTGTAAGGAATTCCAAACATTTCTTGCAAATCTCCTCAAATCAATTCAAGAATGTAAACCAAGAATAGATCTGATAAATAATAATGAACATTACCCAAACCAGGAGAATTCGAAATATCCTACTAGAGAAGGACGTGCGCCTCTTTATGGTGGGCATTTGAGAGAGAATTATTTACAAGAGCCAGTTAGAACTGAGGAGATGCTTAGCTCCTATTTGCATTTAACAGAGGAAGAATTGAACTCATTAAAAAGTTCACATGATTCCTTTTTGTCAATAATGCCACAAGAATTCCCTCAAGAATTGTTTAATAATAGTTTGCATAACAATTTCATGAAGGGTGATGGAATTATGTACTTGGGAGGTGGTAGATATAATCAATTAGTATTGCTATCTTTGAAGACATTAAGAGACCTGGGTTCAGAATTACCGGTGGAAGTTATCCTCCCTCAAAGGTCCGATTATGACATTGGTTTCTGTCAAAATATACTACCATCGTTTAATGCAGAATGTAAAGTGATGACTGATTATCTTCCATTAGAATATGTTGATAAAATTGCAGGATATCAATTGAAGAATGTTGCTTTGATCATATCGTCATTTGAAAGAGTTTTGTACTTGGATGCAGATAATTTGCCTATCAAGAACCCTGATGTATTTTTTTCAAATCCACCATTTTCGAGTCAAGAGATGGTTATATGGCCAGATTTATGGAGAAGATCAACCTCTCCCTATTTCTACAAAATTGCAGGTATTCATGTCGATCCTAAAAACAAAACACGAAATAGTTACTTTCATGACGATCCCAAGGGGAAATCGGATTTAACCTTCTCTTATCATGATTGTGAAGGTGCTATTCCAGAAGCATCATCAGAAACTGGTCAAATCTTGATTAATAAAAAAGTTCATTTCCGGACTTTGGTCCTATCGATGTTTTACAATTATTTTGGGCCAGAATATTATTACCCATTATTGTCACAGGGGGCAGCCGGCGAAGGTGATAAGGAAACTTTCATAGCGGCTGCACATAAGCTCAAGCTTCCGTATTACCAAGTTCAGGAATTTACAAGGGAATTTGGACCTCCTTCAAAAAACTCAAATCAGCATCAATTCTTTGCTATGGGTCAGTACGATCCCATAGTTGATTTCATTCAAAAAGAAAATATTAAAGACAAAGGAATTCGAGGAAGCAGTACAATGAATCATTATAGTGATTCAGAACCCGTCCTAGCTACTAATGAGTATGATTTGGGGAAGAGTAATTACAAATACCATTTGTTTAAATCTTCACAGTTATTTTTTTTGCATGCCAATTGGCCAAAACTAAACCCTGAAGAATTGTTTCTCTCGAATGCGTATGGAAGAGGACCAATTCAAGATGGAATTAGAATTCGCTTATATCAAAATGATGTAATCAAAGAATTAAATGGATACGATTTTGAATTGCAAATAATGGAGAATCTACATTGGCTTTATTGTGAACATGATTTAGATTTAAATGGTCTTGCACCTCCAAACCTGCCTAAACGTCAAGAAATATGCATTCAAATCCAAAACGAAGTACAGTTTCTATCAAAAGATAATTTCCGATCATAACTTTTGAGTTTGTCTTCTAACTAAAGTTTTGAAGTCTTGGAGGCCCTCGATAGAAGTACAGGAGCCTCCACATACGACCACGACTATAATATCATCTTCTTTCAACGGAAAGTTTTTCTCTAACAACTGGATTTGGTTATAGACGACTGATAGGGCCGCTCCACATGCTGGTTCAACTACAATTCCAGTTTGTGTGTAAAATTGGATCAAAGCCTTAATAGTTTCCAAATCATCAATAGTTTCAATATAAGATTTGTAACCATTTGGATCCACATAATTTTCTAGACTTTTAGGAGAAAGATAGGAACAAGCCAAAGAAGTTGCAAGTGAGCTCACTGACTTCAAAGTAATGACTTGTCCAGCATTTACAGACTCTGTCATGGTTGGTGCTTGATTTGTTTCTATCAAGAGCATGCTAGTAGCTTTGTCAATCTTGTTTTTCTTTAACCCATCAACTATTCCATTGTATAAGCCACCACCACCAACAGAACACACAACACTTTTCATCTTCTGCAATTCGCTACCAGAAAGCTGGTTAGATATCTCATCGATAATGGATGAATGTCCTTCCCAAATCAAGGGATTGTCAAATGGGTGACAATAGATTATATGTTTTTCTTTATATACTTCCATTACTGTATTTTTCAAATAATAATCTGCTTCATTGATGTTCTTACCATACACAACAGTCTCAGCATTATATTCTTGTAATTTTGCCAATACTTCAGGCTTTGAAATCCTTGGGAGCACCACTGTACATGGAACTCCATAGAATCTAGAAGCATATGCAGCTGCTAACCCAGCATTTCCACCTGAGCTTGCAAGTACTTGTATATTATCTTTCCCCTGACGCCTTGCTTCCTCGACTGATTTCCCAACAAGGTTGCCAATTCCTCTAAGCTTAAAACTACCCGAAGGTTGTTCATATTCATTTTTAAAAAATACCCTACATGGGGGTTTATATGGAAGGGTATTTGTAACTTCGACTAGTGAAGTTTTAGCCCATGGCTGCAAAAATGTTGACGTTTCTGTACTGACCAGCATAACAAAAAATAATATTTCTATCTAATTAATAGAGAAAGATATTCTAATTAATTAGACTAAACCAGGCGCGAGTCTAATTGATTTTATACATATATATATACATATAATGTCTCATCTGCCCCTTCTAGTTTTAGCATCTTAAACGCAAGGAAACAAGCATTTTGTGGCTTTAGGTTGACTCGGAAGTCGCGTTTGGAACGCCGCATTGACTCCGCATTTGACTCGGTGCAACCGTTTGTGTGTGGAGCAGTCAAAAACTGACTCAGTGTCGGAACTAGACCTTCCGCATGTGTACCTCCGATGCATATTTCCCAAAAAATTCCTCATATATGCAAGGCATTTGGAACTGAACGGAAACCCTAACCCCCCTCCGGGTTCCCTAACCCCCCTTTAGTGAGCAACTGAAAACCCTAACCTTGTAAGGCATCAAAAAACCACGTGTATTTGACACGTGATGATCTCTTCATCTGTCGTGTATATTTTCAAAAAGAAAAGTCTCCCTTCACATCATTTGTAGGTAAGCACGTGTGAAAGTGGATCATCAAATCATCTCACCTCGTGGTTTCAATATATCAAAACCTATTGATATGCATCTACGTTTGTAATTACAGATTAAATCTGGTAAAATTATCTCGATAAGAAAGAGCATCCTAGAATAAGATCAGTGCATTCGACTTGAGCAAGAATCATGGCTTCACCCATATTTCTTTCGCAGCCATCACCAAGCCTTTCTCCATCAGGTATTCTTCGAGGGGTGCAACTCGGATTTCTTGGTATTTATAGAGCCCTTCAAAATAAAAATTTGGGACTATTCAGAAGAGGCTCAAGAGGTATTAAACATAATGATATATATATTATTATGAAAGATATCTTAAGCATTGAAATAGTGAGATGGATCATCGAGCTTGTCCTAAAGATAGTTTCATTGACTTTATATAAGTATACAGGGTATGATTATAATGAGTCTTTTCAATTCTTTCAAAAAAGAGTCGTTAATGTCAACTTAGCACTGGTAACATTCGCTAAATTACTTCGTCCAGGCTTTAGTGACCATTTTTTACTTGCATCACTCCATTACTTTGATAGTACAACAACACCACCAACTACTTATTACCAGAATCTCATGGATTTAGACACTCTGAAATATACTACAAGTGAAGAACATAATTTCTATTCGACGTATACGGTACGTATTTTGTACAAGTATGGTTTGGTAACAAAAAATAGTATTTCCGGAACAGGTCTTAATTACATTAATAGATACTCTAGTTTGGTGATATATAATTGCATAATTTACATGATTTCATGTATACCACAGAAATATTCAAGTTTCTGCATATCACTATTATTATTTCAAAACTTCATCAATATTTCTGGGGTAACAATTGCCATTTTATTAGCATTGGCATTTCTGAACCTCCCCACAAGTTATAGCATTACAGTGATAATGAGTTTCAACGAATGTCGATTTCTCATGTACGAATTGTTAACACCCTACTTTGATAGAATTAGGTTCACTAAGCTAGAACGTGAACAATGGGTCAAAAATAGAGAAGGGATTCTCTTTGGATTTGCAATTTGCTTCGATCTTTTAATGCATCACATGTCTTACGGGGGATTGTTTGTATTAAGATTGTCCGAACTCAGTCTTGCATACCTTATCATTAAACTTTCTGATCCTCCACCAACGAGCCAAAGTCAACTTATTAACTGGACGACTTCCCAAATCATTTGGAACAAAGAGAAGGAATCACACGTATTAACCGGAGATTTTGTAAATGATGAAGGATTCGCTTCAATTCCAGGATCATATATCCTAATTTGAAATTCATAAATGAATACAAATATCATTATTAGAAAATCTATTTCTTCTTCTTAAAGGTTCTATTACCACTGTAGGCACAATAGTTTAGGTTTACGAGTAATTCTTTAACCAACCAACTGTCAGAATAATATTCATCTAAAACATAATTAAATGAGCCAGTCTCGCTCGTTTTATTGTTTAGTTGAATCAATGGTAATAAGGTCAACTTACATCTACTCCATTCATGCTCTGTAAATGATTTGACCAGATTACGGGTAATAGGTGCGTTAGTATCAACTCGAAAGCTCTCACTTAAGAACTGGGTGTTGATGGTTACTTCTGACTCGTTTGATATTTGATCACTCTCGAAATAACTTTCTTTCTCTGGGAATGTAGATAATACGTAATAACTTAATCTCATGAAATTATCCAATTCAAATTCGCTACTTTGAGCACTTAAAACAATCTTACCGATTTGGTTAAATATGGTTTGTTCAATTTCTGAATTTTCGATATTAATCGATTTGATGGCATCATTAATTAACTCATTATTTGATATTAAGTTAAACGTATTCAACAGGATATTATTAAAATTGTAACGTAATTGCAATTGGAAAACATCTTCATTGTTACTAAAATTTATCATTAAGCCTTGATAAAAATCATATCCTAAGGCAAAATTAGGGATTCCTGAAGAAAAATATTGTGATTTAAACGCATCAAGTTTGTCTAGGTAACTCTTTATCAATTCTGGTTGATCTAATTGAGTTACTGGTATTTGAGGAATTTCTTGGAAAGTTTTTATCCAAAAAGGAATAAACCAACCAACGGCAGTGCCTGGTTCAATGTGTTCTTTAAACTTTGTTTCGGGTGGATACAAAGTATGAAGTGGAATGAAATCAACATGGAAATCTGCCTTAGATAGAATAGTATAATTGAGAGCCCTCTTGGGTACTACTCTGCTTACAATTGCAATCACACCATCATGGAGTTTTGTTCCAAAGTTTATAAATTTCCCTTCAACAGTATCATTAAGATATGGATGGTTTGTATTGTCTTCATTCCCCACGGCATTCGAGTTGGAAAGTTGAAATTTATACAAGGACTGTGATACAAACCTTTTAAGAGGGGAAAGCGAAGATTTTTCCACCAATTGATATGGTGAAACATATGGGAGTAGTATATCAAATCTAACATGGTCAAATTGACCACTTTCATGTGCAACTTGGATATCCAAGATGTTTGCACTACGGCGCGACATTATAAGTCCTGTAACCAACGAGTTGTTTGATAATTCGTATGTTTGAGTGTAAAACCCATCAGCATGCGCGGAATTTACTGTAATTTTCCTAGTATCTGCAACAATAATATGGTCACCGTGCCAGTGCAATTGTGATACCATATAACGTGATCTTCCTTGAACTGTAGCCTTATCGTTATAATGAATATAATCATCAAAAAAGTATATCCTTCTTGACAGAACTTCAAATGAAGATGTCACCACCGCAACAAAAGCGCTATGAAGAAAAGTGCCATCTAATCCAGGTTCAGTGATCGAATCTGACCATTCCATCTTTATCACAGGTGAATTGGGGTCAAATGGGATATTACCCAATTTCTGGAGACCTGTATCCAACATTGCATATACTGAAACTGATCCATCGGCTAAACCTAAAGACAAGATCATTAGAGATGAACCAGAGCGATTGATCTTTGTAATATCAAAACTCACAACCTTGAGGGAAAGATATTGATCTTTTGTAACTTTGATTTCATTCGTATCTTCAAGGTTTAGCTCACTAACAAGTTGGTCAAATACATTGTATTTAATGGAGTACGCCGTGGTTGCAGACGCGGTTCTTTCTAAAATAAGCAATTCGGACGTGTTTAAAAGAACGGCAAGGTAAGCATTCTTACTTTGGGACAGAAGTGGTGACCACTTATGGGCAACTATAGAAGGATCTGCGAACTTACCAAAAGAAAATGGCTCATCATAGGTTGAAACTTCGATGTTTTGAAATTTACGAAGCTCCCAAGTGGAAATGTCTTCCGCGTGAAGTATACCGGTAACATCAAACAAGACACGCGCGTCGAGTACTGCTTGGGATTTCTCGCGCTTGTTGGAACCTGAATCGCTACCGTTATGAATAGTAGAAAGTTGGGGCGAAACGATACTCAGATGAAGTGATGGTAGTACAGGATCAAGTACCGTCAACAGCGATCCATTGTTAATAGCCAATTGCAGGTTTCCAGACCATTGCACTGGGTCACATATTGCTGGGGCAACATTTGCACGAGGTACTGTAATTCCACGAATCATACAGGGTAAATGGTACTTCCAAAATGATTGAAGTTTATATTGGTGCAATTGTTTTTGTTGTGATAAGCCGTTTTGTTTTTTTAGTACCCATATGTATCTCTTTATTTAACTGTGCAGGTCAATGTACTTTTTTGTATAGAATACATATCATTCACCATACAAGTACTTATTGTATGACAGAAGGAAAAGGCAAAGATGAACTGGAAGTTGATAGGCATGGGAACTATGGCCATCCCTTCAATCCATACGAGATTCAAAAGCAACTCATGAGCGAAATATATACCACCATAGAGAAAGGTTATAAAGTAGGACTCTTTGAAAGTCCAACTGGAACTGGGAAAACCCTCTCCTTGATCTGTGCTTCAATGACATGGTTACGGGATTTTAAGAGAAACGACATTTCTATGGAAATGAATGAAGTATCTGATGGTGGTGAACAGAAAGCGGAAGATGAAAATGAGAGTGATAATGAAGATGATGATGAACCCGAATGGGTCAAGAAAGCATATCGAGAATCGAAACTAAAAGAATCGTCTAGTGCTGCTAGAGAATTTGAATTACATTTAGAAGCAGTGGAGAAGTCATATGAAGATCAAATACAAAAAGTGCATAGTATAGAATTGAAACACAAGAAAATGAAACGGAACCCAATCGCTGAGTCTGATGATTCCGAATTTATACCTGACGATTACTACAGTGACAGTGAACTCCCCAATAAAGATCATAGTGATATAGTTGCTTCTCAAGTTAAGAATCTTTTAGCAAAGGTAAATGGTCCGAAAGAATCGGTCGAGTTGGTGAATAATTGTCCGGTATCTATATACTACTCTTCAAGAACTCATTCCCAACTCAGTCAGTTTGCCCATCAATTGCGTATGACTTCGTTTGAGTCAACTTTTATTAATATTCCTGAGAGAACAAAATTTCTTCCACTTGCATCGAGAAAGCAACTCTGTATCCATCCAAAAGTGTCCAAACTTTCCAATGTCACCAGCATTAACGACGCGTGCATTGATATGCAAAAGAAGACGAACCTGCTGGCTGGTTGTGAATTCATGCCCAAAATGAATAATCTGAGATCCATAGAACTAACCAAGGACTTTACTGATCTTAGTCTTGCCAAGATTCATGATATAGAGGATTTAGCCACCATTGGGAGAGCAATTGGTATATGTCCATATTATTCTGTGCGGAAAGGTGTGGAACTCACAGAAATGGTAGCGCTTCCTTACCAAATGCTACTTCAAGAGTCAACAAGAGTTGCCCTTAACTTAAAGATCGATAATGCTATTGTAATAATTGACGAAGCACATAACCTTATGGATGTAATTGGCGCTATTCATTCTGTTTCTATAACCGAGACTGAACTCTCAAAGATTATTGAGTCACTTAAGGTTTATGTGCAAAAATTCTCTTCCAGATTAAACAGTGGAAATAGAATCAACTTGATGAAATTGATAAAGCTTTGTCAGGTACTCAAAAAATTCATTGCTACGACTCTGGTGAAGACAATTGTTCCTGGTAAGGAGATCCCCATAGATAAAATCTTCAATGGTAATACAGGAGATATTGTGAACGTTCATAAGCTTGAAAAATTCCTTTCAAAATCCAAAATTGCTTACAAAATCGAGTCATATATGGATAAACTTGAAGTTGAAAAGGATGTAATACGACATAGTTCAACTCCGCTTTTATTCAAAATTACGAGTTTCCTCAAATCTCTTACAAATCCTTCTAAAGAGGGTAAATTCTTCTGGGATAAGAAATCTGGTACCATCTCGGTTAATTATATGTTGCTTGACCCCAGTGAGATATTTAGAGATATTGTAACTAGGGCAAAATGTGTGATACTATGTGGAGGAACAATGGAACCTATGAGTGATTATATAGATTATTTGTTCCCTTACATCCCAGAAGATAAAATTCGAAAGTATAGTTGTGGTCATATAGTTCCTGATGAGAATTTAAAGGTATTCCCCATTGCAGCTAGTAGACGAGATAAGTCATCTAGATCGACATTTGAATTTCTGTTTGATCAAAGAAATAATACAACTATGATTGAAAATCTTGGGGAAACTGTTTTGGATATTTCTCATACAATTCCTGGAGGTATAGTCGTATTTTTCCCGTCGTATAAATATTTGGATCAAGTGTTACGAGAATGGAAAAATTCTAAATCAAATTTACTTTCTAAGATTAACAAAAGTCATACTGTTTTTACTGAACCTACAGATTCTTCTAAAGTTGAACGTATACTTTCTGAGTATGCTCAAGAGATTCAGGTTAAGGGGGGTGCTATATTATTCTCTGTGGTCGGTGGTAAGATGTCTGAAGGAATCAACTTTTCTGACGAACTTGCACGGGCAGTGATTATGGTTGGATTACCATTTCCAAATGCATTTTCTGGGGAATTGATCGCTAAAAGACAATTCATTGAATCTTCCACTTTAGCAAAAGGTGGTACTAAGGCCATGGCCCTGGAAAATGCCCGTAATTTCTACGAGAATATTTGTATGAGGGCAGTTAATCAAAGTATTGGTCGTAGTATCAGGCATATTGGGGATTATTCAGTAATTTTCTTAATTGACCAACGTTATGGATCTGAACGTATTCAAAAGAAACTCAGTGGGTGGGTGAAACAACGGATAGAATCCCCTGGTAATTGTACACATATTGAGCAAGCTCTAGAACAAACAAAGCAATTCTTCCGAAATAAATAATCTTAGTTTATTTTTTATACACAACATCGCTTCTTAAAACCCATTTTTCACCTTTATGTACAATTTCTGCTTCATGTTTTAAACAATCATCACCATGTTTGTGGAGAAGAGCCATTCCCTTGGTTGGATGAATATTCAATGGTTTAACACCTCTGTAATCTGGGTGGAAGATAGTTCCACCTCCTACAAATTCATCTCCACCAGTCAAGTAAATGAGTAACGTCCATTTGGTTCGACCTTTCGGTGGGTTGGAAGATTCCTCAAGAGGACACACCACGGATTCGTCATAATGTTTGCCAAAATGATGTCCCTTACGGTATCTATACATTCTGAGCTGTGGGTTTAAGAATATAGCATTTTTGAATGTTTCCTTGATGGAATCTAAGTCTTCATCCTCATACCCAACATCGTTAAGGAGTACTTGTTGTAAATACAGCCATAAACTTTTTGTGGCATCAAAGTCTGTAGTCAGACATCTGTCGTTGAACCTGGCTGCATACTCTCTACTCTTTATCAATGGTGTAGTTTCCAAATTAATTGCTGGTGATTTCTCTACAGCCTTGATAAGATCATTACATACTTCTTCACTGAAGAAATTCTCAATGGTGATAATTTGATCATCCACAATTGTTTCTGGTTGTGGTTTATAGAACAGTTTCTGGAAATTGATTGGAAGTGCTGTAAAGCTATTTGGAAATTCAAACTTGTTAGCCTTCATCTTTAAGGAGTAAACTAGGAAAAGGATTACTGTAATATTTGAAATGATGTTTCTGTATATCACCTGTATATCACAATACTAGTGGCAAGGAAAAATAAATCAATCGCACTGTAAAAAATACATTATACAATTCAGTAGGTACACATCTATACATATATATATAAAGATATACAACTATAATTTCTAAATATTTTTATGCTATTTAAAGCAGCGATTCAAGACTAACGAGAAGACTGTAGGTTTCTCTTGGCATCTTATATTGGACCATACCGGCATAGATCATACTGTTCTTGGCCATTTTATGGATTCTTTCCACTTCTTCCTTTTGACTACCAGAAGATGCGTATCTTTGGGTTAAAACCGTGTAGTTCAACTGTGACAAACTTGTCATAATGATAATCAAAAGAGATGGAATCACCTTGATTATATTATCATCTAAGGAAGTATGCACAAGTTCAGCAGATTTTCTGATGGACAACAAGTCTTGAGCTTGGTCAATTGGAATAATTCCAAGTTTAACAATTCCAGCCAATGTATTATCCCATTCTTTGTTCAAAAAGGTCTCACGAATTGCAACTATTTGCAAAAGTAAGTCCACAGTATCCTTCTTAGATGGTTCAATGTTATCCAAAATGAAGGTATTCTTATTAAATGTTGCAATTATATGTTGAGATAACAAAATAATATTGTTATCAATAGTGTTGACTGCATGCTTTTCACCATTAACATTTTCGTAATTACCAAATTGAATTAAAGGTTTATCAAGTTCAGTAGTACTAAGAATTTCACTAAGTAACTTATTAATCAAGATCACCACCGTGTTAAATTCTTGTGCAAGTTGGTAAAGTAAAAGAGCGTCAAAAATTCTTCCCTCTTCTTCACAACGATTTGCTGAAATCTCTATAATTTTATGATAAAAGTTTTCCAAACTTGGTAATGATATCAAATTTCTTTGCTTTTCTAATAAACCAGATATTCTTTCACCATTATTTGAATTTAATTCACCCAAAAGCATTTTAAATTCCCTTGAAGCCAAAATTAATTCACGAAGAGCTTCGTGACAAGTTTCAATTTCATATTGACAATTGCCACCGTTAGCCATGGCAATAAGAATAGAATATTGGGCTGCCACTTTAGGGTCTGAAATTTTGAAAGTACGAGTGTAAGATCCCAATAATCTACTGAAGTTGATTTCACATTCACCGTGAGAGTTCACATGCATCAATCCTTCGCGATGACTGAGTGTAGTTACACGTAAGAGACCATAGTAACATAAACCAATAGCCAAATGAACGGCGTCACATTCATTAATGTTCTCATAAGTGAATTGAACAGCTAATTCAAACAATCCAACCATCACTAAAGCCTTCAAATATAATGGGTTATTTGATGAAGAATTGAACTTTTTAGGTCCTAATTGAATGATTTTTTTCTGTAAATCTCCAAGCGAATAATTTTCAAAAATCAATTGCGATTCCCCAACACTACCTGTAGAAGATGAAGAAGTGGATGAAGATTCATTAATAAGTGATAAGTGGAACCAAAGCCAGTCTTCAATGCTCAAATTAATGGCTTGTGGAAGAGCCTTTTTCGATAAGTCACACTTACCAATGATTTTGAATACAGAATACTTGTATGCATCAAAACTATCAATAGATTCATCAGCAACAAATCCAAATTGTTGAGTGAATTCAGTTTGTAATCTATCGTTAAGATCCAGTGGTAACACTGACCCATTAACATCAACAAATTTCTTTAAATATATTGGGAAATTCTTATCAAATTTGTTGAAAGCACTTGCATTTTTAGAAACTACTTCCAAAGCTTCTTGGTACAATCCTGCTCTAATCAAGTAGAAAATAAGTGCCCAAATTGGGACACCATTATAATTGAGTGTGTTTTCAATAAGGTCGGAATGTTTATCTTTACGTGCAACTTTATTGATGAAGTAAGTCACCTTGTTAATGTTGGTAGGTGGGAGCTTATCCTTATCATCATCTTTGTTATAAATTTGGTCGATATAGTCGTAAAATTGCGACTCTAAGTAAGCTTTACTGGTTTTTATTAGTTTTCTATTCAATTCTTGTGCATCTCCTTGTTCTTGTAAGCAATATGAGCTGAAAAATTTTTGTTCTTGATTAATCTTAGACAGTTTTTCTTCTGCCAAGTTAACAAGAATTTTCCATGATGAACCAACTTGTCCAGACTTCAAATCAGAATTAGCCTTACTAACCTCTTCAAAACTCAAGGCCAATGGGAAAAAACTGTTGGTAAGCCTCGCTTCATTCAATTGATATACAATTTGAGCATGAGATTCAAATCTTTCACGAGTCAATTGTTTTGAGGAGAATGAAGTGGATTGCTTTGAAGATAATGGTGCAAGGAGGTTGTATTGGTTAGCTTGGGTTTTAGTCCAAGAAAAAGTCGAACCAGATGAAACAACGGCGTTTGGGTTGGTATTGTTAGTATTACCGTTTGAAACTCCAAATGATTTACGAAGAAAATCCTTACGAGCTTTCCAATCAATTGCTACATTTTTTCCAACAAATGTATCAAAATCTTTTGAAGCTGAAGCAAGTGACAGCTCAATGGCAGATAAAATGTTCTCATCCTTCTTGGTGTTAAGATAGGAATCAAGACTAGATCCAGTAACATTAATAGATGCTGGTCTGGTTGACGTCACCTTTTTGTTATCACCAAAATCAAATCCACCTCCAAATCCACCTCCAAATCCACCCTTATGGCCACCAATTTCACCATCAAATCCACCACCAAATCCGCCACCAATATGACCGCTCAAGTTATTAATGTCCTGAGTTCCCAAAGAGTTCAATTCAGTTTCAATATCATCGGCTGAAACTCCACTAGATGCCAATAAATAGTGAGCTCTTGTAAATGAAGCAGGTTCCTTCTGAGAGTGACGAAGAGAATTAGTTTTCTTTTGCAACTCTGGAATAGTTAACTGAATTGATCCCAAGTCTGAAAGTCCAGACTTTGGAAAATTATTAGCAGATTCGAGTAAATCCTTAAGAATCTTAGTAGATCCACCTTCCTCACTACCAGAAAGTTTAGATGATTTATTCATCAATGGAGCAGTCTTGGTGGCTCCAGAATTTGGTTGTACAGAGCTTGTGCCAAATGAACTGGTGGCATTTCCACCTTGATTGAAGAGAGACATGATTATGTTCCCTTTTCTTTGATATAATTCTCCTCAAAGAGTTACCGAATGTGGATACGACTACTATGTCACTATGTTTATTACTTTCATTTTTTATTTTCTGTTTATTGTGAGTTAAACTTGGTGTGCATGTAGTCTACGAGCCTCTCTGAGATTGATGCTTACCCGGCCTCCCAAAGCCCTAGAAGTACCGGGTACATGCACGACCTCGCAATGAGGTATAAATAAGAATTGAATTTTCATAATTTTATGGTTTTATTTTTTTTTCTTTAACTTTGTCCAAAAGTAATCCACCACATAGACAGTGCAACAGCGTGGTTCGCACGGCTTGAACTTGAAGACCAGTTTTTGGTTTTCTTGTTCAGTTTGTCCGTATGAATGCCTTTCATGTTAGTCGCGATAGCTGGTCGGAAAGAGCAAATTAGATTTATAAGAACTTGTCTGGATAATCCATGATAGATAGGTGTCAGAAGATCTAGATATTTTATATTTTAAAGTAAAAAGTAGACTTGTAAATTCTTTTTTAACTCTTGGTTTCTTTCTATTGGTTTTTTTTTTCGTCTTTAATATGATCTGTTAATACTGTAATAATTAATGGTTCCCTTAGTGTTTTATCACTATTGTGTTTTCCTTTGGTAGAGGAAGTTTATTTCTTCCAATATACGAAAACAGGTTATTTTTGCAAGTACTAATTTATTGTCTATATCTATTCATACTTTGAAGTTTCAATTAATGTTGGTATCATATATTTTTTATTATTAAAGTTATTCTATTGTACATTTTAAAAACTTTCTATTCTTTTTACAAGCAAACGTCAGCAAATTCTTCTTCATCATCGTTTCCTCTTCCTCCGGCAAAATTGTCTCTACAAGCCCAACCTTTCACTGGGAACCACCAGTAAGCCAATGTCCATAAAAGGTAAATTCCAAGAACTGCAGAAACGTAATTCATAGTTCCAGCAGTAACAGGCATGAAGGATGGAAATGAAAAGAAAATAAGGGCAAAGAATGACCAAAATACGGTCACACAATTGGCAAATAAACCTAAATGACCTAACCAGAATGGACCATGTTTGATATTGTTACGACCTCTGAATAATAAACAAAGTGTAGGAACCAAGTAGGATAATAATAAGAATGTAATACATCCAGTAACCATTGAGTTGAAAACAGCATCAGAAGCCAAATATAAAAGACCCAAGATGGCAACCCAAAGAGATGAGAATAAGTGTGCATTCAATGGAACTCCCAATTTTGGATCAATGATTGATAAATATTTGGAAAATGGTAATCCATTATCTCTACTGAATGACCAACATAATCTAGCTTGCCAAGTATGGGATGCGATAGTACAGCCACAAGCGGTTAAGAGAATCAAGACTCCCAAACAAATAGCACCAGCTTTATTTCCTAAAGCTTGATAATAAATATCCAAGATTGGCATACCAGTAGTTGAATTCAAAATAGCTTCCAAGTTATGAATGCTGAAAAACATAGCGATGGAATAACAGAATGATGTAACGAAACCAATGGTGACAGTACCCATAATAGCAATTGGAATAAGTCTTTCAGGTTGAGCAACTTCTTCAGCCAAGTGAGTGGCACAATCTAAACATGAGAACGACCAATTAGGGTTAATAAGACCCACGATAAAGGCAATACCAGCAGATGACCAACCAGTTCCATTTTCAAAATTAACAAATACAAATTCAGCTGGTTGATAGTTACCTCTTGAACAAACCAATACAGTAATAGTAATGGTTACAAATGAGAATAAGGAAATGTATAACGCACCATTAGCAATAGATGGGAGAAGTTTCCCATAACAATTGAACAAAACCAAAAAGACATTGATAATTTGATAAATAATGAACAATTGCCATTTTTGAGATTTGTGTTCTGGATGCATCAAAATCCAAAATCCCATAATTTCATTTGCAATAGCCAATGCCATGGAAGCAGAAGTGAAAATAGAACCTGCCCATGCAAATGAACCACATAAATAAGCTAAAAATGAGGAATATTTCTTTGGGGAAAGAACTCTAGTCCACACATATTGACCACCAGCCGATGGGATAGCAGAAGAAAGTTCTGACAAGGTAATACCAATACAATATGAAACAAATGTGATGATGATAATACCATAGACAATAAGCATAGGACCTCCGGATTGAATCCCCGTGATAAGGGATGCTGAAATCCCGAACCAAGAGTTTGTGAGTCCAAACCCTACTCCCAACACGGACCATACTGAGAAGGTACGTTTAAGTTCTCCACCAATGGTGGAAATAGAACTAGAAGAAGAAGGATGAATATCTTTGCCTAGCTGCGCATGGCAAGCTGCAGGGAAGACAACTTCATCAGCCTTCAGAGCATCTCTTGACGTCTCAGAAGTGTTCTTTTCAAGGGAAGACATGCCTTAAAATGGATAAAATAAGAGCAAAGCGTGGGATCGGGAAAAAAAATTCAAGAAATAAATAGTATTCCAAAAATGGTAAGAATTATATGTAAAAAAAAAAAGAACGGAGCAGCTGTCTATGAAGCTTGTAAAGAGGAAGTCACTTGGATGATAGCCTGTATTAATAAGGACTCGAAAATAATAAGTATATTGATGCTTTATATATCTTAAATCAATTTATCGTGTGAGTGAAAGATTTTCTCCATACAAGGCCAACAAAGCAAAATCACATGCAATTTTTGGTATTTGTGTGGAGTTTGTATGCACGATAAAAAAGTGACATACAACTTCCTTCTGTGATTGGAAGTAGATAATAAGTTTGAATGCCTCACAAACAATATATAGAGAAGTTTATAGGATTCAACGGTTTTTAAGAATTCGATTAGAGAATACATGTCTAACGTTTAGGCGAAATGTCTGGAAATTTCTGACGAATTAAAATTAAAATAGAATATATGTGAATACAAATATATGTGAAAAATCATCATATATTCAAGAAAACTCGCATTATAGAATCAACAGATCATAATAATAAAGAAATTATTGCAAAATCACATGGTAAATCAGAAATTATGATATTTTGGGGATTTTTTTTTCTCCAGATTTTACTTATTCGGAAGTTGCCGTGCCTATACGTGGGAAAAGGTAGTGTTTGAAAGGAAAACAATCACTTCTCCGTTGACTTTGTAGAATCGATCATTCTCCTATTACAAGTATGTTAACTACTCTTTCGATTCTTTATATTCTACATCATTTCCTCCAGCAGGAACGACAGTTTATTTGTTTATAAAGTAGTTTGTAGACTTCTAAAAATAAATTTATCGCTACAATAAAAATCTCAAATTTCCTCAAATGGGCATACTTCTCCAGGTCAACCTAATTCTTGGTACTAAAGTTAAACGACACTGTGTGGAGGATTGATCTCAGTAAGAGTAAGATTTTGTACTGTATTTTTTTTTTTTCTACGTTTTTTTCTTAGGACTATTTGTAGGATCACCTGTATACTGAATGTTCTTGTGCACTCCCTGCCGAGTTCTCCCTTTAGAGATTGTCTCCACTTAAAACAGTATAATATTAAAACCCTAGATCATTAATTTTTTAGTAGTACTATTACCCAATCTAACCTACCAAGATGCAATATGTTGGAAAAGTAGGTGGATATGTATATAACCAATGGAACTCGCTCAATCCAGCTACTCTTTCTGGAGCAATTGATATTATTGTAGTTGAGCAACCAGACGGTACTTTACATTGTTCGCCATGGCATATTCGATTTGGTAAGTTCCAAATCATTAAGCCTCTGCAAAAGAAAATTGATTTATACGTCAATGGGGTTAAGACAGACATGCCCATGAAATTAGGAGAAGGAGGTGAAGCATTTTTCGTGTTTGAAATTGACAAAGATTCTGATGGCGCTGGACTTCTTTCTAAGAGTGTGATGACATCTCCAGTAATATCAGCAGCAAACTCTCCAGAGGCAAGTCCTCCTGGTAGTCCTAGAATCACTCCGGGAGCGGAATCGCCTAGTGAATCTCAAAAGCTTACCAATGGCACAGATACTTCAAATTCTATAACAGGATCTATTCTTAATTTAAATATTGGTAATATGCCTGAAGATTTAGATTTAGATAGTTCTTCCAAAGTTTTAACTGATTTGGAAGAGAGCATAAAGCTTACTCCACTGCAGGACACACCACAACCTCCACGTTCTCCCAGAGTGGCCCTGAAACTTGCATTTGAACGAGCCAAGAAAATTACTCAACAACTTAATATTCCTTCTAAAATTGATATCAATGGTGATATGGTTTTAGATATGGATGGTTATAAACCAAACTCTCAGAAGAATATTGATAATTCTGATGAAATGTTCAATAAAATTTTTGTTGAAGAGATGGAAAAACTTCAAAATGGAGATTCTGCATTAGATCTGAGTCAATGGAATCAAATTATCACTAGAGATGAGAATGGTAACATCCGAATTGTGGCCAAGAGTGACGATGAAGGTGAAGGTGATAATGAGGATGATGTAGATCCACAATCTGATTTAGAATCTTATTCAGATTTGGATTCAGGTGCAAGTGATACTGAAAATGCAAATGGTACTGATGATAGAGCCTTTTTCAAGACACTTCGTCTTACATCTGATCAATTGAAAAAAATGGACTTACATTATGGGGAAAATAACCTTGTGTTTAAGTTGCATGAGGGAACATCTCAAACCACATCGAATTTATATTTGTGGAAATCAACCACACCAATTGTTATTTCTGATATTGATGGAACAATCACCAAATCAGATGCCTTGGGTCATGTTCTTAATTTGATTGGTAGAGACTGGACTCATCCTGGTGTTGCTAATTTGTTTCAAGATATTAGAGCCAATGGTTATAATATAATGTATCTTACAGCAAGATCGGTTGGTCAAGCTGATTCAACTAGACAATATTTGAAGAACGTTGTTCAAGATGGGAATAAATTGCCCAGTGGCCCAGTTATCTTGTCACCAGATAGAACTATTGCAGCATTAAGAAGAGAAGTCATTTTGAAAAAACCTGAAGTTTTCAAAATGTCATGTTTGAGTGATATTAAAAACTTGTATTTCAATCAAACAGAAACATATTTCCATAATGATAATACAGCAACAACTCATGAAGATGATAGAACACCATTTTACGCAGGATTTGGTAATAGAATTACCGACGCGATCAGTTATAGATCTGTTCATATCCCATCACATCGTATCTTCACAATTAACCCCGATGGGGAAGTTCATATGGAATTGTTAGAATTAGCAGGTTATAAATCATCTTATTTACATATTGGTGAATTGGTAGACCATTTTTTCCCTCCCATTCGAGCAATGACAGGTTTCAATTCCTATTGGAATGATAATCAATTTCATGAGTATATGTCAACCCATCCAGAAAAACCAACTTCGGAAGTTTGTACACCTCCAGGATCACCAGGAGCAAGAAGTGTCACTAGTGGTGGTAAAAATGAAGATTTTTATGGATATCCTCAGCAAAACTTCATGGTGCCCATTAAGATCGATGAAAGGTATAATGACGTGAATTACTGGAGAGAACCACTTCCTAATTTAAGCGATTTAAGTGATGAAGATGATGAAGAAACTGGAAGCGGAGCTCCCGGTTCCAGTGGTGGTGGTTCATCACCTAAAACTGCACCTGAACCTAAATCTCCATCCATGGGATTTTCATTAAGACCGTTTTCGTCCCCTGACTCTAGCAATAATTATTTATTGAATGGAACTGGTGTAAAAGAAGATTATGATGATAATGGAAAGAAGGCAAGGCCTACATCTATGTCTTCAATCACTTCGCCATTAAAGAGTTTTATGTTGGGAGGTTCGGAAAAGAAGAATTCAACTCATTTGAAAATTGACAAAGATGTTGATTTAAAAACGCCCAATGAAAGTATTGCTACTAATAATGACTCTGATTATACTGACGCCGATGATTATGTTGAAGAAGATGATTATACCACTGAAGACGATTACGAAGATGAAGATGACTATGAAGATGATGAAGATGTTGAATATGAATACGATGAAGAAGACGAAGATGAAGATGATAACAATGATTATGTTGATGAGAATGGAGAAATTGATGATTCTCAAGATCTTGACATGGATGATGGGATTCCGAGTGATGCGAAGTTACCAGATTCTTCACCAATTGATTTGCTTAAGTATAGTCCTGTGCGGTCAAGAAAGTCACAAGCTTCATTGGGGTTACTGGAAACAGACCCCAAATTCATCAAGGCTAGTGAGCTAATGAATCAGCTAGATATTAATAAGGGACATAAAGACGAATAGGTATCAGAGATTTCTTAGAATATTATATAAAAAAATTTTTAGAACGTCAACTTTACTACTTTGTCGTATATTTTAGCGACCCAAACCACTGCATCTGAAAAATGCAGTGTAAGCGAAGGAATGTACAAGTGTAGTATCTGAGCTGTCTTTTATTTTTTTTTTTGCATATATTTTAAGCATGATGTACGTTGATATTTTTTATTTTTATGCACTCAACCCAACACCTACTGGAAGTTTTTGTACGAATTAATATATTGCATAGACTGATGTGAAACAACTAGTGCTTAAATCGTAAAAGATACTACCAGGAGGGATAAAGCAAACGATAAGTTCAGTAAATTCTTTCTATGATGCCATGGGAAAATGCGTTATTATTACACTTTACATTCCTTATAAAGAAAAATAAACAACCCCATAGATAAGTTCTGTACAAATCATATTATAAAATTTACCTTTTATAAAAGGCTAGTTTAACCGGAAGTCTTCGGGTGTGTACGAAACATTTTAAATATTTTAGTGGAGCTTTGAAATAATTCACATTAATATCTGGAATTTTGAGGAGCACGTGTGCGTAATAAATAATTTTGACAGTAACTAGCTTTCCGTGAATATATGCGCGCATTATGTTTAATTATAAACAAGGCTAAGCCTCCGGAAAGCAAATAAAAAGTAATAGGTATTTAGAAAACATTTTTATAGATGTATTAGTAAGACTTTTTCAGATATATGCACAAGACCATAACACTCGTATTAAAGTATTTTTATAATCTAATTTCATTTAGTCTTCTGTATATTTATTCTATTTTTTTTAGGGGTATGAAATAACCTCCTGTGCGGCTTGCTCTCAAAAAACAAAGTATAAAAAATATATTTTGCTATTAAATATGACATATGCAAGTAGATCCCTTAAATAAAGTCATCTTCTACTTATAAACTACTTTTTTTTGCCTTCGTCCACTTTCCTTCTGAATTGATCTCAAATTCTGAACTTTGCTTAGTTATTATCTCCAATTATTTCAAACAAAACAATAATTAACTGGTTTAATTGTTTTAGAGCTACCCCCAGGTTTTCAATTTCGATTGTCTAAGCCTCATCCCTACCACCATAATTCGAACCAATATCACCGTATTATAAAGCAAAAAAGAATAACACACACACACACACACAACTCACATCCAAAAAATGAACTTGAAGGTGAATCATATCAAAGGATTAGCAGGATTTGCTACTATAGTGGTGGTATTGAGTATCTATCATTTCCTTGCTGTCCAAGAATATATAACAGCGCCTCCTATCTTCCCGACTCCAGGCAACTATCGGGTTGCTCATGGAGGAGTATATGTTTTCCCCAACGATTTTACCAATGAAAAACTTGACAAATACATGCCAGTCTTAGATGCAAATGGGTTGTACAGGTATAATGGTAGTACAGTACCTGCCACATCTTTTAATGATGAATTTCATCTGTTTAAAATGAACATATTTGGCAGTCTGAAGAACATTGACGGTGATCAATCTAAATGTAAAGATATTAATGTTCAACGTCAAGTGGATATAAACAAGTCCCAAAATATAAATATTGACATTGAGGAAGTGATGCAGAAGTTTATACAAGACATGCCTCAAAATCTGTACTATAGAGAAGTTGCACCATACTTCATTGATGGACTTAAAGACCAACTTAAAGAAGGTACGGTAAAACGTCACTGGTACCAACTTGCCGGGTCCTCGGTTTGGCTTGAACAATATGGTGTTTATTTCACTATTCGTCGTGTGATGTATTCTCCAGCTGGTTTTAAGAATGCACCACTTCTCTCATTAACCTATGCACAAATATTCGATGATCAATGGAGGGAGATTAAAGATCATAATTTAGTTTTGCCTCATGAAGATGAATCTGAAAATGGACTTGAAATCTTGAAATTCCCACTGTTTCTCAAGATTCCATTCTTTCACGACTATGATCAAACGAAAAAACGGTATTATGGACCAGAAGATCCAAGAATCACATTGATCAAGAACAAGGCTGGTCATTTTGAACCTTTAATTGTGTTTAATTCTGACCATCGTCAGCTTGTTACTCTGAAAGATAGTGATACTTTAGAACCTCAAAACTTCAGATCGATGTTTTTATGTTTTCCATTCCAACATCAAGTGGGTAAAGCAAACGTTGATGCCTACGATCAAGAACGCTTTTCCGATGCTACATATAGTAGAGTATCTGAATTGAGATTGGATGATGGCCCAAGATTGAAAGTACAAAAAAATTGGACTCCATTTATTAGTCATAGTCAAAGATTACATAATGGTGGTTACGATACTCATGTCAACTTTGTTTACAGATGGACAAACTTGGAAGTATTACAATGTGATATACATGACGGGACATGTAACTTCCTGTACAGGCTCGATAGTTCAATAGAACGTGGATCGGCTGTTGGACCAATGAGAGGAGGCACTGAACTCTATAGTATTAATGAACTTCTTATCAATTCAGGAGTGGAAAAGAATTATTATCTTCCGCCAAATAGAGAGGTATGGGTTGGGTTTGCTAGAGCTCATTTGGATGGTTGTGGATGTGGTAAAAACATGTACAGACCTAACCTTGTGGTCATTGTCGGAGACACAGTTGAAGGAGAATTCATATATAAGATCAGTCACATCAGTTCATCACTCTCCTTTGATATGAATGTTGTTGGATGGGACATGGATAACCCTGAAAATTTATGTACTGGGTCTAATGTTCTTATTCCAAATGGAATTGCTTCTTGGGTCGTAGATCTTGCTACTGACGAAGCTGCTGGATGGCCAAATGACGTCTTGACATTATCCCTCTCCGTCAGTGATATTTCAGTTGAAATAATTAACATTAAGAATTTATTAGCTGAAATTATAAAATTCAGTGATGTCTTCCATGATCAATCACTGGCCAAACCTTATATCCCAAGCTCAACCACATCTAGCAAGTTGATTGGGTATAACAACGACAATGTCAAATGTACACTTAGGGCTTCTGAACAATTCTGCGCTGCTTATGGAAAAGCTTTTGAAGAGTCTCAAAATGATGCCAATTTAAAATAGGATATTTATAAGGAATAAAAAACTAACCAAAGTATAATATTTACCTATGTGTAGCCAATCCTTCTTAAATAGCGGTTGCAATTATGATAATAGCCCTTTGGATGAATTAAAAATTAAAGCTCCGACACCGGGAATCGAACCCGGATTTCGACATGGAGAGTGTCGAGTGATAGCCATTACACTATATCGGACGTTTTATAAAAATTTTTAAAAGATTTTATTGCTCTATCTTGCCAGTACATCCATACACCCATAGAAAATTTACCAAAATTTGAATCAAATATATGAGTTATATTTGGTATATTCAGGGTTCTTCAATTGTAGTATATTGATTAGGGCCATTAGAATTTGATATAAATTGCTTTTGAAAACATATACGTCCATTTTGACATCAATTTCACTAGTTAAAAATTTTACAAAAAAAAAAACATTAAGCTCAATATTGACCACATATATGCGAAATAATCTCTAAAATTATGTTAATTATACTTGTTCAGATGGGTATTGTGGTTAAAACTACCTGTAATGAGCAGTCTTAACCAATTGTTAGGTCAAGGTTTGTAAATAGGTAAGTGGTAGTACTTCCCACACTTTGAACTCGAAAAAGAACAATTGGGAGTTTTTGTCTAGGATTTATACAGTTGTACATAATAATTGATTTCCTCCAAGGTTCTAGAGAAAAACAACTAGTTATCATAGAGGAACGGAGTCGGTTATAGTTGAGGTTTTAGTTTAGGACGATAAATCCCAAGGTGAAAAATCACCTTTGGATTCCTCAAGTTTTGTGCATCGACACAATAGTGTGTTTGTGATTTACCACAAATATTCACTTGGAGATATAAATATAGATGAACTAATTAAGTTTGATTTATTAAATTTAGAATCTTTGTTCTTTAACAATCTAATCTCTTTGCTATAAATTTTCGTATTCAAAAATGCCAGTGGAGCTTGTACTCTCTCCCGTCATGAGGCCCTTGGTAATGGCCAAGGCTGTGCTTTTCCACCCTCATCGTAGAGCCTCCCGATATGTCCCAACTATAGTTGAGATGTCCGAAGATGTCTCTCAGTATGCTGTGTTGAAACAATTTGGTTCTGGTTCCAAGATTTTTGACGTATTTGATACCGAAAAGGGAGCAAAGCCATTGGGTGCAAATGATCCAGGAAAGAAACTTTTTTGGTTTGTGAGATCAAGAGCAGTTAAAGGTGCTTACAAGATGTATTCTTCCGCAATTTCAGGAACAGGAGAAAACGGGGAAGATGAACCTGTTGCTGCAGTTCGTGCTGGATTACGTTCTAATGTACTTTTGATCAGAGCTCCTGATGTAGCCGCAGCTGAACTTGGCTGGCATATTATCAGTCATAGAGTGGATGCGAATGACAGTTACCGTATGTTCACTTTGGCTGACGGGTTTACTTATCAATGGACGACCAAAGGTAAATGGTTAGAAAAAGTACATAATGTAGGAGAAAAGGAATCTGAAGTTCGTGAAAGAATTGCTCAAGTAATCCCCAATGGAGTCAATGGATTTACTTTGATTGTTGATGAAACAAAAATTCCTAGAGAAATGGCCCTTGGTACTGCTTTATGTTCTCATATTGACCATTGGAATACGAATATTGATGTTGGAGGTATCTACTATGCTAGACAACCTCATCAAGTTCGGTGGAAGAGAGATTAAAGAAGGAGGTAAAAATAAACTACAGTAAAATATATAATATTTGTATATCGTTATATGTTATTACTTTACATTAAGGGAGTAAAGTAATACAATTCAATGAATATAGGTATGAAGTGAAATAAGAAAAAATTGTAGATTGCTGTAAGAAAACTGTGGAGAATTTAGATCTAGTTTGCAACCACATGAATAAGAAGAAAAGGCAAAAAAAAAAAACATAAAAAAAAAACAAGGGCAAAAGAATTATGTGAGACCAAAAAAATTAGGAGACCAAAAAAATGATAAACCAGCCCTGAAAGAAGAGTAGAAGATAATCTAATATACTACAAAAGAACGATTCCACTCGTAGAATACCACCCCTAACAAAAATACACAGTTTTTTTGCTACGTAGAAGATATAGTCACACGCGTCTTAAGTGCGGATTTCAAAGAATCTAAAGTAAAAAACCTTAAGACCTAGTCGTTTGATAAATGTCATGAACGTGTGTGCCGCATTTTTGTCGCACAATGTCGAGAGGCATCGACAGAAAAATTAATTTTCCTTACAAAAACCCACAACCATTATATTTTCTCTTTTCTCTTCTTTATAATTATAAATTAATTAGAATACATATCATGTCTGAATCAAACAAAATTTTCGTTAGACCTTTAGGTTACGAAGGTATGTACTGATACGGTTTTTTCTCCGGTTGGAAGTGGGCCAATTTGATAATTGCAAATGTTATTTTTTTCTCTCTTTATGTCTAAATTTGGTTTGCTTTTATTTATTGCCCCCTTCTTTCCTTAACTCATCGCCCAATATATTAACAAAATTTTTTAGCTGAACAAGAACAAGTCGAAGCTCACTTTGCTGACTGTGGACCAATCTCCGAAGTCCAATTGATGAGAGGATTTGCCTTTGTTACCTTCGAAAACACCGAAGATGCTAAGAAGGCTGTTGACACTTTGGAAGGTTCTGACTTCCAAGGTCAACAATTACAAGTTGAATTTGCTCGTGAAAAGAAGGAAGACACCCGTGGTCTTTACAGAGTCAAGGTCAGCAACTTGCCAGAAGGTACTGCTTGGCAAGACTTTAAGGACTTTGTCAGAGAAAAGACTGAGTTCGCCCCAACCTTTGCCAAGGTTTTCAAGGATTACGACTCTGGTGAAACCGTCGGTAACTTGGAATTCTCTTCTGCTGATGAATTATCCACTGCCATCCCATTGTTGAACGAAGCTGACTTCCAAGGTGCTACTCTTGCTGCTGAAGAAGACACTTCTCCATTTGTTCCACCTCCACCAAGAACCAGAGGTGGTTTCAGAGGTGGTCGTGGTGACTTCAGAGGTGGTTTCAGAGGTGGCCGTGGTGACTTCAGAGGTGGCCGTGGTGGTTTCAGAGGTGGTCGTGGTGACTTCAGAGGTGGTTTCAGAGGTGGCCGTGGTGACTTCAGAGGTGGTTTCAGAGGTGGTCGTGGTGACTTCAGAGGTGGCCGTGGTGGTTTCAGAGGTGACCGTGAAGACAGAGGTAACTTCAACAGAGAAGACAGAGGTGGATTTGAAAGAGAATCTTACAACCGTGACAGATCTCCATCTCGTTACTAGAGGAATTAAATTCTAGAGAGGGAAATTAAATTGAAAGATGACTGAGTTGGCAAAACAACACCAAATATAGGTGCCGCAATATTGGAATGATTATATTTATGTGGCAGTTTTAAGTTTAAGAGAAGGTGATTCTCGTTTTTAGTTGATAATTCTTGATTATGTTTAATTCTTTTGTTTAGTGGATTATTATTTTAAGTGGGCACGTTAGTTGTGGATCCTGGATTTTTACCATTTGTTTTATATTAAAAATTTGTAACCGAGATGTAATTTGAAATTTCACCACTACAAAAGAATAAGGAGAATTAGAATCCATTCAATTGAAGAAAGAAGAATCAAAAAGAAAAAGAAAATAAATTTAGAGAGATTTAGAGGTAGAGGAGAGCTAATCCAAGTTCAAAAGACAATTAAGGGAAAAGTGTACAATAAAAAAAAATAAACAGAAATTAAGTCCGTGGAGACGTTAGAAAAATATATACAAACCCTACCTAGATTATGACTTTATGAGAAAAGAGAAAACGACATTGTAAAATAGAATAGGCTTTAATTTATACCCAAGTCAGGAAAAAAACTAATTGGTTGTAGAATTGAATGCGAGAAAAAAAGAAAAACATGTAAAAGAAGGTGAACCATTTAAGTGGTTATTTATTCGATCTATATCTCGAATTTTTACCATATAAGGATTAAAGAGATAACAATTAAGGGAATGACAGAATTTTGTGAATCATTTGGTAATGATGAATTACAAAAGATTAAGATTTTCCGTTGGAATAAGAATGTAGATAAGAATGTTATATTTGTTCATGGAGGAGCTTGGAGAGATCCTAGTAATACATTTGATGATTTCCAAGATTTTGCTAAGCATCTTATAGAAACGACCAATTGTAATGTATTTGGACTTAATTATAGATTATCTCCAGAATTCAAACACCCATATCATCTCATAGACGTAGTACAGGGTCTTAACCATTTATATGAACACTTTGGAGTATCAAAGGTTCATTTAATTGGCCATTCCGTGGGGGCCACATTATTGTTACAAGTGTTGAATGCAAAGGATACAATTGAAAGAGGATTAGTAAATTTAAGTGGGAATATTGATGATATTGTCGTTTTAAATACAAGTATCGAGATCGAAGCATTATTTCTAATCGATGGGATTTACGATATTCCCGGGTTAATAGAAGAGTACCCTGGCTATATCAGTTTTGTGAAGGATGCATTCATATCACCAAAACATTATACAGATGGAACTGATATTTACAATCATCAATCATATCCGAAATTAATAATTATTCAATCATTACAAGATGAACTTTTATCACTTCAACAAACCCATTTATTACAGAGTCACTTGGATAAGCTTAACATACAATACTCCTTACATAGTGGAGAATGGGGGTTACATGAACAAGTTTACCGTACAAAACAAGTATTTAACTTAATTTCTGACAATATATAATGATTAGTTAACATTTATATGGAACCTTCTTGCAATATGTAATATACCTTATATAGACCTTACGCGCACATTAAAAAAACATACAGAGGAATGAAAATGGGGCTCGTGCACCAACCAAAAAAGTGAAATATTTTTCCCTTTTTTTTTTTTTTTTGAAGCCTTTTCATCGAGAAAAGATCTTTCAACATAGTAATAATAACTTAGTATTGATATATATATCATAGACAATAATACTAGAAGAAATGTCTACATCGGTAATCAAATCATGGGCAGATGCCGAAGATGAAATTCCTTCACCAGAAGTGACGACAAACCCAGACGGAACCAAGACCGTGATCAGTTACAGATTAAACACTAACAACCAAAAGGTGAAGATAACTCAAAAGATCAAGGAAGTTAAGGTCCAAGAAAGAGTACACCCACTGATTGCTATTCGTAGAAACTGGAGCAAGTACGGTAAGGAAAAGAATACCCCACCAGGCCCAGACACAAGAACTACTCAACTAGGAGAAAAAGTGGAGTTGAACTTGGGTACCTCATGGAAGGAAATTGAAAAGAAGGAAGAAGAAGACAAAGAAGAACAATCTAAGATTGCATCCAGTAACCAAAGAATCAAGTGTAGAATCTGTGGTGGTGACCATTTCACCTCCAAGTGTCCATTCAAGGACACCTTGGGTGCTGAAGCTGCTGCTAAGCAACAAGCTGCTGAATCCACTGTTGAAGCTGATGATTCTATGGTTGGTGGTAAGTACGTTCCTAGACATATGAGAAGAGATGCCGACGGTAATCTCCCATCTAAGGAAATGGGTGGTAGAGATGACTCTACCACTTTGAGAGTTTCACAATTGAACTCCATTGTAGACGAAGATATGTTAAGAGAAGAATTATTTGGTAGATACGGTCCATTACAAAGAGTTACCGTTGTCAGAGATAGAGAAACAGGAGAATCAAGAGGTTTTGCTTATGTTGCATTTGCCACAGAGGGTTTGGCCGAGCAAGCTTTGAACGAGTTGAACGGAAAGGGTTACCATTCTTTGATCTTACACTTGGAATGGTCCAAGAAGAAGAAATAGAGAGTTTAGGAATCATTAACTTAGTGCAAGATACACCATTGGAGAAATTTGAATCTATTGAATGGATTAATGGAAATGATGTAGATGACCATTTAGCTTGTAGATGAGACAATTTTTTTTTTTTCACTTTTACTTTTTGCCCCTGTATTTCTACACTCTTATTGTCTTGTTTAAATCTTCAAATTAGCAAAATATCATAATTCCATAGATGGAACACTCAGAAATGACTTAACTCTTTTGTATTTAGTCAGAGTCAGTGTTCTCTTAGGGTTAAAAAAAAAAAATAGTTACCACCCACCACTTAAGCGAAGCGCGTAAGACATAAAAGCCTCTATAATAAAATATAGAAGGGTTCAATTATTGAAAAGATAAATACAATAAATAATAATAATAAGTCCAAGTCCAAGTTTATATGGACCTAACCTTTATTGGTACATCAATGAGCCCATGCATGGAGGTGTTATAGTATGGTAATGGGAATTTCGGTTCGGCCGAAACTCTTGCAGCAACTTTACGGAAGCACGGGATATCTTTTCGCATTCTATCTTTAATGACAAATTGTAATAGTTCTAGTTTTTTTGTATTGAACATTAATTGAACCAGGATTCTATTGCGGGTTTCTGTTCAAGATAATACCGTATTTTACCTAATAAACATCATCTTCAAACAGATATATTTCTATCAACTTGTCATTAGTGTGGCAAAGTGGTGAAACGTATTTTGGACCTTTTGTTTTAGTCCATACATCCCCGCAACTGGTTTAATTAATGGCTCTTCTATCTACCCCTTCAAGACACAACATTGACCAGACTTCGATGACTAGTCCGGAGTCCAATGGTGGTAAGTCTCAATTTTCAAATGCTTCCTCGAGTTCTAAAAAGAAAAGCAATGGATTTTTCAGCAAGTTACTCCGCCGCCAAAGTAAAGATTTATCGCCTTCGAGTTCAAAGGGGACTTCACATTCAACTCCAAGTTCCAAACTATCTTCAAGAGGATTATCACTGAAAAGGAGTTCCATAATTGAAGGAAAGGGTGCCTCTAAATCGTCCAAAAGTTCAAGACGGCCATCTGTGGATTATTCTGATCATGAAGATTCGAGTTTATATATATATAAAGATGATGATGATGATGAAGATCATGATGGAAAATTTGGGAAGTTATACTCTGCTGATCACGATGATGTAATATCTTCAGATTCTTCTCTTATACATTCGATTGCATCTTCTTCTATATTGAATTCTTCCAAAGCTGATTTAACATTGTACGACAGTGGGGACATAGACGCAAATATTGCATTAACCGCTGAGTTCACGAATGACTCAACTGGTGATCTGCCTTGGGGTGGACTAAAGTATGAATCTTTAGTACAGCCCAGATATATGAAGACTACTAGAAGAAAGAAACATTCTCCTTCGACTTTTCGACATTTGTTCTTGGCTCAAGAATTGAATAAAGATGATAGTACTGAGACATCTGCACCCGATACAGAAACCATCTCAATAGAAAGCCATGAAAATAAGGTAATAGGTGGTACAACTTCAAGTGATGACATAGAAGACACTTTTAACTCGACTTCAGATGACCCAGATGGAGAAGTTGCCGATGATACCCCTCAAACAAATTCAAGGAGAAAAAGAAAGACTAAGAGTACTAAGAATGAGATCTACGTTATGGAATTTAGTAGAGATGGGAAATACTTAGCCACTGCAGGTAGAGATGCAAGTATAAAAATTTGGAAAGTGATATCTTCCCCCTTGGCAATGTTAGAATACAAAAGAAATGAAGCGGAGGGTGGGTCCGAAGAAGGTCGTTCAAAAAGACGTATGAAACGCGACGGAGTCTTTCCACATGCTCCAGTATTCCATAGCAAACCAGTGAGGGTATTCCAGGGTCACACACATAACGTATTATCTCTTGATTGGAGTAAGAATAACTTTTTGATCTCGGGAAGTATGGATAGAACTGTAAGACTTTGGCACATAGATAGACCAGACTGCTTACAAACATTCCCACATGATGATTTTGTTACATCTGTGAAATTTCACCCCACCGATGATAGGTTCTTTTTAAGTGGTTCGTTAGATAACAAGTTAAGATTATGGTCAGTACTTGAACAGACAGTTGCGTATGTCAACGATCTTGGAGATGATGTGTTGATCACGGCAGTAAGCTTTACACCCGATGGAATGAACTGTCTTGCTGGTGGATTCAATGGATCGTTATTTACCCTTGAAACTAAAGGGTTGCATGTTAAGCATAGGTTTGAAGTTAAGGAAAAGTATTTCGTAAACCCCTTCCATAATAAGAATGGTAACAAAATCACAGGAATCAAAGTTTTTGAAAATCCAAATCACCATGATTTGTCCAATGACGAGGACGATCCATTGAATAAGTGGAACATATTGGTAACTACAAATGATTCAAAGGTTAGGCTTGTCAACTCTTCACTGAAGAAGTTGGTCACACGATTTAAAGGTTTGACCAACAATAGTTCATCCATTGTTGCATCAATGAGTGACGACCTGCGCTACATAATATCCGGATCAGAGGACCATTGGTGCTACGTGTGGGAAAATAACAACACAATTATCAATAACAGATTGAAACTTGCATTGAAAGACTTTCTTGTCGAAGGAAAACATCAACTTACAGACTTACACAATAAACATAAAAAGACAAACAAAATGATTCATGCGAATGGATTTCTCAAGAAGTTGAACGTTCAAAGATTCTTGGATGATGATGAATATAAGTATGAATATATTTCAAATGAAAACCATAGCTATTCCTCATTCCATCCACATCATTCTAAAGTTAACTGTGCTATATTTGCTCCACGTGAGACTTCAAAGTTATTGGAATTATCTGACGATATACTTTTTGACATGGTAAAAAGAAAGAAGAAGTATGATACTGTATCAAAGAATTTGAACTCAGAGAAGGGTACACCAGTAGGGATGTCAGAGGATAAAAATATGAAATATGGCTATATTGTTGTAACTACCGATCAATATGGCCTTATTCGTGTTTTTAGACAAGATGTTGCTTTTGAAGTTCGTAAAAAGCTCTTGAATTACAGAAAGAAATGTTTACGTGGCAAACAGTCTCCCGAAATCGATTGTAACATTGTGTCCGACGGGATTGGTGGTGCACATGGTAAAAATCCAAATCTTCGATTAGATCTACCCCACTTAAACCTGGTAGGTAGGAAACTTCTGATGCATAGGAGTCTAAGCCCTACACACGAAGGTTACACGAATTTGAAAAATAAACTACACAGCAAAATGAGAGGAACAAACGGATCGTTAAATGGCAGTAATCCTGGAACACCGACATCTGGTTCGACATTAACGAGTTTATCAAATAGACCACCACTTACTGACTACGTTTCTTCGAGCGCCATTATCAATGGAAGACACACACCTCAATCTCAGCATACCAGTATGTTTTCAAATCACCACGTTGCTGTCGATCTAGGACTGAGTCCGGAAAAAGTCGACGATAATCTGACCTTAGATCCTGTATCATTAAAGTCGCCAGCTTCCACCAAGACATTAGTCAACCCTAGACGCACGTCAAATAAATCAGAGAATGCTTCTGTTTTATCTGCACCTGAACAGCCTCAACCAAATAAGCCAAGCGTGCCTCTTATTATCAACACTACAACCGTTGGTTCTGACGAAGGTGAACATTCAGAACTCGTCCATTTCCAAACACCACACAATGTGATAGACGGAGAAGAGCAGTGGAACAATCTGATACATGATGTCTCCTTCGCAAGACAAAAATCTAGAGGTCGACGTAGGCAAACTTAAATATTAAAGAAACAATTTATATATTCATGAACACCCTTATTTACAAATTATAACTTCTATGTAGATTTAGCTATTCCCCATCTGAATTTTCAACCAATTCCTCTGGTTCTTCAATTCTGGTCAGATTTCCAATACTCTCCTGTGAATCGACTCTAGGATCTTCTTCAACAGAAGGAATTGGAGTTGGAGAATTGTGAGTTTCTTTCGAAATATTTGTGCCAATTCTCACCTCATTCAGTTTGATAATCTTATAGAACAACCCACCAAGTGCAACACTATTCAAGTTTAATCTTTTCACGAGTTGCTCGTCAACCATGGACAAGTTGATGAGTGCAAAAAGCTTCATTGTGAATACACAAATATCCTTTTCGGCTTGCCAAATTCGTTCTTGCCTCTTAGCTTGGACAGTAAGTTCATTAGCCTTTTTTCTAGAGTTGGATAAATATTCTCTCTGAGAACTTCCTTCAGCGCTTAAGTTATCAGCATCATCATCATCATCTTCATCTTCGTCATCATCGAATCTACTTTCATTAATTTCTACTTCACTGTTATCATTCATATCATCAATATCGAAGTCCCCAAAATTGACATCCTCTTCGTCATTTCTGTCAAGATCCACTTCAACTAGTCCAGCTAGAACAGCTTCTTTATACAAAAAGATTTCTAAAAGGCGCTGTTCAATTTCAAATGGTATCTTTTTCAAAAAGTAGTTGGCAGCCTTATTATTCCCACTAAAGAATGACTCAAAGTTTTTAAAGTGGTCTTTTCTATTGTACTTGGTGTAAAATATTTTCATGGAAACGGCCAAATCTATGTATTTGGCCCCAAACAAAGTTTGCAAATTATTTAATGTACGTAATATCCGCATACTTGAGATATTAGTTCTTTCATTTAATTGAACTTTGAAAGTTGATACAAAAATACCTGTAATTTGATAGAAAATTTGTTGCAAATCTTCAAACACAATTTCCATATCATATAATTGATGTCCGGTTTCAGTAGCTGGGACGTACATTAATTCTTCCAACTTCCATGAGTTTGTCATTAAAGAGAAATCCAAAACTATCTTGAACAAACTTGTGAATTGTTCACTATCTGATAAAAATTTGTTAGGATATTCTCTTACGTATTGATCGAGGTTCCACCCATTAAATAATTTTGAAAGTAATGAGCCAGTGGTGAATGTCAGCTCTTTCAAAAATTCATTAACGTTAATAAATTCTCCCAATTTATTCAATTTTAAAATGGGACGTGATACATTTGTTAGTATTCTAAGGCATTCAATATATCCAACCGAATTTTCTATATCTATAAGTGATGTCAGTTTCAATGAATCTTTAACTTCAGCAACCAATTCCAGTAACAAATCTTGCACCTTCATCCTAATTTCAGTATTTGTTAATGAGACCGAATTAGTAATATTTGCTTGATCTGTGCGAGATATACTGTTGTTATAATCACCAAGAAGTTTTTCAAGGAATCCATCGAAGTCTCTTAAAATTGGATCTTGTATAACGTTTGGTTCATAGTTTTGATAGTACTTCAATAAAGTATCAACAAGATTGTTAAAGACTTCGAGTTGATCAAGACTTTTATAGGTCGAATAAATATTTTCTGAAGTGTGAGGAGACTCAGTCAACAATAAATTCCATAATTTCATAAAAACTTCTATAAGTTGATTAGATTTCATCAGAATTGATTGAATGGATGTCAAAAAATTGGACAATTTTAAAAGAACAGATTCAGAGCTTTCTTGGATAGTCGATGGATCTTTTCTTTTCAATTTGCTAGTTTGTAAAGTGTAAGTTAATGCACCCACTATGAAGCTTAGAATATAGTATTTATCTTCATTAGAATTTAATTCTAAAATTTCTTTCACTTCATTCAATTCGGCATTTTCGCCATCTTTACTAGATATAGCCGACATGTCATACAAGAAGTAGTTAACAAGAAATTCCCATGAATGTGTGAACGTAGGCAATTGTGCAATTGATGCATATATCACACATATAGCAGAGGAATCAACCACGTTGCCTCGTTTCTTTGAAAGGTAATGTGTTTTCACTTGTTGAATGAAATTTGCCAATGATTTGTACTTAAAACACGATTCTAATCGAACATGGGTATGTTCTTCTGAAACAGCAGCATGATTTTCGTCTTCTTCTTCATTTACTCCGCCTGTAGAATTGTCTTGTACAGATAATAAAATTGAATACTTTTCTTGGTACCTTTTTACTGCATCAGAATTTTGAAGTGCAATAAATTTAGCCAATTCTAATTTAATTTTCTCATAACTACCATGATTCTTGCCTTGAGTAGCCAATATAGTAAAGAATTGCAGACTTATATCTAACTTTTCCACATCATCAAGAAATCCTATTTTTTGAAGCTCAACTAAGCAACTAACCAAATTCAATCTAACGCCAAAATCCGTATCTTTTGAAGAAATTGCGATAATCTGTTTCTTAAATCTATCGGTAAATTGTCTAAAGCCAACGCTCATATTCAGGCTCCCATGCGATGATCGATAGAGTTTAAGAAGAACTCTTGAGGCTTCAGACCGTACATGATTAGATGGATCTGAAAGTAACCAGCCAAAATAACGAAGGTTAGAAGACTGGAAGAAAAATTCTGGATACAATAACATCCACTCCCCCAATTGTTTTAAACATTCTTGTCTGATTAATGGATCAATATCACGATATCTATGAGAAAAGGTAATTTCAAGTATATCTGTGAAATATTCACGAATAGTTTCCATTTGAATATGATAAGTTTTCACAGCTTGTGTAACTGTATCCACTTTCTTTTGATATGCCTTTGATTTTTTATTAGTTTTAACATTTTCTAACTGTCTCTGACTTCTTTCCATGTTGGAGACTACAGATACCATTATCTCACATAATTTTGTTTGAATCGAAAGTATGATAATGGTGGATGTGAACCTTAAAGGTCTTGTTGTAGATGTACTGAAAGACGAAAACCAAGTAAGGATTTGAGTCATAATTGGAGAACTGAGAGAATCTTCTTCATCCTCATCTTCATCATTTTGTTCGCCTTTAAACAATAAAGATTTCTCATGAGCTAAAGTTATAATCTCTCCAAAGAAATCTATTACATTTCTTCTAAAGAATTTAAGATCTTTGTTATTGGAAATGAAAGGATATTCATGACTTTTTTGCAGTTCATACGCAATTTGAACTTCAGCTACCGTATCGGCAGATGATTCAAGGTTTGCTAGATCATGTGGTTGAAGTAAATGAATACATCCGCAGCATCTGAGCATGAGATTGACTAATGTGGTAATGGCATTCACTGAATCATTTTCATATGCTTCGACCCATTCAAGGGCAAGTTCCAGGATGGCAGTCTCTGGGTGTGAGAGTGCTTCGTAGAGGTAATTTTCTTCAAAAGTTGCATTCACGAGTCTACTAATAGCCTTTGCCGTTTTTCTGTTCTTTTTTGGTCCTGCTTTCCTGGAAGTTGGAGCTTTTCTCTTCAATGGCCTGCTTTCTACATATTCTTCTTCTTCCTCTTCCTCTTCATCACTGTCAGATTCAATATATGAAGTGCTAGCCTTTTGTCGAGAAGACCGCCTTAATACCGCGGCTTCGTCTATCTCAGAGGTACTTGGCTTGGCCATGGTTCTTTAGTTATGTCTTGACTCAATATGTATCTTTCTGATTTCAATTTAACGCATATTTAAAGAAATAGTAAATAATCTCAATAATTAGACGCGTCCTGTCTGTATACAAATGATAATCCTGCACAAATTTCGGGATTCCTTCAACTGTTAGGTTATTATAGGTTTATTCATTCTAAAAATGATTCAATGATATCAATTAGATTTAGGATGATCTCCATCACTCCCCAGGTGTCTTACTGAAAGCTACAGTATTATTCTGATTTCCTTAACTTTTTTCTTAAAGAATTCATACGTTATCTTTTTACTGGATTATTATTTTTTTTATTATTGGTCCATTTCCTGTGTGTGGAACAAATTGAATTGAACAAAATTTCCAAAAAAAAAAACGCTCTTGGAAACACACGCAAAATACGCTTTTATAACAACGTCAAGTCCTAATCAAATTATCAAACTAACTCGCAGTATTCAATAACTAAAGACTCGCGCTTGAACTAGAAAGGTTATTACATCTGGGATATATCTATATATAAACATACACATACATACCAGTTTATATATATAGAATCGATTGTTATCATTCTCGAGTTAATTTTTTGTTTTGTTTTGTTCAAAATAAATCAAACGATCAATTGTTTTCCACCCAAATATTAATCAGAATAAGATAAGATGTCGACATCTGCAGAAACAACACCAGCTGCTGAGCCACAACCAGTGAAAAATGAGTCTTCCACTGTTGAATCTGGACAACAAGGCGGTAATGTAGCCCCTGCCGAAACAACGGAAGAATCATCAACTAATTTAGAAAGTGCTAGAACTTTATTCAAGGAAAGAGCTCTTACTTACTTGGCAGAGCAGCAAAAGCACGTAATTGTTCCTTCATATGCAGCCTGGTTCAACCTTGATGCGATCCATTCCATTGAAAAGAAACTGTTTCCAGATTTCTTTCCTACCAAACAAGATGAACATCATTCGATATACAAAACTCCTGAGATTTATAAAAACATGCGTGACTTTATGGTCAACTCTTACCGTGTGAACCCTCTTGAGTATATTACAGTTACTGCTATTCGTCGAAATTTGGCTGGAGATGTGACTAGTATTATTAGAGTTCACCATTTCTTAGAAAAATGGGGATTGATCAATTATCAAATCGATCCAAGAACTAAATCATGTACCGTAGGACCTCAATACACTGGCCATTTCCAAGTAACTTTGGATACTCCAACGGGGCTTGTTCCATTTGTTCCTGAGGGAATTTCAGATCCAAAGGAGTCCACTGTTAATGAACCACAGGAGACTAACACTACCACATCCGCAAAGCAGGGAACAGACAGTAAAGCTACTGATGATAGTTCTATCCCACTCAATTTGGAAGTAAGACATAATGTGTACACCAAGACAAATGAACTTACTAAAAAGGCAACTGTCAACACAATTCAATTTTTCTGTAATATCTGTGGAAATGATTGTACTTCTACAAGATATCATAATTTAAAGGTAAAGTCATATAATTCAAACCCAAATTCAACTGCTAACAATGCTTCTGTATTGTGTGTCGAATGTTATGAACAAGGATTATTCCCACTGAACTTTTACTCTTCTGATTTCATTCAATTGAAAGAAGAAACAAAGAGTTCCAATGTATGGTCAGAACAAGAAGTATTATTATTATTAGAAGCAATTGAAGTATATGCCACCTATGACACATCTAACAATGGTACTTCTAACACAGCTATTAATACTAATGGTAACGGACAATGGGATAAAATTGCCGAATATGTAGGAACTAAATCGAAAGAAGAATGTTTGGTGAAATTTATACAATTACCAATTGAAGATAGATATTTGAATAAATTGGCGGAACCAAAGAAGCAATCTGGAATTTCACAATCTAACCTGACTCTCATCCAAGATATAGTGAAGGAGATTGTAAACAATAAACAAACCAATGGAATTGCTACCACCGCAACGAATAAGGCTGAAGCAGCTTCTTCTGAGCAACAACAAATTATAAACCAAATTATTGAACTTACGTTAGAAAAGGTCTCTACTAAATTATCTCATTTAGATATTTTGGAACAAAATTTACTTGAAGCAGAAAAGAAATTGCAACAAGAAAGAAAACAATTGTTATTTGAAAGATGGTCTCATTATGAAAAGATCAATAAATACAAAGAATCTCAACCGGAATTGGCATCAATTTTCGATGATTTGTTGACTCCAATCAAGATTCAAGAAGTTGTAAAGCCTCAAAAGGAAGCGGATGAAGACTCTGAAAACAATATGCAAGTTGACTCTACTACGTCGGGAATCAACGGTCTTGATTCAACAACTGCGCCAGTATCTGTCTCACAACCAAAGAGCTATCAATTCTGGTCCGGTTAAACGTTTCACGTATCACATCTTTTGAGCTACTGTACTATTATCTATTTTTATATTAAATGAACAAAACTAAGTAGAAATTAAATGAATGTAACAAATATTATAAAATATCATTAAGACCGCGCATATCTTTATATGCGAAAAAAAAGCTGATAGATACAAACATTAACAGTAGGGGGTATTTACTCTTTATGATCTGAAATGGTACACGATACATTGTCATTATTTTCACAGAGGTTACTTAACCTTGAATTGAAGGCGGGGACCAGAGTAGAAGAAGATGTACAACGTCAATTAGTTCACTTGAGGAAATTAATAGATGATGCTTATACAGATAACCCCGAGTTAAAAACCTTGAATAGAATAATTTCTGATCTTAATATGTGGAAATCTTTTGATGACAATATTCCAAAAGACAATCAAGATGGTAAGGATTCGGGTGTTTCAATAGAGCTGAAAGAAGCTCTTATCCTATCTAAGTATCCAGTTCTACAGGATGCATACAACAATTTAGCTAAACTCTCTACAATGGACATACCTAAATTGGTCAACTATATTGAGACCTCACAGGATAAAACTCACGACTTATTTAACGATCTTTGCATAATGTCAGAGAGGAAGGTATCTGTAGAAGCTATAGCACAAAATTTCCATATACTAGTGGTAAAAAACATGATAGTTTTAGAGAAGTATATTGCTTTAATGCAAAGAGAAAATGAATTTTGGGCTACAGTTGAAACCAGGTTGACACTATTAAATCAAAAGATATTAAAGAGTGAAGAGAGTAAGAGAATTATGAATAAATATTAGCGCAGGCGCAAACGAATAAACGTCATATCTATATTAAATATTTAAATATGAAAAAGAAAAACATACGATGAACGTAATGAATAAGTTCATGGTTGTTTGTAGTTGGGACTTTCAATTGATAAACAAAAAAATAATTTGGACGAGTCCGGAGTCGAACCGGAGACCTTTCGCATGCTAAGCGAACGCGCTACCAACTGCGCCACACGCCCTGGAAATTATAAAATGGTCCCTAGCAGGATCGAACTGCTGATCTTGGCGTTATTAGCACCACGCCTTAACCAACTGGGCCAAGGGACCTATTTGTTGAAGTTGAAAAGTAGCCTGATTACCAGGCTCAGTAACTTATAAAATCACGGTTTGCGCACGACCCTTATAATAAACTCAAGAGTAATGGTTGCAAGTCGTGCTAAAACAGTCAATGAAAGATGATTGGTAGTTTAAGTATCTTTAAACGATTGAAGAAGTTGCTTCTAAGTTTTTTTTTATAGAAAAATTAGTGAAAAAGTATAGAATTTCTTGTTTACCCCGTTTTTCATCACTATATGTGGAAATTTCGTTGAAATATACAGAGGCCACGTTAATTCAAGGAATTCCTTTGACGATCCTTGAACTATTTCAACATCAAAGAACCATTCCCTTTTAAAATGGTTGGATTATTTGAGATTCAGGGTCGTGGATAGAACTGTTTAAGTTGTAGTGTGGAATTTTTACACAAGTTTTAGGTTAAAGGTTAGTTCTTGGAGACTTTAAAGGAGGGAACTTCCCAATTTTGGATTTAAATGAGAATAAGAAGACTGGATTTATCTATGATTCATATAGTGAAATGTAACAACATCGTCTATGGAGGGTTAATTGTAAATATCAGGGAACTGAATGATTGAGATGATTAAGAGAATGTTGAGTGGTATTGATCTCAAGTTAACAGGATTATGCACTCAAAGAGAGTTTCCCATGGTTTATAGACAGTCAATTGTCCAGCTAATTTTTAAGTAATTCTCTGTGCCTGCCTATCTTTTTTTTTAAAAGATATTGAATAATACGCAATTACAGAGGCATTTTCCCAATACTTGATTCGGACAGTCACAACATTATTGAAATGTTATATAAATAATTTTCCATTTCACTTAGGACGCGAATGATAGTATTCCTTAGAAGAATAGTCTAATATTACATAGTACTAAGCAATTCGAAGATATAAGTCTGTTTATTGGAGATAAGGTTGTAGATTGTTGCGATTTTCTTGAGAACTTCATTCTTCAAGTAAGAAGTTATTCTACTACTCCATTTAAACAATATATACAGTATGTTATAACTCTGGAGTGCAATACAATTCTACCTAATAATGTTAGATTCTTATAATAAAAATATAAAGCAAAATAGGAGAAAGGGTATTCATCGGTTTGAAGGAATCACATACCATTCTCACAGGTTTGCAGCATAGTTAGTAAGTGAGAAAAATAAAATAAAAAATACATGCAAAAAATAAAATACAGAGATCAACTATACGCTACTAAATATCTTCCCAACTATGATACAAAGAAGTATAAGGACGGGATTCAGAGTAATAAATAACTTTGCTGCAGTACGACAGAAGAGTGCTTTTTCATTCCCTACTAAACTTAACGTTGTGGACCCTCTCGAGTACGAGCAAGTGGAACCAGATAAAGATGATGAGATCGTAATCGCAATGAGCTCAGGTGTAGACTCTTCGGTGACAGCTTCTCTTTATGCTAAATCATACAAGAATGTGAGAGGAGTATACATGGCTAACTGGTCTCAGTCTGCAAAATGCCTCGAGGACGATTGGAATGATGTTAAGAGAGTATGTGGGCAACTCAAGATTCCTTGTGAACGAGTAAACTTTGAAAGAGAGTATTGGACTGATGTATTCGAGCCTATGATAAACATGTACAAGAATGGACTCACACCAAATCCTGATGTTGGATGCAATAAATATGTAAAATTCGGTAAAATGATTGAACACCTTCACAATAAATTTGAGAATGTTGACAAGAAATGGTGGCTTGTAACTGGTCATTATGCCAGAATAATGAGACATAGAGAATCTGGGAAGTATCATTTATTGAGAGGATTATATCCAAACAAAGATCAATCATATTACCTTTCTATGTTACCTCCAGACACGTTGTCACGAGTTTTAATGCCAATAGGTCATATGACGAAGCCAGATGTGAGAGAAATTGCAGCTAAGGAAAATTTGATTACAGCCAGTAAACCAGACTCACAAGGGTTATGTTTTGTATCTCAAGATAATAAAAAGTTTGGAAGTTTTCTTGATGAATACATCCGTCCAAATCCAGGAAATTATGTCACTGAAGATGGGAAAATTTGGGGTACTCATAATGGGTTATGGCATGCGACTATTGGTCAACGAGCCAATATATGCATGCCACAAGGAGATCCGAAATATAAAGGTGTTTGGTTTGTAAGTGAAAAGAGAACAGACACAAATGAACTAGTCATTGTGAAGGGTGGAAACAACGCCGCCTTATATGCATCAAAGCTACGTGTAAGAGATTGGCAATGGTTGGAAACTAATTTTGATACATCGAAGTTTTGCACAGACAATTTAACCATCCAATATAGATCACTACAGAATTCACCTGATGCAGTTGCATCATTTGAATCACTCGGTAATGACGAGGTCGAGATACACCTCAAGGAAAGTGCCAGAGCGATGGCCCCTGGACAAAACATTGTCCTATACAATGGGAATAGAGTACTAGGGTGTGGGGTTCTACAAATTACCAACTAATCTTCCAAAACTTTGTAAATAATCAAATAATGTAATGTACATAAATAACGAAATAAAATAAAATCCAGTAATCCAATATTATAACCAACTTGCAAATATTCAAAATGCCGTGATGCTAGGATACAATTTCCTAGAATCTTCCTGCGGCTTCTTCTCATTGTCAATCTCCTTTTCATTCTTTAAGGATGCCAAATATTCAACAACTAAGCGAATCAACTCACGATGTCTACTAACACTTTCCAAAGTCATTTCAGAATCATTTGCGTCCAAAGATAACTTTCCAAACTTAGAAAGAGTCTCTTCCTCATCAACTTCAGTATCCTTTTGCAAAGGCTTACCCTTTCTTTGATATGTAGAAACTCCACCAAACTCCATGGAAACTGGAGCAGGTTGCAGGAATCCGGCAGGTCTATCGTATTGTGGATAGTTAGAAGAAAATCCTGTTGAATTCAATACAGAGTTATCCATTGCTGGTCTTGGAGGTTGGTTTTGTGCTGGCATGGTAGGGTACAAAGAATTTTGGTGTTGTTGTTGGTGTTGTTGTTGTTGCTGCTGCTGCTGCTGCTGCTGCTGTTGTTGTTGTTGTTGTTGTTGTTGTTGTTGTTGTTGTTGTTGTTGTTGTTGTTGTGGATGTCCAGATGCCATGTTATGGTATTGCAAATCAATAGATGAAGATAAAGAGTTGAAAAACTTCTCAGCTTCAAGAATTTGACTTGTATTAGAAGTGTAACCAAATGGAGCTGCTCCAAATCCAGTATTAGAATGTTGATGTTGTTGTGGCTGTTGTGTATGGTTTAAGTGTTGATTATGATGATGAGGCTGTTGTGGTTGTTGGTTTGCTGGCGCATGTTCATCCAAGTGGTTAAGTCTATTGAAAACATCAATATTGTATTGTGGCTCAAGTTTAACCTTCTTGTTGGCATAGTCAGGAGTAGAGTTATTATTCATTTGGAAGTTGAAATCATTCAAAATCACATTAACGAGATTGACATTGTGTTGAGAGTTAGACTCGGGTCTTCTCTTACGTGTGTTCTCCAACTGTTCAAAAGTGTGTTGTTGATGAACACCCTGGATTTGGTGGTGATTATCATGTTGATGATGGTGTTGAAAGTTGTCATAAGGAGGTGTTTGTTGCTGGATAGGCTTTTGTAAAGTACGTTGTTGGTATAAGCCCAAGTCACTGGTGTGATTGTGGAAATCTTGGTATGGAGGGAAGTTGATAGGATGATGAATGTTATTCTTCTGGTTAAGATGAATTCTAACATAGTCTTCATTTTCTCTTTCCATTTCCTTTTGGACTTTCTTCAATTTCTTTGGGTGGTCTTCAGCGTGAATTCTGGAGTGCTTCTTTAAATCTTGTGGTCTTTTAAAACTCTTTGGACAAATATCACAATGGAAAGGTTTTAAAGGTACATGAACACGAAGGTGTGATGTGATGTGATCTCTCTTGACAGTGGAAACAAGACAATTATCCCAATAACAAGTAAGCGACAAATTGTTAGAGGACTTTCTACCAACATGTTCATCACATAAATGATCATACAAAAGTTCTGGGGTTTCATAAACGTTTTTACAATCATTCCAGTGACAAATAAATGGTCCCTTGAGATCTTCTTCCTTAATTTTCTTGTATGTTTTCTTGACTCTTTGAACTGGTTCAACACTTTCTTCAGAGTCATTCTCTTCTTCACTACTGTTTTTAGCTGGATGGTGAATGTGAGGAAGGGAATGTGAGTGAGCATGAGCATTTGTATCATTTTCCTGTTGTTGGAAAAAGGTATTCATAAGGTTATCAGTTTGTTCGGGTCTAACATTGTAGACTTCTCTCTTGATGTACTGCAAGTCCTTATTATCCAAAGGAGAGTTAGCAGATGACTGTGACGTAAAAGAGGACCTTGGAGAGTTGTTGCTTGACTGAGAGCTAGTGGTTGGAGAGTTAGACGACGCCTCAGAGTCAGCCATTCTGTCTGTAGCGTTCAAGTATGACACCGGGTGGAGGTTGTAATTCATTTTGACAATAAGAGAAGGCAAAAGTAAATTTGTTAAAGTCGACGAGGTTTAACGAGCAGTTATATATATATATAAATTAATATACGTTACCGCTGTTTAAGCAGGGCTGTGTCCTTAAAAAAAGAAAGCCAAGGTTTAAAAATTATAAATGTTCCTGTCTAGGAAGATCTATAATGGGGGAAGTTGTGTAGTGCGAAGATGCGGCAAGTAGCAGATATCTAACGATTAACAGTTGTATAGCTGGTGCTGAACGATAGTTCAGATAGTATCTTTAGTTTGTTCAGGATAAAAGATATATGAAAAACAATCAAGGATGCCCCTAATTTCTTATTTCAAATGATATGGCGACCCCTCGGACCATGTGTGGTTCTAGTCACTAACGCCAAGCATTTTTATTTTGTGTGATTTCTTTTTTCTTGGTGCCAAGAATGCACGATGTGGAGTAGTGGAGAGAAAAATAATCTTTGAGCGAATCGAACCAAGAGTAAGAAAATTTCCATTATTAATGGACAGATGGCACGGTTGTACTACATATGGAGAAATGTGAAAAAAGTCAAATTATTTTTGAGGCGGTCATTTGGGTTGTATTTCTCAAATCCTCCATACAACAAAACCACTATGGGATTTATTGAGAGATCAGATGATTATAAGTACTATCTTCTTTAATAACTATATACCATGAGCAGGCCTCCACAAAGCACCACCACCCCTTCACAGTCGAATACAACGACAACTACCACTGTTGAAAACGAGCCGGTTGTGCTTCGTTTGAGACAAGATGAGAATATTGCCACTGATCTGACCCTGGGTACAAAGAGCAAAAAAAAGAAGAGTAAGCTGAAGAAGAAGCCACGGGTGAGATGGACGGAAGATGTAGTTGATAATGAGCATATGGATAAGAAAAAGAGCAAGATTTGCTGTATTTTCCACCCACAACGAGAGTTTGGGGAAGAGAGCAACTCTTCCTCAGATTCATCAGCTGAATCGTCAAGTGACAGCGACTCCGACAAAGAAGACTATCGTCACGGACAAAGGCACGATCACTCCAATTGTAATCATATTAAAAAGGCACCACGCAGCAGTAGTCCCAATGCATACGAAAAGCAACCGAATTACAGGAAAAAGGATGAGGCAAAGTAAAAGACATTTAGAAGGAAGTAAAGGGGGTTATTGAATTAAAATTAAGTAATGTAGTTTATATAAATATACATATTTGATGCAATGTAATTAGATGCTACTCTGGATTCGTAACTTTCAAAATTCTCCGGGAATAATCTATATTATCTCCAAGTGACTTTTTAGATTCATTAGTAGTAGTGAACAAAGTACCGGGTTCTAACCGATGGTCCAATTCAGCAATGGGTATCATGATATCGTTATCGCCAAAGCTATTAGTAGCCAGGTGTGTTGCTTCATTTCTACTAGAGGGACTTTTTGGAAGCAACTTCTTTCTTGAAGGATTTCTAGCGACAGATCCTGGGGTGGATCCGTTATTATTAAAAAATGAGAAGACAGATTTATGAGAGCTATCTCTAGTCAATCCTTCACTCTTAGCGTAAGTGCCATTAGGAGTACCATTAGCTGCTACTATGGCAATTCCTTTTTCATTATTAAATGAAGCTTCATCTGAAGAGTATTCATTTTCTTCATCTGAATGGGTTGCATAACGCCCACCCATTCCACAACATCCAATACAACAACAACAATATAAAACACCCAAGATTATGGCTAATGCAACCAATCCTACAGCGGTAAAAGTCCCAGCAACTTTCCCTTTAGAATCAAAAAAGGAGTTCTTAGATCCTGAAGAAGTAGGAGTAGAAGTAGATGACCCGCTAGAACTTTCAGGAGTGGCTGTTCGGCTTGGTTTCTCGGTTACATATTGGGTTGATACCAATTGGGTTTGCAGCCCATTTACAGTCTTGTATATGGTAGTTGCTTTCACTAAACTCGAATCTGAAGTTGTTGAAGAAGTAGTTTTAGATTCATCTGATGTGGAAGATGATGATGATGATGATGATGATGTCGAGGAGAATGATGAGGTTGAAGTTGATGTCAGCAATGACGTCCTTGAAGTTGAGGAGGAAGTTGAGGTTGAGGACGATGATGAACTTGTAGTTGTTGTCTCTGGTTGGGTTGATGCTGTTTGCAATGTTGTAGATGAAGTGGAAGTTGATGAAGAAGAAGAAGATGAAGATGTTGTTGTAGTTGAGGTGGATGTGGAAGAGGTAGAAGTAGCTGATGAAGAAGAAGAAGATGAAGATGGCCAAATGGTAGTAGGATTTCCAAGGACCAAATATCCATAATATCCAGTTGTGGCACACATTTCTGGAGAATAATGTGGACATGCAACATTACAATTGTTCATATCGACAGTATTGCCTGGGATGGTGTTAGAGCACCAACAATTGTCTTCTTGAAGGATAGCTACTGCATAACCGTTACAATTTGTTTTGCAAAGCCCTATAGACATCCATTCGGAAGTGGAGAATTCTGACCCAGTATTCTCGGTAGCACAGCTATTTAGAGTAAGTGCTACGGCTGTACGACTGACTGCTAGTAGCAGCGCAAACAAAACCAGTCTCATATCGAAATATACAAACTTGACTGGGGCAGAAATAATAGATAAAGGGGTTGTTCGCTTTATTAAAAAAGGATAATGTTATTTCGATGTTGTATGGTGATGTCTAGAATATCTTCAATATTTTGGTTTCAAGATTGCAAGGGTGCACAGTGTGGAAATTTTAAAATAGCAATATGTTAAATAAAGGATGGATCTCCACAGCCTGGTTTATCGCTATTAAAGGGTCTCGAATGTAGTAGGTGATTTCTGAACGAGGAATGTCCAGATGTAATAAGGGAGGAATGATATAAATTCTTCTAAAAAAAAATGGATCACAAATGATGATAAACCGAACCCTTTGCTCCGTAGAGATTTGCGGCGTGCGGGTAATAATAGATTTATAGAGTGCCAACTCTGCTTGGGATGGCCATAATTCGATCTAATCAGGAAAGTCGCACAATTAAAACATTAATTTGTGCTTTTTATTAAAAAATAAAAAAAAAATATAGAATAGAATAGTGTAGAAAAATGAGCCCCTGCGGAAAAATTATATATGTAAAGTGAGTCCCTGGCGGCTATTTCCTACATCCCGTTAAACGGGAGCAAAAAGCCTACAGCGCATGGATATAAAGCTCAAAGCGAGAGCAATGGAAGTTAATTTGGGCTCATTTAAGGGGGTTTTGCAGTATTAAGAGTTAAAGTTTTCTTTAGGTTGTGTGGGAGATTGGCGTGATATTATTTTCATTTAAAGTTTACAGTATCGTTATTTTATTTCTATCTGTCTGTCAGAGCAAAACAAGGGCCGCAACTGCAACCAAAGAGAGAAAAAAAAAAAAAACTCTTTAAAGAGCAAACGAGAAAAAAAGAAATAAATATCAATAAGTGTGAATTTAAAGTATGAGACAGAAGTGAAAATAGCAAACGTTAATTGGGAATGGAGGAGAAGTTGAACGTTTCCCATTTAAATACGAGTTAATGACACCGTGTAAGGTAATTTCTCCTAACAATAATAGCTTATTGTTTCCATGGAGATTCATGTAAATATTGTATTTCCCTCCTGGGATACGGAATTGCCGGACAATAGACTTCAGATGGTGCGAATATCCATCTCCTAAATGCGTGATGATATCACACATGTGATCGTATCTCATGCTGAAAAGGTATTCCAAACCAAGAAAGAAAGAATTTTAGTATAAATGTGTTAAAAATGTCGTAAGTTATCTATGTCTTTCTCTATTATATTTGTCTATATCTCTATTTATTATCAGTTTCTTTAATATGTACAAGTATCCCTCTTTCCTCCATTCTTTTCTTCACATATGCGTCTGAACCAAGATGCATTCTTGAAAGTCGTTCTCTCACCGATGCTGCCACAGATCGTTTCTTATGATCTCTGGCATAATTATCTCCTTGTATAGATGCTTTTTTAGTAGTTTCATAATCTTTTATGATTCCAACCAATTTACTATGTTCTTCTTTAACCAGTAATTGACTATTATCCTGTGCAAATGTATGTTTAATTAATTCCCATTGTTCTTTCTCTTTTGTTGTCAACGGATTTCTAAGAAGTTTCAGATGAATAGTATCATTATCTAGGGAGCAACCAGCCCTTTCATTTTTATATTTTGTACGTCTAGACCATTTAAACCCATGTGTATACAAATACCTTCCTTCTAATTCATTAAGCAATGGTCCAACAATTCTTCTCATAATTTTAAAGTTTTCAGATGGACCTTCAACTTCTATTTGTGAACTTTTCCCATTTATATTAATTCGATTAAATTCAATCGGTAATCCTAAATTCCGGGTACAATCTTCATGAATTAAGCCTCTTAAAATTAACATAATTGGCCCTAAATCATGATTATGAGAATGTATACAAATTCCTCGTATCAAATATTTATAAAAATTAGGATTGAATTCAATTTTAGGATAATTGAATAGCAACGTTGAATAAGCGCTTAACATTAGATATATTCTATCATTTGTTATTTCATTTTGTTGGTCATTTAGTTTGTGTTTGTCATTATTATCATTAGTAATATTCTTGTGAAATGCAATAAATTGCATTAAATATTGATATGTATATTCATCAATAATTTGATTTGATTCCTTTAATTCATTGAAAAAATAATTAATTCCTTCTTTAATTGATTGATTTTCCAATCGATGTTTAAAAACTTTATTTGCAATCTGTGAATCATTTTTCCAATCATTTTGTTTTAGATCATTTTCAATAAAATTAATTATTAAATTTGTATCCTTTGTAGTTTTCATATAATCATCTAAAATTCTTAATATCATATTTCTTGATATTGGTAGATTAATACTATTCATCTTATCAATAAAGATTTCCTTTAAGAAAATATTATTGATCAGATCATATACTCTTGACCAAGTAGTTAAAGTAATATCAATACCTAAAGATTGTGATAATTTTAAATATTTACTAACAATGGAATAAGTACTGGTTAATGATCTGATATGAGAATGTGTTCGACACATCTTAAGAAGATTATTTATGGTATCAATGTTTGGTTTATGACCATCTTCATGCATCACTAATAATAATTCTCTTGCAAATGAACTTTGATTTTTATCATATCCGAAAAATTTAATTAAATGATTAAATGAATTTGTTGATCTAAATTTCTTCATATGATGATTTGATAAATTATGAGTATATAATAAAATATCAGGGATTAATCCATTTTCTAATGACTGAGAATTCTTATAATGTATGTTCAGATGAGTTAAAAAATAAATATATTCCAGAAATGTCTTGGTATCCATTTCTAAAGGGTTTGGTATTGGTGGCACTTCATGAAAATGATATTTTGGGGTCAAATGTGGATATTTATTTTCCAATTCTTGATTTTCTTGAACTTGTAGTATTCTTTCAATATATTGTGGATTTGCTGATTGATCTAATTTAAGATAATCTGGAGTAATTTTAATTAAAAGATCCATCATTCGCATAAAGTGGATTCGGTCTTCTAAAAACTTTGAGGCAGTTAAGCTACTACCACTATTGCTATTGGATATATTTTGTAAAGCCTTTGATCTTTGCCAATTTTCATGAGCTAAAGTTGAGTTATATTTTGGTCTATCTTGTTGGAAAGTTTTCAAATTTGGTATACCTAAAGGTTTCAAAAAATCTTGATAATATTTTCTTTGATAATCTTTAGATACTAAAGGGTAATATTTTTTCAATTTTTCATTAGATATTTTACTATGATGTAATGGACCAGGTATCAATGCATTTTCATTTGAATCAATTTGACTTTGATCTACAAAATGATTTTCATTATATGATTTTGGTCTTGATTTTGAAGGGTTTGAATGGTTGGTAATTGCCTTATTAAAATCGAAATGTCGTATTGATCGACCAATTCGAACCAAGGCATCTTTAATAGAGCTCATAAGTTAGTTTTGGAATGCCAAAGTTATCAATTTGTAGTGGTTGTAGCATATTGTGAGTTTTTTTTTTGTTGTAGAGTTTGGTGTGAAAAATATTGAATAATGATAGTTACACAAAATTGGAGTATATATTATGAAACTAATGTATTGAAGTTTTATGAGCCATGTTTATCTTTTTTTAAAATTGAGATGATAATGAGGTATTGGGAAGACCAGTAAATATTTAAATGAACTATATGAATCATCTTAAGTGTCATAAAAAAGCTTCCACTTTTTTAATCTCGGGCTGAAAAATGAATAAAAAAAAGTGTCTGCAACCAGTCCAGATAATCTACTGGTTACACTGCTGTAGTCCCAAATTACTCTCATTATATGTGACATAATTCCAATACAATTGAAACCTCTGATTCTATCATAAGATAATTATATCCAATGATAACCCATCTCAGAAGTTAGCTCTAAACATCACCATATTACATTGAACTCCATCTTTCTCTCTTACTTTCTTCTCCGCAGTTATCATCTTCTACATTGCATCTCAATCTCAATAATTCATATGCAAAATAAAATACAAACCTTAACCCACTAAAGTTATCGTAAATGTTAATCTTCCACCTATTACAGAAATCGTGTGCATATTTAAGTTTCTCGAACAAATACTTCATAGACAAGCCGCGAATAGAACATTTTTCCGCACATTATCTAAGTCTTATATTTTCTTAGATAAGACATTTTTTTCGGTTAATAATTGAAGGTTTCAAAAATGCTATAATGGATTCAATAACTAAAATTTAAATAGAAATAAAGAGCTCATATGTATGATTAGTCATTATTTTTTTTACCACCTGTACTATTCATTGCATACACATACCTTTATCAACTTTCATTTCTTTTTTGTGATCTGTCAAAAGTATTTTAATTTATTCTAATATGTCTTTCAATTTAAATAAATTTTTTTTTTACTTCAAAAATTTAATTTTGAATAGCCGCCTATCTCTTGCGAATCAAAAGATATTTTATTTTCTAACCCAAATTCTAATCAACTCCATTAGCATTTCCAAGGGGCTATAATTCTCTCTGCTACCTACAGTAGAACTGACCTCATCCCATACCTACTTCATGTCTTCAAATACGCCCCTACTAAGTGGTAAGTCTACAGGTAATGCATACACTTCGAATGATGGATCATGTTTGAAATCTCAAGGGTCCTCCAGTTCAATCCATAAACAATTGAATACTATCAAAAATTCAAAAAGTTCAAAAGTTCCAGCTTCTTCATGTAAAAAGGTTAAGCATAAAGACGCAAAACTTGGAACTTTTGAAGGGGTATTCCTTCCAACCTCCCTCAATGTGTTATCCATTCTTATGTTTCTTCGGTTTGGTTTCATTATTGGCCAAATGGGTATTGCTGGTACATTTCTTCTCCTTATTATGTCTTACACAATAGACATACTAACAACGTTGTCTATCAGTGCCATCTCAACAAACGGGACCGTCAAGGGTGGTGGTGCTTACTATATGATCTCTAGATCTTTGGGTCCAGAGTTTGGTGGTGCTATCGGGGTCATTTTTTTCATTGGTCAAATTTTAAACCTGTCTTTGAATGTAGTTGGTTTTATTGAACCATTAATGGTTAATTTTGGTAAATTGAATGGTGATATGCTTCCAATTCTACCAGTGCTGTACATGTGGCAAGTTCTTTATTCAACAGTCTTGTTGGCAATTTGTACTGGTATTGCTCTTGTTGGAGCAAGTCTTGTTTCCAAAACCGCATTTTGGTTATTTATAATCTTGACTTTAAGTACTCTCTCTATACCAGTCCTGTCATTATTTGTCCGACCATTCCATCCATTCCCAGCTCCATTTGATGATCTCTATTACACTGGTCTTTCTTGGTCTACTTTTATTTCAAACTTGTGGCCAAATTTCACTAGTGGTGCTGCAGGTTCAGTTCAACCACCAGGAGTTCCTGAAACTTTCAAGAATCTTTTCGGGATTTTCTTCCCTGCAACTGCAGGTATATTTGCTGGTGCTTCAATGTCTGGTGATCTTAAGAATCCATCTCAATCGATTCCAAATGGGACTTTAAAGGGTCTTGCAATTACTTTTGTACTTTATTCCTTGGTTATTGCATCCATGGGATCTTCCATTCCAAGGGATCTCTTACACCATGATATAAAGGTAATACAAACTGTGTCTCTACATGGAATCATTATTATCTTGGGTGAATTCTCAACCTCACTTTTTTCTGTCATTATGGGAATTGTTGGTGCTGCACTGATGCTTTCAGCAATTGCAGATGATAGAATCATTCCTGGATTGAGTATATTCACAGTAGGGAAAAAATCAGAAAAGGAAAAGAAGAGAGCTCAAACAATTTCAATTATTGCAACTTGGTTCATTGCTCAAATTTTCCTTTTTGCAGATATTAATCAGATTGCAACTTTTATTACAATGGCTTTTCTTATGACCTTTATTGTAACAAATTTGGCTTGTTTCTTATTAAAGTTGGGTTCTGCTCCAAACTTCCGTCCTTCTTTCAAATATTTTAGTAGCAAGACTGCATTCATGGGTGCAACTACATCTGTTTTGGCCATGTATATCGTTGATGGTCTCTCAGCATCTTTAGTCATTGTTTTTCTTTTCTTTTTGATTATGATGATTCATTACCTGACTCCACCACTGAAATTTGGTGATATTTCTCAATTGTTGATTTATCACCAAGTTAGAAAATACCTTCTACGTCTTAAATTGCAAATGAGTGTTAAGTATTGGAGACCACAAATTCTTTTACTTTGTGATGATCCAAGAACTTCTTGGAATTTAATTGGATTTTGTAATCACTTGAAGAAGGGAGGTTTATACATTTTAGGGCATGTGGTAATTATGGGCGATGATACTGAAAAGGGACCAGTTCCTGGTGGTAATACATTTAGCTCTAATGCATTTAAAGAGCTTCAGAAACAAAACCAAGCATGGGTAAAGCTTCGGGATATGTCTAAAATCAAGGCATTTGTACAACTTGCCTTGGGTCCTACTTTACCATGGGGGGTTAGAAATGTGTATTTGGGATCCGGTCTTGGAGGAATGAGACCAAATATTACTGTCATTGGATTTTATGATTTCCTGAAACACGGTGTTCTGTTACCTACAAGTCGACAATTGGATGAATTGCCTACAGATTTTTTAAGAAAGGAAAGAAAAGTTTCAATTAATCAATGGGTTCAAATTATTGAAGACTTGATTATTATGCAAGCAACTGTTGCAGTTGCTGCCAACTTTGGTGGCATTGATCTCCCACAGAATGTACACAAGCCGCATTTTTGGAGTCAACCAAAGATGAATTCAAATGGTGCAAAGTTTATTGATCTTTATCCTATTCAAATGTCATCTGTTGATACCCTTGAAGATGGTAAATCAGTTCTTTCTACAAATTTTGATACCTACACCTTGATTTTACAACTTGGAGCAATTTTAACCACAGTTTCTGAATGGAAATATTCAGGTTATGTACTTCGAGTGATTGTATTTGTAGAAACTGAAGACGAAATTGTCGATGAAGAAAAGAGGCTTAAAGATTTGTTAACAACCTTGAGAATCCAGGCAGAAACCAAAATTGTATGTCTCAGTGATGGGTCTCTTAGTTCATACAATTTTATGGTAAGAGGGTACAAAGTAACTTCAGGAAATAAGACTGATTTTAAAAATGTTGATAGTTGTCTCCAAGGAGAACAATGGTGGAGTAATTTATGTAACGCTCGAGAAGCTTTAAGAGAAATCGAAAAGCAAAAAGCTGCCAAAAGAAGCGTGGCAGTCAAAAAAAGTAATGATACTTCTCTCTCGAGTAGTCATAGATTTGACCCATTACTTCTCACGTCAGCTCTGCCTGATAACCTTGGAGGAAGTCTTAGTTTCAATGCAAAGAGAAGAAATACGATTTCAGGCTTACACGACAAAGGAATTTCACTTTCTTTAAACATGCGAACCCAAGGTGGTTCATTTTTCCCATCTGAAACAGTCGAAAGTAGCGAGAGTAGTGACGACGAATTTGAATATGATGATACTGGTAGTGAGGGAACTAATGAAACAGATGAAATTAGCTTTGGTCAAGGTGGTTATTTGGAAGAGATTTATTCGTCAAGAGCTTCTAAGCCAACCATTACGTCTAGTCATCCACCTACCAGTGGAGCCACCACACCTAAACATGTCATTTCCAAATACAGTACAGTTGATCAACTTCGGAAACCAAAGAAGGGGGAAAATGAACTTTTCCGCATGAATAATAACCTTACTTCAGATCAGATTTCTATTCGATCCTCGAGATCTAATCTTAGGCCCAATTTCCTGTCTGTGAAAGTTCCTCAGGCCAAGGTGAACGATGATGACGCTGGATCAGACGATGACAATATTCCATCAATAAGGTTTGTTAATGAAGACGAGAAGGATAACAATGAGGATGATGATGAAGATGGAGGTGCTGAAATTGAAAATGAAAATGAAGTAACTCAAGAACAAAACCAGGATTCAACATCAGTAAGTAGTCAAGAGAAACATGGAAATGAACTCTTCATTGATGTTAAAAAAAGAGAGGGTTCAGTTGATCCGCTCACTAGAGCGACAGCAAGTGGAGCAAGTACTCCAAGACGTATAACGAAGGAAAACAAACGCCAATCGTCTGCTTTATTTTCAAACGGTGATGATATCATTCAAAAATTGAGAACTCCAAAATTCTCCCCTAATGAGGATATTGAGCAAGAAAGGTCAATGCAACCACCATCCATTTCATTAACTCCAAGTGGATCCGGTCCTCAGTCCGTATGCACATCACCGATCATGGAGGCCATGGGTTCGAGGAAAAATGATGAAGTTACAAGGATTGAAGGAAATGACGATGCAACTATTAGTCAAAAGCAATTACAGGAAGAGTTGAAACTGCTCACATTCAATGATATCCCAGCCAAAGGTCAACATTTAATTTTGAATGAACTTATGAGACGTAACTCTCCAAATAACGAGACAGGTGTGATATTTTCCACATTACCAGCACCTAACATTGGGACTCATTTAGATGAAGCCGAGGCGTTTGAATATACTAATAACCTTGCTATATTATTGGACAACCTTCCTCCAGTCCTCCTCATTAATTCGCAAACTATTACGGTCACTACAGCTTTGTAATCAAAAGAGGTTGAACAAAGAATCAACCGTCGACATTATAGAAAATAAATAAAAGACAAGAAAACGTTAATACTCAATTTATCTTAACATTTGTATATATAATCTGTAGAATTGTCTCGATTTGAACATTATTGATTTATTAAGAGTAGGATGATACTTACATAGACCTCGATCTCGATCTCGATCACGTGATATAGATATAAGTTGTAATGATGATAACTCAAAAATCCTAAAAATATAAGATGGTCTTACCTTTTATCTTAATCTTAACCAAATCGACAATGGATAAAATGAATGAGTATGGTAAAAGTTCTAGTACTTCTACTTCTACCGGCCCTACTAACGAAGAGTTAATCAAAGCAGAAAAATTGAGAAGGAGACAAGAGAAGATTGCACAATGGAAATTGAAAAAGGAACAAGAAGAGAAAAAAAATCAAAATCCTGAGACCAAAACTCCTTCACCGACTATAGAAGAGAAAAATGAAGATAATGTTAAGTTATTGAGACAGAAGAAGATCGAGGAATGGAAGAAAAGAAAGCAACTTGAAGGGAAAATAGAGAAGGAACAAGTCCCTGTAAAGGCTGGAATCAAAATCAAGGCGTTCATATCTAAAAAGAACTCACCTGTAGGTATCAAAAAACAGAGCAAACGGCCAAGTATATTCGGAGACGACGATGAGGGTCCAACTCGTAAGAAAGTTATGAAATTTGGATTGCTTGACCAAGAAATAAAGTCCGAAGCGGAACAAAACACCAAAAAAATTGGGGATGATAAAGAGGAAGATGCATTGGATATATATTTAAAGGAACTTGAAGAGAGAGAACTGCAAGAGAATCTGTTTGCTATCCCCACAATTTCGAAACTCGATGAAGGATCCGATCCTGAAGGAGGTGACGACGAGGCTGATGTGGATAAAGATGATGTAAACCAACTTATATCTTCACGCATGGAGAAACTTCAACAGCGAGAAAAAATTTTGGCAACTATAGATCATGATAAAATTTCATACAAACCATTCCGTAAACAATTTTATAAGGAATCTTCCGAGTTATCGAATCTTTCTCCTGAAGAAGTTGATACAATTCGACTCTTGTTGGACGGTATCAAAGTGCGTGGGGTAGACTGCCCCAAACCGATCCAAAAATGGTCTCAATTGGGTCTTCCGACGTCAATCATGGAAGTCATTTCAGATAAATTACAGTATGAAGAGCCATCCACTATCCAATGTCAAGCTTTACCTGCAATTATGTCCGGTAGAGATGTCATTGGGGTGGCAAAGACAGGCTCCGGTAAAACGTTGTCGTTTGTCTTACCGATGATTAGACACATTCAAGGACAGCTTCCAGAAGATCGGGAGAATGATAACCCGAATGATGGAACACTGAATGGTCCTGTCGGGCTTATTATGACGCCAACGAGAGAACTTTCCTTACAGATTTACAAGGAAATCACCAATTTTTCTAAAAAATTAAACCTTCGAGTTAGTTGTTGCTATGGAGGTTCTCCAATTCAATCACAAATTGCTGACTTGAAAAGAGGTGTTGATATTGTCGTAGGAACACCGGGTAGAATTATTGATTTGTTGGCTGCAAATGGTGGACGAGTCACAAATTTGAGTAGGGTGACATATTTGGTCTTAGATGAAGCAGATCGAATGTTTGATATGGGATTTGAGCCACAAGTCATGAAAGTGTTTGGCCAGGTTAGACCTGATCGTCAAACAGTTCTTTTTTCTGCGACATTTCCGCGTAAGATGGAGCTTCTAGCAAAGCGTTTATTGGATAGTCCAGTGGAAGTCATTGTTGGCGGAAGAAGTGTAGTTGCCCCAGAAATTACTCAAAAGGTTGAATTATTTGAAGAAAGCGAAGAGGAAGAATTCACAGGTAAGCTTCAACGACTCCTTGCAATTCTCCAGAAATACACTGCTGACGAATCTGCTTCAAAAATACTCATTTTTGTAGAGAAACAAACATCTGCTGATGATCTATTGGTTAAGTTACTCAAGAATGGATTCCCATGTCTAGCAATCCATGGTGGAAAAGATCAAATGGACAGAAAGCATTCGATCAAGGAATTTGCATTTGGTGCAGTAAACATCTTAATTGCCACTTCAATTGCAGCACGAGGCTTGGATGTAAAAGGGTTGAACTTGGTGATCAATTACGACTCCCCAAGCCATATGGAAGACTACGTCCATCGTGTTGGGCGAACTGGGCGTGCTGGGATGCATGGTACCGCAATCACATTTATATTTGCAAACCAAGAACGCCCAATCGCCGATTTAGTTAAGGCCATGAGACTTAGTCAAATTCCAGATACAGAAATACCTTCTCGATTAATTGAGATAAGTAATAAATTTATGGAAAAGGTAAAATCAGGAAAGGAAAAGTTTTCTTTTGGATTTGGAGGTCATGGATTAGATAAATTACAAGAAGTGCGGGATTCCAAGCAAAATCTTGAGAGAAAATCTTACGGAGAAGAAGGTACAAAGAAATCCACCCCACCTGTTGCGTTTGCAACAATGGGGACAGGAAGTGCAACCGGTGACCTGGGAAATTCTATCGATTTCCCTGATTTTGAAATTATTGAAGGTAGAGCACCTGAAACGGCTGGCCCGGATAAAGGAAAATTCCATGCCAGAATTGCTGTCAATGACCTTCCACAATCTGCTAGATGGATTCTTGTTAGCAGAGAGAATATTTCGAAAGTTATTGAGAGTACAGGAACCTCTATTACTAACAAGGGTCAATATTATCCACCTAATACAAAACTTCCAAAACCTACGATGAAAAATGGGAAAGAAGTTTTGCCACCTCCAAAGTTGTACTTGCTAGTTGAAGGACTCACAGAAGCTGCAGTTCAAAATGCTATTCTACTTCTCCGTCAAAAAATGGTCGACGGACTTGAAGTTGCTGTGAAAGAAGATGGTAAATCGGGTCCATCTGCAAGATATACTGTATAATAGAGATGATTCCTGTAAAATAGATAGGAGGAGATAATTTATAGATCAATTATTACAAACTAATTTTAAAAATTGAAATCATGCTTTCTGGAGTTTATGAATAGAAAAGAAGTGCGTTTAGCACATGGGAAAATATAATCATAATAAAATATAAACAAAGAGAAAGGATTGGACTACATAAAATAGATTTAAATACAGTTCCGACTAGTCATACATATACATCTTTCTTATTAATGCATGCCACTTCAATAAAAGATTAACGATCTATTCCAATACAATTTGTGTGTTGCAGAATTCTGCTTATCAACAAAAAAATTACCCCAAATTGCGAACGATGGAGAAAAATGTACCTCGGCACTGAAATGTGGAGAAATTAAAAATATTATATTATTTAAAACACCAAATATCAGTATTGTTCCTTTTTCCCTTTTCCATTCATAACTTAACACTACAACAATAATAATATAAGAATGCCAGATTTCAATCCAGATGACTACAAGCAGTACGACGAGTACATTGTTACCGAAATAGAAGAAGGATTCCGCCACGTTCAGCTCAATAACCCCAAATCCCTCAATGCTTTTAAGGAGTCCACTTGGAGGCAATATCATGATATTTTAGTGAAGTTAGACGCTGATCCAGAAACAAATGTAATTCTTATCTCCTCTACTCTGAAGAGGGCATTTTCTTCGGGGTTAGACTTGAAAGATGCTATTAAAACTATGGCCCTGGCAGGAAACGTAGACGATAAAGAACGCTACAAATCTTTACATAAACATATTGTAGACTTCCAGTACTGCATTGGAACCCCTGCACGTATCAACACTCCTACAATTGTGCTTATGAACGGGATTAATTTAGGATTGGCATTAGATATTGCTGCTGCATGCTCAATAAGAGTGGCTACACAAGATGCGAAGTTTTCCATAAGAGAAATCAAAATTGGAATCCCTGCCGATATTGGTTCTTTACAAAGATTACCTGCGGTAGTGAATAACAAGTCTTTACTTTACCAATATGCTCTCACTGGGGGTAATTTTGGACCAGAAGACGCTGTAAAACTTGGGTTTGTAAGCGCAGTTTTACCTGATTTAGAATCTGGTCTTGCTTACTGCACAGAACTCGGTGAGGATATCTCTGGGAACCAAACTTGGGCAATCAAGGGTACTAAAGCAAGTATTCAACATATTCTTGATGGAGGGAGTGTGGAACAAGGATTGACCAACATTGCTCATTACAACGCTACAAATATTGATGGGAAGTTCATTAATGCTATCAGGGGAGTATTTAAGTTATAGTCGGTTGTTTTTTTAGACAGTAATTTTTATATACGTTTATGATATATCTATATTTGTAAGGGGAATGGTTATTCGGTACTTTCCAAATTAGGAAGTCAAGATCAGATCTCAATTTGGAGCATTAAAGTTTCTGAGAGTAGCTTTTTTTTTTTTTTTTTCAAGTCTCACAAATTTGAACGAATACAAATTCTGTAGCACCAACCGTTTGACTCATTCAGAGAAATACAGTAAGATGTCGCTTGTGTTTCGTAGGAGCAGAGGCTTGATACCTGCCGCTAAAACCTCAGCACGGTATGTATCCTCAGCAACAGCCACTTTTTCTGAGGATATATACCAAGACACAACCACAACCAAAGTACAAACCAACATTAGACAGAGCTCCACGGGAAATGCACTGGCCCAAACAGTTAAAGAAGTTCTCGTTAACGTACAATCTAGTTCATTTTTGAAGTCTTCTGTTCCAGACAAGGTATTTGCAACTGGAACTTTCAACCCACATTCAGTGTCCCATCAGCTTTACCGATTCGCACAAGAACAACAGTATGACATGCTTTTAAAGGCATTCCTTAAATGGACTTCAACCTCTGTTGGGTTAGAATCTTTGCAACTGGTGTTAACCAAAGAGCAGATTTCTTACTTCATCAAACTTCTTATTGATCATCAAAAGACGTTGATTGTCAATATGCTTAATATCAATCGTAGTAACCGTCTGACACGGGCCATGGATAACGCTAAATCCAAGGAGAAACATTATAGAAATAGCATTAGAAATATCTACAGTAACCTTATATATGGACCTAAGTCCGGTCCAGAAGGTTTCATATACCATCGTACGAAGCGAGGAGATCTTTACAATTCATCACATCTTACTGGATACAGATTGACAGTGCCAGATTATGAGAATTTAATCTTGCATGAACTTACTTGTAATAAATTAGATTTGGCTAGTAAGTGGTTCGAAAGATTTGAAGCTGAATTTGGGTCTCAATCAAGAGAATTAATGACTGATAGAATGTGGATGTACAAGTTTCTGGTTTTAGGAGGAGGAAAGGCGCCACATTGGCAAGTTAAGGATTCTGAATATTATGTTCGTAAGACTAAGAGCACTCCATATGTATTAAAAACTCAACAGAAGTGGCTGGAGGTTTATGCTGATTATGTTGAACAAAGAGGAAGTCCTAATGATCCTCGAATCACAGAACAACTTATTTATTCTATGGGGTACGCTGAAAACACTGAATTTTTAACCCAATATATCGAAAGTGTATGGGGTATAGCATACAATGGAGTACCAACAAAACCGGCAGAACTTCGCGGAGATCCCTTATATCCTAATTTGGATATTCTTCAAGCCATTGTAGTATCACTTTCATATAATCATAAGTTTTTCCAAGCTATGAGTTATATAAATGCATTTCAAGAAGTTTATGGTGGGAAAGAATTTGATCTTTCCAGACATGATGCACTTCCATTTTGGAAAACCATATTCCATTGGGCTGATCAATGTACTCGATTTAATGAACAAAGAGCACTTCAACATTATTTGAAAGGTACATCAGTAGATATAAAAAGTGTTCGTTCAGAAGATCTTATTAAATCTGCACAACAAGATGTTGATTTTGAATATGAAAAATATTTGACATTTATAGATGAATTAAAATCCAAAAGATCAAACACTTTAGAAGAAATTTGGAAATTATTCACATCAACTAATACTCATTTTTCACCAAAGATCTTTGAAGTAAGATTAATGACAGCACAAGAAACTAGAAGTGAAGAAAAGTTTTATGGCTTAATGGAGGCTCTTGCTGAAAGATACCATTATTACGAGACATCACCTACTTCATTCAATAGAAGAAGCAACTCCTCACCATTAGCCCAATTGCATAAGAGTGCAGAAACATTGTACTTGAAAACATTACAAGCATTTGTAGACATCAAAGGGTTTGATGGATATATTGGTCAATGTGAACCATTGATTCAAGAATGGAGTTTGAATGAGAAAATGAAGGTTAAAATGGATACTTTCCTTGGTGAGAGAATGTTAAAATATCGTTCAACTTTAGAGAAGAGACGTGAAGAGAAAATGATTGAACAAAGAACCGAAAATGAAGATGAAGGATTACTTGATTTATTTTAAATAATTTCTTTTCTTTGTTTGTATCATGATTAAATTTTTCTAAATTTTTGCATTCCTATATTAGATTAGAAATAAAAAATGATTAAATAGATTTTAAATACAACAATGAAAAATGGACATATATGTATGTAAGTCATATTCCCCATTAAATTAAGGTATGCATATAAACAATTTTAAGATATCCTGCATATTATATTTTCTCTCACACGACTGCCAGTTGTCCAATATCGCGATACTTTGAATGATAACAGAATGAACACGCCGCCTTCTAGTTCTAAAGAATCATATACTAAAATAAATATAAAATGGCTGCTGAAGGATTAGAAAAGTTTACCGAAGTTCCAGTGGAATTCTTCAAAGACGGTAGCGCCTTTGTCAAGAAGTGTCAAAAGCCAACCAAGAAGGGTACGTATCTATGGATTTTTGTGAAATTGAATAAAAATGTAAAACTAGACGACACTGTACAACCCAACTATTTGAACAATAGAGATGATATTTCTCCTACTTTGAACTTGGGCACTGTATGCGTGAGACTAGTTGTTGCATTCCGTGGAGACTTGTATAAGGTTAACACGCCTCCGTGTTCCGTAGAAACATTTTTATGGCTGGCAGTTACTTTAAGTCTCGCGTCCTTTATCTTACAAGCACCTTTTACCGGTATGTATTTCTCTTTCACCTACTAACAATTTTTTTTTACAGAATACTTTCAAATCATCAGAGCCGTCGGTGTCGGTTTCGTTATGATGGGTGTTATTGGTTATGTTGTCAAGTTGTTGCACATTCCAATCAGATATTTGATTGTTTAATTCAAATCAAGAAATTTCCAAGCGAAAATAAAAAATAAAAAATAATAAAAATTATGAAAAAAAAAGAGAGGGAGTCGAATTAACATAATTCTATGAAGATTTATGTAATATATAGTTTTGGTGATGTTGATAAGAATCTAGAATTTTAGATATAGTATATCTGAGATGACTAGAATTAATCTTTTTGAGCATGTTGCTGTATAATAATACTACGTTTATATTAAAAAAAAAAGGAAGAAAGAGTAGGAGTAGGAATAAGAGAAAAAGAATTATTTTGATTATATCTTAGACTTTCTATTTCTCATTGTAGAATTCTCGTAGTCTGTAATTCGTTTTTGATATCTTTCAACAAGTTAAATGAGAGAAGGTGGAGGGGTGGAATAGTTAGATTTTGAAATTGGCTGTAAAAATTAAATGCTGCCAAAAATGGATCACATGACTGGAAACTTTTTATGCAGTCTCTCATCACCAATAGGTATATGATTATTTTTTTTTATTATAACGAAAAGAAACTACCTTATTGAATCAAAAGATATAAAATCCAACTATTAAAATGTCTCAGACGTCTACTTTTGTGAAGAAATTGGCCGCAAATGACCGTCCTACCAGAGAGGCTGCATTTGAAGCTTTGAAGAAATTTCTTTCCCTGAAACAACAAACTCAAAAGATGAGTTTGTTGGAAATGGAGAAATTATGGAAGGGTCTTTATTATTCTATGTGGTTCTGTGACAGACCACGTCCTCAAGAACGTTTAGCCGAGAAGTTGGGACAATTGTTTTCTAGTGTTGTACCTGTCGGGGCCTTTTGTTCCTTTGTGGAGGCCTTTTGGGTTGTGATGATCAAGGAATGGCCAAATGTAGACCAATGGAGAGTTGATAAATATTATTTATTAATCAGAAGAGTTGTTAGACATTGTTTCATCAACTTGCAAAAGAAGGAATGGGATGAAGAGTTGGTTGCTAACTATAACAAGGCACTTACTAAATTACCATTGAGTGGTGATAAATCTGTTAGTATGGCACTTCCATATCATTTATGTGATATCTATGTGGAAGAATTAGAACATATTATGTTCAAAGACCTTAAGGAAGAAGAAGATGACTTGGAAGAAGGTGACACTGAAGCATATCAAGAACTTTTCGCTAAGAAGCTTGCTATTGTAGGAGAAACACCAATTTTGAAATTATTGGAACCATTTGAACAATTAAGTACTAGTGCATTATTGAAGACTTTGAGAGAAAAATGTAAGGAAGAAGTCTTGACTGACTCAAGATTAAAGGACTGGGGCGTCATTGGATCTGATAGTGATGATGAAGATGATGAAGAGAAGAAGGATGGTGAAGATGAAGATAGTGATGATGAATGGAATGGGTTTGCTTAATGTAATATAGATATCAATAGAAAATAAAAAGTTACCCCCGATAGAGTATGTAAGGTTTTAATAGCTGTACTAATAAGTTATTCTTTTTTATGTACAAGGTTCTGACATGTATTTACAGTGTAGTGTGACAGTTCCTGCATGTCCTTCTAGTTCACAAAAGTATGGAAATTTGGAATAGGCCCAAACCTAAATTTTATTTCACATTTCTTTACCATACATAAATATACTTTTAACCCTTCCTATTTTATCACTGTCTTGGAAAGGGTATATCTCGTATCATGTCCTCTTCAGGAAATCCGGATAAGACGAATGAATACATTCCCAAATTTATTTCTAAAGTACCATGGTATCATCAAACTGAAACAGGAGATACTGATTCAAATGAAAGTAATACTGCTGAGGTAGATCATTTAGCACATCAAAGAGCAGATCCCACCGCTGAACAACAGGATCACAGTCTTCCTGTAGCAGGACAGGGTGTGAAAGATGAATTTGTTTCCATTGAAGGTGGAAATGTCCATATACGTAAAGATACTCAAGATTGGGATGCGAAAAGAGATCGATGGCACGGGTTCGAATCGAGCGAATGGGATAAAGTTGCGCAAAATTGGGATAACATTAAAAGGAACAGTAGAACGAAACAACAAAACAAAAAATCATCGACCATAAATTTAACTAAAGATAATGATTCGGATGATACTGATTATGAATTAGAATTACAAGAATTAGGACTTACTTCCAAAGATATTACTAGTAACAGTAAAGAAGATCCAATGGAAAAAATCCTTCGTGATAGACAAGATGTTCCTAGTTATATTCTTAGTATTTCCGCGAATGCAAATGGTAAAATTAAATACGATCCTAAATCAAGAGCCACAATGGTTGATGGTACTATAAATGAAGATAGTCAGTTTGTAAGAAGTTTGAATGGAGAGGGGCTCGAAGTTAAAAAGCTTCAAAGTTTTGCTTGGGAGGCAAGTGAAGCAGCCGCACAAATAGAACAACAAAAGATTTTGGAGCGGAGATTACAAGGGGAATTGATAGATGTTGACATTCCTGCAGTTGATTTAAATTTAAATTTACAGGCAAATCCAACTGCAATGATGTTACGTGCTCGTAAAGTTAATGAAGAAAAGGAAAAGGAGAAATTAGAAAAGAGACAAAAATTGGCCGCTAGGTATGGTTAATCGAGCGAATATTTGATATATAAATTGATATTATTCAATCAATTTTTTTTTTGTCTCATATCTGTTAGTATTATCACTTGCTACAACGGTCGATTTTCCAAAAATAAAAAAAAAACAAGACAGTAAGAAAGATTGTCTGACATGCTATCCTTAATATGCTTAATTATCTTTATCGAAATCCGTACATGATTGTTGTGCCCTGTGTGCAGTATGCGACAATGCATATTATCTAAGCCTGCAGGTCCCTTTTTTTGAAGGTTGATCTCCCACGTGCCCACGTGGGATAGCCCTCGTGTGACAATTTAAAATGAACGTGCAAACTAAACTAAACGTGGTGCTGGGTTTCAGAGAATATATAGTATTTTGAGAAGCCACTTTGATTCCAGTGGCAAGAGTGACTAGCTTGCTTGTTGTTGCAATATCCAGATTTTTTTCTGTCGTTAGAGCATTGCATATTCGAACTACATTGCAAGGAAATTAGGCTGCAATTTCTTATCCCTACCAAGAATAAATTTGCGTACACATTCCAAATATATAAAATAGTAAATAATCACCACTTTTATTAATTGTATACTAACGACCATACTTTGAGATGACTCTCCCTGCTCCTCCAGTCCTCAAAACAACTATCATACAACTTAATAAGGATTTGGAACTGAATGACAAAAATTATGAGATACTCACCAATGATTATTCAACTTCTAATTCTCCTAAAGATGGGATATTTATAGAAGATAGTACAAGCTCAGGGAATTCTGCCGCTGAAGCAGCAGCTGCAGCAAAGAAGAAAAGAAGAAGATCTTCCGCCAATGTCGACTCCGAAGAATTGGCCAAACGTAGAACTGAAACAAAACAATTACACTCTATCATTGAGAAAAGAAGAAGAATTAAAATTAATAGAGAGTTTGAAGCTCTCAAATACTTAATCCCCGCATGTAGGTCAACTACCCCACAGCAGCAAAAGAAGACATCCACCACCAGTAATATTTCAAATAATGGTAACAAAATCGATGGGATGTATAAATTGACGATTCTTAAATCATCAGTTGAATATATCTTGTATCTCCATCATATTATTAAACAACAACACAATATGCTTACTTCTCAATCCTCCGGGTATGATTTTGAAATAGACTTTGCCAAAGTACCACTTGATGTGAATCAATACAGAAACATTGATAAAGAATTTGATTTTAGAGGGCTTTTAGAAGAAAATTCTAGTGATTTTAATCGATCAAAGGAATCATTTGATGCGGTTGAAGAAGAAGTTGAGGAAGGAGAAGATGTTAGTTCAGTTTCTGAAGGAGATGAAATTAAAACTCAACTTCCAAGTCCTGATATCACTCCAGATATGGCTCCAATATTGACCATGTTAAAGAAATATGGTAACAATTCATCATTCAATGCATCAAATGCTTCACCTATGTTGTTCTCGTCGTTCTCGTATCCAGTATCGGCTAATACTTCACCACTTACAATTCCAAACAAGACTTCAGTAGCTGCAAGTACAGCTACCGCTACCGCTATGACCAATGGGACAAAGAGCTTTAGTTTACCAGACCCAGCTATTAATCCAGAAAATTCTCCCCCAGTAGGAACATATGAACCAAAAAGAAAATTATTTAAAAGTAAAGTTCCAATCAACAATACAATTGTGCTTAACCGTCCATTGACAATTAAATCCACTTCTATGGATGATCTCCGCAAGACATTTGATGCCGATCAAGACGCATCCAAGGCGTTATTGGCTTTAAGAAAGTCCAGTATCGACAGTCTTTTGAATTGATTAATCTCTCTAGGGCAACCGTGTGCCCAGCCTTTCCCTTTTTGTACATATTTTGCAGGCTCAAATTATAGTGTGATAATCGGAATAGTTAAATTATACATATATTCAACATAATGTAGTTATTCTATATAGTGCGTATGGTTGTCATTCTATGGGTCTATCAAAAACTTACTAAATCATTTTCTCTAAGATATTCAATGTATTCATCAATTGCACTTGGCCAGGCAGCCATTTCATCATAAGCACTTAAATTCACAGGGTCTTTCTTGATCACATCCTCTAAAAAGAGGAAAAACATCTGCCAAGTATCCTTGGAAAAACCTCGTTTATATTCATTTGTGGCAAAATCAAACCATTGATTCAATCGAGTGAAACAGTCCTCAAATTCTTGTCTTTCGAAAAATAATAACTTCCAATAGTCGATGGCCAAATCATATGACAAAATTCTTTGTCCAGGAACTTCCATTAAGAAGTCAAATGCAAATATGTAAACTTTTTTGAAGTAATCCCTATCGGATTTATAGGTTTGATATAGATTTTGTAAATACTGACTCATCCCGTCTATTGTGTTTATGTTTGTTCTTGACCATGACTCCAAGAATGTATCTCTATGGAAAACCCCCATAGAAGGAGATTGGAGGAAATATGCCAAAACTAGGGTGATCGAATTATCAGGGTCAACTCCAAGATCTTCAAGATATCTTAAAGTTCCATCTATCCCTATCACGTCACCATTTCCGTCATTATCTTTGTATGATTCAAATATTTCGACAAGTTTCAGGTCTGGTCTTAAAGTGTTGGAGGATGTCTTATTGGAGAGGTATGCATCTATTGCTACATCAAGCTTCCAGCCACTCTTTTCAAGCCATTTGGTCACTTCACCAGATGAACAACCAGTAACGGCTGTAAATTGCTGTTTCAATGCAGATTTGTTCTGAAACATGGACTAATGTAGTTAGTATCAAATACTTCAAAAATATGGGATAAGCTTTGGGGAACAGGAGAAGATCATTATACCTCGATTGCCGTGTATCCAATTTTGGAAAGAAATCCCTTTTGAATATATATTTAATTCTTCATTCAATGGAGCAAAATGACTGTATGCTCTACCAAAGAAGACGCAAACTGGCAGTTTTGCTCTCGGTGGTTATCATTACAAATGAAACTCTCTTCGTCTTGCGGGGTTTACAAAGTAAACCATATTTGTTCATAACTATTAAGTAAAGTCTTCCTCTAAAACAGAGGAGGACAACGTTGTATTATGCTCAGATATCCCCTCTGTTTATGATTTCCCTAAATGAAACATACCATAGGCGTAATATATCTACTACAGAAGTTGAAATATCAAAATCAATATAAATAAATCTGCATGTACAAATTAGTAAATGAGTGTTTCAAACATGAGTAGTATTATGTGCGCGCATTTTGTTTGTAATATTTGATAATTGAACCCACATATACTCTGTTTACCTTTTCTGCAGAGTACTGACTATGTCACTACCGTTGACTAGAGACTTGATGGAGAAGATCCTATCTGCACCAACCTTATATAACCATAACTATGACCAATTTGCAGAGATTGAAAATGACGTGCAGCTATTATTAGATTGGCTTGATCCATGTTTTCCATCACCACAGAATGTCTTTATTGAACCAACCCCAAGAGTGAAACTGGCCATACGAAGCTGTTTGAAGGATGATAGAAGTCAATTGGATTTTATCCATCTCTACAATAACTCTATCACCACCATGTTCAGGGAACATTCGCAGGTGTTTGTACAAGAAAACTTTCTTGATCTTGTGAAAACAATTCATCAGATCAAACAATACTATGAAGAGTACTTGAGATATTTGAATTTGGGCCAGCTTGCTGCAAACCTCTTTGAACGTAACTTGAATGCTCTATTCTATACTCATCTTTTGGACTCAGATAATGATTTCACTCTGATTATGCGACAGTATTTCTCATCTTCACTTTTTAGTAGTGTCCAAAAATCACAACTTACACAATGCATATCAATACTATACTCGTGTGGCCTTCGGGATGAGGTCAATGGTCACATAGTTCTGATTTCTATTGAACGAATAAAGACATATATCCACGGCGTATGCTCTGGCGTGTGGGATAAACCTGTTCTCAATCAAATCAATGATTGGGTGAGATTGGAACTATATATTTATTTCAGCATCATTATCCCTAAATCCGAACTAGATCTGCAATATCTTTCTGATTTAACGAAGATAGCCCATGACGAGTTGGTTCTGTTACGTATTCTGGAAATATTCGACATTGTATTGGACTTTCCACATTCTCAAATAGCGCTTGATGAACTTCACCGTTGTATCTTACCATCTAGAAATATCGGTGATAGTTATCTTTTGGCATCATTATCTGTTCCACTCTTATCATCACAATCGTTTCAAAGAGAGAAATTAGTCAATAAGTTTATCGAAATGTGTCAAGATCGCATATTACATTCAGGTGCCGATACAATCGATGTAGTCATTTGTTATACATCAACAATAAAGTCCTTTTTGATTATAGATCCAAAGGGTGTTATTCTTGATAAGGTAGTGAGGCCAATAAGACGATACCTCAAAACAAGAAGTGATATAATATCAAAGTTGGTCCATGGTTTATTGGATGATAGTAAGAACAATCGTTTAATTGAATTAGCAATGGAACTACGTAAAATTCCTCAAAAAAATCCAACAAATGATGATTTAGATTTAAATTGGATTCCAGATCCAATCGATGCCTTACCTGATTTCAAAAAGGGGAAGGTCAGTGATGTGATTGAATCCTTGGTCTCGATATTTGATCTGAAAGTGGTTTTTACTAATGAATTCACTCAATTATTTGGACACAAACTTTTAAATCTTCGAGATTATGATGTTTCTGATATCGTAGAAAGTTTAAAATTATTGAAGCTTAGATTTGGAGAAAACAAATTTACCACTTTGGAAATTATGATAAGAGACATTATTGATAGTAAGCAAACAAACGAGAATATTTTCCAAGGAAAGAAGACCAGTATGGGTACTGTTTACCATCCAAAGATTCTATCACATATGTATTGGTCTATGCTTACTGAGGAAGAATTAAAAATCCCTGAACATATCGAAAAACAATTTCAGGAATACAGCAAATATTACAGGGATGTTAAATATGGACGTGGTCTTAAATTGGTTCCGAGTTTAGGATTAGTCAAGCTTGAATTAGAGTTTGAAAATGATGTTAAGGCATATTTTGAAGTAAGTCCCTCAGAAGCCACTGTCATTTATTTATTTGATGGGAAGAATCAGTTAACAACTAATGAAATATGTGAAAAGACTGGGATGAATACTTATAATGCACTTAAGGCGGTAGAATATTGGATTTCTCGTGAAATCCTTATAGAAATATCAAAAGATGTATTTGCACCAACCTTAGTTGCTCCAAAGCAGCTGTTAGATGAAGGCAGTTCCTCATCACGTCTGGGAAGCACGGTATTTGCCCATAAATTTGCTAGTATTGATACGATTTGGCCATTTATCACTGGAATGCTCACCAATCTAGGACCCTTGCCAGTGGTTAAAATACAATCTTTTTTGAACATTACAGTGCCCAAGGAACAACAAGAACTTTATTCTCAATCCAATGTTTCGTTGACCGAGTACTTGGATTGGTGTAGAGAAGAAGGGCGATTAGAAATGACTGGCTCCCTATACAAGATTAAGAAATAGTTATAAACTTTATGAAATAATTGCTACTATGTTCCTTTCTAGATATTTTGCTTGATATACCTATGTACTTTCATATTTAACTTATATTTCCATTGACACTCTTTGAGATGTCAACTCCACTAACCTTTTGCGTATAACTAGAAGATGGTTGCCATTTTCTTGTAGATTTAATTTCATCCATAGCATAGCCAGGGATTCTGATATTCCAGTTCCTTTCTAAATGCAATTGAACATCTCTCACGTCAACTGACTCCATCTTACGATGCTTAGCAAGACGACATGCAAACCCGGTCACTGATGTTATGAATTCATCGGCCAAGTCAAGCAAAAGTTCTTCAACATCACCATCAATGTTTGTTTTACCGTCCCCTTCATCTGCGCCAATAGTGTTAACCAATTCATTCAACTTACGTTTTGTTAAAACTCTTCCTGCGTTATCAGGTATACTTTCACCAGCACCAACGGAAAGCTCGTAAGTTGGAAGTTTGACCATTGCAGGAGTACCTAAAATAGGACCCATTCCATTTGCTCCTCCGCCCATCAAAGTAGCACGAGAAGTATTTGCGTTTGGTTTCAATGTTACTGCAGTAGGGGGTTTCACGTTAATTGTGCTTGAGATAGGAATTGGTGGGACACTTGGTTTAGTTATTCCGGATAAGTTAATCAGTGGTGGACCCAGCATGGTTCCTCCTGGAGAAGGTTTATTTGGGGTTGCAACGGAGTTCATGCCAGGAGGCGAAACTGATCTACCTTGTTTGGAAAGATTACCAGTCATATTAGATCCTGAAACGGGGAGAGAACCAGAGAGAGGAATATTTGAGCCTGTGACAGGGATATTAGAGGTGTTTTGCATTCCACCAGTAATTCCACCAGCCATACCACCAGTAGAAGGAATGCTTCCCATTGGTTTCATCCCTTGAGAAACTTGTTGCCCTTGTGGGCCAGTAGACATATTTCTCTGTGGTTGAGATCCTTGATTCATTGGTTGCGTATGTGTCATACCTTGGGTTTGTTGTTGTGGTCTTGGTTGTTGTGGTGGTGGAGGTTGTTGTGGTCCCGTTCCACGGGGCGTACCTGTGTTAATGCCAGTGTTAACTGGTATTTGTTGAGTTCTTTGGTATTGTGTATTTGGAATGTTAGCTCCTTGATTTCCTGTCAGACCAGTTGATTGGGTTTGTGCACGAGCTTGCGCCAATAATTGTTGCTTCATATAAACAGCATAAGTTTCATATTGCTGATATTTCGACTTAAGCTCAGCCTGTTGAGCTTCAACAGAAGTTAATTGTTCAGGAGTAAATTGGTAACTATTCTTTGTGTACTCTAATTTCTGAATCTTCTTCTGGAATTCAGCCAAACGAGCCTTCACTTGATTGAATCTTTCTACTGTTACAGTGGAGTTCGTGGCAGTTGTTGGAGATGATGCTGTTCCTTGAGGCAAACTAGGTGTGGATACATTAGACATCATGGGTGATTGCTGTGATTGCCCTGGTCCATGGTTGTTTATACCACTGTTCATGGCTGGAGAAGACATTCCATGAGAAGGAGTGCGCGCAGGAATCGATTGAGGGATTGACTGCTGGGGTTGTGGTGTTGGTTGTATCAGTTGTGATGGTTGTGACTGTTGTTGTATTTGATGTTGCTGTTGTTGTAATGGTTGTGTTTGCTGCTGGTGCTGCTGTGGCATTGATTGTTGATGTGTTTGTTGTTGTGGTTGTTGAGTTTGTTGAGTTTGAGGTTTTTGCGCCTGATAGTTTTGATTCATTTGCTGAGAAATAGGTTGGCTTGCAACGTTTGTCTGTTGATTTGCATTCTGGGTAGTGTTTTGTTGAGCTTGATTTGATTGAATACCCTGATTGGCAGCTTGGCTTGCCTTCAAAGCCTTTTGTTGAGCTTGATAATTCATCAAAATCTGTTTGATAGAATTGGCCTTGGCATAATGCTGTTGCGCCTTTGCTGTATCATCTCCAGCTTGCTTAGCCAATTGAATTTCATTCTTGAACGCTTGAGCTAACTGTGGAATTTGACTAGGTTGAATATTGACTGCTCTTCCAGCACCAGGACGAGGGTTGGCCCCAGGTTGACTTGTATTTGGATTGTTAGAGTTGTTCATTGCTTGGATTTATTATAGTCCTCGACCACCTATTTAAAATTAACTACGTGTAGTTGTTATTGTATCAGAGTATTGAGATGACCCCACCTGTTCTGACTTATGATTGATTGAGTTGGAATTATGTAAATCAATAATATACAATCTTTATATGTTCATAATATTGATAGAATTATTTTGAAAGTTGAAAGAGGGTACAAAATCATATGTCCGGGTAACTCTTTCATATAGAACAAAAAGCTTATTTAGAAAGGAAAAAAAGATAAATTCTTTGAAAATGGCTGCGAAATTCTAAACGAAATGTTACAGAAAAAGTTGATATTGTTTAATTCATTAAAATATTCATTACAATTGTAATTAAGAGATGATCTATAGGTTTATAAGGCAAAACAGCGCTCAACGCTGTCTGCATTGTTACCCCACCAGTTGGGCATAACTACTGTTTTCCCGGCTGAGAAAAACAAAAAGATTAACAACAAAGATAAGTTATACCCTGTATCTAAAGCAGCAGCTAAAATATAGTTATAACGTCTCCATAAATCATGTTTATAACGGTACGCCCAGAACATTGTGACAGTACCACCAATGAACTTTGACAAGTAACCAGTAGACACATTCCCGTAGAATGTAGACATTGAGGAAAAGAAGACTGTTGTGTTCCACAAGTCAAATCTCAACTTTCCAACTCTGGTTTTGTGAGAAAATTTATGTAAAAGACCTAATATGATTGGAACTGCAGCACCCAAAAGGAACCCGTATTGTAAGATTGGGTATTGGGCAAAGGTTCTCTTTGGTCCTAAAATCACATATTGGACGGCGTTTGTATGATAGGAGGCAATAGATTGACCAGTCCATTGATGTAAATGATCAACTTTAGAACCATTCAAATAATCCATCTTGGTGTTCAAAATCCATCTCATGGCGGCATAATTAATTGGTACACCTAATAATTCACCGAAAAGTTGAGAAAAGAAAACAACCTTTGGTGGAAGTTGCATGTAATGACCAATTTTTTGATCTTGTAACATATATTGGGCACGGTAGAAGACATCACCAGCAATGGCTCCGTAAGTAGTGGCTCCAGCTGGATGTCTTGCGGCGATATTCTGCACCATGTAACCGTACAACAATTCATTGAAACTTCCGATAGCAAGTTGGAAATTAGTTAAAGCGTACAACCAACATAATGGGGTAACGATAAGCAAACCAAATCCAAGGGCGACAATGTATGCCCACCAAGGAATAAACAAGTGACCAGTAGCAAAAATGGTAATTAAAATGACGAAAGTGGCAACAAAAAGTGCAAAATACCACCAAAGAGGAACTTGTTCATAGTTGGTTTGCATAACATTAAGACGATCAGTGTATTGAGCATTAATTGACAGCTTTTTGGAGTTGTTACCTTCTAGCTTAGCAACTTTATAAGTGTTTCTCAATTTCTTAATTGAGTCAGTCAACTGCTTGTGTCCGAAAACTACAAGCCAAACAATACCACTAACATATGCTGCATAATCAAAGAAATTATTCCAAGCTCTTTGAGCTCCAATATGAACTGGACCAAATTCTGCATAAGCAGTTTCATTCAAAGTCAATTGTGGTGTCAATAATTTAGAAGCTGGATACTTGTCTCCAGCAGAAGTAAATAACCCATTAGACATTAAACCGTGCTTAAATCCAGATAAGTTACCCCATTTAGCAGCAGGAATAAGAATCCAAGCACCAAATACAAAGGCAACAAATTGAATTACTTGAATGAAATATGGATAAATCATAATTTGAGAAGTGATATTAGACCAATCTAAGGTCAAATTTAAGAATCCCATTCCCCCTAAACCTGAACCAATGAAATTAGCAGTGGCATTATGTGGAGCAACCCAACAAAGGAATGCTAAGGATGAAACAAAAGGGAAAATAAATTCTGGGAAGAATTGCCAAACTGTTAAACCAAGCAAAGCACAAAAGAAAACCTTCATTTGCTTACTAGCGACCTTAGAATCACCATCTGATTTTGCTTGAGATTGTAAAAGGTTTGTTTGCATAAGAGCTTGTGGCCAAATGAATTGTGGATCGAAAAGTAACATATTACGAGCAAGAGCTGCAAAGGCATAACCAGTGAAAACAATGGCCCACATGTAAAAAATAGCAACTGCTGGATGAACTTTTTCACCGTAATAAATTTCAGCAAGAGAAATACCACTAGTACCTAAGGATCCGGTAGCACCACTACTGGCAGTAATGGTAACAAGGGCAGTTTCTTTAATAGACCATGGACCAGGGTTCAAGTTAAATTTATAACGTCCGAACACGGAAATTTCCTTGTGTGGGAGTACCTTAGCTAACCATTTACCTGCCCAATGTGAAGCAATTTGAACGAAGAAAATAGAATATGCGGCAGATGTAGTACGATAAGAGTTCATGGTATCAATAAAAGCACCAGGAAGAATGAAAATGACTGCCAAAACAAAATAACGGAATGTCACCACTGGTGTGTTTGGATCATCCTCAAGAGGGACTGTATCCCTAACAATCTTTGGAATTGCTAAAAGATCTGCTGGAAGATCTTCGTCTGAATCAGCAGGAGCCTTCAAGTTTTCAACGTCGCCTTCCACATAGCCACCGTTGGAAATAATCTCACCAAAACCTCCATTTGATTGTATGGGGTCTATACTAGAGTCAGATGTCAGTTGTCTTTCTACTGCAGATGTAACACCATCATTAGACTTATCTGAACTTGTCATATCTGTCAACAACGGTTGTCTTTCTCCTAATAGTTGGTTGGCCGGCATTTGAAATCAAGCAGAAATTCAGTTCTTTTATAATACATGAGTTGCTGTACGATGAAATGGTTAGTAGTCCGGCCGCCTTACATTTCTGCCGTCTGCCTGACATTTAGCTTTGCACTTATCAGTGATGGGCCGCCGATTGCAAAATATCACGTGCCAAAGCGGTCCTTAGAGCCGTGCGACCCGCTATCTTATCCAAATCGGGACTTGATTCCCACGCGGAATTTCAGTCTTATCTACCCGCTTATTGTGTTTAATGTTTATGTTCCCCCAATCAGACACTGTCTTTATCTGCAAAATTCAAACATATTTTCAAGGTTTTCAGTACTTCTCCATCTTTATTATTTTTTTGATCTGAGTCCACCGAAAACTGTGGCGCCAATCTCGCATATAAGTAGGTAATTTGTAATTGGAAAGAAAAAAAAAAAAATGTTGACGCTGAGGCTCATAGAAAAGCCCTTTTTGACACCACCAAAAAGATTTTTTTTTTTTGAGGGTCTGACATGACACATTACCACTTTTTCTAGTGCTATAGATACTGTAGGCTGTGAAGGATATAATCACTTTAAATCCCCAATATAATTCTCTCCAAATCCACAGATTGGGTTTTGTAAGGCAAATTGCTTTTTTTTTTTTTTCGGACGCACTTGAAACACCTGATTCGGACGATTGCGAGCTCACGGCACAGAACGAGCCAGAGTTGAATAGTCGAACTCGCAAAGATGATGGCGCATATTCAAGAATTACTTCTTTCCTTTTACAATTCATAGTCTCCTGATCCTTTATATATTGGCCCATATATTATATATATGGAATCGACGGAAAAGAAATGTGACTGATTTAATCACAGTCCAAATAAAGTAACTACCGACAGTTTCGGAAAAAATTGTGGCCATTCCGTGGGGGGTATTCGTACGTCGCAGAGTATTCACAGTTCTCTATTATGTATATTTACAGTTCTCTATTATCTATAAATGCAAAATCTTCTCGACGATTGACAAAATGTCATCAGAAGACCTCTTCTTTTCGCCGTCTACGTAATATGGACTCGAAAGCCTCTCCTCTATAACCCCATCAAGTAAATGACGAAGTCTCTTTAGTAAAACTCCATTTTTGCACCAAGTTCTAATTGGCCAAACACTGTCTAAAACAATACCAGGGGATGTCTTTCCTGATGAAAGCCCACTGCTGAGATCGTAAGCAATCTGTCCTCCAAATAATAAGACTGCAAGGGTACTGGTCGATGTAATATCTCTCAAGTATAGTTTGCTAGTATGATGAGAGGCATTATACATCACAAAGGATGATTTAATCATACTGTTACTGGAGCCGGGTGCTGAAGGAGTGAAATCCACCTTATAAACCTGCTGAGCTTTGGCAAAGTCAATTGTTCCGTCCTCATTTGTGAATTCTTCAATATTGGGGATGCTATCGAGAGACGCATTTGAATTAGAAAATAAAACCGAAGATGGATGGATAAAAGCTCGTGAAGCGGGCAAAACATCAGGGTCTTCAACGTCATTATTCAAATTATTTACATAGGTTTCATTTCTAATCCAGAATTTAGTTTCCTTTGCATCTGGGTCAACTGCCACCGAACCTACAGATGACTTCAAAAACTTTGGGTTTGGAAGTTGAACTCTTGCCAATTGCGGATAGAACGACCCAGTAATAATTGCACGAATAATAGAATAATTTTCATTGTTCTTATTCAACTTAAGATCATCTGCTCTGTATTTGAGAGGTACAAAACCGATATCTTGCAAGATAGAAACGTATTGATTCTTTGTGGTGGCAATTTCCTTCAATGTGAGAAATGACAAGTAGTTATCATTCAAAAACTTCTTTTGTTGTGCTTGACCCGACTCTGACTTCACCTTGGTGTAAGCATCGAAAGCTCTAACCATAGCGATCACGTCACCTTGATTATTTGCAAAAGAGCTTTGTATTTGTTTGATCTTATCACGTTCTTCAAAACTGCCTCTGAAAGGACTTCCAGTAGTGCTAATGGCAGCTATAGTTAAGCATGTCTCTAAACATCCAAATATACAACCCAAAATTAATAATTTTCCTGATTGTAAATCTGTTGGAAGTAAAGACAAGTATCTACCTAAATTAGAAACAGCTTCGCTTTCTTCCAATGCACCAATATCTATTAAGAATTGTTTTGACTTGGCCAATGATGATTGATCAGGAGGATCTAATCCACTGTTTAAAAAGGCTTCCACTTTGTCAATCCCCATAGATTTAACGACCAAGAATAAATTTTCCAAACGTGTACGTTTAATTTCGGGAATAGGTTGGTCTAACATTTCTGCAACAGTATCTCTAGAGTACATATGATAACAATTACCATTTGTAATACGACCAGATCTACCTCTTCTTTGGCCAATTTCTGCCTTCGAACACCAGTTCTCGATCAATTTAGTTGAATTGATATTAGAATCGAAAAACATCGATTTAGATCTTCCTGAATCGATAACCACCACACAATCTGGAATTGTGATGGAAGTTTCGGCAACATTAGTGGATACTACAATCTTCCTGGATCCAGCAGGTGGGTTCTTGAAAACTCGTTTCTGATCAGCAGACGACAATGCGGAATGCAATGGTAAACACCAGAATTTAGAGCCATTTTGCTTTTCAATAGCTCTAATGCACTTATTGATTTCCATAATACCTGGTAAGAAAATTAAAATGGATCCATCATTGGATTCGTTAGAAAGTTTCCTATCGACATGGCCACACAATTGTGCAATAAGTTCGTAGTTAATATTTCCACTCTTAAAGAATTGGGAGTCAGCTTTTGGTTTCAATTTCTCACCATCATAAGTTTCAATGGTGTAGTCTAATTCTTCCAATACGGTATCTAAATAGTAGTCTTCGATCGGGAAAGTTCTACCTTCGATATGTATGTGATTCAAAGGAGTTTTGAAAAAATTCTTGAAAGTGTTGATATCAATGGTAGCCGACATAAGGATAACTTTAAGTTTGGGGAATCCTTGCATAATGTTACGTAAAATGATAAGTAAAAAGTCACTATCGACTGATCTTTCATGTACTTCATCAATGAAAATATATTCCAAGTTATCAAATATATTGTTCTTTTGATCTCCTTTCTTGGTCGACAAAACACCTTGTATCATTCTTAAAAGTACACCAGTAGTAACAAAGGAAATACGCGTGTTCGCGCTAGTCTTATTTTCACCTCTGATCAAATAACCAGTCTCCTTACCCAATGAGTCGCAACGCTCTTCAGAAATTCTTTCGGCTAAACCAATAGTAGAAATACGCCTAGGTTGGGTACACATAATTTTACCACTAAAATTACCTCGAGAATTTAAATCGTCCAAAATAAACTGTACGATTTGGGTAGATTTCCCTGAACCAGTTTCCCCCGTTACGATTGTAACCTTATTAGAGTTGATGATAGACACTAACTGTTCCGCCTTTTTCCAAGCAGGTAATTGTTTTCTTCTATTAATAGAGGAAATCATCTCTCTTGACTGTTGCTTCTTAGCATATTCAGATCGTAAACGTTCAATATCTGAGGGAGAAAGATTCAACTTTTGATGAGTTCTTGATTTAGAATTTTTCAATTTTTTTTGAGATTCCACTTCTTCCACAGATCTACCTTCTCCATTATAGTTCTCCTCGATGAAAAGAGGTCCTGGGTTATTGATGATCTTTGATATATTCTCTTCTAACCATTCAATAATTGAGAAAATGTAACAACTACCTACATATCCAGACTCAATAATGTGATGCAAAAGTTGACGTAAAATGGATAACTTGATGTAATTGGCCATTCTAAAAGAAGTGTTATTCACCACGATTTGAATTCCAGGGATATTATTTGGGTAATTTTCGCTTCTAAATACTTTGACACTCAATAATCCCTTTTGTAATGTATGAGGAGCAAGAGAAATTGTTGCAATGTTTCCTGACGATCCTTCGAAAAATTCAACGGTATTGTCTGCATTTAGCATTTCAATCCCTTCTAATTCCTGTTTCCAAAGTTCCAAGCATTCTTCATCGGTTTCAAACGTATTTTCTTCTGTCGGTTGGACATAATTCACTACATCGTGAGTTAACTTAACACTGGTCTTGATTTCATCAAAGTCACAATCTTGTAAGGCTGTTAATAACTCATCTTCATCAGCCCCAGATTGCGCAACTCTTTTCAAAAGATTCTCCATCTTAATATCTTTAGAAATCTTCAAGGAAACACCAGAGTCCTTGTCACTTTTCATGAAGTATGGTGGTAAGTCATCTTCTGGAATATGGAACAATAACCATTCTAATGCATCCGTGAAGGTTGAAGTATACTTGAAAGATTCTTTAATGTGTATCTCACGAAACCCAAGGTTAGTTAATGCTCTGAGATAATCCTCTGAAGAAGATTGTGTTACAATTGTATTTGAACTTGCAATTGTCCAATTGAGATGATTTCTAATTGATGCTTCAATTTTAGTTCTTACCTCAGAAGTGAAATCAAAAAATGGGGCATTCTGCCAAACTTTATTGGGGAAACTGGGGATTTTTTTCATTATCTTAAATGAAGTAGTAGATGGTTTCAGTGGCTTGGTAATCTTGGAGTTGGTACTACTGGTGCTTGGCTTTTTGCTATTAATTGTGGTGATATTTATAGTAGGTTTGCGGACTTTTTCTTCATTCTGTGCTCTTATTTCTCTTTCCTTCTCCTTCTTAAGATCACGTTCACGCTTTTCAAGAAATACTTGGAATGGTTGAGAGTTGTAGTAATAATCATGCTTTTCTTTGCTTTCTTTTAATATTGACGACCTTTTAGCTTCAAGATCACTCCAATAATCTCTGAAAACTACTGGAAGAACAGTCTTCATATTCTTGGCAAAGTTAATCCTGTGGAGTGCATACGTTGCAGCATAATGTCTTGCCTCGTTTGTTGTTTCCTTGGGTTGGTACAAATCTTGATCTGGAATCATTTGCACTCGGATCATCTCCTGTGTCTTTGGATTTTTCCAACTTAAATTGATAACTCCAACAAATCCTTTACCCTTCTTCCTCATGTCTACGACTACTTTCTCCCATTTCTGCTTCTGGGCGTATTCAAAAAGTAAAGTGGCAGGCAACTTCCCTGTCCAACCAAAATTTTCACCAATAACCATTCCTCTTTGAGGTTTTTTGGTTTCATCTTCTTGAGAAGGTTCTTCCTGCTTCCCTTTTTTCTTTCCCTTTTTCGTATCGACGGGAGGTGGAGATGGTTCCACTTTCCCTTTCCCCTTCTTTGCCATTGCTAATTAAGTAATTGGAGTTCACACTGTTGAAAGGTGGGAATTAAAAAAAAAAAAATTTAGACTAAACATCTATGGGTTTCCTATCTTTTGAAATACTTCATGTGTCAATGTAGTAAGAAAGAAAAAAAAAGAAGAGAAGGAATTGACACAGACAGGAATCGAACCTGCAACCGTTCGATTTGGAATCGAAAACTCTACCATTGAGCCACTGCATCACCCTTGAAGACTTTTTTTCGCTCAGTTAGTCATACCATCTTCATTGTGTTATATGCAGGAATTTCGAATATAAGTAATATGACATTTATTGGTAAGGAGGTATAGCAGTACCATTGTATACGGTATTTATAATGTATATATGTTTCTATTCCTTTAAGTTTTGGAAAAAAAAATGAGGAAAAAAATGATGTTTACATTTTTAAGAGATAAATATAAATTGACAGAATTATAAATAACTGTGGTTGCAAATCATTAGAATTTTATTTACCCTTTTCTCTGGCCCTTTCGAATATTAACAATATTAGCTTCTAAGGTCAAATAGAATAACTTTATTTATTTGTATATATTAAACAGTAAACATATGATAAGGAGAAAAGGATACCCCTATTCTTTCTTTTTTGTAAGAAAGTACAGAGATAAAGAAAATGGCTTTGAACCTGATAGACAGTTTACACCGACGAGACAATAAAAAGAACGAATTCTTTGAACTTATTGAGTTGGTATTCATCTTCACCGTTGCATTGAATTTAGTCTTTTTTAGCGCTCAGACTTAAGCATACCACTTTGAAATTATATCACATCACCAATCGGATAGCTGCGAGTGACACACCTCACCTGGAAAGTGGCCCACGGGAAGTAAAAGAAGCTAGCTAATCCAAACATACTCTATTTAATTTCTCTTTAACAATCATAGATATGGTGGTATTAGAGAATAAACATAGTAGGAAATGAATTAATAAGATTGAAAAGTAAAAGATAAGGAAAAGGACAAGAAAAAGATAAAAGAAATATCAACCTCGAATAGATTCTCTAAGTCTTTGAAAGAATAATTGGCAATATCTATAATGACCCACTACTTTTGATTCTTCTTGAATGTAAACAACTACTTCATTCTAAAATTTGCTTAAAATTCATGAGCATATAAAAATATAAATTAACCGAGATACTTCTCCTAGAAGTATCAATTAAAACAAGCTAGTGTACAAGAAGAAAATTATATAGTCGATGGGTCGTCATTAGAAAGTATTATATGCCACATCATCAAATCGTTGATTTGGAAAGAAAAGGATTATTAATAAGGAAAGACTCGGTATTTTCTGTGTCCATTATACTCAATCCATTATAGTTTGGGTGTTGGCCAAAAGCTTCTGAGGGAAGTCCCTCTTGGTTACCAACAACTGCAGCAAATGGAAACTCTCTGTATTCAGAAGGGCTATCTAAGCTACTTGCAAAAGTTTCTGGAGTTGGAGTTGAGTATGATGAGCCTGAACTAATCTTATTGATTTTGAATTCATTTGTATGGTTACTAGATGAGTTTGAACGAGAGTGTACGTGATTGTGGGAATGTGGTGGTTTTTGTACGTGTCCATTATTCTTCAATTTTGGTGAATGTGCTCTTGTAACAGAAGAAGCGCTTCTTAAGGCAGTCCCGGTGATGATGTTATGTGGACCTGCTGTTGTTACCGTTGGAGACACAATACCATGGTTTTCAAACTTATTAGTTAACGAAGATACAGAACTGTTTGATGGCCATATATGGTTTGTAGTATTATCAAACATATCCAACAGTTGTGATTGATAGAAGGAATTAGTATCAGTATCAAAACTTGGGGCACGAGTGCCAATAGTTGGAGGCAGAGCCAGATTTGAATCATTTCTGTGTTCAGACTCAAATCCTGGGATTGGAGAAAACATGTCGCCACCAGTAGAACCAGCACTAGTACCGCCATTTAACATTGCAGATGAAGAAACAATAGAACCACCAGCGAAAAACCCATCCAATGGATAATTGTTAGATTCTATTTCAGTTTCATTCCTTTCTGGAATGGAATCATGTTCCATTTCAGCTGGCAGATATGAGTGTGAAATTGAATCTTCACCCTTGATAGACAAGTTTGTCTCGTTTGAGTTTGTACGAGAATTAAGAAATCCATTAGTTGGATGTGGTACAGGTGCAGCAGTATGAGAAAGTGCAATTTCATCATCAGTACCTTCCCTCTTAACATGCTGGAAAAGTGAACCAGAGTTCGAAGACAGTTTGACACTAGGGGTTTGTACTTCTTCATATTCTGTATTGCTTTCAACGTTAAATTGGCTATTGGCAGGGTCTCTGAATCGTTCAATGTTTTGTGAATGTTCTGCAAACTCCTTGGCAGCAGTCCGAATTCCCTTGTCATCAACGGGCAAATTTGCAGCAATCAATGCTCCATTTTCCCATTCTACTGGTAAATTTCTCAAAAGACCTTCTTTATTGATCAAATAAGATACCACTGAATTAATCGGTATATTTGTCTTTTCCAGTATTTGCATTTCTTTCAAGAAGTTCAAGTGTGGGGTTGAAAGTTTTATCAATTTTTCAAGTGATTTTGAAAGAAGATCAATTCTTGTTTCAAGTAATTCAACGTACCCTGAGGGATGTTGTCTATCCTTGGATTTTATTTTCTCGGAGAAGACACAGATTTTGTTATCAGTAATACACTTGTTGCATGGTTTCTTACCATCACACTTTGTCTTCTTTATTCTGCAGGAATCACAAGCTTTCCCCACTCTTTTCTTCTTGTGATGATGACTTTTATAGTCATCATATTCTGGTGAGGATGGTACGTCAATGCTCATGTTACGGTGGAAACGACGGACACACAAGATCAAGTACTGCTTTTTTTTTTTAGTGTGTGGAGGATATTCTTTTTTTAAAGTGCCCCCCTCTTAGTAGTCACTATATTGGCGCCAATTGTGCGTCAGAATGGGCAGATCTATGATTGTGAAAATCACAAATGAAACTTTCGACTAGTAAAATATAGATTCAAAAGTCTAACTTGTGTAGGTCAGTGACGCAAGGGGAAACGTCGATGGTAGATGACGGTATATATATTTCTCAAAAAAATCTTTTACTTTCCGAGTTGAGGGACTTTCTATCTTAACGTTAATCCCGCAGCTTTACTTTGTACAGAATATGCGGATGCAACAACTTTTTAGTAGAAAAAGAAAAAGTTTTTTTTTTTTTGTGGCCCTCTTTTTTTAGACTCGAGTGATTTGCAAGCAAGTGTAAGCAATATAGACTGAGAATGAGTAGATATTTCTAGTTGTGTCGAAACCCTTTTTGTCAAGTGTAGAAAAGATTTGGTTAGTTGAATTGAGTTAGCTCCAGATTTGTAATGGTTACGAATTTGGTGGTACTATTTTTCAGTTTTTTCTTTTTTGATTACTAAGACCCGTTCTTAAATAGTAATCGGCCGAAATTTCAATATAGGGAAATTTTAAAATATCAATACTTAAGCTGGACGACTTGTTATCAAACGAAGACAATTGAAACTGTGGGTGAGCTATTCAAAAGTATGAACTCCAAAGTTAATTACTTCCACTTTCGGATAGTACAATAAGAGAATTATCAACTGCAAAGAATAAACCGCGGAATAGGATAGGTAACAATAAAATAAAAATAATAATAATAATGTAATAGGAAGCGATGAATTGCCGCGCAAGAAGGAATTGTTCAATATATATGTGAAAGCCTTGTAAAGTAATGAAAGTGTTTACCAAAATAGTTCGAAGAATGTCATTTCTTTTTTACCGACACTCCGAACCGTTTGAGCAAAATCGGCAGCCGGTAATAAGTATGTGGTAGATTCTCAAAAAATAAAAAGAGCGCGGCCGAAGATACCGAATGCGGCACTAATTCCGACACCAATCTACTAGCACGGGCCGAAAACCTGATAGGCTAACAATTAAATAGATGACACTTATACAATGTTAGAGATACTAGACTGTTTCACTCAATCATCTACAAATTACTAGAAGCGAATGAAAGTGGAACTATTTGGTGGATATTGAAGAGATATTGCCAAGAAGTGGCATGACGAACGTGGTGTACAATTGTAATTGTCGGGAATATTCCACCACTTTGGAAAGAAGATGTCCAGTTGGGGGAGTTACTAGAATTCACACAATACGCCAAGTGATAGGTGGAAACAATATGAAGAAGCAAAGTGGCTGTTGTATACGCGGCGGAAACAATAGATATTTTTTATCATTATCCGCGTCCTATATCCGAAGGTTGATAATATGTTGCGAGACAAAAAAATAATATACGAAATAAAAAGAAAAATAAATTTTATGGAACAATTCAGAACAATCTAGAAGTGTAAAATGTAGACAATTACCATATAGAGAAACCAATTACGAGATAATCGAGTCTACTTCAATAGCTAGGCATGATGGTAAACTATCATACGAGTTTGGGAAAAAAAATATTGCAACCACCAAAGGAACAATAAAGAATGGGTAGATTGGTACTGTATATATGCCGGAAGGGTCCCTAAAGTAGAGTTCGAGATCCCGCGGATAATGATTTCCAGTTTAGGGAACAATAGGGAAAGTATAGAAAATCCGTCAGTTGATGGTGTTTCGAAACCCTTCTAGAAGGATTGGGTACATGCATTTATTTGTCGTTCGGGTACGGCTTGTGTATCCGGTTGCACGGCGGATCATACAACGCCCTTATCCGGATACGGCATGGAAGGGAATGGCGCTAACAGAGCCATGATATAGCGGGTTGCTAACCGCATGTCAGTCTAGTGATAAAACCGAATAACCGACGAACAGCAGTCTTCACTATGCAGGGAGAATGTCTCAAAAATGTTTTGAGATAATAATAGAAATTTGAATTATGTGCATTGCCTTTCTGGCCTAAATGGTAAAAGAATGAAGGGGCGGCGGATATAAGAATTATTAGAAGTAATTAACAGCCTCAGATGATGAAATCAATACCTGGGAATAACAGATGATGGCCACACATGAGTGAAAGCCCTTCAACTTAACCATTAGGATGCACTTATTTCCGGGATAGATTAAATAAATGAATCAACTTAACTCCCCCAATCTTGCATTAAAATCACGTGTACTACCAAAGCCTGGAAGAACCCAAATTCCTGCAGGATAACTTTAGGTAATAAAAGCAACCTTATCTGGGTCACGAGGGTGGAATTAAGCTCGCCTGTTAAAAGGACTAGTAATCTATGAATACAGTTTAAAAATATTTTAATTCTATTATTCTTATTAATAATAATAATGATGACAGTTCGTAAAAATATCAAATTAACTTCTGGTCATTCTATTCCAACTGTAGGACTTGGATGTTATGAATTACCTCGTAACTTGACGAAATCCATTGTCTATGAAGCATGTAAGGTTGGATATAGACACTTTGATACTGCAGTTCTCTATCAAAATGAATTTGAAGTTGGACAGGGAATAAGTCAATGGTTAGAAGAAGACCCCGTAAACAATAAACGTGAAGATATTTTTTACACTTCAAAACTTTGGAATTCTGAATGTGGATATACTAATGCCAAGGAGGCAATTGATAGGTGTTTACAAAAAGTGAAACAATTAGGATATATTGATTTATTATTAATTCATTCACCACTTGCAGGACCAAAGAAAAGGTTGGAAACTTGGAAGGCACTTCAAGAGGCTGTAGATCAAGGAATTGTTAAGAGTATAGGGGTTTCCAATTATGGAGTCCAACATTTGGAACAATTACTTCTGTGGGATGAATTAAAATACAAACCTGTAGTGAATCAAATTGAGATTAGTCCATGGATTATGCGTCAAGAATTGGCAGATTGGTGTCGTAGCCATGATATCGCAGTTGAGGCATTTGCTCCCTTAACCCACGGGTTTAAAGTTGAGGATTCCGAATTAGGCCGAATCGCGGCTAACCACAACGTTACTCCAGTTCAAGTATTGATCAGATGGTCACTTCAACATGGTAACATCCCTCTTCCTAAAACTAAGACAATTTCCAGATTGAAGGGAAATCTTGATGTATATGATTTTGAACTTAGTGAAGAAGAAATTGCTTTGATTGACAAGCCTGATAGTTATGATCCAACTGATTGGGAATGTACTGATGCTCCATGAAGAAACACCAGGTGGATTGTATATGAAAATAAAAATAAATATATAACTCACTAAGTAGAACTAGAACGTCTCATGAGTACTATGATGAATATGTTTGATACGTAATCTACAAATATACATCATCCATCAACATCACCTTAATGTGCCCTCTTCGTCTAAACAAAATACAGTTAGAATCATGTGGTACACCCCTCTTTGTTTCTAAACTCCAGTGGCGTGTGCTGTGTGTCATTTTAATGCGAGTGGATCATGTGCTAGCTAGGAAATCCCCCAGGAATGCATGGGTGTTTGGGTGGTATCATGAGGTATTCGCGCGGTTATTTCGAACTATATGGAAAAGAATGGAAGTTCGTTTTTGTACTTTATTTTATTTTATTTTATTTTTATTTTTTTATTTTATTCTCGCACCTTAGCCCAATGAAAATTTCAAACCAACAAACAATTCACAATTACTGACTCATTATACAATTCAATCTCATTCATATACTGTAATTAATAAGCTATACTCATAAATTCTTTGTATTTAAGATCTAACTTACACCTTAAAGCCTTTACTGTATGATTATTAATCACTCAGTAACACATACCCCCCCCCCCCCCCCCCCCCCAAACATAATATTTTTTTCCATTTTATTTTTGTTCCCGGGTCACTTAAAAGCATAACCCCACGGTTCAAGACTCCGACTCCGAAAATGTGCTGTTTTTCATGTAATTTGTTCATTTACACCGAGGGGCACCTGAGGTCCACAGGTCTTCTCCTGTACATATGACGTAAGCCTGCACATATGTATTCTTTTAACCTCTCGCCCGGGAGTCGTGCGCCCGTCATGGGTCTCTTTGCCCCGGAGGTTTGCCCAAAGTGACGAAATATAAAAGGACACCGGAATTCCCCATGAGAATATCAATTATACAGTTTCCTTCTTCAATTGAATTAGATTCTTTTTTAATTAAACACACATATTTCTAAAATGGCTATCACTATTGGTATTAACGGTTTCGGTCGTATCGGTCGTCTCGTCTTGAGAATTGCCTTGAGCAGACCAGACATTAAGGTTGTTGCTATCAACGATCCTTTCATTGCCCCAGACTACGCTTCTTACATGTTCAAGTACGATTCTACCCACGGTAAGTACAAGGGTGAAGTCTCCTCCGAAGGTGACAACTTGGTCATTGACGGTCAATCCATCAAGGTTTTCGGTGAACGTGACCCATCTGCCATCCCATGGGGTAAGGCTGGTGTCGATTACGTTATCGAATCCACCGGTGTTTTCACCACTTTGGAAGGTGCCCAAAAGCACATTGACGGTGGTGCCAAGAAGGTTATCATTACCGCTCCATCCTCTGACGCCCCAATGTTCGTTGTTGGTGTCAACCACGAAAAGTACACCCCAGACCTCAACATTGTCTCCAACGCTTCTTGTACCACTAACTGTTTGGCCCCATTGGCCAAGGTTATCAACGATGCCTTCGGTATTGAAGAAGGTTTGATGACCACTGTCCACTCCATCACTGCTACCCAAAAGACCGTTGACGGTCCATCCCACAAGGACTGGAGAGGTGGTAGAACCGCTTCCGGTAACATCATTCCATCTTCCACCGGTGCCGCTAAGGCCGTCGGTAAGGTTATCCCAGAATTGAACGGTAAGTTGACTGGTATGTCCTTGAGAGTCCCAACCGTCGATGTCTCTGTTGTTGACTTGACTGTTAGATTGCAAAAGCCAACCACCTACGCTGAAATCACCGAAGCTATCAAGAAGGCTGCTAACGGTCCATTGAAGGGAGTTTTAGGTTACACCTCTGACGCTGTTGTCTCCACCGATTTCTTGCAAGACTCCCACTCTTCTATCTTTGACGAAAAGGCCGGTATCTTGTTGTCCCCAACTTTCGTCAAGTTGATCTCTTGGTACGATAACGAATACGGTTACTCCACCAGAGTCGTTGACTTGTTGGAACACGTTGCTTCTGCTTCTAAATAACTAGCCGACGCTCGCGGTTCAGAACCAAAGTTGTAAATGAATAATATGTGCTAGTCACATTTATTATACCGACTTTGAAGAGGGTTGCGATAGGCTTCTGTGAGATTTTCTCTCTCCCTTTGATTAGGATAAGTATATTCATGTGAATGTATGATAAAAAAAGTATAATTATGCCTGTAGATTCAATGTAGGTTTGAAATTTTCCATTTTTGGTGGATAAAAGGTCGGCGCACGTGAAGAATCACGTTTGAGCATCTATTGTAATCCATTAGCCCTCTATTTGCATACTGCCTTGTTAATGAATATGCGCTTATATGGGAGTCAAAACATTCGCAAAGAGTGAATAGGTAGATAGCAAATAATAATCATACCAGTATCTATGCGGTTGTTGAAGTTAATATGGACTGTTGTAGCTCACCTTCTTTTTGATCTTTACATATTTTTTTTTTTTAAGCAATGTAATTATAATTTCTAAATGCATTATATTCCTTTACAATATAAATTTATTATGAACTAAACTTCTCACAGAATCCCTAAATAATACATTCTTCTATAAACTTTACCCTATTCATTTTCTAATCTATCTCAGTTACCTATAGTTCAATTCCTGGTTTGCTGCAAAAAATAATAGTTTAGAAGAGAAATAAATAACATTAGATTTAAATAGATTGCAAAGGATAATAATCCTTGAATAGAATATACCGTATTAGAAATCTACCTATTTACTTCAAGTTTATCATATCTTCTTCCAATATAATCGTATCGTCTAAAACATCCATTCATCTTTCCATCTATACAATTTATCTTACTACTCCATGTTATCACTTTTTCTTTATTTTTCTTCACAATTTTTTTATTTCTTTCTTTTATACCAACATCCAAAACCTACCCTATTGGAAATATATCCCACAATCATATTTATCCTTCAACTTATACTTAATCCTTTCATCTTTTTACTATATTCATATTCTTTATACCATAAAATTCCTGCACACAATCACCCATATCTAAATATCAATTATTTCTTAACATGATAAACAAAAGTACAAACAACATACAATTCCTCCAAGAAATCTAATGAATGAGAATATATTTGTAGACCAGACTTTCCAAATATACAAGTCTAATGGTTCACCCAAGGAGAATGATTTTGAGCTTGGGAAAGAAAGATTTTTAGAAATTTATTCACAATTTTTATTTAAATACCTTCAAAATACCAATCCATCATTATTAAACGATGGGATCATAACCTCTATAACGACATCTCGTGACATATTAAAGCACCTAAAGACTTCACATGGGTCAGGAACACAAGAAGGATTTGATATTGTGTACTTTAGTATGAAACATACGAATTCTAGAGTGTTATCAAGACAATCAATTGTATTTATAAAGCAACAAGAATCACAACAAAATGACTCCACAACTACAGATAAAGATGCACATTTTAATACCATAGTACTTGTAAAGTCAAGTACCCCACCATTATGTGAAGCCTTGTTAAGAATTGTGGAGTCTATCCAAGGTGATCAACCTCTTGTAATTAAACCCTTTAAAGTTGGTGGAGACTACATTAGAAACATTATGGACAATTTAATCGAAAAAATAGAGTCCGTAGAAGAGTTGGGAAATATTGAGTTAGCATTTCAAGGAATTAACCAACAAAATGACTCGTTACGACAGATATCTATCGCTATCCCATCAGCAGACATAAAGCAATTCCATAAAGATAAAACCCCTAATCTAAGTCTAAGTAATAAGATTTATAAACATTTGAATAAAATTACAAAGATGAATTTTAATAATCTTCCCTTGACAAGATTTACTTCACATTTAGTAAATATTTCTCAAGATGGAAAATTGAAAATACATAGACTGATCTTACGCGATAGACATCAACTGGATAATGAAGAAGGGTCTACATTAATATGGTTTCTACTTGCATCTTTATTTACAGAATCTTTCCAATGATTTGGTTAGTGGAAATTTGGCTCTTAATCCCGTAATACTACAATCTAAAAACTGAAATCACAGAAAAGGCAGCTTGCAAATGGTCTTGAAAACTAGTCCTGATGGTGGGAATTTGGGCCATCACGTGCCCTGTGGAGTGTGGTCCATCCGTATAATTCCACAAGTGTGTGTAAAAGTCTAGAGTAGTGGAATTAGATATCCACTCTTGGAGAATTAGAATTACATTCGTTCTCTTGGATTGAATATGTAACTGATAATCGATTATCTTGCTATTTTACACAGATAAACTACATACTCAAAACCTAAATATATTACCCCTTACCTCGAACATGGTTCCTGAGTTAACATTATAAAATAACCTTACATTATGTAGTGTGTACTCTTCTTTGATCTTCAGATCACGCGCTCTGCGTTTTATTCCATATTTATTTTTCATCTTATTTCTTTTATTATTTTATTTTTTGAACAGCTAACACGCGCCATTTTTTGTGTCATGAAAAATCAAACACGTAACCATTTACTTTTATATACACATTGCAACAAAAAACCCTTCGTACATTTTCTTCTCCAATCTTTTTCATACACCACAACAATGTCTGGCACTGGTCGTGAAACAGAGAGCGAGGCATCCTTGCGTCACAGAGTGGCTGTCACCACGGCTGCAGATGTGTCGTCTGAATCATCGTCAATCCCAACCGACCAAACCCTTGAGAAGAAGGATCTTGATAAAAAGGCCCGTACTGATGAGTCTCAAGATTTCACCACTTCATTGAAGGCTGTTGAAGCTTGGGCAGCACCTATCGCCCTTACTGCCTTGTCCTTTTTTGTTCGTTTGTACAAAATCAGCGCTAATAACGCTGTCGTTTGGGATGAAGCTCATTTTGGTAAGTTTGGTTCTTATTACTTAAGACATGAATTCTATCACGATGTTCATCCTCCATTAGGTAAGATGCTCATTGGGTTCTCCGGCTATCTTGCTGGTTACAATGGATCCTGGGACTTCCCATCTGGTGAAACTTACCCAGATTACATTGACTATACTAAGATGAGAGTGTTCCATGCCATCTTTTCTGCATTGTGTGTTCCATTAGCTTATTTCTCCGCTAAGGAAATTGGGTTCTCTATCCCATCCGTTTGGCTTTTTGCCTTGATGGTAGCCTTGGAATCTTCTTATGTTACCCTTGGTAAGTTTATCTTGTTAGATTCAATGTTGTTATTCTTCACTGTTGCTACTGTTTTCTGTTTCTCAAGATTTAACAACTATAACTCTGATCCAAAGACCAAAAACTTCCATCGTAAATGGTGGAAATGGTTGTTACTCACTGGTTTCTCTATTGGTTGCACTTGTTCTGTCAAGATGGTTGGTCTTTTCGTCACCACTCTTGTTGGAATTTACACTATTGTTGATCTTTGGAATAAATTTGGTGACCGTACCATTCTGTGGAAGAATTATATCTGTCATTGGGCTGCCAGAATTGTTGCCCTTATTATTGTCCCAACTTTAATCTTTTTACTTTCCTTTAAAATGCATTTTGATTTATTATATAAATCAGGTACTGGTGATGCTAACATGTCATCTCTTTTCCAAGCTAATTTGGTAGGTTCTGATGTTGTTGGTGGATCTCGTGAAGTTACCATTGCCCATTCATCTGTCACTTTAAAGAATCAAGGTCTTACCGGTGGTCTTCTTCATTCCCATATTCAAGGTTATCCAGAAGGTTCTAAGCAACAACAAGTTACCACTTATTCTCACAAGGATTCTAACAATAACTGGGTTTTCCAAAGACCAAGAGGTCAAGATTTCTATAACCCAGATATTTCTGAAGATTTGGAATTTGTTATTGATGGTATGACAGTTCGTTTAATGCATCCAATGACTGGTCGTAACTTACATACTCATGATGTTCAAGCTCCAGTCACTAAGTCTGAATTCGAAGTTGCTGGTTACGGTAACATGACCATTGGTGATGCTAAGGATAACTGGGTTGTTGAAATTATGGAACAATCTGGTTCTGAAGATAAACTCAAGTTACATCCTTTAACCTCCTCTTTTAGATTGTTTAACCCATCTATGAATTGTTACTTGGGTGTTTCTGGTTCATCCTTGCCACAATGGGGTTTCAGACAAGGTGAAGTTGCTTGTTTCAAGAATCCATTTGCCAAGGATAAGAGATGTTGGTGGAATATTGAAAACAATGAAAACAGATTGTTACCACCAGCACCTGAAGATTTCAAGCTTCCAAAGACAAAGTTTATCCGTGACTTTATTCAATTGAACTTGGCTATGATGGCTACCAACAATGCTTTGATCCCAGATTTTGAAAAGCAAGATGATTTAGCTTCAAGTGCCTGGGAATGGCCAACTTTGCATGTTGGTATTCGTATGTGTACTTGGGGTGTGAACAATGTCAAGTACTTTATGATTGGATCACCAGCTACTACCTGGCCATCAACTGCTGCAGTACTTGCCTTTTTCTTTATTGTCATCTTTTATGTCGTTAGATGGCAAAGACAATACGTTGACTTCCCATCCTCTGACCCTAACAAGTTGAAGGTTTTCCTTATGGGAGGTATCTATCCAATGTTTGGATGGGGTTTACACTTTTTACCATTTGTTATTATGGGCCGTGTCACCTATGTCCATCATTATGTCCCTGCTTTATACTTTGCCATGATTATCTTTGTGTATGAATTGGAAAGTTTTACTTCTTGTTTACAAAAATCTAAGAACTCTTTAGCCAAGGTTGCTTACTATGCCATTTACGCATCTTGGTACTTCATTGTTATTGGTACTTTCTATTACTTGAGACATATTAGTTTTGGTATGGAAGGTCCAAAGGAAGATTGGAGTCATCTTGATTTGTTACCATCTTGGAGAATTTCCAATGACAATTACGTTTAAGGAACAAATCAAAACCTTAAAAAGAAACTTACTAAGAAACATTTTCTTTAAAAAGAAATGATAAGAGAGAGATTGCTTGATATTTCTTTAGTTTGAACATATAAATATATATAATATCATAGCGTTATTAGAATTGGATGTAGATAAGAAGAGAATTTGCAACTATGTATAGAATCATTAATCACCCACATTCAAACAACTTTTTAGTATTTAATAATAACAGTACAATTCTATTAGCTTTTGTGTGTGTGAAGTGAATTATGTCATTGCCCACGTGATCAAAAAAAAAGTATATGACTAAGCTTTCTTGATAAAACCCAAAATTTGATTTAATCATATTATACAATTAAGTGGCAATACATTATGATTGTGAGGGTAAGAAATGTATCATTAAGAGGTAGGATCTTACCAAGAGTGAGAACACCACTTTTATTGACCCGGTCTATGAACCCTTTATTAAATTATTACTCTACATCAACTACAACTACACCCAAAGTTCTTAAACCTTCATCATTTGCTCAACCAATAGAGAATCAATCTACTCCAAATGTACAAAAGACAGATGTACCACAAGAAGATATAGATGATTTTGCGATCACAAAGCTTATACATGGTCAAACCGACCTTCACATAGCCATAACTGAAAGGGCAAGTAATAAACTTACTGATATTGCAACTGCGGATAACAATCCAAAGACAGCCTTAAAAATCAGTGTAGAAAGTGGTGGGTGTCATGGGTTTCAATACAACTTAGAACTTACTGATTTGGATGTGGAAATGGCCAAGGCTAAAGAAGAAGATATTGAAGATGAACTTTTGGTATTCAAAAGACAACAAGAGGGCAAAACTGCTGTAATTGTTTTGGATGACAGTTCCTTGCAAATCTTGCAAGACTCCAAGGTTGATTATACCAAGGAGCTCATTGGTAGTCAATTTAAAGTGGTTGATTCGCCATACACATCTACTGCTTGTGGTTGTGGAGCATCTTTTGATTTTGATTTTGAAAAATTGGAAAAGAAAAACAATGAATTGGCCAATAAGCTGTGATGTATATATGTATAACTTATATGATTGATGATACGAAGTTTATGTTGTAGTTTAATTTGTATATATAGATTTTATATCATACGAAGATGATGTAATATTTAATTAGATCACAGATTAGGCAATGTTATTGGATCAGAAGTAATACGAATTTGTTTCATATGTGCCTTGGTGTAACATTAAATGTTACTGACGTATAACTATATGTTTGCTGGTGTATAAATATATGAATTTACGACTTGACTCATTTGAAGCGAGAGGGGCAGGAATCATGAAGTCTTTCGTAAATTAATTCATTTGATGGGTTTGTTTTTGTATTTACATAAAAAAAAAAATAAAAAAATAAAAAAAAAAAACTAAAGGAAGAATACACACACGTAGAGAGGGTTCAGAAGATGGTTCCATATAAATGTATTGGGTGAACCCTACTATGCACTAGCAAGAATCGAAGAATACCACAATTTAGAAGGGCTTAGGGTATTTTTTTTTTACAATCGTGTGTAAATTGTATTGTGTGTTTTAATTCCTTGATTCCGCGCATCGTATAGAAAAAAAAAAAAAACACATCCGGGCCGGGGGTCCCAGAAGGGAAGAAAAATAATACAATGAATTAAAAAGCCACATACAAATTAGTATTATTAGACGTATCAACTGCTAAGTCATCATTGCCTGTTCTACCTTACCGAAACTAGCATGATAGCGCTGGAAGTCTAGATTGAGTACTCGTAAACCTCTATAAGTTTATGATTTAGTTTCATTTGAGACATATTCTAGGTCATGCCCATTTCAAAACAAACAATGTTTGGGAAGGTCTCGTAGTACATATTCTCCACTCCATTATATATCTTCTAGACTTGTAAATGTACTTTGTTGAGGTATTTAGTAAGAGCATTGTTCGGTAGGTGCATTGTGCCGCATGACGAAAATACAAAATTTAACTCAAAACGGACATGATCAAAACATTTTTGTGACATTGCATGAGTATCGATCTTGCGGCGACTAAGATGCCAATGGGATTTTCTTCACACATTTCCAAATTATGCTAGAACTCATGCGGTTAGGGAACATTGGAATCACTGTACCTTTATTGTTACCGGCTAACAATGACAAAAACAAACAAGTTGTAAAAAAAAAAATTAGTATGCGAATAATATCGGTACGTCTTGCCTTCACTTGGCTTCCGCCCCCTCCATCCTTACCTTCCGACTCTTACATTTGGACTCTCATCTCTGTTTTCCACAATTGACTTTAAAATACATTCTTCTTTCTCTTATATTGAAATACAACCAAGCTGGTATAGTGTATTAATTGTATATTGCAAAAATTCTCGCCCATGAAGACTCGGTCAGATTCCTCCAAATGGGCCATCGGGCGTCTCTTTCAATCTGCACGCCGGAAGAAGCCTCAAACAAATGTAGAAGTGAAGTCTATTTCAGCTCCTCTTCCGATTATTGAAGTCAAACAGGAAGGTGAATTATCAGATGAAGAGCTTTCCAACTTGAGAGCTTTACAATTCCCAAAGCCTCGCTCTCAAAAGCATGTACTTCCAATATTAAATACATCACTTCAAGTCAGAAAGGTGACACCGTCAGACCATGAAGATCCAAACAATTCAATTTCTCCAGACATTGTCAGTCAATTCACAGTAGATGTTGATGATGTTTCCCATAGTACTTCAAGGGATGTATCAAGCATCGAAATCGATCAAATGAATACCCCGAATTCTTACAACATAAGGGCACTGGAAACCCCACCAACGGTGTATAGTATGGATTTCTTCAATGATGGAACAAAGTTAGAAATGGCCAATGATTCATGTGAAGCCATTTCCATAAGTAATGTTAATATTGAAACTTTCAAGCCAAGTAATGGACTTCAAAAAATGACTCCACAAAGAGTACCACCACAAGAATTGTACACCAATGAGATTTATCGAGCAGAAATGCTTTCATTGATAGAGGAACACAAGTATATGATGGCAAAGAAACAAGAAGAAATTAATCATTTAAAGGAATTGTTAAGACAAGAACGATCTTTCACTCGAAACTTTTCCATTTCATCTCGTCAAACGGTAATTGGATCTCCTTCCCCAAGTTCTCCACAACAGCCAAGTCTGGCTGAAACTATACATTCTGGCAGTCCAATATTTAGAAGTAAATTTCTTCCTATAGACATCGATCTCTCACCAGGGTTGGAAACTCCTGTAGATCGAGATGGATATAAAACTTTTAATTTAGGACGGGCAAGTTCGCATGATATGTCAGAGAAATTACAAGGTCCAATATCAACTAGAGACTTTTTCAAGGCTGGCCTTGAATCCAAGTCTTCAGCTACCCTGTACCATACTGCTTTCGAAGATTTCCAGCAATCACAAGTAACATCTACAAGATCTTCAATTGGTACTCTTGGGTCTCCTAAAACCAACCTTACACTTGTAACGGAAGCAGAAGATTCCGATAATACTTTTCAGTTCCGCTAATAACTCCTACATGAAATTGTCTAATTGTAAAATAATCCAAGGAAAATTTAAAAAAAATGTGGGGATAATAAAAATAGTTTAATTTTAAAAGACATGAGGGTCTCTATTACCCGCCACATCAACTGAATACTACTTCGATTTTGAGCTGTCATTGGTTTTGGAAGCACTAAAATCCTTCTCGATCTCAATTTTCATATGGGAACCCCTCAGATTTTCTTGGCCGCATTCTCGATAATGCTTCGCAACCTTCCCATTGTGGAAATTCGTGCCCATTACGGGTTGTTCTTTTTGATGTAGAATACACATTAAGCTACATGATGTTTTATTTCTGTATGTATATCTATATAATAATAATATTTAATAAGCTATAGATATTAATAATATGTAATAAATAGGAACCAGTTATCCCAGTGCTAGTGTATAATTATATATGTCTGTATTTAAGCCCTCATGCGTTTCATTCTTGGCCTTTATATATTTTTTTTCGCAGCCATAGTTGCCAGTGCACCATACCCTACTGTTCTTCCCCCACTGGTCGATCCCTTTTACGACATTCCTGATGAACTTGAATCCAAGAATCCTGGTGATATTCTTAAATTCCGGAAGTCACCCCACAGGATTAGAAGTATTTTTCTCCCAGTTGACGTAAAAAATGCGTGGCAAATGATGGTTAGGTCAACTGATTCTCATGGGAACGCAACTGCTATAGTTACCACTTTGATTGAGCCATTTAACAGTAATTCTTCTCGATTGCTACAATATCAAATTGCTGAAGATTCTGGTTCTGTTGATTGCTCTGCTTCCTATTCTTTCCTATTTGGTGCTAGCCCGGATACCCTTGCCGCACAAGCAGAAATGTATTTCATTCAAATTGCGTTGAATGAAGGTTGGTGGGTCAATGTTCCTGACTACGAAGGTCCCAAGGCAGCGTTTACCGCTGGCAGACAAGCGGGACATGCAGTATTAGATACCCTCAGAGGGGTGCTTAAAAACACTAACGATACCGGATTAAACCCTGAGCCTGAAGTGGTGATGTGGGGTTATTCTGGAGGATCATTAGCAACAGGTTGGGCCGCGGCACTCCAACCATTATATGCTCCAGACCTTTCTCCAAGAATCATTGGTGCCGCTCTTGGGGGTTTTGCCTCTAATATCACTACTACAATTATAGCAATTGATGGTGGGTTTTACACTGGACTAGTCGCAACAGGGGTTACAGGGTTAAGTAACGAATATCCACAATTGAAACCAATTATCCAAAGAGAGGTTCCAGAGAAGTTCAAATGGATATATGATAAAGCTGGGAAAACTTGTTTGCTTCCTTCTATACTCTATGGAATGTATGCACAGGTATTTAGAGGAAGTAATCGTTGGATACAAGCCGGTTATTCTTTACTTAGTGAACCTGTTGTAGCTGATGTTCTACATAATGTAACCCTTGGAATCAGTAAGGAAGATTTCCCTGAAATTCCTATATTTATCTACCATGGCATGAAGGATAATATAGTGCCTTATATTAATACTGAAAGGATTTATGATACCTGGTGCTCGTGGGGCATAAAATCATTGGAAGTTGCCGCATCAGAGAACACTAGACATGTCACAGAAATGGTTGGTGGAGCTCCAGCAGCATTTGCTTGGGTATCTAAAAGGTTTAACGGAGAGTCTACAGTTGATGGGTGCTCCTTGACAAAACGCTCAACTAACCTTCAATATCCAGGTGTTAGCATGGCTATAGTAGAGACTCTTCAAGCAGCGGCAAAATCAATACTTCAATTCAAGATTGGTCCTTCAAGTCCAACATTGGACAAAAGGGGATTGATTGATTATGATATGATAGTTGAAGCACAACTTGCTGAACTGTACAAAAAGAGAACCTTGAGATATTAATTGAATACAAATGTGAATGAATTAAAAAAATTATCTTTATTAGTCAAATCTATGTAATAATATACAAATAAGATTATATGTTCTCTTGAAGCTCAACCTTGGAGCTCTCTGATTTCATTTTCATCGGCAACCAATCCCATGACAACCAAGTACATGTTCAAATTGTTCAACAAGTTTTGCTTCTTGTACAAGTTTGCCAAATCAGAGTTTTCAATGGCCTTGGCACGGTTCATGACACCAAAGATTTCATCTCTAACTTCATCAACAATGATTCTTTGGTGACTCAACTTACCACCCAAAGACAAGGTGGCCAAAAATTGCCATACATAGTTTTCTCTAGAAGAACCATCATCAATGTCTTGTGGATGTGGTGGGAAAATAGAAGCAATTCTTGATTCCAATGAAGTAAACAATTCATCATAACATGATGACCATTCAGATAGATCAGTGGCAGAAATGACACCTTCACCCTTGATCAATTCAGCACGAGAGAGTAAAGTTGTCAAAATAGACAACCCAATCTTGGTAGTGGATACGAGTGAAACATTGTTATGTTCAATCAAAATGACAAGTAAACCAATGATTTCATTAAACTTGAAGTCTTGGACTGCATTCATCAAAACCTTGGAAAATGTTAATGAGTAAGTTTCAACCAACTTCAAAATAGTTGGAGAAACTACCTTATCAGGGTATGTAGTGTAAGAACCCTTGCTGATAACAGACAAGTTTTCTAAATTGGACATAACCAAAGTGACAATGGTTAAAATTTGTTCTCTGGATAAGAATTTAAATAAACGAGGTAAGATCTTCAAAGCCTTGTTGTGGTTCAAACATTGAATGAATGGGTTAACTTGTTCTTGAGGAACACCAGAAGTGGATGGTTGATCCAAGATATGCAAGGATTCCCAAAGTTCTGCAGTTTCAATATCCGTGGAAACTCTAGAAGCACTTTCAAGGTTCATCACCTTGGTGATAATTGTTTCTAAAATGTTCATGACATCCTTCTTGGTGTAAGACTTCTTTGGACCAGTAGAAACAGCAGATATAGACATAGCTCTCTTCTTAGCTGGCACTGGAACTGGTGGAACAACTTCTTCGTCATCTTCGTCATCATCAGCAACAGCACTGTCTTCCTTCTTGCTCTTTTCCAACTGTTCTTGCTTTTCAATTTCTCTTTGAGCAGCTTGACTGAAAATTTCCAATTGTTGTCTTGGTTTTTTACCATTACCAAATGAAATTTTACCTAAAGAACCTTCTCTTGCATATTGGGTCAACTTAGGTCTTTCCTTGGCAACAGTAACAGCCTTTTGAACTTGTTGTTGCATTCTTTGCAAGGCCAAATCAGCCTTGTTGTAACGACCACCTAATCTATGACCACTTTGTTCCAAGTAAGCTTGAGCAATAGAGTTATGTTGTTGGGCATGTTCTTGCAAATGAGTGCTATTAGCCTTAGGGTGAATAACTTTAAAGACTTGAGCATAAAAATCTTCATTGTATGGATCTTCAGTAACAATTTGGGACAATTGGAAACGAGTAACATAATCCTTATCTCTTGGGTTCATGATACCAGAGTACTTCATGATTCTAGCAACCTTTTCTTGTCTCTTGGCCAACTTAGCTTGTTGTTCTGGAGTCAAATCTTGGTAGTTCTGGTGATGAGAATGAGAACGGTGGTGTTGGTGTTGATGTTGATGTTGTTGCTGGTGGTGGTTGAAGTGGTTTTGTTGATAACCTTGTCCTTGTTGAACGTGTTCACGGTCAGATTGTTGTTGTCTTTGAGGAGATTGAGGAGCTTCAGCATGAGCATTGACATGAGAAAGATCACCTTTGGCTCCCAAAACAGGGAATTGTGCCATATCAACCTTGGAAGCTCTTCTGACTGAACCTTGTTGTGGGACAGCTTGTTGAGGAGAAGAAGTAGAAGGAGCAACTTGTTGTTGGACAGGAGCAATCGGGGCAGCAGGAGCCTGAGGTGGAAGTTGTCCACCTGGGATTTGAGCAGCAGCTTGTGGAGGAAGTTGTCCCATACCAGCATGTTGTTGCTGCCCTTGCATTTGTTGGATAGGTTGCTGTCCAAGTTGTTGAACTGGAACTTGTTGGTGCATTGGCATTGGCGCACCCATAAACTGTCCATATTGTCCCGGAGGTGGCAAGTACCCACCAGGAGGCATCATGTAACCACCAAATTGAGGATGAGGCATCATACCTGGGTATCCAAATGGAGGTGGTTGAAGTTGATGATGTTGTTGTTGAGCCTGATGGTCAATAGCAGTCAACTGAGCTTCAATTTCTTCTAATGACAAAACCTTCTTTTCCGGTTGAGCTTGCTGTTGTTGCTGGGCATGTTGTTGAGCTTGTTGTTGAACTTGTGGCTTTTCAGTACCCCAAAGTTCATGCATAAACTCGTCATCATTGGTTCCAGTGTTGGCAGCTTGGGCATAACTTACAGCCGGCTTGACAGCAGCAGATGGAGCATGAGCTACAGGTTCATTCCATGATTGTTGTTGTTGTTCATTACCAAAAGTTTGGTCATTGAAGGCGTCAGCTTCATCCAATCCATCATAAGTATCCTGAAAGTCGTAGGACTCAGCCACTTCGGGCCGTTGTTGCGGAGGCAACGAAGGATCAAAACCGAAGAATGACATTATCTAATACAATGAATTCTCAATATTAACAAAGGTAAACTTCGAACGATTATATTTAGAAAGATACTTCAACTATTGCTTCTTGAATGAACACATAATTAACGAAAAAAAAATTACTGAAACTATTCGTCGAACAGGAGACATCTGTGTACAGGCATATGGATATATACAGGCGGTGTTTAGATTAAAGGAATAGAGAGAGGGGGAGGGCAAGTAATTATAGTTGGAATTAGTACTGCTTTTTTTCTTATAAGTATAGTTAGGTAGTATTAGATGAATTGTGCAGCCTAAAGATGATAATTTGTAGAAAAAAGAAACATATTAATTGTAAAAATATAATTACTAACAAAAATAAGCAGGTGATAGGCATAAAAAGTTATTCTTTTTTTTTTTCGTTTTTTTTCTTGTGTTTTTTTTGGCTGCCAAATCTTTTTAGTATGTTATTGTTTATTGCGAGTGTTTACGTGATACACTATATTAATACTCCCACATTCTCTTGTATGATATTAAATACGAAATAAGTAAATATATTCTGTTTATGTCATTTGTGTGGGACTGTATTAAATATGTAACATTCTGCATGAGCCACGAACTCAACTCCCCGCTTGGTTATTTTGAATTTATTTTGTTATCAAATTCGTAGTTCCCCATAAATGAGACTTTCAAGACTTTCTCTGTGTTTGTCACATGACCAGATATAGATGGTTAGTATTTATTTTTATTTTTTGTACATACATAAGATCCACAATATATTATAATACTGCAAAAATATCCACCCTATCTAAGGAATGGCTAATGTGCAACTTCTATTGAGCGAAGATCTCTCGCCACACAAGTTGGCATTATTATTTCTTGTGGGGTTGTACTGTTCTGGAGTAATTGACTTTGAAGAGATCCGGAAAGTACTAGGAACTGTGATCAAGTTACTTGATAATGAACCATTGCGTAACAAAGACGGCCATTTGGTGGTAGTACCTCAACTACATGATCTTTTGGACTTGATAGATAGTCCAAAGACTTCTGCGAAGTTGGAGTCCGTTCTCTGGAAAGTGAATTCAGTGGAAAGCTTAGAATCCAGTGTTACAGCCATGCAAGCTTTTCTATGTCAACCAAACTTAGTAACCGCTAAACAATCACCACAAGAAATGACATGTGTACATCAATTACTCCCTAGTTCGTTCTTGGGACTCTTCGTTCAGAAAATCGTGACTACTTGTAGTCTACTTCATTTCGATGAAAGTTGCCTTCTTTACAATTCATTTGTGGAATATAGAGGTGATAAAGGTATTCATATAGAATCAGAACCATCAAAGGAAGATGTAGCATCGTCAGACTTGGAGCTCTTCCTGATCCTCTCTGATCAACTAACATTGGTCCAAGAACCGCCACTGAAAATCTTACCAGTTCCGAAACTTGATATGGAAATTCTCTTGGAACATCAAATATCTCTCTTGGAAACCCTGGGAACCCCCATGCCTGACTTACTTCGGGAAATTATGACCTTGATGACATCCCCTGCTTCAAATACATGTCTTATCCAAAATGCAGACTTCAATAATTTGCCCTCCTACAGTTATCTTCGATATCTAGAAGCACTTCGACTGTCTGATTATCACACTGCCTTCCAAGCCCTTCATCAATATTTTGATTATATGGTTTCCAATAATTCGAAATATTTTTATCATTTTGCCCTTATTTCTAGAGCTTCATTACATCAACATTTTGGCGAAGATGAAAAGGCATTGAATGCTATTGAAGAAGCTATTCTGGTTGCCAGAGAAAATAAAGATAATGCTACCCTTACATATATTCTTTCTTGGTTGTTCAACTTTATGAGAAACAAACCTGACCTTTGGTATACACAAACATTATATCATAATAACAATGAACTGCATTTATTGGACTTCTTGGTGACAAAATCCCAAACTGTTTCATTGCCTCTATATGCCATGAGTTATCATTTTGATACTTTACATGTCATGAATAATGGAGAACCATTAAGTCGAGTACTCCAACTGTTGTTGAGAGGAATGTATATATCTATCCATGATCACCTACCAAGTTCCTTCATCAAGAGCTCTGAATTGGGAGCCACCGTTTGGAGTAGAGCTGGTAATACTCATTTGGCAATGGTTTATAGTGCTATATCACAAGGAATTGAATCAAAATTGGCAGATGAAGTGGCCGTGAGGACAAGAAAGGCTCTTTTCTTATATCAACAAGGCGAAGTTGACAATGCATATCAATTACTTGAACAACTTCGTAAACAAACCATGTTTGATCGAGCCTTGTTCCAGCCAGTTCAAATTAGAGGATTGATTTTGTTGACCAAAATTAATCTTTATCGTGGGAGACATGTTCTTGCAGAGAGGATTATGCAAATATTATCCAATACGGAGATTCCTGAGATTGAACTTAAACTTGAATTGGTTTATCTTAATGCTGAAGTTCAAATGACATTACAGAATTATTCTGAAGCCCTTTTATATCTTAATGAGAATTTGATTCATCTTGAAAGAACTAAAACTCAAATGAATTTACATATGGTGACCCGTTTAAACTTTCTTAAGGCCAGGATTTTTATAGAATCAGGGGCTCCTTCTCGAGCATTCCTGTTGACAATCCATCAACTTCAAAAAAGTAAACAATTAGGCATGATGTCTTTAGTTGCTGAAGGTGCTATTCTTCTTGCTTCCATTTTGAATCGAATGGAAAGCTATAAAGATGCATATGACGTATTGGGTGCCACCATGGCTACCATTCATATGGTACAGAATCAAGAATTTACTGCTATGGCATATTATGAGTACGCATACACCTGTTTAATGACACTTGAACAAGATTCAAAGGCTGGTGGACGTGAGGTTGGCCGACGCTTACTTAACTTATTCCTTCGATTCCTTAATAACAGTATAGATGGGTTTAGAAAATCCTTAAATTTGGTGATGCTTCAAAAGAGTTTCCAACTTGAATTGAAAATGGCAAAATTGAAAAGTCTTGTTGAACTTGAAGAGCATGCCGAAGTCTCATTGGAAAAGTTACGTATTCGTTTAAGGGAAGAAGTAAATTATGGGTTTGTTCATGCTTGATAAAATGGAACCAATTTCGTACAGTTATAGCTAAATAGATCAAAATTTACATTAAAGTATATATCACTGGAGGATTAGACGACAAGACGTTTGAAATTGAAAACATCTTTGTATCTCTAAGCCGTCTTGGACTTCTCCTGAGCGTCCAAGGTGGCTAAAATCAAAGCAGCACCCTTCAATTGGATGACGTTGGCAAACTGTTTGAACAACCAAATTGGGGCACTCAACCAAACCATGATAGTTCCCAACCAGAAAAAGCCAAAGGAATGCAAGTATAAGGCCACGTAGAAAAGTTCATTTGCCAAACAGACAAAGAAAAGCACCGTACGGTTGGTATAGTAGAGAGCCAATATTTTGGACTGTTTCAGATCGACGTTCTTGTGAGAGGCCGATCCAGACGACATCATGGCGTACATGTGCATGTAGTGGGATGCCAAGTCTAGTGAGACCAACAATTGCCAAATAAAGCAGTATTGAGGATAGATCACACACAAGTAGCAGATCAACGAGGAGGTGGCACAACGATCTGTGACCATGTCCAAGACTGCACCGTACCGGGTACCCTGGTTATACTTTCTCGCAGCATACCCATCAAAGGCATCCAAGAATCCCGATATTCCGTACAACACCAATGTGTAGTAAGGATGGTTCTTCATACACCAGAAGGACATGATGGCGGTGAACACCCGAAAGTACCCGATGAGATTTGGAATGTAGAGCATGACATCTTGTACAGACACTGACGATGCAGTGGCATCGGGGGCGGGGATCGGAGTCGACGACTGCGTCATTGTCTGGCTAGTGTCAAGTACGATTAATGCAATGGGGGGCTCCAGATACTTTTTACCTCTGGATTACGCACAGTTAGTTCGAAAAAAAATCCGCAAAGGTGTGAGGGTGCCACGGGACCTGGATAGTAATAAGACAGTGTTCGCGTTTGTTGCACAAAAGAGAAAAATACTATGTTGTGGTACTAAGTATTAGATGAATTCCAGTGGACAATTCTACCAATAATATGGTGTTTAGGTCACTTCAACTGTAAAATTTATTTTCGTTTTTATTTGAAACTGAAATTCAGATATGGAACGGCAAGACTTAGAAACAAGGGGTTGTATGTTCTCTACAATTCTTTTTTTTTTTTTGTGTGCTTTTATTCTTTCATATAAGCACCCTCGGCGAATCAGTCGCCGAGATTACATTCATTTCTTTGCATTTTGTAAATGAAAAATTCGAGAAGATGGGAGCAATGGGTGTGTATTTCCTTCGGGTTGAGATTAATCATAAAAACCTGACAGGCTTCTCGCTTGTCAATTATAGACAAAAACCATATATTTTTCCCTTCCTTGTCTCATACAATCCCTACTCGATAGTTATACATTTCGTTACAAAACTCCATATTTATATTTATATATATATCCTTACCAATCCTCCAATATCTTTAAATTCCTTAAACTGATTTTCCTCTTTTCATTATTGACCTTCAATTTTTCAAAATATACTTTACAATTGAAATTCTCACATCTTTGCAGAAACTCTTCTATAGCACTTCCTAAGGGTCCACAACCTCGGTTCACGCATGTTTTACAAGCTGAATTCACTCGTATCTTGTCCCTTTCGTTTTCTTGTATGGTATATTTCAACTGTGAGACTGTTTGAATCTCATCTTGTAAACATTCCGAGCATAAATATTCTGATATTTTTAAATTTAATTTCTTCAGACATCTAATACATGAGTATGATCTAACGAATTTCCCTAGAGCAGCTTTGCTGCTATCTCTCATCCCATAAGCAATTTGAGGTAATTCCTTGTACCACGACTTCACATCAACTCCAATCAAATTGAACACTCGTTCAAGCGGAGGGATCAATACTCTGGTTATATAGTATGTATCATCTAATTTGTAAGTCTGATTGTCTTCTTGGAAAGATGCTACAAAGTCTTCTGGCAGTACACATCTATCTTTGATTCTTTGTTTATGAGAGTCTTGAATAACCAAATATGGTACCCTTTCTCTGTATTGTGGCTCACTCCTTGCATCATTGCTAACTTTCTGTTTGGCTAACACTGCTCCTGGTGGTAAATATTTTTCATTCTTATATGTACCATGTCGAACTTCTTTGGCAAAGCAAAAATCCATCACTGGTACCTTATTAATCATAACTTTATGAAATTGGTCCATAACATATTTCTTAATTAATGACAAGTTTTGAGTTTCAAATAACATTCTTAAACTCCTTTCCATGATGATTTGTTGAGCGGGAATTCCATCTCTTCGAATTGTCTCAATTCCCTTTGCATCAAACTTGGGTACTTTTTGACTTTCATATTCATAACTGTAACCAACATAACGTTTCTTACTCAATAATAAGCATGGATGATAAACTTTCTCAAATTTCAATTTAATTGGATTGGGGAACATGTTTGTAATTTTTTCAGCCATTTCTCGACCAATGGTAAATGCATCTTCTTTAGTTTTACCCGGTAAATATACAAACAATGAATCTGTATCACCATAAACAACTTTAGCACCCCATTCTGTGAAACTCTCGATAATATCAATTGATTGGGTTAATAATTCACGTCCGGTAGATACAATTGCATCTGAAATATCCGAATTCGGCATTCTCCCACTAAATGTTGCACTGGTGTATCCATAAGTAACATTGGCAATCAATTTCAAAGCTAATTGCCTTGAGTTATACAATTTCATCAATTCGGGATCTTCATTCCCAAACATTTTCATAACTGATTTGACATTTATCCTAATATCCAATATTTCTTCCAACATCTTGGCTAATACACTTTTCCTAACTTTAGAATTAACAAACATATAACCATTAGGTGACACATTTATATCTTCCTGTAATAAGTTGACAAGCCCAGGAGGTAATGGTAAATGCTTCAAATAGCCTACACCATTCCTTTTAGAAGGATCAAATCCTTTCAATTTCCCAATTAAAGTACTGTAACAATAGTTATAAGCTATCATCACCGATGGGTACAAAGATTGAAAATCTAAAACAATAAGAGGAGATTTGTAGAAATTTGACTCTGGTTCCATCACTAAGGGAATACATTCAAGAGATCTCATGTCATGAACTTGTTGCTTTGAAGGGGAATTTAATAGGAAATTTTCCTTCTTGGCAAGTCGACATAAGATGGATTCAACTTTATACTGAGACCCTCTATAAAAGTTTGAATAGAAGTCAACACCGATTAATCTAGATTGTTCTGCATTTCGAGGAATAGTTTCTTGTACTTGTAGTAGCTTCAGAGATATATCCAACCGATTATTGAAGTAATTTATCACCAGATACATCAACGGTTGATTATCACTATGGAACCATGAAGATAGTTGTAATTGAGAATATCTTGGAACAGTTTGGTGTAATAAGTGGTACGCTACATTCTCAATTGAATAATTTGTTAAACTTAATTCAGACCGTAAAGTTCTCCAAATGTTTAGCATATGACGACCCAGAATTTTAATGTTGGATGTATGGGTATACCCCCACCGGTCCCCGACTTTCCCATTACTTTTATATGTACATCTACTGAGCTCGAAGCATAGGTTGATGTCATACTCATACCTAAACCGTTCTATAATGTAACCCCAAGATGCTGCGTTAATTTCATACCCACAGAGAATATCTGGGTCAAAGTACCTAACTAACCCTTGAAGCTTGATGATCATTTCCTTCTCACAGTAAAACACTTCAACATTAGGAAATTTTTCCATTGTTAAAGATAAATGATCAACACTAGGCTCCAAGTATACTAAGGTGCCCCTTTTCTTTTCCTTAATCTCACTGGAATCATACATTCTATTGGGGTCATCAAAATGGTAGAATATCATATTTATGGCATCCTTTTTCGGGTCAGGTAAACTCGTAGATCTAGTATAAGTCTGAATCTCAAGGTTAAAACTGGTTAAGAAGTTATATCCATCTGGTTTTCTAGTAGTTTTCTGTGATTGATATGAAAATTTAAAATCATTAGAAGCAGTGTATCTTTCCAATTGTGATTTTTGTTCAGATTTTTGTTTCCGTTTAGGTTCTGCCTTGATCCATTGCAAAATTGATTGCTTCAGTGGAGGTTGCCGACGATATATCCATGAAGATTCTCTTTCATTTACTATCTTTGATTTGAACAAAGTCCGTCTGACCGCTGTATTATTTATTGTTTCCTTCACTGATTTAGAAATGCTTTGATTATCAATAATTACTTGAGGGGCTGATTCGTTCGTTATGCATGGTACAGAAATCTTTTTATTGGCAAATATGAATGCTTTAGTTGGAAGATCCTTCTCGTTGTCATAATGTGGATCTTGATATTCGACCTTAAGTACTCCATTCATTTCAAATGATTTCATGATGTTTTGTTTCCTAATTTCAGTCGGTGGTATAGAGATAAACGTATTGGAAGAAAGTGGTTCAAGGGTAGTGTTAGGGGTCGATGCTTCACATTCAGATAAATTTTCAAATGCATCTGAATGGGTCCTCTTTGGTCTTTGAGTTATTTCCATTAAAAAGTCCTGATCCATTTGACTTACGGTGAATTCATGATCTGGTTCATCGGATAATGAAGCGTCCCCCTCGATGATGGGTGAACTTTGGGTTTCGACTTCTCCAGCTTCTTCTGAATCAGAAAATATTATGCTTTCAAATTCATTGTCAACTCTTTGTATACTTTTCAGGTTGTCACTGACTTTGTTCTCGGCTTTTCCTTCTTCCTCGTCTTCTTGAAGTTCTTCTACTCCAATATCATTTACTCCTTCAACAACTTTCTCCAGTTTTTCAACGACATTATCTAATTCATCTTTGGTAGATTCTTCATTCCTCACCATATCATTTTCATCCCATTCTATTTCTTTGAATTCTTCCCATTTCTCTAGATCTCGCTCAATCAGGTATATACCTCCACTGCTCATCATCCCTTTCTCGATATCAATTGACTCAAATGTTGTAGGATACTTGATATCATTTTCAAAATATTTTACATTATAATCTTCAGCAGTCTCCAAGTGCTTTTTAGAACCCGTTGTTCCTCTAGTAGTCACGTACTCGAGTAATTCATCCAATTCTTGTTGATTACTCCACTTTGTGCTTAATCCTACGTCAGTTTTGATCTGGGATCCCAAGGATAAATTTGAGCCTCTGATTTTACATTGATATGCCAAATCCTTGAATAAATGATCTAAAGATGAAAGATTTTTCACTTGAGAACTAATTTCAGGACTTTCTAGTACGTTTAATTTGTCATGTAGATGTTGCTGAGACAATAAATCTCTGTTTAAAATAGAATCCGTGATAATATCTGCTTCTAAAATTGAGTTACCAATTCTAGGATATTTCAAAGTAGATAAAACGTTCTTTTTATGAACTCTAGTACTCAAATATTCACGTAATGGATCCAAATCCATCAGTTTATATGTTTTGTTCAATATGGGAGTTCTCCAATAACAATTCGAGATGTTCATCCAACTACATCCAAATAGATTGAAATCAACCAAAAATTGTAAAAGATATGGGATATGAGACTCATAAACGTTTCTCTTTTGTTTCCGAGGCCCAAATGGTATTATACCCTCGTCTATCAAGCGGAATAAGGTAGTCTTGTACAGTGGAGAGAGTAAGGAGATCTTGTATACTGGCTTGTATCCTACATGGAATCCATAGATTGGAGTACCTTTACAAATCGATACATTGGCAATATATTTTCTTCTTCCACATGTGTCGTCATCATCTCCATCTCCATCTCCATCTTCACTCTCACTCTCAAAATGATCGTCATCATCATCAACTTTTTTTCTACGCTTTCTTTTCCCCACATTATTCCGAAGGCAAGACTCCAATTGTTGGATCAACTTGATCACATCGGGTTTCTCTTCAATACAATCTACATATAAATACGGATAATAGTTATGTACATGTAACAAAATGTTATGAGAATGAGTGCTGGTTTGATCTACCAGCAGCAGTGATGTAGCATGAGTATCTGAATTTGACTCTATGGGAATTGATATTGAACCATAGACTCGAATTATCGGAACTCTGCTAACTTGTGAGCTTAGTTGATCAAGGCTCAGCAGTGTTTCTTGGTACGAGTCATAATCCGAAATTTGAACTTTCAACCCATGTTTCATTGGCTCAGTGTCTGCATAAAGAAAAAAATTGTACGTTAATCAATTCGTTTTAATTTGTATATTCGCCGAAAGTATGCGTTGGGTTTGCACATAGATACGCCAGTTTTCCCATTGCATAGAAAAAAAAAAATTGGCGGAATTAAAAAGAAACTTTCATCTTGGAGGCAACATTTCACAGTGGCCCAATGCTTCAGTGCCTGGACAAAGGTGATGGGTGCTGCATTGTTATTGTTTTTTTATTCTATTCAATATCACACACCTACATGATAGTTCAATCTACCTTTATATATGTCTTCACTACTCTATCTATCTTGGAATCGCTCTAACAAGGCCCACGAGGATTGAAGGAAAAAAAATAAACTTGGTAGTGACCTCACTGATACATGAATACGAGAGATATCAACGAGTTACACGGCAGTAATACTAATGCAAAAGTGAAAAAAACAAGTAATTTTTTTTTTTTTTTTTTTGAAAAACATCTACGTAAATTTCGATTGGGGATCTCGAAATGCAAATCTATATGAAGTTGGGCCAACTGGCTGGTAGTTTGAATCAGTTTCTAAAAATATATTCGAAAGGAGTTGAGAAAAACTAAAAAAAAAAAGCGCACTATTTTTACTAAGCATTTTGACTGATATAAAAAGTCAAACAAACCTAAAACAAACTTCTACAGGATACCCCTTCAAACTTTGTAATTCTTAGCTTCTGAAATTCGTCTAAATTGTAGATCTTTCTAAGAGGTATCCATTCAACGATGTATAGCCCACAACTGACCAGATCTAAGCCTTTTTATTTTATACACGCGATACATTCCCCATGACATGGCTCGTGCGTGCACCATGCGTGCACATTGACACTGTGCTTGCTATTCGCGCCAACATGTGCACGACCCTTTCCCACATATCTTTGTGCAACTTGCTCCAATCTAGGGACTTGGTTCGATTCTCAGATTCTCGACATATAATATAGTCTTTGATCACTTACATTCCTTTGTATTTATATACATTACGCAAGTAGTTTCGTCTTGGTAAGTGTCTACGTTGTCGGTATTCACATTTCTGACTTTAATCCATTTATATTACTGTAGTGAGCCCGTACAAGAATAATTTTTTGAGGGGTTCTCTTTAGTTTTCCCCTGATTGTGTCTGTTTAATTCGTTGATCTCATACCATCTCGTTCTTTACTAACATACCTTTCAGCCGTATAGTAAAACATACTGACTTCCACTGCCCAGTCAGTGTAATCAATTGAAATTCATTTTGCTGTTACATTTTTGTCGATACATTTATACTATATCCGAGTACTATTCTTAACACCGAATTTGTCGTATCAATCATGAACCACAGTGAAGCCACGGATCAAAAGATCCGTGAATCTCCAGTGGCCTCACCATCGATGCCTCCGGTGGCGACCCAACTTAGCAGTGATATCCAGGCGAGGATATTGGCATTTCAACAAAAGAGAACCCAATCGAAACCTCAAATGGCACCCGAAGAACAAAGACCACTGGGAGAAAATTCATCCACCTCCAAGCCATTACCACCACTTCCACCTTCATATCTTTTGCCTTCTTCGATGGATGAAATATCCCGTAAACCCAGTTTGAGTAGAAATAGTAAATCTTTGAATTACACCAATCAAGCAGACCCTAACGCTGTTCCGAATTTAAGAGATGATAGTGATAGAGAGCAACTGAATCTGCTGATTGATGAGAAATTTCAAAACTTACACTTGAATTCCTGTCAATCGGACAAGGAATTGCATCAACAATTGGAACCACAATTGCAACATACACCTCCTCAACAATATACATCACAATATTCTCCTCCTAAGCAACAGCATCAGCAACTGCAGCAACAACTGCATCAACAACTGCAACTGCATCTGCAACAACAACTGCAACAACAACTGCAACAACAACTGCAACAACTGGAACTGCAACAACATCATCAACATACATTAAACAAATTAAATCAAAATAGTCAACCACCTCTTAGATTGAACTTAAACTTGAATCAATCAGGCTTTGAAAATACAAGACAACTGCCATCTCAAGTTAAATCAAGATTACCCGAGTCAGGACTTACTAAGAAGCCGTCACTTTCGCAACGTAGAGGATTGAAGTTAGATATTTCTGGTATGCAAGATCAAGTTTCCCCAGCTTCTCCACCAGTCCCCACTGAACAGCCAGCTTTGAAAACAACTGGAGAAATTTCTCGTAGACTTTCAGAACGTAGGAAACCTAATTTTAAATTGGGACTTTCTGATGGTCAACTGGATAAATCTAGTCAATCAACCTCAAATCTGTCTAACCTGAATAATGGGACCCCTCCAAAGAAACAATTGCAAGGTCTCTTTGCCAACTATTCAAAATATGTAGACATCAAATCTGGATCACTTAATTTTTCCGGGAAGGCATCACTTCATTCCAAAGGGGTTGATTTCCTGTCTGGATCATCATTTAGAATTTCATTAGATGAATTGGAATTCATTGAAGAATTGGGTCGTGGTAATTACGGAACTGTTCTGAAAGTGTTACATAAACCAACTGGAGTCTTGATGGCTATGAAAGAAGTTCGTTTAGAACTTGATGAAACAAAATTCACTCAAATTTTAATGGAATTGGAAATTTTACACAAATGTGATTCTCCATTCATTGTAGATTTCTATGGAGCCTTCTTTGTTGAAGGGGCTGTGTATATGTGCATGGAATATATGGATGGAGGTTCCTTAGATAAAATTTGTGTTGGAGAAGGAGTCAAATCTGAGGCTGCATTGGCATATATCACCGAAAGTGTCATTCGAGGCTTAAAGGAATTGAAAGATGAACATAATATTATTCATAGAGATGTTAAACCAACAAACATTTTAGTTAATACTTTAGGGAAAGTAAAACTTTGTGATTTTGGGGTAAGTGGGAATTTGGTAGCTTCATTAGCAAGAACAAATATTGGATGTCAATCATACATGGCACCTGAAAGAATAAGATCGTTGCTGCCGGATGATGCAACATATTCTGTTCAATCAGATATTTGGTCATTGGGGTTGACCATCTTAGAAATAGCAGCAGGTCAATATCCTTATCCTGCAGAAACTTATGATAATATCTTTCTGCAATTAAGTGCCATAGTTGATGGAGAACCTCCTAAATTGGATTCTAAAACATTTCTGAAAGATGCTCAAATGTTTGTTAAATTATGTTTGAATAAGAATCCAGACTTAAGACCAAGTTATGCTACTTTACTTAATAATCCATGGCTTGTAACATACCGAGAAGTTAATCCTCAAATGGATGTGATTGTCACCCAAAGAGTTAAGGAATTAGATGAGGAAAGATCTAAAAAGGTTAATTCAGGACTGGTTAGTAGATCCAATTCAGTGAGTAGATCTGCAGCTAATGCGGGACCAATTCCTCAAGGTCCAGGTATGAAGCCTCCAACTCATGAAAATGTTAGATCATTACTCAAAAATAAAGTCAGGGCATCCCCTGCACTTCACCGTGGAGGACTTCCCAACTCCGAAAGAGGTAGGTGAGAAATCATTCATTAACATCATCAACCCAAAGTGTATTATAGAATTTGATATAGAGAGAAAGAAATGTATGAGGTTGAAATATATACTATACAAGAAAATCAGAAATATAACCGTAGGAAAAATATGTGAGCTGACTATATTTAGCAACGTAAAGGATCTGTGGAAAGCATATTGCCACTCTTGGGTTCCCCCTTTTTTTAGGGCTATGTTGCAAAAAGAAGCGTGAGACCTAAGTTCCGTTACTACCGTCCACGACCAGTGTACAGGTCAGACCATATTTTTTAAAGGCGAATACATATTTCTTTAAGTGTGCATGTTTGCTACACTCCTCGTGTAGGTACTCCTCTTTATCTGTCAAATCTACTCTCTTCTATCACATTCTTCTAGGGTAAGTATTGGCTGCGAAAATTTTTATAATTAGAATCTTTGAGGCTAAAACGCTGTTTATTGATATTTTTTTAAAAAAAATCAACCGCTGGAAAATTTGACCTAAATATATTTATCTTCTCTAATATACTTTCCCTTTCACCTCTCTTACCTTATCAATTTGTCACATATAATTAAATTCGAGAGGAATAGCATAACCTGTATCTTTTCGCTTTATGATTTTTCTCTCCATGTATTACATAATCCGCTCAGCCTGTATACAGCAGAAACATGATAATGAACTAAAAGGGTGAGAATCACACAAAAATTGAGAGGGTGGTCGAACGAAACAAGCCGATTTAAACATCCAACCAATTATCAATTGTTAGATTAAAAGGCATCAATCATGTTACAAATTGAACAGAATAATCTCTTGATTCAAGAGACGTTGAAAGGACGTATTTTTGCGGCCGATGGAGCAGAACCAGGAGTGTACAAGTCTCTTGACCGTATTATTACCGACTTTGACTTCACCACGTATCATATTTCTACCGTAGGAGAAGACAAACATCTTCTTTTGATATCGGTATACTTGAAGTGTTGGGAAGACTTGGTTAGATATGGAGTTGTGGAATATTTAGGGCTCAAATATTCTTCTTATGGTGATGTGTTGGCGGCAACTGGACCAGATTCAGTGGAGAGTAATTATAATTATTCATTTGTTTTGGATTTAGAAGCTCTTTCAACCAAACCAGAGGAATATAAACTGGAAGTAGTTGATGCTCTTTCATTTTTGAAGCGTCATTGTATGGCATCAGCATTTGAACAAGCCTTTGCTCGTTATGATGAATTGGCTTCTCAATACGCCAACCAAAACACCTATGCGGAAGAAATCCAACAAGAATTGAGTAACGAACCAGTCCTTGTGATCAACTATCGTGGAAGTGATGAAAGCATTTATATCAAGCCATCATTTGATCGTGTCACAGTCATTTTCCTGACAATTTTCCAAGATGAAACTGACAAGATTTTCGGTAAGGTTTTCCTTCAAGAATTCGTTGATGCAAGAAAAAGATCGGTTCAAACGGCTCCACAAGTGTTGTACTCTCATAGAGAACCACCTTTGGATATCCAAAGCGTTGTCCCACGTGGACCCGGCGGTGCCGGCGCCGGTGGGGCAGCTATCGATAGCGACAATAAGGGTTATGTAACATTTGTTCTTTTCCCTCGTCATTTGGTTAAGGGAGACAGAAGAGACAATTGTATCACCCATATCCAATTCTTCCGTAACTACTTCCATTACCATATCAAGTGTTCCAAGGCCTACATGCACTCTAGAATGCGGTTCCGTGTGAAGGAATTCTTAAAGATTTTGAACCGTGCCAAGCCTGAAAATGTTGATGAAGATGGTAAGTTGGTGGAAAACAGAAAGACTGCCAGTGGAAGAAGATTTGAAGTTGGTGGTAGATAAACAAGAGATGAATGGTAAAAATGGCGAGGTGAAGAGAATGTAGAATGATAGATAGATGTCATGAATACGAAGAAAATTAAGAACAATTGAATGAGTTATGATGTAGATTTTAAAGAGAGTAAAGAAATATATCTAGAAAGATCAGAAGTGAAGGAAGTAGAGAACTGGTCTTCATGTTGAATGCATCTGTAGTCCATTTCTTCCTCTTGATAAAGTGTGTTTCTCTCTAGAGCAAGTCCAATTCCTATGTGAGATCGCCTAACCTTTATACTCTCCCCTTGTTAAGTATATTTCATTCAAAATACATCTCATATCCATTATCCCCTTCTACGAACATTCAACTTATATGTTTCTATCTTACCTGTTCATTATATATACAAGAACAAGGGGGAACGACCCCTTCTCCCTATTAACTCATCTATGTAAAGTCATATGTCTACGATTGTGGCTTCTTAACCCCGTACTTGGATCTAGAAGTGGTTCTGTTGGCAACACCAGCCAAGTCATGTGCACCTCTAACCAACTTGTACTTAACACCCGGTAAATCTTGAACACGGCCACCTCTGACCAACACAACATGATGCTCTTGTAAGTTGTGACCTTCCCCTGGAATCAAACAAGAAACAACCTTCCCGTTACTTAACCGAACACGACAACATTTTCTTTGAGCCGAGTTAGGCTTCTTTGGCTTGACAATCATCACACGTAACACAACACCCTTCTTGAACGGGTTGTTATCCAAATCTGGAGCCTTGGAGATCACTCTCTTTTCTGGCTCTCCTTGCTTACCATATCTGATTTGATTCAAGGTGGCATATCTCTTTTGGAAAGATCCAAAGATTCCCATTGTGTTCAATTGAGGAGTGACACTACGGATAGTCTTGAGATATGCGGTGGCCGGGGTGGCGGCCTTTATGGATGCTCTGGCCATTCCTGACCCTCTGACGGAGCTCAAGATCGAACGGAACATTTCTTTAATGTATTAATATCAATGTAATATCGTCAACTTCTACGGTCGATATAAGTCTAAAAATTTAAAAAAAAAAAGAAAACGTTAATCCATAATTGAGTATGGAACGACTAAAGAAAAAATAATTGATATACTGACAAATTCACAAGTGTCAATAATCTAATGGACTCATCGACATCATTACAGTAAATATTAAACTATCTCTAATTCAATTTCTTGAATGAAATATAATACATATATGTACCTCTTCATATCTATATAACTTCATCCGGTGTTGTTTTTTATTGGGACATTTTCCATTGACTATATGTTCACTTGTCTTTATATTCTAAATACTATCTTTGTGTAACTTTCTCATCCTATTAGATTGATTATTTTACCAAACATCAAACTGCTTTCTGCTACACTCTCTCTCTTTAACATATCCATATAATTCATCACATACATATTTAAAATGTTCAGATCAACTGTTCTTAGAAGCTTGAGAACTCCTCTTGCTGCTGTTGCTAGACCAATCGTTGCCAGAGCCCCAGTTGCCTTCACCCATGTGCAGTTCTACTCTGGTTTTGCTCCATTGACCAGAGACCTTGCTAAGGAAAGAATTTTGGAATTGCTCGAAGGTTACGACAAGGTCAAGAACCCAGAATCTATTACTGAAGAATCTCTGTTCTCTCAAGACTTGGGTTTGGACTCTTTGGACGTTGTGGAAGTTGTTATGGAAGTTGAACATGAATTCAACATCCAAATTCCAGACCATGAAGCCGATACTTTAAAGACCGTTGGACAAACCATTGACTACATTGTTTCCCAGCCAGATGCTTGTTAGATTTACATAAGGAACGAATAGAATGAACTCACATTGTTTTGTTGTAGAAGTCACAAGCGGAAGACCTGTGCGCAGCACGTTAAAAACTTTTATCCGTAGTTACAAGAGACTCAGCAAATTAGTCTTTTGAGTCTATTCATAGTGAGTAACTTGTAGTAATATAAAATGTACAATCCACTCTTAAACATGGCTACATCTCTATTTAGAGCCTCCCCATAAATTTATCAATTCCCATTTTGAAAAGAATCCAAAATAAATAAATATAAAATTAAAAAACCTGTCATTTCTATTATTAAGGGTAATAATCTTCTTTTCTATCTACTTGTAATTTGCTTCTTTTCCTCAATTGTTTTTTTTTTGCCATTAACTTCATTTCCCAACTTCTAATGTTTCATTTCTTTGTTCCCCAACTTCTTGTGTTTCACTTTCTTTGCGACTGCAAAAAATAATAACGGATCGCAGTGGGGCGAGAATACATTTACATCCTCCTATAGCCTTAACTAACCATATACCAAACGATTTGTGCCTACATCTGTATATCTCAAGGCACGGTATATAGGGACCAATGACGAGTAATAAGCCATTATTTTCTAATCGTCATGAAAACTACCCGCTTACATCCTCGCTATCTATGCCAAGTAGTAAAGATCGCGCCGTTTAGACTGCGAAATTTTCTATGGTATCCAAAAAATGACATAGAAGAAATAACTTCCACATAATTTGACCTCGTCCCTAAGAGTGCCATATAAAGACTAGCTGTGGAAGTTGTGCAACTATGATTCTTCTCATTGATTCCTACGACTCATTCTCGAATAATTTGGCTCAACTCATAGTCGATACCACAGGGAAGAAGGTTGTAACTATCCATAATGATACCTTCTCAGAGGGTGAATATGAGAACTTCTTTGAGCTGTATCTCCCATTATTTGACTATATAGTCATTGGACCCGGTCCAGGACACCCTTCAAACCCTAAAGATATTGGAATTGTGGGTTGGTTATTGCAAAAATATCGTCTGCAAGAACTGGACCTTGACTCTGCCACAGTTGCTAAGACTGTGGTACCAATTTTGGGCATTTGTCTTGGTCTTCAAAGTCTCTGTTTTGAGTTTGGTAACGAAGTGAGACGTCTTGAATGTGTGAAGCATGGCCAGGTATACGATGTAGTTCCCGTGAAGGACTCCAATTGTGGACTGCTCCCATTGTTTAAAGATGACTGTCCTGCTTTTCCATCGGTGAGATACCATTCCTTGTACGTAGATATTGATACATTGACTGAAAATATGGTTCCCTTGGCTTTCTGTGAAGAACGGGAAAATGGTACTAGAGTGCTCATGGCAGCTAGACATGTTTCCTTCCCGTTCTATGGAGTGCAATACCATCCAGAATCAATTTGTTCTCAAGGCGGTGATGAATTGGTAGCCAGTTTCGATGCAATTGCCGCTGCTTATAATGAGAAAAATGGTAGAAAGCAGCAATCCGATAGCTCTGCTGACTTGACTGCTTCTGGCAAGGGGCTTCTTACAAACTTGTTTGATAAGTATGCTGTACGTGAACATGGACTTATGCCTTCAGGTAAACTTATTGCTACCAAAAGACTGTCCACAAACATATATATTGAGAAACTAAAGTTGTCCTCTTCCAGTCCAATTGGTGTATGTGATTATTTTTATAATGAGTCCAAGAATGGATTTATTTTGCTTAATTCCGCCTCCGTCCCAGGTGAATGGTCGATCATTGGATTGCCAACCAGTGGGAAATCTGAGGTTATTACTCATTCGGTAGATGAGCCTCAAACTGTGCATATCCTGAAGTATGGCACATCTTCAGAATCTACTCAACTTACCCTTGACAACTCTATCTGGTCATTTGTTGGTCAGAAGTTCGAGGATGCATACATTCCTCGTAAAGATTTTTCTCTCTCTCAACATCATATCAGAGACTTACCTTTCCTTGGAGGTTACTTAGGTATCATCTCGTATGAAGAGGGTCAACATGTTGTATTTGATAAGTTGGATTCTCTCTGCCATTCAGCCACTCCTGACTTGAAATTGGTTTATATTGAAAGATTCATTATTTTAGACCATGTGACCAACGATTGGTTCATCGTATCGATAAACCAAGATGAAACTGACCAGCAGTGGTGCTCCGACTTGTCTGCAGAACTTATTCAAGCAGACAATGTTGGCAAATTGGTAGTTGATAAGTCTACTGTAGCATGCTCGGTTAAAGATCTCTCCTCCGAATCAATCACTTTTGAACTTCCTTCCAAGGAGACTTACACATCCCAATTTAACCTTTGTCAAGAGTATCTTCATTCTGGGGACTCTTATGAACTTTGTCTCACTACTCAACTGAAAATTTCATTACCAACTAACATTCAGCCATGGGATATATACAAAGTGTTGACCATTCAGAAGAACCCTTCCCCATTCTCATGTTTCATGGAGTTTGATGACATGATTCTCATTTCATCTTCTCCAGAAAGGTTTCTACTGTGGAAGGACCAAGAAGATAAGAAGATGGTGGAGTTGAGACCTATCAAGGGGACGGTAAAGAAATCTCCTGAAATGACATATGAAGCAGCCACTAAGATTTTGAAAACTCCAAAGGAAATGGGTGAGAACTTGATGATTGTCGACTTGATCAGACATGACTTGCATCAGTTTATTTCCAAGGTTACTGTTGACCAACTCATGGCTGTTGAGGAATATGAAACCGTGTACCAGCTTGTAAGTGTAATTAGAGGGGAACTCGTAAAGGATGACATTGAAAGACCATTCAATGGTTTGGATATCTTACATGATTCTCTTCCACCTGGATCGATGACTGGAGCTCCAAAAAAGAGATCTGTCCAATTGCTTCAAGACATTGAAGCAATGCAAAAAGACTCAGGAAATGCTGGTGGCCGAAGAGGCATATACAGTGGAGTTGTAGGATATTGGTCTGTCACTGATGATTCCGATTGGTCGGTTATCATTAGATCTACTTACCATTACCGCGATGATAAAGAGAATGACGAAAAGCGTAACCTCTGGAGAATTGGAGCTGGAGGTGCCATCACTGTATTAAGTGATTTAGAAGGTGAATGGGAAGAAATGCACGTTAAACTTACCAGTGCTTTGCAGGCATTTAAGTAGTCGCATTAACAACTATACGAGTTCAATGGTCATCTACTTCTCCTCTAGGAGCATGCCTTCTCGTGTATTGATTTTTACATCAAAAGATATTCCCGTTCACGTCATTGGCTTTGTTAGATGCGTAAGAACTAACGTATTTTGTTAGAATGGCTGACATTTCTAAATTTAGGAATGCTTTCCATTCGTAAGAATATTGCCTTTCTCTCTAAAAAGAGAAGAATCCTACAGGATTTACAGGCATAATTGTATAGATAGAACTTGTAAATATGTGGTTATTTATTTAATTATACACAATTAATCTGAATCAACATCATCACCATCGACGTCAATGCTAGGCATTTCAAAGTCAGAGTTGTCATCCTCTTCTGGGGCAGCGACTGAGGTGACAACAGTAGCTTCAAAAGTTGAAACGACAGGCTCGGTTGAAACTGGTTCAAGAGAAATTGGTGCCAGTTCGGTGACAGTAGTAGCAAAAACAATCTTGGAATCTTCTGTGGAGGAAAGATCAATAGATGCAGCAGGGTCGACTCTCTGTCTCTTTGGTGATTCTTCTTCTTCTTCTTCGGAAGTACGTTTGGATGTTGTAAATTCCAGTGTTTGTTCAGGTGCGACAACGTCTTCTTCTTCTTCTTCATCATCTTCTTCTTCTTCATCGATGGCAGCAACATTCTTGACGAATCTAGCTAATGGAGGGAAACGAGGGTTGTTGAAGACACTAAGAATTGGATCATCACCGAGTAATGAGGTGACAATTGGAAGAAGAGAAACTGATTCTGTGCCTGGGTATAACACAGCGTCAATCAAGAGCTGTTTGAGGTCAACTGGGATGGAACCTTCAAGGCTGAGTTTCTTCGCACGGGTAGCCTCCACGATAATATAACGAACAATCTTATAATGTTGAGTAGGTGGAACATTAGCCTTCTTGAGAATGGAGTTGATGAATCTACGAACAATTTGAGAAGTTTCCACAGAGACAGTCAGCTTGAACAAGTGTTGGTGAGAGAGTAAATCAGATAACGGAGCAGATCCATTATTCTTCTTCTTGTTGTTCTTCTTCTTTGTTGAAACACCACCAGTTGCAACATTGGTGGTACCATTAGTGGTGGAAGATTGAGTCGATCTTGGTTCAACAAGTTTCAATGCAACGTCGATAAATCTCAAGAGTTGTGTGGCATCACTCAAACTCAGGGTAAGTTCAAGCCACTGGGTTACACATTCCAAAATTTGGCGCATAAATGGCTCATTATTCCAAACGGCATCGGTGTCAATTTTCTTGTTAGCAAATGGGAGAAGAACTTCCATTAAAGACAAGACATTGGATAAATGAGGGAGTAAAGATCCAGAGTATGTGTTTGGGAGTCTTGCCAAAAGCTTAGTGGCACTCAATTGGTTGAGTTGAAGGGTCAATTGGATCATTCTCTTGAGTTCAGGATCATGAACATCGTTCTTGAAAGAAATAAATCTTGTGTTGATAGAACTGATAATATCAACAAGGGTAACCACCATCCCGATTGGTACACGGACTGCAAATGCAGTGTCTGTGTTCAAGAAGGTAGCCAATAAAGACACCAAAATATCTACTCTGTCGCAGATATTGAATAAAGTCTTTGGTACATTGACATCGATGCTGAGAGAATCAGCAAAGATTTGAGCAGATGGGTCCAAAGAATGAGTAGGGATCTTACCCAACATCAGAATCAATTCTTCGTCATCATTCAAGTTGAGAAACTCTCTATATATCAACATAACCTGGGTTGTTTCCAGAATAAGGGCAGTGACATCTTGTTGCCATTTGAGTTCCGGTTCAGTCTTTTCAATTGCTGGTAAAGTGGCCAAGGAACGGTAAATCTTCTCTTTCAAGTCACGAGGGAATGCATCAAACTCAGGGGAAACGATGAATGTAATTAACTTGGCTCTAAGCTTATTTCCAAATGGACGGAAAGTGGTAGGGTGGTTCTTGATCAACAGAGTCAACAGGTCTACGAACAAAGCTGGCACAAGAGAAATTTTTTCCATAAACAAAGTGATTATGGCAGGTAATTTTGGGGTGAGGATTTCTCTGGTTAAAGTGGGCTTACCTCTAATTTGTTGGCAAACTCTGTTCAAACATTCAACGGCAGAGGTCAACAACAGCAGCAGAGTGTTTGATTGTTCGATGATCTTGAGTAACTGAGCAATGAAATGAACACCATCTTCGGCAAGAACAGTGTAGTCACCACTCAATACAAAGATCAAGTTAACCCCACACCATTTACTATAAGGAGCAACAGCACGAGTAAGGTTCAATGATCTTGAGACAAGATGTCTACGATCTTGTTTGGAGATGGTTGCGAGGATGGCCTTGTTATGGTGCAACGACGAAAGGATCGGCACGATAGATGAGGTTGGTGCGCTCTCTAATTCCTTGAGAATCACAGAAAGTGGTAACGACATGGCTAAATATTCCAAAGTTTTGTGGATTATTCAAAGACACTAGCTGATGGTTTGTGGTTGCAATTTTTATAAATTTTTGAGATGCGCTCTAAAAATTAAAACAGTAAAAAAAAAATAGAGTGAGAAGTATGAACTGTATAGAATATAGTGAATACCTGGGGAACGTAAAACACACATTTACATAACGATTATAAAATACTTTTATGAGTTTCTATACAACTAAATAATTAATAGTCAATGGCATAGTCTTACAAGATGTCATCCAATAACCCCTTGAAGCCAAAAGGTTCGTAGGCAATACCTTCACCAACGAAAAACTTGGACATGGATTCAACCCAATGCAATCTCAAAGAATGCAACATGGCAGAAGTACCTTCCATAAGAACCAAAATAATGACGGTCAAGATAAACCACATGCCGAAAAGGAAGAAAACCAGGAAGACACCAACGAGTCCAGTGGCACCAAAGGCATTACCAATGGTCATGGTCCACAAAACGGTGGATAATTGGGCATGGGCCAATGACAACGCCCACAATCTCAAGTATGAAGCAGTGTGGGAAACACAGTTCAAACAGAATTCAATGGTGTGAATGACTTGATGGATCATAATGTCACCAAAGTTGTGACCTTCATGTTCTTCATCATCATCATCATGACCATGTTCTGTGGCAGCTTCACCGCCATCCAATTGTTGATATTCAGCTTCAGCAGCTTCTCTGTCTAATTGTTTCTTCAAGTAAAGTGGTTTCAAAAGTAATAACCATGGAACACAAGCCAAGGCAATGAGGACCAAAACCACTTGAATCTTAGCTTGACCATCGTATAAAGGTTCAGCTACAGTACCTGGTGCTAAGAACATGGAAATCAACATGTTCAACAAACCTGGTGGCAGCTTGTCAACGGCAACCCAATCAACAGACCATTTGTAAACAATACAAAGGGAAAGGTAACCAAAGATACCTTGCATAAACAATAAACCAGGAATAAAGTTACCGACAACATCGATAAAACTGTTGAAATGGAGATAATTGACAAGAGAGAATGCAAAGGAATAACTCATATGTAAGTAACCCATAAGAATGGATAACTTCATTTTGTATGAGTTAGTGAAAAGTAAAGCATTCTCAGTTCCATGCCAAGCAGAATCTAAACCAATGGCATAAGTACCGATTTGCTTAGCAAAAACAGTTTCACCTGGTTGGAAGTTCTCAGGCCATTCCCATCCAGAGGGGAAAAGTGTCATTGATTTCGAAAACAAATCATTGTACAAAAACCCAGTGTAGATGGAAAAGAGACCCATAAGTAACAAGATGTATCTACCACTGAAAGCCATGTCAAAGATTTCATCTCTCTTCATAGCACCAATCTTCTTTTCATGGTAGACTAAAGTACCAGCAGCAAGAGATAAAATAACCCCATGACCTAAATCACCAAACATAATGGCAAACATAAATGGGAAAGTGATAATGGTTGGTAAACCAGGATTGACTTCTCTATAAGCAGCAACACCGTAGGCGTCACAAAGAGCTTGGAAGGCGGCAGTGAACTTGTTTGTTCTATGGAAAGTTGGTGGAGTTCTCGTGGTTTGCAACACATTAATAATGGTTGGAATGTGTTGAGAAGTTTTCTTAACTGTAGAAGTTAAAGTGGAAATTTCATCAGTTGGAATCCAACCTTCGGCAATAAGAGTCTTTCTTCCGTCATCGTAATCACAACGGTTCATGGTCTTGTATACAGCCTTTTCTCTAGCTATAACTTCCCACCATTTGCCCAAGTCACGAGAAATGGCAACCAATTCAGTATTCAAGGCATTGTCAGTTTGATCCAAAACAGTAGATAAATCAAGCAACTTACGGTTGACTTCATTCAACAGTTCTTGTCTCAAATCATGAGTCAAGTCTACATTATATAAATCAGCATCTAAAGTCTCACAGATCTTTCTAACTCTTTGATAAATCAAAGATCCATGAGAGAAAATAATGAAAAAATTCTTAGAAACAAACTCATTAGTCTTAGGATCATAGATTTTTTCCTTTAATTCTTCAGTATGATAATACAAATTACCTCTAAGAACTCTCCACAAGATTTGTTGAAGAGTGGAAACCTTGTCAGTGTTAATAACACCAGAAATAAAAGATTGGTGGTTCAGTTGAACCCCAGCACTTTCAAGATCTCCAACAGCTCCAGCAACAGCACCTCCTGCACCATTGCTTTCAAAGAATTTTTCAACACCTTCAATGGTGTACTTGTTCAGTTTCAAGTCTTGTTCCTTCCTATACAAAGTTTCGTTTGCGTCGATCAATTGAGAAACTCTATCCTCCAACAATTGAGCGTTTTCATAGTGTTCATCAATGTCAGATTGTTGAACAAGAGCAAGTTCCAGAGAATAAGGATAGGACTTAATATCAATGGAACGCTTGTTCAATTCATTCTTGAAGAAAGTGAATTGACGTTCAATGTTATCAAGCTTACGCAACTCCTTGACGAAAGAACGTTGGAACTCGTTAACCTTGGCATTAAGATCACGGAATTGGATTAGATTAAGTTGCCCAATTTCGTATACAATCTCTCTTGAAACTTCAGTCGGAACGTACAATTGTACGAGAGACATTTCCGCAGAGCCTAAAAGAAAATGTTAGTAATGATATTTATTATAGGAATACTTCCCAAGTATGACAGAAGCGGGTATTTTATGCTTCGAATACAACTACAATGGTACATTGGTGATTTTCCAAAGTATCAATTTAAGATTAGAAGCATTGAAAACCTTGGTATGAGTCTAGACCTTTCAAAGTTTGATAGGAGGCTCCTTTAACTCCCTCTGTAAGTTATGCCATCGATGTGGATAATTGGCCCAAAAAGTTGGTAAACACTTGTTGCTGAGACAAGGGTCTCTTCCATTTCAATGTGTCCATCGTCAAATTGCTATCACAATTAAAGTAGTCATTTGTAACCTAATCTCTTAGCTAACACCCACTACTCTTGCCAAATACTGACATAAACGTTTTATACATACGGAAAACAGCCTCCTCCTTTTCAGACATGATTGACGTGGTTAAAGAGTAGTAGACTCTTGAAGGTTGTACGTTATCGTAATTAAATGAAGGGGCGGCTCGAGAACCTGGCCGTGGGCAGGACACGACATGTCAACGAACGATATAATTTATTGTATTGTGGTCACGTGCGCACCTTCTGATTGGAGGGGAGTCACCTACCAAGAAGGATATAAAGGATTTTGAAACAGTTATTAGTATGGGGATAAACATTGAATGACTATTGATAGAGAATATAGGGATATCAGTGCATCATTAAATTGAAAGAAAGTTGTAAAACCTTGCAGTAAAATGAAATGAGAACCTCCGGACTTATCCGATGGGTTTGAAAATAGAGAGATTCATCCATTATAAATAGCTATTCAATCATAGAAGATATCGAGTAAAGTGTTCTTAAAATATCTTAACCAACTCCCCCCATTTACAAAGAAAAACATCATAACAATTTGGCACCTAATTAAGTACACTTCTCATTTCGCAACCATGTTCTTCATTTGGCTATTATTCAATCCTAGACTTCTACTGACCAGAAATAAATATAATAAAGCTATGACATCATATATATGTACTTATATCGCCTATTATTAACTAGTAAATCAAAAGTATAGGTATAAAAAAACAATATGGATACCTTCAATAAATGTAAATATTTCAATAATTTTCGTACAATTAGTTTTCTTGACACAACACACAATTCTTATTCCAAAAGCTCCCCAGTACACCAAATAAGTATCCCTGTAAGATCCCTTACTTCCACAAATCTATTTATAATACGAGAACAGCTTTTCCACTGGAGAAAGTTGAAAAAAAAGAGAAAGTATGAAAATGGTTGTTCAACTTTGGTTGCACACCCGCACACCAACGAAATCCTAAAAAATGCTTTTTGCAACAATAACGAGTTATACATTCCTCCAAAGTGTGTGTCATCCTTCACCAGATGTACCATTGATAAGATTACCATGAACCAGCTAAATTTACATCACCACCTTTTGCACATACACAACCATGCATTTTGGTATATCTTTACCAACTCTCATTAACTGCTGACCTATATCTCGGTATGAAGTAGATATTCCTGCATATGCTTTTTTTCTGAAAGAGATGCCTCCTCCAAATTTAGGTGATGAATCAAACTCAACTTTGATTGAAGATTCATACTCAGCTTTCCACCACTAAGAAATGAGAAACCTCGTGGTGCTTAACAAGGGACAAATTGTCCCTGAGTCCCGCACGTATCCAGACTTGGGTGTTACAGAGGCTGTTTTCGACTCAGTCACAGATAGTATCACCTATGTGCTTGCCAATCTTCAACTGGAAGATGGAATGGTTGAAGTTCAACAATTTATGAAGACTGGGGAAACCCATGTACTTGCCCTGTTCCCAATCAGAGACCCGCAAGACGAGCTCTTGTCCTTCACTCATTTTGTGGATACTTGTCAGTTGATCTTTGTCTTTGCCCGTAGTGGTGACATTATCACAGCTACTTACGACCCACTGTCTCCAGATCCAGACACCACTGTTGTGGAAATCGTTGGAACTATCGACGTTGGACTTTCCGCTGCCCGTTGGTCTGTAGATGAAGAAACCCTTTGTATGGTGACGTCAGAAAGAAATGTGATTTTATTGTCTCGTCAATTGGAACCAGTTTCAGAAAGACAATTAAACCCTAATGATATTAAGATCACTGACTCCAAACACGTATCAGTAGGCTGGGGTAAGAAGGAAACACAATTTACTGGTAAAGGTGCCAGGGCCAAGGAAAGAGCCAAGGCAGAAGCCGCAGCCGCTTCCACCGATGTAGAGAACATCACCAAGGACCCTACTGTGAATGAAGTTGAGAGAGGTACTCTTTCCAAATGGGACTCTGGGAATGTTCAGATCACTTGGAGAGGAGATTGTGAATACTTTGCTATATCCACTGCAGAACCAGTTCTAGTAGAAGACACTCAGGAAATGTTTGACAGAAGAGTAGTGAGAGTTTTCAACAGAGAAGGAGAATTGGACAGTGTCAGTGAAGCAGTGGATGGGTTAGAACATTCCTTGGCATGGAAGCCACAAGGTCTGTTAATTGCCTCAACTCAAAGACATATTGTGTACGATGAAGATATGGATGACGAATTGGAAGTGTTGGACTTGGTGTTTTATGAACGTAATGGGTTAAGACACGGAGAGTTCAACACCAGATTGGACCCAGAAACTGAAAACATAGAGGCCTTACACTGGTCTTCTAATTCTGAAGTGTTGGCCTTCCAATTGAAGGATAGAGTCCAATTGTGGACTACCAAGAATTACCATTGGTATTTGAAACAGGAAATCAAGGTTGATGAAGGTGTTTCTTTTGTAAAGTTCCACTCTGAAAAACCTCTTCATTTGATGATTGGAACCAATGGAGGACAAATCCAAGTAGTTGACCTTGCCTATCAGATTACCACTGGCCCTACCCATATCGGTGAAGACCAAGGTATGGTTTTGGTTGTGGATGGCTCAACGGCCAAAGTCACACCATTACTGATTGCCAATGTTCCACCTCCAATCAGTTTCAGGGAATTTGATGTTGATGGTAATATCAATGACTTATGTGTTGGAAGAGGGAATGAGAGCTTTGCTGTGGTTACCAGCAACGGTGACGTTCAACTTGCAACCATCGATTGGACACTGAAGGCCAAAATTCCAAAATTGAGGGCCAAAATTGACCGTGACTTGTTGTGTGAAGTGGGCGAATTTGCCAAACAAATTGCTCTTGCTGACAAGCTACTCGCAGTGGTGGTAGACTCAGCAGCTGGAAGTCGTATTGTTTTATTTGATACTCTGGATATGTCTAACCCAGTGCCAATTACTGTCCACGACGTTGGTTCTAAAGTGGTTCTTTTGAAGAGTCAATCAGACTTCCTCAAGTTATCTTTCGAAACCATTGATGGTAGAGTTTTCCAATTGGATGCCGAATCTGGACCGCAAGAATGTGCCCGATTCCCACAATTGTGTAGAGACTACGAGTTGGCAGTAGTCCATGGACGAGATGATGTCGATGAAGAAACTGAAAATAAAAAGATTATTGCGTTTGGTGTTTCTGTCAACGGAAAACTCTTTGCCAATGACCAACAAGTGGCCAGTGCTGTAACTTCATTAAACGTTACAGAATCGCATCTTTTGTACACCACAGCACAGCTGCAGCTTTGCTTCATTCACTTGAACGGTTCAATCGATGAGATGACCCAGTCCATGATTGTTGGCGAAGGTGCTGACGAAAGAGTCAGACAAATGGAACGTGGGTCTATTCTTATATCAGCCATGCCATCTAAATACTCAGTGGTTTTGGAAGCTCCAAGAGGTAACTTGGAAACTATCTGTCCACGTATCATGGTCCTTTCAGGAGTAAGAAAATTCATTCTGGAAGTGAAGTATAAGGAAGCCTTTATGGCTTGTAGAACTCATAGAATCGACTTAGATATTTTACATGATTATAATCCAAAGTTGTTCTTTGAAAACTTGGAGAAGTTTGTCAAACAAATTAAAAAGGTGAGTCATCTTGATTTGTTTGTATCTTGCTTACATGAGGAAGATGTCGCAGAGGTGAAATATAAGGACACTACGGCTGCCCCAGCCAATGCTTCTAAGTCTTTGACAGGTGCTTTTGAACAATTACTGGTACAACCTACTGAAACTACTAAGCCAACTACGCCTACTGAATCCAAGATTAACCGTATTTGTTCTGGAATTCTTTCAGTCCTTCTCAAGCCAGAATATTTCGACCAATACCTTCAAACTATCATTACTGCTTACGCATGTCAGAAGCCTGCAAACTTGACTGGGGCTTTGGAACTCATCAGTTCCTTCACAGATGAAGATCAAATTGATCAAACTGTTACTCATCTCTGTTTCTTGCAAGATGTCAACAAGTTGTACAACACCTCATTATCGATGTATGATGTCAAACTTACTTTGATTATCGCCCAAAAATCCCAAAAGGATCCTAAGGAATACCTCCCATTCCTCCAAAATCTTCACATTCAAACCCCTCTCCGTAAGAAGTTCTTGATTGATGATTTCTTAAAGAACTATGAGCTTGCTCTTGGTTGGCTTTGTGAAATGGGTGAACTGGCCCATGAGGAATTTGATGAGTACGTTGTTACCCACGACTTGTATAAAACTGCCTTGGCAACTTATAGATACGATACTGAACGTTCTAATACGATTTTGGAATTGTATGCTGAGAACTTGCATTCTCAACAAAATTTCAGTGAATCAGCTTTGACTTACGAATATTTATCTCAATGGGATTTAGCCTTGGAGAACTACATATTAGCCAAGAAATGGCGTGAAGCTCTTACAATTGTGGAGCAACTGCCTGAACATAAGATTAGGTTGAATGAAGTTGCTGAAAAATTGATTAACTCATTGACTGATGACCACAAGTATAGAGACGCTGCTGAAATAGAATTCTACTTCTTGGGCAACATCAATGAAGCAGTCAAATTGTACTGTAAGAACTACTGTTACGAGGAGGCTATCTTATTGGCCACTAAGGAACAACAACCATCGTTGATTGAAAGTGTTGTTGATGTCCAACTTGGTGAAGGTTTCGGTACCATTGCTGAGTTGCTCGCTGATTGTAAGAGTCAACTTGAGTCTCAATTGAGAAGACTTCGTGAATTAAGAGAGAAGAAACAAGCTGATCCATACGCCTTTTACGGTGTTCCTGGTAATGATGATTTAGATACTCCAGATAATGTATCCATTGCTGCATCTGAAACATCAACCACTCCATCCTTCTTTACCAGATACACTGGTAAGACTTCAGGAACTGCCAAGACAGGAGCTTCTAGAAGATCATCCAAGAACAGAAAGCGTGAAGAAAGAAAGAAGGCCAAGGGAAGAAAGGGAACTATCTACGAAGAAGAATACCTTATTCGTTCTGTAGGACGTTTGGTTGAAAGATTAGATCAAACCCAAGCGGATGCAGTCAAATTGATTGAAGGATTGATGAGAAGAAGATTGAAGGAACAAGCTTACCAGATTCAAAAGAACTGGACCGAGTTGACATCGTTCTTGAATGAAAACATCACCGAAATCCACAACATGAGTGAAAGAGATCGTGAAAGAATAGACGATAATGGTGAAGTATATATGATCCCAGAAATCCCTGCTCCAAAGATTAATGAATTCCCAAAGAAGAACATCTTGGACTTTTAGATGTTATATAGAGAAATACAAAGAAATTGTTAACCACGACATAAGTGTAGAGTTTTAGAGGCATTGCAGCCAACCATACCAGACTCACATTATGAGGCTGAAATTTACAACCATTTTATACCCAATTGCTACCATTCTATTTTTATGTACAATATTGATCTTGAAGCTGCCGTATTTCTTCGTCTATAAGAACCAGTCGGAACCCTATAATAGCTCTTTTCATACCTGCAGTTACTGCCTCTTTCTTACTTTTACTATAACATTGAGCTCGCGTAGGGAGGTTATGCGCTTCACCTGTTCCTGTTTCCTCATTGTACGTCCCATCCTTTAGGGTCACTCGAACAGTGGCTACATACTTTGCACTGAACTTGCAGTTTTCTACGTCTATGTTCTCATATACAAGCACGCAGTCAGCGACCAGCGATGACCATCCGTTGTATCCAAACACCTCATTGGCAAGACCAAATACTTGATGTGCAGAAAATCGAGCGAGGTTGTCCTTGGAACCACCATAGAAGCGCGAGTCTCGCTCCTTTTGATTTGCTTCTATTCGTGATTGTAAGGTCCCAATTTTCATAAGAGCCCAAGTTGACGCTCTAGGGGATTCTTCCACCATTGGTGGATCATCATCTACTTCTTCGAACTCCGAAATGTCAGGAAAGAATGTGATTGTAGACGGATACGAAGCCACTTCTGGATCAGTTTCATACTTTGAATCGAAAAAGTCATTCATCGTAGAGTAGTAGATTCTATTCACTTGATGGGACAAACCCTATATTTGTTTGCCTACCGTGTAACCAGTCTTCAAAGCTTTATCCGCAATACGCAACGCGCGATTTGGGTAATTGGCGTTGTGCGCGCTCGTTTGTGTTTCACATCAAAAGATCAAACGTGTTCAACGACTTAACATTCTTACATTTATATTGATTTTGGCAACGAACAGATGGACTACCTTAATAGCATATTGAACCAGCCTAACCTGCGAGCACCGCTGGTCGAGGAGGCGATTCCAACGCTAGCTAACCGACTCCAACATGCAACCTTGCTGTCTGATCGTCGTGCTGCTGTTCTAGGACTCAAGAGTTTTAGTAGACAGTATCGAGAAAATGTCATTGAACATGGATTGAGGGCTCTTGTGGGAACATTCAGAAGAGATATAGACCTGCCAGCCATGGTGAAGGGAGTTTTAGAAACCCTTCTTATTCTTTTCCTTCGTGGGGACGGTGACGATGAAACGGATTTAACTCGTGGTTGGATCTCACAACAATCGCGGCTCCAGAATGGGAAGTATCCCTCACCTATTCTCATGGACAGTATCAGTATAGATCAGTTCTCGTTATGGATCGCCGATGAACTCACAACGCAATCAGAGGACGCAATTGCCCTTTTACTTGATACAATTCTGGACTCTGACGATTTCCATATTCGACTCTACACTTTACAACTTTTGGAGTCTTTAGTGGCAGCACGTCCAGTGAAGACCAAGGAATGTATTCTACAAATCCCTACAGGTGTCTCAGTTTTGGTTCTGTTACTTAAGGATCCACGCGAGCCGGTGAGGAACGAAGCTATTCTTTTACTTATGGCTCTTGCTAATAAGAACTTCCATATCCAGAAACTTGTTGCTTTTGAAAGTACCTTCGACACCTTATTTGATATTATCGATGAAGAGGGAGGCATCCGTGGCCTGATTCTTGTCCAAGATTGTTTGACATTGATTACAAACTTATTGCAATACAATGCAAGTAACCAGAAATTTTTCTTGGAAACAAATTGTGTCCCACGCTTGGCACGTTTATTGGGGGAGCCAGTAGAGGAGCCCACTGTTGACACATTGTCAGACGTAGTCCAATCAACAGAAGATAATTCGCCCGAAGGCAATGGCAATGGATATGCAAATGGAAATATAAGCAATGGGAACGATTTGTTGGCGTCATTGCCACCATTCTCTTGGACAGAACAACGACTTCAAAACATTGTAATTGCATTAGAAATCTGTGGGCTATTTGTCTCTGAAGATAATGAAAAATGCCAACAGAACCAACAGAAACTTTTCGGAGCGGGTGTACTTTTCATAGTATTGAAGTTGGTGTTTTCACCAATTACCGTTAACCAAGTAAGATCAGTTGCATTGATTACGGTAGGTGAATTGATTGGAGGCAATCCAGAGATTCAATATGAGTTTTCTCAGATTGATGTCCCATATGTGGATCCGTCCATGCCCTCCCAGATTCAACGATTTGATAGACCGGCTCCAATTCCAATAGCGCTTCTTAATTGGGCACTTTTCATTAATTCTGTCCATGCCTTTGATATTAGAGTTAGTGCAGCCACATGTTTAAAGGCATACTTTAAGGATAATAATGAATCAAAGTCAGCATTCTTATCGGATCAAATTAAAGCATACAAGGATCCTTCTTATTATGATAAACAACAGGATGATGATGTCGAAGAAAGTACCGATATCGAGAGAGATGTAGATACTGGATCTCCATCAGATGTTACCCGTACTCCACATGGAAATATTTTTGCCACCTTGATGGATTATGACTCTGATTTAAAACTCAACCCATACAAGTTATGGTTTGCTAGTAGTATATTGATGTATCTCTTAGAGGACAATAAGGAGAATCGAGAAACGGCTCAAAAGGTCTATACTGGTGATGCCGATGCCGGAGAAGAAGTCATGAGTTCAATTCAAGCTGTTTCAGGATTACTTTTAACTACATTGGAATACAGCGACCCTAGAATTGCTATTGGATATCTTATGGTTCTTACTTGTTGGATGTATGAAGATTTTGAAGCAGTCGATGACTTTTTAAGTGATATCTCAACCACTCGATCCATTTTGGCATTTCTTTCTAATAATTCCACTGAACTGTCATTTTTAGTTCATGGAATGGCCACGATATTACTCGGGGTAGTTTATGAATTTAGTAGAACAAAAAGTCCAATGACTAGACCAGATTTACATTCACTCCTCTGCAAGCTGATCGGAAAGGACAACTATTCGTTAAAAGTTCGACAATTCAAAGAGTCTCCAATTTTTAAACAATTTAATCAAGATGATTTAATGTCATATACCACTGATTCAACTACTGGATTACCTGATGTTTATTTTGATCCTATTTATGTTCAATTGATTAATAGCAATTCGTCTAGAATTAGAAAGGCATTATTTCATGACCCATTGGCAGAACCACAGGGCAAACTTTCATATGAGGTATATGAGGAGTTGGAAACAAGTTATTCTGAATTGAAGGGGAAATATTTGGAAGTTAGACAAGTGGGAAAATCATTAGAAGAGAAGAATAATAAAGAAATTGAAAAATTGACTAACGAACAAAAGAAACTACAAGTCGAATTAGAATCCAGAGATAAAGAATTGAAAGAATTAGAAGATAAACATATTCTATTGAAAACCAAATTCGACGAAACTCAAGATCAAATGAAGGATCTTGAACTATCGAAACAGAAATTTGAGAAATCATCTACTGATAATTTCCGAGAATTGCAAGAAGCATTAAAGAAAGTTGACGATTCAGGAGAACAATCCAAAGCCTTACAAGGGAAATTCGATATAAGTGAAGCTGCCCGTAAAAAGGCAGAAGATGGTATCAATAAGATGAGTAGAGAATTATTCCATCTTTCGAAAGAAAAGAAGGATGTCGATAATGCCTTAAAGAAGTTACAAGATGAATTTAATGTATTTAAGACCAATATGGATAAGAAGATCTCACAATATGAATCCCAGATTACCAATATCAACAAGGACAATAAGACTTTGAAGGAAGAATTGGAAAGAATGAAGAAAAGCTTATCAAGCAGCGAAACAGAAAATGAAAGGAAAATAATTGAATTGAATGAAAAAGTCATTGATATCGAAGGTACAAATGAACATTTGATGGATAAGTTGAGATCTGCTGCATCCGCATTCCAAGAAATGAAACAAAAGAAAAATGAGCTGGAATTAGATTTGGAACAGAAACAAAAGATTATTGAGGATAATCGAATTGAAAGAGAATCGCTCATGAAAGAATTGGATGAATTGAAGGAAAATTTCGAAAGCAAGAGCAAAGAATTTGATTCAAAGAATAAAAACTTGCAGGAAGGAAATGAAAAATTAGAAGGATCCTTGAAGCAAGCCGAAGAAGAGAAGAGAAGCAAGGAGAAAGAATTGAAAGAAGTTAAGCAACATATTGGAGAAATCGAATTGGATTTAAAGAACAAATTGGAAGAGATCGAGACTTTGAAAACCGGTCAGTTAGAAAGTCATAGAGACCTTTCTGAGAAGCATTCAACTTTATCCAAGGAGTTAGATGCTAAAGTTGTAGCATTGAAGGAATTGGGAGCTAAGCACGATGAGGTTCTAGGAGAACACAATAGCTTGAAAGAGAAACATACTGATGTGGAATCAAAGTTTAGTGAGTTACAGTCAAAGAGTAAGGGAATCGAAGGAGATTTGAGTGACTTGAGGTCTAGACATGCTACCAAAGAGTCTGAATACACGAAATTGAAGTCTAAACTTGACGAGACAGAAGTTGAATATAAAACACTTCAATCAAAACATGATGAAATCAATTTTAAGTATAAGAAACTCGAGGAAGATCACACGGAGAAAGAAACAAATGTCAAAAAGCTTCAAGAAGAGCATTTGAAGAGGGAAAATAATATCAAACAACTTCAAGATAAATATATTTCAACTGAAACTTCATTGAAAAAACTTGAAGATGAACTCTCAAAATCTCAATCTTCAGCTACTGCTTTACAAGACAAATTAAATTCATGCCAGGACAAAATATCAAAGTCGGAAACTGAATTTAAAGAGCTTCAATTAGAGCATTCTAAGAAAATTGAAGAGTTTTCAACCTTACAAGATAAATTCAATGTCACAGAAGCTTCTTTGAGAGAATTAATCTCCAAAGAAAAAGAAACCAAAGTTGAATTGAAGAATTTGAAAGAACAACAATCAGTTACCGAGTCGAATTTAATGGAATTGCAGGATGAACATGATTTGACCGAAGAAAAATTAAGTGAAATCCAAGGGAAATATGAAGCTAGTGAGGGGAATGTAAAATCATTGAAAGAGAAGTATGATTTGACTGTTTCGAAGTTGAAAGCTTTACAAGGAAAATACGACGAATCGGCCCAGGTTATTAAAGATTTACATGCTACTCAAAATGGTTATGAAGATGATATTTCAAAGAAAGCTATTGAAATAAAGAAATTAACCGAAAACCTTGAACAAACCAAATCAACCATTAAAGGAAATGACAGCAAACTTTCAGAAGTTGAAGAAAAATTGAAGTCTGAATTGGAAGAACGCAAATCCTTGGAGATCAAATTGACAAGTTGTATTGCTGAGATCGAAGATTTAAAGAAGGAAGTCACAGAGAAGAATTCCACTTTGGACGAGAATTCAAAGGAATCAGAAAGGACAAGCAAACTTCTTGAAGAGAAGGAGAAGAAATTGAAGGAAAGTATAATTTCTCTTGATCAAAGTAAGAAAAACTTGAAAGAAAAGAGCATTTCCCTTGAACAGTGTGAGAAGAAGTTGGAAGAAAAAAGCACTACTGTTGAGACGCTTTCAAATGAGTTGAAGGAGGACAAAAATAAACTTGATGAGGTATCAAAAGAATTGGAAGCAAAGACCGCTACTCTTGAAAGTATTTCGAAAGAATTAGAAGAAAAGACTCTTGCTCTTGAAAAACTTAATAAAGATCACGATTTGAAAACTTCAACTCTTGATACTGTCGAAAAGGAATTGAAATTAAAAACCTCATCATTTGAAAATCTTTCAAAGGAGGCAAACCTTGTCAAGGAATCACTAACCGAAAAGGAATCACAACTTGAGTCGACTTTGGCTAGTAAGAAATCACTCGAGGATGAATTTTCCAAGTCTTTGAAGCAAGTTGAACAAATAACAGCCGAAAGAGATACATTCCAAGCATCAGTCAAGACTAGTGAGAAAGCTATACAAACATTAAAGAACTCAAATGAGAAAGAGACCAAGGCATTCCAGAAGGAGATTGGTCAATTGAAGGAAAAGATCATTAACTTGAATTCCGATTTAAGTGACAAAGTTCAACAGATTGAGAAGGAAAGAGCAATGCTTAATGAAAGCTCCGAAAACGTTCTTAAGGAATATAGTGAAAAGATCAAGGAATTGGAAGACTCTTTAACTAAAGCAAAGGACTCCAGTAGAGAAAAATTGGAGTCCCTTCAAAGAGAAAAGGATGGAGTTCAAGAAAATTTGGAAAGTTGTTCCTTAGAGTTAAGTGAACTTAAGAATGAAATTGAAGAAACTAAATCTCAACATAAGAAGAAATTAACTGATTTAGAAAATGCAAGGAAAAAACTTCACAACGAATTGACCAATTCTTCAACAAATCTTAAGGATAGAGAAGAGAATGTTGGTAAGTTACAAAAAGAACTTGAAATTTCGAAAAAGTCAATTTCTGAAATCACTGCAAAACTTGAAAAGGCAGACGAAGATTTAAAGAAATCTGCTGATTTAGGTAAAAAGCTCGAGCTTTTTACCAAGGAACATCAAGTTAAGGCAGATGAAGTTATTCAATTACAAAGTTTGTTGGATAAAACGAAAACGGATCACGCTAAGGAATTGAAATCAAAGAACAATACCGTAGATGAGAGGGACAAGTTGATTAAGGAATTGAACACCGAGATTATCAATCTTAAATCATCCGTGGAAGATAATTTGAAACAAGTCTCTGAGAGGGATTCTCAAGTTGAAGAATTGAAGAAACAAGTAGAACTAACTGCTTCCGAAATTGAGTCCTTAAAATCTACAGAGGGAGAAAAATCCAATGTAAATGAGGCAAAGATTAAGGAATTGACCATGAAATCAAAACAACCTTCAAAGGAAATAGAAGAATCGAAAGAAGAATTACAGAAGGAGCTTTTAAAATCAAAGCAGTTGGAGAAGGATATTTCTAATAAGAAGGAAATTGAATTGAAATTGAAGGAATATGAGGTGAAATTGGAAGCATCTGCCAAGGAGTTAGAAGCATCAAAGGCTTCAAGTATCGAATACGAACAAAAATTGAATTCAATGAAGAAAAGCCACGAAGAGGAGCAGAATAATTTGAAGAAGGAATTGAAACTTATTCAAAAATCAAGCGAAGATAATTCTACTGCTACTAAAAAGGTTGAAGAGGAGAATTTTTCATTGAAGGAAGAATTGAAGGTGGCTAAGAAGGTAGAAGAAGAAGTAGCAGAATTGAAGAAACTGTCGAAGGCCACAGAAGGTGAGTTATCGACCTTGAAGGAGCAATTAGCCCTAGCTAAGAAGGCAGAATCTGAGTTATCGACCTTGAAAGAACAATTAGCCCTGGCTAAGAAGGCAGAAGCCGAGGTTTCTACATTAAAGGAACAACTAGCCCTGGCCAAGAAGGCAGAAGCTGAAGTATCGACCTTGAAGGAGCAATTAGCCCTGGCAAAGAAGTCAGAAGCTGAAGTATCGACCTTGAAGGAGCAATTAGCCCTGACTAAGAAGGCAGAAGCTGAAGTATCGACCTTGAAAGAACAATTAGCCCTGGCTAAGAAGGCAGAAGCCGAGGTTTCTACATTAAAGGAACAACTAGCCCTGGCCAAGAAGTCAGAAGCTGAAGTATCTACCTTGAAGGAACAATTAGCCCTGGCCAAGAAGTCAGAAGCTGAAGTATCGACCTTGAAAGAACAATTAAAGCAATCTACAGAATCATCAACTAAGACTGAATCTGATCTTAAACAATCATTGGCTACTCTTGAAACAAAATTAAAGAATTTGACTGCTAAGACTGTACCAAAATCAGAACTAGATGATCTAATGCTTCTCATGTCTGACATGGATGAAAACAACAGTAAATATAAGAAGAGATTAAAGGCTCTTGGAGAAGAAGTCTCAAGTGATGAAGAAGAAGATGATGATGACGATGATGATGAAGATGAAGATGAAGATTAAAAAGTGTAAATAGAAATAAAAGATTAAAAAATATATTAGTTTGCATGTTAAATATTACAGTTCACTGAGGTAGAACAACATATATATATATATATATATATATATAGACACCATCTTGAAATAGATATATCACATTAATGCTTATCAGGATTGTAATCTACATAGAGTTTAATGACTATTACATACAGGACGAGATGGGGAAGTTGTTATACAAAAAAAAAATCTGATGCAGGTCAACCGTAACTTTCAACACCTTACATCAATACATAACACACAAGATGGATGCTAAGGGATACCTTCAAGGGTATGGATGGAAGGAAGGAGAAGCACTTCAGAAGGGGGGATTGAAGAAGCCAATTTTGGTGAAACACAAAAAAGATAATAAAGGATTAGGAGGAGATGGTAATGACGCAGACATGTGGTGGGAAAAATTGTTTGATGGACAACTCAAGAGTTTGGAAGTGACTAGCGGGAAGAAAGGAGTTAGTTTTGACCAAAACAAGGATCAGATCAAGTCTGAAGTTGCCAAGGCCAACTCACCGTTATACAGGATGTTTATCCGAGGAGAAGGATTAGCCGGGACAGTGGGGAAGACAGATCATACCAAGGTTGAAGACAAGGTTGATTATAAGAAGGCTATGGCTGAATCTGAGAGAGTTTTAGGGAAGAAAGATATGAAGAAGAAGGAAAAGAAGGAGAAGAAGAAGATGGAAAAGAAGGAAAGGAAAAAGGTGGAAAAACAAGAGAAAAAGGAAAAGAAGAAGTTGGAGAAGAAGTTGGAAAAGGAAAAGAAAAAGATAGAAAAGAAGGAGATGAAGAAATTGGCAAAGGAGGAAAAGAAATTAAATAAGGAAATAAAGTCCAAGACTGAAACAGAGACAAAAACCAATACCAAAACTGTTACGAAATCAGAGAAGAGGAAGAGAACCGAAAAGGATACGGAAACGAGCACGAATAAGAAATCACATGGAGTTGAAGAAGGGAAGTCAAAGCGTAGAAGAACAGATTAATGCAGAGTGAAGGGCCATGCATTGTATAATAGCATATAATAGACATTATCATAGAATATGGAGAATTTGTCGTAGAGCTTAAAAATTGTAGATAGAACTCAAGAAAGACGAATTGGTTTGGTGAATTTCTCTATAGTATTATTTCTTGATTTTTTGGACACATGGAGCCAATGACGTTGAGAGGCTTCTGGATCATACCAGGAAAGAAGGAATATATCTTATAAATTTACAGCAATCATATATTATGACTAGTTTAAAAATGAAAAATCGAGATCAAGGATAAGATGATCAAAAGGAACAGTTAGTAAGAACATTAAAATCCAGTCAAATGCTTCATTCGTCATTGAAACATTAAAAGGATTTTGTACTCATAAAGATTCAAAGATTGAAGTTGTTAAAAAGCAAGACCTAGAAGAAAAATTGAAACATTTCAAAGCTTGATTACCAACACACACACACACACATACACACACATATATATATATATCTTTCACAACAGAACCACTCATACTCTCAACCAATATGAGAAAAAACATTCCTTCCGCCCTGAGATAAATTTTCTTTACAAAATAAGATAATATAGTATGGTACCAAGAATTTTGAGAACATATATACCTTCTCTTTGGAATAATAGTAATATACCCATATCATAAAACTTCATTGAGGGTAGACTGTTTTTGCACCCAATTACCGGAAAAGAGAAATGGGTCTCTTCTGTACGCATTGGGAAATCAGATTTAACCGCGAGTCAAACAATCAAGTGGTGTCTGGGTGCACGCCAGATACAGAATTTATGTATATGATTTAGAATGATTGGGTTTAATTGATAGAGTATAATTTAATTTATATAGGAAAAGGGAATTAATGGCATCCGAGTCTAAGGGAGCTACAGGGATACGAGCTGGCCTCTCCCGAATACGACTAGTACTTATCGGGGTGATATTAGCGTATGGGTTGAAGTATCATATGCGTAGTTTGATTATATCATGTATTAGCGTTTGCATAGTTGGAGGTTTAATCATTTTTTATGCCATTAGATCCAATGTGGAGTATGAACCGGTTCAATTAAGAGCACCTGTGAAAAGGTTCCAATTCTTAAACAGAAGCAATTGGAGCCAACAGAAGAAATTACTCCATTCAAAGCCAATAGACACTGCCGTAGTGGAGGAATCGTTTTTAATTTCGGAAACTGTTGACGATATATGTAACCTTGTGATTCAAGAATTTGTTGATGGATGGTTCCATCATGTGTCACAAGATCGAGAGCTATTCCAAATGGCCATACATCGTGAATTGGCGCATGTTTCAACAAACCTTAAGGACAGGCTTAAACAAGTGGATTTTGCCAAATTGTTTGCAATGCAACTATTGCCAATTATTAATAAACACTTTGACGGGTTTGTAAGAGCTGAAAAATTATCTGGAGGAAGCTCTGGTAAGCTTCCTGGCAATGATATGGAGCGACATGTTGCTATTGCTCAGCAATATGAATCCATCCATCGTGGTGTCACAATTCCTAAATTGGGGAGTGTAACCACTTCAGATGGCAATGAAAGGAAATTTTTCCGAGAAATAGTCACCAAAATAATATCAAATCTTCTAAGTGAAGATGAAAGGGGGAATGTACTAGTGTTTTCGTTGGTGAGAGAAATTTTAACTTGTACAATTTTGACCAATGTATTTCTGATGTTAAGTGAAGGAGATTTTTACAATTTATTAATTGTGAAGTTAATTGGTGATAATCTTAAACATAGAACTCAAGTACAAAAATTGAGAGAGGCTCTTGCAGAGCATACTAATAGATCTGGGATCAAATCCACCGACTCTAATAATACCACTGACTTATCTTCCACCACAGCCAACACAAGCAATAACTCTAGTACAATCATGTCTACTGGTGCTGTAATGTTACTATCTTTTCTGGAAAATACAGATACTCCAACTTTTAGAAAAATATTGAGGAATATCACTCAATTAACCTCCTTGTCAGATTTGGCAAGAATTCAATCTCAAGTCACCAGCAAGCTTGCAATTGCTAAAATGGGATCCACATATGAAAGGAGGTTGAAAGCTATACTTTCTGAAACTTTACGAATGGTCTCTGAATGTGAAAAGATTCATAATGATGCTGAAGTGAACTTGTCACAAATTTTGGATAATGCTATTTCCAATAAACTCTTTGAAGAGTATTTAAACCATCACAAACGTGGAGTCTTGATACAATTTTGGAAAGCTGTAGAAAATATTAAGGCTCCATTAGAAGATGCGGAACTATATGATGACGAAGAAGATCCTATTTCTCTTGCATTCTCAAACTCAGAGGATATTAACCGAATCTACACACATTTCTTTTATAATCTGGTGTTAAATATCAATCGGGCTTCAATCGAAACAATGGAGAAATATATAGAGTCTCGCGGAGAGAAGGAAAGAACAGAAACATACCATTTGGCAAGAAAGGAGCTCTTACGTCTCCAACTTGAAGTATATCAAAGAATGAAAGATGAGGATTTCCCAGGTTTCAAACGGTCAGATTTATATACGAAAGTGATTGATATTTTCCGTAAAAGGGAAATAAAAAGAACTACGGAGAAGGTCGTCGGGCCAAGATATACAGAAGATCGGGGTGAAGAGGGTGATGTGGAGGACGATAACGGTGACAACGAAGAGTTTGACAATGATAAAGTTAGCCCTGTTGTAATCAAAGCAGTCGAAGATGCATTCACAGAGATCATGAGAAGTTCCAATTATAAGAATGAAAGGGACATTGGGACCGCTAATGAAGTACCTATTCAGCTGCTGAAGTTACTGCAAGTCCTGGGAAATCTTTCTGAACCGGATAGGAATCCTCTGACACTTCATTTGAAAAAAAATCTTTTTGGAGGAGCTTCCAATACATTAGTAGGCAACCGTCTGTCAAGACTATTTGACGATGATGTAAGTGAAGAAGAAGAAGAAGAAGAAGAAGAAGAAGAAAGAGGAACTAAATATGTGGAAAAAGAGGAACATGGTGAAAATTCGGATGACGAAGGAGATGGTGATGAAATTGAAAAGGAAAAACGTTCCAATTCTGGACTTGATAATGATTCAGTATCAAGTTCTCCATTGGATAACTCATTGGATGGACTTGAAACACTGTTACTGCTGTCGGGTCTTTTATCTAAAGATGATACAATGTCTGATCTGCAAGTTTTTCTTGCCGCACCAGGAAATCTTCGTCTTACTGAAGAAATTGCCAAGTTAGACAAGGAGATCGATACTCTTAGTGAACAAAATTCTATTCTCTTACCATTACTTAAAAAGGCCGAACTTACCAATAACGTGGGAGAACTTAAGATTCTCCGTAAGTCGAAAATTAGTTTGGATAGAGAGATCAGTTCAAAAGAATTACAAAAACAACAATACATTGTCCAAGAGAGTGATAACAGCTTGTACGGGAAATCAAGAGTGTCTATCCAATCGTATATTAGCGGCAGTGACGGAGGAAAAGAGGTTATACTTTACATTGTAGAGGTACAGAAGCTTTCATCCGATAATCCTGACGTTGTTACGGCAGGATGGATTGTTGCAAGACGTTTCAGTCAATTTTACAAGCTCAATGAGTACTTGAAGGGGAGATATTCACAATTCTCTTCTATCAAGTTTCCTACAAGGGCGGTCCTGATGTTGAAATTTCAACAAAAACAAATTGTAGAATTAAGAAAAATTGCACTTGAAGAATATCTCCAAGAAATTATTCAAATCCCACAAGTTTGTTCTGATAGGGCATTCAGAGCATTCCTTCTGTCTGAGAATTTCAATATTCGAAAGAATCAATTTGAAGAAACATCAAAGAGTATGGAGATGGTGGCCAATACATTTATGAGAATGATAGTACCAAGTAGTGGCAACAACACCAATTCGTCTAATATTGGATCATCTATGAATAGTCAAACCAAAACTTCAACACAAGTAAATCCACAAATGTTGGAGAACTTTGCAGAAATGCAGAAGGAATTGAGGATGTTTGATGACACTAATGATCGAGGATCGTTTGTCAAGCCGATTTGTGATGTTCTTATCTCAGTATTTAAGCTCAAAACGTCAAAGACATGGCTCCGAGGACGTGCACTTGTAGTAATTTTGCAACAAGTATTTGGAACTACGATTGAGAAAAAGGCGTACGAGATTGTACAACAACAACTTTATCGCGAGGAGACTGTATTGGATATTTTGACTCAGATTCAACGAACCGTATTTCCCAATGGGAAGTTCAAAGATCCACCGGTTATAAGATCACTATACGATCGATCTAGCACGAAACAGGAAGCTTCAGTACTTTTAGACGTGTTTTTCCGTGAGACTTGTTCCAAATTATTTGGAACAACCAATACATTATATGCATCATCCACAATCTTTGATATGTTACAAAATGATATTCTCAACAAACATTTAATATTTGAACTATTTGAAACTATAATTGGCGAGATCATACCAGAGATTTGATCAGATCGCATTTATCGGATAAATACTATAAACATGTGGCTTAGTTTTCAATGATGATTTCGCAACCAGTTCATGTGATAGTATATGAACAATGAAACCTATATTATAAGATAAGTACATAATGATTCTTACAATTTCACCCTGTGCAACTATATACTACATAACTTTATATCCCTTCAGAGAATATACGTACGTACCTTAATCACCTATAGCCACTACACGTGGAAGCACGTGACCACATTCATTTTGAAGTACAACGCTAAATTTACGTACGTTTAAGATGAAGGTTTATTTCCTACTAAATACAAATATTTATAATGAATTAAAAAATTACCGGAAAATACTCTTGAGAAATCAACTACATCATTCATTAAAATTGTCATATATACTCATGTCAGTCGTGGCCCCTTTTTCATTGCCATGACCTTACGGATTCCTGCACAGCCCCCCTCATTTTCCAAGATCATGATATATCGGGACGACACAAAATCAGTTATGATGGCAACGATAGGTGAACAAACCCAAACACCAGTGAATTGTTACGCAATAATTGATAAAGCCAAGCATATTTTATCCTGCCAACTCTTAAACTCCTTAAAGTGCGCAAGATATTTTATATTGATTGATATCAATTTTATTTATAAATTCCCAGTAGTTTATTCTTTTTGCCACAACTTTCAACAAACCCCAATCTATGGCTACTGCTGACGCTAAAAATCCACCCAACGTCCCTAGCGGTTGGGTGGCCAAATATGATGAACAATACAAGACTTATTTCTATGTCGAATTGAGCACCAAGAAGTCTCAATGGGAAGCTCCTGCTGGTACCACTTTTGGCGCCACTACTGATGTCCCACCACCGGCCTATGCTCCGGAGGAATCTAAGAAACAGCAACCACTGCCACTGCCTCTGCCATCGCAGCAACTGCAGGGAGACAAAGGCTTGTTTAGCAGACACCGTCCTCAACAACAAGGTTATCCACCTCAACAACAAGGTTACCCACCTCAGCAACAAGGTTACCCACCTCAGCAACAAGGTTACCCACCTCAACAACAAGGGTACCCACCACAGCAACCTGGTGGGTATGGAGGATACCCACCACAAGGAGGTGGTTACGGAGGAGGTTATCCACCTCAAGGAGGATATGGGGGATACCCACCACAAGGAGGATATGGTGGATACCCACCTCAACAACAACAGTACTACCAACAACAACAATACCAACAACAAAGGCCTAGTAGATTTGGAGGAGGCGGTGGTGGTATGGGAATGGGTGGTGGTATGGCCATGGGTGCCTTGGGTGGTCTTGCAGGTGGTATGCTTTTAGGAAACATGATGGAACATGGACAAGAAGATGCATACAGAGAGGGCTACCAAGACGGTAATAATGACGATTATGGTGGAGGCGATTATGGTGGAGGTGATGATTTCGGAGGTGGTGACTTTTAATAGTTTTCTACTTCTAAACTTTACAGTACAATTGTTTATAATATAGAGACAAGAGTTTCTAAGCATTAAGTGTAATAAAAAGATCTCCAACAGTAGTATTCCGTAACTCCACTTAAGGACTGATTCCCAGGCAAGTCAAATCTCTACGCGAGAATTACCATGAACAGGCGAATTTTCTCCACCAGAGAAAGCCATCTGGCATCAATCCTTCTTGATTTGTGACCTATTACTTGTAACGTTAATTTATGCCTATTTGAAAGTTGAGGAATACACTCGAGACTAACAGAGGGCAAATCCTTTGTATTTGTACTTACAATTAGCTAGATGGAGAGATACGAATGTTTTACTTCTATTACAACTCCCACATTCTTCCTCTCATTCCAAGTCGTGTCTCTAGGATATCCACATTTCTCCCAGAATCAACCACTTTTTTTTAAAAATTTACAATCACTACAATATTCTATCTCTCCCTATAAGTAACTGAATCGCATGGAACCCATAACTTCTTAATCTCGGTGATCTCACTAACAAAATTATAAAGGTAAAAAAAAAACACTACATCTGAAAAAAACTTACACAAAATCTCCAACCAACCAAAATAGCGAGAATTTATTTTACAACACATTATAGCCGTTGCAAAAAGCATCATCAATAGTACAACAAAAGATCATAAACATAAACCATGAGATTCACTAGGGTATTGAGACAAGCGGAAGAAGTTTTGGTCAGAGCTGCATCCGGGAACCCAACCGGTTTGACCGGGATCTTCCAACATCCTAACCCAAGACCAGCATTGATTGCCCTTTACAGTCACACCTTAACTTTGTTGGACACAAAGTTCCCAAAGGAATCTATTTATAAACAATCTGTTGAAGCTTTGACCAAGAACCGTTTGGCTGTCGTTCAAGCTGAAGAGATCACTGAAAATATCGAAAACAAGATTGGTGGTGGACTTATTGAAGAAATTATCATACAGGCACACGAAGAATTGACCTTGGCTAATGAATTGGCCGAATTGAAGGTTTGGGAAGAATTAGAGGAAAAGCCATTGGACGACCAATGGGTTTATTTTGGTAAGAAGATTTAGGTGTATAGACAATGTACGAGATAGGTAAAAGGATATGAGTGTAGGTATGAAAAAAAAGGGAAAAAGAGAAATGAATGGAAGCGGGGGGTATTTCAGATTTTAGTACTTCGAGGGGTGGTAGATGATGAAGTAAGCGGTTCCATAGAGTATTGAGAGGTCCAACGAGTGATAAATATTGATAGTAAGGGAGAGTGGAAGAGATTTACAGATTCGAGAGGATGATAATTTGAAGGGATCCAGACATATAGAGGAGCTCAGAACTATGTAGGGTTTTTTTGCAAGAGTAGATATGGAGAAGAAAGAGGAGGAAATAGAAGGTGGTTTATCTAAACTGATTGCCAAATTTGGTAGAAATTTAGGAAAGTATGTAGTTGGAGAATAATACATGTAACTTAAACATTTTATCAATAGTTATTAAATTTGGAACTCGATGGGTAACATGAAGTACTGATAGGTGAAAGCTAGGAAGAGTATCGCCAAAGTTTACTTCAGATATACTCTACTCAAGTTGAGATGTAGTCAATTTGTACAAGATGTATATCGTTGGCCACATTCGGAGGTTATTTATTTGACATGCCAGTATACTTGGCAATACATAAGCCAACAATACTATTAATAGAAAAGCTTGACATTTAAAGACGTAGTAGATACGTAAAAGACACCCATGGAAAGTTACGGGAAAGTTACGGGAAATGATATATAAACATTTAAGAGTAGTACTTGTAAGATATTTGCAACCTGCTATTTTAGTGCGCTCACTGTATTGACAATCAGCATCAAGTTTAAGTACCAGATACTTCGTCACACGTAGGAGAGAGACTTCACTAATGGATCTCATAGAGAGTCTCGAAAGATTACACGCTAGACTCACAATATGATTGGTGGTATTACACAATATGACTAGTTGTAGAGAGCCAGTATCAATGAACGTCATATCGAGAATTCCATATACCTAAAAAAATCCACTAACACAATGGTACCTAGAGTCAACTACTTAATTCAGCAAGGCCTTTTCATATCATTCATACTCCCATTTCATCCTTTAGTTAGTTCTTAATTTCAAAGTTTTATTCTTCCTTGCCGGTTGACTCCGGTGAAAATTCATACGCAAATATCGTTCTCCACCAATTTTACTGTTACACATACGTCTAAAATATCTACTTGTACCAATACTCTCTACATTTCTCCTAAATAACGACACAGTCTCTGCGCAAACATTTATTATTATACTTATTATTTGACCCAATTAACAACAGTTGCTCTTGATACCGGCACCAGCACCGCCTTGAGAAACGTCAATTCCACCAGCACCTGCCGCCGGGGCGGCTGTAGTCTCGACATGGTCCTGGATAATGCTGGCCAATTCGTAGAAGATCAGGTCAACATTTTCGTTACTTTTAGCACTTGCTTCCAAAAATGGAATGTTCAAACGCAGGGCCAACTCTTGACCTTGTTCCTTGGAAACTTGTCTGCTTTCAGAGTCATCACACTTGTTCCCCACAAGGAAGATTTGAGCATCCTCGTTGGCATGTTGAGTAACGGTTTGGTACCAATTCTCAACATTTTCAAATGTTCTCAGGTCAGTCACGTCATAGATCAATACAATTCCCATGGCACCACGGTAGTAAGCGGTGGTGATGGTACGGAAACGTTCCTGCCCAGCGGTGTCCCAGACCTGGAGCTTGATCTTCTTGCCCTTGCTTTCAATGGTTCTGATTTTGAAATCAATCCCAATGGTGGTGATGAACGAAGGGTTGAACTTATCTTCAACGAAACGAAGAAGAAGACATGACTTTCCAACACCGGAGTCTCCAACGAGAAGAAGTTTCATGATCATATCATATGATCTGGAGGGGGCTCTGCCTGACATGGTTATAGTTGTGTATGATGAGATAAGAGTTATAGTGATGTTTAAAATAATATCTTTTACAGCGGCAGGTGTTTTTTTATGTAATCAGTTTTTCGTATGCGGCCACACGTTTGTCACGAGTTACAGAGCATAGTGGTACAATTGTTTACTACAGGAACTTTTTACAAAAATTTTAATGATACGACCATTGAAGTGCATGTATGTACCTTCTAATGGTGTACTATCGAGAAGAATATCGCTGGATAGAGTTTGATTATCGAGTTTTAAGATATAGAGAAGGATTGAGGTGGGGTGGATCTAACGGCAAAAAAAAAGGAGGCTTGAGGTTTGTGCGGGAGGGCGTGCCGTGAACAAAAGGAGCGCCGTCAAAAATAAATAAATAAAAAAAAAATGGAACACTCCAAGTAAAGAAGTAGGCCAGTACGCAGATAACATTGACGAGAATGCAACAGACAAAAGAAATTTATTTTAGGAAAATATAGAACAGCTATATGATGTAGAGAATTGTTGGTATGAAGAATTCTGATGATGGAGCTGTATATGTACAGGATGTTTCTATTGCGAGAAGGGAACAGACGGATTGGCTGCGAAAATGCCTACCCATAGTAAATTGATAATCTACTAACATTTTCTCTCCGTTAATCTAAAGGGAATGCCTTGATCTGATACATTTTAATTCTCTTCTACTACATTCAAATTCGTAAATCTCTTATTCTATTATCTTTATCTCAACTACAAGAAAACTTCAGCATTAATTTCAACAGCAGAGGCAGCATATGGGATTTCAAAGTGTCCCATAACCTCTGGGTGTAAAACACCAATGGATCCGATATGTTGGTCCTTTTCACCTTCACCAGCTCTGAAGAAAACCTTAGCACCTCTACCTGGGAAGAAGGTGCTGTTGTCCTTATCTTCTACAATCCAGTAACCTCTACCGCTAGTAGTGCTTGGGTTTTCCAACCATGGGGTTCTCACGGTTTGCATGATCTTACCTAAAAGACCTTGAACGTATTCGAAACCAGATGTCTTACCGGCGTAGATGGCAGACCATCTACGTTGGTTGTAGGCACCACGTTCAAGACTTGGGTCTTTCAAAACAATGTCACCAGATTCGAAAACTCTGATTGGGAGGGAATGCTTACGGTTTTCCTTGATAGTCTTAAGAATACCTGGGACAAGAGTAGTACGAACAACTTGGTATTCGATAGTCTTAGGGTTGGCAAGAACAACAGCAGTGGTACCGTCATCTTCTTGTCTCAAGAACTTGAAGTTTTCATCATGGGAAGACAAGGTAAGTGGCATGACTTCCAAATAACCAGCTTGAGCCAGGGCAATTCTCAAAATGTCAGCAACCTTGTTAATTGGGAGCGGAGCGGCAACAAGAGATTCACTTTGTGGCTTGGTCTTGGTCAAGTTATTGTAACCGTAGGCAATCGCAGCATCTTCCATAATATCACATTGGTGGAGAATGTCAGAACGAGTACAAGGAATGGAGACATCGATGAGGTTCAGGTCTTCAGTTGATTGCTTGGCAGTAAGAGACATCTTGGCCAATAATTTTGAAATTTCTTCAGCAGATAAATCTAATCCTAAACAAGAGTTGATGTACAGGATTTCAGCTTGAGCAAATCTTGGGGCGATGTTTGGAGTTACTCTGGATTCACCGTTGTGTTCACTGACGATTTCGACTGGTTCGACGGTGAATGGTTCAGAACAGTAACCAGCAAACATGGCAACCAATGTGTTGACCACGATTTCAGCCTTGGTTCTATCGGTGGCGGTAATTTCAATGAAGACATTAGTGGTATCGATGGAAATCTTGGAGTGGTTGGAGTTGATGATTGGTGGCAATGAAGCAACAGTTCTAGTGCTGTCCAAAATCACTGGGTAGACTGGACTGTCTCTAATGATTGGTAAGTATTTACCCAAGTTCTTATCAGTTTCATAGAATTCCATTAATTCTTCACCGTTCATCACCTTGGTTTGGTTCAAAGGAGCAAAGACAATGTCCTTTGGAGCCAAGGCTTCGTAAGTGAATGGTGGCAGTAATTTGTCTAAGTCATGAGTACCCATGGCAACAAGAGTTCTATTACGACACAAGTTGGTATGGAGTTTATCTTGAAGAGCAATGAAGGATTGGTAACGTCTTTCGTCAAACTTAACCCCTCTAAGAACAGCAGCGGCGGCATATGGACGAATTTGTTCGGTGGATGGATCAACAGTCAACTTGATGGTTGGTTGTTCTGGCTTCAACTTGAACTCAGGGGTCTTGGAAGTGCCCAAGAACTCGTTAAGCGCTTGTGCAATACCTTCGATACATAACATATCGTAACGGTTAGCTGGAATTTCAATCTTTAATTGAGGACGTTCACCATTTTGACATTCTTCAGTGGTGTCTTCATCAAGTTCGATCCCGAATTCGAAACATAATTCATCAAACTCTTCGGTGGTGTAGGTCTTGCCAAGCAACTCAAAGAGGTCGGACTTGTCAACTGGAATGGTAGGCATGGTGCAACTTCTACTATTATTGGTTTGTACTGTCTATTGACACACTTCTTTTTGTATTATCAATGGTGAGTCAAAAGTTTTTCGTGCGCTCAAAATTTTGACAGTCGTGTAATTCTGGGCACGGCGCGTACATGGTAGCCCCACTAAACCCGTAGAGATAGAATGAGATAGAGTCATAATACATATATAATTTCTCTCTGTTTTATCCTCTTTATAGAAGTACTCCATCCTTTGAGACTTTCAACTTCTCTGAATTTCAATAGTAAATCAATAAGAAATAAACAAGGGTAGACTCCCAGTAGGTCCACTGTGAAGCTTGTTCCAGTTTGTATACATCTTATGCATTATATATCTATATATCATACTACTCATGGAACTCCTACTCTTCATCTTCATTCATTTTAACCCCTTCGGGCTTAGAAAGATCAACCTCTTTCCTGACTTCTTTTAAAGTACTTTCATCTTTAGCTCCAAGGTCCTTAATTTCATCAACTTCTTGAAGTAAGGCACCAACATCGAAAATTGGAACTGTGGTCGTTGTGCTTTCCATGTACTCTGCATTGCCATCAATATTGGTCGTTGAAGCACCGGCGGGTGTAGACGAAGACTCGCTGGATCTGCTTCCTTCACCACCTCCCTCGTGCATACCTTGAACTTCCACTTGTTCCCACCATTCCTTCCGTTTTGGCTTGAACCAACTCTTCCAACCTTTCTTCTTTCTTTCTTCTTTATCATTGAGTTCTCTCTCCTTCATCATTTTGGCTCTTGCCTCATCGAAATCATTCATTAATTTCCTTGTTCTTTCCTTTTGTTCAGGGTCTGGCTCTTCAATTTCGGCAAACTCTTCTCCGAGAACTTCCCACTCTAACCTCTTCAAGATCTTAGGGATTGCCTTTCTGTAAGACATATGACCTTCTACCAAGTCTGTACAATCTAAATTCTCTATGCCATGTACGTTCTCAAGTGCAGTTAAACCAGCCACAGTATTGATACCGCCTCCTGTAGCTCGGAAAAGGTACCCTAAGATCCAATCCTTACGTGAATACCCATTGACGAACCTACCACTAACAACTGATTTGGCAAGAGCTATCTGATCGGTACGGACTGCAATTGGGGTACCCAAAATAATGACATTCTCAATGAGACCAAACCCTCCTCTATGAGCCAACTCAATCAAACATGAATAGATAAGTCTAGCTCCAAGAGAAAACCCAACCAAGGTTATTGGTCTAACTCCTAAATTACCCGCAAGTAGAGTGTCCGCCAAGATCTTCCCAGCTTTCCATGCTCTATCTAATGACACATTCCAAGGGTTATCCAATAAATATGATAATTTCAGAAGTGCCATAGGCAATTGGATGGCTGACATCAATGCAGTCAAAATAGTAGCACCTAAAATTTGTTGAATTGACGTGGTTAAGGCTTCACTGGCTAAGATATTGATCGTTTGACCCATGGATTGCAACATTTCTGGTTCCCAAAGCAATGAAAACATATCACCCATGACTGGATCAACTGTCAGAAATGGCAATCGAACATCATCCAATTCACCATTCATCCATCCAGACACCGTCAAGATTAAACTTGACCGTTTATTGTTATGTAACGGTTTGATTTCAAACGTTTGGACATCTCCTAATCTTCTTGCCCCGGCCTTAGAACCTACTCGAACTCCAGCAAAAACACCACCAGTGGTGATTATAGCACTTCCTCCAACTCCAGCTAAAAACCCACTGGTTCCACCAATTCCAACGGTCGTTAACCCTGCTGCCAACCCTGCACCAATCACAGGAGCTAAAAGACCGGCAGAAAGCCCAATAGCAAGTCCTCCACCCAATGTAGCCAACCCTATATAGGCCAACCGTTTCTTCTTATTCTTCTTGATATGTTGATCAATGAATTTCCGGTCATTTAAAAGATTTTCCTTATTGGTGATAGATTTATCTGTAGTATCCTCCATTTCTAAAGAGTCGATTAATCTTCTTTCAAATTGGAATACTTCCAATGGAGGTACTTCCAAGTATTTGGCAAACTTAATGAGTAACGAACGAGATCTTGAATCATAGTATCCTTCACTTAAAAGAAGAAGGAAGAGATCACATATAAGAATCCAAACAAGATCTACTTGTTGCTTGACATCGTCCCCACTTTTCCCATTGTTAACCTTCATTCCAACTAAACTCTCAGTCAAATCTGCTACCTCCAACCCATGAATACTCAAGTTCTCTATCATTCTTCTTTCTTCCGTTGTGAGATCAAGATGTTCGTACATCTTGGTAGTGGTCACCATGGTCCATTGAGCAAAATTCTTTTGACTTTGGCTCAATTCCTTCGATACTTTATTGGAAGTGGTCATTCTTAACTCCGCCAATTGTGTGGCCATTTCCACCGAGATTAACCGTGCAATCCCCACATAGGCAAACTTTTGAGCATCTGTGAGCATACTCTTCGTGGTATTCAAAGTATCCTTTGAATCAATATTATCATCATCTTCATATTCTGAGTCGGAATCTGATCCTCCATCAATGAATTTTTTGTCCGATTTCCTTTGTTGTTTCTCGCTATCTTCTTCATCTTCGTCTCTTGATCTTTGGAAGAGAAAATCTGTTTTCTTATCCAATTCAGCATATTTGGCCACCTGTTCTTCAGTATCAATTTTGGTATAACCACGGGAACCAGTCCCTTGTTTAAAGTCAAAAAAGCCTTCAGAAGTGTACTCAAGATCACCTCGTTCATTATAATAATCAAGTTCTGAAACTGTCTTCATTGTCTTCCAATCTGAAGTTGACAGGTTAAAGAAATCTTCATCATCATCAGTGCTACGGGTCAACTTCTCGGGCAGTTTATGAGTGGTCATCAAAGTTGGGGATTGTGGTACTTCATGTGAAGGAGATAAATTGAATTCTACATACGGAGGTGAAGGCGAAGGCGAATGTGATCTGGGTGTCACAGTACCTTCTTTCATAGACTTGGCATGTTTATGTGACCCATCGTTTGCATTCTTATCCCGATGATTATTAGAGTTCATTTCATCAACCATTTTTATATTCGTATAATGATCTTCTGTATCAGTAGCATCATCGTTATCATTACCATCACTTCCGCCTAAATTGAACACATGAAATCCCAATCCAAGATCAGCTGGTTCCTCATCTTCTTCGTTATCTACCTCTCGGGTACTAAATGGGTCATCTATTGAATTATCCCTTGATTTATCCCATCCATTTATATGCTCCATAGGACCTGGAAGACTCGGTAAAGTCGACATGCTGGTTTTCGATGAATATCTCTCATGCTTTCTTGCTATATTTCCTAAACCACCTGGGTCTGATCCTAGAGAATTCAGGGATCCTATCTGATGAAATCGATCCATAATAATGAGATTTTGTCTATATTATTACCTTTTCTAAACCACTGATTGTGACTTGTCGTAACTAGAGGAAGTCGATTTCAAGTTACCTGTATGCAGGAAATGATAGAATTTTTAGAATTGTTAAGAAAGTCTATAGATAGACTATGATTAGAATATTGATGAATAGAAGTTTATCGACTACATTAACAGTAAATAGATGAAAGAAGGCTTCCTTTATTAGAAATAGATATATTGTACAATACAAGAAATATTATTCAAGATTAATTCAATATAAATTTTTCTTTTAAAGAAATCCATGTCGTCTACACAAATTCAAACATTTTAAAAAAATGATTAAATGTCTACATCTGTTTGCAGCATGGTTTTACCCAAGCGTCCATTAGCCAACGACCGTTCGCAGTGTCCAGGAATATGCTGCTACGAGTTAACGGCCGAACTCAACAATGAAACTCTTGCGAGTTCCAAAGGAGTTCAAGACCACCCGCTTACTCTACAATCTGTCGACGAAGCTGCCCGTTCCATACCTGTAAAAGGTGTGACCATGTAAAAACCCGCCAACTGCTCAACCGCATACAAAGTACGCAGGACCAGTCGAACGAATCTCACAGAGGACCACTGAAACCACCCTCTCGTGCGCCGAACTGCTACGGAAAACCTCTACAAGTCCGCATGGCAGCCACAGACCGAAGTCTGCAGTTTAACCATGTTTCCCTGAGCGCCCACCGTAACACAGATCGATAGAATTAGTTAAAGAAGAAAAAAGAAAATTTGTAAAAACGGTTGCAAGAAAAAATCCACCCACTTAAATAGTTCGCGAACGTTACCCGGACAGGTGTTTGGATGTCCGTTCCACAGGGCATCAAAATTGGTTTTGGCTCTAAATCTTTAGATAATTTAAAGAGCTTGTGGGGTTTACTGTTAGGGTAATAAGGTTTAAAATACAAGATACTTTAAGGATAGTCTAGTTATATAGAGTAACTTTTTTTTTTTTGAATTTTATTAGAATAGCATACTGTAAAAGCCTTGTATTAAGCTTCAACTTGAGTGTACCTTCGTATAGCTCATCGCATCGCATCATCGGGACACCCATAGTATAATCAAAGATTACATTACAAAACATAAACACTAAAATATCATTCCAATCATTGTGAGATCATCAAATTAACATGTCTCGATCCAGAAATAACGGCAATTCTCCTGATGAACATGATGAGGAAATCGCTGACTTGGTACCATTCGCCACCAAGTCTTGTCTTGAACCAAGAAAGACTTTAGGGCTTTTCACCACCACCTTCAGAGCCATTCTTGATGCTGAAGATCTTCAAGAACATATCCAATCTGTTAAGAAAGCCCTTTATCATCGTGATTATCTCTTAGCCTTTGATACAGACGACAAACGTCTTGCATATGCGGCCAGATGGACCCCAGCACGAACGTTGGCCTATGCTTCTCTCTTTTCATCTTTTGCACCCATTCGTGAACTTTTCTCTGATCCAGAAAGAACCTCTCGTTGTCTTTCTATAGGTGGAGGTGCCGGTGCAGAAGTGGCCGGGCTTGCATCTGTATTCTGTCGTCTTAAAGAATTCCATTCCACATCTCCATCGCTGCTCGAAATTACCGCCATAGACATTGCTGATTGGCTGCTTATCGTTCGTAGTTTGACAACGTATATCAAGTCAAATTGGGTTTATGATGCATCTAAGGTTTCCACCTCTTTCCTTCATGGCGATGTACTTTCTACACCAGTAGACTATTCCCAATTCGATCTCATCACTCTTATGTTCACCACCAATGAACTCTTTTCCGAGAAAAGACCAGAAACAATTAAACTCTTACAAACATTGAATAAAACTTGTCGTAAGGGAACGATTCTTCTTATTGCTGAAAGCGCAGGCTCGTACTCAAACATTACTGTGGGCACAAAACAGTTCCCAGTGCAATTCTTGGTAGATATGGTTCTTGTGGGCAAGCCAGGTGGCCCTGCTGGAGCATGGTCTATTGCCCAACAGAGTGAAAGTTGTTGGTATAGAATCAACACCCGTGAGGTTTCATACCCAATGAAGTTGGAAAACATGAGGTTTTTCTATCGTTTGTACATTAAAAATTAATGATTATATAAATAAATATCATATACTCAATCTGATGGTCACTTTCTCTCCTGATAGGCCAAGCCTCTTAATGGGTCATTGTTTGCGTTAAATATTCATTCACTGATTTATCTAGATATGTAACTTCTTCACTGCCTCTTCAAGTGAACTCTCTGCTGTATCATTAACGTCATTTTCCTTAGTAGCATCCTTTGTTTCTTCTTTACCCAGTTTATCTTCCTTAACCAGTGCCTCTGATATATCTCTTGAAATGTCTTCAGATACCTCCTTAAGATCTTTCTTAGTTTCTACCTTTGTCTTTTTCACATTGGTCAATTTTTCAAACTCTTCTTCCCAACTTAAAATCTCGATCAATTTCTTTGCAACTACATCACAATCTTCTAGGGCCAAGATATCAGATTTCCTCTTACCCGCAGTGAAGTCTCCAACTGCTTCACTGTTAACCAAAACCCTCAAAGCATCATCCCCTACTTCAGCAGGTAACAGTGCAAATGGATACACCAGAAGTGAAGTTCCTGCAACAATAGCAATTTCCACCTTCTCTTCATCTTCCTCCCATGTTTCAAAAAATTTCAGAGGTAATCCTTCACCAAAGAATACAATATCTGGTTTCACATATCCTTCACACTCTGTACATTTGGGGATTCTCTTCTCGTTCATATGACTTTTAAGATCTTCAGTACTCATTTCCTCATGACAATCTATACAATGGTTATTAACAAAGGAGCCATGTGCTTCCACCAAATATTTGTCTTCAACTCCAGCAATCCGCTCTAATGTGTCTATGTTTTGAGTATAAACTCGATGAAGTAAATCTTTATCTTGTAAGAGTCTCACCAAGTAATGGAACGCAGTTGGCTCGAATTGTCCAGGATAAAGTTCCTCGGCCAAGGTATAGAATGCCCTAGGATGCTCTCTAAAGTAATCTATATCAAATACGGCTTCAGGGAATGGTAGATCGAACTTAGCAAGGTTTGAATAGAGTCCAGTTCCAGGAGATCTAAAGTCAGGGATCCCGGCACTAGTACTGATTCCAGCACCAAGGAAAAATGTTACCTTTTTCCCCGCCTGAAGAGCTTTAACAAGAGGTTGGAGTGTTTTATCCATATTGAAATACAATTATATATAAGGAGCAGAAATATATTTTAAAAAAAATTGTATTGTGTCTATTCTTTACTGAATGTGGAAATCCATAGATAAAGATTAGATGGTTGTAAATTCCTGTATCTATCAAAAACGAGTCCCTAAAATTAATAGTAGGGGCTATTATGTAATACCTAGTTTATTTATATCTAGATTAGTGTTTACATCTACTCATATATCATTATGTATAATAGAATCTATTCTATACAATTTCTATACATATATAAATATATATGTCTCGGATTGTCTTATTTAGTCTTTTTTTTTAAAAGTAAAAGAATAAAAGCTTTTCCTTTTGCAACCAGATGGAAAGATTGTAACTCGTCCACATAGTCCGAGGTATTTTCTTGGAGGTCATGGATTAAATATCTAACAATATAGTTGTTATTAATATCTCCGATCTCTATGTCTCTACTGGTCTTTTTGATATACTATCATATACTGTTTGCTTACCTCATTGAGTGTCATTTATAGTAGACTATTAAATCAGATTGGCAGTTGAAGGTGGATTAGTTGCTTGCTTTGGACCTTTCTTTGCCAAAATTTTCTTCGGCTTATTGGAAGAGGAAGGAGCTGACGATGGAGGTTGGTCTTTCCCAGGTTGTTTTTCATCATTCTTTTTCTTTATCGATGGTCCCTTTGGCTTTTTCTCTTTAATTTTTGGTTTTTCCTTAGAATTTTCTACAGTTTGGTCACCATTTTTAGGTTTTTTTGGGTTCTTTGATTTGGGTTTCTTTTTAGATTTCAAATCTTCCTTTTTCCCGGCTTTGGCTCCAGTAGTCACATCAGAATCAGAAGAAGGAATTGAAGCTGGTTTACCAGACGTGGTTCCCACCACTGCTCCTCCAGCTGTAGCCTTTGGTTTCTTCTTGCGTGGTTTCTTCTTCTTTTCAACCACATCTTTATCCGTATTCGCTTCCGCTTTCCCCTTTTTACCCTTCTGGGTCTGAGCTTTTTGGGTTGTTGGTTTCATTATCTCCTTATCACCATTGCCATTTTCCTTTTTAACCTTTTGTTTCTTTTGTGACTTCTTGGCCTTTTTAGATTTCAATTTATTTTGAATTAATGAAAGATTATACTCGGTAATGGTTCCTTCAATAAATTTTAAAAACTCTTTATATGTGGGGTCTTCAGAAATCCCATCAATTTTGGCCAGAGCATTTTCCCAATGAGGCATTCGGTTTGAATTCAAAGCATTGGAAACTATTGGGATTAATGAATCATTTGTTTTGGTTTCAGTAAATGGTTTCCCCTTAACGTCAGCCATAAACGCTTCTGCTAATACTCTTGTTTTGAATAACAAGTATCCTCTGGAATATGTTGGTCTTTCATATGGTGTATTGGAATATGCCCCTTGTACGTAATATTTGTCCACTATAACATCTTCATCAACTCGGGTATAATTTCCTAATTGTGAATAAAACAGGTCTTCATCAAGCGACGGAGGAAGTAATCTTAAAACTAATTTTAAACATTCTGGTTTCAAGGGTTTTGACTTCTTTGGTTCAGCGGTGGCTAGATGTTGTTTTGGTTTCTTCCATATCCTCTTCGGGGCTTCTCTTGGCGCCGCTATAGACATCTTGAAGTATTATCTTAAAGTACGAGGAATATCTGCAAAGAATCTATTTCAGAAATTCAAAGCGATTGATAATGATAGAAAAATAAAATTTGGAAAAATAACAAGAATCTCAAAAAAAAAAAGAAAACGTTAACTCGAGCGCATTTCAAATTCATAGTGAAAAGTGACTCAACTACAGTTTTCTTGTTCTGTTCAGTTGACCAAAAGTTCACTAACATGGACCCGTTGGATGACTTTTTGAACCAATTGAATCAATGCATAAATTCGTCACCAGAAGAAGTTCTGATTCTTCTTAATCCAAACGTTAGAGTGAATCAACACTTGGTACGTCTTAATGGATTGAATATAAATCAAAAGTCTCTTCAATCAATAATAGATTCCAAACATTTCTTTGATGACGAATGGTTGGCCTTTAATGAGTTGGTGATTTCATTTGTGTCCCTAGCAAGAGATTTAGACCCATGGTCATCTCTCGCTTCCTTTGATCTTTTTACAACATTTTTAAATGATTTATCAATTGCATTCAGTAATAACAACCGAGGTCATTATTTAACTTTATTAGTAAGATCGTCTATTGATATAATACTTCCAATGGCTATACAATTAGACTTTCAACTATATCATAAGGAAGATTGTTTACAGCCAAGACTACTGTATTTGGCATCATTATTTCTTAAAATGTTTAATAATATTCGTTCACAACTGTTAATTTCAAATAATAAAAAGACAATCATCTTGTTATTAGGGAACAAGCTATGTAATGTCTACTTCAAACTAGGTAATCCCTTACTATGTCAAAATATTTTCCTGAATATGAATAATGCAAATTTGAATTTTAATTCATTTACAGTAAATGAACAAATTCAATATCGATATTATTTGGCAAGATTCTATTTAATTAAGAATCTGTTAGCAAATTCTTATATTCATTTGAATTGGTGCTTACAACAGATCACAAATAGTAGTACCAATCAAAACATTGATATAATATTGAAATATTTAATCCCAGTAAGTATCCTTATGGGTAAAAGACCAAATTTCACCTATATTGCTCATACTTATTATCAATCTAAAAATTTACAAATCCCTTCATTTATATTCCATTATCAAAAGATTCAACAAGCAATTAAATTGGGTAATTATAACTTATTTATTGATTGCTTTAATGAACCATCGATAAAACAGGAATTAATCAAAAATGGATTATATATTTTGATTGGTCAGAAATCAATCGTGTTGTTAATTAGAAATTTAATTAAAAAAGTATGGATCTTATTGGGGAAACCATCAAGAATTTCATATCATCAGATTCATATTGCATTACAATTGAGTATATCCTCAAAATATCAAAATCTGGGGTACGACATGTTTTCATTTCTTCAATTACCAATTCAAGACTCTACGATAGAAAATCTTTTGATTACTCTCATTTCCCAAACATTAATGAAGGGGAAACTTTCATCAAATCAACAATCTGTGGCATTGGCAAAGATGAATGTATTTCCACCGGTTGATTCGGTTTATTTTGTTTTGTTTGGTAATGGTCTGGAAAGTAATCTAAATCATAACGATAAATGGATGATGCTGCTGAATTGATTTATAAGAATGGTAATTTGTAGCGAGATTTAGGGGAAATATGTAAATAAAAATACATTATGTGGGGTTTCAAAAAAAAAAATTTGTAGGGAAAACTCCGCTAAAACACTACCCCACATGTATAAACTGAACTAAACGAGTATTTTTTTTCGGGCGGGTGGTACAAAATAGTTACCAAAAATATCAAAACAAGCGTGTGTGACACTATGTGTTGATTTGTGGCGGGTTCTTCGGGGCTACATGTCCATCGCGCCAAGGCCCAAATGTGAATGGTTAGAAATTGACAGCAAATTCTTCCTTCGGTCCAGAATCGTATATGACTGATTCAGAAGAAATGAATGAAATTCAAATTTGAAAGTTTCCTAAGTCGTACGGAGTGCTGGAAAGTCGCTCTGTTGTGAGGGATTTACCCATTGTGTTAACGGGGGGCGTGTCCTATTGGGTGGAGACAGGTATATGGAAAACATGTGCTAGGAAGGACATCTGGCCCTTCCTTTCGTGCACTACTCCACATTCGGAGTTGCGGCTCATTTCACCCCATGATGACACAAAGAATGACTGTTGCATTCTTGGCTATACGGCATATGTTTGCAGCCGCAAACACAATTTAAGGCGGTTGTTACAAATACAAACGCCACATTCTATATAAACCATACTGATTTCCCAGTATATATTATTAGACACGAAGTCATTATAATTCAGTATCCTACATCAAAAGCCAAGAGTAAACTTTAGCACCATTCTTTAAAATCACAATAATACCATATTACCCCGCCAATCCCCATCCATACAAAAGTACCTCACAAAATGCTTCTCGACTTACCCTTCCACATAATAGATTCAATCATATCTAAACTTGATTCAAATTCACTTGTCTCATTATCTTCCACTAATTCATATTTCAGATTAAAAATAAATTCAAAACTTTATGAAAAAATATTAATAATTGACCCCGATACTTCAAGTGAATTGAAGGACTCCACATTTACATTGCTCCCATTACAAAAATTACCTACTTTAGTTTCAAGTTTAAGGAACCATCCAGAAAATATCCACCTTATTAATCAGATCATCATAAATTCCCAAACAAATGGATCTGAAAACCCGTACCTCCCATTATATCAAATCATATCAACTTGGAAGAAATCTGATCTGATTGTACTTGAAAATATGGATATCAATAACTTGCGCGCATTCAGGTCAATCACACAATTAGAATTAAACCCTACCATTGGTGAATATACTTATGAAAATGACGAAGAAATGGTTGAAAATGTCAATACAATAGATATTCCCTTTCATTCAACCAAGGTTATAAATTGGACTATATTTGACTTTGACGAATTGACCCAATTACCCCATGATTCAAATATAAATGAATTGAATGTAATGATGGATTCATTGCCTTCCATGGAAATAAAGCTTCCAGAAATATCTGAGTGTTTACCAAACTTGTCTAGTCTTTATCTTAATCTGCCAGCAGCAACCCTTTCAATCTTGAATAATTCACGCCAATCAAACCCTTTGAGATTAACAAAATTATCATTAACTAATTCCCATTCCATAAAAAATTTTGGTTTCAAATCTGGTATTAATACAAAATTATCATTCAAAAAATTGAATAAAGTGGTGGATTTATCAAACTTACGTGAATTGGAACTCAAAATTAATTGTGATTTCCATAATAATTGTGAAGATGAGTGCATGGTTACTTTTTTTTCAGATTGGAGTAGAGAATTGAAACAATGTAAACTTGAGAAATTGGCCATTCTCAATTTCAAACTGAATTCAACTAGTTGTAATCAAAACCAATTCTATAAACTCATCAATAATCTCCCACATAATGTCATTAAAAATCTCGAGGAATTATATATCAATGTGGATGATTTTACAAATTTGCCACGTTCTCTGAACAATAATGAATGCCTTGATTTTTCAAAGTTAAAGGAAACTCTTATCAATTCTAATATCAAAAGAGTTGTGTTACCTGATTTTTTCCAACTGTGGTTTATTCATATTCCAAATTTAAGAAATGCATCACCCAATATTGCTAGATCTGATTATTTCAATCTTCTAGTAAACAATTGTGATTGCCATGAATGCATTCGTTCTAGAAAGGTATTTACCAAATATGCAGATTACGATTCTTCTCATGGTTATAAACATAAATTCACCAAGCTTAATTTAGATGAAGATGACTTATCAAATAACTCCATGGAAACTTTCCCCATTGATATTTCTCAAAAGTCGAATTTCAAGTTTTTGAATTATTTGGTATGTCTCTTGAAAAAGAGACTTTCGTATTCTCATAAGAATATCTTTACTGTGAACTCTACATTAAAGATGGATGAGAAGCCGATGGTAATATCAAAGGATGCCAATATTAATTCATTGGGTCAATTATTGATACACCTGAGTTTGTTTGACTGCTGCAAAGAACTTGTTTCAAACAGTTCAGTTAATTCGATTAATTTTGGAGGTATATCTTTCGAAGTAAGTACGGCGAATGATATCGAATATCTCAGGGCACCATATGATTCGTTTGAAAGGAAACTTATTACTTGAATTCGATTTTATAGTTATTTATAATATAGAGAATATAACGAGGTTAATAAATCTGGAGGTGATTTTGTACCTTGGTACCTTGGTCCTCTTGATATGGCACCATCTGAAATTTATTGGTTGCAATTGTTTGTAAGCGTGTAGGTGTTTATTCTTGGCAACTAGTCCAACCAAATTGCGGAAAATAGTCAATTCCAATAGCCAAAAACTGTGTACGACAATCCGCTGTTTGAGATTTCCTTGTGGGTGAAGAAGGAGGAGAGACCCTACAAATGAAGTTAAGGTTCATCGATTGGATTCTTGAGCTTCTCGGTGAGTGTTGTGTGTTTCAGTTTTCCCCCTTTCTGCAAATCCATGACGTTTCAAGTTCCTATAGAAAGTGATTAAACAGTGGTTTCATCAGTGTTTACTCTAATTAGCCCCCTATAGTGTAGAGATTGTCTCCAAGAATATTACAAAGTAATACGCTGTGCATGCAACGTACAAAACATATTCAGCCTTAAACTGTAAATGGGTTTGTCAGACGAAATCACTAATACTGTCAGTAGTCTGAGGCAAATATCTAGGTTGGAATGGAACAAAATACTTTGAAAATGGGCGCATGAACCTATACTGCTTGTCGGTTCAAAAGGAGGGAGGTAGACATGATAATTCTCGTAATTTTTGACGCTGTACTGTCAGCCACAACGAGTAAATAAAAAAATATATACTTATAAAGAGGTATATTTTAACTGGATTGGGTGATGGATTGGTAGATCTACGAAATTCAATTGATCGTTAAAATATGGGTAATTAAATGGACATACACTGAAAAAGTCAAAGTTTCACCAGGTATGTATGTAAATATATTCTGCGGTAAACTTCTTGGTTCTCCGCGTGACTTTATTTATCTATTTAGTCAATCAAAAACTGTACAATTATGTAAAATTTACGTTGACAACAAATCTAGGTTCAACGGTCTATTTTCCAGCTCCAAACGCAAACACGTATGTCAACACGCTACTTTTTCAGTCTTGGAAAATATGCAACACATATCGAGTAGATAACGTAAATGATTCTCAATTTAATTCTTTTTTTGCAATCGCGGATATTTGTAGCGGGTACAGCTGCATTTGTTACCAACTACATAAAACTCTTATTTCTTGGTCAATATGCGGTAAAAGCCGGTGCGGAAATGAAAATTGGTATAGAATGATAAACGTGGTATAATTGTATTCTAATTCTACAACTCTACCATGTATTGTCCACGGTGGGTCGGTCACCCCTAATTAATGCACTAGGTCAAAACTCTAAAGTGGCTAATATCGCATAACTAAATCCCTAACGGTAGAAATTGATGGATTGACGAACGGTTAGAAGGGTGGAGTATTAAAGGACATGGATGGACGGTCAATGGAGTACTAAATTTCCCACAGTAATAATCTCTTTCAATGTCGAAATATATCAAATATATTCTTACTCCAATTTGGGGTGGTGAAAAGCAAACGCCTGATTGTTATGATTCTGATGACGATTCAGGGAAGCAGCTTGCCCTTGGGGTGCCTATAGAAAATGTGAACCCTTTGGGGTATAACTTAGATTACGTTACAGCATATTTCTTGGTTCTTCAAGGTATGATTGGTACAGGTATTTTTGCTACCCCTGCTTCGGTAGTTGATTCAATTGGTTCCATTGGCGCTAGTTATGTGTTATGGGTTACAGGATTCTTTATTGCACTCTTTGAGTTGTTTGTCTATGTTGAATTTATTACGTATTTCAAACGTCGTTCTGGGGGTGATGTTGTCTATTTGGAACAGGCATACCCAAGACCAAAATACTTGGTGGCAACTACATTTGCAGCTGTCAATGTTATCTTATCATTTCAGACTCCATCAGCTATAGCGTTTTCCTCGTATATCCTTTCTGCTGCTAACTATAAAGCAACTGCTTGGGAGCAAAGAGGTGTTGGTGTAGCCGTATTGACATTTGTTTGTGTATTGGCCGTCGTCAACTCACGAGTTGCTCTCAAAATTTCCAATGTCATAGGTTTCATAAAAATTGTATTTGTGCTTCTCATTGCCATTACTGGTCTTGTCGTTCTCGGAAATAATACAAGAGTACGAAATCCAACTCAAATATTTAGAGATTCTTGGACTGGGGCTACTTCTGATGGAAATGCCATTTCCACAGCTATTCTTAAAGTTTCATTTTCATACAGTGGTACAGGTTATGCCATTTCGCTTGCTGGTGAATCTGATCCTAGAAAGACCAAAAATATGTTTAGGTATTTCGTTCCAGCTGTAATGTTTTCTGTTTTTGTCTTGTATATTTTATTGGTGACAGCTTACTATTCTGGTATCAATGATATTGATGAAATCAAGGGATCTGGAACTTTGATTGCTGGCGTCTTCTTCGACAAAGTTTTTGGTACAAGTGCATCTAAAAAGGCCCTTAGCGTGATGGTTGCATTTTCTGCCTTGGGCCACTTGCTTGCATCCATTGTTGGGCATTCTAGATCTTTAAGAGAGTGTGGGAGACAAGGTGTTTTGCCATATTCTCATTTATGGACAACTACAAAACCGTGGGGAACCCCTGTTTTACCTGTTGTAGCTGCATATATTGTTAATATTATTGTTTTGCTTGCCCCTCCTCCCGGTGATGCTTATAATTTTATTGTTGATGTTGGATCTTACGCGAGTTATATTTTCAAATTGGCACTGGTTGTTGGTTTACTCTTGGTGAGACGCGATAGAAAAGCCGCTGGATTGTCATTCCAAGGATTTAAGGTTCCTCTTCCAATTCTTATTGTTACAATTTTATATGAAGTGTTTGTCATTGCCATGGCGTTTGTACCACCTAAAACAGGTTTAATTGGCTCTGATGTATCCTTTTTCTACGCTACTTATGCATTGACTGCAATTGGGATATTGATTTTGTGTGTTATTTACTACTACATCTGGGCAAAGGTATTACCAAAGCATTTCCGCTACCATCATAGAACTCTTTACTATACTTTGGAAAATGGTGAGAAGGGGCATACTGTTGTTAAAGTCCCATACGATCAGGTGGAGGAGTGGGATGCAACCCACGATTCAAACGGTAAAAAACTTGAATCTGATGACTCTAAGTCTGATATCGCTATCAAAGTTGATGCGCTTGAGTTAAATAAATATTAAAATAATGTGTATTTGATAATAATAATTTCCTTGTTTGCAGACTTCATGTGATCTCTCTCACTATTCCTTTCGTGCGCGCGACTCTTTACCAAATCTAAATTACTCAAATTTGAAAATTTCATATAATCCGTATCCTCCTTTTCTTCATTATTAATTAAAAGATGAGATCATCTTCTCTCAGTAAAGAAAAACTCGAGGAGTACGAATCGCAACTCTTTCACTCTGGTCTTATTGGAGGGCTAGAAGGAACATTGGGAGGGCTTCTTTCGGGGTTCTATTTTAATCACAAATACAATTATGGGGTCAACGCCCGATTCTTCACACTTCCAATCAAAATCTTTTATGTTAGTTCATTATGTGTGGCAGGTATAGTATTTTCTACAAACATCGAAAGGTCCAAGATTCAGAAAATGATGCAGAAGGAACATAAACTTCGTAGAGATATATTTCTTGAAGAAGAATTGGGGCGTCCTAAGAATAATAATTGAAACGATACAAATGAGTCAATGAATTAATGTATATTAGAGAAGTACAAAAGTACAATGAATATGAAATTTAAGTACAGGATTGTAGGACGTAAATTAGTATATTAAGAAGTGTTCTATAATGGGTAAATAAAAGTCTTGTCTTGCAAGTCTGTAAGGTCAAGGGCTGCGATATTAACCTCGATTTGATTTCCTTCGTCATCTCTAACGACACCAACTTGATTCTTTTCGTTAATGTCTCTCAATCTCTCATTATTTCTCTTCTTCAAAATGAACCATACCAACCCAATCAATGCTGGAGCAATGGTAAAACTCAAAACGATTTGAACAATCCAAGCTGGAATATACTTTGGAGCATCTCTACCTTGCCATAATTGTGGGGAAATAATGTTGGCGATGGAATATGAAGCCATAACCATACCGTTTCTAACAAGTCTCTTTGTGTAAGAGGAACCGGCAGTGGTAGCAGCAAGACCAAAGGCACAAATCCAACCAACACCAAACGATTGAGATGCCATACAAATGGCAGCAAGTTCACCAATTGCATTAGATAATGGTAATGAAACAGCGACAATGGAACCAACCAAAGAAGGTACTGTGGTCCAAATAATTGTCAAACAGGTACTTCCAGGAAAAATAACCATAAAGAGACATGCAGCAAGAGACCAAAGAACGGCAAATCCAGCACCTGCAACTGTCACAAGAGTAGAGTTCAAATTACTAAGACCACCCATTTCTTCATATAATAAAGTTTGTTGGTATGGCAAGTTGTTTGCCAATTGTTGTAACAAAAAGAAACCACAAATGAGCCATGAAATATAATCTTTAAAGGCTTCCACGGCATGCTCTTTCTTGAAATGCTTTTGTTCGATAGTTGCATGTGAAGTTCCTTGAACCTTACGAATGACCCAAACCTTTTCTTCAGTAGATAAAAACTTGGCTTCCAATGGGTTATCTGGGTACAAAAAGTACACAATGGCAGATAAGATTAAAGTTAATCCACCAATGATAATGTTCAATACACGGTAATCACCAATGGAGGCCTTCGCATAAATAACTCCGTAACTGATGAACCCAATTGGAATTGGAGAGGCCATACAGGAAGCATAGAAGATTGGCTGCGTAGCTTCTCTGAAATGTTGACTTAAAAACATCCCGTTGGTGGTGGTAAGAATAGGAATTGCTACCGATTCGAAAAACCCAAGAAAGAATCTTAACACAATTACTCCAGCGTAATTGTATGCTGCACAATGTAAAAAGATAATAATAGACCAAAAGAAAGTAATGAGAAACATCATCTTACTGAGAGGGTATTTCTGGATCAAGTAAGTTCCTGGAACCTGTCCAACGATGAACCCGACATAAAAGACAGTATTAACGTTGTTGTACATATTTTGGTCCAATCCAGTAGCTTCCCAGAACCCCGAGATAGACGAATATGAAAGAGTTGCTTTATCCATATACATGATCATGTTGATCAAGAAGGTGAGACCCAATACTCTCCAAAATACTTTACGAGACAACTTCTTATCTTGTTCTGGTGATACTATGGGCACTTCCAGGTCATGAGCCTGCATGAACTCGACTGCTACATCAGCATATTTGGAACTTATTATTTTCTTATCGAAACTAGATTCAGTGGCTGTGGCAGACACAACCTCGTGTGAGTCTTCTAATTTGGTAGACATGATGGTATTGTACTAATTTGAGTTTAGTTACTCAGAATAATGAAGTTGCAATCTCCTTATATAAGTCTTCACCAAAGTTCTTATCAAAACTGTGGCTCGCATGAAAAAAAATACATGCATGCATCAGATGCGTCTCCAAAATTGATTACAAACTAACTCCCCCTTGAATGAAAGTTTATTTAAATCCAAGTTCTTAACGTTTCTTGTTCGAATTTCATCGAAAGGCTCTTGGGCCCTTAGATATGATTTAAATCATTCTTACATGGTCTGGTCGCTTTAGAGTAGCTTCTTTTTTGTTTTATCATAGTTAATTGTAAATTTTTAAATCACATCACCGGAGTTTGGGTTCGGAGTTTGGCTACACTTGATGTGTCAACAAAAAATGACTCCTCGTCGGATTATTTTTTTCAAAATTAAGAAAAGTTTGGGCGATGGCCAACCGTTGGATGGAGAGACTGTGGCTCTTGGGTACTTAGCTGATGTACTGTGGTTCAACCATCTTAACTTCCGAAAATCGTTGCACAATCATTGATGCAAGGACTAAATGTACAGCTAAAAATTAACCACGAAATTGGCTATCATTTGCTGTCTTAGGGTCCAGCATTTTTTACTTAAATGTGTACACACCCCACGCAAGGGCATAACTTCCCATATAATTCATGCAATCACAGTCCAAACCTGCCCGGTGTTTATGAGGAAGTAAATCACAAAGACCGGACTTTAGCTGTTGGAATGTTGCGATACCCCACGTGACTAACTTGAATATCCCGTGACATTTACATGCATATTGACTAGTCGATCTGATACAACATACACAAAAATAATTGTTTTCACTCGCTAATTAACGGTATGCAATGCATCTTTTAATCTGTACTATATTAGGTACTCGGAGTTTTAAAAATTCCAATTCTTCAACAATTGAGTACTCGTAAGGTGAAAGAGACATGGTAACGTGATCTCAAAAATGAATATTTAGCTAGAATAATCCAATCTCCCTTGAACATATCAATTTCCATCACAAACCATATATACTTTTTAACTAGTCAAATTTTTAAAAATATTTTCATGCATAAGCCACATTAAACTCTTCACAGTTCAATCTCGTCACGCATTATATTACTTTCGGTAAATTTTGAGAATATTGATTTGTACAAAGACGTCATAGCTGCTTGGTGCACTTAGTATTTTATTATAAGATCATACTTATGATAACTAGGCTATACCAGTCTATCTCAATGCGACTTTGTGGGATTAAACACCTAAGAAATAAACTACAAGCTATACAAGCCTATCTCAATGCGACTTTGTGGGATTAAACACCAGGAGATAAAATCAAAGGGCGGAATTCGACTCTCTCATACTGTGGAAATGCCACAAATTATGCATAATGTAGTATATGTGGAAGGATTACTTGTACTAGCCTAAATTGTGCCATATAGAGACACCTTGCTATTGTGGTTCAATGACATTATATTGTTCTAGAAGTTGTAATTTTTTTCTTACTCTCGGAGTCGATGGCGCTTATTCTGGAATGTCTTTTTCAACATGTCCTCCGTGATCCTGTTAAATTACAATAAGAAAGTAAGGAAGCATAAACACTTGTAGCGCCTAAAGGGATGTTTGACATGAAGACGTATTCTTATCCATTCGGCATTAATTGTACCTCACAATAAGTTCATGAGCGCCCATAGTATGTTAACGAACAAAATAAATTTTAGATTGAAACAAATATGTTAAGTGACATCCCAGGAACTCACTTCTATGTACTATGGAACTAATACTGGGAAACTTCTCATAACGGAAGTTGAGAAACTCTCCTACTTCGATTATATTGAGCAACCATTGTTCAGAATCAGGAATGATCACATTGAAAAATTGAGATGTATATCTAGAGTAGAAGAGATAGAGGAATGTTGACTCACTACCACGGAACAGAACCAACGTATATTACATCTAATTTGGAATACGCAATTGTTTATATTCAGACTTGTAAAATCGGTTACCTAACAAGATCTCTTCCTTTGTACTCTCCTTCGTACTCTCACCAAAAAAAAAAGTTTTTTTTTTTCCAGCTTACCCCAGTGGTTATTGAGAGTATAATGGTTATAGATAAATAGTTATTCTTAACTACTAAGGTTTCAACTTCTGAATAGCTTGTCCAATGGTAATGAAGTATAATATTCTTACCCATATATTTTTGAGATATAACTGCAAAGGTATTCGATGCTAATAAATAGTATTTAAGTGGGCAAATTGTGATCAAGGATTACAGTATGCATATTTTTTCTTCACATCAAAATGGTTGCAAAAAAAATACAAAATATTACTCCAATTCCAATCACTCTACTCTCGGGATTTTTAGGTTCAGGAAAAACCACTCTTCTTCAAAATATCTTAACTACTTCACATGGTCTAAAAATTGCTGTTGTCATTAATGATATGTCATCTTTGAATATCGATGCTGCATTAATTCAAGATCATAAAATTACTAAAACTGAAGAGAAATTAATCAAATTACAAAATGGGTGCATATGTTGTACTTTGAGAGGTGATTTGTTGGACGAATTGGTTACTCTTGCCAAATCTGGAGAGTTTCAATACATTGTTGTTGAATCGACGGGGATTTCAGAGCCTATGCAAGTTGCTGAGACTTTCACTACTGAATTTACAGAAATGTTATTAGAGAGTAGTGATTCATTAGAGGAAAAGGAGGAAAAACCCCTAAGAGAAATTATTGATTTGGGAGGCTTAAATAAACTTACAAAATTAGATACTTGTGTTACTGTGGTTGATGCTCTTAACTTTATTTCTAACTTTGAAACTACTGATTTTTTAATTGATAGATTTGGAGATAATGGTCAAAATGAACAAGAACGTACCATTACAGATTTAATGGTAGATCAAATTGAGTTCTCTGATATAATTATTATTAACAAGATTTCATCAGTAAAGAAGAGTGTTCTAAAGAAAATTGAAAAAATTGTTGCTTCCTTGAATCCTGTGGCTAAAGTTTTGAAAACTAACTATAGCAAAGTTGATATAAAGGAGGTTCTTAATACAAAACTTTATGATTTTGAAAAGGCTTCTACGTCAGCAGGTTGGTTGCAGAGTATTAATGAAATGACTTTAAGAGAAGGATTTGGAAATAAAGATAAATTAAATCTAGCTCCAAAACCAGAAACTGAAGAGTATGGTATTAACAATTTTGTATATAAATCTAGAAGGCCATTTCATCCAGAAAGACTTTATAAATTAATGAACAACAAGTTTGTAATCATTGAACAGACGGGTATTGACGAAGAAATGGGACTTGGGGCTGAAGATGAAAATGGTGATGTTAATGAAGATAGTGAAGATGAGGACAGTGAAGATGATAATGATAGTGAAGATGATAATGAAAATGAAGAAGATGAAGATGGTGAAGAACAATCGGAAAGTGAACTTTTGAAAAATAAAAATGAATCAGAGTTTGGCCCACTTCTTAGATCGAAGGGTTTCTTCTGGTTAGCCTCAAGACATATTATTCGTGGTGAATGGTCTTCGGCAGGCTTGATGCTTACATTAAAAGGGGGAATTCCATGGTTCTCGGTTACTGGACCAGAATATTATCCACCAGAAGCACGCTTATTGATCGAAAAAGATATGGAAGGTGAATTTGGTGATAGGAGAAATGAATTGGTTTTCATTGGTCTTAATTTGAATAAATCAAAGCTTACACAAGCTTTGGATGAATGCTTGTTAACCGATGAAGAGTACGAATCTTTTAAAAGCGTAGTTAAAGGGGAAAGAAACTTATTCTACGTTGAAAAGAAATTACAACAAACATTCAACGACGGATTCGAGAATTGGATTTCATTTGATGAAAATGATGTAGATGAAGTTGACAAAAAGGTTGAAGAGGCCGTAGAAAAGCATTCCGGTCATAAACATGACAGTCATTTGAAAACTACGCCAGTGCAAGTCTAATACGCATGAGACCATGCTCTGCTTAAACAACTAAAGTAGATTTATAGAAATTACTTCTTTTATATTTCAATGCAACTTCGATAAGATTTTTCTGCTTTTCATCATTATTGAATAATCTTCGTAAGAATCTCCTGTTCTGGTGTAGTTGGTATTCTGCATACTTGATCGGAATTTGAAAGAACCTCTGAGATGATGTGGAAGTACACATTAGTATACTTCAATTATTGAAATGATGTGAATAAAGAGTATTTGGTTTCCATTCTCGTTATAAATTTGTCAAATTGAGTAGAAGCTACAATTTGTTGCTTTAAAAGCTTGGTTGAATAACTTATTCTACGTTGCAAATGATATTAATAAATTGTTATATTTGAAGTGGTAGTTGAAAAGATGGCACAATTCATATGAAACTTGTATAAACTCTGCTACCAGTACATATTACTGTTAATCGATCTTCTCAACATGAATATATCTAACTAATAAAATCTTTCTTCTCATACCTTAAAGCTACTTCAATAAGATTTTCCTGTTCTACATCCTTTTTGAACAATTTCCGTAAGAATCTTTTGCTTTGGCGTATTTGGTATTCTGCATGTTTCTTAATTGGAATTTGAAAGATCAAGTCCAACTCTTCAAGTGTATAACCTTTGGTTTCCGGAACAAATAACAAGATTAAGATAAAAAGAGCAACACACCAACCAGCGTAAAAGCAGAAGACCCCTACATTACCAATAGATCTTTGCATGTTTGGTAAAGTGAACCCTAATATGAAACTGAACATCCAAGTTGTGGCAGTTCCAAAACTTGAATGTGCATCTCGAACTGTAATGGACGCACTTTCTGCATTGTAAGTGAAAGGAACAGGTCCCATTCCAATACCATAAAAGTAAACATATACATAGATTCCACTTAATATTAATCCAAGACGTTCCTTTGATGTTTCTCCGTAAAATGAAAATGCAACCCAAAGTAGAAATACTACCATCACTGGGAGAGTAGCCAATAATAAAAACCTTCTCCCCTTCCTGTCAATGAGTGGGATAGCTGTAATTGCACCAGTTACAGCTAGTGCACCAAATCCCACACTTCCAGACAATGCATCACGGTTAGAAAATCCAGCAGAGACCAATACTGTAGATATATAGAAGGTCAATACATTAACCCCGCAAAACTGCTGACCAAACATTACAATCCAACTTGCCAATAATGCAGATCTATTTCTTGGTACAGTAAAGAGTTCGATATATTGTGAATACCATGTTGAGCCTCTAGTAGCCTCGTTCTCAATTTCAATCAAGGAAAATGTGTAGTAGAAGTCCCTTGCTGCAATCAATTCTGAAGTTCTAAGCTTTTTAAATGACTCATATGCTTCCACATAACGACCTTTTTGGATGAGCCATCTTGGTGATTCGGGAATAAAAAACATCATTAAACATACAATTAATGGTAACGGGAATATTGATCCAAGCATGTATCTCCAATTGTCTTTTCCAGAATCCAAAAACGCCACACCCATTATGAATCCCCACATAACTCCAAATGCGGTCAAGGTTTGCCATAACATAACCAAGCCACCTCGTATAGCTGCAGGGGCTGATTCAGCCGTGTATACTGGTACCGTTGCGGATTTTGTTCCAATACTTATTCCCATAATTAACCTTCCAACTAATAACATTTGCCAAGAGGGGGAAAATGCTTGCCAAATTCCAGAGATGGCAGCAATGAAGCTTGCCCAAAAAATAGTAACTCTTCTACCAAAATAATAATTTGATGGAATTGCGAGCCAACAACCTACTACTGCAGCCGCAAGATAAGGAATTGCATTAACAATGCCCTGAAGGTTAGCAAAATACGATGAATCACCATCAATTCCATAGTACTTTGTGTAGAATAGCGCAGCACCACCTACAGCAGATTCATCCATCCCTTGAACTGCTGCAGAACATGCAGAAGAAAACGCTAAAAAGTATAAGGTGAAGTTTTGGCGCCAAGGATGATTTTTCTCATTACCCACCACATCCTCGTCTGCTTTATTAAAGTGTTTCTGATCTAGTACTGATTTGGGAAAGTTTGCAAGAAGCGATCCCTTTATAAGGATCTCCAACTTGTCTTGTAGACCAGAAATTTGATGGATTCTTGTTGCACTATCAATGGCCTCTTGTTCATTTTTTAGATTCAAGAATGAAGTAATATTGGATTGTTTTCTTCCTTCAAACTCTTCTGTATCAGAAGAGTCATTATCATACCGAATTGGCTCTTGATGTAAAGAATGTACTTCTTCCTTTTCTATACCAATGGTTTGCAGCATTTGAAAGCGATATTATTTACTTGATAGAAACATCTCTTCTGGTGAAAACTCAACTCCATATTTATACACATGTACACGGAATATAAAAGGAATAAGGCGGCTCCCAAATTCCGCTTTCAAGATATAGTGAGCCATAGTTCTTAACTCGTCATTTTAAATTGCAATTGCATCCATTTGCATGAATGTGGAAATCACGTGTAAACGTAGAAGTTAAAAAATTATGGCGCGAAAAAAAAAAACCAGTTTTCTATGAAACAGGAGGAAAAAGAGGCGACAGTTTCACCGCGAAAGTTAGATTGCTAGGTAGCATGGTTGTTGAATGATACTCAGTATACTTTCCAGTGTGGATGACATGTTGGGAAATTCAGGTATATCGGTATACTATTTTACTTATAAACTATAATCCTTAATCTCTATATACTATATGGTAACTCCCAGAGTCTTTTACTTCTTCACCAATGTTGACTTTGTCTAATCACTGAGTTCCTGAACCGACAACCGACAACCGGCAACCGAGTTTATTGATCCGTGATCCGAGTCTTATTAACCGAAGAACTCGGCTCGCATTACATAGATATCATGGTTCCAATTTTATCCATGGACCATCTAAACCATAAAGTATTATGTACAGGATAGTGAGATTACCATGTTTCAACAATGGTCTGTTATTGTTTGCAGGGATGAGTACTAACTAATTACGGAGGGAACTAATCCCTTGCTGGCCAAAGAAGCACTGAGGCTGAGGTGAAGCAAGGTAGTTCAATTAATCGTTTTTTTTTATCTTTTTTCAATTAGTCCAATAAAGTCTTCGTAACAATCTTGCCATCTTCACATAAACAATATTTTCTAATCCCTCATAGGGATACAGTCTTATGACCTAGTCAACTTTTTAGAAAGTCTAGGGGCTTTTCAGATTATAATAAAAAAAATAAGTTTTCCCCTATAGTGAAAAAAATAACGACAACTGCAGGACTCGAACCTGCGCGGGCAAAGCCCAAAAGATTTCAAGTCTTTCTCCTTAACCGCTCGGACAAGTTGCCTCTTTTATACAGTTTTGAAATTTTCATTTCTCTATACTTAGCTGTATGAATTATGCGGGTGTCCGGGTTTTTGAAACTTAACTCCTTTATACCCTATGAATTCTTTTATAATAAATAGAAGCTCTTAATATTTATATTACTGAATATCTCATTTTAAGATCTCTTAGTCAAAAGTTTGTACAACTTAATTGAATACTTTTGATCAAAGTTTCATAACTTCACCATGATGTTTTTTTCAAAAAAAGGGTATTATAAGACTAAGATATGTTAAAAACAAAAATGATATTTAGGAATGATGCAAAATAGTGTAGCTGTGACTTTTCAACTTGTTTCATGTCAGCAGAATATCCTGATTTGGAATACTTCACTGGGTGGACAATGTTTATATTACTAATCTATGCCAAATTCAAGGTTTATTGTAGAAGTAGAAAAATCTAGCTAACAATCGCCAAAGAGAATGAGTAAATTACGTCACCCAACTCTAAACGGATATCAAAAAACTTCAACTAGACTCTAAATAAATAAAAGGTAGATCTTTCGCCTACCGCACCCTAAGTTCAATAATCATTTTATTCACATTCCAGTTTAGGCAACTCATGGTACTTTGGTGCTGAAAGGGTTCTGAATATCTTTCCTCATTTTATTAATACGATGAAGCTTCCATTGAAGATATATTATTGGGAAAATCCATACATTTGATGGGATTGACACTACACTAGCTAGTGAAATAGAAAAAGACCGTACAATAGTAGTAAGCAAATTTAGAAACAAAACTATTTCTCAAACTGCATACACTTGTATATTTAGGTTATATTGGTGGGAGAGCTAAGGAAGCTCAGAAATGGGTCAAGAGTTAAGATAAAAATCCAAATCAATATTCAGTCAGAAAGAATCTTCCGGAACGTGTTTGAATTTTCCGGAAAGTGTTTGAAATCAAAGTCTGCGTTAAGGTTATTGCAGAACAGAATTTCATGGACTTTAATGACATTAAGTTCATTTTTAAACCCTTCGAATATTAGCTCGATAAGTTCTTTCGCTGTAACAATTGCTGTATTATCTCTACTGAGGTTTTATTATACAACAGAGTGTTCACATCTTTATTTTGCATTTTGAAGATGACAAACTATTTTACGAAATTCATGGTTTGAGATTTCGTTCTTGTAGGTTGATAATCATTTTTAAGAGATAAATTCACAAGGTGAAATGCACTAAGGTGAATTTCTTACTCTCACTTGGATTGTGGTCAGTGAAATTTCACATTTAAAAGTCTTGGGAAAGTCTTGGTTTTGGGAAAGTCTTGGTTGTTGTAGTAGAATTCGTACTTGTAAATTTGAGATCAGTTTGCAGATATTTAGTACTCAGCGCAAATAGATTTAAGCACAGTGTCTATGCTTTCATTTACTTTTTTGTTGATCAGTACATCGAATCAGTTTATAACCCTTATGGCTATTGTAGTATCTATTGATTGGGATCCATAAGTTGATGGTTGACTCATTTGATAACTTATATGTTATATTATGGGTGTATATTTTCTGAGTTGCACAGCCTAGCTTAAGCAGTACAAGTTTGTATTGAACCTATATTTTAATAAAACGTAAGAATCCGGGTTTCGACGAAATAATCAATAGAACTGTAATTCTTTTTCACAGTGGTATTATTCTATTCGCGGGTAACTCCTCAATGTTACTGTGTTTAAAAGGTGAAGAGCATCAAAATTTGTATGGGTGTATGGGGTGCTATGTATAGTAAATCATATGGGTCCGAACTTAATATTGTTGGAGCAGCACTTGGTGGTATCATTGCTGATATTGACCATGTCGCTAGATATAATCTTGGAACACTCTTTGCCGGATTTGTTATTACAGCAATTAATGGATTATCGCATGAGTATCCTGCTTTGAATGATTATATCAACAAGAATGTGTTCCCATCTCAGCTTGACTATTTTAGAAAGTCAGATACAGTCTGCTTATTAGGATATCTTTTGTCTTACCCATTTGTGAAACTTGAGCAATTTGTTTCTATTAGAATTAAGGCATTAGATAACCCTATCGTCAAGAATGTCACATCTTCAAACAATACATTATTGAATGACCTTGTCCCAGACATACCATTACTTTTTTACACTTCAAGCAAAGATGATGTTATTCCAGCTTCTGATACTGATAAATTGTATGACAAATGGTGTGCTGCAGAAGTTCCAATTTCATATCGTCAAGATGAGATTGGTGGTCATATCACGCAAATGGTTTCAGGAGCTGGATATGCTTTTGAGTTTGTGAAGGCTAGATTGAACGGTACTCCAGCACCTCAAGGATGTAACAAGGTAGTTGCTGTTTCCAATATATTCTCCATTACAGATTTGGAAGGGTTAGGAAGTGTTATTGCTGCTGCCATCAAAACCTTATTTTTGCAACCTCTTGGTCCCTTTTGGATGCAGTAAGTATTGCTAGTGATGTTGACTGTAACGTGGGCAAAAAGTATTTTATTATAATTTTGGCATGTATTATTATAAAAGCTAAATTTTTGCTGTACATGTAGAGGTATTATTTTTTAAGGTGGAGAATTTTCGATGGATGTAGTTTAATTATTCACAACTTTTAGACTACCTCTGAAAATCAGACCACAGTTGAATTCCTAAGTGGTTGCAAATTCATTTTTTTAAAAAAGTATACAAAATAAGGTTTGATCGATTAGGTTACTAGTTTCATGTGCACGTTTAAATGAGTTTATAGTGGTTTTGTATCCATAACCCCAATACGGTCATAAATTATGAGACCGAATTTTATTCACCTGTGATTTGGATTTTCGAGGGGTAAACTATCAAATCCTAAAACTTTCTAGTGAGAATTCCTTACTGTAACGAAGCTGTTTTCAGTAATTTTTGAACTTTGTAGTATACTTCTAAGAATGCCGAAAGTCGGAGTCTTTAAAACAAAAACTTTATTTTATATAATTGGGTGGTAGGCGTTCGTAGAATAAATCAGGATTCATTTTGTTTTTGTTTTGTAGAAAACATACTTAGTGAGATTAGACTCTAGAGTGAGATTGAAATTATGTAATTGATATATCATTCATTGTTCTTTCACCTCAGCAGGGTGACACATGTGATTATTCTAAGTCTTCTATTTATAACCGCAATTATTCTATAAAAAATGCATGTAGCAAACCATAATACCAAAAGAGGTATTTATTCTCTCATTTATTGAACCTTCAACAGTAAGATCGGAGTAAACAGCTGGTAACAGTGGGTCTATATCTAGTAAAAATTTTGAACAAATGTTTATTTTTCTCCGCCTTTGAATCCCTGTTATGTAAAGGTTAGGAGCCATGTCCACAAGTTCCATTGATAATAAGTTTCGTCTTAATACATGAAAAAGCACTTTAGCCTTTTTGATGTTAACAGGACTGCGCGGTGTTATGTTGGGATTAGTAGTATACTTCATAGTACATACACGGTGAAGGAGATGGAATATTTTTGTTTTGTTTGAATATGTATACAGTAATGCTTCATTGGGCCATGCTGCAAATACATCATAACCAAGGAATTTCCATTCTAAAACTTCTAAAACTTTAAAAATAAGCGATACGACGGAATTACGGCTGTCAAAGTTGTTATGAAAATCGTACATATTGTGAAATTATTAATAATATGCGGAGATATCATGTACTTCACAATACATGAAATTGTGGGTGCTTTCAATAACTCCGGTTGACACACAGAAATGGAGGTATAAAGAGGAAGGTATATCGTTAATTGATATATTTATTTAATGATAATACCAAACAAAAATGCAATTTCTTTGGCTACTCTTCTCTAACTTCTTTCTCCATTCTATCTTGGCAGCGCCTTCAACAGGGTTTGCGGCCAAAAGAGGCTTCCCAACAGAACCATCTAACGATCCCTTTTATTCTGCTCCTCCAGGATTTGAATCACAACCTCTAGGTGCTATCTTGAAAAGTCGTAAGCAAGAACACACTTTTGGGATAGTTGTTATTCCAGAGAAGATTGAAGGTGCTTATCAATACTTATTCCGTTCGGAGGACAGTTTTGGAAACCCCATTGCCGCTGTTGCCACCCTCTTCATTCCAAAAAATGCTGACCCAAATAAGTTATTGTCTTACCAAGTAGCTGAAGATGCATCCGATATTGATTGCTCTCCATCGTATGCTATGCAACTAGGATCAAACCCAGGTACCATTGTTACAGCTCAAATTGAACAATTATTGGTTCAAGGTGGATTAAATCAAGGTTGGTATGTTGTGGTGCCTGATCATGAAGGACCAAAATCTACCTTCGTTGCCGCACACTCTGCAGGTAAAATTGTGTTGAATGCTATTCGGGCGGTTATCCAAACCAGTAATACTACTGGGCTCAGCAGCGACCCAACTATTGCACTTTGGGGGTATTCTGGTGGATCGTTGGGTACAGCGTGGGGTGCTATGTATTATAAATCATATGCGCCAGAGCTTAAAATTGTTGGAGCAGCACTTGGTGGTATCATTGTTGATATTGATCATATCGCTAGATATAATCTTGGAACACTCTTCGCAGGCTTTATTTTTACAGCAATTAATGGATTATCTCATGAATACCCTGACTTTAATGATTATATTAACAAGAATGTGTTTCCATCTCAGCTTGACTATTTGAGAAAGACTAATACACTTTGTTTACTCGGTGATCTTTTGTCTTACCCATTTGTGAAACTTGAGAAATTCATTTCTATTGGGATTAATGCATTGGATGACCCTGTTGTCAAGAATGTCACATCTTTAAACAATGCATTGTTGAGTGACCTTGTCCCAGATATACCATTATTCTTTTACGATTCCATCCATGATGAGATTGTACCAGCTTCTGATACTGACTTGTTGTATAATAAATGGTGTGCTGCAGGAGCTCCAATTTCGTATCGACAAGATGAAGTTGGTGGGCATATTACACAAGCAGTATTGGGGGCCGGAGACGCATTCGAATTTGTTAAGGCTAGATTGAACGGTACTCCAGCACCTCAAGGATGTAACAAGGTTGTTGCTGTTTCCAATGTTTTTTCCCTTACTGACTTGAATGGGTTAGGCAGTATTATTGTTGCTGCCATTAAGGATTTGTTTTTGCAACCTCTTGGACCCTTCTGGATGCAATAGGTAAGTAGGTACTTAATCAGTAACATGTGAGTTTTCTGAAGGTGAAATAACAAATATGCCAATACCCAATATTTACAGTATAATATACAAAAATTTTCCACTCCTTTCTATGTATAGAAGAATGGTTATCTTTATATTGGAAGGTATTAATGCTTTGCATTTATAAAAATTTCTAATTACCTGATCTATTGTAGGACTACTACATTGTTACCTGAAAGATCTTATTATTAATTATTTCTTTCTTTTAAATACGTTAGTCTTTCATAAACTGTGGCATTTTATGTGTATATTTTTAAATTCATAATTCCACTTTAATATACATTGAATAATCAATATTTGAAGTACAACTAGATTTTTCGTTTGTACTATTCCATCTTCGACATTTATTTCGTAGTGACTAAAAAGTGATTACTACATAGTAACAAAATACAAAAAAATTATTATGGGTGTA